TAATCTGATTCGATTTGAAAACTTGTTTTCGATTCAGAAATCTTTGAAATCTGTTGATTTATTTCTCATTTTTAATCGTATTCGATTGAAATTTTTAAATAATTCAAAGCAGATTAATTTATATTCGATTTCGATTCAAAACGATTTTTTTCAAATCTGATTGATTTTCATTTACCTGAATGAATTATTTATGACTTAAGTAACGAATAGCAATTTTTTACATCTTATTCTGCAGTAAATAATGTCAAACGATACGCTCGTGCTAATAAGTTTAAATGGATCACTTCATTGGGGGTAACAGTTTTAAAAATTAATTAATTAATTGCTTAATTACTATACAGAATCGTCCTCACCCCAACGATAATTTGATACCAGCAAAGGTCGTTTTCCGTGCTACACTCAAGGCTGGATGGCGATTGTATTATAGTGCAAGAATCGATGGAATCGATGATAGTGGGCCTAATTTCAAATTTCGATAAAAAACTACGATTTTCAGATGGAGGATATGTTGAGAAAAAGCTGTCATATATGTCTGTTAATGCACATAAAAAGAGCTTGAAGAAAACGTTGGATACATTTCAAAATTGTCTTTCGACAACCAAAACAATTTTGAGAGGAATCTACGATACCAATTACGTACTTTGCGAGGTGAACTGAATCGATTCGACATTCAATCAGTTTCGAATTTCAGATTGAGCGCGAAAATGTCGAGATTTCGACAATATTCCCAAGACTGCGTGTGATTGAGAATAATTTAATGATGATTAGACGTCGACTTCATCACGATGGAATGGCTTTTAATATTTATTGCGAGCCTGATTATTCTTTTAAATTCGAGCAATTGGACGAATCCGATCTTGTTCCGCAAGATTTTCTTGATCATTTCTTATAATTCACGCACATCTGATAGTCGACGGCTCGTCTTTCGAAATGGTCTCGCCACGAGCTGTTTCTTGAAGATACATTTAACGTGCCAGTAAATGTACCAACGTACGCCGACCAGGTACTCAATTTAGAACAATCTGATGTTTATTCAAATTTGCGCAATTTGAATTTAGCGATTTCAAAAAATCATTGTTCGAAATGGCCGGGCCGAAACGACAAGCCACGCGCCTTCGCAATGGTCTCGCACCGACTATTTTGCATTTTAGAAGTTGTTTCATTGATTTTTAATTTCAGTAATATTAAGAATTCAAGACTGTCATCGATAAAAATTAAACAGCTCGCCTGAAAATTTAAAGAGAACCGTGAAATGTTAAATGGCGCAGTGCTAAGCTTTCGCGCGTGGCGAGACCATTCCGAAAAGACTATAATAATCCAAATTTTCGTGAATTTCGGACGGATAATTTTTTAAAATAAATAATATAAAATTTTTATTGTTTCTATTCCGAAATTGAGAATTCCAATGAAATAATTTATTGCATTCAAACAAATTTGGTTCAGGCTACATCCAATGTCGACATTAAATGATCATGCGAATTATCTTCTCGAATATCGCCTAGCGATCTACAGTACCAAATTTTGGCGCTTAAAAAACAACGTCTCTTCATAATGCAGAAAACAAATTACTGGAATCTGATTCCATTTCATTTCGACTCCTCCCGATGCTCATTTTCAACTGTTCGAAATTTTTCGTGTCCCCGTGGTTTTAAGAAAGTGTTAATGTTATTTTCGAGATTTGAAATAAATTGAGAATTCTATTGTTACTTTTGAGCAGATTGCGAGCACATGTTGTTCGATTGATTTACGATTAGAAGGCGTACAATAGAACACATGTTCACGAAATAATAGAAACTGAATAGTTAGAACAACAAATTTGAATTGAAACAAACTTTTTTGGAATTAAAAATTTCCATTTTTAGAAAAATATTTCCTAATATACAGGGGAAAAATACAGGTAGAGATACCTGTTCGTAGAGGAGTAAGGCAAGGTGACCCAATCTCGCCGAACCTTTTCTCCGCGTGCCTGGAGCAAGTTTTCCGTGAATTGTCTTGGAGTCAATTCAAAAACGACTCAGAAGACAATACGAACACTCCAGGACTACGAGTGAATGGCCGCAACCTCACACACCTGCGGTTTGCAGACGACGTCGTGCTCATAGCGCACAGTCCGCAAGCGGCATCCGAGATGCTAAGTGAGATGGTTGCGAGATGCGAACAAGTAGGGCTCCAGATTAACGCTGGAATGACCAAAGTCCTTCGTAACCCCTTCGCAGACTCCGCCAAGGTTACCCTAACGCACCAGAATTCGGTCAGTATCATTGACGATGTTGACGAATACGTGTACCTTGGAACCCCCAAAAACGAGCTAGTCAAGGAGATCTTCCGAAGGAGAAGAGCAGCTCGGGCAGCGTTTAATGGAATCAAGAACACCACCGATTTGATTTCCTGTAACAAAACCCGCGCACAGCTCTTCGATTCCATCGTTCTCCCAGCGCTGACTTACGGATCAGAGACTTGGACCTTCACCAAAGCTCTTGCCGAGAGAGTCCGAATTAGTCACGCTGCGGGCTGGACACGTTGCTAGAAGAACAGATGGAAGATGGACTACTCTTCTAACGGAGTGGCGGCCGTGGAATTGAACCCGGCCAAGAGGAAGGCCTCCCATGAGATGGTCGGACTCGCTTCGGAAGGAGATCACTACAAGAACAGCTGAAGGAGCCGTTATCACCCCGTGGTCCACCCAAGCCAAGGACCGAAAAGCTTGGAAAGCTGTGGTTCGCGCCTCAACAGGCGAAGGACGAACCGACTAAGTGACTAAGTGACTAAGTGAAGAATGTTTTGTCTCTCGGGGGTCTCAAGAAACCATAAAAATATCAACACAAATTGGAAATACAAAAAAAAGCGATGAGCAATTCGACAATTGTTTCGAAATATCTTTGATAGTCAGCAATCAAACAAACAAATTCGATTTTTTTTGTGCAATTTGACGGATTCGACAAATTAAGAAATTTCGAGATTCCTTAAAAACCATCACATTTGGAAAATTGATTGAGCTTAGATTTATTGGAGCATTCTTTTTTTTTCTTGAGTTCTCGATGATATGATTTTTTATGGTTTCGAACACATCGATGCGAGGTGCTTCATTTTAGACTTTTCCAAAATATTTTTTTTTCGCTTTTTGAAATGAGATCAGGTTGTGAGCATATGTTGTTCGATTGATTTATTCGATTCCTAGTCAAATCTATACTAATTTATTTATAATCTGTTTGATTATTTAATTCTTCAATGTCTTCAGACGCGTTGCGGTTCGAGATTCTCTATGAACAAACCACCATTTCATTTCAGTTTTGTGATGCCATCAAACGAGAAGGACGTGGATGAATTCATCAAGAAGTGCAATGATCAGCTGACCTACTCAGGAAAGAAGCTCGACGGCAACCGATTCAATGCTTAAATCAATTCCCATTCGACTATTTATTTTGGCATTCCTTTTTTGGGTGGACAACACATCTCTTGTTTTTAATTCTTCTCTTGATGGCTTCTTTCTATTCTTTCTTGTTTGTTTTTGTTGTTTCTAATAAATCCCACTTTCCATCGATCGGACCCTTTTGGGCCTCCTCTTCCTATTTTGGTGTGAATGTGCGATTAGCTCGCATCGAAAAAACGAAATACTTCTACAAAAAACGCATTCAAATTGGAATCACTTCAATTTATTGAACATGTTTAGGAATGTCGAACGTCTTCTGGATCTCGTGAAACTAATATTTTTGATCAATCCTCACGCCAGGATCAACGAAAATCGATGAAGGTTTGCCGTCGGCGCATATCCCACATGGGAGACACAATAAATGGTTCTACATTGGTTCATAGCTTCCTCAGAGGTCCTGGCAAGGACTCGGGGGTTTTGCGAATTCAATGATGTTGTGGAAGATCCCACAAATTTTCATATTTTCATAATTATCATACACAATGTCTGCGTCTCCGTCCGCTACACGCTCTCTGACACCCTCTCGTCGTCTGCACTCTCTCTCTCTATAGTAAACTCTCTCTCACTTACAAGAAATTTTTTTGAGTTTTCTAGAAGCGCGTCAACGCAGTATTCAAAGGCGCATATTTTGTGTTTTTCGTTTTTTCTTTCCATCTTCTCAGAGTTGAAATAAACTTTAATTATTCAACTACGTGTTCTCGCGGACCATGTCCACCACTCGCAATCATCAACATTACAACAAATGCAATTTCTACAGCCACCAACTTCTCATCCGCAAAGACAATTGCAAGATGTTCTAATCTCCTTTGCACGTTTTAATTCATGCTTCTTTTATTTATCGATTAGGATGACGGCCTATCTGACATGATAAGATCAATCATGTTCAGCTCATATTTGACAATTTTTCCCCTTCGGTTCATCCTTCGTCAATTTTGCCGATGAGATGGAGGCGCTGAGATACAAAGATATTTTTGGTTAAGCTATTCATTGTTTTAATATATAAAATAAGCTATTCATTGTTTTAATATATATTATCAGTTTTAAGCGTAAAAACATCATTTATTTAAAAAACAAAGCTCAGAAAACAACATTACAAAACATTTAAATAATTACAATTATCATAGAAAAAATCGGTACCAATACATTGAATCAAGCGCTATCTACTTTTGAATGCCTCTAAAAGTAAAAAAGCGTTATATATAAAACGTCAAATTTGAAGAATTTTAAACGTTTTCATAGAATTAAAGCATCAAATTCGACAATTTTGGTTCATGTAAGAATGAAAGAAAATGCTCACACTTCTCTTTTTTAGGAATGTATTCCCGTTTTCCCCAATTGCAATCTTTGCCAGTCGAATTTCTGTCCTAAAAAATTGATATATTTCTATGTATATAAATTGAGTAGAATCTTACAATGCCGCTTTCAACTTCGTCGGCAAGATTACAATTTGCAATAAAATAATACATGGCTCGACGAACGTGGAGTATTTCTTTCCTTACGTTTTCGTTTACTCCCAACGTCATGTAGTCCCTTGAAGAGTAACTTGTTATAGTTGTCTAATTAATACCGCTTACGAATTGTCCATCACTTCAATGTCGGTCAAGCTAATTTTTGAATAAATGTTCGAATTCAATCCGAACAAATGAATAAAAAATCCTGTAAACATTCGATTAGTATTTTTTTCCAATTGTCAGTTTTTTACTTTTTATTACATCCACGATTGGTTGCGGCAAGTTTTTCACTGTCGCATTTCTACTTTCTTGACGATCGTGAACTGTAAATTTCCGAATTTTTTGAACCGGCTCCGTCAGCTGAAAATTGAATAAGTCATTTAACACAAAAACTTTCCTAACATTTTGAAGTATCTGAAAAAGATAAAATGAAACTACTGCTTTTGGATCAACTTCTGCCGATGGATGAATCAATGTAGATATATCTAAGATAATAATACTCTGAAGAGATATTTGAAAGAATGCATTAATTATAATTGTTACCTTAAAGGGTGAAGGCATTCCAGAAACGCTGAGTTTTTTCATGTCATTGGTTACGGACCAAACTAATCTTTCGCAAGGATCGAATGCAGCTACACTTTCAGCAAATTTAGTCTTTTGTGTCTTTTCCATCTTCCGCAGAATGATTGATTGCTGGAAAACAAATATATTACATATATTCTTCTCGAACTCTCTTGTATGTGCGTGAAAATACCTTTAGTTGTTATCCAGTAGCTATGTATCTTCCGTTGAACTGCGAATGAGTGAATTCGGTAAAGCTTAGTGACCAAAAAATTTCAGCATTTCGTTTTATAAAATTCTGAAAAGTACAATAAATAAATTGGTATTTAGTCGTTTAATCTAGAGAATACGATACTTGAATTTCCGCAGTAGGATCAATTCCTCTGTCTAAAACAGAGCAAATAGCTCGCCCAGCGGAGAGGCTATTAAAACAACCTTCATTCAAGAAACTCGTCAAAACTTCTGAAAATAGGCAAATTTCTAATTCATTACTTTTTTGGATTGAATAAAATACCAGACAATGAACACCAGTATACGAATAAATATTCAAATACCGGGCTCGTCCATTCCATCGGGCATATATCTTTGAACTCCTTCTTCGCGAACATCTTCATTATTTCCTTCAGTCATATCGAGAACCTCGAAATCATCTTCCTCTTTTCTTTTTTGCGTTTCTCTACCTATTAATATATAGCGTAATAAAAATCAAGTTAATTTTTAATTACATGACTTGCCGCAAATCATTTCCCACGTTATCTGAGACGATGCAATCGACTTCTTATTTCTCTTCAATGAATATGCTGAAAGAATATTTTTAATTAATTAATTTTTAATATTACTTATCCCTATTTAGATATGCGTAGTCTTTTTTTTAAGTACCACAAATGTACATACTCTGGTGACTCAAAACCAATCGGATCCGACAAAATTCGACTCCGGAATCAACCTTATCCGATTGGTAATTCTACGGATAAGATTGGAAAATTGTCGTATCCGATTGGTTTTTTGGGTTTTTTCGGATCCGATTGGTAATTCTACGGATAAGGTTGGATATTTGTCGAATCCAATTCGAATTGAAATATTAAAACAAAACGGATTCAAATAATTACCAATCGGATTCGAAGAAAATCTAATCGGGTACGACAAATTACCAATCGGATCCGAAAAAACCCAAAAAACCAATCGGATACGAAAATTTTCCAATCTTATCCGTAGAATTACCAATCGGATAAGGTTGATTCCGGAGTCGAATTTTGTCGGATCCGATTGGTTTTGAGTCACCAGAGTATCCAGAAATTGTTTAGATCTTACCTAGAGTTTTGGTTCGTCGATCCACATTGGTCATCGTCAATAACCTGGAAGTAAATGTAATCAATGCAACGATGAGGATAAAGAAATTATTAAAACGTCCGTAAAAATTTTGTTTAATTTTGCATGGTATAATTTTACTTAGTTCTCGTTTCAAATTGGTGTTTTCTCGCCAAATTCGAAATAATTTACACACAATGAATGGATAGATGGATTAGAACAATTGTAAAAATCACTAAAATTATATTCATTTGAAAATTTATAAAAAATCTATTAAAAAAATTAATTTAATTAAAATTTAAACGTTTAACGTGCGTGGAATTTTTAACGCACGTTAAACGATTAGAGCGGATATCCCCCTCACTGTCTGCGTCTCTAACCTGCCCACTTAATTTCGCTTTACATGCGATCCACGGAAGGGCTGTGCGGCAATTCGAAATTTCGGCAATTCGGCAATTTGAAAAATCGGCAATTTCGGAAAATTCGGCAATCGGCAATTCCATTGCCGCACAGCCCTGATCCACGGACAGCATACCCGTAACAATAACGCGATTATGGCACCTCGCGCATTTCTTCCGCAGCATGCCACGTCTTCGCGCAGTGTTTCCAACCGATATTGCAGAAAATTGCGATGGAATCGAATCGACAACGAAAATCGGGAGATCCAATTCGAATTGAAGACGTCGGCGCATATTCAATCGACATGAAAACGTACTTCGTATTTTGTCGAAATGTATTTCTTCAATTGTTTCGATTATTTCAGAAATAAGGTGACGATTGGGTACGATCAGATTCCTCGTTTGATTCCGAATATTGATGACGTCATCGGAACGAATTTAGATGAAGGAATGGAGGATTTCGAGGATAAATATGGCGGCGAAAAACTGGAAAGCCTTCTCGATTTCATCAAAATGCAATGCAAACCTGGAACGGATTTAAAGGAGCACATTCAGGCAGATTTTGTCACGAATCGCTCCACAGTTTTGGCCCTTATCACTTTACAACTATGCAAGATCATTGCGGTTCGCGAAAAAGGCGTCATATTCTTATACAAAGTGACAGACAAATTGGGAGGTACAGTCAATTGCAAGATTCCATTCCCCGTCGTGGCCGCGAATTGTTCGGCCATGACACTTTTCACGTCCACCATTACTTCGAAAATGTCTATTTATTTCCAAATTTTTTATCAGTTTCTCAGGTGAATAATAAACAATTGGATTCGAAGGAAATTAAAATACATATAAATTAATCTGATTCGATTTGAAAACTTATTTTCGATTCAAAAATTGTTGAAATCGATTGATTCACTCTCATTTTTAAATTTGAAATAATTCAAAACTGTTTAATTTATATTCGATTTCGATTCAAAACGACTTTCTTTTTCAAATCTGATTGATTTTCATTTACCTGAATGAATTATTTATGATTTAAGTAACACAATAGCAATTTTTTACATCTTATTCTGCAGAATTTTTTCTCAAGCGATATGCTCGTCTTAATAAGTTTGAATGGATCACTTCATTGGGGGTAACAGTTTTAATAATTAATAATTGCTTAATTACTATACAGAATCGTCCTCACCCCAACGATAATTTGATAGCAGCAAAGGTCGTTTTCCGTACTACACTCAAGGCTGGATGGCGATTGTATTATAGTGCAAGAATCGATGGAATCGATAATAGTAGGCCTAATTTCCAATTTCGATTAAAAACTACGATTTTCAGATGGAAGATATGTTGAGAAAAAGCTGTCATCTATGTCTGTTGATGCACATGACAAGAGCTTGAAGAAAACGTTGGATACATTTCAGAATTGTCTTTCGACAACCAAAACAATTTTGAGAGGAATCTACGATACCAATTACGTACTTTGCGAGGTGAAATGAATCGATTCGACATTCAATCAATTTCGAATTTCAGATTGAGCGCGAAAATGTCGAGATTTCCACAATATTCCCAAGACTGCGTGTGATTGAGAATAATTTAATGATGATTAGACGTCGACTTCATCACGATGGAATGGCTTTCAATATTTATTTCGAGTCTGATTATTCTTTTACATTCGAGCAATTGGACGAATGCGATCTTGTCCCGCAAGATTTTCTTGATCATTTCTTATAATTCACGCGCATCTGATAGTCGACGGCTCACCGCATCCGCGGGTAGATTTACGGGTGCGTCTTACGAGTTCTCTTCACACATGAGTTGGTTCTTCCTTGAAGACACCTTCAACATGCACTTAATATACACGCGCACGCCGATTATATTTTTCATGATAATGATTGTTTCATTTGATTTTTAAATTGAAAAAAGTTAGTTTACGACTCGAATACGGGAAATGACATAAAAAATATATTTCTATAAAATGTTACAATTTATCTTAATTTTTTATTGAACACATATACGTATACAGTGCACGTCATAATGATTCGCCACCAATACAATTTCAATTCAGGGCCACTGAAAATCTAGACACGCGTATTTTCATGAGGGTTTGGATTGATTGATTAGATTACAGGGTGTCATTTAAGTTCCCGCACAAAAGTTTGACGCCATGAAGAGCCTGGCTGTCGCACTTTTCGTGAAACAATACAATTTATTTTTGTTAAATAAGGTATATTTTACTTACTTTCCAAGTTTCACCTCATTCGGATGTGTTTCCGAGAAATGGCGAAGGCTAACATCCATCGCGCTTCCATTATCGAACTTCATAAGCAAAATGTGAGCCCGAGAGACACTATTCAACGCCTCGGTGTGCCTCGTAGAACGGTTTACGACACCATCAAACGATTCAAGGAGCTAAATACGACCAGTGACCTTCCCAGACAAGGAAGACTCGTCTCGGTAACCACTCCTCAGAAGATCAACGCCGTCAAATCGAGGATCGGGCGAAACCCCTCCAAGAGCATGAGAAAGATGGCGTCAGACGTGGGAATGAGCATCTTCGCTATGGAACAAATCGTCAAAACGAAGCTTGGACTGACCCCATATCGTTTCCAAAAAGCGGCAATTCTATCGGCCGTCAACAAGCAGAGACGCTTCGAAAAAGCAAAACGACTTATTGCGCGCACGCGGTCTGGAGAACACCTCGTCACTGTCTTCTCCGACGAGAAGCTGTTCAGTGTGGAGGCGGCATTCAACTCATAAAACCATTAAGTACTTGCCCAGACATCCCAACAAGCTTCTGAGAAAGGAAGAACAATTCAGCCAGCCTCACATCCTTCCAGTGTGATGGTTTTCGGTGCCATCTGCTCAACCGGGAAGTGCCCCCTGGTTTTCGTGGATCAGGGGGTGAAAGTGAACAAAGAAGTCTACGTTCGGGACATTTTGGAGAAGCATGTGATGCCCTGGACCCAAACGCATTTCGGTGGGCAGAAATGGGTCTTTCAACAGGACAGAGCACCCGCCCACTGTCTTTCAACAGGACAGAGCACCCGACCACTGCCAAAACTACTCAGGAGTGGTGCCAGACCCATTTTCCCGACTTCATCAAGTCATCCGAATGGCCTGCTTGCTCCTCAGACCTGAACCCGCTTGACTTCTCCGTGATAGGGTCTTGCAGGAGAAGGTCAACGCAAAACCCCATTCAAGTGTAGAGGCTCTGAAGAGGACATTACTGGCGGAATGGGACAATCTTTCCATCGAATACCTGCGTACCACAGTCGCATCCTACCCGAAGCGTCTCCGTGAAGTCATAGCTGCGAAAGGAGGCCGAATCAAAAAGAGTTAATAGATAAATATTTGTTATACTATAGATAAAAAATATTTCGAGTCTCGTTTGATTTGGACTTTTAGTTTCAGAAATATACGTCTTCAAAGTTGTGCGGGAACTTAAATGACACCCTGTAGATAGATTGAAGTTGGGGAGCTGGCTGATCTATCCAAATCTTTGATTTTCTTAGATGAAACCCAATTGAAGATGCTGTCGCTCTTGTGAATAACTGGATTGTCTTGTTGAAATCTGTGAAAAAAATTTTAAAGCAATTTCGTAGATTCGTATACAGTTAGATTTTCGAGAACGTCCGATACCATCCTTAATCGGCTTGACACTCTGATTGAGTTATACCATAATGCCAATTTGAGCTTTCTCCTGTGAGCTAAAAGATTTCCCGCGGCCGATGATTACGATAAGGATAAGTAAAAATAGTTTATAAGTGAAAAACGATCGGTCGGGCTGCCCGCACACAGAATACAAGCAGAATGAGAACCTTTTATGAGCTGAAGGCCGCAATTAGACGGGAATGGAACAGTCGGTCTGCTGGATACCTCAAGAAACTCGCCGACAGAATGAAACCGAATATGTGAAGTGATCCAAAACTATGGAGGGACTACTAATCATCGAATTTGTCGTGTTCTTGCATTCAAACTTGTTGTCGCTTGATTATTTAGACCTTTTTCTTGCGTTTTAATTCTTAAATAAAATAAAGTCGTTCAAAGGACCGAATTCGGCCCGATTTCAAGCCAAAACTAAAGCGGACGATCGCTCTAAAATAATAAGATTGTTGAAAAACTGTACAAAATAAGCCAGAAATATGCAATAATGCCGAAAGAAAAGATAAAAAATAGGGGGTGGCGTATCATTATGACGCGCTTGAAGATCCAACTTTTTCGGGCTGTGCGGATACGGACCAACGGACCCTCATGAAAATACGCGTGTATAGGTTTTCAATGGTCCTGAATTCGAAAATGAAATTGTCTTGTCACCAATTTATATGGTTTCCCCAAAACTGCGAAATTTGGGGAGTGGCGTATCATTATGACGCACTGAGGCATAAATATAGCGCCCCAATTTTTAATAAGACGTCACTTCCCTGCTGCTGTGATGGTATTCGTTGGAATCTGTTCTGATGGGAAGACACCTCTTGTAAATGAATGCGCCAAAATTAATCAAGAGTTACTAAATGAAAAATATTTTAGAGTGATACCCTAGGCTCAATCGCACTACGGAAACAACCATTTGATCTTCCAATAGGACGGAGCTCCGGCTCATCGTGCCAAAGCCACTCGCCAATGGTGTGCGACTCATTTCGCTGAGTTGATCACTGCGGCTGAATTGCCTTTGAACTCGATGGATTAGAAGTTGTCCACTAGAAGCTATCCAAGTTTGGCGAGTTCGAAGATTGCCCTGAATAAGGCAGGGGACGATCTAGACACCAGCTACCTTCGTGCCGTCATTAACGCATTTGTGAAAAGACTTCAAGCGGTTATCAAGGCGAACGATGACAGATTCGGAAACTATTAGAAATTACATATGTTACTAATAGTCAAAACGATGGTAAAGAATGGAGATCATGTTCGACTATCAGGACTATGCTGTTATTCGATTGATGAGTGTCGAAAATTTTGATATAAATTATTGTCGATGTGAAACGACATGACGAAATTAAAAAAAATTATTGGCTATGTGCCAATGGGTCTCGAGGCAGCGAGATTGCGTACATTACATTATAGTATACGCGCATTTAATATTCAGTCAACGAACAATTTAAATCCACACTGATTTCGCGAATTTGAAGGTTCCGCCTTCCTTCAGTCGTTTGACGCCGACAATACCGTTTGCTATGCGGCGCTATATTTATGCCCCACCCTTGTGTTCGTAATAAACACCATATTGAATGCTATTTTGACCAATAATTGCAATCTAATAATTGGGTAATTAAACAAAACTCGAAACACAAACGAAACGAAACAGAATATGCTTTAAATGTGATATATAGCTAAAAAAAACACAATGGAGAACAATCAAAATGTCAGATTTGAATTTGTTCGCGGCCACGGCCACGCCTAACTCGGCCACAGTCGCTGTTGCCAGACGATTTGGAAGGGTATCCAAGGTTGTCAAAACGGGCCCCTGGCCCGGCCCTGGGCCCTATATTCTAATTGCATGAGAAAAATTGCAAAGCATCAATGGAGGGAGAGAACAAACGACTAGAAACGACGCTCCGCGTTTACGTTGCTTATTGTTTAGTGTAATTAGCGTCAGCGGCAATTCAAACTGGGCCCGTAGGGCCCCCCGGCCCGGCCCCGGCCTTATAGAGCCCAGTTTTTTTGACAACCCTGGGGTATCCCAACAATTATGAGAAGAGCCTAGAGATTAAAAGTTTTGATTATCGAGATGCCGAAAATTTCAAACATAAGCAATTTGGAAATGAAAAATTTGTTTCACATGTATTTCTAAGAAAATGGAAAAGCTTAATATTTGTCATATCAGACCCCACTAGCAGAAAAAGTTTGAGAAATCCTTGACTTCTTTTTCTCGACATTATTCAAATCGAAGGATTTCAGATTTCAGTGGCGTCAATTCAAATTCCAAATTATTCTAATAGATAAAACTGAGGAGCTCTCGTGCTATGAGGATTTCTTTCCCTCTCAAATCCTCTTTATTCAGTTTTTTAAAATGAAAAGCGTGCTGAAAATATCAGAGATCTCGCCAAATAGAAGAAAAAAAAAGAATAATTGAATTGGCCGTTGATCAATTCTTATGATATTCCAGGTAAGAGCAATTGTCTCGAACACATTTCCAGAAAGGTGACAATTCGAATCAGAAATTCAATTTGTCAAATTCGTCATCTTGAAAATCGCCTTCTTAAAAATCGAAAAATTGTCTCGTTTCTTTCATTTTTTTTTTGGGTTTTTCTTTCAAATTCTTTAAATATTCAAATCAACGATAATAAATTATTGAATTTCAAAATTTTCTCGTGTACGGCATCGTGATCATCGGTTGCGTGCTGCCGCCGTTGAACGACGCTATCGGCAATCCGCGTTGAATCGGAAAAAATCCTGAAACGTATCGAGCGTTTCCGTTTTGGCACCACTCCGACAAACCTGCTCCATTGCCACCGCCGGTGATTGGCGGCAGTCCCGATGGAAAATGGCCGGGAAACATTCCAGATGGCATTTGACCTAAACTATTTCCATTTTTCGCCGAACTCGTTCTCTTCATTTTTATCTACCTGCCATCATGCCGCTCGGCTCGGATGTGCATGAGCAATCCATCGAGTTGGCCAGTTGAATGAGTTGCGCGAAATTCTCGAATCCTGTTTTTGTGGCAGATTGCCTATTGATGATTTCCTGCTGTTTGCGTACTTGCTCCTGGAAGAAGGTTAAAAACTAATGTAGACAAAAAGACAATTTTTATTGGATTTTTTCGGCAATGCTTCTTAAAAAAGGATGGGCCGAACCGGGGATTGAACCCGGGACCTCTCGCACCCAAAGCGAGAATCATACCACTAGACCATTCGGCCACATCTTCCACAGGTAAAACGCCGAATGTCAAACATGTACCAACTGTGACTGAACGTACGCTGAGCGTTAATTGTGACCCATCTTTGGCTCACATTTGAGGCTCGGCGTTTGACAATACGCTGAGCATGAAGTGTGACCCGTTTTGATTCACATTTGAGGCTCGGCGTATGACAAAACGCTGAGCATGAAGTGTGACCCGTTTTGATTCACATATGAGGCTCGGCGTTTGACAAGTGACAAGACGCTGAGTGTCAACTGTGACCCATCCTCACGAGAGTGCATGCATCATCTGTGCACATATTAACACTACATAATTATAAAGTTCCAAATTTGAACACGATTCGTTCACTGGGAGCGTACTTGACTCCGAAACCACTACAAAAAAGGGAATATTGTTTCAGATTAGTACAAAACAGGATTGGAATGACAGATTTGTGTGAATGTGTCGAGGATGAAGTATTTTCGAAGACGACCACCAAGCAGAGCTGCAGTTACAACATTACACTTTTATTGATATTTGTTTATTTTTGATAAAATTATCATTTGATTCCGAATTTCAGTTTAAAACAAGAAACGAGAACTATCAGTACTAAATATCTGGTACAGTGAACAAAGAGACCCAAATAAGTGGACGAACTGATATGTTCAACAATGAAACAAACATGAAATGAAACTATTTTATTTCAAAAAATATATAAAAGTTGATTAAAAACCTACGATAGAAGTCCATGGAACACGTTGGTGGAACATCAAGTAATCTGAAAAAGTTAATTTAATTTATTTGGTCGACTATGTTAAATATATATTACAATTTCAGACGTTTTATGGCCTGAAAGTTACTTAAGAATTCAAATCCATAGTGACATAAAAGGTCATTAAAAAAATTAAAACACATCCAGATTATTTACAATATCATTTAACTCCTTACTGATATAATAGAAACTTGAGAGGTTTCACTGAAACAGTTCACGGAAAACTAACCGGAGAGAAAGAACTAGTGCCTATTGAGAACACCGAATATCCGAATGACTCTGCTTATGACATTGTTGGGTTGTTTTCTGAAAAATTCTCTGTAATAAAGCAAGAATGGACAAAATATTAAAAAATAACAATGGAAAAAAAACCATTTTAAAATATTTCTGCAAGGAAAACATCAAAATTAAAATTTAGCGGGAAAATATGTTAAAAAATAATTTGCGAAATAAAAAGGTAACGCGACGCGTGCGCGTGCGATTGCGATAGAGCGCGAAACATGGAGACCACCCATGAAGATAACTCTGTTTTTTCCTCTGTTCCTCTGTTGTCATCACGATCGGGTTGCGTCTCACTTTTTTCTTTTTTTCTTCGACATTTCCTGTCAAAGTGCATACTTTTCTTCCAATTTATTAATGGTGCTATGCAGATTTGGCAAAATAAAACCCGTAAAAGACTATTTAAAAAATTAAAACCCAATTCAGATTGTACAAAACCAGTTTTTTTGAGTTTTCGCCAAAATCTGCATAACAACATTAGTATTAAAAAAAGTAAAAGTCCGTTTATTTCGTTTTTTTTGTTTTCGCTGCGTTTTTTCAATTATTTCAGCCCCTACGTGTCGTTGTTTCAAATGGGATCGCCAACGGGCGAAAGTAACACCGAAAAGGTGGGTGTTTAGGAAATAGTGTTTTTAAAAATTATTCCAGCGCCCGCAGGACGCAGAGGTGTCCGATTTTCCCAATGATGACAATGCGGATTTCGATGTTAACGTCCTAAGTGCAGCCAACGGCGGCGGTACGAATCCAAGCGAATTTATTTCGAGTTTACAAATTTATTTCGAGTTTACTAGATGTCATGGCAATTAAAGCGTTCAAGAAAGAGGAACAGAGGAAGCCGATTGTAAGGTCAAAATCAAATGAGTTAAGACAAATACACTGATATGTGAAGAGGTTGAAAGGGCGGAATATTTAAAAATCTTTCGATGAAAGTTATTTGTAGATCTCTGAGAAAGGCAAATATTATGTAGTCTGCCGAGTTCGCTAAAAAGCACGAAATCTGCGCCGATCGATAAAGAGGTCATCGAATATATCGCTGGTACGAAATTTTAAAAAACGAAGTTAAAATTAAATTAAAGTGCTCTTAAGAATATCTTAAAGTTGGATTTCGTGTCGCGACCAACGTCTTCATCGAGACAATACTTCTTGCGAGAGTAGAATCAGCAATAAAAAATCAGATGTAAGAATTTTTTCCGAACTAAAATTTTTGAACTTTTAGTTATCGCAAACTATGGGAAAACAAAGACAAAACAGAAAAGTTGCTGATGAAGTTGACGAAGCACAGGTAGTTGGACAATTCTTATTATATCTCAAAACTGTTGCTCTAGAAAGGCGCAGATCGACGACCACCAGAATACCGAATCGCCGTCAAATGTGTCAACATTCGACGACAGCATCTCGACAGTCAACGAGAGCCAGAATTTCGGATCACAAAATCCGCTTCGTTTGTAACTTTTACGATTTTATGCTTGGTAACTTGTTTCAAATTTGTTTCTCTGCGTAACTAAATAAATATATATATTACAACGTTCTGTTACATCCAAACGCTGAATCTCCAAAATGATCATGATAGAGTCACCGTTCGATCACGTTTTGTACCCGGATTTTTACGCCAACTGAGTCACGAAAGACTCAACTTTGGATCACAGAATAGTCTTAGATTGAACACCGAGTGTCAAAAATGATTATAATTGAGTCACATTTTGGTCACGTTTTGTACCCGGATTTTTACGCTGACTGAGTCACGGAAGACTCAACTCTGGATCACAGCGTTTTACCTGTGTTCGACACCGCTAGACTGCAGTTATCAAACTCGCAATCGTCGCGCGGTTTTTGCGCGTTTGGTAAACAATTTATACCACAGTTTTTGAAGGCGCAAACATTGGCTAATTAAGGTCTTGAAGAGAAAAGGTAAAATTTTTCAAGTTTGCAAATTTTTAAAAGTTTTTTTCTACCTGAAGTTGAGCGATTTGCTGCTGAGCTAACTGATTCGCCTCCATTGGTGCCGGCGCGAGCGGATTCGCCATTTTCGAAGTGCATTTGCAATTGAAGGCGAAGTTCACTGCAACAGAAAAGAAGAAGAAATTGTGCAGTTTTCGAAGAAGAAAAAGGATTTGATTGAATTTTCAAACAAAGCTTTTTCTTTTTTACAAGTTTCAATTCAATTACTCCCCACTTTTCCAACAAAATTATTTTTTACACTACGCTGTGTAAGAAATCGCAAGGTTAGTGGGCAGCCCAATTCATATACGCACTTGTCGCAAACCCCGTCGTCTCCGTTGTGGTCTAGTGGTTAGGATTTATGGCTCTCACCCATAAGGCCGGGGTTCGATTCCCCGCAACGGAAGAACTATTTTTGCCGATTTGTTCTTCTTGAACCACTCTATTTTAAGCAATTTCAATTTCATCTGCTTTTTATGAGGCCATAGTCGACTAGGTTCTGCTCACCGCCTCCGCCAACGCCCACCATTATTCATTTCAGTTTTTTTTGAATTATTCAAAGTTGACAATGGTGGTTTTTCATTCATATTTTTTTCGCATAACTAATTTTTGTTTGTTTTTTTTTCTCTCAAAATACCCGAAAGATCCAAGATCATGAGTGTTTAAACATTTCAGCTAGCAATTAAATTTCAAAAACAAGTAAGTAATTAATAAAATTGAATTGAAAATCGGGAAAAAATAAGTAAACCTGCATCTGCCGACAATTTGCAGGTTTCCAAAAACGGCTGATATCGATTGGAAAAGTTTTGCTCTATTTTTCGGAACTCGCAAATTGTCCGCAGCAGGTAAGCAACATAGCATCTTACCCATATTCATCGAATTCTGTCCAACGCCGGCGGTCATGCCGTTCATGAAGTTCGCGTTATTCCGTATATAGATGGATGGGTCGATTTGCTCGGAGGTTTCGGGCTTCTCCTCACCTACCGTAATCCCGACGAGAAGCAATAGAAGCGTGTAGACGACGAACATCAGTTCGAATCGGTGTGAATGCGAGGGCACCTGATTCGCATAATCGTAAAAACCAACTCGTTCTTCGTCTTGGTTGCGTTCCGCCCGGATTACGGTAGGCCGGTCCCGAACGGATTAGCCCAGTTTCAAGCGGAAAACCATTTTTTTCGTGTCTTTTTTTCTTGTTGACGATTCTGGAACAAGTTTGAAGAACAAGAAAAGTGCATTATTATTTTTTCATCTCAGACTCTCTCTCTATGAATGATCAATTTGACATGAAGTCACGTCATTTCGCGCCGAGATATTATTTAAAGGCGCATGAGTCGGTCTCATGGTTTTGGTAAAAAAAAATAGTTGAAAAATACCATATAGGAAACAAAATTTCATTTTTACCCTCAATACCTAACGCGTTTTACATTATAATAGTAATAGCAATTGACTGGCCAGAGGAGAAGCCGACCATAAAAACGCAAATCCATTGAGTACAAAAAAAACTGGTTCGCTTCGAGACCCTCACTTACGCACTTTTAATTACTGTAGTTGAATTGCATACTTTATCGTTTTTGGAAGCGCGATGCAATATTGAAGAGCGAAGAAAAACACCTCGCCCAACACCCCAATATAATATTTTCCATCTGCGGACATTGTTGCGGGCGCGCCAACGTCTATACTCAGCATAGTGTCACCTAACTTCGCTGCGGACAATGTTCGAGGACGACTCAAAATTCATAAATCCCATTAGCTTCTCAATTAATGTCTTCTTCTTTTTTCACAAAACGCAGAAATGAATGCGCTGAGTTCATTCACAGCCCTCCTCTCGCAAATCTTCATTCAAAACTTCTCGTTTTTTTTTCACCCCCCCCCCAAATTTTTAGTCAAATCATGAATAAATTATCAACAAGCCCTGCGTTTTGCACACTTCAAAATATTTCTAGTTTAGCCCTCTCAAGTTGGTTGGTGACGTTCAGCTCCCTGACCAAAACCGCACCATAAAGCCCCATTGATGGCGCCAATTTGTTTCATTCATTGCTGTGGTGCCGTCGACGTCATCAATTCCATGCTTTCGTTTCGTTTAAAGGCGCACTACAATTTCGTTTTTCAGGTAACCGCTTCTCGCACAGAATGCCCCCGCCGTCGCCAATGCTGCTCTCAATTCTCCTCATCGCACTGCTTTCAATGGGTATCGCGTTGATCAATACCCAAACTCCGCAAAAAAACAAAATTTCAGCGGCTTCATCTCAACGCATCGGCGAGTTGTCGGGCGACGTCGATCGCCTGCGCAACGCCGCCGTCGAGCGGCCAGTCGTCGTGCAAACGCGCGCCTCGCGCATCGACTGCATTCTCAATCTTCGCAGTTTCGAGTTGTGCCGAAATCTGTTGCACTAGACGACGTTGGAACATCGATCGCAATCACACCAAATTCGAATTCATTGCGCGCGAAAATCGAATAAATACGGCCTATTGTGTTCGTTTCCAATTGCTCGTTCGTCAGGCAACCGCCTCGGTCGGCGACATTTTCGACATCAACATCGTGAAGCGAAGCTCGTTCGCTTTGCCGTTCTCCATTTTTTTGAGGCTCGAATGAGCCGGCGAGCACGTGATCGACACCTACAAAAGACAAATTGGCGAAAATGTTAAAAAAAAATCACATTTCACATTTGGGCGTTGACACATTGAAATAATTGCTACAGTATCTCGAAACAAAATTTTTCGAGCTACCGTAGCAATTGTTGAGCTGTAAGAATGCGCCTACCTCCTTGTCAAAAGTGATATTCGAAATTTTCGCCATCATATACGGTTGCTCATAGCCCTTCTGATTGGCATACGGAAAATAGCACGCCGGGATTCCCGTCTTCGGATAGTATTCGAAATTCACATCATCCTAGAATCCAAAAAAGTTAGAATCACAATGAGAAAAAAATAGAATTTTTCAAACTTCTTCAATAATCGAAAAAAATAACTCATTTGGAAGAGGTCTCGAGGCGAAAAACAAAACGGTGTCGATTTACGGGCTTAAAAGAAAATTTTTACTTTTCTCATCATTTTTTCCTTCAAATTTCGATTCTAAAAAATTTTTGGCGTCTTTTTTTGAATCAAAACAATGCGCAATCTCTTTAAAGGCGCAACAACGCGTCAAGACCTCGTTGGAATTTTGCCAATTTTCAATTTTTCACTCAAAATAAAACTCACGTCGGACTCGCAAACGAATTTGATGCCCTCGCCGCAGCAGAGATTCGTTTTTGGGCAATTCGAATTGTTCAAAAACGACGGATACCATCCAATAATTTTGTTGAGTTTCAGCATCAGACACGGTTGGCCTTTGCTGAAGCCGAACCCGTGCTCCAAATTGTCGCTTGAAAAAAAAAGAATGAGTATTTGAAATTAAAAAAAAATTGATCGATTACTCATCCAAGACGCATTCGCCAAAATTTGTGACACGATCAAATTTGCACGCTTCCGTCTCGGTGAGCTTCTTCGTCCGACACAACTCCTTCTTCCCACTACTTTCTTTTTCATCGACAGTGTAAGCTAGAGATAAAGAGATTTTAGAGAAAAAAAATATGAAAAATGCCCACTTTTGAGCACTTGCTTGTACCGAATGAGCAGGTTACGATAGGAGAAGAAATCATAAATGTTGAAGCTCATCAAATTCTGGCGGCTCTCCAAAAACCGCTTCGGGTTCGGATCGAATGTCACCACTAGAATTGTGTGTATTTTTTTAAAAATTTTCTTATTGCCAAAAAAAAATTGAAAAAAAAAACAATCTCCTTACAAGGAACTCCTCCAATAAACGAGCCGTCACCGAAATAGGTGGGAAATTGTGGATGCATGCTGAAGATTCTCGCTTTTGTTTAAACAAAAAAAAGGTTTTCAAAATATTTGTACTTTTTTATATGCAATGAGACGAGTGCCACTGAGAATGCGATGCAGATGCCCCATAAGATGAGAAGGTACATTATTGAGAATACTGGAAAAGAACTCTCATTTAAAGCATTACGTGTTTTGGATTCTATTTTATAAAAACCACCTGCGGACAATTTAGAAGGGGAATCTTGTTAATTCTAGGCTACTGTAATTAAATTGGTCCTCAATTGAATTTAAAAAGTCGAGGCTACACTTTTTTTTCCAAAGTATGTAACACGAAAATTCTTATTTTTTCCTGAGGAGTTGTTTTTAAGAAAATCAACCAAAAAAAAGTGATTCCATTGTCAAAAAGAAATTTTCAGCATTGAAATTTGAACTAAACATCAAAAAAAAAAAATAGTTTACGGCCAATTCGAAGGCTTAGTGGAAAAACACTCACTCCAGCCATATGGTCCCGTATCGAACTCGGAACCGTCGCTCATTTTGGGTCCGCGCGGCGCGGTGATCGTCTTCTCAACGCTCGTCTTGGTCGATTTGCGGCTTTTCGACGCGTCCGCAGACAGCTCGTTGGCGGTTCTTGCTGAAAATCCGACGCCGTCCTGCAATGCACACGCCGAATCGCCACCTACTTGATTTATCAAGAAATGCCTTTTTCTCTTCCTGTTCAATGTTCGTCGTGCCGCTTGAAAACATATCGAAAAGATTGTGTCACTTCTCTTTTTTTTGTGGTGTGAAATCGAAATGAGCGACGCCGATGAATGAATTGAGCACAATGCCGCGAGGTTATCACGCTCGATTTTCGAGATTCTGAATTGTCGGAGCCAGTTTTCGATGATTTGCTCATTTTTCTTCCAATCTACGTGAATGTTTGGCTTTCTGAACGTTCATATCTGCAATTAATTCAATCATTATTTGATGATAAAATTTGAGTACCTGATATTGTCCGAAATGTCGATAAAACAACAGTTTTTTAATCATTTTCTGCAAACATTTTATTTTCCAAGGTAATTTTTCTAAATTTAAAACGAAATTCTGAAATTTTTGATGAAAATTACTAGAAATTAGCTAGGGGAAATTTAAAAACCAATTAGCAAATTTATGCGGCATTCTTGTGAAAAAGTGTGCGTTAACTGCAAAATAAGCCACGCCTATCATTTTTTTTCTACTTTTCTTATTTTTTCGTTCAATTAAATTCCGCCGCTGTTGAAAAATCTCGAATTGATTTAAAAAATTAAAATTAATAATCGGATAATTGCAATATTCGAATATTTCGATTCATTTCTGCCGATTTTAGGATTTCCAGTTTACGTGTTTCAAAAAAAATCCAAAAAATTTTTTTGATTTCATTGCTGTTAGTGCTGAAATAATTTTTATTGCGTTTTTACACATTTGAAACGAAATATACGTGATTTCAGAGGATGTCAGTTTCAAATCGCGACCCCTTGACGAAAATCTCAAAAAAATATTACCATCACAAAAAAACGAGCACCAATTATCCGCAAACAATGACAATTCACGGACTTTTATAGATTACAGTAACCAAAGGTGCTTGTTTTTATTTTCGATTGTAATATATGAAAAATAAAGAAGAATCGCGAGAATCCCATTGTAATTTTTAAGCTGTGACGAATCTAGAAGGTGTACACAAGAAAATCATCCAATTCATTAAACACGAATATTTCAGAGTGTGTAAGATTCCAGTGAGTCATTCAGGCCAGTTCACTGTAATCTGTTATGTCCAGTTCATTTCTTCAACACCCACACATACATCCACCGTTTTCACCTTCCGATCAATACGCTTCGATTGCGACGCCTCCGGTTTGCGTCTCTCAATTCTCGCATACTCTCTCGTCGAATCTAGGGCAACCATAGTGAAAGCCTTCGGGGGGCAACATCAGCAGCAGCAGCGGCGGCGGTGGCGTCGCGTTTTTCCACAAGAATAAATGATTATTCGAAATTTGTTGAGCCTCGTGATCCTCTACACCACCAGCGTTCACTCGCAGCTCTTCACACCGTGCAATGGTACGGTAGCCATTTGAAATCCTCATTTTTGCGTTATGCCGAATCTTGCAGGAAAATCGGCGCTCGATGGCGTCTGCGACAACAATTCGGATTGTGACAACAAGGGTTCGATATGTTTGCGCGGCAAATGCAGGTTTTTATTTGGAAATTGTTAGCAGGTTAAATTCATTTTCAGATGTCATCCGCATTATATCGAAACTCGAGATGAGAAGGGACGGCAGAAAAAGTGTGTAGTATGTAAGTTAGAGCTTCTCAATTTTTACATTATAATTAGGATAAGGAGTACCAAAATCGCAAGTATTCTATCATTTAATCATTTTCCGTTTTAAAATTTAAAAAAAATGCCTTTATTAATTTTCGGGACTCAAAAGAAAAAAATGCCAATTATACATTTTTTTTGTAGTACCGGCGAAAGTCGGCGCGCGGTGCTCAACGAAATGCCGCGAGCCGTTGTTCTGCCGCAACGGCGAATGCCAATGCGTTCAGCGCGGCACGACGCGTATCAGCAACGGCGAGTGTGTGACGACGTCGCGCGTCGGCGATCGCTGCTCGCGTCACTACGATTGCACGTCGCCGTTCTCGGCGTGCCTCAACTCGCAATGCGTTTGCATTTCGGGAACGATTCAGCAGGGGACGCGATGCGTCGCCGCCGCCAATTGTCCGCTCGGCGGCCTACCCGGCCAGAGTTGTGTTCGACGGTCCGACGCGTCGCTGGCCTACAACCTGCCGCCCGATCAGGACAACTGTCCCGGCGGTCAGGTTTGTGTGACCGCTGGCGACAGCCCCATCGGCCATTGTTGTCCAGTTGTGTGTCCGCTGGCAAGCCACGTGGATCACAAGTACTCGTGCCATCCGAACGTGACCGAAGCGCTGAAATGCCCATCCGACACTCATTTTTGCCATCTGCTTTCGGATGGCAGCTTCTCGCAGGCGGTCTGTTGTCGGCGGCCGTGTAACGCGCTGGCGCCGAACGCGCTCTACACCAACAACCAGTGTATTCCGCGCGGCCAACTGAACTCGGCGTGCACGAGCAACGCGCAATGCGGCGGCGGCGAAGGAATGGAATGCGTGAAGGGCCAATGCCAATGCCAGAAGAACTTCCATCCGAGTGTCGACGCGTTGACGCATCCGCTCAAAAATCCATCGCAAACGTGCTCGCGCGATTGCGAATCGGAGAATTTGTCGCGTGACACGAGCTGCATGAAATCGGTGCCGTTGGGCTCGTTGTGCTTCATTCAGAAGCAGTGCCCGCAAAACTCGGGATGCTATCGCGGACGATGCATGTGTCGATGCGGTTTCGTTGCCAAGGTTTGCCCCGCATTAGTTTCAGTGAAAATTAATTTTGGTTTCTGAAAATTGCAGAATGGAAAATGCGCTGCGCTTCCGGCACCCTCAACGACAACATCGGCGCCTTCACGTAAGCGAAAATTACAGAAAAAAAATTATTGAAGTGGTTTGAACGAAAAAAAAAAACAGAAATTTTTTTTCCCTTCTAGAATCGGACGATTTTGAGTGGCTGAAAAAATGTAAATTCTGAAATTGCTGTAAAAATTGAATATTTTCCAAAAATGATTTACCAGACCTACCATTTTTGATTATGTCGCCAATTTCTTTTCGAAATTCGATTTGTGAAAATATGGTTTTCCAGAAAAAGAACATTCTAGGCAGCAAAATTGGTCTTAATCTAAATTTTGTTGGTCCTTGAGCCAAGAAAAATTGCTGATGCTGGAATTTTCAGCCCCAATCATTCCCGGAGTTCAACTACCTCAAGGAAACGACCTGTTCAAACTGTTTGGACAATTTCTGGGCGGCGGAAACAGTGGTGGAGGTCTGAATTTCGGATAGAACTCCCAAAAGTTATCAATTTTTTTTCTGAATGATTACGAGGTATTTAATTTATGTATGTAGAATTTCGAATAAATCACGTCAAATGTCTCATTTTCTAATTCAAACTTGATGCAAATTATGCGATTTTTAACAATAATAGGTTTTTTTTTGCGAATTTTTGTTTTTCCCAAAAAAATTCCCCAATTTTCTGACTAGAATTTCTATACTTTATCGTTTTCGTCGTTGCCGCTATTAAAGTTATCAAGAATAAGCCGACGACTACGACGACTTCTAAACCGACGACGACGACGATTCCAAAGAAGACGTCGAATGTGGTGTGTCTAGCGGATCGAAACGCGTCGGAATGCGCGAATTTTTGCGAAAAACTTGACGAATTTCAAAATCGTGATGAGATCGAGTAGTTTTGTGATGGCAAATTTGCAGAAAATCTCAAAAATTTAGGCAATCGTTCACCATTATTGAATACTCGTTGATCGGCTTAATTGGCGCTCTTCTAATTATCCTAATTGCCCTCATTGTCTTTTGGTGGCGAATCGAGCCATCCGAGGTGACGGTTCGAGAAGCGAATCCGAAATACGATGACAATCGATCGACGAGACCTCGGGCTGATCAGAATGATTCGGAAGCTCAAAGGCTTCTTGAGAATCCCGAGTTTATGGCGAAATTCAACGCGTTTAAAATAGCGAAAGAGGTCGACAATTAAACGCGATAATTAATGGGGCAATTAGCGATAATTCTAGAAAGAGTATCAAGAGGATTTGAAGATATTTGAAGCGGCGAGAAAGGGGAAAATCTATATACCAAATGAGGTTGAGGACGCCGATGTGGGTGTCGATTTCGATGGTCCGTTGAAGACGGCTCGCTCGAATTTCAGATGATCTCGAACGTCGCGGCTAATGATGATGTGAAGCTGAGATATGTGTATTACGATCCGACGATGAATGGAGAGTACGAGATTGGCACCGACATCGATGAGGTCGAGCTCGCGCCGAGCACTATCGTCGCTCCGTTGACGGAATCCGCGCGGACAATCCACCGGGCCGCCAAGAATGACTCGAATGAGAAATCGTCGTGAATTTGGATGGCGATTTGAGAAAATTCGAGTCCAAATTGGACAAAAATCATGAAAAAATGAGAAAATGCCGGATTTTCGCAAAAAAAAATTTTTTTTGACCATTTAATTACTCAATTTTATTATCGAAAAATAGACGTTAATTTTTTTTCATTGCGAGACCATAGATGTGCATTTAATTATTGTTTTGAGTAGCCGAAAACACGCTCACATTTTCGAGGGTATACGGTACACACTGCGGTGTATGCACACATGCACCAGAGTTGACGCGCATCTACAGATTTTTTGTGGGGTTGTCGCAGCCTTTTTGGCCAATAATTATTAACTAAATATTTTTTAACTAAATTCACTAAATATGATTTTTAACTAAATATAATTATTAACTAAATAAATAATTTTTAACTAAATTCATATTTTTCAACTAAATAAAATATTTTTTAACTAAATATGATTTTTAACTAAATAAATCCAATTTTTAACTAAATATAATTATTTTTAACTAAATAAACCTACAGTAAAATGATACGAAATAATTAATTTTCTTCATAACTTTTAAACGAGTGGTTCAATCGAGCTGAAATTTTTAGCACTTATTTTCATTGAATTAAATGTTTAAAAGTTCATATTATGGAAATTAAATTTTTCCAAGTATATTTCGCAAAAAAAAAACGAAATTTCAAAAAGTAAAAATGGGTGTATAAATTCAAATTGCCGTAGAAATAAAATTACATCATCAAACACCAAATAATTTTTTTACAACTATGAATAGACCTAATACTTAGTCGCTACACCATTTGCGATCAGCTTTAGATAATTTTTAGACCCTTTTGGTCGACCCATCCTTAAAAGTAATGAATATATCACAAAGTATCGAAAACTAAAAAAAAAAAGCACGTATTTTTTCGAACTAGTGTAATTCACTTTGCGGTTTGTTTTTAATTGTGTTTTTGACTCCCAGTGAAAATTTCATTTCGATTGGACCACTCGTTCAAAAGTCATGACGGAAAATTATTATTTCGTATCTTTTTCTGTAGTACTGTAACTGAGTATAACAGCGTGTGCATAGTAGTTTATCTATCTATATAATAGCAAAATATGATGTGCAGCCTATCGATTCTTAAAAAATTTACCAAGATTTTATACAGTTCGTCGCAGAATTATAAGGCCACCCCCGAATTTGAACGCCGCGCAATGATTTCGATATTTTGAGACCAACCAGTGTTAAAATCGTGTTCAGCATGAAAAATTACCTATATGTACCTATTTTTATGTTAGCATCTTAAAAAGTAACCGCGCAGTTGAATACCGTTTTTCGAGCGGTGCAGAATTATAAAGCCACCCCCATGAAATACGTTATAAACTCAAAAATAACGACAGTTTAATGTTTAGTGGCACCTCCATTTGAGGTAATAATGTCAGAAACACGGTCTGGCATAGATTTGAGAAGGTTTGAAACATATTAGGTCGATTTAGATTTGAATTGCTGCTCCAACGTCTTCTATCAAAATGATTCAAAAATAGAAAAATAGTGAACACTGTAGATTCTTAAAGCCGGAGGTTTCACCAAACATTGAACTGTCATTATTTTTGAGTTTTTAACGTATTTCATGGGGGTGGCTTTATAATTCTGCACCGCTCGAAAAACGGTATTCAACTGCGCGGTTACTTCTTAAGATACTACCATAAAAAATTGGTACATATTGGTTTTTTTCATGCTGAACACGATTTTAACACTGGTTGTTCTCAAAAAATCGAAATAATTGCGCGGCGCTCAAATTCAAAATAACTCTAATTTATTCAATCCTGACCTTTAATTTAATATAAAAACACCTAAAACGGATAACATGAAATTTTATCATTTAATTTTGATACAATAGGTCAGCTACAATGCGAACATTGCATCATAGCGTACGCGCATTAAATATTCAGTCAACGATTAATTTAAATCTACACAGATTTCTCGAATTTTAAGGTCCCGCCTCCCTTCTGTCGTTTGACTCCGACAATATACTTCTTAAATTTTGAGATGGACAGCAAAAAAGACATCCCTTGTAAACTAGGTTTATTTAGTTAAAAATAATTATATTTAGTTAAATATTGGATTTATTTAGTTAAAAATCATATTTAGTTAAAAAATATTTTATTTAGTTGAAAAATATGAATTTAGTTAAAAATTATTTATTTAGTTAATAATTATATTTAGTTAAAAATCATATTTAGTGAATTTAGTTAAAAAATATTTAGTTAATAATTATTGGCCCAGTTTTTGAGTTTCAGACACCTTCGGAGTTGTTGCTTTCACATTCTTTTTTATTGTTTTGTAGTTAAGCAAGTTGTAGTTGTAGCGTAGCCATATTAATTATTGTGTTCACCTGTTTAGTGCTGTGTTAATAATTTCCAGATTTCGAATTAATTTATTTTGTTTAAAATATGATTTTCTCAATAATTTACTCCTCTCTTTTATTCTTTAAGCATTGTTTTAAAAACTTTGGCTGCCGAAGAGCCATTCGATGGAGTTGGATGATAATTTTTGAAAATGCAGATGCCGTATGGTCGAATGGAATCGCCTCTTGGTACTATCCAATACTCGCCATCGGTCCCTTTATTGATGACGATGATTTTTTTCGGATCGACTCGAACTTGGAAGATCAATTTGCAATAGTTGCCCTGAGAACCTCAAATATTGATTGAAAATACGAGGAGCCCCCAATAGAATACATTTTCTGTGTTGAATTCGTGCGCGTAATCGAGGGCCTTGTATGGATCCGGAGTGCATCGCATTCCACCAGCATGGTATTCCTCGCGGGACCCATAATAGGCGACTGGCCATTCGCCCAACGAGCCGTCGCTTCTCAGCCAAGCGTCGTCGTTGTATTTCCCGAGGACCTGAATCACTGATATTGCGCGGAACCGATAAAACGGCATCGAGTATTTAAATGGTTGGACGCGTCGCGGCTCGCGTGCGGTCCTTTTTATTGATTTAGTTTGGTTTGCTCAAAACGATGATACTGAGCAATGCAATTTGGTAACCAAGTTTGTTTTTTCTTTCAATCAGCATGACCGCACGCGAACCGCAACGCGTATGACCACATACAGAGGCGAGGCTTACCTTGATCGCATATCTGAACGATCCGTATGGACGAATATAATCTAGTCCGCCTCTGTTCTGTTGACCACGATCCTGAATAAAAAACGGTGTCGAAATAAAAGATCAAAAGCGCAAACCTTCATGTGTCTGAAATCAAAATTGAATTTCTCATCGAATTCGAAGTTCGAGATAAGAATGTACGTCGGATGCGATTCGATCGAATTCTGAACATATTCAAATTGTCTTCAAATGTGGAAAATATCGAAACGGGTTTATTTTGATTGGTTTGGCGTGTTTTTGGTGTTTCGCCAAAACTCCCTTGAGCCATTCGAAAGATATCATCGACCGAAAGTTTGCCGATATTCGCGATATGAGGCAATCGAGCGAGCTCCTCCTGCAAATGCACACGTCAAAAACGGGGCCGTTGAATTGGGCACAACTCACATCGGTGTAGAATGGTTGTCCTGTCACTGACTTGACGAGATGTTTGAGTCCGGCAGCCAGCACTCCGTCCATTTGGAAAATCTGAAATCGGTGTGTTTAGATGAAAATGACATAATGATGGTAACTAATAGAAAAGAAGGGAGGAGGATGAAATCGTTATCAGTTCAACACAAATACTGCTCAGGTTAAGAAAATGAATGATAAGAGATCATTCTACGAATAGGCTTCAATGTCACTTTTTAAATTTTGCAGCAGAGTTGCCAAAACGGGCCCCCGGCCCGGCCCTATAGGGCTCAGGGCCGGGCCAGGTGCCCTGCCTTTTTAATCCTTAACAACAGAAATTTCATTTTAAACATCTGCGCATTTTTTCCATGATATTAAGTGGGAGACCCGTCGAAATAAAAAAATCGATTAATATATCGTTGATTGGACAGATTTTTCCGAATTCTGATGTGCATGGCTCTCCAATATCGCTTCTTTTTTCTACAAGACGATGTGTGCCTTCTGAAAAAACTTAAAAATTCTTCATGAAATTGCACGCTTCTTACTTCTCAGGTAAATGAAAATCAATCGATTTCAAAGATTTTTGAATCGAAACCAAAATTTAAAATCGAATTTAAGCGTTTTCTCGGTCTATTAGAAACCACCCCCACTTTTTAACCCCTCCTTTTATTTATGATAAAACCAACACTTTTTCACCTCCCACTTCTTCACTGCACTTCAAAATTTGCAGTTTCTAATTTCATGTTATCAAGAGGAGATTCGCAGAATTGATGTCTAAATTAGATTTTTCAGAAACTATGTAATGTTCTTATGAAAGACTGAAAATTTTAACAATTAATGAACTATTCTCTAAAAACCCGGTTCAGAAAGATTTCGTATTATTCTATTCCAACAATTGTCAATACTTCGAGTGTCCAATTGTGTATTTTGATATCAAGCTTATTTGCAAGCCTACATAGTTTCTGAAAAATCTATGTTAGACATCAATTTTGCCAATTTCCTCTTGATAACTTGAATTATTGCAGATTAAAAATTTTTTTTTTAAACTTACTGCTAAACATTACTGTTAGAAACTGCAAATTTTGAAGTGCAGTGAAAAAGTGTTTCGTGAAACCTAAAAATTGGGGGTGGTTTCTAATAGACTCGTTTTCTCAATCGAATTTGAATTATTTTTCAATCGAAACAGGTTAATTTATATTTAATTTTTCTTCGAATCCGATTGATTTTCATTTACCAGAGGTAACGTGGCCACATCCTGATAGCATGACTTCAAAACATGATAAACAATTCAAAAATTTTGTAGCAATTTTCTTCTCGTCTTCGATTTCCATTACGCGTTATTTCTAGTTTTTTCCTAAATTAATTTCATTAAAAAGTTTATTCTAGTATTAATAATTTTACCAATACGACTTCCATTATCAGTTTCTTCACTTCTTCTATTTCAAATGTCCTATGGCTTGTAGAATTTCTTGATTTCATCGCCAACTGGATATCCATATGAAAATTATTTTATTTAATTGACATTTAATCGCTAATTATATAAGAAAAGTTGCAAAGAATCAATAGAATGAGAGAAAAAAACGACTAGAAACGACACTCCGCATTTACGGCTTCCCATTGTTTAGTGTAATTATTGTCGGCGGCAATTCAAACTGGGCCAGTTTTTTTTGCAGAATGGATTCCGTGCAAGTTTCGACGCTGTTCTCAGTGCTCCGATCCTTTAGCAATTCTCAATTCGCTGAAAATGTGAGATGCAACACGCGCCCATAATTTAAGCGAGATTTTCAGACAACTGACGGCGCTGCGATTCAGAATCCAGATGAGAATGGTAGTATCCAAATATGGTAGGTTTCGAGAATCGCTCTAATCAATTAATTGGAGAAATTGAAGTGTGAAATTATCAAAGGGAAATTATGTGGAAGTCAAGTGTAATCCGGATACTTCAGTGGAATATTTGAAATATTTGATCTACACCAAAACTGGAATTCAAGCCGCCTCTCAGCGATTGTCTAATCAGCACGTCTGTATTCCATTGGCGCAATTTGTATTCAAGCTTCTTCTAGAATCTTCCATTAGACGATGATGATCAATTGCTTTCGAATTATGGTATTGCCAATGATTCGCTGATCCATCTGGGAGTTCGATTGCTCGGCGGCGGATTCAGCGCCTACAAAATCGATCCATCTTTATTTGATCCGCCATTCAATTTCGATTTTCGAAAAATTAACGTATAACAAGTCATGTGATTTGAAAAGTTTAAGTGAGAGTTTAGGACGACGGCAAAAAATTTTTACGAGCCGGCCGACAATACTTTCGCCCGTGTGGCTCATTTCGATATGCTCTAAAAGTCGCCAACGCTGGTATGAAGTTGCGTCGTCATTGTTGAATGCTTGCAGGTTCGCGGCCGATATGAGAACGATGATTGGCTCGGCTCGAACAACGGAAAAGGCGAATGGGTGAACGCCTATCATGGAACCACAGAATCGAATGTGCTTAGTATTGCAAGAAGTGGATTCGATGTGAAAAAATGTCGAAGAGAAGTGTTCGGATCGGGAATCTATTGTTCGCCGGATCCGAAGACGGCGCTTTCCTACGCAACTCCATATGAGTATGAGGTGATTGTTGGACTTCAAACTTTTCGATTTCAATTTCTTGTGATTTAGGGCAAGAATTATAAACTGGTGTTCCAAGTTCGAGTCGATCCCACACAGATTAATCTAGTCGCTATTCAAGCATACAATGCTCATGATGAATATTGGACAGTTCCCGATGGAAAGTATATAAGACCATTCGCGATTTGTGTTTATGAAGTTTGATTCCAATATAAATAGGGGTTTTTTTTTGCTGTTTATTTGCTAAAATTATTGTCGTGGCCGCGAATTCTTCGGCCATGTCGCTGGTCGATGTTGTCGCGGAATATGGCCGCGGCCGAGCAAATGACAACTTAGCTCGGCCGAAAAAGAAAATCATAGTGTTTTCCAGGTTTTTCGCAGTGTATCTGAAAATGACATTTGCGGACTTGTGCATTTTATTTGACGCCATCATTTTGATTAATTTTTGAATTTGGCGAGATTTTGCAGAAAAAAATGAAAGCGTTGAATAAGGCTTTTAAAATTGTGCTTAAAAAACGAAAAATCAATTTTTGAAAAGGAGGTACTTTCGATTTTATAATAAACCGTTTAATTTTTTGTTAAACGCAATTTGTTATAGTCCACAAACGCGCTCTATAGAACTGTCTCGTTGTATAGCACCCTCTCACTCTCCCTCGCTATCTCTTTCGTTTTTTTCCCAAAATCTCCCTCAATCGTTTGAGGTGCACAATAAAAATTCAAAGAAAAATTCCAATGATATAATTTATTTCAAAAATTTCGAATGCTCATCAATCGAATAACAGCATAGTCCATATGGTCGAACGTGATCTCCTTTCGGCACCATCCACATATCGTTTTGATCTCTCAATATTGTTCGAGGGTTCACGCGTGCTTGAAATATCACGCGTTTTCGGCGACCCTGTCAAAAAATGCAAATTTTGCCAACTACGTATAGTCGGCGTTCGGCGACTGTTGTAGATTTAAGCGCATGCGCCTTGAAAAAGGTCTCGCGACGCGTCAACGCTTATTCTTGACGAATTGGACATTTCTTGGAATTTCTAATCGAACCGAACCATAATCTGCTAGTCGGTGCGAGACCGAGAGAAAGACGCATCCCCCGTAAATCTACCCGAGTCGCCGGACGCCGACTATCTTTAAATGATTGCGATTACATAAACACATTTGACTTCTGAATATTTCAAAGCGATTTGTGGATCCGGTGTGCAGAAGACAATTTCGTTGTCATTGAATTCGGCACAATCGGCCAGTCGACTTGTCAACTTGGTTCCGATGTAGGCGACGGGCCATTCGTCGCGATTGCCGTTCATTTTCAGCCACTCATCGCCGTCTCGATATCGGCCTTCTAGCTGAAAAATGAGAAACGCAGGATTTCGGATTTTTTTTCGACAAATCCCCCTTCTAGAAATAATATGGTTGGCGTCAAACGCTTGGCCTTCAAATTCGCGAAATCAGTATTAGATTTAAATTTTTCATTGACTGAATATTAATTGCGCGTACGCTATAATGCAATGTACGCAATTTCGCGTGCTTCTCGAGACCCATTGACAATAATTTTTGAAATTTCGTCAAATCGTTTGACTCCGAGAATAGTCATACTAAAATTTAAGCGGCTTACTCGAATCGCATGTCGCTCTGAACCACAAGGCCTAATATATCGCATGTGTCCACGATAGAATTGTTTTCCGCGATCCTGAATTCCAAAATATTGAAACGAACAAAAACTCTGACAAATCGCACTCGTCGCCTTCGGAAATTCATGAATCGCGTTGGATTCAGAATATCATCATCGAACTGCGCGGTGTTCAAAAGTTCGTCGAGTTGCTTGATCTTAAATGATTTTTGATTATTTAGTAGATTATTGCAAAGGAAATGCAGGATTTTTTCTACGATCATAAATTTAATAAAATAAGCCTACTCAATGTTATCAGCAAAACGCTTTACGTCAGAGCGAGACTGAACACGCGACCTCCCGTTTATGAGTTTAAAAGTTTGTCACTGTGCTATTGCGCCACTTGCTGCAGGTGCTTTAAGCTCGTTACAACTGCCACTTGCACTTTTTGTTAGCAGCGGCAAAAAAGATAAGAATGTTATAATCCATTATACGGACCTTTCTTTTTTACAAAGGTCCATTTAAAGTAAAGAATTTCTCTTGGAGCGCCCAAACTGCACCTGTTTTTCCGTAATATCCATTAATAATTGCAAATTTGTTGCTCGAACTTTTTCGCCCAATGGATTCCCATTATCCAATCGTGAAGCTTCATCACTTGACACATTATCCTGAAAATAAAAATAAAAGCAATCGAGAAGCTGTTTGAATATACCAAATCGATATTTTCCTCACTAGAAATCGATTCAGATGCATCCGATTGATGTTCATTCATGTCTAAAATCAAAAAAATGCAATTATCATTAATTTAAAATTCCATTTTTATTAAAAATATAAAAAAGAGGGAGTGTGATGAAATAATTTATGAGAATTCGCCAACAAATGGAATTCTTGAAACGAATTCAAATATTGGATTAAAAAAATAAAATCGCTAACAAAATTAAGAGGGTCCATAGAAATTGACGAGCTGCTATAAATGATGAATCAAAAGCAGCCTTTTATATCAATTCCTTTGCTAAAATCCATTGCTAACCATTTTTTTGAACAATCTTATCAATGGAATTCTCTTCAGGTGGCTAGTTGATTGCTACTATTGCCCAAAATAAACATTTTCTCGCCAACCCCTCTTCTTGTGTGTACTGTCGTCAAATAAAATGCACAAGTCCGCAAAGCCTTTTTTTGTGTCTTGCATTTCCAAAAGAAGTAAAAATCTGAGCTAAAAGTTTCCATAGATGAGCGTGTCTACACCCAATGCATTTTATTTGACGCTTATTTTTTTTCCCACGCGATTGAGCAATTTTTGATGTTCTTATGTATATTGAATAAGCGCAATTGAAATCATTGCGGACCAGGCATTTTATTTGACGACAATTCACATGTTGTTTATTTTCGATCGATTTTTTCTCAGCGTAACTTCGAATTTTCGATTTCTTCTCCAGTTTCAAATTAATTTTGGTTTAATAATTTTTGATAAAAATCTTCAAAGATAAAGTTTCCATTATTAAACACACATTGCTCAGCTCAAATAATCTTATCAATGGCATTCCTCCCAAGAGGTGATTGCTGCTAAATTTATTATTTTTTGATTTCGCATTCCTAAAGTTGAAGATTCTTATAATCGGCTTCCGGCGTCCTGCTGTACGCGGGTAGATTTACGCGCATGCGCCTTGAAAAGGTCTCGCCACGCGTGAATGCTTATTTTGCTGTTTTCACGTGAACTTCTTCATTTATCTTGAGTCTCGCATTTCTTGGAATTTCCAACGTCATTCGATTAAAAAATTATCGAATCCATAAAATATGAAATAATCGATTAGTTCTTTGCGAGACCATTTCGAAAGTCGCATCCCTGTAAATCTACAACAGTCGCCGGACGCCGACTATATTGTTTTTAGAATTCTGTTCCGGTAGAAAATTGCCAAAAAATTCCAGCTTCTGGTACCTAATTGGTCCGGATTGATTCCGGGCCCGATTGGTTTTGAATTGTCAGGCATTCGCTTATCTCATTTTTCGATTCTCATCAATAAACTCGATTTGCTCGGTCCAATCAATTTTTCTTTTGATTACATATTTTAATATCTTTTTTATTGTCACCGCTATCATTGATAATCGAGCAGAACTGGCATCATTATAAAATTGATTATCTGTCGAATTTCTAATTCAATTGGTTCCGTTTTTTTCCTCAAGGACATTCTATGACGGAATTAGTAAGTCGATAATCATTCGTTGAATTTCAAAAATTTTTTTAAAATCGAATCGAATTAATTTGCATTTCATTTTTCTTTGAATCCGATTGATTTTTAATTACTTGAAATTTAATATTGCCGGCGGAAAATTGGCTAAACGCCAAAAAAAAACTATGTTAGCGGTTTTTGGCGCAAAACTAAAGGTGTCGATTTACGGGCCTAAGGATTGGTTAAAGGCGCACCGAGACCTCATTTTGAATTTTTTTTTTGCGTTTAGCCAATTCGCGCGACATTGATCTAATCAGATTTGTCAAGAAAACAAGGCTTTTGTTTGAATTGCCCTAAACAATAGGCACCGTAAATGCGGAGTGTCGTCATTGTAGTCGGTTTTTTGAAATGAGATACATTTTTGAATGATATTGAACTCATCAATTGACTTTTAGATGCCATGCGAGCGCCGTTATGAAGATGTGTCTATTAGAGATGTGAAGTTTGAATTGAATACATCGAGCCTTTCTTCGAATTGCGAACAAACAAAACAAAAACAAAATGAGGATAAACAAGCGGTGAAAACAGGTGACTCATGGAAATATTAGTGAAAAAAACTGAATTTGTTTTTTTTTCTCATTTTAAAGCAAGGCAATTTGTTTGCCAAACTTGGTATTATTTTATGAGCGATTTTGTTGGAATTCGACCGAAGCCATATTTCAGAGATATCTGCTGTTCTTAATACGCTGCAAGACATTGAGAGCACCATCAAGAAGTTTCGTGAGACCATTGATCAAACGAAAAATGACAAAATTGTGAAGATCCTCAACTCAACGAAATTGGAAATAATCGATATTTGTAACAGCAAAACAGCGAGAGAATCTCAAAAATATGGCATGACAACTAGCAACATCGTATGAATATCGAATAAAACGTCACACTTCAAGAATTGTGAATTCAGGGATTCGGTTTGGCTGAGAAGCATAGAAAGAAAGAAAGCTTAAAAGATTTGGGATACAGTTTTGATTCTGATGGGAAGCTTCGGCGAACTTCTAATGTTTGTCAATGAGCTCCGAGTAACTCAAAACCAATCGAGATCCAAATTGGTTTTGAGTTGCCAGAGTATTCGCAAGAGAATCGATATCAAATTTAGGGAGCGGATTTCAAATACACGTCTCAAATCGAATATGAGAGGCTGGGACGTGCGATCACCGAGCACATTTATGAGAAAATGGAGAATGAGTTGGGATTGAAGAAGATGCCGGTGATTGACCAACAGGTCGGAAGCAATTGTCCCGATGACACCGGGTTTGTGTTCGTCTCAAGGAATTACGAGATCACAGAGACCTTGCTTGTACTGATCAATGGATCGGGAGCCGTTCGGGCTGGCCAATGGGCGAGAAGTGTGATTATAAATGATAGTCTGGATAAAGGGTCCCAATTGTTTTATATCAATCGAGCAATAAAGAATAATTGGGGAGTTGTGGTATTCAATGCGAATCACAATTGTGACGAGCAAGGACGCCCTTTAAAGGTAGGCTATTCTTCTCATACCCCCCATCATTCCCCCTCTCGTTTCAGTATAGCAGAACCCCATCGGAACATGCAATCAATGCTTGGAAGTATATTGTGCAGCCGGCCAAATGCCAAGAAATTTATGCTGTTGCTCATAGTAGCGGTGGAAGCATCTTAAATTCAGCGGTAAACTTTTTTTTGGCAATTTTTGCCATACAATTCGTGATTCGCAGATTCTCAGAACCAATGATCAGCGTGTTCGCAAAGTGTGTCTCGTCGATGCCTACGGATTCACGCCATCTGATAAGAATCAGCTTGTGGTGAATTTCACAACGCGTTCGGTGGTTAGTATTTAGTCAAATGGTGTCAAACAATGTGAAATATTTAGAGTAATTATGGCAACCGTAAAATATATTCGGGAACCGATTCTCACTTCTACACGACTTATTGTTCGAGAAACGCTGTGTTCCACATCTTCGAAACTCAAGTAAAATATTATTATGCAGTGCTCCACATAATTATATACCCAACCCAATTTTGTCGAATAACTCAAATACCTCCAGAAACGGTTTCAATTAGAGCAATATGCGCATTTATTATTAATTGTTGTGATCGGCTAGATGGTTATCGTGGCTATTGGCACGATTTGAGAAAGGAGAAGCTGCGGTTTTCGTGAAGAAACTTCACAAGAGGAGGCTTCAAAACGAATGGGAGAGTCAAGTTGTGTATCGTTTCGCAGAAAATAAGTGATTCTGACTATCGATTCGTCACAAGACCTGATGGTCTGCTGCCACTTTGGCGTCGAAATCGACTGAGCCCCCTGTCCAGGGGATATCCGTAGAATCCTAGTTCTCGACGGGCCAGCCTGTTCTCCAGATATAAACCCCATCGAAAATGTCTGGTGAGGAAGATTCATGATGGAAACAAGTCGTTTCATTCAATTTCGGATCTCAAAGGGCAATCGTAGAAGCCTGGAAGCTTGTCGATCAGCAGCTTCTTGACAACCTTTATTTATCAATGGGCTACCGAATTTTTGACGTAACACGACCTAATGGAGGTCCAGTTGATAGTTCATTTTCTTTCCAACCCTCGATGCCTTTATCCGTGTTTTTTTTTATCAAGGGGCTATTTGATGTTTATGATTATATAATGATATGATTGCCCTTTGAGATCCGAAATTGAATGAAACGACTTGTTTCCATCATGAATCTTCCTCACCAGACATTTTCGATGGGGTTTATATCTGGAGAACAGGCTGGCCAGTCGAGAACTAGGATTCTACGGGTATCCCCTGGATATGGGGCTCATTAAAAAGTAATTTTCTGTCGATTTCGACGCCAAAGTAGAAGCAGACTACCAGGTCTTGTGACGAATCGATAGTCAGAATCACTTATTTTCTGTGAAACGAAGCACTGAAGAGTCCTCTTGTGAAGTTTCTTCACGATAGCCGAAGCTTCTCCTTTCTCAAATCGTGCCAATAGCCACGATAACCATCTAGCCGATCACAACAATTAATAATAAATTCGCATATTGCTCTAATTGAAACCAATTCTTGAGGTATTCGAGTTATTCGACAAAATTGGGTTGGGTATATATGTAATTATGTGGAACATTGTAGTTAGCTAACTTCTAATTCCTTTTTATTAAGACCACGCTCAATAATTATTCGAACGTTATTGAAGACGCCTCGAAAATGGTAATTCAATTCAAGGCTCCCAGTTTTAGCAAAGCTTGGCAACATTATTAATTGAACGAATTTATTTAAATTCTATTGCAAATTCATTAGGCCTACTGAATAAATTTTCGTTGATTTTTGGTTTTGAGAATTTCAAAAATGCTCGAAATGATTGAATTTGGCTCGCCGAATATTATCATAAAATTTTGAAAAAATATTCTCAACGATATGATTTTCAATTTGGACCAGTGCAAAATGAAAAATTTTGAGAAAACAAATTTCAATAAAATACCGCGTTTTTGGCGGCAATTCAAACGGACCTTCTTGTTTCTTAATTTTCCAGTTTTTTATTTCAATGGACAATTAGCCGAACGAATTTTGAATTTTATTTTCCACAATTTTGATCTACACTTTTTCCAGCAAGTAATTAGAGTTTATTTGAATTCAGAGAAAGGTAGGAAAAAAATAATTAACACAAATGCGAGAAAACTCGTGCAATTTCTAGTAGTGAGACAGTGTGAAAAATTGAGAGAGTTCAGACAACGAGGGGGAGAGAGAGAGCGTGCAATAGACGGAGATGCAGGCATTGTGTATAATAGTTATGAAAATATGAAAATTTGTTGAACCTTCCTAACCAAAATCTGGTGATTCGCCGGAATTGAACTCGATTTGTCAATAGAGCGCAATTGCAACTTTCTCATTTTTTTCTAACACCAATCATAATTTTTGATTTTTTTATAGATAATATCCGGGAGAGATTTATGAATTGTTGACGGATTCTGTATGAGATTGAAAGGGTTGCAATTGCGCTCTATTGACAATCCAGTCCTATTCCGTCTCTTAAAATTTGAATTTTGTAAGGAAATTTGTTTTTTGCTTAGATTGATTTGAAAAAAGCTGGTCTACAGTCTGCCTCAAATGATTTTTATTGGGATTGTCGCCGACCGGCGACTGTTGTACGTTCTAAAAACTCGGCCACGGCCATGTCTTTCAAAGCCTACACCCTTGCAACTTGATTAAAAAATCGCTGCGAGAACTGTTCAATTTTATGATATGTGCCTTTAATAGAAAAAAAACTATTTTTTTTTTAATTATATAAAATAAAATAAACCGTGTGGGAAAATATGTCGATTTTTTTATTTCAATTTTTTTCGCAAAAAAAAAATTCGCTGATTATTTTCGATTTCATTTCGAAATTTCCAAAAATGGTTAGAATTTTTGTTTTGGAATTCAATTCGTCGAAAATTTCGCGCAGAGAGGAGTCGCACTACTAATCACACGTCTTCAACGATCATCGCCAACGAATCGAGGAGGTAAGGTCGCCCTCGTTTAAAGGCGCATAGAGTTTCGTGTCAAGACCAGATCCCCAGCGAAATAAAATTGTCCTATAGTTTACAAGTGCATCTTACAGTAACCCTAAAATCAATTATTGACATATTGGGGATTACTGTAGTTTGAGGGGAAAAACACCATCACGTAAAATTGCACACAAATAGGCGACTGTCTAAGATAGTAGGAAATTGATTGTTTGGGTTCAAATATTTTTTTTTGATCTACCCACGCGTTATCAATTCTCACCCCCCCCCCAAGGACAATATAATTGGTCGCTGATAGGCTAGCCGTCGACGGCATGCAGAGATACGCGCTATCGGTTCAACGTGGGTTTCTTTTGTGTTATCATTGATCCAAATTTCTCGAATTTGATTTTCCCTGTTTCATTTTCGTTTCAAGACCCATTTCAAAAAATTACAATGGGTATTGAGAAATCAAAATGCATTTTTCAAATTGCCGCTTTTTCAGGGGTCCCTTATTTTTTTTGGCATTAAAAAAACAACTAGTGAAAATTGCCCTTTTCAGGCACATTTCGCCGATTGTCCAACACGATGGCAAATTTGGCGTCGACGGATCTCATCGATACGGTAATTAGCACTTAATTATATGAGGGGGGCGATCGATCAAAATTTCAATTGATTGCAGCCATCGGCGTACACGACGAAATCCAACAAGAACCCCAATAGCATCGATTTGCGTTCGGATACGGTAGCTCGAAATACCGTAATCCATCATCAATTTTCCGGTTTTGCAGGTGACGCAACCGTCGAAAGAGATGCGGCAGGCGATGGCGGAAGCGATCGTCGGCGACGACGTCTACGGCGAGGATTCGACGACGACGCGGCTCGAAGAGAAATGCGCCAAGTTGTTCGGCAAACCGGCGGGATTGTTCGTCGTCAGCGGAACGATGGGCAACTTGTTGGCGGTGATGGCGCACTGCCAGCGAGGCGACGAGATCATCGTCGGCCGATACAATCACATTCATCGATGGGAGCAGGGCAACTACGCGCAATTGGGCGGCATCAGCGCGACGACACTTGAGGTGAAGCCCGATGGCACCATGGATATCGATGATATCGAGCAGGCGATTCGCGTCAAGGTCATTTTTGGTTTGGTTTTTTCGAGGGTCCCTAATTCGATTTTTAGGATTGCCATATGCCGAGAACTAAATTAATTTGCATTGAGAACACCCACAATTATGTTGGCGGCAAAGCGCTTCCGATTGAATGGATGAGGTGCGAGAGATGGTTTGAGATTTAATTGGAGGATGATGATTTGCAGACAGGTTCGCGAGTTGGCGAATCGACGCGATTTGAAGGTGCACATGGACGGCGCGCGGATATTCAACGCGGCCGTCGCGCAGAATCGCCGCGTCGACGAGCTCGCCGCGTTCGCCGACACCGTTCAGATGTGCTTCTCGAAGGGTCTCGGCGCGCCGGTCGGCTCGATTCTCGTCGGGCCCGTCGAGCTGATTGCCGCGGCGCGCCACCTACGCAAGGCGATCGGCGGCGGTTGGCGACAGAGCGGCGTGTTGGCGGCGGCGGCGCTCGTCGCCGTCGATCGCGGCGTCGCCACGGTGAAGGCCGACCATCGGCGAGCGGTGATGCTGGCGCGAATGATCAACGAGGCGACGCCGGCGGCGCGCAAGAGCCAACTGTTCGCGCAAGAGAACGACATCACCAATATGGTGTTGGTGCACTGCGAGAATGGTGTCACCGTGCAGCAGGTTGACTATCTTTTATTAGAGATTTTTCAAGGCCAAATTGATTGCAGTTTTGCGACTTCTTCCAAAATCACGATATTCTGGTGATGGCGTTCGACGCGAAACGAATTCGGATGGTCCTCAATTGGGACGTCACCGACGAGCATCTCGATCGCGTTCTGCACGTCTATGAATCATTCGTCGCCCAATTGTAATAATAATTATTATTGTAAATGAATAAATCGACGAACGAGAATTGTCCGCAGCTGAATGATGATGATAATGGATTTTCATGCGAAGCGCATGCCTCGACAAAATTTGAGAGATTGAGAGAACGAGATTGATGGAGCAAATGACGGCGGCGCCCAAACGACACATGGCGTCCGTCGGTCGGAGAAGCGTTTGCGAAAATTTTTTGATTTTTAGTCGTCCGTTCGAATGCGCTTCATCGTCTTCCTATTCCTCATTCTATTCGATTCGCGCCTCGCCGAATTCGTCGTGCATATTCAGTACTTCAAGGTCAGGCTTACTGTAGCCTTACAGTAATCCGAAACAATTCGTGTAGTATTGAGTGGACTTGCAGAAGCCGATTGAGTACGGCACGTTCACTCTAAAGCGCATCGACACGCGTGCCGAATGGTCGACGCGCGTCTACAATAGACGCGGTGAAAATTTGCGCGAAGATGAGATTCTCGCGAAAGTTCGCCGATTTTTCGATGGTCCCGCCGGCAGCGTCGAGTACGAGTCGGCGTCGATCACACGCTATTTCGGCGTCGAGTTCGCCTACGTCGTCGCCAAACACAACGTCACCCATATGATTTTTGTGAGCCCGCTTCAGATCGGCCTCGCCATCTGATGTGTGTAATGAATTGCAGGAGAACCTTTGCAGTCAGATGAAGCCGAAACTCTCGAGCATCATGATGGAGCAGTCGAGGAAGCCGTCGCGCATCGAGTTCGTCGTCGATCATCCGAGCGCGAGCTTCGCGATTCCATTGGGATTCCGCGCGGCGCTGGTCGGCTGCAGCGAGTACAAGATCCGAATCGGCGGTCGCGCCTACCTCGATCCCGACAACTTCCTATGCGACGCGGTGATTAATGTAAGTCGAATCGAGTTTGGCTAGTATTATAGATTTCGCTTCAAGACCCAAAATCTCGTGGTGACGCAAGGCGGCGAGGTTCGCAGCGGATTCGACGCCGACACATTGTTGAGCATCAAATCGCCGAATGTCGTCATCGAGGGTCGGAATATCATCGGGATTGACGATGTCAAACAATTGGTTGAGGTTGGTTCAGATCGGGCCGGGCCGTGCCGGATCGGATTGGCAAATGAGTCGGATTCTAGGAATGGCTCAATGATAAGCGCGTCATTGGATCTTGGCAGATTGACGTCGACGATGATGTGCGAGACACTTGGGAAGCGTATTATCGGAAGAACGCGACGACGCTGAAAATCGAGTTGAAGCGCGGCCGACTCGAATTGGCGACGTTCGAAACGCCGGACGAACGCGATTTTGTTTTTGAGAATTGAGCAAAAAAGAAATAATAATAAAGTTTTAATGGTCCCATTTTTGAGGGGACCCTAATAGAGGGCGTTTCGAATAAAAACATTGAAAATGCGGGAAAAAGCGGTTTCTATTGGGACCATTGAGTGGAAAAATTAGAGAAAAATTGGCTAAATTAAGTGTGCATTGAGAAAAAAAATTAAAGTTATAATTTTTCCAAAAAAAAAGCGACAAAACTCGTTCAAATCGATAGCACAAATTAAGCTACGCGCAAAAAATGCGTCAGTGGGTTATGAGCTGGCGTCAATTTCGTGAGCACGTAGATTTCATTTTTTTTTTCAATTTTAAAATCCAGTTTTCTCGCGAATTTTGATATTCCCCCAAAAAATTATCAATTAAAAATTGATTTTCAAAACGCAAAATAATTTTTTGCATATTCATTTCAGGGAATTATAGCTTGATGACTTGAATTTCTGTGATTTCTGACTGACCAAAATCCAAAAAAAATTTTTTGTGACTAATTGTGACCACTAGCGTTGTTTCCATGCCAATGTGCTCAGTCTGACTAGCAATTTTCGATCCTTCCTCCGAAGCCCCACCCATCGGTGCGCATGACAACGAGTCCTATAAAAGGGCAACCCGCATCGAAGCCAAAATTCAGTTCATCCGATTCTCAATCATGTGTAAGTTGTCGGCCGTCCCCTTCAAGACCATCTTCTTAATGTTGTTCCGATTCCAGCTGTCAGCGAGTTCCAGAAGATCATCGATGATATGCAATCGCTGAAGAAGGCGATGAACACCGGCGAGCTGATCAAAAAGTACGCGGCGACGGGCAGCACATTTCTCGCTCCGTTGCACGAGCCCCTCTCCGGCGCAGGTTTTTTTTTTGTTGATTTCCCAATGGTCCCTAGAACAACAACAACAACAATTTCAGATCTCGCGAAATTCTATGGCGGCGATAAGGCGAAGTTTTTCGCCAGCGCCGACGTCAACGAAAAAGTCGACGAGGCGACTCAACTCGGCGACGTCGCCATCGTTCGATCGACGCTGATCGTCAAGGCGAAAGACGGCGACAAGCATGGATGGTATATTGATTCAGTCGAGGTGTTACGGTAGCTCGACGCATTTCGTTGCAGGACCCTAACGGTTTGGGTCAAGGAAGGCGGCCAATGGAAGGTTCGCAACTCGTGCATCACCTTCAAAGCGCCCAAATAAATGTCGATGCTGAATAAAGAAATTGTTGATCGTTGAAGCTGAAAAATCCAGGAGAAAAGTGTGCACACACAGTGACGCAAAAATGCACAGAATCGAAAAATGAGATTTTGATTGAAAATTAAGAATTTTTTTTGAGAAAAAAAAAGTAAAATCGAAAAAAGGAACCAGAAAATATTTGATATTTATAAGGAACATTTTGAAGTGCATTCATGTTGCTGAAAAAAAGCACCAATAAAAATGGACCATCATAATCGGACCCAATAATTTCTCAATTGTTAAAATCGAATTAAAAAAAAAGTAGATTTGGATTTTTTCAAAGATTTGTGAGCATTTTAAAAATTTACGCGCGAAATTCAAAATTTTTGGATTCTTTTAAAATGTTGAATTTCGTTTTTTTTTTCCACATGATGACCAAAAATCGGCTTCTCAAAAACAAAAATATGTGCTCAACTGCAAAAAAAAAGAAATTGAGCAGAAATCACAACTCTGGTAACTCAAAACCAATCGGATCCGACGAAAATTCGGTCCCGGAATTCTACGAATAGAATTGGAAAATTGTCGTGTCCGATTGGTAATTTGTCGGATCCGATTAGATTTTCTTCGAATCCGTTTTGTCTTAATATTTCAATTCGAATCGGATTCGACAAATAACCAATCTTATCCGTAGAATTGCCAATCGAATTCGAAAATACCCAAAAAACGAATCGGATTCGACAATTGTCCAATGTTATTCGTAGAATTCCGGTGCCGAATTTTCGTCGGATCCGATTGGTCTTGAGTTATCAGAGAATTTTGAGCTTGAAACATGATTTTTTCAGGAGGGGGAATTTCTTCACAAATTCTGATAGTGTTGCCCAACAGACCTAAAATTCTCATGGGAATCGTATTCATATACTCGGCTGTTGTATATTTGGTCTCACACGGAAAAACGTGTGATTTTGCATTTTTGAGGTTATTTCGTGATTTTTTTTAAATTTCAGTGATATTTAAAAAAATTTCAAAAAAAAAAACGCTGTCACGTGTGGCGAGACCATTTTGAATAGACGCACCCCGTAAATCTACATCAGTTGCACGATGGGGTCGGTTATATGTATGTACATATTAATGAAATTTAAAAAATTATTGGCACTGTGCCAAGTACGCGAAATTGCGTATATTGCATTATAGCGTACGCGCATTTGAGGAAAATTTAAATTTGAAGGTCCCGCCTCTCCTTTGACGCCGACAATACATGCAAAAAATATTCTAATGGGACCACAATGCCCCGAGCCATTGATGAAGCTTCACTTTCTGAGAAGATAGACAAAAGATACGGATAATCGGTTTGCAAACTTTTTTTCGGGTTGCCCGAACACAAAAAAAATCGCTTTCATCTTTTCCGACGCGTCAAAGATCGATTCTCGAAGCCGAAAAAAAAATTGAAGGGCATAATTTTTGCAGTCCCATAAAAGCCATTCAGTTGGCCCATTTTTGGAATGCAATTTTCTTTGATTTCCCACCGACGGCGACTTTTTTTCGTTTCCGATTTGAATCAAGAGGAACCGGTTCGATGAGGAGTGGTATTTCCTTATAAATTGGCGCCGTCGGTCGAATTTCAGACGATTCGCCGACGGGGCTCATCATCGAGAATGTGTAAGTGTGCCAAACAAGGCGAGCAACTCGATTGCCGGATTTCAGCGATCGCCGAATTCCAGCGCTATCACGACGAGATCGAGGCGTTGATCAAATCGAAAAATTTCGACGAGTACGTCCGCCGATTCACCGCCAATGATTGTGTGCTGCTCGGACCGTTTGATGCGCCGAAATCGGCACAAGGTTTTTTTTCTTTTTGGGAGGGGGACCATCGGACCATCGACTCAAGTGCATTTCAGAATGGGCCGAGCTCATGAAGGCCGACAGCAGCGAGAGCACCGACATTCGGATCAGCGTCGACGACGTCAAACAGATTGGCGACATTGTTGTCGACCGCGTCAGCTATGAGGTTCGCTCGGAGACGGGCGCGTTGGCGGGATGGTGAGGATCCGATCCTTGACGATCCAATGGATCGCTATTTTAGGATATTGAATGTTTGGGTCCAGGAAGACGGAGCATGGAAGATTCGGAACGCGTGCACCACTATTAAATGCGAATCCGAATAATTGCTTCTTTTTTCTTCTCACTGATATTCTTGTCGATTGCAAACGCGCTCCATCGCACTCAATTTTTTTTTGAAAAAAAAAACTAGCAAAATTTCTTCTTTATTTAGTTTGAGAATTTTAAAGAAATTCGAAAATATAGAAGGATTGGAGACAAATGAAAAAATTTTGGGGGTCAAAGTCCAGTGGTCCCATCATCACACATTGACCTAATTTTCGCGCAGAGTCCAAATATACGAGATTTGCGGCTGAACAAATGAATTCCATGAATTGCAATGGTCCCAAATTAATTGCGGACCACAAGACACGAGATTTCTAAAACGTCAACCGATTGAACTTTGAACACTTGAGACTCTAGACGCGAATAATGTGTAAGTGTCAATTTTTGATTCATTCGATTGTTGATGTTCCAGCGGTCGCCGATTTCCAAAAGTTGCACGACGAGATTCGCGAGTTGATCAAATCCAACAATTTCGGCGAGTATGTTCGCCGATTCGCCGCCAATGAATGCGTCTTCATCGGACCGTATCATGAGCCGCAAACTGCGCAAGGTGAGACAATTTAGAATGTTGGATATTTTAAAAAAATGACCACAAAATTGGGCATGTTTCAAGGAGGGTCGAACCCGCTACAAAATGCGCGTCAGCGGCGATCCTGCCCACTTGCCCATCGGTGCACGCTGACACAGGCAAAACGCGACGGATGAAGTCCGGGCGAAGTCCGGATATTTGAACGTCACGGCTAAAAAACGGGCCAAGTACGGACCAAAAATTTCTTTGAAAAACGCCGCGGTAAAAAAACGGACAAAGTCCGGAGATTTATAGGCCACGTTTTTAAAACGTGTTAATTACGGATCTTGATTTTCAGGATAAAACGCCACGGCTAAAAAACGGGCCAAGTACGGACCAAAAATTTCTTTGAAAGGCATCACGGACAAAAAACGGACAAAGTCCGGAGATTTATTGGCCACGTTTTTAAAACGTGTTAATTACGGATCTTGATTTTCAGGATAAAACGCCACGGCTAAAAAACGGGCCAAGTACGGACCAAAAATTTCTTTGAAAGGCATCACGGACAAAAAACGGACAAAGTCCGGAGATTTATTGGCCACGTTTTTAAAACGTGTTAATTACGGACCTTGATTTTCAGTATGAAACGCCACGGCTAAAAAACGGATTAAGTACGGACGAAATATTTCTTTGAAAGGCATCACAGACAAAAAACGGACCAATTACGTGACAATTTTTTTCGAGTGAAAATGTCACCGACAAACAAAGGACTATTTACTGATCGACACTTCCTGGCTGAAACGTTACGACACAAAAGTTAATTAATATTTAATATAACGGCTTCACTGGAAGCTGTGGCGACCGATGGCTGATAATTAAATTTTCTTGTTGCAGGTTGCCCGATACCGATGCGGTAACCATAGCACGGCTCGAGACTTCCTTTCCTAAGATCGATGTGTCTAAGTTCGCTGCTGTCGATTCACCGTTATGCGTTCTAACTGTTCCGCTCCATATTTATATTCGTTGTTTTGTAATGTAGAGATAATGTGGAAATGGGAGAGTGGGCGAGACGATGAGGCGGTGGGCGAGAGAGAGAGTGCGAAATGAAGAGACGCACGCCATCATGCCATCGGGCAATGTCCAGCAAAAAGAGGGCCGCGGCCGAAGTTCACCTTTATTTAAATGCAAGTCCCCAATCGTAAACACCGATTTAGTCAATTACTTATGCTTTTAGTCGTATTATTTCAGTTTATTAAGTTGTTTCCCCAAGCCCACCATCCACCATATTTAGTATCATCAAGTTTGTTATTAGTTTGTATCGTTTTGTTAACATTTTGACATGTTTTTGACATGTTTTTGATTGAGACAGAATTGTACCCTATTCACCACCTATCTTATTGATTTGATTGTTTTTAAATGTTGTGTTTCTAATAGTTTTTTTTGTTGTTATATCGTTATCTCATAAATTTTAATTGAGAAACTAGTATTTTCTTCATTAATGTTAAGCAAATAAGATATTAAAAAATTGTTACATTTCATCATTAGTTATTTATTTCATTTCATTTATTTAATAAACTTTGTAATTTCTTATAATATTTTAGAATAATTTGTCATTATATGTTACATCGTAATACTCGATCAGTACATATCAAAATATTTTAACACGTTTGCCTGAAAAGTAATATACTGTTATTATACCCTGGCATTATTAAAAATCTCCGCAAATCAATTTCGAATAATCTACACGATTTGTTTATATTTTTGCATTTATGTAATTAAAAAGTATTTTGCAGGTTTCGATGGCTCATAACGAAATGAATGAATCGGTGAGTTTTTGTTTCTAGATACTTTTGCCTCTCACTGGCTGAAGTTAAACGATCTGAATTGAATATATAACGAACGTAACGAAAAAACATGCACTGTCGATCGTCTTACAATTGACAGTGTCGTTAAATATTAATAATTCAGAAATTTTTGCAGTTTCCGATAATGACAAAGGCCGAAGAAAGGCTGAAGCGACAGCATTTGAAAAGGAGTCATTCTAAGGAAATGGATAGCGGTGTTGAAAAGTTTCTACACGACAGCCAAAAAGAAAATCGGGTATCGATTTTATATATATATTTGTCATAATATATAGAAATCAAATCAGTCAAAAAATATCGAATTTGATTAAAAAAGTATAATTTTAATTAAAAAATTATTTAGTTAAAAATCATCGAATTTGGTTTAAAAAGAATATCGAATTTAGTTTTTAAAAAAATTAAATTCCGTTGAAAAGCATAAATTTAGTTAAAAAATTTGATTTAGTTAAAAATAATATTTAGTTAAATTAGTTTAAAAGAAATATTTTGTTAAAAAACATCGGCTTAATTTAATTTTTTATGACAAAGTTTTGCCTCATTTATGTAATAACGACAAATTTTATTACTTCGTTTTACTTAGGGAAATCTATCATCCGGCGGACACTGGAATTGCCACGAAATGATAAAGAAGACTTGCTTCGATGATCAAGGGACATTGTTATCACGGAATGAATGCAAAGTGCTTTTGTTTAGACTTAAATTCCTAATAGTACTTTTCAGGCAAATTTGCAACGTACAATGAAAAACAAGAATTCGGTGGATTTTTATGAGGTCTTGAAATGCTTGCAGTGCAAGGACCATTCAAATAACTTCGAAGTATTAGCTGCGACTGTGGCCACCTTGGCTTTTCAAATGGAGCGCGGGCAACGAGAGTCCCATACCAGCAAAGTTTTAGTGGTTAGTTAAAAGTTGTTTTTTTGTAATGGACATATACATAGTCGACATCCGACAACTTCTGCATATATATATATATATATATATATATACCGTAAAACCTGTATTAGACGGCATGCCGCTCTATATTTCGAAGGACTCTTAGGGGTTCCGCTCTATTTTTCAATTACTAAATTACGAATCTTGCAAAAAATCTGGTAACTAATGTGCTTGAATTCGATTGATAAAGTGATCGAACTCGATTTGAAAAAATGTATTCGATGGAAAAATCTTCGAAACCAATTGATTTATTTCTCATTTTCAATTTTAAAATCGTATTCGATTGAAATTTTCATGTATTTGATTACGATTAAAAATGAAATTCTTTCGAAACCGATTGATTTTCATTTACCAGAGAATGCCGTTCTATTGAAAGGTGCCGTTCAATTAGAGGGTGCCGCTCTATTAGAGAGGCCGTTCAATTAGAGGATGCCTTTCAAATACAGGTTTTACGGTATATATATATAAATAATTGTAGACAGATATCAACAGTTTCGATATTGTAAAAGGTAAAGAAGTCGACGAAGATATCGATATGCCAGCTGGGTATAAATTGCGCATTGGCGATTTACTAACTCCATCAAACTGTTCAAAATGGATGGCACAGTCGCCTGAAAAAGGCCTTGAAAAGGCGGTACTGCACATACTGAATGAGGTAATGCATAATCTGTACAACTGCATGAACACATTTACTTTCAGTTATGCGAAAAAGATAATTTTTTTGTAATTTATTCGGCCGCTTCGTCAACGAAACGAACGAAATATCCCAAAATACCGGACAAGTTCTTCGAAATTCTTGGAAGTAAGTAGATTTGAAGTAACATTGACCGGCTAAAAACTTGCGCCTAGTCCATATTGGCCAATGAGAAATTGAATGGTAAAAACTATGCTTTTTTTCAGAAATATTACACCGAGGCTTCGATATAAAAAGTGAAGGGTGGGAAGAAACCGTCGTCGTTTCTCATATACGAGAAATGACAAGAAACTTCATGTAAGTGAGCAACGCGAATGTTATATATATGCTATATACTGTGTTTCAGCGATGATAAACGACGCGGAAAAACCGCCAAAATCGAAGAGTTAATGGAAATGTTCCAATCCAGGTAGAACACGCGTGTGCAAATGGAATGTGCAAATATTTTTTTTGTTTTTAGAATTATTTTTGTTCTAGTAATTCGATTCGAATCGAATACAACAATTTTCGGATACAAACTTGATCGAAAATTAAGTTTGAAATTTGTGGTACTCGATTACTCTTTGGAAAAACCCGAATGTACTCGTATTTAGTGCGAAACTCGGTGTATTCATTTCGAATTTTAATGTATTTGATTGTGAAACAAAAAATTGACTCTTTCGTATCGAATACGAATTAATCATTTTACAATCGAATACGATTAAATTCAAAACGATTATAGCGATTGCGATTCGTAAATAATTTTTTTTTCGATTTTTCTTTAATAAAACTTTTATAATAATGCTGTCTATATGATTTCAATTTTAATTTTGATTATTATACGAACGGAAGAAAAAAAAGCATGTGAAAAACGCCACCGGGCGAATCACGGTCCGTTCCCGGATACGCTAAGACGTCCGTGTCCGGTACGTCAGCGACACGCTGGAACGGTCAATAACGGACCGTGATTCGCCCGGATTTCATCCGTCGCGTTTTGCCTGTGGAGTTTTGGCCTAAACGCCGGTGATAAAAGGAGTGGCTTACCAGCCACGCCCTCCCCCCCCCCCAAAAAATCAGAATTTTGCAAAAAATGGATTAAATGGTCCCTTCTTGAAGATATGCTCAAATTCGCGGAATCCGAAGAAGCCGAGAAGCTGAAGAAAGCCGAGATTCACGTCGTCGTCGATGAGATCAAACAAATCGGCGACGTCGTCATCGACAGAACCCGATTAACAATGAAGGTCGAGAATTTCGAAACGAGCGGATGGTATGCCAGATGAATCGGCATCCGTCGAATAAAAAAAAAATTGGTTGCAGGAGCCTCACCATCTGGATTAAAGAGGACGGCCAATGGAAGATTCGCAACACGTGCACCACGTTCAGAGCGCCGAAACCCGATTGCCAAAAATAATTTTTTTTTAATTTTCAATTCATTTATAAACAGTTGATGGGATCTCCTACGATTGATATTTAGTTGGCGGCCAATTCTGATCAATGTACTCTTTGAGCTCCGGCAAATTTCGCATTCGCAAATAATATTCGCGAAGGATGTGAAGCTCATCGAGTAGGCCATCCTCGAGCTGCAAACTCATTCATTGTGAAATGCTGAGGGCGGCGGCGACGATCCGAACCTGATCCAGCGCCTCGAGAACACCCAAAATGTAGATGTCGCACCAGTGCGGCGTTTTGCCGACGAAAAACTCGCCGCGGCTTCGCCGCAGCAGATTCTCCTGCGTTTTGAGGCGATCGCGAATCGTCGCGCTGAAATTGGCCAACATCTCGTCTTTGACGTGAGTCGGCGCGTAGACGGCCGACATGGCGAAATTGAAAATGTCGGCGAACGCGTCGGCGAACATGTCGACCTTCGCCGAATCGGTTTTGGTGGCGCCGCCGAACCCTGAAGCATCATTTGTGTGTGTATCTCGATGGTCCCCCAAAGCCCCAAACCCCCATTGTCAAATTGCTTTGATTGCAAATTAAGCGAAAATTAAAAAAAAATGAACTCGGTGAGAGAGTGTGTGAACGAGGAGGGCGCGCGCGGAGGGTTAGAGATATCGCGCGTTTGGAGAAGAGACAGTGGGCGACAGAGAGACGCAGAATGCGAGCGGCTAAAGGGGGATGCAGTGAGGCCGCTAGGATATCTCGTGGCGAAAACCGACAGTAATCGAGTGGGCGAGATTTTGAGCTCAGCCCCCCCCCCCAAAAAAGCATACATCTGTCGGGATTGATCGATTTGGCCAAATAGCGGCAAATCGTGAGCGTTTGGCACAGCACCGTCTTGCCGCCGTCCATCTCCAAATATGGCAATTGTCGCATCGGCGCTTCTGAATTGATGGGTGTGTTTGTTGGGTCCCGGCCCCCCCATCCGACTCACTGTCTTTGCTCTCCGCGAATTCCTCCATCGACATTCGAACATCCTCGAAATCGACACCCAAATAGCTGGAAAATGTTTTTTTTAATTGTTGTTTATGAGGGAAAAGCTTAGATTACTGGAACATCAGGCGAATCGGCTCGGCTCGTCCGCGCGAATCGAAATAGTAGAGCTTGTAGGTGTGCTTTTGAGAGCTCATTTCTAGAATAAAATCGAAATTTGTGAGGCAATGAGAGTGGGGAAAGCTTGGGGAACTCGAGGAAGTGGGAGAAGAGATTTAAGGAAGCCCAAATACCATGCACTGGGATGGGAGGTTCGATTAATCTATAAATTGCGATGGGGAACGATTGAGGAATGTTGAGGAGAGGAAAAAATGCGGAAAATCAAAAACACATTTTTTCTTTTTGAGCGAATGCGTGAGCCGCTCTATATAATTATCAAAATCGGATCTCCCATGGGGGTTTGTGGGTTGTGTGGGACTCGAGCACACACCAAATCGAATTAATAACAAAACGCCTTCGACGGACGACGACGACGACATGAATTATGAATGACTGAGGCTTGGTAGCTCATTTTCTTCTTCTTCTTCCTCCTCTTTTTTTTTCGACGCTTCGAAATTATGACAAAAACAAAAAATGCATTTTTTTGGCGGTTTGTTGCCAATGGAGATTGTTGATTTATAGCTGCCGACAATTTTTTGGAGAGCCAGCGAGATGTCCGCAGATGGAATTTGTGAAGAATAAAAAAATGACAAAAACAAAAAATGCATTTTTTGGCGATTTTTTGCTCATAGAAATTATTAATTTATTGCTGCCGACAATTTTTTGAAGGGCCAGCGAGATGTCCGCAGATTGGATTTTTGAAGAATAAAAAAATGATGAGAACAAAAAATAAAATTTTTCGGCGATTTGTTGTCAATGGAAATTCTTGATTTTTAGCTGCCGACAATTTTTGGGAAGCCAGCGAGATGTCCGCAGATGGAATTTGTGAAGAATAAAAAAGTGATGAGAACAACAATTCATTTCTTTGGCCATTTTTTACAAATGGAAATTATTAATTTATGGCTTCCAACAATTCTTGGGGACCAGCGAGATGTCCGCAGATGGAATTTGTGAAGAATAAAACAGCTGGGCAAAAAAGACGTTTTTTTCTCGAATTTTAGCCCCACCCTCGTCTCGTAAAAAAAAAACAAAATTATGCGCATAAAAGACAATTCGATGAAGAATATTCGCGTTGTCAAGGGACACCGAGAGCGAAGAGAGGTTCTCGGCGGAAATTGTCGGCATCAGAGTTCATATTGGTCCCTACCCCATCCAAAAAAGGACAAGCCAACATTTTGGAAACCGGTGTGATGTCCGCAGATCGCTTGCTTGAAAAATTTATTGAAAATTGAAAAATTGACGAAAAATAGCTTTTTTTCGATTTTCGACATTTTCAAAAAAATTATTTTGATTTTCAAAGTCGTCGTAAATCGACACGAACGAAATTTTGATCTACAAAGAGTTTTGGGCAAAAAAGATCACGATTGGTAGAAAATCATAAAAATTTTCAATTTTTTTGGAGTTTTTCGGGAAAAAGCGACAACCAAAAAATTGTTTCGATTTTTTTTAATCTTGATAATTTTGACAGCACAGCGAAACCAGGAAATTGTCGGCAGCAACGTTGAGGTCAACGAAAATGAAATGAAATTAAGGGCGCTACTCGAAAACAAATAAAATTGCGTTTTTTTTTTGTCTTTTTGGTGTGCCTATTGTTTTCTTGATGGTCCCTTCACGAAAACAAAGTGAAATGGGGTTTTTTTTTCTCAAAAAGAATATTTTTTATATGAGTTGGATCAGAGTCCAAAGTCCATTTTGTAACTACGAATTTTCAATATTTTTCGAAAAATGACCTCGAATATTCAAATTTTAATATTTTCTACGCAATAGTTTACAGATTTGAGATTAATTGAAAAAAAAAATGCAAATTTTAGACTTTCAGAAAAAAATCTGCAAAAAATGAGAAAATCTGGTTTATTTTGTCTGAAACGCAAAAAATTATTAACATTTTGTTCGGGAAACGGAATAATTTTCGTCTTTCGTGAAAAAAAAAAAAATTTTATTTCAAAAATTCCCAAAAAATGCTCAATTCATGGCGACGATGTCTGCGTCTCCCTCAACCGCGCACTCTCTCACCGTCTTTGCCACTCTCTCGCTTGTGCACACTATTTCGTCGGCTGCGAATTTCTTCTTCTGAAAAGCTCGCCGATTTCCATTTATCCTACCGTAATAGAACCATGTAGGCATCAGATGGTCCGCTCGACGAGAGACCAATGAGATCAAAAAATCAAACCACCAAAATTGGCTTCTGCTTATTTTCCCAAAACAAAATTTTGGCTATAAATCATAATTCTAGCCATCGTGTTGTGCTTTGAGCCGGAAATGAGAAATGCCAAAAAACGAAAATTTCGATCATTCAGATCGCATTGGAATTTAATTAAATGATGAGAGCTCATTTGGAATCCGATCATCCTTCTGACTCGGTTCTCTCACAATGGAACTCATATTACCTCTCGTTTTGAATTTTTTTGTAAACTAGAAGGTCTTCTGAATGGGTTCACAAAATTCCAGCCTACACTGGGAGGTTACAGACGAGTTATGGCCGTCTGAAAATTTAAGGTGATTTTCCATTGCCAGCAACCATTTGGGTAAGAGGTTTCACATACGCCTCTTCGCCCTACATCTCAGTGTCCAGGTGAGATGGAGAGGCAGGTGTGTAGGATAGTAATTTTATGGTGAGGGTTCGCTCCCGGCCCACGCTTTTTTCTATTTTTTCTTTTTGCCACTGTAAATATTAATGCCAATTGGTTCCAAATGCATGATTTCATGCCAAATCGTCGTTTTTAATATTACTTTTAATATATTTTTTGCAATTTATATTAGTTTGATTTCCTGAACTCGATTGTTTTCAACAATTGTATGCCGAATAACCACAAAAGGCTTTTTTGTCAGGGTCCAAAAAAAAGAATCTGACTGGTCAGAAATCATGAATTGAGTTCCAAATTCCGAGGGAAATGAATTAAGAAAATGCGCCGGCGAGAGAGTGTGCAAATGAGGAGGGGGCGCACGGCAGGCGTTAGAGATAGTGGGCACGAGAGAGAGACGCAGAGAAGAGAGATTAAAGGTGGAATAATGAGTTCTGCGAAGATATCTCGTGGCGAAAAAGGCACAGTAACCAAACAGCGGCGAATCTAGTCGATTTTTTCTTCAATTCTCGACCGCCCCTGATTTTCTGAATACGGTACTGCCAACGAGGCCTGAAGAGCTTCCATTGGTCCCAAATTTCAAACGTTGACAATGTCCGCAGCACAAATCACATATATCAACAAAGTGTTTATTATGGCAACACAAAATTATGCGTTGGCGGGCATCTTGAATGTGGTGCAAGAGTTGCGAATCTTCCACTGTCCGTCCTCTTTGATCCAGACGGTGAGGTTCCTGCAACGAAGTCTACAATCATGGCAATATCGACGAGCTCCGTTACCATCCGGTCTTCTCGCCGCCACTCGGACACTTGATGTTGACCGTCGAGCGATCGATGACGACATCGCCGATCTGGGTGATCTCGTCGAGCTTCACGTCGATGTCGGCCTCAGCCAACGCTTTCAATTTGTCGGTTTCGGCGAGACTGCCAAACTCTGAACAAAATCGGCTTTTTGCGGGGGGCCCAGCGATGAGCTCGTCCTACTGTCGGCCGAAATCGGCTCATGAAGCGGACCCATGAACGTGTTGGACTTGGCGGCGAAGCGTTTCGCGAACTCGGCATGATTGCGCGTCTTCTTCAACGCCTTCATCTCGTTGTGAAGCTTCTGGAACTCGTCCATCGCTGAAATTCGCGGAGACGTGTCGCGTCGAATTGAATCGTCGAGCCAACTTACACATGATTGAATTGAACACCGGTTTCGAATTGAGCGTCGACTGGATCTCGCCGTCTTCAGACCGCCCGTTTTATATGGGACCCGGTTGCCATGAGAACGTTGGGGCGAGGTGCTGAAATTTTTTTTTTTTGGGGCGGAGTCTCGATGATGCCGGCAGTGAGTGATTCACACACATTCGCAGAATCGAGAAACTAAAAAATCAACGTCGACGCATTTTTGTGGGAAACAAATTTTTTTTTGTTTAAAGGCGCATACGCGCAAAATTTGATGTAAGTATAGCTACAGTATCCTGAAAATTTGATCTTGAAATTGACGGGATTTGCTCGAATCGATTTTGGCATTTTTTTTTGAATTGAGGTTCTGTAGCTACCGTAATCCCAAAAGCCACGTGGAAACCGTCAGAAGCCTTTCATCAGTTTGAAGCGAACAAAATAAATTAAAATCGATGTGCAATTTGACGTCGAGACGATTGCGGACCTACAGTAATCAATGTGATATGAATAAACTTTTTTTTTCAGAGACGATTTTCTCGTGGAGCTTCACATAATCTCAAAGAAGCCCCCCTCAAAATCCCATTGATCTTCAATGGTGCATTTTTGCGTCACGAGAGTCACGTAGGCCAGTTGAGTTCCGACAAACAAACCAATTATGGCGAGAGAACAAGGAGCAAAAAAAAATTTGTGTGCTTTGCTCAATTCCACCTGGCAATGATTAATCATTGAGCTCGATTCGAGCATCTGAGCATTCAAACAAATCGGACCATTCAAACAAATCATTTGTGGAACAATTTTATTCAACATTTCGCCCAACATCAATTATTATTGGGCGACGAGACGCACGTGGAACTCATCGTTGGCGATTTTGTAGTAGATGGTCCACACGCGTTTGCCCTTGACGATGACGTCGCGTTTGCCGACGCGTCCCTCGCGCAACATCGGCAATTTGACGACGTGAGCGCGATAGTTGAAATTGAATGGTCCGAGGCGAACGTACTGGCTGATCTTGAACACGATCTCGTCGCCGTCATCGGTGAGCTCGTCGCCGGCGTTCAAGTATCAAAATAATGATTTCAGACGTTCCCTTTTTTGGTTGTGCTTTACCGGCGCACGCCGTTAACGTCGGCGCGTCGATCGTCCACAAATGTTTGCGGATCTTCTTGACGCGTTTGACGAGCGGAAAATAGATGGCGCGTTTGAGAAGCATGGCCGATTCTCGGTTCGTGCTGCTCACCGCACGCTTGGCGTTTTATAGGGCGCCGCGTTGGTCGCCATTGGCGACGAACCCGCCAATTAGTGAGCCCTCACCGAAATTCCCCCAATTTTGAATGTGATAAACAAGTTAATTGAAGCGGATGTTTGAATTCTTGAACTCGGCAGCTCAAATTTTAGAAATTCGATTTTTTTTTCTCCAAATTGGAACGTTTGGGTCTCGCGACGAAATTTTCGAAAAAAAAAAAACTTTTGGGAGAATCGCGTCGAGACCCGTCGCATAAATCAACGGCATGCGCCTTTAACTACCGTATCTCTGTTTTTTGCAATTTCGCTCGCTTTTTTCGATTACGGTACTTTTTAGACGTATGGGTCTCGACGCGAATTCGAAAAAATTCTTTTTTTTTTTGAAATTTTTTAAACCCCCACAAATTCACACGACAATTTATTGAGCATTTATAGGTGACTGCTCTACTCGGGTAGATTTACGGTGATGCTCCTTTCTCTTGGTCTCGCACCGACTAGCAGATGATTTCAAATAATTTTTTGACGTTGGAAATTCCAAGAAATGCGCAATTCGTCAAGTTCACGTGAAAACAGCAAAATAAGCGTGTTGACGCGTGGCGAGACCTTTTTCAAGGCGCATGCGCGTAAATCTACAACAGTCGCCTAACGAATTGGAAATTAATCAACATTGGTCGATTCATTCTTGAAAAATCAAAAAAAAAAATAGAAAAAAAATCAAATCTTATTTATCAGCAAAAATTACTAATAAGAGAGGTCTCAAGAGGCACAACATCTCGACCAAAATTGCGAAAATTTGACTCAACCTGTTATGCGCCTTTAATATATAGCATGTGCATCGCAATAATGGTCCTTAAAAAGCGGGAGGCGAAACCCGGGAAATGTCGGCAGGTGGTTTACAATGAAACGCCTCCTGCCTACTATTTTCACGAAAAGCGTACCTTGTTGAGTTGTCCGTGTGGAGTACACCGAACCAAAACCAAAACCAATGAATGTGAAGGGTGACGGTGCAATGAGTCTCCACAACATGACAAATGGAATGAAAGACGAAAATTACAACAAAAACCGTTTGAGTCACTGCACAGCAAACAGTGTCGAGACCTTTTCTCTCTCTCCCTCTCTCTCCCCCTTATTTGGAAGTGTGGTGCGCAAAGCAGAAAAAATAGGGTGTGAATTTCAATTCGGTCCCCCCCCCCGGGCCTGTATATTATTAATAATCATCATCATGCGCGCATATTTAATCCGTCGCCAACGCGGCGATCGATCGTCGCCGACGACAATCATGCGCTCGCCGACGATTCTCATTTTTGTTCTCGTCGTTCTACTATGCGTCGTCGTCGTGCTTCTCATGGAGCCGTCGTTGAGCGTCGGAGTCTCGCTGGTGAGTTCCCCCATCCAGCATTTTCAGTGTGCCAATCCATATACAGGGTGTCATTTAAGTTCCCGCACAACTTTGAAGACGTATATTTCTGAAACTAAAAGTCCAAATCAAACGAGACTCGAAATATTATTTATCTATAGTACAACAAATAATTATCTATTAACTCTTTTCGATTCGGCCTCTTTTCGCAGCTATGACTTCGCGGAGACGCTTCGGGTAGGATGTGACTGTGGTACGCAGGTATTCGATGGAAAGATTGTCCCATTCCGCCAGTAATGTCTTCTTCAGAGCCTCTACACTTGAGTGGGGTTTTGCGTTGACCTTCTCCTGCAAGACCCCATCACGGAGAAGTCAAGCGGGTTCAGGTCTGGGGAGCAAGCAGGCTATTCGGATGACTTGATGAAGTCGGGAAAATGGGTCTGGCACCACTCCTGAGTAGTTTTGGCAGTAGGGGCGGGTGCTCCGTCCTGTTGAAAGACCCATATCTTCCCACCGAAATGCGTTTGGGCCCAGGGCATCATATGCTTCCCCAAAATGTCCCGAACGTAGACTTCTTTGTTCACTTTCACCACCTGATCCACGAAAACCAGGGGCACTTCCCGGTTGAGCAGATGGCACCGAAAACCATCACACTGGCAGGATGTGAGGCTGGATGAATTGTTCTTCCTTTCTCAGAAGCTTTCTGGGATGTCTGGGCAAGTACTCAATGGTTTTGTGAGTTGAATGCCGCCTCCACAGTGAACAGCTTCTCGTCGGAGAAGACAGTGGCGAGGTGTTCTCCAGACCGCGTGCGAGCAAAAAGTCGTTTTGCTTTTTCGAAGCGTCTCTGCTAGTTGACGGCCGATAGAATTGCCGCTTTTTGGACGCGATATGGGGTCAGTCCAAGCTTCGTTTTGACCATTTGTTCCATAGCGAAGATGCTCATTCCCATGTCTGACGCCATCTTTCTTATGCTCCTGTGCGGTTTTCGCCTGATCCTCGTTTTGACGGCGTTGATCTTCTGAGGAGTGGTTACTGAGACGAGTCTTCCTTGTCTGGGAAGGTCACTGGTCGTATTTAGCTCCTTGAATCGTTTGATGGTGTCGTAAACCGTTCTACGAGGCACACCGAGGCGTTGAATGATCTCTGTCGGGCGCTCATTTCGCTTATGAAGTTCGATAATGGAAGCGCGATGAATGTTAGCCTTCGCCATTTCTCGGAAACACATCCGAATGAAGTGAAACTTGAAAAGTAAGTAAAATACACCTTATTTAACAAAAATAAATTGTATTGGTGCACGAAAAGTGCGACAGCCAAGCTTTTCATGGCGTCTAACTTTTGTGCGGGAACTTAAATGACACCCTGTATATCCTTATGGGGGGGGGGCTCAACAAGACTTCAAGGATTTCATTCCAATGATTTTAGATTCAACTCGGCTTCGAGACGTCGGCGTCGCTAATGCTCAACGAATGGCGCGATTGTATGCGCGCCAACATCACCAAATTTCGACATTCGACACCCGATGAGGTATGCGCCTTTAAACCAAATTCAAACGCGATTTGTCAGGTGTGGCGTTCGGCCTACATTCCGATTGTGCATTGCGAGGCGAGCACACGAATGGCCGAGTTGGACATGAAGGCGTTCACGAATTCCGACGAGACGAAATACGCGATTTTGCCGAAAACCGGCGAGTCGTGCAATTTGGTGACAATCGGCGTCGGGCAGGACACACAGGCGGAGATTGGCTTGAGAGAGGTGAGCTGCCGACAATCATCCGGGTTTCCCATGTCCGCAGATGATTTGAGTGGCTTGAGAGAGGCGAGCTGCCGACAATCATCCGGGTCTCAGATGCTTTATTTGATATGCTAGAATTGTTCACTAGGCTCTCGGCGCGGACCACATCAATTTCTTTGGCGTCGATCCGATCATCGATGGCAATTTGGAGAAGTACACGCAAATCGGCAGATTCTATCCGTTCGCCATCGGCAATTCGAGCGAGGTCGGCGAGTCGTCGGTTCTCACTCAAGGTACCATCATTCTCAATTTTTTTTCTCGAAAATCGCCCTACCATTTAAAGGCGCATACCACACGCAAAATGTGATTCATATCGAAATGATTGTATTTCTTCGAAATATCGCGAATATCAAGGTAGATCAAAAGTGTTCTGCAATGCAATTTTTTTTGCAAATTCAGATGATTGACCATTTATGGCTCGATGGCGAAGGTGCCGAATATGAGCTGTTCGACTACTTCTACAAAAATGGCAAATTTGATGAGAACGGCATCACGATATGCCAATTCAATATGGAGGTGAGACTACAGTAATCCTTGAGACACACGTCTGAAAATGTGTAGTTCGGACGACAAAATTGTCAACGGCTTACAGTAATCCCTAGAGGTTATGAGACTTAGGAATATTGTTAAAAACCTACAGTAACCCATCGGACATCAGAGGTGATTTTCAGATGCACGAGCCGAACGACGCCCGCAAATCGGCGATCCAATCGTTCCTGATTCGACTATTCGACGACGCGCGCTTCGCCTTCTTCCGTCCCGTCCAGGCCACCCATCTGCGGTTGTTCTTTGTGAATTTCGCCGATCGCGCGTGCGTCGCCAAATATCTCCAGCAACGATGATCTCTGAAGTCCTCGATCGATTTCCTTCTCGTTTTGTGTTTCAATAAATTTCGGATGTGGCAAAAAAAAAAGAAAGAAAACATTGGTTTATATGTCGTGTTTGAACAGCCTGTCGTCGTTGTTCGATGGGGGGAAACATGCATGTAAGTGGAGCGCAAAGTTGCGTTATTCTAGTATCCCTTCTGATTACTGTCGATGATGTCTGGCATGCGCCTTTAAACTCGTGATTACTGTAGATGATACCATGTCTGGCATGTCCCTTTAAATTCTGGATTACTGTAGATGATGTCTAGAATACCCCTTAAAATATTAATTTCTTTTAAATGATGTCGGCTATGTCCCTTTAAACTTGTGATTACTGTAGATGATACCATGTCTGGCATGTCCCTTTAAATTCTGGATTACTCTAGATGATGTCTAGAATACCCCTTAAAATATTAGTTTCTTTTAAATGATGTCGGCTATGTCCCTTTAAACTTGTGATTACTGTAGTGATACCATGTCTGGCATGTCCCTTTAAATTTTTACTCTAGATGATGTCTAGAATACCCCTTAAATATTAGTTCTTTTAAATGATGTCGGCTATGTCCCTTTAAATTTTTGATTTTTTTGATGATACCATGTCTGGCATGTCCCTTTAAATTCTGGATTACTCTAGATGATGTCTAGAATACCCCTTAAAATATTAGTTTCTTTTAAATGATGTCGGCTATGTCCCTTTAAACTTGTGATTACTGTAGATGATACCATGTCTGGCATGTCCCTTTAAATTCTGGATTACTCTAGATGATGTCTAGAATACCCCTTAAAATATTAGTTTCTTTTAAATGATGTCGGCTATGTCCCTTTAAACTTGTGATTACTGTAGATGATACCATGTCTGGCATGTCCCTTTAAATTCTGGATTACTCTAGATGATGTCTAGAATACCCCTTAAAATATTAGTTTCTTTTAAATGATGTCGGCTATGTCCCTTTAAACTTGTGATTACTGTAGATGATACCATGTCTGGCATGTCCCTTTAAATTCTGGATTACTCTAGATGATGTCTAGAATACCCCTTAAAATATTAGTTTCTTTTAAATGATGTCGGCTATGTCCCTTTAAACTTGTGATTACTGTAGATGATACCATGTCTGGCATGTCCCTTTAAATTCTGGATTACTCTAGATGATGTCTAGAATACCCCTTAAAATATTAGTTTCTTTTAAATGATGTCGGCTATGTCCCTTTAAACTTGTGATTACTGTAGATGATACCATGTCTGGCATGTCCCTTTAAATTCTGGATTACTCTAGATGATGTCTAGAATACCCCTTAAAATATTAGTTTCTTTTAAATGATGTCGGCTATGTCCCTTTAAACTTGTGATTACTGTAGATGATACCATGTCTGGCATGTCCCTTTAAATTCTGGATTACTCTAGATGATGTCTAGAATACCCCTTAAAATATTAGTTTCTTTTAAATGATGTCGGCTATGTCCCTTTAAACTCGTGATTACTGTAGATGATACCATGTCTGGCATGTCCCTTTATAAGGAATTGGGCTGGCCGTTGCCAGCACTCGGAATTATCGTCGGTGTTAGTGAAGTTCTGAAGAGTGTCGAAATAGAACGATTCGAGTCTCGAGAGCCAAGTTTTCTGCTTGTCGGCTGACCATTTGAGGTATGGAATTTATGAATCGCTTCTTCGAAATTTCTGATCTCCTTTTTATCTATTTTCTTGACTCTTTTTTTTCGAAAAGTCTTTGATGACATTTAATGTTTTGAATTAGAGCTTAGCAGTTTCTGTGTGGGTCCTTGGACCATTTCGTTTAGGACCACAGCTCGACTTCTGAGCATTCATTCGATTGGGTTCACTTCTTTGCTATGCCGGCTAGAATGATGAGAATTATTGAAGCCCCCGATCCCCCTTTTGAGCTGATGCGCCTTTAAATTTTTTTCGTTATGCATCGGATTGTTGCGCCCAAAATTGTCCGCAGATGGTAAAACAGATAGCTGATTCATATTCATCGCGTTGTGTGTTTGTCTACGAGCCTTTCAACCGCCAACCAACATTTTTGTTTCCGTCGATTTTCGACGTGACACTCATTTTTTTTCTTGCTCATCTCATTTTTTGATCTACTTTTGTGCAAAACGCACATGATAACAAAGGAAGAATGAATATTAAGTAGGTTTTCGATGGTTACTTTGGGGGGGGGGTCTCACCGCGAAAATTGATTACTGTAGTTTAGCGCATTTGTTGCCGCTCGCAAAAACTCAACAAAAAGCATAAAAATAAGGGCATCCATATGTATATTTTGAGGCGAAAAATGGCAACAATTGTTTTTTTTTCTTTTTTTGGTGTATTCAATGTGTCGTTTTTTTTGTGGTGTCTTGACGCCAACCAAAAAAAAACCAACAAATTTTGTGCCAGACGAGCGATGAGGTCACGCGGCGTCTCGATTTGGTTTCTCATCACCGTCATCCTCGTTTTGATCTACATGATTGTCGTGTTGGCGCCGGAACGACAGGTACGATTCGCGACGAGACCCCAAGTTTGCTTTCAAACATTGTTTTTTTTTAATGTGCTTAAAAATGATAATTTTAACGACGCGCGTTTGATAAAGAGTACTCACTTGGGCGGGTCTCGAAGCGATTCAACATTTGACGAGAAAAAACGAAATGTGAATTTCAGTTGAGTTGGCCGTTTTCGCGATCGGCCGCCTCGACTATCTACCAACGCGAGTTCGAGCGATGGAACGAATGTATGCTCAACAATCTGACCGAATTCCGAAACGATCCGATGATGGTAGGGGGTGGTCCGATCGCGGTGGGACCCTTCTCTTTTCTCTTTTTTACAGGTCTGGAAGAACGTCGGCAAAGCGGTTCGGACATGCGAAACGGAGAAAATGCGGCAACTGTTGAAGATGCGATCGTTCTCGAATTCGGATGAGACGAAATGGCACATAATGCCGATTTTTGATCTACCGACAACGGTGGTCACGCTCGGAATTGGGCACGACACCAGAGCCGAGGAGAAGCTTCGTGTAAGCTTTTACTTTATTTTTTTTTTGGGGTAGGGGGTCTGATTTGAAAGAAGCATCTGAATCGGGTGATTGTCATTGAATTTTGGTTTTTTTTTCTCTCAAATTGAGAAAAAGCAAAAATAGAAATTGGATTTTCTAGAATGTCTCCGATGTTCACGAGTTCTTCGGCGCCGATCCGATGCACGAGATCAACGAGGAGCTGTACACGAAGATTCCCGGCAAGTACTTTCCGTTTGCCGTCGGCGCCGCGTCGGGTCTCGGCACGGCTAGCGTGCTGAAAGGATGTGAGTTTGACTGTTGGCGGCCATCATCATCGCATTATTCCCCGTTTTCAGCGACCTATCGAGACATGACGGTTGTCTACGTTGAAGTGATCTATTTCCTCAAAGAGATCATCAAGAAGACGGTGAGCGGGGCGGGTCTTGAAGCGAACCGAGAATTGAGAAGAGCAATCAATTTTTGCAGTTTATTGATGATTTTTGGATCGATGCTGAAGGCGCTGAATATGACATGTTTCCGTATTTCTACAACGGCGGCAAATTTGATGAGAACGGCATCACGATATGTCAATTCAATATCGAGGTTGGTTGAGGAATGCATATTTGGAGAAAAACTGAAATTGTTGAGTTACGAGCAGGTTAAAGGCGCACGCCGACTCGAATTTTTATTTTTTTTTGGCATTTAGCCAATTTTCCGAAATCGCGCATTCTAGAATTGATTCTTTGGAAAAAAATTGTCGGACCATGGATGATCATGATTCTTTTTTTTTTTTCAAATTTTTGCTTTTAGCGATTACGCATTGCGTTTTGTTTTTTTTTTCTGGAAACATTTGAACGATTATATTGGAATTTGTCATTTGGGAAAAAAATTGAAACGCGATTTCGTGGCTTCTAGTGTGGCAAAACTCTGTGAAAAAAACGGAATAACTTTTCCAAAAAAAAAAACACCACAATTTATTGAATAACGAATTAATCAGCATTATTTGATTCGTCCTCCTCGATTTTTGATAACCCCCTTCAGACGCTTCGGGTTGGCGTCCGTCGATGACCCGTTGGCCCAGAAGGGCCGCTTGTTTTGACATCTCAAACTATAAAATGTAATTAAACCTTTATTTGATAAACGAGTAATAAAAAAAACTCTAGCGCAATTCCAAAAAATGTGCATTTTTTCACAAATTTTGAAGAAAGCCACTCAAATTAAGCCATTTCTGTCAAAATTCCGCAATTGCGCGTCAATTCTGATGCCGAGTTCGCAACCCACCAAATAATGTAAGCATCGTCCGGTTTTGGCATTGTGTGTAAAAAGAAATAGGCTATAACATGAATAAAAATACAAATAGAAAAGCAATGGTTCATAGCGAGCCACAATCTTCGCAAATATGGGCGTGTCGGAACACGCCAGTTCAGAAAAAATGCAAAAGCTGAAGTCTTCTCTTGTTAGACCCCCCCCCCCTAAACAGAATAGTTCATGGGGTAAATTAGGAATATGGTTTACATGCCCTCAGAATGTTTGAAATCACCTTCAATCATACTCGCAATTGGGCGGCTCGGATCAGGCTGAGAATTTTATCGACCCGCGCCGACCCACTAGTAGATTTTTAATGAAAACTTTATTATGAAAAAAAAAATAATAAAAAATGAGACTGGTTCAATCAATTTTGTTTTGGGAACTTCTGAGCAATTTGCGTTCCAATAATAATTCATTCTGCTCGAAATGACGCAATTCGAAAATCGTATTACGCTAAACAATGGTCTCGCTGTAAACGTGGAGTGTCGTTGTGCGCGTCGACAAATAGTGTGTCGTGTAGAAATTGCTATATTGTTGGCGTCGCGGCGCAAAATTGGGGGAATGCCAAAAAAAATGGTGTTGGCGCAAAATTCAAGGTGTAGATTGGCGGGCGATGAAGAGCTTCTGAGCAAGCAATTCGTTGGTGTGCCACGAAATTCGATTCCTTTGGGAAACGTTGAAGTTTGGCCCAGAATTTAAAAAAACAAAAGACGATTTTTGCGAAAATGCGCAACCCGCAAAGATGTCGGCAGCACGAATATATCAAGTTTGGAAAAAGTGGAGGCCCCAATTCTTGGAGTCTTCCGGTGGCGGCGAGGCCCGCAATCATGTCGGCAGTTGAAATTTGCGTCGCACAATATTTTTGTTTCGCCAGATCCACAATCCAAGTAGTGACGACAAGCTGAAAATACACGACTTCATCTTCCGCATTCTCAAGGATCGACGATATGGACTATTCAAGTTGATCCACCAACCCTCGCGATCCGCTAACTATGCGATTTTAGGCCGATCCAGGCGAGACACCTGCGGTTGTTCGCCGTGAATTTTGACAACGACGAGTGCGCGACGAAGTTCTTCGAGCAGAAATTGTGATAATTGAAACGGGTCCCCCCCCCCTTTAATTTTTTTTGACAAATCGTGAATAGCATAATAGTAGTTGTAATTTAGTTTTTTTTTTTGAAATGGCAACGCTTGCGTCTTTAAATTGTTGTACTATTCCATTTTCTTTCTCTCTTTTTATAAACATTTTCATAGAGGATAATTGGGCATCGTGAGAGCAGACGAACGATGCCAATCATGCCCTGAAGCATTGCTTCCCATTTATGGGCCTAATATGAGCAACGTATCTGTTTCCTCGAGGCAATTTTGTTTTCGGCCCCCTCAATTTGTTGTTGATTCGTGAAAATTCCCCACGGGACCCAATGGAATCTCTTGTTCCATTTTTTTGTGTGTGTCGTTATTCTCCTCATCGTTTCCCCCACCTCCTAATAATTTATGATGGTGGGGTTTTGAATTTCGCGCGCCCGGCTCCGAATGAATATTTGATATTGATATGCTTTATTGCAGCAGTTGAGAGGGAGAAGCTTCTCGCTCCTCCTGCTCCTCACCGCTTCGTTGAGAAGAAGGAGAAGCTTCTCGCATGACACCTAATATGGAGGTTTGTTTTTTGTTTTATGTGTTATGCTATGTTTGATGCGTCTACGTTTCTTTTTTCTTTTCTTTTTTTTTTGCTTTTCAAGGCACCGCTGAAATTGGTGCTACCGTAATCATACTAATTGGGATTTGGTTTTAAGCTAACCAGCATCGTGCACAGCTGAAATTGGTGTTACAGTACGCCTGAATTCGCGGTTATCTATGTAGGCAATAATACGCATTGCAAACGAGTGCTACCGTAATCGCCGATTTTTTGACCACCTTGCCAAAAACGTGTGCTACCGTAATCGTGTGAATCACTTTTGTTCTAGCTTTGTCTACAACTGAAACTAGTGCTACAGTAATCTAGATTTTGAATTTTAAAATTGCTGAAATTTGGACTACACTATACTTTTATGAATTTCTAGTTTCGTGAACAAGTGCTACCGTAATCCTGGTTACTAGTTGCCATTCTTCAAATCTTTGGAATCACACACCTGAAACTTGTGTTACAGTAATAATGATAATGATACGGTTTCGTGCGATTTGTCGAGTTGCACACCTGAAACTAGTGCTACCGTAACCATGATCGAGATCGAGTTTGACATCGCACAGCGCGAACTTGTGATACCGTAACCGGCCAACAGTTGTATTTCTATTAGAAGTGTCGATCTGCGGACATTGTTGCGGTTCGGCATTTTCAAGAGGCCCATCGAATAATTGAGAAGTTGTTGAGGATGAGAGGAGATGGGTTGGAGGGGGGTAGTGGAGGGGAAGAGGAAGGGATCCGTTACGCCCTCCCTCTCCCCCCTGGGGACCATCAAGTTTCCCGAAAAACAACAACCAGCAGTATTGAAAGATTACGCGCCCATATATACACATCGGGACCCTCGAAATTTTGTGCCGACGACTCTAAACAATATATTCGTTTATTTTTCATGCTTCGACGAATATTTGTAAGTTGCCTTCTTCGTCTTCAGCTTCTTCTTTAGACCCCCCCCCTCTACTTCTCAAAAAAAAAAACTCCTTGAGCTAATCGAATTCGTAGTATGACGACGGACCCATCATTCATATTTTGTGTGTCTTCACAACTTCAATTTATGGTCCCAGTCTCCATGATGCCAGAGAGAAGCGCGCCGTGCTTTTATTTATTTTTTTTTAGTGGTCCCTACGATTCTTTTATGGTCCCAACGAGTTGCTGCCCAAATTGATCGCATAATTTTGTGTTGTGGAAATTTGGAACGAACCCAAGAGACCCCCCCCTCATCACCAAACAAATTTTGCAATTTTTTTGGAACCCAATTATGTAGTTGCTCTCTTGAAATTTGATTTTCGAACTTCTTCTAGAATATGCCAATTAAGATAATTAGGCGCAATTAAGAAAATTCCCCCCAATTTTGATGGGCTCAACTAGGTAAAACCGAAAATTTCGACAATAAATTTTTTCGGCGCGAAAACCAAAAGTTCAAAAATCGGGCTATATATTTATAAGGGGGGGGGGTCCAAAAAAGTGCACTCGAGCGTAAATAATTCGCGGTGGTGAGCAGCCGCTACCAAAAAAAAAAGAAAGTTTTTGGGCGAATTAAAATGCATGAAAATCTGTGTGAATTCGCCGGAAATAAGCTTCTTCGTCGTCGTCTTATTCCAATTTGTTGATTTGCGTCGAAGCGCACGATTTTTACAGAAATCCGGCCACAAGAAGATGTCGGCGCCGACGCGGCTACTCGGTGAGTTTTTTTGCATTTTTTTTTTGGGGGGGTCTTATTTTAGGCAAACCAATTAAGTGGGTAATTAACTAATTAGCGGACAGTCATTTTTTCTTTTCTTTTCTTTTTTTTGGTTTTGAAATTTTTCTTATTTTTCTGATTAGGGAGTAGACGATTTTTGAAGCCATATGAATTACCATCTGCGGACACGTCGCCGGGTTGAGAATATCGAAGTCATCGACATTTCGTAGATCTATTGGAATCTGCGGACAGTTCCCGGGTTTGAAAAATTGAATCTGCGGACAGATTCCGGGTTTTACAAAAAGTTGAATCTGCGGACAATTCCCGAGGTTTTAATAAATTTTTTATCTGCCGTCAGTTTCCGGGTTTTGAAAAATTTGGAATCTGCTGCGGACAATTCCCAGGTTAAAAAAAATCGAATCTGCACACTATTTCCATAAATTTCAATCTGCGGACAGATTCCGGGTTTTACAAAATTTTGAATCTGCGGACAATTTTTTTTGTTGAAAATTCGAATCTCACTGGAATACCCCAGCGGCTGGCCGAGTTTGGCGTGGCCGTGGCCGGCGAAATCTCGATAGCGATTTTTAAAAAATTTGAATCTCCACAGCTTCAAATAAAATCTGAATTAAAAGAGACCATAAAATAAAAAAATCAAATCGGCCGATGAGCAATTTTCCAATTATCTAATTAAACTAATTATGTATATTGGTGGGCGGGGCGACGAGAAACAACAAACTTGAATGGTTTTTGTTTTCTCATTTAGACGCGAGTGCATCCCATCCGAATGTGTGTGTGTGTGTGTTTGCTCACGGCTCACGGGGGCCCCAGACGACACCCCACCGAATAATTAAATTCAGCCGCCTCCTCCGGAGAGCTTCTCGCGCCGAGCACAACACTCGCTTGCTCACATATGCCCATTTTTGTGCTATTCGCCGTCGAGTGTTGCTTTCTCACATGACGGGGCCCACAACAAAAAAGGACCCTGTCCAAAAAAAATTTTTTTTTTTCGAAACTTTTTTTTTTCGATTTTTTTTGCTCGCCACCCAACTCTGCGCAGGATTTTTGGTTTGGTGGGACCCCGAAAATGGTGGGGACCATTTCGAGTTGATTAAACGCAAACTACTCTTTTTTTTTGAGGGGAAATTGAATTTTTGTGGCTCCCTCTTTTGTTCAAACCGCCTATTTTTTTTTGGTTTGAGGGTTTTCTTCAAGAATTCTCTTATTCCTGACAACATCTGGCCGACGATTATGATGTCGGCGCTTAACGGACCCACCCCCCCCCGACGATGAAAACAAATCATCATTCATCCCTCTTCTCTGCTCCAGTTATTTTTTTTTTCGCCGTTCGCGTTCGCTCGTAAAAATCATGCTTTCAAATTGTCCGCAGATGGAAATTGCCATATCATTTGTCGTGTTCTCCTCATTCTTTTGTCTTCTTTCAAACTCGGAGATTGTCCGCAGATGGCAATACTTGAATATATTCGATACCCCCCGTGGCCCCGTGAATTGTCCGCAGCTGGAAATTATAGAAATAATCGGCGAATTGAATTCCTGGCTTCTTCTCAAAGGACAGTATTTTAGTCCCTTGTGATGTCCGCAGATGAGAATTGGAAAGACCCATTTTGATCAATGATTTTTTTCTCATCAAATTTTGAAAAAGAAAATTTTTAGAATGTTGTTTTTCGCTCAACTCCCTAATTCTTAGCGGAAAAATTCAATCGTTAACCAATTTCGACGCTTTGGCCTGTAAATTGTCGGCTGCAAATCACTTAACGATTTTTTGGCTCGTAACATGTCCGCAGGTGGAATTGGAAACTTGAAATCGTGTACCTGCAGATTAGATAGCTCCAGCCGGCCGAAAACGGTTCAATTTTGAATTGACAAACATGATCACCAGTGAACTGTCCGCAGATTGCATGAGATTTGAGAATGGACCATTGAAGTCTAGAAAATTATAGAAAATTATTAATATTTTGATTTAGGGACCAAAATTTGAGCCTGAGGACCATTCAATTCATATTTTGATTTTTTTTTTGATTGATGGGGGCCATTAAAAGCACTTGAAGCCCCGAATATTGCAATTGTCCGCAGCAAACAAATATTGAATACGGCCGACGCTTTTTGTTCGCGTCGAGAATAAAAGAGAGAGAGAGAGAGAGAGAGAGAGGGGTGGAAAAGGGCGAAATGAGAAACAAAAAACATGCCGACACAAACCGCTAACGAACCACCCTAACCGGAAGGACCATCATTCTCATTTCGCGTCCGGGCGGCCCAAAATCTATTCATTTCGCTCAAATTTTTTTCTGTATCCATCGACGGATGAGGGCGTCTCTTTTGATAGAAAAATAAAACAGCGCCCTCAAAGAGAAAGAATGAGATGCGACAACGCTGGAATAGGAGGAGGAGGAGGAGGAGGATGAAGAGGAAGAGCGGAGGCAGAATGGCTCGGTTTTATTTTATTCCGAAGCGCTCGCCCTCCATCGCTCGTATTTTTTTTGGTTCCAGTATTATTTCAAATCCCCCCCCATTTTTTTTTCCAATCTGATTTTGACCTACAATGTCGGACACCATGTCGCAACGCAAAAAGAGTCTTATTGCGATTAATCAAAGGAGACAGTCGACAGGTGAGATGATGGTCCCTAGGATTGTCAGAATTTGCTGTGACGAACAGAAAATTTTAATGAATGTTTGCTGCGGACAATATGAATCTGTGGTTGAATTCAATTCATTAAAGAAAAGTGAGACGTCATTTGCAAATTTATCTCAAAATCATGCTGCGGACATTGTTGCGGGATTGAATTTTTCAAAAAACCGACAATTTTCATTTTTTTTGCGAAAAACGGGCAGCTTATATATATTCCGCATAATTATGTGTTGGACGAAGCGAATTAATTCCAAAAATTGCTAATTTGCAAATTTGTTTCGGGGTGGCTTCTCCCCCCTCTCTCTCCATCAGTGTGCGCACTCGATCTCAAAATCGTTAAAAAATCGATCTTGCTCGAGAATTTAAAGATCGATCGAACCCGAGATCGATCGAGCATTTCGAGCGCTCGAGATCGATCGAGCGGGATCGATCGAACTCGAGCGCTCGAAACGCTCGATCGATCTCGAGCGCTCGAAATGCTCGATCGATCCCGCTCGATCGATCTCGAGCGCTCGAAATGCTCGATCGATCGCGAGCGCTCGAAGCTCGATCGAGCGGGATCGATCGATCTTTAAATTTATATGCAATTAAAATTAGTTTTGAATACGTTTTAAAAAGCGAAATTTTTAATTTCTACCGGCTGCACAATTTTAATGAAAGCCTTGCATCGATAATTCCGTTTCGAACCAGCTCTATTCAGAAAAAGCTATTAAAGTTCATTCTATGTATACATGTATTCATTTATTTTTCCCGTAATAGCAACAAAATACATAAATTATAATAGAAAGCGTACAATACTAATAGGATAAAAAACGAGGAAGAACAAAAATAATATAAAATAAGAGTGGGAATTATTAAACGAAAAGAAAAAAATGAGGGAATTTTGGAAACGAAAATGTTCATGACTATAAAATTTTTAAAACCAATTACACTGCTCCACAAAGTTTAACCTCATTGATATTTTTTGAAAAATGACATTGTCACGAAATTTCAAAAAACGATTTTATTGTTAAAATATGGCTAAAAGAGTTCTCCTAAACATGATCGTGGTCTTTCGAATCGACAAATCGTTCGAGATTTGGGCGCAGACCAAAAGTGATCAATAATTATCTGAAGAATCCATCAGATTGTGGTACTGCGACATGATCTGGATGTCCAACCTCCATTTCTAGCCGAGAAATAGAATTCGTGAAAATGTCATTTTTCAAAAAAAAATGGGTGAGGTTAAACTTTTGTGGAGCAGTGTAGTTTTTTAAAAATTGCTTTCCTGAATGTCTTCGATTTCGAAATTTAGTTCTTGTTCACCTTCAATGTCGTCCTCTTGTCTTACTCCTCCCTTTGTGTTGGCGTTTCAAGTTCGTCCTCGTATCCTGCATTTTTTTCGTCTTCTATGGCGAAATCAAGAATATCATAGTTTGAATCTACGTCTTCTTCATTATCCTCCCAATGTCTGAAATATAAAATCAATTTTTCCTAAATTTTTGCACTTACTCTTTCGCGAGAGCAGCAGTTAATAAAATATTGGACACTGTGTCCGGTTTCATTCGATTGCGTTTTTTGTTTCGCAAAATATCAGAACATTTTCTGAAATTATGACAAATATAATCGGTGTAATAGTAAACACTCATTTGCAAAATAAATCGGCATACATACATATTGTCGGCGTTGAGCGACTATTGAAAATTCTCAAATTAAAAAATTTGGAACGGATTACGCATAAAAATAGGTTGAAAGCGCACATATATTTTCATTGTTTTGGATTTTGCCAATTTTACGTAGTGGACACCGATAATAGTTATAAAAATTTCTAAATAACTTACGAAAAGTCGCTCCGCTGAGGAACTAGAAGCTGGGCAACTCAGATACACCTTTGCGAAATTTCCTAATATGGGAAAATGAGCAGATTGACCGGCCCAAAAGAAAGCGGGTCAGATTTGGCCGATGGCCGATTTGTTGGAGTATTGTTTGTAATGCAATATTTCTGACTAAAATTAATATTTTACCAAGTAGTACTCCATTATTAAAATTACTTTTATTGTTTTCTCAGAAGACGCACCTCAGCCTTCTTTTCAAAATGAGTTTTCCATCGTCCGAATCGGAATCGTTTGTTGTGATGAACTTAGGTTCTTTGGCACTGGTTTCATGTTTTTTGATAAGAAGTTCTTTTTATACATGACGTTTTAGATTTGGCCGAAGCTGAGCGGGGATCCACAACATGGCGAGCTGCAGAGCGTCATTTTCCTTATAAGATTGCGCGAATCTGTAAGGCTTTTTTCGATAGCTTAAAATTTAAAAAAACCTAATTTCAGATCTTTGCATTTTATAGCTAGCGAGTTCCTTTTGTTTCGAGTTTTTGAATTTGGGATGATCTCCGATGTCGAGTTTTGCGCTCAAACTAAATAAATAATCAAATAAATGAATACAAATATAATTGGTTACCTTAGAAGAACAATATAACTGGCTCCAGAACATCGATAATCTCATCCAAACTTTTGTGTGTGCGGACAACATTTTGAAGTTGCCTTCTGCCACTAACGATTTAATTCTTTTGATAGCTGTTTATAATAGTACATCGAAGCCCATCTAGTCGGTGACAAACACTGCGGCAAGGGTGCCGTGTCGGGAAGGCTTTTGCGTTTTTCGACTTCACTTCGGACGCTCTTATTTCGAGAGAGATATGATGACAAATTTTGTGCATTTCCCTAATTGGTTCAACCTTCTTCAATTTTGAAACTCCTCGAATGCTAGATCGAGAAAATGACAGCCACAATGCACGTTTTTGAGAAAATGACCAGTTGAAAACGAGCGCAAATTAGCTCCATCTGTGCTGTTAGTTCGCATGCTTAAGTTTATTCCTACTCGTTGAAGTAAGAGCATATCGATTCAGCAATATCGGCGGCTGTGCTTTTAGCGACGTGACGAATTCCACAAAGGCGTTCTTTCGTTTGTAATCTTCAGAGACGAAAAATCTGGCAACTGTGAAGTTTCGATCTTTTTTATTTCGCATAGCCATCCGTCACTAATGTAAATGACTTCACATTTCTTAATTTGCCTTTCTATCATCTAAGTAAATTTGAGATATCTTCTCAACGTGATGTGCAATCATTTTGGGAGTGGGCACGACAGCAGATTGATCTAAGAGTTTGTAAGTTCTGATAAAATTTTGATTGGCTGCAAACGGAAGGGGATTCCTCCTGTGCAAAAGCTCTGGAATGTGTTATATTATAGTTAAAAAAAAACGAAAATATTCAAACTTCGTGATTTCAATTCCATTCCTTATATATTGGTGCTCAATAGTTTCTTTTTCAATGACCCGTTTACTCTAAATTAAAAAAATGTTTTATTTAAAAAAAAAAAAAAACCTTGGAGTTCAAATGTTTCAACTTTTCAATGTGCGACTTTGGTGTCGGATGAGATTGGTTGTACTTTTATTATAACTTATATCACTTTGCAAACTGGACACTTAATATACTGAGTGGTGGGATCAGTAGGTTTGGAAAAAATCCCACGCAATGGATGTCATTCTAAAAAAATAATAATAAATAATGTTTCCAATTTAAAAAAATTTGAGAACGATCCAACGAATAAAAAATTGCATAACTGCCATTGAATTACGGAGTTTATGTGAAACAGCTCTTAAAGCGGAAAATTTGAATTATATAAAGTTTTCGAAAATTATTTAATTCGCGTTCGAAACGCGCTCGCGTGCGTTTTCAGGTGTTGGGGCGTGTTTGCAGCGGGACTCGTTTTTGCAATGTAGTTTTGCCAATCAGGGACTGCAATAAGGGGGTGGAGTCAGGACAAAACGTATGACAGTATTGATGTCTATGAAAATTTCATTTTCGGCTATTTGCTATTTTCGATCATTTACGGTAACTTTCTAAACAGATTTTCTACATTCGGGTTGTGATTATTCGTAACGTTTTTCCAAAGTTTTTCCTAAAATTTCAAACTTTTTCTTAAGATAATTTTTTTTTTTTTTTTTTTTTTGTTTAGAACTCTCGGGCTCGGTTCAATCTATAATTTGCTACTGCTACTTTTAGTCTGAATACCTGCGCTGGAGATGGGCTTTCGTTTTTCGCATATGTAGTCGTTTAGTAAATATGTCTTGAAGCATTCGGATCTCGAGTTTGCTCTGTGGCTTCTTCTTTTTGTGTTTAAAAAGAAACAAAAAAAAAAAAAAAAAAAAAAAAAAAAAAATTAAAAAAATCTCCATCCATTTTGGGAATTTCTCTGATGCCTTGGTATTCTGTTTTTCAGTGGCCAAGGCGGCCGTGTTGTCGTCGGCGATGTTGGCGCGCAAGAATTCGTCGTCGCGTGGTGGCGTTGGCGGTGGTGGTGGCGGTAGTGGTGGCGGTTCGGCGGCGTTTGGCGCCCGCGAGAGCATCGCCGCCATCTCGGATATGCTGAGCACGCAGAGCAAAAAGCCGATCAGAAGCAGCTATGTTGAAAGCGAGCGGCTTGAGACGGCGCTCAAAATCGCGTGCACGATTTCAATGATCACGGTAGGTGTCTTGAAAAAACCGGAATCCGCCAAAAAAAAAATTATTATAATTTTTTTTTGTGGTACTGTATGTGGCCAAGTCCGCAATAAGCAAAAATGCACAGATTTTCGAATGTCGATAAAATTGCAAATTTTTAATTTTTCCCTTTTTTTTTGAAAAATGAATCCAAAATTTTTTATTTAATATTATTTTGCGTTCTGACACGAATTTTGCATGCATCGAAATCGAAAAATAGCGGCATTTGACCTTAAATGGCAAAATTGAATTTCGCGTTCTCGGTTTTTCTTTTTCTTTGATGAATGACCGTCATTTTTTTAATTTTTTTTTCTATGGACCATTTATTATGATGTTTAATAGGCCGAATAACTTTTAGGTATGCCTACACACACCGCGGACCATCGAAATTCTGCCGCCGTTGGATTTCATAATACTGATAGCCGATTTGGTGTCCGTCTCGATTTTTATGATTGACGCCGTTCTCAGAATCCATTATGAGCGAATTTTCCAGGTTGGTTTTTCTTCCAAAAAATTATAACTTCTATTTTTTTCAGTGTGATTCTTCATATTTAACCAACCGCTGGTCGCAATTTTCCGTTTTTATGTCACTTATTCACCTTGCTTCATTTTTATTGCACGTTTATCAACTTTTAGGTACGCCAATATTCCAGTTTTATCTTGGAAAATTCAATTTTTAGACTCGTTTTTCCCATTTTTGGGCCTTGGTTATCGTCAATGGTTCGGTGTTATCCGCTCAATTCGACCTTTCATAATTATTCGAATGATTCCTCTTATTGTCAAATTCAAATTGCCTAAAAATCGGATAGAGCAGCTTTTAAAGTAGGTTTAAAAAAAAAACAATTTAAATATCTCATAAATAATTTTTACAATTACGGTAAGCAATGTGTGCATTTTTTGGTCGCGGTGTACTGCAGATTTCACGCCATTTTTCATTTTTTGAGAATTTCTTCTCATTTCCTTTTTAATTTTCGTTGAAATACAACAAAAAAATTATTGTAGTCTGAATTTACAAATAAAAAATTGCAGGCGATCATCTCAACAAGTCAAAAATGTAACATTATTCTTCGTTTTCTTCATGACGCTCTACGCAATATTCGGAATTCAATTATTCGGAAGAATGGATTACCACTGCGTTCAGCCGAGTAATCTTTCGCATCGAATCTACTTTCAATTAATTATTTTTTCGTAGATACCGATCCAAATAACGTCACCATCATGGATCTCGCCATTCCGGACACAATGTGTGCGCCCAACGGAATTGGCGGCTATGAGTGCCCGCCGCCAATGGTGTGCAAACAGTTGAATCTCAACGCCAAGGGCGAAGGCTTTTATGGGATGTTCAATGATTTCGGAGCCAGCGTCTTCACCGTCTATCTAGCAGCTTCAGAAGAAGGCTGGGTGTACGTCCTCTACGATTGTATGGACTCCCTACCATCATATCTAGCCTTCTTATATTTTTGCACACTGATTTTCTTCCTAGCATGGCTAGTAAAAGTATTTTTTTTTTTTTGATAAAACTCATTATCGCAAAAAAATGCGCTTCAGAACGTGTTCATCGCCGTCATCACCGAGACATTCGCGGAGATTCGCGTGCAATTCAGCGAAATGTGGCAAAAGAAGGAAATGACGCTGGATGAAGAATTCCGAAAGCGATTAGAAAAAACTGAAGACGGTTGGCGGTTGATTCGTCTCGATGGTGAGGTTGAGACTCAAGGGCCCAAGCAGAAGCTTCAGCTGATGCTCCGAAGTGTCTACTTCCAATGCTTCGTCATCATTTTCGTGGTGCTGAATGCAATCGCGAACGCCATGATCGTTTACAAGCATGATCATACGGATAAGATTAGGAAACAATATTTGTATTATGTCGAGGTGAGCTTTATAATGGAATTTATTCGTATTTCAATGGTTCAGGTTGGCTTCACAATTCTATTCAACGTCGAATGCATCATCAAAATTCTGTGCTACGGCTTTCGCAATTTTTTCCGACGCGGAATCTTCAAATTCGAGCTCATTTTGTGCGTCGGCAGCTCGCTGAACATCGTGCAATTCTTCTACGAGCGCAATTATTTCACCTACTTCCAAACGTTTCGCCTCCTTCGTCTCATCAAAGCGTCGCCGATTCTTGAGGATTTCGTCTGGAAGATTTTCAGCCCTGGCAAAAAGTTGGGCGGTCTTGTGATATTCACAATCGCGTTCATTTGCTGCTGCTCGGCGATCTCGCTGCAATTGTTCTACGCGGTGCCAAATTTGCATCATTTTCGCACGTTTCCGCAGGTTTTGCTTTTTTTTTCTGAAAATCCAGCCAAGACCCAAATCGCTGCATTGATTTCAGGCATTCATGTCCATGTTCCAAATCATCACCCAAGAAGGTTGGACCGATTTTGTCGTCGAGGTCCTACGGGCCACCGATGACAATATGGTCCCATTTGTTGCGTTATATTTTGTCGCGTACCATCTCTTTGTGACATTGGTAAATCGGAATTCATCACTGAAAACTGCGTCATCTGAAATTTCGACGTTCAGATTGTGTTGAGCTTATTCGTCGCTGTCATTCTGGATAATTTGGAAATGGACGAGGAGCTGAAGAAGGTGAAGCAGTTGAAAGCTCGAGAGGCCACCACATCAATGCGATCGACACTGCCATGGAGGTTGAGGGTTTTCGAGAAATTCCCGACGAGACCTCAAATGTCGGCGATGAAGAGGTACGGTATTTGTGGAAGTTTTTTTTTGCAAAACAAAATCGTAAAAAATGAATAGAAATCGAGTTTTCAATTTTCAATAGATTTCTGAAAGCCATTGCAGAGCTGACAGCGATTTTCCAATGCCGAAAGTTCGCGGGAGCTTCACCCATCAATTCGCCGGCGAGCAATGCGTCGAAGCCACAGAGACAATTGAGCATGGTAGCGAAATTTCTTTAAAAAAGAACAACTAATATGTGTTTTCTTCAAGAACCCGACACTCTTAAGCGGATATTGCCGATATCGGCGAATTGCAAACGAAATCTGTTTCGCGACGAGCTCTCATTCCGCCATATTGGCGGCACATCGCTACGGTGCAGCCTCAACAATCTTCTCGAGTTGGTTTTTTTTGGGTTTTCAAAAAAATTGTTTTTTTTTTTTGATTCTCTGGGCATATGCGGATTTTTTTTTTCTCGCTTTGTGGTTGTAGTCGGCGAATGTTCTCAATTCGTGCATTTTTTTTTCTTCGCACCCCACAGAAATTGCCTGATTCGCATGCATATTAGCTCGGTTATCGGAATTTTGTTTTTCCGTGTGTCTTTTGTTCTCATTTGGCACCAATTTATTTTTTTGTCTTCTGCCTGCGCGCACCGCGAGCACGAGTTTGCAGGGAGTCGGACCGCAATCGGCAATCGTTGTCCAACTCGTTCTCGTTTCTGCCGACGTTCACGCGATCATCGGGAAGCTTGTATCCGCGCAAAGACGCACTACCGTATGTTTTTGCACTTTTGATCACACACACACACAGACGCACACAAAGTTATCTATTTTTCATTTTTTTTTTCGGTTCTTTTTTTTTCACCCATCACCTTTATTCTGTAAAATTGTTGTTATGTGTCCGACACTTGATTAAGTTAAAGAAAAAAGAAACGAATTTTTTTGGGACGAGGTAGATCAAAACAAATTTTAGGAAATCGCGATCGATGACTGGAAAATTCCTGCAGACGGCGATTCGCAATAAGCAGTACAACATGTATAGCGAGAATGGCGATCTCGCGCGACCATCCGACTCGGCGCCGAAGAAGAATGCGAAGCAGGGCGAGATTGATATTCGCGCTTTGCAGCAGAAGAGGCAACTTGCCGAGATCACGAGGTATAGAAGCAGCAGCTACGGTAGGATTACTGTAGAATTGTGAATTTGGTTTAGAAATCGAATCGAGGAAGACATGCGCGAGAATCATCCGTTCTTCGATCGCCCGCTTTTCGTTGTGGGACGCGCGTCGCAATTGCGCGAGTTTTGTAAAAAGGTTGGAAAAATTCGAGAGTTTTTGTTTAAAGGCGCACACGCTTTTTTGTTGTGCATTTTCGATCACCTTCCTATATTGTAGATCGTCCATTCGAAATACGACAGCCAGGATGATGGAGTCAATGGATCGAGTAAAACGAATCAGAGCTTCAAGGAGATTCGGTATAACGTCGAAAACCCCAACTCCCCAGCTAATTACCCTAATTATAGAGCGTTTATTGGGATCATGCCTTATATCGATTGGGCGATGGCTACCGTGACCATTCTTTCTTGCATTTCAATGCTGTTTGAGAGCCCGTGGCCGACAACAAAGGAGAATTTGGTTATGTATAATTTCTACCTGCAGGTAAGCATGGATCATCGTCACATGGAGAAGCTGGATGTACGGATTTCAGATCGCTGACTACATGTTCGTGTTGGCGATGACATTTGAACTTTGCGTCAAAATCATTGCGAATGGGTTGTTCTTCACGCCGAAGGCTGTCGTCAGGGACGTTGGCGGTGTGATGACGTTGTTCATTTATTTTGTAAGCGCGTTGACTTTTGAAATGACCAAATTGAACAAAGAATTGTAGACAAGCTTGATTTTCCTTATATGGATGCCGAAGAATGTTCAAATCAATAGTCTCGCTCAATTTTTGCTCATTTGCAGAGCGATGCGGCCGTTGAGGTTTGGCTTTTTGTTTGAAATTGATAATTTTTTTCCGATTTTTCAAGGATTTACACACTTGTTCCGCACATTCGCCGCGTTGTTCTCGAGTTCTTTCGCGGATTCAAAGAGATTCTACTCGTCACGATACTCATGATCGTCGTGATGTTCATTTTCGCCAGCTTCGGCGTCCAGATTGTCGGCGGCAAATTGGCGGCGTGCAACGATCCGACGATAACGAGCCGCGAGAATTGCACGGGTGTGTTCTGGCAGAAGATCTTCGTCACGCGTCTCGAAGTGTACGGAAAAGATTCGGAGAGTATGCATCCGAAGATACTCGTGCCGCGAGTGTGGACGAATCCGAGGAACTTCAATTTCGATCACGTCGGCAACGCGATGCTCGCTCTGTTCGAGACGTTGTCGTACAAAGGATGGAACGTGATCCGAGACATTCTATCGACGCGTCATGGACCGTGGGCGGTGGTTTTCATTCACATCTACGTCTTCATTGGATGCATGATCGGACTCACGTTGTTCGTTGGCGTCGTCATTGCGAACTACACGCAGAATCGGGTAGGATTGACGCGATGAAATTTTGATGACGATGATTGTGTTTAGGGTACTGCGCTTCTCACCGTCGATCAGCGTCGTTGGCACGATCTGAAAGCCCGTCTGAAAATGGCGCAGCCTCTACACGTGCCGCCGAAACCGTCGGAATCGGCGCGTCTCCGCACGATATTCTATGAGTTGACGATGAGTCGCGGATTCAATCAGACGTTCGCGCTTCTTGTCGTCCTCAACAGTTTCACGCTGGTGATACCGTGGAACGTCGAGGAGGAGTCGCTTCGGTCGACATATGTGTTCATTGTGACCGCCGTCAGCGCGTTCATCAACATTCTGTTCTGCGTTGAGATCATTCTCAAAATCGTCGCCTACACGTTCTCCGGATTTTGGCAATCGCGACGGAATCGCGTTGATCTACTCATAACAGTGTTCGGTGTGATTTGGATATTCCTCCATTTCTTCGTCGCGCTTCCGTCGTCGAAAATTGACGTCGATGTTCAGGTGGAGTTTAAGAAGGCCACCTACACGTTCGGCTATCTTGTGGTGATATTGCGCTTCTTCACAATTGCAAGTAAGAAATGCCGATACAAAAATCGCGACGCCGACAACGATGCGGGTTTTTTAGGTCGCAATTCGACGCTGAAAATGCTGATGTTGACGGTGGTGATGAGCATGTTCCGCTCGTTCTTCATCATCACCGCCTTGTTCCTGTTGGTGTTGTTTTACGCCTACACCGGCGTCATTCTATTCCCGATGGTCAAATATGGAATGGCTGTGAGCAAGTAATCTTGTGACGCTTCGAGCTTTGTCAAAATTTGGTCTCAAATTGAATTTAGGCACGTCAACTTTCGAACGGCTTCCGAAGCGCTGGTCGTTCTGTTCCGATGTCTGACCGGCGAGGATTGGAACGACATAATGCATGATTGCATGGTGATCAATGATTATTGCGAATTTTGGATGATGATTTGTTTTTTTTTTCAGAGAAGCGCCCCATTCTGCTATTGGTCGGAAGGCATGAACTATTGGGAGACGGATTGCGGCAACTATTACGGTGCAATTATATACTTCTGCTCATTCTACCTCATCATCACCTATATTGTTAGGAATCTTCTTGTTGGTAGGCTCAATTCTTCGATGACACACTTCAAATCAATCAATCGATTGCAGCTATCATTATGGAGAACTTCTCGTTGTTCTACTCGTCTGAAGAAGACGCGCTTCTTAGCTACGCCGACATTCGCAATTTCCAATATGTCTGGAACATGGTGGACCGCGAGCAGAAGCGGACGATTCCCGTCGAGCGCGTCAAATTCCTTTTGAGACTTCTCAAGGGAAGGCTGGAAGTTGATCCCGAGAAGGATCGGATTCTGTTCAAACACATGTGCTATGAAATGGAGCGTCTTCATAATGGCGAGGAGGTCTCGTTCCATGACGTCCTTTAGTAAGTGGAGTTTAAGAAGATGAGTCGAAATTGGATTCTGCTTTCAGTATGCTTTCCTATCGATCAGTGAACATTCGAAAATCGCTGCAGCTCGAGGAGCTTCTTCAGCGCGAAGAGCTGGAATTCATAATCGAGGAGGAGGTGGCGAAGCAGACGATTCGGACATGGCTTGAAGGATGCCTTCGGAAGATGCGCAATCCGAGCCAGAAGGATTTGCAATTCGATTCGATTGTCTCGCACACGATACCGCACTCGTCGGGCCACTCGTCGATTTCGCACGATGAAACGCAACGGATTCGTTTCGGCGTTGAGAATCGCGAGAGTCTCGACGTCGACGCCTCGGAGAGCGGCGACGACGAGTCGCCGCCACCTCCGACGAATCGAAAGAAGTCGGCGGTGAAGAATCGACGGGGTAGTATTCCGGACGGAGGTGTTGCACCAGTATCGGTAGAATCACACGAGTCATGGATCATTGAATTTATGAAGTGATTTGATTGCAGAAGTTCCAGGAGGCGGCTCGGAAGTTTATGGTGGGAAGCTCGAGCGAGAAGAAGGCGTTCGTGAAGGTAAGCGAGATGAGGCTGCTGCTGCTGCCGCTGCTGCCGATGTACCTTACGTGTGAACCTATCAGCTTTGTTTTTTTTTTCCCAAATGTTGTCAGTCTGAGCGCTTTGAATCGCCGTGCCCGATGACGACTACGATCCATCCCATCATGGGTTTACACCTCATGTTTTTTTTTGTGTTTTCATTTCAGTCGTCGCGTTCGCCGGAAATGGTGCAGTTGTTGCCGAAGCGATGCGCATCGGAGACTCGCAAGACATCGACGCTCACGCCGACGCAACTCAAGAGTTTCCATGTGAGTGATCGGGGTCGACCGCTTCTTTCTTTTCTTTTATTTCTCATGATTTTGATTTGATTTTTTCTTTTCGAATGTGTTCGTGTCAAAGTGTTACCCGAGAATATTTTTTGAGTTTTTTATATGTAGATGTCTTTTTTTTTTGTCATATTGCAATTTTTCTGGATTTTCAGCTAAATGTCTACGATTTGCCGGATGTTGAAGAGCGAGGAGAGGAGTCGCCGTTTTCGCCGAAACGGATTGCCGATGAGCTCGGCGATCATACGCCGGTGGTAAGAAGTTTTTTTGTTTTTGGATGTGTTTTAAGGTATTTTTTAAGGCACTATCGCAAAAAAAATCTAAAAATTTGATATACAGAATGAATGCAGAGAAAATCTGAAATCCTTGGTCGCGGCCACGGTTTTCAAAGCCACAGTTGCTTTCATTGAAGCGCTGAAGGATTCATTTTAAAAAATGGTGTATGCTCCTTTAAATAGAATGGAAAAATACATAGCAATTGTAATCGAAAAACTCGGATTTAAAAAGTGAAATTGTTACGTTTAAACTCGCATCCCGTCGATTTCATGATTCTTGCAGCGATTCAATAAAAATGTGGTACTGTAGGTTTCGAAAAACCTGGCCGCGGCCGAGGTTTTTGTGGTTTTTTTTAAACCGCAATCTGCATAGCCGTTTTTTTGGGTTTTCTTTTTTTTGCGAAATGTCCATAGCACTATTTGAAAGTTTTGAGCTTCGCACACAAATCTTATAGTAGAAATTTGGATTTTCTTAAAAAAAGAAGAAAACAGAAAAATCTGGAAAAAAATTGGATTGGATTTTTAAACTCTAATAATGACTTATTAGGAAGTAATTTTCGACGAATGCGAAATGGGGCCAAAATGACAAATAGGGCCCCAAAATCTGATAAATGGGATCATTTTGAACATAGATCACTTTTTGAATCAGATTGATGATCTTGTGCGTCCCCGGAATTCAGTAATATGAATATTTCATGCTTTGAGAGAATTTGAATATTGTTAAGTAGAAGAGATCTTCTTGATATGACCCTTTATTTTAAATGTCTTGCACAGTGTTTAAATGTTTATCCGACGTTTCGATCTTTAGATCATCATCAGGGAAGGTCAATTTACCTCAAACTTGGGTAATTAAACCTCTACTTAACAATAATCAACACGATGCACTCAAAACAAGTCGCTCCACAACTCACAAAACTAGAATTTGAATATATGTAGTATTCAAGAGAGGCTGACAATTTTTCTGAAAATTCAAATAGCTGAATTTGAAGATTTTCCACATTAACACGGAATTAGAATTCCCCCGCCGAGAAATTTCTGATTTCTCTTCTAGAAGCGGTTCCGCGAGTCATAAATAGTTTTTACATCGTAAATGATGGAAACGTTTGCAACAAATTTGGCCGCAATTCGCGTCGCCTGAAGATCAATTGAACAAACTGCAAACCAATTAATTGATGGTCGATGTTCGGTTTTTTTTTCCAGGCGATCAGCCCGTCGAATCCGATCTCGTCGACGCACGCGAGTCCGCGTCAGATGCCCGCCGAGACGACGAAAGACATCGAGAAATGGTGGAATTTATTGAATGATTGAACGGGTTGTTTTTTGAAAAAATCGGGGCATTTTTTTTTGGTTGGATAATAAATGATTTAGTTCGAGTTTAGCGCGTTGCACGTCTCCATTATCCGCTTCTTGACGTACTCGAGCTCTTTTTTTGATAGATGATCGGAGACGATGTCGAAATCGCCGTCGTCGATGAAGACGGAGCTGTTGCCGCGCGGCTGGAAAAACAATTGTGGGAAATTGGATTGTCGGAATTTTGAGGCGATCCTACGCCGAGAAATATGATGGGCTCGCGATGGATCGGATCGACGTCGATGTCGCGGCGAGACCGTCGTGGCGTTCGCTCGCTGCTCTCCGCCGAATCGCTGTGTTCCGTGGCGGAGTTGGGCGACGCCGAAGCCGCGTTCCATTCGGCTTCCTCCTGCAAAAATTTTAAGACGGGTGTCAGAACAATTTTTCTTGGCAAAAACTCACCCGACAAATGAGCTTCTTCTTCTGATTTTTGCGGTAAATCACCCATGGCGAGGCGACGGCGACGCACACCAACAGGACGAGAATTGAGCGCATCATCAACATCATCTGAAGGCGATGTGACGACGAGAATTGAATAACACGACTAATTGTTGCGAAAATTGGTAATAAAGGGGGGGGGGGGGGGTCGCAATTTAGATAATTGGTCGATGGAGGCAGGTAGGAGGCCGGAAGGAAGGACGGAAGAAAAAAAACGATTTTGATGGCCATGCGCCTTTAATTGACGGAGAATGGAAATGTCTTGAATTTTTTTTAAATTGCGCACTTAATTTTGGCGATTTGTCGCCCATTATGCGATGCGCCTTTAATTTAATTTTCACTTGATCGCGGCAAGACCATGGTCAATTTTTGGAAATTGAAAATATTTGCTTTAAGGCGTAAAGGTGTAATGCGCCTTTAAATTAGATTGGCAATGAAAAGCGTAAAATCGATTATAGTAATTCAAGGAGCATATATGAAAAATAAAAACAAAAGTACGGTAATAGTCTTGTAGGGGAAAAAAGATGCGAAATGAAAAGAGGGAGGTCGGAGAACATGTCTTATTACAATACATGTTTGTGATTCTTGGATTACGTGACGGACAGCTTTTCGACGATTGTATCAACAGCGCCGGCGAGACCTCCCCCGAAGGGAGGGGGGGGTCTCGCGGCGAGCACACATACAATTTATGCGCACACATATATACACATAACCAACAATGGTTTGAAAAAGATTGGTGTCTTGCGAATTTTTTTTTAATATTCGCAAATTTTTCGATTTTTCTTCTTATCCCCCTATTCTCATTCCCATCTGCCGACAGTTTTGCGGGTCTCGCCCACAGCCATCTTTTTTATGTCGACGAGAGAAAAATCATGGAATTTTCGATTTTTATTGTTGCTTTTTTTCGCCCGACATTTTCATTAATTAAACTTCATCTAAATTAAGCGTCAGGTTCCAGCGGAAAATCGAAATAAATTTAAAAGAAATTTGAAAAATTATTGTTTTTTTTTTTGAAGAAATGAGACTAGCGAAAAAATCTATGAAGAATTATGTATAATATATCAGAAATGTATGAAATAATTTATAAAATATTGTATTACAATCGTAATACGGTAGAAACGGGCGGGCGCCCATTAAAGGCGCATCGAGTATTTCGATAGAAATATCCCATCGCGATCGGCACTACTAACTTTTTTTTCAATTTCGTATTAACCTCATTTTTTTTTAATTTATTATCTGCGGACAATCATAGGAATTGCTAGAAAATCTGATGAGTATTCAATCGGCATCCTCGCCGAGAATTATTGCCATCAAATCAAAGCGATTAATCGACGGCGGCTTGAGGTGTTCGTCAAGTTCCATCGAATGCCCTGAGAGAGAGATATCGAGGGATGATAACGCGAGGCAAACCGGGAATAATCCCCCCTCAGAAGCCTTCCACCACGGTTTCCAGTTCTTTTGCCATTTATGTCGTTCTCGCCTTTCTTTAGCTTCTTCTCTAACCATGCCCTTCTGACTAGAGCTTCCATTCGATGGGAAAAACCAAAAAAAATTTTTTTTCACACATTTTTTTATGTGTTTTATTTTTTTTTCAAAAAATCGAAGATCGTTGGAATCGCGTCGAGACCCATCGCATAAATAAACGGCATGCGTCTTGAAATACCGTAAACGACAAAATTTTCATTGAATAAAATTCCTAAAAATCGAAAAGCATTACGCAGAGATACGGTAGTGTCAAAGACGCATGCCGTTTATTTATGCGATGGGTCTCGACGCGAATTCAATGAAAACGATTCTTCATAAAAAAATTTTTGCATTCTAAAATTCAAAAAAAAATTCTAGCCCTTACAATGAAGGTCTTTTTTCCTGTCTGTCATAAAATTTTTCAAATTTTTTGCATACAAAAGTCCCAAACTTCTAGTTATCGATATATGGACCTTCACAATTTTAGCCCCCTCCTGAATTTTTCCTAATTTGGCCAAACAGGTGTTCTTGCGTTTCCAGCTCGCTGACATCCCTCAATTCTCTGGAAATTCGAGTGGCGCCCAAACAATCGATTAGGTTTCAATCATTGAAGCGAACAAGCCAGACGGCTGCCAACAAGCGGAAACTCATCGGATTGGTTCGCGGCTTCCTCCGCCGGCCGGCCGACCGACCGGACATATGTTACGCATCGGCAAGTACACAAACAAAATGCTTCTACAAGAAAACCCATTGTTGTCAATTCGACGCATCACCCCTCCCCCCTTTAAACAATTTGTCGTCAACACCTCGTTGCTTGTTTTTGGCTATTCCGGATTCTATTGGGTCTCGCGTCGAACATCATTGGTCCCTCGAAATTTTGTCGCATTTCCAACTATATATAGAAGTGTGTCTTCCATCGGCGATTTGTTTGATCAAGTTACCTGGGGTGGGGTTCGAAACCCATTTGGGCGTATCGAATTCGGGCCGTTTAGGCAAACACTTTGCTCACCCCCCTGTGTTTTTGGATTGTCTTTTGGAGGCATCGCGCAACTCCAAATTCGGCTTCTCTCATCGAGCCCAATCGTGTCAGTCGCTTCTTATCACATTTTCCATCTGCGGACATTTCTGTACACATTTCAATGAAGCAAAACGTTGGCGGAAAATCAAAAATTCTAATGAATAGAATTTTGAGAAGCTTCTGGAATTCTTCTTGGCCAGCAAACTGTTTTCTAGATTCCTTCTGATCAGTTCCGATTTGACCCCCCGGCGTCTCCCAGCGCTGAATCGAATCAACCATGTGTGCGCTCGCAGATTTTTTTTGCCGATTTTCTTTGCGAGAGCCTCCGAGCCGTGTTTGCTCTACGTGACTGTCATAGTTGGTGATGCGACAAAACAAAAAAAAAGCGAAGCGACCCCCCCCCCTCAGCCAGCATTATCCAATTATCCCACACACTTGGAGATGATGCCCAAGCCAATTTTTCTTGTTCTCATCCGATTATGATCGCGATTTCGTTTTGAGAGATCGGCCTACGGTAACTTGTTGGCGTTCGAAACACAAGAAAAAAAAACTGGTTGCCATCTTTTTCAAATCGCTTTTATTTACCTTCTCATTGACCAGTTCCTCCTTTTTTTTTTCGAAGAATCAATTTTTTTTTTTTTTGATTTATGATTCGTTGCCGTATTTGGTAGATAACCTTGAAGGACACCTCCTTGATAGGCAAAAATTGAAAATTGATGAAATGTCTGCAATTGCGCGTCTCGGTGTTTACATCCGTGTCTCTTTGCACACATTTCTGCCTACAGTAACCAGCAGCTCTATTCGAATCGGCGAATTTCAATATCTCGGTGTTTGCACACATTTCTGTCTACAGTAACCAGCAATTCTATTCGAATCGGCGAATTTCAATATCTCGGTGTTTGCACATATTTCTGTCTACAGTATCCCAAAAGGAATCATTTTCAATTGTGCGAAAATCAAAGGCCATCAAAAATCCGCAATTTTTCGTCACGGTGTTTACACAAATTTCCGTCTACAGTAATCAAAATTTTTCGCTTGAAGTTCCGAATTTCAAAACCTCTGCATTTTCCCGTCCCGGTGTTTGCAGACACCGTATATATCCACAGTACCACACTCCGTAATTTTGCGTCTCGGTGTTTGCACACATTTCTTTTTGTGGAACATTGAGAAAAATTGATTTGATTTCTGCAATTTTGCGTCTCTGTGTTTACACACACACACTATTTACAGTACCATCAGTATCATGATTTTCAAATTGGATTCCTGTTGTGCATCTTCGCGTGTCGGTGTTTACACAAAATCTTCAATTCTCCCAAATTCCAGTTAATTACGTCACATCCGAAACGTCGGCATTTCAATTAATTATGCTAATTAAAAATTCTAATAATTAAACCAAGGTCAACAATATTGGTTCCCTTTTTTTTTTCATTCCTTCTGAATTTCATCAAACGCCATCGATGAAGGCCTTATCGTTGCGAACCATCTCGTTGTTGATTCGAATCGCCAATTGTCCGCAGCAGCTTCGCCATAAATGGGCGTCGGTTCGAAATTTTGTTGTTGCTGATATGCTTCGAAAAAAACTTGAAAATTCTTTCTGATAACACGAGACATTCGAATTTTTGTTTTTCGAGGTCATTTCGTCGAGGAGACCGATTCGAAATTGAACATAGTTGTCGAAACCAATTAGGTAGGAGTCGCATCTCCCCCCGCGGGGGGAAGTCGAGAGGATGAGAGAGAGAGCATCTCGCGCAAGGTCATTTCGCTTGTTGACAATTTGTCGCCGACGGTTTGCCAAACCAGCAAACAAAAAATTGTCCGCAGATGAGATTCGGTTATCATAATCATCCGACTGGTTGCCTTGACCATTCGAATCGCAACGTCTTCCTGGCTGCGATTCAGAATGACGGCGGGAAGGAAATCAGCGATATACTCGTTTTTTTTTTGGCGCGGTCGGCCGTCGTTGTCAAAATGTTATCTTTTACACAGCGTCGTCGTCGTCAATTTTTTTGTGTCGGCTTCACGATCCGTTTGATTATTTGGCAAGCCGTCTTGAGACGAAAAAAAGAAATAAAACAATGCCGATGATGTGTAAACTGTCATTTGTTCGAACTACATATTACTGCACCAGCTGTCACGCTGCTTGTAGTCCTTGGCCTCCAATGTTGTCCGCAGATGAATTACATTGACAAAAAAACTTGTATGGGTTGGATTAGATATTACAGTATGTTGCCAATATTCTAGAAAGTGATTTATTGGGGTTGTAAGGAAGATATTTTAAACTATTGTGAAGCAGAAGCTGAACACTGTCATTCGCTTCAAGACCAAACAATGAAAATTGCGAATTCGCCTCGAGACCCAATTCAATTCATTTTTTGAGGCAATCCAGCAAAAAAAAAAAACAAAAGAAACATTTCTTGGGAAGCTTTTCAGAAATTTGACCCCCCATTCTTCAGACCTCAAAGGCGCACCATGATATCAATTTTTTTTCTCAAATTCGCTCCAGGACCCTGAGGAAAATGGGGCTGAAACTCGATTTTCTCAAATTTCAATCGACAAAAAAAAATGCGGCATTCATATTGTCTTCGGTCGACAATACGACACCGCCAAAAAAATTTCCAATTGGTTTTCGTTTTTTCTCTTCCCACAACTACATAGTACTCTCATCACATCAGTTGCTTCTGTGTGTTGTAAGCTTCAGGGAAGTTTTAGTCTTCTTCTTCTCCCCCCCCCCCTTGATCATATCATTCGGAAGAGAGAAGAAGCTTCGCCTCAAGTGTTGTTCATCGTATTCCGCGCGGAGGATGAAACCAGCTTTTCTGCCTCTCCGCTCGTCGCCCAACTATTTCGAGTGATTCGGAGGACCCCCCCTGATTTGGGAGGGCCAGCGGAATACCGTAACTCGAAAGGTTCGCACTTGTCAAACTGCAACTTTGAACATTGCTTATTATGTTTTATATTTATTTATATGTTATATATGTTTGCTTGTTGTTGCCGCCGACTAGCTTCTTCAGCTTCTTCTCTGTTGATGCATGCACTTGAGTTGACCGCCCGTGCCCCCCTGCTTCAACTCTTTTACATATCTAATTCTTCTTTTTTTGAATTTCGCGCCATCGCGTCTCGAAGCGACTTTCTAAACTTCAAAAAAGAAAATCCCATTTTTTTCGAGACACGGGTCCCGCCGCGAATTTTGGTAACAAAATTTTTTTTGCCGAACATTTATCTCCAGAGATCTCAATCCCGGCTTTCGATACGATCAAGATGCGATCTAGGCGGCGGTCTCGAAACGATTTCTATTTTTTTTCTTTCTTGACTGAATTCCTAATCTCGTTGGCAATTGAAGGGGGGAAAAGTGAATTTCAAAAATTGATTGCTTCCTGTGCGTCCGATCCTCGGCCGGCGCCTTTATACCAGTTTCGGTTTTTTTTTGCCGCCTCCCCCCCAACAATCCCAATTTTCTCATATAAATCATTGACCAAGAAAAAAAAATGCGGTGGGGGCGAAACTCGTCACCACCAAGACCAAGTTGCTCTACTCTCACCACCCGTTTTGTTATGCGCCTTTAAATCGTCGTCAATTCAACACTTTGAGTATCTGCGCCTTGAAATTCTGGCTTTCATCGATATGCTTTTTTTTCGATTCTCGTGTGATACGATGTTGACCCAATGATGGTCATTTTGCTTTGTGTGTCGTCTTATCCCTTTCACCTAATAAGGTCTTCCAACCACAGCCATCAAATCTTCGCGCATTCTTCTACGTTTCTTCGCCGCCTGTATTTTTCTTTTTTTTTTAATAAATTTTATATTCCATTTTTTATAATGTTCTTAAAATGTCCATTTTTGTTGCAATCGCTTCAAGACCCATTGTATAATTATTTCACTTCTTTTCAGTACCCAAGAACACTTCTCCCCCCCCCAGCGCCTCCTAAAAATAATACCTTGGCCTTTAAATTTGCCAAGATCACCTTGAATAATCGATTCCGATCTGAAGTACACGGTTTCCGCTTCATCAATCCCAACAATTCGAAATTGTCGACCTTACATTTTTACGTCCAACAAAAAAAAAGAATCGCCGGCCATTTATCGGCGCGACCCTTCAACAAAATATTTTGCAAGCGACGACGAAGAAGAATAAAAAAAGAGAGGTAAATCGACGTCTTCTATCAATTCGCAAAGATTTGATAAAGCGCGCGCGCTCGCGCCGCCAGCAAGGTCGATTATCTCAAATCTTTTCTATTTTTTTTTCTCTCTTCACCATTCTTCTTCGTTTTATGTGTTTTGTTTTGTGTTTTACACAAAACCCATCAAATATCAACAAAAAATTGTTCGAGAACATTTATTTTTTTTTTTTGAGAAATAATATTGGCTCCTTTAAATTGCGCCTTTAAACTATTATCCCCCCACCATATTCTTTGATTGCCATGTTCGCCAATTGAAACCTCATTCTATTAAAATGGTCATCGCTCTTTTCAACACCCCCTCCAAATTCGAATAGTTTATTGCGCTCATTAGACGAGACGCGTTTGCGCCTTTAAATTGATGATGTTGATGAAAACGCGAATTATCAATCCAAAATCGATTCCGAATCGAATTATGGTGTTGTTGCAGGAATGGTTTAAATCATGTGTTTGCGCCCACTGCTAGCATTGTTGTTTGCGGCGGCGGCGGCGGTGACGGCTCGAACCGCCAACATCTCGTCGCTCATCGAATCGCTCGGACCCAACCAATTGTGCTCCGTTTATGATCCGTTCAAAGTGCTCCCCGAGAATAACAAGGTATTCCGTTGGCTCTTTTCATTTTAACGCTGAAAATCTACTGAAATACGCATCATTGGCGCGGCGAAATTGCGCAATGTTGCAAGTGCGCTCCAGCGAACATCAATAAAATTTGAAATTTTAATTTTGTTTCTCTCAAATTTAATTTCATTTTCAATGATTCCCGTAAATTAGAAGCGTTTTAGGGTTTTTAAAAATTTTGGATATTTTAAAAGAAATCAGAACATTGTGAACCACGTGAACTTTTCTGAAGAAACCCTGAAAAATTATAATTCGAAACTAGCGCGTATTTTCTTTCTATTTTTTTTGTCTAAAAACGCTGACAAGCCTTTATCTTTGCAGTTCCAAATCGGCGGCAGTTTTCCACTTCATCTCGATGATTGCACCACACTTCGACCCGACACCGTTCAGGAGATCGTCGCGATTCAATGGGCGCTGACGCATTGGAATCAGAACGAGCAGCACGCTGAATGCAAACTCGGCTTGTACGCCGGCGACACGTGCTCGCGATCCGCCGAATCGCTATCGCAATCGCTTCGATTCCTCGATTCGGTCGGCTATCACGAGCCGAAAGAGTGCCGAACGGAGACGCCCGGCACGAAACTCCTCGGCCTCATCGCGCCGAAAGACTATGACTCATCGATGTCGCTTGGAAAATTCCTATCAGTCTCGTCGATTCCGGTGGCCGCCTATTCGTCAGCATCGATCAACGCGCTCACCGAACTCGATGTCGCCAACACCATCGCCACCGCGCCCACCATTGGCGTCTACGTCGACGCCCTCATAAGGCTGATGGGACAGATGAAATCGAACCTGGTAACGATTGTCGACGATGGATCGCAATCCCCAATGACGAAGGGAGTGAGCGCCCATCTTCGAGACTTTGACATCTTCGTTTCCGAGATCATCCCAGTCGATCATCCATTCCTTTCTCAAGCCCTTGAAGACAGCGACTCGTCGATTGTGGTGAGCCTGCTGGAGAAGCAAAAGTTGCAGAAGATCATCAAGCAGCCTTCGATCTACACGATGACCAAAATGTGGATCTCGCTTCCGATCACCGGCGAAGCGTTTGATGAGATGGAGCAGACTGAGATACTGCACCCTGAAGCCAAGTTGGAGGTAATCGTCAAGAAATCATGACTCCTATAATTCAAATCTCTTAGGTAATCTCCCTTCAACCGATTCACAAGAAGCTACCGCAATTCCGTGATTACTTCGTGAGAGTGCTCAAGAACAACTATCGCAACTATCAGCTTCTCACCTCCTACGTTCAGCAGGTCTACAATTGCACCAACGAGGATTGCGATCTCGACAAATCGGCAATGATCAAATCCTACGTGCAATCGCGAACCACCGAAGCGTCGATTCGAATGACGTACGCGTTCGCCGGTGTCGCGAAAGAGATCGCCAAAGATTCGGCGTATGAGAAGATATGCTCGCACGCGAGCGCCGAGTGCACCGAGTTGATCATGAACATCCTTGTCAACATGGATTACGAGTTCACGAAGCATGATCCGCCAGAGTTCGCCGGCGAACGATTGCAGTTCTACAAGGGCAACGATCGAATGCTTCTGGCGTCCGGCATGAATGTGGAAGCGGTTCAGATCTATGCCGAAGACGCCAAGATCATTACCACTCGTCTTCTCTCCTATACCACCGGCTCGCCGCCGACAGTGATTCTGTCCTCTCTAAGATCCGCCGATCAGCGACTGCGATCGATTTGCGCACCGTATCGGCCATTCTGCGGACAATGCCCGAATCTTCAAATGGTGAACTCCGAGGTAAATCGCTCGCCGACATTCGATTCATCAGAATTCATTTCAGTCGCACTTCCTCTCGATCCCACGACACTATCCGCTCTATCTTGTTGGGCTCTTCGATCTCCACGGCGGCGCCACGTGTCAATCGATGAGCCAAACCGACATCTCGTTGCCGATGGCGTTTGTGCACACCGTGTGGACATTCAAGCAGCGCTTCCCGCAACTCGGCCTTCTCAAAGATCTCGATTTTGGCGCGTTGCTCATCGACAGCTGCTCGTCGGGACGACAAGCCATCGAGTCGGTCGTTCGCGCCGAGACCCAATGCTTCCGATTCAATCAAGCCGGAAGGAACATCACCATCGTTCCGAAATCGGTGTTCGGCTACGCTAGCGCCCTTCACGGCGACTCGCAAGAAGCGCTGAAGGGCTACTTCTCGTCGGGCGACACCGACGCCGCGCTGGTTTCCGTCGACGCCGAACACTCGGCGCTTCAGCACTCGTTCACCGCACTGCCGAGTGCGAGAAGTCAAGCGTTGGCGCTTCTCAAACTTCTGAATCGAATGCAATGGCAGTTTGTGACGGCGGCGATCAGCGAGCAAGATCCCGAGTCGTTGGCGTTGTTCCGAAGTTTCGAGCGAATCGCGCTTGATCGTGGCGTATGCCTCGCCGAGGTCATCAATATCGGTGGCTCGCGTGTCGAGAATCTCCAAATGACGCCGACGACGAATGTGACGGTGGTGTTCGGAACGGCGCGAGACGCCGCCCAGTTTCTCGTCAAACCGAAACCCAATCACATTCACATTATGATGGGCGACGCTCATGATTGGTACCTTCACGCGCAAGGCAACATGGAGCAGTTTCCCGGAACCGTGTCGGTTCAGCCGCGCAACATTCTCTACGCCGATTTCCGCGAATGGCTCGAGACGACGACACCGCTGACGCTTCCCGAACTCTGGTATTGGTCGTACATCGAAGATCGATATGGCTGCGCGCTAAGCCAGAAGAGTAAGCTGATCTATGACCGAATGTGCACCGGCGACGAGCTTCTCAGCATTGAGTCGCTTGGACGAATGACGAAAGCCGGATATCTGTCGCGTGGTGTCGAGAGATTCCTCTTCGCGATGGATTCAGTCTACAAGGTAATCAAGCAATTAAGGGGTTTCCTAATTAAAACATCGCATTTTCAGAATCTCTGTCCCGCTCAAAGCGGTCTTTGTTTGGAATTCTACGAGCAGGGTCGCAAGCAGATTCTGAATCAGCTTAAGAAGACCAACGTTGAAGACGACGTCGAGGTGTACGAGTTCCTACCAGATGTCAACGGCAAGTTCACCTATCATCTCATCGCCAATTGGACAATGGCCAGCGGTCTTCGGATGACGAATCAATACCGAAGTCCGAATGGAATCGACATCGAGTCGAAGTGTCAGCCGCCGATGTGCAAGTGCTTCCTTGACGGCGACTTCTTCCAGCGTCCACTCGACTCGTTCGTGTTTGTTGGCGATGAGCAAGAGTCGTACATCAAGAAGCAGCCGGCGTACGGATCCGAGAAGGTCCAATACCAATCGGTGTTCGAGCACATCACCATCGGGCATTGGCGAGAGCATCCGCACAATTATGTGCTCCTCGCGCTCATCACAATTCTTGTGTTCATCTCATTCGCGGTGCTCGTGCTCGTCTTGGTCAAACTCTATCTGCGCGTCGTCAAAGGCAACCAATCGTTGGGAATCTCGCTGCTCATCGGCATCATTCTCCTCTACATCACTGCCTACTTTTTCGTGTTCGATCCAACCGACACGGTGTGCCGATTGCGGGTGATCATGCACGGTTTGGGCTACTCGATATGCTTCGGCGTCATGATCGCCAAAGCGACTCAGCTGCGAAACGCGGAGACGCTCGGATTCGGCACGTCGGTGCACATCTCATTCTGGAACTATTGGCAACTATTGTTCTTCATTGTCGGTGTTCAAATCGCTCTATCGAATAGGTAAGCGCTTCTGGTTTCAATGGTCCTCAAGCGGATGTTTCAGATGGCTCATGGAGCCGTTCATGTCGACAATCGGTGTCGTTGATACCACCTATCAACGAATGATGTGCACACTCGGAAAGTGAGTATTCTTAAATTTGTTTGGAAAAAGAATTCATTGAACACAGGGTTGAATTCGTGCTCTCCAACAGCTACGTGATGATTCTGATTTTGATGACGTTGTTCCTGAGCCTCCTCAATCGCAACATCAAACGCAACTACAAGGAGACGAAATGGTTGCTCTACTCGACGGTCGCGTGCTTCATCGTGTGGATCGTGTGGACGACGGTGTATTTGAGTATGGGCCATGAGTACCGCGAGACGGTCATCGTCGTCGAGCTCATCACGTGCGCGACAATTATGCTCGCGTTTCTGTTCGGCCCCAAAATCTACATTCTTCTCTCGTACGAGCCGGTGGTGGTGGCGCTGAATCGCGAGCCGTTTCCCAACGATCTTTTCGAGAAGGACGACGATGTGCCGCGCGCGGTGTCGCCGGCCTCGTCGACGTCGTCATCATCGAATCGCTCGTCGTCGGGATCGTCGTACACGTCGAGAAAGCCGGTCAACGCCGTCGGACCGCTGCCATTGTCGAAGAGCAACATTGAGGATAACGTAAAAAGACCCCGATCGTCAGGATTGTTAAGAGTTTATCGATTTCAGACCCCAATATTTCATACAGTGATGCGCAAGAAGAACAAGGTGCGTCGATCGCAAAGTGAACACGAAACGGTAATACAGTAGTTCCACTTGAAGTACAGTAACCAAATCTAGATGCATTCCGGCTACCCAATGACATCGGTGCCAATCATCCGAAGTCCATCGTCGCGCGACGAGAAGGTGCACCATGTGGCGATATCGCCTCCGATCCGCGACTAGCTAATTCCTCGACGATCCATGTACATATACATCCCCCCCCCCTGTGACCAAAACCCTACCCTGTAAGGGTCCCACCATTGTTATTTATTATTACCCCTCCCCCCCCACCCCGTCTTACACAATATGGTTCAATCTCCTCATCCTTCTTTTATTGAATTTCTTGTTTCGCTACTACTAGTCTACTTAATTAGAATGAGATTCTATGTACTTGTATCATCGTCTTCGTCTTTTCCAGCTGCTTATCCCAATAAACAGTTTGCCATTTCGAAATTGTCCGCAGCAGCGCAAACATTAATTTTGCTTTTTGATTGTTTAAGTTTTGAAATCAATCCGAGACCGCCGCAGACCAATTGATGATCGTGTGATTGGCAAATATTGAGGCGGTGAAAATTTTTGGACTTTTTTTGGAATCGTGGTGGGACCCTAAAGAGACCCTGAATTCCGTTGAAGCGCGTCAGGACCACATTTTGACAATCCGGGACGAATAGAAGGAATTTAAAGGGACATCAAAAAAAACTGCGGGACACGCAATTCAATATTGTGACGCGAAAATGCCAACTATGAAAAGGCCTAGTGTTACGTTTAAAGGCGCACATCGTGGCGGGACTAATTTCAAGGAGCTATTAAGCGTTGCGGGACCCAAACTGTTGCTGCGTTGGGACCGATTGTGTAGGGCATTGGGCGAAAATTTTCACGCCGATTTAATCCGCCGCTTCCCCTCCCCTTCCTCTCCATCGGTCTCAACACGCTCGCGCGCGCGCTCATGCCAAAAACCATTCATCGCTCTCTCTCGCCGATCTACAGTAATCGCCGACGGCCGGACGGGCAAAAATAGTGTGCGGATCGGCGAGAGCGCAGGTATTCGCGCAGCGCCTGCGGCCGAAAACCAGTGATTGATCTCAAAATGTTGGTTGGTGATGATGGTTGTCGTCGGGCGCGGAGGAAGTTTGCCTCGACACTTCATAAGCGACCTCTCTCATGCTCAGTCGGCGGCGAGCACGAGCACCTCGTCGAGTTTCAGCCAACTCGTCGGTGTGTGTTTCAAAACCATCATTCGATATCGACAATTCTCCCACCATTTTTCAATTTCATTTTATTTATATGTATTATATGTATTTTCTCTTCATCGCGTTCTATCAATATGAAAATAGAGAGGCGTCATCACACCTCCTCATCGAATGGTCTTTGGTTTCATTTCAATGCATCTTCGCTTTCATCGAACCCATCTGCGGACAATGTTGCAAGTCCCCCCCCCCCTTATTTTCTCATCGTACCATTCAAGGTCATCGAATTTCACTTTCCGGGTGCCCCGAACCTGTTAGATAACCATCAAGCCGGTTGATTTTGCGAGGTCCCACTCTTCAATTTTTCGGCGCCAAAAAACGAAGAGTGCGCTGGGACCCGAAGCAAATTTTTTTCGAAATTTCTCGCCAAAAAAAAAAAAACAAAACTCGACAAACATTTGGCCCACGCCCTTGTATTTTTGTTATTGCCGAGACAAAAATCATACAGCGCAGACAGAGAAAAAAAAATGAATGAATGAATGAGTCGTCAAATATTTTGGACCCCCCCCTTCCACTATTCGCTTTGGTTGTTTCTTATTACTCGCTTCTTTCACATCTGACTCATATTCTGCTGACCAGAGCCCCCTGGCGGAGCTCTCAAACAAACACTCTCGATTACAACGAAACGAGCCGCTCGTGTGGGGTGGTGCTCAAATACAATAGAAAAAAAAAACCAATAGAGTTGTATTCGCTTCAAGACACTTCCGGCTTCCCCACTAGTCCTTCTCGACTTCTGAAATCCTTTGGCTCCTTCTAGATTAACACAGCACCCCCCCCCCTTCAACAAGCTTCTCCTCCAATCATCATAATACAAATTTCAGCAAAAAAAAAGACTGGTAACTAGACCCACAACGCAACAATGGGGTCTCTAACGCGTTCGGAGGAGATGCGCTTCTGTCAGCTGATCGTCGAGAAGGACGCGGCGTTCAACATCGTCGCCGAGATCGGCAAACAGCCGTACGTGCAATTCAAAGATGTAAGTGTCAAGATCGGAGGATTGAGCGCTTCTAGCCTCCGACATTTTACGGGGATATTGATTGGCACCAAATATGGAAATTCACATCGAAAATATAGTGGCTTTGAATCATTTGTATACCATTCATTTTTGCATAATCAAATGCAAAATTTTGGTTGGAGAATTGTATGACACGAGAACCGGTTCGAATTCACATATCAATCCGTCATTATTATTCGTAAAATTCGGGGGGAGGGGAGAGGAAGGGGAGAGGAAGCAAATTCTCGACACATTTTAGTGGATCATATTCAAGGGACCATGTAGATTCTTGCTAGATTCTTCATCTATTGAAAACTAGTGACACTTTTTTTTTGATCCTCATTTTGTTCCAGTTGAATCCTGATGTCAATCCATTCCAACGGACATTCGTCAAACATATTCGACGATTCGATGAGATGGAGCGAAAATTGAGTGGGGGCGGATCGCAATTTTTTTTTTCACAACGAATAAAATCTGCTTCAGGATTCTTGGAGAGTCAGATCGTCAAAGACAACATCACGATCGGCGGCCGAATCGACAACGGCGACTATTCGATTCTGCCGGTGTCGGAGGTGAATCAGCTCGAGACGACGCTCGCCGATCTCGAGAAGGACGTGAAGAACATGAACGATTCGGACGCGTCGTTGAAGGCCAACTTTTTGGATTTGAAAGAATGGGACGCGGTGCTCGACAAGACCGACGAGTTCTTCCAAGGCGGCGTCGATGATCTCGCGCAGGAGGAGTTTGAGAGTCAGGAGGAGGAATCGCTCGGTCCCAAAGAGAAGGTCCCGGTCAAGTAAGGACCATTGAAATCATTCGACTCCGTTTCTTTATTTTTCCAGCTACCTCGTCGGTATCATTCAGCGAGAACGCCTCAACGCCTTCGAGCGCGTCCTCTGGAGAGCCTGCCATCATACCGCCTATTTGAGAAGCAGCGATGTCGAGGAGGAGCTTGAAGACGCCTCGGTGAGAATTGTCGGCAGCACCATCCGCATAATGGGAATATGTATTCAGGGCGAGAAGATGCACAAGTCGGTGTTCATCGTGTTCCTCAAAGGCGATCGCATGCAGAGCATCGTCGAGAAGGTGTGCGACGGCTTCAAAGCGCGCCTCTTCAAAAATTGCCCGAAGACGTTCAAAGAGCGTCAGTCGGCGCGAAACGACGTGCGCGCCCGCATTCAGGACCTTCAGACGGTGCTCGGACAAACGCGCGAGCATCGATTCCGTGTGCTTCAGGCGGCCGCCAACAATCACAATCAATGGCTCAAACAGGTGCGAATGAACAAGACCGTCTACAACGCGCTGAATTTGTTCACGTTCGACGGCATCGGACGATTCTTCGTCGGCGAGTGCTGGATACCGCTGAAGCACATCGACGACGTGCGGCGCGCGATCGAAGCCGGCGCCGAGAAGAGCGGCTCGTCGGTGAAGCCGGTGTTGAACATTCTCGAGACGTCGGTGGTGCCGCCGACGTACAACGAGACGAACAAATTCACCGCCGTGTTCCAATCGATCGTCGATTCGTACGGCATCGCCTCGTACCGCGAGCTCAATCCGGCGCCCTACACGATCATCTCGTTTCCGTTCTTGTTCTCGTGCATGTTCGGCGATCTCGGACACGGCTGCATCATGTTCATGGCGGGATTGTGGTTCGTCGTGCGCGAGAAGAATCTCATCGCGCGCAACATCAAGGACGAGATTTTCGGCATGTTCTTCGGCGGCCGCTACATCATCTTGCTGATGGGACTGTTCTCGATCTACGCCGGATTCGTCTACAATGATCTGTTCGCCAAATCGTTCAACATTTTCGGAAGCTCGTGGAGAAATCCATACAAGTGAGTCTTTGCGAGAGATCGAATCCTCATGCGCCTTTAATCATTGCCGCCAATTGATCAAGAAGACCTTGCACCTTTAAATAGGGCTTCGAAATTTTAAAGAAACCCATGCCCCTTTAAATAGTGTCTAGAAACTTTTAAGAAGCCCCTGCGCCTTTAAATAAGACCTAGAAACTTTTAAGAAACCCAAAAAAAAGGGCCTAGAATCCTTTAAATAACACACACACGCCGCCCGTGAATTGTCCGCAGCTAGATATGCATATGTCATTATTTTCATAATTTCCAGCAAAACCGACATCGACAACTGGATTGCGGCCACCGCGCACGGCAAAGAGTTTCTGCTGGAGCTGGCGCCCGAAGACGCGTACGATCGCGAGCTCGGCCCCTATCCATACGGCGTCGATCCGATATGGAACGTCGCCGAGAACAAGCTCAACTTTTTGAATTCGATGAAAATGAAGTTGTCGGTGATTCTCGGCATCGCGCAGATGACGTTCGGCGTCATCATCTCATTCTTCAATCATCGCTACAACAAATCGAGCATCGAGATCTACACCGTCTTCATTCCGCAAATGCTGTTCATGGGCACGATTTTCATTTATCTGTGCATTCAGATCGTCCTCAAATGGTTGTTCTTCTCGACGCAAGAGGGCATCGTGTTCGGACAAGTCTATCCGGGATCGCATTGTGCGCCGTCGCTTCTCATCGGCCTCATCAACATGTTCATGATGAAGGACCGAAGCAGCACATTTGTGCGCGGGGTTCGATTCAGCGTGTGGCGTCGTTCAAATAATCGCTAGCTCTATTGCAGACCGAGAAGGTCAACGGCGTCTGGCAGGAGGTCGACGCTTGCTATCTCAGCCAATGGTATCCGGGACAGGGCGCCATCGAGATGGTGCTCGTCATCATCGCCGTCATCTGCATTCCGATTATGCTGTTCGGCAAACCCGTCCACTTTTTGATGGAGCAGAAGAAGAAGAAGAAGGCTCAGGAAAGTGTACGTCGAAAATTTTCGCTTCTAATTCGGCTTCTTCATTTCTTTTTCTCGTTGCAGTCCGTCCGCGCCAACGTGATCTCCGAGAGCACCGAGATTATTTCAAACGGTCATAAGAAGGAGGCCGAATCGCACGGCGGCGGCGGCGGCGGCCACGGCCACGAGGACGAAGCATTCGGCGACGTGATGGTCCATCAGGCGATCCACACAATCGAATACGTGCTCGGTTGCGTCTCGCACACCGCCTCCTACCTTCGGTTGTGGGCTCTCTCGCTGGCGCACGCGCAATTGTCCGAAGTGCTCTGGCATATGGTGTTCGTCACCGGCGGCCTCGGAATGTCGGGCATCGTCGGCTTCATTCCGGTGTTCATCGTGTTCGCCATCTTCTTCGGACTCACCATCTCGATTCTCGTGTTGATGGAGGGTCTCTCCGCGTTCCTTCACGCGCTTCGTCTTCATTGGTGAGTGAATTGCATCCCTGGGTATCATATGGGATAGCGCATCAATGGATTTCAAAAAAGTCACCCCTTAAAATAATCCAAGTGGATTGATTCCGGATCGTCTATGCTAATTGCACATTCTAGATCATTCAGGACCATTGTAGTAGGTTCTGGATCATTCTGGACCATTCGAGACTGTTCCGGGTGATTCTAGTCCAACCTAGAAGGTTCTGAATCATTCTGAACCATTCTAGACAGTTCTGGATCATTCAAGACTATTCTAGAGGGTTCCGAATCATTCAGGACCATTCTAGAATGTACTGGTACATTCTGGACCATTCTAGAAGGTACTGAATCATTCTGAACCATCCTAGAAGGTTCTGGATCATTCAGGACCATTCTAGAAGATACTGGATCATTCTGGACCATTCTAGACGGCACCGGGTGATTCTAGTCCAACCTAGAAGGTTCTGAATCATTCTGAACCATTCTAGACAGTTCCGGGTGATTCTAGCCCAACCTAGAAGGTTCTGGATCATTCAGGACCATTCTAGAAGGTTCTGGATCATTCAGGACCATTCTAGAACGTTCCGGATAATTCTAGACCATTCTAGAAGGTTCTGGATCATTCTGGTATCGCCCAAGTTCCGGGGCCATTCTAGAATCGTGCAGTATCCTGAACATACCGACAATCTTCGGAAATGTTCTAGAAGATTCCGGAGATCACTCGGGAAACGTCCAGAATGCGGATCAGCCTAAAAGGCGATTCGCGAACATTTTTTTTCGAGGATTTAAGGCTCGCCTCATTCGAAAACCAAATCAAATTTCTTCACACACAATTCGAAATGTTTGCAGGGTCGAGTTCCAATCGAAATTCTATTTGGGTCTCGGCTACCCATTCGTTCCATACTCGTTCAAAACCGCACTTCTCGAGGCCGAAGCGGCGGCGGCAAGCGCGAGCAGCAACTAAATGGATGGTCCAGCTTCAACCACCGCCAATCTAATTTCGCTATCATTCCCCCCCAGCACCCATAGTTGATTTCCACACATTCCTTCTATTTGTCGGCTTCTCGTTTCTCTCAGGAGAAACGCGCGCTTACAATTAACCAAACCAATTAATCTAATTACCACCCAATAATTTTAGCATAATTATAATGTGTGTCCGTTTTTTTTTCAATCATTTTCCGGCTGCGATGTCCGGTGAAATTCGTGTCAATTTCGATCAAGTGCTCGCCGGTTTTTCAGTTTCGCATAATAAAATTGTTAGAGTTTCACGATTTATGCTCGATGACGAGAATGTCGCGCTCCTCGCTCGGCGAATAGTGGCCGAGCTCTCGCAACGGGTTGTCGAGCTCGATTCGATGCTGCTTATGATTCTCGCACATCACCAAATAAATCGCGATGTCTTGCGAATTGCCAATTTTGAATAGTCGAGACAGCTGAAATCGCAAAATTTGTTGTTTTTTTTTGGCCTCAAAGATTTTCTAGATTTTTCCAGCAATTTCAGCCTTTCATATTTCATTTTTGCCTTATTTTAACAGAAAAACGCGTTTCAACAATTTTTCATCCCACAAATTTTCATTTTTTTAATTTTATATCATCAAATCTTTCAGTTTCTCCCTCAAAAATTGAAATTTCAAAATTTTTCCAATTTTTCATTGCGAATCTATTCTAAAATTAATAATATCTGACTGTTTCACGCAAAATACAAAATTTTTTCTCATCGGCGCTCCCAATGATGCAATACTCAATCTTATCTAATTAAAATTCGATTTCAATTACGATTCAATTACAAAAATGCCCAAATTTCAAATTTTCGATTTTTTAAAATTCTTTGAAAACTAATTTTTGGGCCCTTTTTTCTCGTCACAAAAAAACCCGCTTACCATATCCTTCACTTTTTGCACATTCATTGCCAGCGGCAAATTTCGGGTCTCAACACGATTTCCGTACTCAATTCGCAATTTCACAACTTTCAATCCTTTGGTGGTCGCGTCAACCGTCGGCTCGCCGTAAATCTACAAAAATTCCATACATTCGTTTTTTTTCTCTCTCTCAGCAACAATTCGTCCAATGGAGCGCACTTGCAACCAACACTCGTAAATCTACCCCCTCAAGATTATACAAAAAAATCAATCAATTCTCACTTTGACAAGCCTTTGAATATCATGCAAATGCTCATTCCTCAACTCCTCGTCTTTAATTCCAAAATAATTGTTCAAAAATCGAATTTCGGCCGATCGTCGCTCAACTTCCGACACATCGAACCGATTGAAATCCATCAAATTCGGCAATTTCGCTATAAAAACCTTAAAAAATCGAATTCGCATTGAATATTTCCAAAAAAAAAACGTTGAGCAAACCTCGAATGCGTTAATACCCGGCGCCAATTTGAAATTTCGATGATCGATGAGCAAATTTTTCAATTTATTCAATTTCTGTAGTGAATTGACGCTGTTCCACTGGAAAATTAAAATTTAAAAGAGTGAAAATCACAACAACAGCAACAAAATTTAAAAAAAAAACGAAAAATCGAACCTCTGCGATCAAATTCTCACGCAAATTCAAAAACTCCAAATTCGGAAACGCCTCCGAAAAATCGCCGATTCGCCGTATTTCGCATTTCGCCACATTCAGACAACGCACGTTCGCGTAAATGCCTTTAATCGCCGACAAACTGCGCAACGGGTTGCCCTGCAAATCGAGGCACGTGAGTCGGGCGGCCTGCGCGGCATCGAGACCAAATTCGGCGAGCTCGTTTCCGAACGCGACGAGTTCGACGCACGCGGGAAATCGCCGCAACACCGCGTCGATGTTTGACGACGCCTTCATATCGCATTCGCTGAGTATCAATTTGGTGCACGTCTCCGAAAATGGCGCAACGCCAAACGTCTGCTCTTCCATGACAAGCTCGCGATCCTCATCGATGTCAATCATCCAGTTCCTTCTGAATTTCAACGCTACATATTGTCGGCGTCAAACACGATCTCAAATTCGGGAAATTCATCGTTGACTGAATATGTATTAAATGCGCGTACGCTATAATGCAATGTACGCAATTTCGCGTACTTCTCGCTGCCTAGCTCGAGCCACATTGGCACAAGATACGAAATAATTAATTTTCTTCATAACTTTTGAACGAGTGGTCCAATGGGGTGGATATTTAAATATATTGGAAACTAAAATTTTTCGATTTTTCCATTTTTGCAGATTTCCGCGCGTATTTTTGCGAGCTAGTGTAATTCACAAATTGTGTTTTTTAGTTTCAGTAAAAATTTCACCCCGATCGGACGACTCGCTCAAAAGTTATGAAGAAAATTAATTATTTCGCATCTTTTTCTCCGGTATTGTAGCCAATAATTTTTCAAATTTCGTCAAGTCGTTTGACTCCGACAATATTCACATTTAAAAAAGAACCAACCTTAAATTCAATTCTTGAATTTTGGGAAAAAATTTCAGCATATGTTTGACGGTGTGCCATCTGAAATACATCAATATCGCGTTTCATTCTTTCTGCACCAACTTGTACACCAAATTGGCGTAGAGGTTCAATTCTTTGCATTGCCGAAACATCGGCGCGTCGTTCGGCGGCGCTTCGCCGACACTTCGATTGTCGAGCACGATATTCACGAGCTTCTCGATGTTCGCCTGTTGCGTCGCCGTTTTTCGCATGCCGACAAGCTCGATTTTTTTGGTGGTTTGCGCGAGATCGATCTGAAATCCTAAGTGACTCATCATTTTTGTTCAATTTTGTGGGAGGCTCAAGAAAAGACTCGTTTCGGGTCAAAAATTTCAAAAACTTCAAATTTCCACCAAAAAGAAAATCAAAAAAAAAAAGTTTGGAGAATATTCATTTTTCGGCTTCGAAAATTCACCGCAACTGGAAAAATGGAAGAATTTTATTTCAACCATTTTTCGAGCATTTCCCAGTTGCAACCAAATCGGCCAGCGTAAGCTTAATGTCGAACCTGATCCTGAACACCATCATCGCTCTCAATATATCGCGATTTGATCTCGGCAAGCAAATCACAAGGCAATTGGACGTTCTCGATTTTCGTCAACGAGCCGCCCGTCGGATGTCTGAAAATAATAAGCAAAAAAAATTGGGTAAAATTCAGATTTTCGAGCAAAAAAACCCAAAAAACTGGCTGTAATTGGTTCTTTTTCGGATTTTTCAAGATTTTTTTTCTGCCAAAACCTGCAAAAAATTGCTAGTATGCAAAATTACGTGTTCGAATCCTTTAAAAACCGATTTTTATTTGTCGAAAAACCCAAATTTCAGCAAGATATTTCAGAAATAATCAAAAAAAATGTCATCGACTTCTGATTTTGCTTTATACATATTTAAAATCCAAAAATTATTCAAATTTCAGCGATTTTCAGCCTAAAATCTCGACAAAATTTTTTCCTATCTCGAATTTTCATCCCAATTTCAGCCTATAATTCTCAAATTTAGCGAAAAAAAAACTTGAAACCTCGTCTGAAAATATCGTCGCCCTTTCACACATCCATCGTGCCTTCCTCTCTTCGGATCCTTCCATTCCAATCCCAACCAAATCTGATCACCATACCCATCAACGTTTCCAATATACCGTACCACAGCGAGATGGTCATCGACGCGAACTCGATCACCGATTCGGACCATTCAAGTCGGAAAAAAAATATTATGAGACCCAAAAAAAAAACGCGAAAAAAAGTAAAACATCGATGAAAATTACGTCTAATCCGTTAAAAATCTTCGAAAAAAAATGAGAAGGTGAGATTAAAAGAAAAATTTATGAAACACAATAGACAAATTGGGAAATGTGAGATTATGCACAAAAAAAGGACACCGTTAGTATCTCAAAAAAGAGAAAAAATGCAATAAATACAACTAATACTGGTCTATTTCGCTTCCGAAATCTCTTTGGGCTCGAATTTGTCGGTGAGAAGGAATACGATGAATAGGAGGAATGTTCCCAGCAAATCGCCAAGAGCCGTCAAATAGGGTATCACCGAATTGTCGGGATTGACTTTTAGCTTCCATAAAAGGGCAACCAAATATTGGCAGACGAATAGAAGGATCATCACCTGCAATTCAATTTGTTGGTATTCTACTTATTTGCTGATGTTGCCAAATTTGAAAATCTTTCAAATATTCAAATTTTTCGCAAAATTCTCGACATTTTTTAGAATTTTCGAAAAATTGCACGTTTTTTGGACAAAATCCTTCGAAATTTTCAGGCAAAAAATCGACATTTTCACAACTGGACCGCAAAATTCCAGAGATTTTCCAACAATACCTGAACAATTGCCGCGAGCAAGTACAAACTATTGAAAAGCGGCCCATGCGGCGGTCGAACGCCATCATGATCATGAAGCGAGAAAATTTGAATCAAAAAATTGAAGCAAATATGTCCAGGGACCACCAAAAGCAGCAATACTCGCGCCGATCTCGAGTCCCATTCTAAAAAAAAAGAAACAAAAATCATCATTTGAAAAAAACAATTTTCGAGACCTTTCGAGAAAAATGCGCGTTTGACACTCAAAAACCGATCAATCGTCCATCCTTCGGGCAACTCGCCGAGCGCGGCCGCCGACTGATGGAAAAACGTCGAGAGGCGGCTCGCTTGAACCGCCGCCAAATTGCCGCCGACACCTTTAAAACAACAAAAAATAATCGATTAAGATCTAAAAATCCCAATACGAACCATTCAACACCGGCCCGAATGTGCTCAAACTCTGATAGCTCTTCACCGCATTCTCCAGTATGAATCCGCCGCCGCTGCTTATCAACATCGACATGATCACCGGCGTCCAGCCGTTGCGCAACGTCTCGTTCGTCTGCTCGTTGTTCTGCGCGATTCGCGCCCATATCGGCAACACCAACAGAAACGCCAACACCACAATCGTGTTGAGCCACGATTCGGTCTCGTGCGCCTTCAGAAACACCGAGCCGAAGAAGGCGAGCACCGAGAGTGTGGTGAGATCGCCGAGCGAGGCGGCGATCGGTGTCGCGACGTTGTCCGGATTGATGTTGTAGTGTCGCGACGCCACAATCACGATGACCATGAGAAGCGACAGAACCAGCGAGGCGCTGCACGCTGAAATTCAAGACAAATCGTTGATGGTGTCGATTTACGAGCGAATTGAAAAATTATTTTCTTTTTAATGAATTCACACCTAGAGAGTCGATTTACGAGAAACGTTTGACTCAATTCTGGAAACAAAAATTGTGGGCTCAAATTTACGCACGACAAGACCCAAAATCACACTAGATGTTCCATATTTTTCAATTTATTTTTGTGAAAAAAAAATCCACAAAAATCAAATCTAAGCTCTGTAGCAGACATTTTTGACGTGAAAATTGCAATTAATCTCAACATCCAAAAATTTGTAGATTCTAACACAACGGGTTACTGTAGTTGGGTCCAGTCTGTTGGAAATTGTGAAAAAAAATGATTTCAATGTTGTGCTTGGATATTTTAAATTCAACCAAAATCGACTTATAGACAGAAAATTGGCAATCGAACCTGTCGCGAGACTGCTGGCGCACATCAGCGCACCATGCGCCCAATCGAAATCGCCGTTCGAGATCCACGCGAGCGATGCGGCGAACGCCGACGCCAAAAACGCGACGACCGTCGCCTGGACCTGCACCAACGCCAAATTCGCAATCACAACATCTTTGCGCTGTTTCGACGAGTCCATATGGCCGAGATTGGCCAGCGTCGACAATCGGCTAGCCAACGTCATTTCGAGATTGCCTTTGAGGCCGAGAAGCGCCGGCACAAGAATGAGAATCTCCGGCACCTGGACGAACAGCGGCCACGTGACAACGATCGATAGAACGATGCCAGCGAACACCATTCCGAGGCCGGCGACGACGAATGGGAAAAGCACCTGAGAAGAAAAAATGATTTTCCAAATCACTCTCGTAATTTTGCCGCGAAATATGAAATAATTTCCGTCAAAATCCACAAATTTTCCCAGAAAATTTGTAAAATTTCGAATTTTTTTCAAAAAAAAATGTACCTGGAAGAACAGAACATAGCTGGATTCAGCGGGCGCCGCCGACGCCGTCGTCATCTCAACACCGCTCTCGGTCGCCTCAATCGATTTTCGTTTCAGCGTCGTCGTCTCGCTCCTAAAATGATGGTGGGTAAAATCCGAAAGCAAACGGTCCGACTCAAAATCCCTGATTAGCGTATACACATATAAACCTGTCATGAATCGCCGAGGCGGGCACCCAACGCTCGCCTCTATTCAATCAGCATACTATTTATATATTGTATTGGTTCGAAATCAATTGTTTGTTTAATGGGGTGTCAGAGATGTTGTGTTCATGATCGCATTTCGACATTCGACACAGAAAAAAAATAATAATGCATGAATTGGCCAATTTTTATTCGTTACAAAAAAATGGCGATTCATTTTTTTCCAGACGGGTATTCATCGAATTTAAATTTTCATCATGTGTTCGAATTATTTCAAAAAAAATTCCAAATCTCTATTTTAAAGGACAGTTTTTGATTTTTTTCGTTGTACAAAATTGACAAAATTCAAAAATGCCTCATTTTTCTCACAAAACGGAGATTTCCATCCAAATTTTGGAACATTGCACGAATTTTTCATAATTTACATTAAAAAGAACCGTTTTTTATTAATTTTTGGAAAATTTGCTTTCAATAATTGAATATATTGATGGCAAGTCACATGAAATTGAAATTTTAATGTAAACAATCCTCAATTTAATTTTATCAGCGTTGCGGCGGAAGAAAAAAAAACTATAGAAGAGGTCTTGACGTGCAAAATTAGACGATGTGGATTTACGAGCTAATTTTAAAGGCGCACAAGACCTTTCACCGATATTTTGTCAATTTTCCATCATAGACAACAATATATGCAATTTCATAGTCAAAATTCCACAAATGCCTTCAAATCCCGCGATTCAAAGGATTATTGAGGGGATTTTCGAGAGAATTCGACCATCAAAAATCAAAATCAATAGAGGCAATTCGAAAAATTTTACAGTTTTTTCGGCAATCCAGCTATCGTGTGCTCAACATCCTTGTCAATATTTCGTTCAGCTTCATCCAACGCATGTCCCATTCGATCAAACTCCGAAATTCCCTTGAAAAAATCCAACGTTTTCCGAATTTCTTCACAGTTTACCTGACTGATTGCCGAACCATAATTTTTGCCGCCTCCGCCACCGGCTCCACCCGGTTTCATGACTAAAAAAATGGCATTAAATTATAATTTTCAGCAAGTTTTAAGGTATTTCAACAGTTTAAACTGAAAATCACACAAGATATTGGTTAATTTAACCGTTTTATTATGAGAAAAACAGTAGAAACGATAATCAGGCCTAGCTCGCAACAACAACATGACGATGAGATCGCAATAAAGAAAAGTGCGAAAACGGCGACGAGTTTCAGGTGAAGCTTCTTCAGCGTTCAATGCCGCTGCTTCTTCTTCTCCTCGTTCGTCTTTGTGGCAAAGAATGATTCTTTGTCGGCCGGTTCGATTTTGTTATCAATCGACCATTTAACGAGATCGCGGCGCATTGCGTAAGCATCTTCGCCGTCGGCATAATATCTGAACGAAATTACGATCAATGTAGTCTAGGATATTCCGAGAAATCGTAATTTTTGGAAAATAAATTCCCACTTTTCGCTGAAATTGGTCTAAACTCAATTTTTTTTTTCAAAAAAAGTTTTTAAAAAATCTCAAATATACAAAATTTTATTGTTTTATTTATAAAGGTCGGAATGATTTCTGAAAAGCGAAATTTTTCTAGATTGCTTTATTTTTGAAGGGTTTTATTTGGAAATGTAGCATTTCGACTTTTTTTGGAAGAAAATCATGTTTAAAATCAACCATTCCAAATTGCCTATTATTTTTTGATCACCTACTTTGGCTCAACATCATTGATCTCGAACTTGAGCGTATTCTGGTACAAATTTAGAGCGGCACGATTAGAAACGCGCACGTGGAGCGAAACGTAACGCGCATTGTAGGACTCGACCATCGCCCTTGCGGTTTGATCCATCATCTTATTGGCGAGACCCAAACGACGATAGGATCGTTTGACGGCCAACGATGTGATATGGCCATGCGGCTCCTCTCCAGGATCCTCCTCCATTTTAGCTAGCACATAGCCAACAACATTTCCCTGAATTTATCTCTTTTTTTGCTCAATTAAAATATTTAAAAATCACACCTTATGATCCTCGGCAATATAAGAAAGTTGCGGCCATGAGAGCGCATGGTAAAAATAATACTTCATTTGATAGTTTTCTGGAAGGCACATGAGATTCGCATTCTGCATGCTCATCAGATCCTCTGGCCGAGCGCAACGAATATTCATTTTTAACGCTGAAATTTATGTTTCGTTTGGAAGTCATGCAGAATAATATAATTTAAAAAATAATTTTTTTGAGCTCTATTTTATTTAAAGTTCCGCTGACAACCAATATCCACGTTTTGTGGCAAAATGTGCTGGAAATGAAATAAAAAAATTGAAAATATTGATTGGTGCGATGGAGCGCGATTGCAAAGCCAGTGGCAATTTGCCAACTTCACTGCGCAGCAACTCAACTAAAGGCGCATGCACTAATTTTGCCTCTTCGTTGTGAGACATTTTTTTAATTTTATCAGATTATGCACTTTTTTTGAACTTCTCATTAATAGTTCACAATTTTCTCAATTTTTCTTAATCATTTAACAAAATTATATTTCGTTAGCTACGCAATAAATTATTGGACTAAATAATTGTAATTTGGGTAGATAATCACATTATGTTTTACTGATTAATACATTCGAATTTTTCGAAACCCAAAAAAGTAATTTTTTTTCAAAAAAAGTATATTTTTTTAATTTTATATTTCGTTTTCTTATCGGTCTCATCGAGTATGTAAAATTATTTGCCAACTAAATTATTGTTTTCAGGTAATATCTTCAAAATGGGTTTTGACTCACCAGCTAGAGGAAGAGGAGGCGGCGGTAAAATAGAAAATACGAATAATTCAAATAGTGAGAAAACAATATTTTAGGATTCCGTGGCCGCGGAGGTTTCGGAGGTGGCGATCGTGGACGTTCTCCTGGAGGATTCCGTGGTGGAGATCGTGGACGCTCACCGGGTGGATTCCGCGGTGGAGATCGTGGACGTTCCCCGGGCGGATTCCGTGGTGGTCGCGAGGGATTCGGCGGTGGTGATCGCGGACGTTCTCCAGGTGGATTTCGTGGTGGCGACCGTGGAAAATCGCCAAGTGGTTTTCGTGGTGGGCGCGGCGGTGGTGGATTCCCATCGCGAAGAGACGGCGGAGGATATTCACCAGGCACTAAATACATAACATAGATGAATAATATATCCTCACAAAATTTCAGGAAACCGCGGAGGAAGAGATTTCGGTGGCCGCGGAGGTTTTAGCCCGCGAGGAAGAAGCAACTTCACGCCAAGAGGAAACTTCTCCCCGCGTGGCGGCCGCGGAGGATTCGGAAATCGTGGTCGCGGCGGTGAAAATGGCGGATTCACTCCACGCGGTGATGGCTTCAACAGCAAGCGAAAATTCAATAGAGAGGAAGATGAGGAGGAGGACGAGGAAGTCGAACAGCAAAAACCAATCGCCAAAAAGCCCACTCAGAATACTCCAGCTAAAGGGAAGAAGGCTCCTGTTAAGCAAGACGTTGAGGAAGATGAAGAGGATAGCGACGAGGAGGAGATTCCATTGAAGAAAGTCAAGGGATCATTGAACGCTGCAGTTACGGAGAATGATTCTGACGATGATGAGGATAATGATGACGAGGAAGAGGAGGAAGATGAAGAGGATGAGGAGGTCGAGGAAGAAGATGAAGAAGAGGAGGAGAATGAAGAGCCAGCGAAAAAGCCGGCTGCAAAGGCTACCCCAGCGAAAGCTGGAGGACTTTCTTCACTTTCTCAAATTGCTCAAAAAATAAAGGAGTCTGCTGATTCGGATGACGATGAGGAAGAGGATGAAGAAGATGAGGAGATTGAAGAAGAAGAAGAGGAAGAAGATGAAGAGGTTTAATTTATTCAAATTACCATATTTAGTATAATTTGGGTTTTAGGAGGAGGAAGACGAGGAAGAAACCGAGCCTGTTGTGTCCAAAACTCCAGCACTCAAGAGCGCGTTGAAAGGAGCGGAATCGGCGGCAAAAAGCAAACAAGTCGATATTTCGGCGGCCGCTACCCCACAAACAGCGGTATCCGTGTTTTGAATCGCCGAATAAGCTGATGATGATTATTTCCAGGCGAAGAAAACTCCAGCCACACCGCATCCTGCTAAAAGCGCCAAGGGAGACGTAAAAGCTGTGTCGACCCTTCAGTTCTACGATGATAGTGATGAAGAAGATGAAGACGAAGAAATTGATGAGGACGAGGAGGAGGAAGAGGTATAAATCGCGATTTTCTCAATATTGATTAATTTTTTTCTGATTTTAGGAAGATATTGATGAGAACGCTTTGAGGGCTTCGATCGCTGATAAAGTTGCTGCGGCTCAGGATGATGATGAAAGTGATGAGGACGAAGAGGAGGAAGAAGACGAAGAGGAAGATGAGGAGGAAGAAGAAGAGGAGGATGTCCCGGATTTGAAGACTAAAGAGGATTTGGTGAAACAAATTGCTAAGAATCGAGCTGCTATTGCTGCTGAAGATAGTGATGAAGAGGTATTTGAATAGTCTTCTCTTTATTAGCAGTTAATTGATTTCTTAGGAGGATGAAGAGGAGGAAGAAGAAGACGAAGAGGAGGATGAGGATGAAGAAGAGGAGGAAGATGACGAGGATGAGGATGTCAAGAAGCCGACTCCTGTCAAGTCTCAACCAGCCAAGGTCGTAGCTACTCCAGCTAAAGCTCAGCCAGCGAAGGCTGTCGCTACTTCAGCTAAAGCTCAGCCAACGAAGGCTGCCGCTACTCCAGCTAAAGCTCAGCCAACGAAGGCTGCCGCTACTCCAGCTAAGGACGGCAAAAGAAAAATTGAGGAGGCTCCTGTCAATGCGAAACAGCCCAAACTTGAGGAGATTAGCACTATCGTTTCGGAAGAAGAACGCCGACGAAAAGAACGAGACGAGCGATCGCTGTTCATTAAGAATATTCCGCACAAGTGCAAGGACAACGAGATTACTTCGCTCTTGACCGGTGTCGATTCGTTCAGACGAAAGAACAAGGCCAACTTTGGATGGCTTGTGTTCACCAGCGTTGCTGAATGCGAGAAGGCTAAGGGGATTTTGGAGAAGACGAAACTCAGAGGGACCGATAAGGCGTTGTTTGTTGATTTTTGCGGATCGAAAGCGGCGAAATCTACAAATAGTATGTTACTTCATAATTTGTTCATTGTTTGTTATGAATTATTTTGTAGAGCCCACAGAACAACGTCCAATCAATCCACTTCAGTTATTCGTTAACGCTTTGCCACCAGCCTGCACTAACGCGGATCTTAAGAATTTGTTCCGATCTGCCACTGAGATCAAAATTCTACAACCTGGAAAGAATCCGAATTCGAAACGGTAATTTAATTTCAACTTCTTGTTTATTTTATAGTTTCTTTTTTAGAAACGCTTTTATCACTTTTGGAAATGAAAATGATGCGAAAGCAGCTTTTGAGAAGTCCAAAGGTCTTAAAGTGCTCAACCAAACTGTTGATGTCTATTTTGCCCGTCAAATGAAAACTTCGGCGGAGGTGAAGCCAAAAATCGCGCCGAAGCCAGTTGCGGCCGTGCCAAAGAAAGCAAAAACACCAATTGCTGAGGATTCTGATGACGACGACAGCGATGATATCGCCTCCAGCGACGAGGGAATTGAGGAAGTTGTTGAGGAGAAGCCAAAAGTGAAAAAGTTGGTGAAAAAGCCGGAATCGACAAAGCCAATCGCCCGTGTTCCTATCAAAAAATTGCCGATGAAGAAGCAGCTGAAAAGCAAAAAATAAGCGCCGATTGAAATTCTAGAATGTTGTTTTTTCTTTTTTTTTAAATGACGATTATCACCAGAGAATCTTTCAAAAAAAAATTTATGTTGTTTTACCACCCGCGCGGAAAAGATTAATTGGATTTTATTGTTATTGTTGATCTTGTTAATGTTTATTTCAATTCTTACATGCCAAATTATGGAGGCCGTTAATTGTTCAATGGTTGTTGAATTTGTTTGTTGTTGAATATGCTCGTTGTAGTTTTGAGAATTAAATGAAAACCTAAACGCCGAAATTGTTTGACCCCTCGCGTGGCCACGTTTCTGGGTCGAGTTACGTGGCGAAATGTGTGGGAGCCGATGGGGGGATAGGGTGGTCGAATGAGCTCAGTCGAGTCGTCGCCAATCATGGATGATTGCAGCTTCCTCACCGAATTCCAGAGGAAATGTCTACATGTGGTAAGTTTGGTGGGCTTCTCCTTTTAAGGGCTAATCCATGCATTAGAAGAATGTTTTACGAATTTGATGCAATTTTTTGTGTCACGAATAAGACTGTCAAGCTTTTACCCCATCTGCAGATCATTGAAGCCGAACGCGATCCGCAGACGTTGTTCACCAATGATGAGACATGCGAATATCATGAGGTTGGTCGTCTTGAGCTTCTCGTTTCGTTTCTTTAAACGGTCTTGCAGAATGTGATGGCGTATCTCAAAAAGTTGCTCATTGAGAAGGCGCACCTTCAAAAGTGCGGAAATACGAATTTCGCGATTCAATTGATTGACGAAGGTAGGGAAAATTGTTGGCCTCGATGAATGTCGGCAGCACGAGACTCGATAAATCGTTTTGCGCTTCTATTCGTTGCAGAAGTTTGCCGCCTTTTGATGGTGCCTGTCTCGATACCATACGTCAGTTTGTTGGAGCAGTACGGACGCGAGATGCTGATGTGCTCGCCGGACGTTTTCACGAATCACACGCTATCCGATGAATCGCTTCATTCGGAGGACAATGAGGAGGTGACGCTGACGAAGAGCGTCCTCATTCCGATTGATGAGTATCCATCGGTAAATTTGGAAAATTGCGCTTTTTTTCTGGGTGGTTGAAATGGACGCAATTTGGCGTCGCGGTGTTTGCGGAACCGTCGTTTTACAGTAGTGTTTTGATGAAAAATCAACCCTTAATTTTTTTTTGCCCACAAAAAAAAATCAAATCGAATTTGTGTGTTTTCAGTATAATTTCATTGGGCGAATTATTGGACCTCGCGGAATGACTGCTAAACAATTGGAAAAGGACACTGGCTGCCGAATTATGGTCCGCGGATATTATTTGAACAAAATTGTGGGTTTTAAAGATTCTTTTTCTTTTTTTGAAGACGAACAAATTATTTTCAAATTTTTAGTATGGACGCGCTCCTCGCAATGGACTACTTGATGAAAATGAGTAAGTGAATTCAATTTTTTTTTTTCAAAATTGGATTATTGAATTTTTTCAGCCCGTCTGAATCGCCGCTACGAGTTGTTCTGGAGACGACTGGGCCGAGAAAAGAGGCGAATGAGAGGCTGAATGCCGCTATCAATGTTGTGAAGTCGCTTTTGGTGCCACCGGTAAGCGAATTTGTCTTTTTTGGAAAAAATATTGCCTAATGCAAGTTTGGCGAGACTCGTTTAAAGGGGGGTGACGCGTGCGCGCGCGCTAGCACACATGTCTACACATTACATCAGGCAACGCAGCGAGCATCGGTGGTTCAGTGGTAGAATGCTCGCCTGCCACGCGGGCGGCCCGGGTTCGATTCCCGGTCGATGCAATCTTTTTTTTCGTCATTCAAAATGACGAATTTGCAGCGCTAATGTTTTTTTCATGGCCTTATCAAACTTTTGAATCAAGAAGGTGTTCATTTTTTTTTGCTTTTTGCAGTCTGACGGCCAAGATGAGCTGAAGCGTCGTCAACTCGTCGAGCTCGCCGTGATGAACGGCACCTATCGTGGTACAGGCAGCCGAAAAACGCCGGCGCATTTTTAATTCACCACTCCCCCTTCGAAAAAGCCAATTTCGCCTCAGTGTTTTTTTTTTGTTGGTTTGACGCCATGTTTTATCCTTGTTTTATTCAGTTTTTTCCCCTTCTCTTTTCCACCCAAAACCCACCAAATTGTCGTCTGTCACACTCGAACTCATATATATAATTATTGATTTTTTTTCGTTTTTTTTTTCTTAAATAAAACGATAATATACCTGAGAGAAAACGACTCATTTTTCCAGTGTCATGTCATGTTTAATTTATCTCGTTATTTGTCGTCGTTGGAAATTGAGATGGATGCCGAGGCCAACTGTTCGTTGTGAAGGGCGGTTTTTTTTTCTTGTCGTCATATTTCAAAGAGTATTATATTTGCTGGACTCTGAACAACTCGGTTTTCATGAAACGCCGCTGTTGCCAAAATATTTCTACGCGTTTTGGGCCCATTTTGACGCTCTTGGATTACTGTAGTTACTGTAATCGACGTTGAAGCACTTTGCGAAGGATAACGGTCATCTTCGGGATTCACGTTTTATTTCTCGCCGAGAAATTGTGCGAAACGCGAAACCCAATTTATCTCCGTCCTTCTCCCTCAATTTTTATTCCATATTTGGAATGAATAGGCCGGGTTTGGTGAGGCCAATTTATTGATGTACACCCGTGTATATTTTGAGGAAATTTTGTCGGCGTGCGCGCGTTCTTCTCCAAACTTCTTCTCCCCCAACATCTTCTCCTCATTTCAATCGTCTCGACGCACTCGAAATGAGCCTTATTAAAAGTGTGTGTGTGTGTCGTTGCGTTTTTTTTATTAAAGCAAGAAACGATTGCGCCCCCCCCTATAAAGAAGAAGCCTCATTCTAAACACCTTGTCGAGCTCTCGTCGTGCTCATTGAGCTCCTCCAGCTCTGCTCCCCCCCCCATCAATTTCACACCGTCCCCCACACACCTCATGCCAGCTGTGCTCAATTTGTTGAAGGCCAAAATGATTTATGCGATCGGCTATGATGGATTACGGTAATTTGTAGAGCCACCCTTTAAGAAGAATTGATTTTATTTACAGTACCCCCCCCCATCCCCTCTCTATCTTAATTTTATTGCTATGTTGTGCGTCCCGTAACAATGTCCGCAGCCGACATTTGGTAAATGCCAATAAAATGGATCGCTTCAACCCTCGACTTTAATGATCCAGATGTCAAGCCATCGGGGCCTAGTTTCGCCAAGGCCGTCCTCTATAATTATATGAAGCGTCGTCTTCGAGCTTCCTCAAAAAAAAAATAAACGCAATAAAGGAGCTGTAAAAGGGAGGCGATCGGATCCACATGGTTGTCCGGTCATTTCAAACCTATGTATATACAGGGTGTCATTTAAGTTCCCGCACAACTTTGAAGACGTATATTTCTGAAACTAAAAGTCCAAATCAAACGAGACTCGAAATATTATTTATCTATAGTACAACAAATAATTATCTATTAACTCTTTTCGATTCGGCCTCTTTTCGCAGCTATGACTTCGCGGAGACGCTTCGGGTAGGATGTGACTGTGGTACGCAGGTATTCGATGGAAAGATTGTCCCATTCCGCCAGTAATGTCTTCTTCAGAGCCTCTACACTTGAGTGGGGTTTTGCGTTGACCTTCTCCTGCAAGACCCCATCACGGAGAAGTCAAGCGGGTTCAGGTCTGGGGAGCAAGCAGGCTATTCGGATGACTTGATGAAGTCGGGAAAATGGGTCTGGCACCACTCCTGAGTAGTTTTGGCAGTAGGGGCGGGTGCTCCGTCCTGTTGAAAGACCCATATCTTCCCACCGAAATGCGTTTGGGCCCAGGGCATCATATGCTTCCCCAAAATGTCCCGAACGTAGACTTCTTTGTTCACTTTCACCACCTGATCCACGAAAACCAGGGGCACTTCCCGGTTGAGCAGATGGCACCGAAAACCATCACACTGGCAGGATGTGAGGCTGGATGAATTGTTCTTCCTTTCTCAGAAGCTTTCTGGGATGTCTGGGCAAGTACTCAATGGTTTTGTGAGTTGAATGCCGCCTCCACAGTGAACAGCTTCTCGTCGGAGAAGACAGTGGCGAGGTGTTCTCCAGACCGCGTGCGAGCAAAAAGTCGTTTTGCTTTTTCGAAGCGTCTCTGCTAGTTGACGGCCGATAGAATTGCCGCTTTTTGGACGCGATATGGGGTCAGTCCAAGCTTCGTTTTGACCATTTGTTCCATAGCGAAGATGCTCATTCCCATGTCTGACGCCATCTTTCTTATGCTCCTGTGCGGTTTTCGCCTGATCCTCGTTTTGACGGCGTTGATCTTCTGAGGAGTGGTTACTGAGACGAGTCTTCCTTGTCTGGGAAGGTCACTGGTCGTATTTAGCTCCTTGAATCGTTTGATGGTGTCGTAAACCGTTCTACGAGGCACACCGAGGCGTTGAATGATCTCTGTCGGGCGCTCATTTCGCTTATGAAGTTCGATAATGGAAGCGCGATGAATGTTAGCCTTCGCCATTTCTCGGAAACACATCCGAATGAAGTGAAACTTGAAAAGTAAGTAAAATACACCTTATTTAACAAAAATAAATTGTATTGGTGCACGAAAAGTGCGACAGCCAAGCTTTTCATGGCGTCTAACTTTTGTGCGGGAACTTAAATGACACCCTGTACATTCTGGCAATTTGTTTTGTTTACACGACGCGTTTGTAAACAAATGAATTTCTTCGAGCTTCTCATTGAACAAGCCCTTGTGTTATTACCGTAGTCCACGAGATGTGTCTAGAAAGAATTGAAACGCCAAATTTTTTTTTTCGCCGGTTTCGCCCATCGGGCGTTCTTCGACCTCAAGCCGGCCCCCCACCCCCTTTGACGACGACGACGACGCGCATCCGCTATACATACTCATCACAGCTAAATAATTAACGAATCAGCCGAATGGCTGGCGAGAGAGAGAGAGTTGAGGCTTGTCCAGCTACCAGTCACCTCGTGCGGCTCCCCCCCCCCTTTTTCACATTCTTCCAATTTACTGGTGGCAGGGTAGACACACGCAAAAAATTGCTTCCTAGTTACACCTTCACCCCCCCCTACCATTGAATATTTATAAATGAGCTCGAGCTCACCTTTGAAGCTCGTCCAGCTCCTCCTCGTCGTCAAGTGTAACATTTTATTCATGCTCTCTCAAAAAAAAAATGTTGTTTTTTGTTCATCTTTGATTCATACGCTTTTTCTTCTCAATTCTTGAATTTCTCATTTAGTACAGTACCCTTGAATGCCGGCTACAGTAATCTTGAGTAGCAATTAAACAATTCCATATTTTTTACGACAAGTACACCAATCTAATACTTAGCAGCTGAAAAATGATTCTACAGTAATCCCCCCAGTGGTTCCTTTTTTGGATGGTACGTCTCGTGATCAGCCAACTCATGAATATATCCAATTCGGTTTGAGTCATATCCAAATTGTGGCGCCGGCCGGGGCGGTGAATAATTCCCTCAAATTGTCCGCAGATGCGAATCGCCAAATAAATGCCAACCGCTTGTGATCCAAGTAGCTTAGGCCACGCCCCCCCCCCTCCAACCTCTCTCAATTTTTTTTACGACCATCCACCTGAATCAAATCCAATTACGCATGGCCTTGGTTTTTTTTTCTTTTTGTGATGTATACAAATTTTTTCTCCTCCTCGTCCACACGAAATTCGATCCGCCGACACACGCCTGTTGTTTCCAGAAATTCGTCGTGTCGACGACGGTTTCTTCATCATCGCATCACATCATCGAGATGGGCAACGGAATGCGCAAATACTCGCAATGCGACGCCTACTACAAGAAGCGGCGAAAAACCGATGGTAGATCAAATTTTTTCGGCGAGAAAATTGTCCCGTCGTCTGGTGGCTTTCAGAAATTTGCGGCTCGAATTTCTCAAAGGATTACAGCGAATACTGGAAGACGACCGACAGGAAGAATGATAATTTCGCGATCGAACGCAATGAGTACATGTTTTCGACGAGTCAAGCGTGTAAGTCACACACGGTTACTGTAGGATTACGGTAGATCATAGAAGTAGTCTGAGGAATCGATGGGTTACGGTAGATAGCCTTATTTTTTATAGTCTATGAGCCCTGGAATTTGGATTTTTCTAGCAATCAAAAATATTCAATCCAATTAGGGTAGGTCATCAGAGAGGTCTGACAACTCGATTACTGTAGGGTTACGGTAGATCAATGAAGGGGGTCTGAGGACTCGATGGGTTACGGTTTTATAATCTATGACACATAGAATTTGGAGTTTTCTAGGAACCAAACACTTTCAGTTCAATTACGGTAGATCATAGAGGGTTACTGTATTTTTTTTTTGAAAAAATCCAAAAATGGAAGGTCTCGAGAGAGCTCAGCCGAGTTACTGTAGGCTTTGTGCTTTGACGTCGACTACCGTAGTCGCAAAAATTGAAGCCGCCGATGAAAATACAATCTCAAAAAGCACGCACATTCGAGTTTTAGGTAAAAAATTTTTGAATATGACTAATTTCCACGAGAAGCTTGAAATCAATAATGTAGAAGGATTACGGTAGTTATAGAAACACCCTGGATTACTGTGCGTCAGCCAGCATCAATATATGAAAAATTGGAGAGAGATTACTGTAGTCCCTACCGTAGCCCAAATTCGATAGGTTTTGGTTTTGCAGTCGATTCGCCGCTTCGCAACAGCCGAAAACAGCATCCGTCGACGTTCGTCTCATCGTTTGAGGGCTCGAATAATTTCGGCGCGAAAACGGATTGCCGTCGCTGAGAGACCGACGGACCCCCCGAGCCCCCAACCCCCAATTTTTTGTGATGTCCCATGTGATGCTCCCCCTCCCCCGTCTCCAAATATGTACATAATTGCTAGCCACACAAACTCCATGAATAAATGAAGAATTCTTTATTTATTATTTCAATTTTCTGCGCGCCAATTGACCCGCGAATTGTCCGCAGCATGAAAGTGTTAAGTCATCGAGTTGAGCGTTCGAGAAATGGATGATTTTATGGATATATGGAGGTCGACTCATTATAAGAATGAAAATGACAATGGGTATCAGGATTTAAACACGCATAACATTTATTTAATATTAAAATCGAGAAAAAAACCATATAATATTTGGTCAGCGCGTAAATCTACCCGCTCGTAAATCTACACTGGTTACGATATACTGAAGGCCACGCCCCCCATCAAGTCGTTTGACGCCGACAATATATTCGTTGAACGTATTGTTGGATATATTTAATAATAAAGTTTTTAATTAATAAATACTCTTTCATTTGCTTGTTTTTGCATATGAAATAATGTAAGCGCGAATTACGCTAAACGGAGGGCTATAACGACCATACGCGCTTACAGCTACTTGCTAGCAGAGTGGGGCAAAACGCGGGCGTCCGTTGCTTTTGCCACCATTCTGCCACGGTTTCGCCCGCTCGGCTTGCTGAGAAGAATAACGGAATTTGTGTTCTTTAAAGACCAACATTTTTCAATCCGATAACGGCAAATCGCCAAAGAGGTTTAAAAAATCAACTGGCCTACTGTAGGACTACGGTAGATCATGGAGGGGTCTGAAATCTCTACAGGCTTACTGTAGGACTTTGATTGTCTTGGATGTACAATAATGATTTCATAGCACAATTTTTATTTATAAAGCTCTAAAAAAAATCTCGTATATGATTACGGTAACTGGATGAGTTCAACTAGGCTACTGTAAGCCTCGGAAAATAGTCCAATGATCTACTGTTGTTAGATTTTGTGATAATCATTGTGATTCCTATCTCAACGATATTTAAGATCGAGCGGTGTGCGATCCAGCTTGAATATCTCGTAATCCTTCAGATACATCAAATGCAAATATTTGCGGACAATCGGATCATTTTTGACCTGAAAATTGACGCACAATTACGGACTGGCGTGTCGCCATTTTTTGATCTACCTGCTCTTCAGCCTGTCTTCTCACCGGCGATTTGTAAGTGCCATGAATCGTCTCAGAAGCTGAAACTTCGTATTAGGTGTTTCGAATGGTCCCAGCGGAACGTACCCAATGCATTCTTCTTGATAAACTCGATTTTGTCGTCGGAAACATTTTGCTGTTTGAGAACGTCGACGAATTTCGCGATCGCCGGCGCTCGTTCCTCGATCGTCGGACCGATGAGGACTTTTTCGAATTTGTCGAGGTCCCGATGAAACTCGCAATTCCTGTAAACGATGTGCATTTTCGCGTCGGCGTGTTCGCACACAGACACACCATGACATTGGCGCCGCGTGGAATTCCTCGTAGGTCGGCACCGGCAGCACGTCGCTGTTGGCGATGGCGCTCAGCTTCTCGTAGGCGGTGCGCGCCACACACCGCATATCGGCGTTGCAATTCCAGCAATGTTTCTCGCTTCAATCAAAACCCGCACATTAAAAACAATTGCTACCGTAACCCGATTCTTACTGTTCACATTTGTTGAGGTAGAACGAGATGAATCGATCGAACGGATCGCGAATGAACACAATTCGCCGCATGAATGCGTCGAGCTTCTGATCGGCTTCAAACGTGCGGAATATATAATCGCGACCGCAACTGAAATAATAAATACGAAACTCGAGCTTCCGACATTAATGCGGGTCCGCGGGGAACCTCGTTGAGACGAGTTGAGGCACATCGGCGAACGATTGGTTGTTCTTCAGGAACGCCTCGCTGTCGTATAGATAGCACATGACGTTGGTGGTCAATTGCGACATCGATTTGGCGATGATGCAAGCGGTTAGGTTCTGATTGGGAAGAACGAAATAGTTGGCCCAATAATTGATAAAAGACGGCAAAAGTGGGAGTTCTGAAGGTCCCTTTTTAGGCACCTGATTTCGATGGTCCCCGTACCTTCACTGGTGGCATTGCCGTCGGCAATTGTCGCATTCGTCTCATTCGTTGAATGCAGCACTTGAAATTTGCCGAAAACCGTGGTCGATATCAGAAGATGGTAGATCAAAAATGCCGCGCAACAACAAATCAGAATATATCGAAGCAACGTCGTTGGCATTTTTTTGGGTACTGTCTCTCCTTACTACCCGAGTGCTGCGCTATTAAGCTTCGTCGCAGACGGCCACGCCCACAATGTGCGGCCAGAAAAAAACCATGAGATCAACGCATACTGTAAGCAATACAGGAGACAAGATTTGGTCTTTTAAACTGAAATATAACCGCCGACAATTGCTTAGTTGTGCCATTAATATTAATGTGTGAGGTTCCTATCAATCTGCGGACAATTTAGCGGTTTCAGATCGACGCTGAAATTGGCTTGGAAATATCGCGTCCACAATTATCTGTTATTAGACGATTCAAATCATGGAGTATAAGTTTGTTCAAATTTTATTTAAATTTTCAGATCGTTTTCTGAAAATTGGCCATTTGCAATATAATTCGAAGAGTGTTCTTTTCATTTTTGCAGACAATTTCTAACAAAAAAGCTTTTAAAAAATAAGCCACGCTTTTACTAGATTATTCCATTCAAAAATCAGATGTTCGACTGGCTCAAGCTCGACTTGAATCCTTCAATTCAAATTTTCGATGGCTCTAATACGAAATCTTGAAATCATGTCGGTGGCGTTTTATTCAATTCCGACAATCCGTCAATTCAGCCAACGGTATCATGAATATATCAGTCTGCCGACAATTTGCGGGCGATTCGATCACACGAATTGTGCTGCTGACAACAATATCGCAACATGCTGTCGATTTTCAATGCGATTCAAACGGCAAGAAACGAGATACAATCGACGTATTTTGGGTACCAAGAGTTCACAAATGCCTCCCTAATATGGTCGTCGTCGGAATAGAAGAAGCGAGAGGGAGGGGGGTCTGATTGATCAAAACGATATGGATTTGTGCCTAGAACGTTTGGAAGAAATAGTTGAAAATGACTACTCGAATAACTCTTTTTTTTTTTCAAATCTCGACTTGATTCGAATATCCGCCGACAAATCATGACGTCACTTTTTATTATCATTATTATAATTACTATATATTTATATCATATATTCGAAGCGACCAATTTTTGTTACTAATTAACATGAGAAGAAATATCACAATTCCCTAATACCCAAATTTATCTGCGGACAATTGGCAGAGGGAAATGTTCAAAGTTGTCCGCAGCACGAAATAGTCATATAAGGAGTTTGCCATTTCGAGAATTTGGCTCGTCGTTCAAAGAGGTTGCCCGCAATAGAGCACATTTGCCCAATTTTTCTGATCTACCATTTATCGTCAATGGGGGAGGGGAAATTCAAAAAATACTGTCGAGAAGGATTTTTTGTAACAAAAAAAAATTGAGCTGCGGACAATTCGCCGCCGGCTTGATCAAAAATTGTCCGCAGGTAAATATCAACAAAATTTGTTCTTTGAAAAAAGACAATTTTCAAAAGACTGAGACATAGACTCAATGTGTACGGCGGGAAACTGTTGAAAATTGTCCGCAGCACGAAATAGCCATATGTCAATAACAATAATATCAACGATTGAGACACTACCCTATGAAAGGGCAATCAGTTTCACTACATTCTTCTCCATCGCATTCATCAACGTTTATTCTGCGTAGATCAAAATCAAGATCAGCAACATCTTGACCATTCGCCTGTTTGACATCAGCAACAACTGTCATTCTAGTCATTCAAAAAAGGCGTTCTCAGAAGAACAATGAGCCGAACCATCAAACGTCGTTATTTGATTGGCCTCTCCCAGAAGCAACTTCGATATGCTTGGGTGTCGATTCCACTCTTGCTGATTCACAACCTCATCGAGAAAAAATCTATTAAATAGCTTTTTGCTATTTCGATTTTTTTTTATATATAGGTTGTTGAAATCGACTAATCAGATTCTTGGTTTTTTTTTTCAGCAGAAACCAATTTCAATGGATAGCAGGGTTTCATTGAAATTGAGAAAAAAAACCCCGAAATTAGAATACCTATTTAATTTTTTAATTCTCACAACCGCTTTTCAATTTTCACCGAAATGATCTGCGGACAATTGGCGGGAATTCTATAGAAATTGTCCGCAGCAAAAATCTTTTCCCCATTGACGATAAAATTGGTAGATCAGAAAAATTGGGCAAATGTGCTCTATTGCGCAACCCGAAACCTCTTCGAACGACGAGCCAAATTCCCGATATGAGTATTTCGTGCTGCGGACAGTTTCCCACAATTCCCCGCCAATTGTCCGCAGATAATTTCGGGTATTAGAAAATGTTTCAAAATGAGATTGTGATATTTCTTCGTGTGTTAATAAGTAACAAAAAAATGGTCGTTTCGAATATATGATATAAATATGTAATAATGATAAGTGACGTCATGATTTCGGCGGCGATCAACCTGATTTGTCGGCGGATATTCGAATCAAGTCGAGATTTGAAAAAAAAGGAGTTATTCGAGTAGTCATTTTCAACTATTTCTTCCAAACGTTCTAGGCACAAATCCATATCGTTTTGATCAATCGGACCCCCCTCCCTCTCGCTTCTTCTATTCCGACGACGACCATATTAGGGAGACATTTGTGAACTCTTGGTACCCAAAATACGTCGATTGTATCTCGTTTCTTGTCGTTTCAATCGCATTGAGAATCAAGTGCAAGTGTCCGCAGCACAAAGATCAGTTCAAAAATTGTTTTTGATCGAACTCGCGAATTGTCCGCAGATTGATATTGATGAATTCGCTCATGATGGCTATTCGATGTGGCGGGATGGCCGCGTATGGTCGGCGTCAAACGACTCATCGGAATTCAACAAAAAAACTAGTGGCCAGGTGTTTTGAGACAAATGGTACCACCAAATCAGTCATGATTTTCCATTAAATTCATTTCAAAACTCTCTTTCAACCATTATTTCGTCGGCAGCACACAATTGCCATACCAACACAATTCTCATAGATGCTATTTTCAGAAATGGGCAATGGAATGCACAAATACCCAAATTGCGACGACGCCTACTACAAGAAGCGGCGAAAAACCGATGGTAGATCAAATTTTTTCGGCGAGAAAATTGTCCCGTCGTCTGGTGGCTTTCAGAAATTTGCGGCTCGAATTTCTCAAAGGATTACAGCGAATACTGGAAGACGACCGACAGGAAGAATGATAATTTCGCGATCGAACGCAATGAGTACATGTTTTCGACGAGTCAAGCGTGTAAGTGCACACGGTTACTGTAGGATTACGGTAGATCATAGAAGGAGTCTGAGGAATCGATGGGTTACGGTAGATTGCCTTATTTTTTTATAGTCTATGAGCCCTGGAATTTGGATTTTTCTAGCAACCAACAACTTTCTATTCAATTACGGTAGGTCATCAGAGAGGTCTGACAATTCATACTGTAGTGTTACGGTAGATCATAGAAGGAGGTCTGAGGACACGGTGAGTCACCTTTGTATTGTGTAGTCTTTGAGTAGCCGAATTTGTGTTCTTCAAAGATCAGAAGTTTTCAATGCGATAACGCCAGACAGAGATGCCTGCGACTACAACAGGCTTGTAGGGCTACGGTAGATCATAGTGGGGTCTGAGATCTCGTCGGGTTATGGAATTTGTATTTTCCTAGCAACCAAAAATTTTACTGTTATCGACTAGGAATGTTCACATGAATTACTATAGGATTACGGTAGATCATAGAAGGGGGGTCTGAGGACTTGATGGGTTACGGTAGATAGCCTTATGTTTTATAATCTATGAATAACGGAATTTGCGTTCATCCAAGACCAAACGTTTTCAATCCGATAGCGGCAGGTCGCCCGAGATGTCTGCGAACACAAAAGGCTTGTAGGGTTACGGTAGATCATGGAGGGGGGTCTGATGTGAGAACTCTACAGGCTTACTGTAGGACTTTGGATTGTCTTGGATGTACTAGAATCTTTTCATAGCACAAGCTCAAAAAAAATCGCGACTTCTCCGAGTTCAACTAGGCTACTGTAGAGGCCTCGGAAAAACGTCCAATGGGTTACTGTAGTTAGATAAATTGGCAATCATTATGAGGAGACCAAATTTGGATTACGGTGTCTTCGATAATGTTCTAGAATATTGCGTCATGTCGCGAGATTGACCACCGCGCGACCCCAAAATAAAAAAAAAATTTCAAGCGGAAGTCCAGTGGATTTCCGGGCAAACGCCGTCACACCGCTGCTTTTTCTGGGACAAACATCGAAAATCTCAAAACACTCCAAACTGGGGGCTACAGTAAACTGTGTGTAAAATATAAAAGCTACCGTAATCCGAGAGACTTTTTTTTTCATTCGTCGTTTCAGTCGATCTACCGCTACAATCGCGCCGACAATCGACGTTCGTCTCATCATTCGACGGCTCGAGCAATTTTGCGAAATCCCCTCAAAAATTGTGATAAACAAATTTTTTGTTGTTGTTGTTGTTTCGTATTAATTATATTATAAAATCAATCACATATAATAAGCCACAATTTATTGAAGCGAAAACTCAAAAGTGGGTTTCGGCTCGAAAAAGTTGGACGGCACACGACTGACGGATACGGTAGCCACGTGGCCGAAACGATTTTTGATCTCCCACACGCCACGTTGAAGGGGCCTTGAAAACGTCGATTCGAATTGTGTGACGCGCGAACCACGCCGACTTACCGCTTCGGCACACCGCTCATGATTTCCGCCTTTTGCAAATCGTCGCTAACTATATTCAAGTAGGTCATACCTCTTCGTCGACCGTCTTGCCATTCGCGCAGAATCCGATTGATGCCGACGCTCGACACCGACGACGATCGAATGAGAATCCTTGGGCACGACAATCGATCGAGTTGCTCGTCGCTCACGTCGCTCTCGATCGTCTTCATGTTGAGCTCGCCGACTCCCCGAATTTTCGGCTCGTCGAGAAATTGCGATCCAAGAATCTCGATCGATCGCTGATGGAACGCGAAGAACGAGATTTGAAGTTTGCTCGGCGAGCCGATGCAACGACGCAACATTTCTCGAATCAATTGCTGATCGTAGGAATTGAAGCTCAACGTCTCGATTCGCGTCAAAACTTTCGGATTTCGCCGAAGCGTCGACTCCATGCTAGCGGTGACGTTGGGCTGCAATCTGGGCAATCAATCAAGCCGATCCAACAATTCCATACGACAGTGATTTTGACATTCCCAATGTCAGTGTGATTCTCGAATCGATTCATGAAATCATTGAATGCCGCCGTTTGAAAATCGTTGGTAACTCGGACTTCAGGCTTCGGATCGTCCAACCTAACGACACCCTATGTTTGGATCATCCGGGATCACCTACAGAAAATCCATCGGATCCGATTGCTCATCGACGAACGCCAATTTGAATGTGTCGCCATACTCGTCGGTCCAACCAACATGGGCGCTTTGAATCGTGCCGTTCTGAAAGCACCAATCCACGTATTGATTGAACACAATGCGAGGCTCCGCGTCACGACTACCGTATTCAGCCAAACCGCGTACGTGAGCTCGTCGAGAATGCGTTGCGCGCTCAACAAGCGTGGGAAAATGAGCAGGAAATGGAGCATCGGCGAGAATTCGAAGAAACCGGAAATGAATGCGAAATTCGATCGGCCGGTTTCGACAAACCCAAAAATAGTCGTTTCGACTAGAGTGGTGTGCTATTCTTCAAAATTGGTAAATTAATACTCGACAAACAGAATTATAGCGACAACAACCAAAAAAACGAGTTGAAGGACCATCGAAACTGATCTCTTATTTACGCTTGAGATATCTAGGGACCATTGAGTTTTTGGTAATAATTTCAAGGGATTTTAAACGCGTTTACATTTTTGCCATAATATAAAAAATTTGACCCATCCAGATGACTACTGTAAATTGATTGGATTACGGTAGATAAAAAAATTACAGGATTCTCGTGTCAAGACCTAAATAACACAATAGCGGGCATCATAATATTCGAATTCAAGCAAACAAATTTCAACAAAGACGATGCAAAAAATTGCAATTTTACTCGGAGTCATCGCTACGAGACCCTACCGTAACGCAACAATCCAACTCAGAAAATCCTACTGTAATTCGCCAGAGAAAAAATGTTCGAGAGTGTGTGATTTTGAGAGGCGGAGACATTTCTTGTCGCCGTCGTTTCGCGTTTGTCCACGATTTCTACAGCACGATTTACAGCTAATACAACATGTAGAATACAACGTGAAGCAGCAGAAGCGACGCGAGAAGATACTCTACGGTGAACAGAGAATACTAGGTATACCTATTTTTTCGTTCAAAAAATTTCGCGGAAAAAAAACGTTTTTAAATTGCACCATAACTCGTAAAATTTTAAAGATACTGCAGATTTTTAATGTACACGAGGGAAACGCTATAAAATATTAACAAGCGAAATATGATTTTCAAACTCTTCACTTTTCAGAAGAATTCTATTCAAATAACCTGAGCTATTAGGGATACTGCTAAAAATCGAACATAAAAAAATTTTTCCGGATTTTTTTTGCAGGGTTTTTCTTGTACAAGCCCTGAGAGCACCCACACGGTACCCCTTCATCAAGGACCACAACAGATATGCTTTTCCCGGTCCCATAATCCGGATTTTGTTTTCGCTAGATTTTCAGCAGGGCGGATGGCGTATGGGATCTCCACCCGGAATCACATACCGCCCCCAGACTCAATCAATTCGTTTCGCTACTCAATATTTCAAGGATTTCACGCATGTGCCTTTAAAAACTACACCAATCTTTGCTTAAAATTTCAACAACAAAAAAATTCTCAAGCGGCTGCTAGTACCTAATTGCGCATCTCGAAAAACGAAACCGAGACCACGAGAAAACAAAGATGGGGAATCCCGCTTTTAACGGGGATGCCCACTAATAATATAATAGATATAGCAAATACCAATTCATCGTTTGATCATTTCCGTGACTTCATCTGATTCTCATTTTCTGGGCATATCTCTGAAATCATAAAAGTTCGAATTTAATTCTATAACTGGAAATTTGGTTAAATTTCAAATTAAAAAAAATTAAATGGGGGGTCTAACAATATATTAAAGGCTCACACCAATACGGAAAAAAAACGTTTTGGCATTTCGCCAATTTCAAAAAAAATCAATAAACGCACTGAATCTTAAATTTCGTCGCGAAAATTTAAACCCATACGAAAGTTGAGTTGTCCTATCGTCGATCGTCAAACAATTTCTAAATTCATTAAAAAATAATGTAAATTATCTAAATCGTCAAACTTTTCAGTGAATTTCAAATTTCGGTTTCAAAATCTAAATAAATCCAATCTAAAACCGAGTTGAAGCATTTTTCTTCTTTCACAACAATATTCGGCTTGAACTACTCATTGATTACCCCGAAGATATTGATATCTGAAAATATTACATTTTCAATCTTTCTTTTCGGTTTTTTTCGCCACAAACTGCTTAAGAAGAAGCCGCCACAAGAAATAGAAGTGTAGAAGCACTTCTATTTCGATCAAAATCTGAGCCAATGGAAATTGCAGTCGAATCTTGAAAACCAAATAATTAGTGGCTTCTAAAAAAACATCAAAAAGAAAATCTACCAATACTAGAAGAATTCTGAAAATCACAATAGAAACGACAAAAAAAACTGGCGGATTTCAATTCGACAGCCAGCAGCATCAGGAAACGACGATTATTCCAGGCGGAATCTAAAATAAATAAAATTGGGGGGGGGATGTTTTTTCGAAGGAAACCAAACAATTGGAGCATCACGAAGACTGGAAATTGTAGCAATGATTGCAATTCTGAAAATTCGATTTCAATGAGAACGAAATGCAAGGCAAAACTCGCGATTTTTGTGAGAACGAAGCATCGGCAAGAGACATTTTGAGTTTCGATCTGAAATTTTGAAATTTGAAATTGAAACTAATAATGCAATCAAATCACTGTTCAGTTGCTCAAGAGATGCCATCGATGTCAGCCGAAATTCCTTGTATTCAGTGATCATGAAAAAAAATTCAAAAATTACATATCTATATAAAATATTATCTTCTAATCTTTCTCATAAATTTCAAATTATCAAATTTAATCGTTTATATATTGCGCATTCGTTAATAAAATCTGATTATTTTCAAAAAACCATTTACCAATTCGGTCGTCTCCACAACGAACGTGTCCCAAACGCCACACCACCGTGTGCGCCTAGACTTCCCCAGGCGTTTACCCTCCTGGGTCGGACCCGATGGGTCACCGAAGCGGGGTGTTGGTCCGCGTCTCGTGGCGCGAGAAGCGCGGCACCCGTGCGGGCTCTCTCAAATCCGATTCAACGAATGTTCGCGAGACACGCTCACAGCGGCTCGGAACACGTTTTTGTTATGGAGACAGTTGAATGGCAATTTTCGAAAATTTTTAGCAAAATTTGTTTTAAAAAATTGCGAAAATCAATAAAACCCAAAAAAAAACTTACACAATTGCGATTTATTGATTTGTCAGTGACAAACATCATCGATCACTCCGATTTTGGCCTTTAAAATAATAAATAAAACGCTATTTTTCTGCTATAATTCAGAATAAACCAAGAAAACACGAAATTTTTCAAAAATTAGCCTCAACACGTGGGAATGAATAACGTGGAAGGTTACTGTAGAATGAAATCTGTATGCAACTGAATTGCCGACATAATACAGAACCAGTTTTTTGGGGGTTAGTAAAACAATTCATAATTTTTAAAATTGTTTTTCAAAATAGAGAAAGTTTTTTTTAATGATTAATTCCTTGGTTTGAATTCTGCCTTCATTTGAATTTTTATACTTACCTCATCTTTCTTTCAATCCACATTTTGTTGCAGATTTTCCCGACAAACCAATACCATGCAAATGGAAGAATGAAAATGTGGAAGAATGTAGGTAATAGTGATGTGGAAAATTGAAATATTCACGTGAAATGGTTTTTTTTTGCTGGTGGATAAATAAATAAAATTATAGAATTTCATGGCGTCAGCGGCATTTAACACAGAAATTCAAAACTCTACTAGCTCGAAGCGCGATATATCATTTATATTTTGCCAAACTCGTCCATGGTCCGCGTATTTTCAAATCTTGATATTCTGCTTCTTTTTTCAACTAACCCAATTTTCCAAAAGTGAAATTATTGGGAGAATACCTTCGAAAATCTTGCTTTCTTAGACTTGTGATTAACTTGCAGCGAGTTTTTTCCAATCATCTGCTCACTTTTTTTTTCAAATAATCAACCGCCGTTCAAATATCCCGTTGCTAAGCAATTTCGTTGGAAGTAATGCATTAAATTCAGCATGATGGAAAATTTTGTATGGTTTTTGATTGAAAATAAGCGAGATAAACACTTTTTCATATATTGTATCCCATTTTGCCGCTAGAACTTTACCAACATCTCTTTACGGGTTTGAAGCCCTAGCCTATACATGATGAATTGTGATTTTCTTGTTTCACTTGCCGTGCAATTGTAAGTAAAACAGTCCATGGTACGTGGTCCTTGGGTTATGGTTTAAATTGTCCCCAACGAAAATTCAAGTGGTCCGCAAACGTTTCGAATGAGATTCCTCAAGTTTTGACTTTACGCAGTCCTCACTCATTCACTCGTACCATAAAAACACCAGCACAATTTTTTTAATATTTTATATTTTTTAACGTAATAATAGTAAAAAAAAAACCATCACAAAACTATTTTTTAACCCTTGTAAAAATAGAGGGAAACGATTATTTTCCATTTCCCCTTTTTCCTTCATTGAAATGTTCTCTACTTTTTCTTCATTGCCCTATAAACATCCTTTTATAGGCTCCAACTACAACGATTCGAGAATAATAAACAAAAATAATATTCTCGTGAACATATTATTTGTGTTTCGAAAACGTGTAGATGCAATTCGAAAATCGTTGGACGATTACGTGGATTTTCCGCGAATTTCGATTTAGTCTTGTATTGCATCGCCGTCGGCGACTCATCTACACGATGGCCTAGTTTTTGCGCCAACCAATTTCGCGGCCCTCGCAATTGTTTGGCGTGCTCGCCGGCCGCGGTTTTCGAAACAAATACACCTGCGCGTTATCTCGTTTCGCTTTATCTATGCGTTCTCATTGATTCGATTGTGGCATAGACGGCCATGAAACCCGTGGCAACGCGCGCCTTCTCTCGTGTTTTCGGCAATTTCTTAATATTTCATTTTTGAATGCTTCTCGCTTAACCAAACATCACGCGTTTTCGTTTTCAGACAATGGCATATAACAACGGTGGGTATCGGAATAGACGAATTAACGAGCAGGATGTGCCTGAATCGAAGCATACGGTATTCGTGCGCGGTTTAACTGGCGATATACAAACCGACGACATCAAGTATGTTTCTTTTAAAGGTTTGGCGTGCGCACTCCCAAGCATCGCTATTTTCTATTGGAAATTTTCAATATTTTCCATTTTGTGCAAAATGTCGCTTGTGTGTACTGCAGAAATTAAAAGATTACCGTATCGCGCAATAAAAAATGATTCGTGTTTTGTTTTTCGTGTTTATGCGCTTTATATGTGTAAGTTTCCGACATTAATGGCAAAGAAATTATGAATGGAATGTTCAGAAATTAAAAATCGTCCCCGTGGAATCATTTTATTTTCACCGGCCGGGTTGTTCATTTGATTTACTCTTGTTAATTTCTTCTCTTCGATTCATTAATTAAATCATTCTCAATTTTATTTCTTATGCCGTTTTCTGCGTCGAAAAGAGGTTGGTTTGCTCTCGCAACGACGATTCGTAACACAACCATTTGTTGGCAAGAAAAAAGATAATAATAACACTAACAGGACCTCAATCGCAATTTCAGGCAAAATTTAATCAAATTTTAAGTTGTCATCATTTTAAGAGAATATCTATCGCCAAGAATTGGACGCGTTACATTCGATTTTGTCAAAGTCACTCAAGATCGCTCGAAAATTTTTGTGGCGATTCGCTTCGAGACCCGCGATGAAGCTAGAGAATTTATGGATAAGTATGATGAATTTTTATTTAATATATTTGAAAAAAATTACAATTTTAAGGTATATGGATCGCGAGTTTATGGGATGCCGTTGTGAGCTTACCTGGTTTCGCGATATTCGTAGATACGCCGCATATCAAGCAGCAAAAAGTGAGATTTTTTAAAAGAAATATGAAACGAGTTGTAGATGAAGCGATGAACTTTTTAAAAATCTGAGCAACAGGTATGAAACGAAATGAGGGCGAGCGCCGTCGACGCCGTCGCTCGGATTCCGATGAAACGGGACGCGAGTCATCGCCGCCGAGTCGCGCTCACACCAGAAGTCGCAGTCGTAGTCCAAGTCGTCGACGTAGCAGAAGCACGTCGCGCGGCTCGGAATCGAAGCGTAGCCGAAGCAGAAGTATGTGTTGTGTTCAGTTGATGAGAGCGAATCAAGATTTTGCTCGTTTCAGGTCGTCATGCATCGCCAGCAATGTCCGATTCTGACGATGAAATCGAGCGCAAGAAATCGCGTCGCTCGAATTCCAGCGACGATTACAGCCCGTCGAATCGTCGACGAGGCGCTGACGTCAGCGATATTGCAGCGTCGCCGATATCGGATCGTAGTCGTTCGCCGGCGGTCGGCCGAAAGCCGATGGCGTGTTTGGTGAAGCGCGGCGAGACTCCGCCACTTCCACCGCCGCGCGAGCCGTCGCCAATTCCGGTAGTTGCGCCGCCGCCACGACACCCGTCGCCAACACCCGTCGCTCCACCGCCGAAAGAGCCGTCGCCGAGCGGCTTCATACCGCCACCGTCGGTCCAGGAAGAGGACTCGTTTGCGGCGAAGCCTTCGATGATTCCAAACAAAGAGATCAAGTTCAAATTGCGAGGAGTCGTAAGTTCGATTGTAGCCAATTTTGAGTTGCGTGTGTTTTTTGGAATATAGGATGAACTAATGACACCGACCGCGTGCGCTGTGCAAAATACCAAAATTGTGGTTGGTTTGGAAACCGATGAGCCGCCGAAAACTGTTGTCCGAGAGAATAGTGAGTATTAAAGGGAGCTTATAAATAGATAATTGTCGATTTTAGTGGCTCCGCCACCGCCACCATCATCATGGGGTTTACAAGCGTCAACGCCTTCAGAAACATCCACGTAAATTCTATTATTATGATTTTTTAACACGCTTTGCCAATTATTTTTAAATATTCCAGCTTGACAACTAGCACGTATGCATCATATCCGCTCGTCAGCGCGAAATCCGAGCCCGAATCACCAGCAGCGAATCATTCGCAGTTGAATGGATTTCGTGATAGCGTCAAACGTTACCCGACCACGGACAAGTGAGTGTTGCGTGATTTGCAGCTATGGCAACGAGCCATCGAAGCGATAGAATGAGAAATTTGCGTGACGGGGGCAACTAATTTTTGCTTTTTTGAAATCACTGCGAAAATATCGACATTTTGCATGCTCCTTTAAATATTGCATATTTTGCGCGCCAAGATATTTGAAATTTTGCTGCCTTTCTGATAATAGCTGTTTTAAAGTTTAATTTCAAAATTTTGCTTTTTCCCATTTTAGTACATAAATTATTCCATTCAAGACCCATTGGACTCGATTATTTTGCAGAATGTTCGGACATTTGAAGGAATTCCAGTCGACACTCATCAGTTCGGTGAAATATGAGCCAAAAGAAGGTTAATTCTACTATTCGCAATTTATATTCAATTATAGCCTGAGAAATAGAATAACAAAATCGGCGGATCGAGCGCCGCGAGACTCATCGAAAAAAAGCTGCATGCGCCTTTAATTATCGTACCGAAACAATGAAAACTACTGAAAAGTCACAGATTTTCAATTTTTTTTCATATTCGCGTGTTTAGCAATTTTATATATATACGAGAAACGCAATTAAATTGTATGGCAAATATAATGGAATAATTAATTAAAGGCGCATGGCGCCGAAAATGAGCTCAGTCTTGTGATGAAATTCTAATACTCAAATTTCAGAGAGTTTCGAATCATTGAACGCATTGCGACTCTCATCATTAGCTAATGATGAGGACATGGAAAGCCAAAGGAATGCGGAGCGTGAGCGAAAACTTGCGGCTCTCAATGAGGAGCAACAATTGCGATTCACAATAAAGAAGAAGCAATTCGAATTGGTTTGAACTCTTGAAAATTGCTGTTTTTTTTTATTCGCATGTTTTCAGGCTTACAAAAGCGATTGTCAGACGTACGCCATCGTCACCAAAGCACTTCTGTCGAAAGACGAATCGCTCGCCGGACCGATCAAAGTCGCCCTCCTTGAGAACATCGACGACCTCTATCAGCAGTTCTTGAAGCGAATCGATGACTTTCTCGACACCCTTGCCGTTTAATTGTTGCATTCAATCCCCTCGTTTGGTTCAATCGAACCCTAATCAATTAAGTAAAAACACCAGACAAATATGTTTTAGTATAAAAAGCATCATTTTTTTTGCAACATAAATAGTAATAAAAATAGTTACAATAAAATAATTAAAATAAATAGTTCAGCGGAGAAAAGCAGTAAAGGACAGGGAATAGGGTGGTTCTTATTTCTTTTGGATAGGATTGATTCATTCAACAACTTGGGCTATGGTTATCACATATTGATACGACTTAATTGAAAACGCGAGCGGTAATAAATTAGAGGATGATCGAAAAGAAAGAGTTATAATGCTTCATCACTAACCGGAAAAAAAATAAAAAGAAATTAAAATAATTATTTTTTTTTTGATGATGGGCGAATGCAAGTTTATTCGTTATCTTGGAGCGAGAGATGGGTGATCTTGGTGAAATCGAACTCTTCTGTGGTTCCGCGCGCGAAAATCTCAAGAACATCCTGAAATTCCATTTTAATTGACACTTGAAAAAATTGCAATTTACCTTGCAAGTGGTCTCAAAGTGGGTGGTGGCGTCATACGATCTCGAGATGAAGATTTGCGATTCGGTTCCGAGATCGGTCGGCTCGTACAAATCCGAAATCGAGATGAACTTCTCGGTGATCGGGCCGAGAAGTTGAAGTCCCGGAAGGATTTCGGCTTCCGGGTTGGCCGTCTCAACAGTCGTCGACACCATTGCCAAGAACCAACCCTTCGGTGTCACCATGTTGGTGTTTGAGCAGCACGAAATGTAAATGTCTAAAAATTGAGATCATTCGATTGGCGAGACACGCTCGATTACCATAGTGTCTTCCGACTTGCTTCTGCGGAATGATGATTTGGCACGATTGGGCATCGTTGGTGTTCGGAATCGGATGATTGAGAAGGCAAATGGCGCGAACAACTTGTCCAATCTTCTTGATGCGATCCTTGGCGTAAGACGGATCACAGTAGATTTGTTTTCCGCGCACGACCTCTTCGCCGCACTTGACACCGACAGCCTTGCCATTCTCGAAGACAACCTCGTCGACCGGCTTGTCCAGCATGTAGGTTCCACCGTAAATGGCCGACAAGCGCGCGAAGCCCTGCGGCAGCTCGCCGAGTCCGTACAACGGATACAAGTACGGCGATTTGCCGTAGCGAGCCAACGAGTCCGAATACAAGCGGATCTTCTCAACCGCCTCCGCAAACGGTTTGTTCTTGTACTCATCGTCGCGGTACAACGCCAACGCGTGTCCGGTGAAATCGGCGGTGTTCTCATCGAGACCGAACTTCTCGTACACCTGTTGCATCGTGTTGTTGTGCGGATCAAGTCCTTGCCAAGTTTCCTTGTTGTTCGCATCGAATTGTTGAACCCAGACGAGGAACTTCTTGAAGCGACGCTTCTCAAACATTCCCATCAACGATGTGGCCAATGCTTCCATCTCGTCGGCCGGCACCTTGTAGATTTTTCCGCCTTTGAACACATAAGACGCCTCGATCGACTTGAATTCAAGATATCTGGTGACGCCAGTGTGAATCAATAATTTGACGAGTGGTCTGAAAAAAAGAGGCATTCGCTGAAATCCAATGATTACCAACGATTACCCATTGGCCATGAGGAACTTTGGAATCAAATCCACATTCCAGTCACGTCCGCGTCCAGTCTCGGTTGGCGGTTTAGCGTTCGGCCCATGGAACTTCTCGTAGAGCTGCTCCAACGGCGTCAACGAAGCCGACTCACCACCATAATAATTGTTGCGGTCAATATGCAAGACTTTCTTGCCGGACACCGACAGCATTCCGGAGAGAATGCATTCCTAAACAATTTGTTGCAAAATCATAATTATTGACTTTTTCTGGGGGGTAGGGGAGGGAAATAATAACAACAATGCCAACAAATACTACCTTCAATCCAGTTCCGAGAACAATCGCATCATAAGTCTCATCCATTGTTGAGTCGAGGGTCGCTTTGGTTTTCTCAAAATTGGGTCAGAACCTTAAAATAACGTTAGAAAGCCAAACAAAAAGAAAGTTAAAAGTACAAAGGCAGAAGAAACAACTGCACTCGTTCAAGACAAGAGACAAATTGCGAGAATCGTCTAAACATTTTATTCTATAAAATTCATATAATTATTCTTTAATCGCCATTAGCGCATAATTGCACCGCGTCGACGATGTCCAAGACCACTTGTTGCCGAACGGATCATAGTTTAGGCCTTGCAGCGACTGAACACGACAACCGGCCTCATCGATCACCCGCGACAATTCAGCGGGCGTGATGAACTTCGCCCAATCGTGAACACCTTTCGGAACGACTCCGAGAATATCCTTCAAAATGAAACGATAAAATCCGAACACACAATTTCGAACGCAATTTTTGCTACCTCAGCTATCCATATGGCGGCCAATTTGCTGAAAATCGTGCGATTCATCGTGGTGAAGAATAATGGCGCTCCCGGCCGCGCCAACGCCGCCAACGATTTGACAAATCCGCCAATGTCGGCGACATGCTCAATTATTTCCGATGCGATTACGGCGTCAAATTCTGCAAAAAAAGAACAAATGACAGAATTCGAAATTTTCTTCAGAGGGAGCAATAAAGAAAAAAAAGTCATGGAAAAAAACGCAATCAACAACCAAATCTAGTAGCGCAATTTTTGAATGAACTCGCTCAAACATGTAGGTCAAAAAGGGCGGATAGTTCAAAAAAAAGATTGCACGACTGTAAAACAACAACAACAACAACAACAATTCATCGGGCCAGGGTCCTGAGGCGAAAGCCACGCCAACACTGCGACCAGAAGCGAACGGCGAGGAAAAGAAAAAAATGCGACGACTAGTGTCAAAGAGAAATAGTAGCCAAAATGGCGAGTGAGAGAGAGAGAGGTTCGTTGCGACAGCGACATCGCCAAAAACCAGCGCGGCGCGAGCGAATGAATGAATGAAACAGCGCCTCGCGGGCCACTCGCTGGGTACAATCGATACACGACCACAAATGTGGGTGTGTGTGTGTGTGCGCGCGCTCGTGGAAACAAGCATTTCGAAAAAGCAGAAAATGCAGAAAAGGCGGCGACGAGAAGCGCCCTAGGGCACATTCGTGCGAGGCAAACGGGCAGACATTGCCCGAAATAGTATGGCTCGCGCACAACTAGAGCTGAAATTGAGAAGAACAAAAAAAGGCGGCGGAAGCTCGCTAGACATCACGCGTATGCTCGCCACGTCGAGCATAGTGGAACGAAAGCGAAACCCACAAACATTAATTTCCAAGATCCAAATGAGAATACCGATCGCAATTTTATTGTTGGTGGGCGAAATTATTGATATTACTTCGGAGGGAGGGAGGAGAGAGGGAGTGCGAAACCGAAATTTTTTCGTCTAACAAAAACATTGAATTTGTCATAGTAGAGTATAAAAACGCATAAAAAAGTGAAAACGACATGCGAGATTATTAATAACAAATATTCGCAGATTTCAACATTTTTTTGTTCGATTCACCGATTTCAAAAAAAAATGTGGCGGCGTGTTGTTGTCAATTAATTTTTGTGCAAACAACGCGCCAAAGCGACGACAGCGGAATGGAAAAGAAATAAAGAACTTGGCCCAATTTTGGGGGGGGGGGGAAAGCAGCAGTTGTTCAAATATATGCCCAGGGGTCTACACTGGTTAATCAAAATGTTGTTGGAATCAGGAGCGAGTCAACTAATTGGGAAAAAAAGGCAACTTTAAAGGCACCTAATACAAACGTACTTCCAATATTTTCCCCCTTCTTGCTGAAATCCTCAACGCTCGTCCATTCGAAACAAAGTTGCTCGTTGATTTTTGACATTGCTAATGGCTTCGATTCAAGCGCTTTTTTTGCCGCCTCCACCTGAATCTTCTCATTTTCGATAAAAATTCTAAAACGTTTCGATACCGCTTCAAGAGTAGCATCGATTCCGATAACATTCAAACCACTTCGAGCCAATGGAATCGAAAGGAGACCGCCACCACTGCCCACATCAACTACTCTCGGCGTAGAATTCTGATCATTGTAATTGCACACCAAAATTGTTCAAATCAAATTACCCGTGTTCTAGGAATGTTTCCAACAATCCAAGGTACTCGAACTCTGTTTAGTGAATGTAACGCATTGAATGGTCCCAACTCATCGGCCCATTCACTTGAGAGGCCAGAGAACATTTCCACCTGAAATTATGTTGGTAAGCAAAATTTCACACCAACTTCAACCTCTTTATTATCGATTGAAGCAGAAGACACATTTGTTCGTGCCGCCGCCAAAACAGGCCTGCCAACAGAAAAAAGTCTCTTCGACGAGCCTATCATTCTGCAGGATATGTCAAATTTTCACCAAAAAAAAATAGCTCGCTTTTCTTTCTCATTTCGAAATATTCATTCGTACGGTTTACGCATATCTATCTAGAAAACACGAAGAAACCAACATACGGCTCGGTAAATTTTTCTTAAAAAAACGAAAAGGAGAAAAATATGAGACGAAGAAAATGATGGATCCTATAACGGATGGCCCGTTAGACAATATACAATACGACGCAAACGGTTGCAAAATAGGGAGCGCTTAATCCTTTCCATTGAGAAATTTCGACAAGAAGTCCTTCGGCTTCGCTTCAATATTCTCAGCGAACAAATAGTTGCGCACGTGGTCAGGATTGTAGAACGTGTAGCGAATTGCTTCCATATGCTGATAAAAAGATAATAATGCCAAAAATGTTTTTCGGGTTATTACCTTGTTCGTTTCACCGACGAGACGATCCACAACACGCACGTCGGTCAAGTGGCCATTCTTTGTGAATTGCTTTTTGATCACTGCACGGAAGACACCAAGCGGCATGTCGTGTAGACCGTAATCCCACCAGAATTTCGGTGTCATGCGTTGGCTGTTATTAATTGTGAATTATATTGTGAAAATAATTGCAGTTTCAAATGAAATTCTAGTTACTCTATTTATATTTGTTATCTCACTTCTTAATATAAAAGTGGGACATAACATAAAAACTAGAACGGAAGAAAAAAAATTGAAATTCTATTTTATTTGGTTATCGAGAAAAATTGGTGAGATTTATAATAAACGACATGAGAAATATCAACTAAAAATTTTTAAAATACTCGAAATTGAAAGAATTTCAGAATTAGGCATTAGCATTTTTGAGACTACTTTTCCTTTTAAAGCATATAATTTTATTTCTAAAATCTTACAATTCTTTGTAGACTTGAAGAACAGCCATGCGAGCTTCTTGTGGGTTGCTCGACTTGATCGGAGCGACGGTGCGTACAGCTTGCGCCCCAGAACGTACAACTCTTCCAGCGGTAGATGACATTTTATGAAAGTGTTTCTCCTTTGGTAACCTGTAAAGAATTTACTCAAATTTTGTGAGTTTCAAAAAAAATTTTACGCGTGCTTCAAGATATTCAACTTTTCTTTCAAGAAGATTGATTTTGTCACTGAGTGTCGCTAATTTGGTTCGACACGAAAGCTCTGAAAATGATTTTGTAACATTATAAAATTGTACCAAACAAAATTATTAAAAAAAACAAAACACACCAAAGCTTGAGAGAAAGTTAGCGATGTTCTTGATGTTTTCGGAGATTATCTGTAATTGGACGTGATTAATGGGTTAAAGCAGGACGTTGGCATTTTAATAAAAATTTAAACAAAATATTTGTGATAAGGAAAAATTCAAGAATTTTTCACGCGTCAGCAAATGTTAATTAATATTTTACATTTTTCAAGCAAATTTTGGCGGATAGAACAAAAAAGGGATTTGTGTTTTCAATTAATCGGCGAAACACTAACCTGCTTGTGTTTCGCCCATTGGGTTTACCAAGATTAACTAAACGACGCACACACACACAAAATGAGGAGAATTTTCTATTTATCCAATTCCCACCTGCTCAAACTCGCGATTGTCCCAGTCGTCACGAAGTTGTCGTTGAACGGCTTCCGAAGCGTTCATCCAATGACAAAAAAGCCTTCTAATCGGAGCTTTTTTTGTCGCGCGATAAAAAATTGCGGCCGAATTCTATCGCCGCGACGCAATTCCGTCGCCAATCGTTGCGAGACCTGCCTCAATAAATGTGTGCGCCTTTAACCGCATCATTTTTCCAATAGCGCTCATTCATCAAATGTTTCGCAATTTTTATCGTTTCTCTTGTATTCATCAATATTCGATTTTATCAGTTTCAAGTATTTAATTTATGAGTATTATGCATAAGATTTCATCGTAAAATTGTCATAAATTCTTAGTGAAATATAGAAAAAAAACATATTGCAGAAATATCGATTAATTTTAATCGGTTAAGGTGGGCTTTTTCGCTTCTACTGAAATGTCGGCAATTTTTGAAGATGTGATAACTGAAAAAAAGCACAGAAAACATTAGTGTTTTCTGCGAATCCGCGAAACTTCATTTTTCCAAAACTCAAAAAATTATCGTGCATCGCCTGATGAGTTTTGTCGAGTTGGTAGATTTTCCTGTTCCACAAAATCATCATATTTTATTTGCTAATAATTTTTCAAAAATTGAATTTCACCATCCTGAACAGCGTCCTTATCTGTTGGAGTCTTGGAAAGATTATAAAACAAACATCAAACGTGTGGTTTATTATCAGCGCTCACTGTTTTTCATTGAATGTTTTGTATAACTCACATTTTTTTGCAAATTCCAGAAGCGAAAATGTTGGCGATGGTAAATAAAGTGCTCGACTGGATCCGCAGTCTCTTCTGGAAAGAAGAAATGGAATTAACATTGGTCGGACTCCAAAACTCCGGAAAGACCACATTCGTCAATGTGATCGCGGTGAGAATTTAATTTCACATTAATGAATTTTCTTTTAATTCATTTTCCTAAATTTCAGAGCGGCCAATTCACTGAAGACATGATTCCAACAGTTGGATTCAATATGCGAAAAATTACCAAAGGAAATGTCACAATCAAGGTGAAAATAAAATGAAAATATTAGTTTTGGGGAGAAAAAATTCAAGATCAATGTAGTTTCATAGAAAGTAAATTTCAGCTCTGGGATATCGGAGGCCAGCCGCGTTTCCGTTCGATGTGGGAGCGCTACTGTCGCGGTGTGAACGCCATTGTCTTCATGGTGGATGCTGCTGACGAAGAGAAGCTTGAAGCTTCTCGCAATGAGTTGATGCAGCTTCTTGACAAGCCGCAACTCGACGCAATTCCAGTTTTGGTGCTCGGAAACAAGCGCGATTTGCCAGGAGCTCTTGACGAGCGTCAACTAATCGAGAGAATGTAAGAATTGTAACTAAAAGCTTATAACTAAAACTTGAAATTCTTCAGGAATTTGTCGTCTATTCAAAACCGCGAGATTTGCTGCTATTCGATTTCATGCAAAGAAAAGGACAACATTGGTAAGAATTTTCGAAATTTTGATTTTAAATAAAAATTCAGATATTACTCTTCAATGGCTCATCGACCATTCAAGAGCTCAGCGCTAAATAGGCCGAAATTCCTGTTTGATTCGAAATGTAAAAACTTAACTTATTCTTAAAAGCAAAATATATAGATCGTCCACACTCGATTTTCCATCAATCCTATTATTTCTCGTAGAAATTGTTCGCGCATACAACCATTTATTTTTCACTTTTTCAATTTCAAAAATCCCCCCGCGTTTTCACTCACAACTATTTCTCGCAACACATTTTCTGCGATTTAATTCATCCCAAATAGTCGTTAGAAGCTTTCACTTACGAATTTTCTTTTTGTTCGTCTTGATTTCTATTCAAACGTCTCATGATTTTTGAACTGGTGGATGTATTTTTCATCAAATCTAAACAAACCAATCTATATAGCCTAATTATCGTTATAATGTATATCTTAAAGTGTTTTTTCTCCCCTTTTTACCTGCTTAGATGGAAATGAATGGATTTATACAAACAGCTCGAAATTCAAGTGATGATTGTCACGCGGTGTTTACGGAAGCAGCGAGTTGGCTCGGCGGTTTGCTGGGGACCCCATTGGCGATTGAGCTCGCAGAAATAGACGTCCCGTTCCCTGTCGGTTTGGAGAACATCGAATTTTTTCTTTTGATAATGAAGCACGATGCACCAAATGATTGGAGTGCAGAAGACGTAAAATGGAATTATCTAAACGGCGGAATAGAAAACCAAAAAATGAACGTTGAAAGCGCACATTTGAAATCAGTGATCGAAATTGCGGATTTTGGAGCTGTTCGAATTGATCGAAAATTAACATCCAACTTATTGAGAAGTACAAATAGCAGGCGGTATGGAGAATAATATTAGGAAGCATCAGGTTGAAGCATCGGCGAAGCTCTTTGCGTTCAACTTTTCGATTCACGTCATATTGAAATCTGAAAAAATGGTGTTTTTAAGAATCTAAATTTTCTGTTGCTGTGAAGAAAAAAAACGAATCGCCGCAAGACCCAATTCATTTTCCGTCATTTTCAATTAACTATGATTATTTGAAAATTGCGTTTCTTCAAAATGCCGAATAAAAAAATTAGACACAAAAAACGATTGAAATTATTGGCTTTAAGGAAAGTAGAAGAGCTTTATGTGGATAATCAAAGATTCGCACATTTTAAAAACATTTTCCATATGAATTTTAAAAAAAGTTGGCGCAGGTGGCAATTAGTAGTGAAATGTTTTGAATTGCGGGCCAATTTTTGAAATTTTCAAAAACTATCAATTTTCATCAAAAATGTTATGTAGAAGCCTCAATCAAATACGTTTTTTGGCGAGAATAATTAAATTAAACAAATTCTTGACGAATAACAAATTGTGTGCAACTTTGCGTGTGTGTGTATGCACAAACTTTCTGCCCGCTTTTTTAAAATTCGTATTTCTTCAACATTTTTGTGTCGAAACCAAATCTATATAGAAATGTCTAATTAATGCCATCATTAAGTTCTTTTTTCTGCCGCTGATATTATTTTCAAACCTTTTGTTTGCCAGAACACATTCGATATATAATTTCAGACAAATCATCGAGATTAATGAGAGCACATCGAGAGAAATGAACCACTGAATCACATTTTGTTTGAGAAATACAAATTTCAATCGGAAAACGAACTTACCATGAATATCGTTTTCAAGTGGAGTTTTCCCTTATTTTCGAACGAGGCGCAATTTGCAAGAAAATTGGTCGATTTCAAATCGATGGCAAGTGAAGGGAACACCGCGCAGAAGCTCAGAATATACTTGAAATGACTTTTTGAGTATTGGAAATGATTGAAATAGCAACAAACCGTTAAAATTCCAAGCGATCTTGCCGTCCATATGCTATTGTATAGCTTCTTAGCGGCAATTCCAAGAAGAACTTCAAGCGAAACTGCGATATAAAACATTTGAAATACGTTAGTTGCCCAAGATTGAACGATTCGAAACCAAATACACACACGATCCGGCACGAGAAGGTCGCATTCTTTGAGGAATAGGCGGGAGATAACATGATACGTCTAAATGGGGTGAGGTTGAAAGGCTGAAAGACTTTCAGACGCCAAGGTACCTGGATTATAGAGAACGACAAGCAGTATAGGATGGCTGTGGTCTTGTGGAAGTTTAAAAGACACTGAAATCGAAAAAAAAGTACCGCAAAAAGAGAATTCTTGATGAAACACCAAATGTGTGCAATTTTGCGTGCGCGTGTATGCACGCATTGCTCTTCTCAAAATTTAAATAATTCATTGATTTTCAATATTTTTTTTCGCTCGCGCAACCAACGCGCAATTCTATTTCATTTTATAACTTGAACCTTTAAATTCGCGTTGAGATACACACGACCATATCGACGCGACATGAGCCATAGCAGCAATGGGCAGGCAATTGTTTGAAGAATTTGTGCAATTTGAACGATGAGATAAATTGGCTCCGACGACAAATGCACTTGGTCCAACGACGATTCACTACACCAATTCATTGAAGAAAAAAAAACGAAGTCTGAAACATCAATGATTAATATTTAGAATGAAGTGCGTGAGGCATTTTTGAATCCGCAACCCATAATTATTAGAGCTAACTTGAGGCGGAAGAACCCGAAATGCGTCATAAAATTCAGCTTTATATGATTTTTTAATTAGAAGATAATTGGATGAGAAATTAATTTTGTTCGAGAGATCGCTTGAAAAATAATAATTATCATTGAACGAATATTCACATTTTTATTATTCACTCATTCTATTTTTCTGGAAATTTTCTAAGATATATGTAGCTTGAACTTTCAAAAACAAACACGAAAAATTAAAAAAAAAAGAGAGAAGCGGGAAATTTAAGGGAATATGTGCATACACACGCACGCAAAATTGCACACAGTCGGTTATTTTCAATGAGTTTCTTTCGACTTGAAAAATTAAAGAAGAAAAATTGAATTTAGTGATTTTTATTGACGAATTTAGTAGAAAATTACGTAAAGCATTTTCGATAAAAAAATTTTTTAAAGATTTTTTTATTTTTGCGTTGACTCATCATAGATATTTTGCAAAAATCTAATATCACGACCTAATTAATTTAACAGAAATTACATTGCATATTTTCCGTTCCTGGTTTGATCGCAATTATCATATTGGGCTCGTTTTGACCTGCCAAATTGTCAAAACTCCAGAGACGAAGAGTGGTGAACTCCTGCGTAAATATCCCCCAATCAACGCGTATGTTGCGAGACCCAGCTCAACATTAGAACGCGCCTTTAAGGATGTCCATCGTGCCTGATGCTAGTTGACCGCCGCCGAAACAGACACCGCAAAATTTTTTTCATTCGTTTTCCAATTCGCAATAGGATATATTTCCTCAGAGTTGGCGAGAAGACACATAATAAATATGGAATGATTCCAGAATAAATATCACTGAAATTCCAAATATTATATGAAGTTTGTTGCAAAAGAAATGCACCAATTTAAGATTGTTGTCTTTAGAATGTTTTTTTTTGGGCCCATTACCATCAACCCCCAATTTTCAACCCCTACCCCTGATTTTCCACCCCCAAAATTTAACCCCCATTTTTATTTTTCAACCACCCCCCTAATTTCCACCCCCAGATTTAAGCCCCCATTTTAATTTTTTTTATTACCATTAAAATTAAAATTGGATTAAAATTAATTATAGTTTTATTTTAAGTGTATATATTTGTAAACTGGTGATTATTTATGACTGAAATTAATAAATGCCTAATATTTTCCCAATTCTTAGGATTGTTTTATTTTTCGTATATTCAACATTACTCCATGATTTATGTGTCTTTCAGGCTTCGTCTGACGCTAATCCCGCGCCATCGATATCCATTCTTCGATTCGCTGGTTTTTTGTAATATTTGGTAAATTTTTCCCATTTTTTTGTTCCCTTTCCATTCTAATTTAATTTTGTTTTCCTAAAATAAATTTATATTCCTCAAATGTGTTAGATTGCCACTATTGTTTTTAGGTATTTGATTTGCGCAAAGCTTGCAAAGAAGATTGATACAGAATTGCAAAATTGGATACTTGAAATGTTGGAAATTGTGGTAATAGATTCACGCTTACGAAGCCTATCTGAACCTGCTTAGCATCATTTTCTGAAACAATGGGCAATTAGAATCATTTTCTGGAATTTTAAAAACCTTCGAAATCGGACCCCTTAAGAACCCCTCCAAATAACACTGACAATTTCTAGGAAAATTTACGGTATTGGCCAAAAGAACATAATTAAGTACTCAAGTCAAAAATTTGAGTCAATTAACATTGACCGGTAATAAAAAAATTAAAATGGGGGCTAAATTTTGGGGGTGGAAAATCAGGGGGTGGTTGAAAAATAAAAATGGGGGCTAAATTTTGGGGGTGGAAAATCAGGGGGTGGTTGAAAAATAAAAATGGGGGCTAAATTTTGGGGGTGGAAAATCAGGGGGTGGTTGAAAAATAAAAATGGGGGCTAAATTTTGGGGGTGGAAAATCAGGGGGTGGTTGAAAAATAAAAATGGGGGCTAAATTTTGGGGGTGGAAAATCAGGGGGTGGTTGAATAATAAAAATGGGGCTTAAATTTTGGGGGTGGAAAATCAGGGGTAGGGGTTGAAAATTGGGGGTTGATGGCAATGGGCCTTTTTTTGGAAATGACGGCGATTGATTTTTGAAACAAACACTTAGTACGACACTCCGATTACACACCACCCTCAATTTAGCGTAAATCGTGTTTTCAAGATTGTTGTGTTTAGGAAAAACGCTTCAAAAATCTTTTCCAATGGAATAAATACATTTTTAAAGGTTTAATTGGACGATTCTACAGCAAAATATGCGATTCCAGCAAAAAGGAAAAAAATTGACAGATGAGGGGAACGCGCCGTGGTAGGCACGAGGATCCCCGAAAAATCGCCGCTGTTTAACACTTCCAGTACGACACTCCGATTACACGCCACCCTCAATTTAGCGTAAATCGTGGAGCCACAAAGAAAACCAATTTTCCGCTTCTCATCGGCATTCAAAACGCATTTTTTTCGATTCCTTTTTGCTAAAGAATCTTCCCACTAATAAAAAAATGAATTTCTTTTGCAACAACCCAATCAAATAAAAATTTCGAAAATTTATTCAAACCTCAACAAATTATGAATTAAATAATATTGATCGGTAGATAGCGAATAAAACGGCGATAATTTGTACATAGTAATTAGCACGATAATTAGTTGGACCCCCACTGAGCCTGAATATTGAGCTTCCAAACGCAAAATGTTTCTTACCAATTATGGAACACATAACCAATAAATTGGTATCGCTTTTTGATGTTGTATTTCTTGCGAATAATTGCGCCGAAAAAATTGGAAATTGATTTGGGGACACTTTTTGAAAGTGCACACCTGCTTTTTCTTTCTTGCTCTCAAACTCTTGAATAAATACAAATAAATGACGAATAGGAATAGGCAGTTCAGGGTGATGACGGCAGCGCCGATCGTATAAAATAATTTCGTCAGTGGTTTTCTGGAATAAAATGTGCTTTCTAAAAATAGCGGCTACCAGAATTTTTCGCCGCGAGACCTTCCAACCGCAACGGGTCAAAAAGTAACCAAAATGAGCACCCTCGGTGTTTGCTTGACCATTCGACGCGAAAATTCGAATTTCGATCAAAACTTGACAAGGCAATGGTCATTCTAAACATCTGCGGACAATTTTCGGGGTATTCGCCGCAATCGCCCGATTGCGTGGAATTAGCGGGTGGCGGCAATTTAAAAACACGATGAGCTCACACGGTGAACTTTGGCACAATTCCGTTCAGCGAGTTTCGCGTGAGGCGGACCGGATTGAAAAACGTCAAAATGCCGAGAAGGCTTCCTGGCACATATTGAATGGCTATTGGAATCCATATACGCCGATACCAGAACATCTGAACCAGCAAAAATCGCATTTATAGTCTTGCTACCAGAATCGATCGCTGCGATAATCAATCTCAGAAAAAATCCCGCGTTGCGCCTTAAAATACCAAAAATTATTTGTGGTTGGCCTTGAAAACCACTAATTTCGGGTTGTTTTTTTGGTGTCCAACATTGAATTTTCGAAAAAACTAAAAAAAAAACGCGCATAGCGCAGAAAATCTTTTGGGTCTTGCAGCAACCGAACATTGATGCTCACATTTGGATATCGTCTTGGAAGTACAATATCTGAAAATCGATTGGCAGCGAGATCTGAGACGCACATCGCCTGGCATGCCACTGGAAAAACAATCGGACGAATGAATATTGAATTTAAGAGAAGAATAACCTGAAACCCATGCGAGATACATATAAGTATGACCATAAATTCGGCCAGCGTGAACGTAGAACAGCACGAAATAACCCCATTTGGGGAACATTGCTCCAAAATAATTGTTCATCATTGTTACTGAAATTTAATCAGCATTTTGTGCTCGGATTTTCGCGAAAACTCCAACCCAAATCAATAATTGCTGTGCTGATGCACAATTTGAAAAACGGCGTATTCAATCCGGCGTGTCGTCGTTTTTGAGCGTCGACGAGAAACACGACGAGAATTGTGTAAAATGGCACCGTAATACACCAAAACATCAATTGGACGCCTTCGACGACGAATATCACATTCGGATTCAATGGATCTTCCGATTCGCGAACCATCGGAAGCGCCCAATACTCATCCATTAGAATTCTGGAGAATGCCGAGAGCTGAAACGAGAAATGACGCAAATATTGCGGTGGCTAATTTAATAATTCCAGCTGAAATTATACACGGAGACCATTTATTCAATGAAAATGACTTTTAATCGAATTATGGAAGCTTTTTCGCAAGTCGGATAGTCATTTGAAAAAATCAAAAACGAAATAGTGTGCATATTGGAGAGGGTGCACTGATGATGAGAGAGTGCGTGATAAGAGGAGACGCAGGAAGCGTGTAGAAAAATTACGAATTTGAAAGGGCCAAACTTTCACAACAAGAGAAACTTTTAATGAAATTTTCTTCGACCCAAAATTAGATTATTATTATTGAGAATATAAATAATAGCAGGTTTGCCGGCAAATGTCATTTCAAGGTGTGGAGGGGTGGCAGCGATAAAAGTTCAAAAATGAAAACCAATATATCCTTCGAACCGTATTGGCATTAATTAAAAGATTTATATGTATACCAGGGCGGCACAATGGTTGAATTTTCTGAAAATCGAAGGCAGAAAAGGGAAATTTTTCGAAATTCGAAAGAGATTTTCCCGGGACGGGCAGGGATTTTCTTGGAAAAATCTAATTTCACAGTATAAAAATTCGAAGAATCTCGGTCCGGCCGAAAAAAGTGTGCATTCACACGTACGCAAAATTGCGAACATTTGATTAATTTTTTTCTATTTGTTTGTGTGTGCTCTCGAGAAAAAATTCTCGAGAAAAATCGAGAAAATTAACCGGTACCGAGAGAATTTCTCTCGACAATGTATTCGAGACTCCCGAGACTTTCCAAAAAGTACCGAGACTTGCAAGAATTTCTCGAGACTTTCTCGGGAGTCTCGAGACTAGCGAGAATTTCTCGAGACTTTCTCGGGAGTCTCGAGACATTCTCGAGAAAAATCTTCCGAGACTCCCGAGACATTCTCGGGAGTCTCGAGGCCTTCACGGAAATTTTTTAAGTGAACAAAAAAATTATTTTTTCTCCTTTAAGTTCGTTTCAATACTAACAAATGCTAACAAGGGAAGTCTTTTTGCTGTCCATCTTAAAAGTTGTCAATTTTTGCATACAGATTCTTTAGAAAATTTCCAATCGAATGAACTAAGTTCCTCCCTACCTGCGAAAACTTCTAGTACGCAAAATTCACGTGGGTGGGGCTAAAACTTTGATGGTCCATAACTCGATAACTAGAAGTTTTCGCAGGTAGGGACCTAGTTCATTCGATTGGAAATTTTCTAAAAAAAATCTGTATGCAAAAAATTGCCAACTTTTAAAACGGACAGCAAAAAGACCTCCCTTGTAAGTTAAAAGTGATTGATATGCCACCCAAAATTGTAAGTTAAAAGTGATTGATATGCCACCTTAATCGCGGTCGGCTAAACACGCCAACTTGAAATTTTGGTCTTGGTGAAACATATGGCACTAAAACCTTATGGTACGAAAACCTTAGACATAACTTTAATCGCAAACAATCGTCTGCAAAAAAAACGATTTATTTATGTATTAATCCCCTTTTTATACGGGTGAACATTTTCAAAATATGTTGACTATGCTAGTTTTCAAAATCCTACTAGTTATCAATTTAACTACTGAATTTCATCAATAAAAAAATCCCGAGAAAGTCTCGAGACTCCCGAGAAATTCTCGGGAATCTCGGAAAAATTCCCGAGAAAGTCTCGAGACTCTCGGTTCCCGTCCGCGCGACTACCCGTATAGTACCGAGACTAATAATTTCGAAAATTTCTCGGTGCTTCCGGGAGTCTCGGGAAATTCTCTCCCGAGAGCACACACTGGTCTGAATGTCACGAAAAATCTTGGATGAACACAAATTGCAGTTGACTTTGTTTGCTCATTCAAGAAAAACATCCATTTATTGAAACATTTTACTGATGGAGCAGGATCATGTAGCACTAAAAAGAGATCATAAGTTTTCAATATGAATTCGAGTTGAATCTTACACTCAGGAATAAAAACTGCGATCTTTTCGAAGATCTGAGTAACCATCAGTTACTAGAATCAAATTCTGAAATAATAAACTTTTAGTAATTGCAAAAAACCGTACATACATTAGCTGTTTTTAAACACACGGTGACCTTTTTAATGTAGAGTTCGTTGTTATCCTCCACTAGGTCCTTGAGTTTTGCTGGTGTTGGGAGAATGAATCCGAGTCTATCAAATAATAGCATCAGTTCACGATTCTTTGCCACACGAAATGGCAGTTGTCAAGTGCAAATTGCGCTGAATTAATTTAATTGTAAAATAATGATATAAAATAAGAAACCGTGCAAATAACATTTCGTTGCTTTCGCCATCGAGACTACTCGAATCTTCTTATCTTCGGCGTTTCAATTCGACTTCATTCTGAAAACTTGGTTTAAGATAATACTACATTAATTCATACATGAAAACTTGTCGATCCTCTGTATGATATTGGCTTCTTGCACAGTCGACAGTTGACAACATCTGCTTTAGAATTGATCGGCTTCACAAAAAACTCCCATACTAACGATCCACTCATTTCCAACAACCTAGTTTAAAAATATCGTACAATGAGGAACAGTTAATATTTGAAGATTTGTAATAAAACGATTAATACGAAAACATAGCGAATCAAGGATAAACTATTAACAGAGGTGATGATGGCGGAAAAGGCGAAAATAAAAATAATTGACGCAATGAGGGACTTGTATTTGAAAAAACGAATAATCTCGACCACGGCCTTAAAATTGCCGGTCTGTGCTACGCACATTTCGTTGTGACCCTCTTCATACTCTCTCCTCACTCTACATTACAAAACTTTAACTAAAGTCCATTCCAGACACTAGCATAAAAAAGCGCGAAATTCCCGAGACTTTTCCCGAGACATTCCCGAAGACTCCCGAAGACTCCCGAGAAAGTCTCGAGAAAAAAAATCCGAAGACTCCCGAAAACTCCCGGGAGTCTTCGGGAGTCTTCGGGTTTTTCACGAGACTTCCCCGGGTATTCGGCATAGAATCCTTAAAATTTCCCGGGAGTCTTCGGTATTTTCTCGGGAATTTTCTACATTTCCCGGGAATAAACTGCTCGGGAAAATTCCGCATCTCATAATTCCCGGGAGCACACACTGCTCAGGATGATACGGGCTCATCGGTGTTCCTGGACGTGAATGAATTGTGAATTGTGCTAGAATAAATATTTTAAGTAAAAATCCTTTTTGTATAGAAACATACAAACTAAAGTTGTTTATGGAAGATAATAAATTCAATCGTAAGTCATACAAACCTTCAATATCAGCTGGAGTTGATGGTCTCGAAGGACCTTGATCCGATCTAAGAGACAGTTACCGTAATTCTCGCAGCGATTTACGGAGTTTTTTTTTTTATTTTCTTTCAATTTTTTTTTGCTCAATTTTCTTATTTTCTTTAGAAATCTTATATTTAAAAACTGTAGAAACCGAGTTTAATTATTTAATTTTCAGAATATGCACTTTTCCACTTGTCCAGTTGAGTTGGGAATTATTTTGAAGGTTTTGACGCTCTAAAAATTATTTTCAAAATGAAGAATACAAAAACAAGATAATAGAAACGCATACAAAAAGCAAAACACGATTAAATAATTTTATTAATGACAAAAGTGTTTTTTTTTTAATCTCTGCTGTTTTTACCAAAATAATATCGTTTAAAAGTGCTTATTCTGCTAAATAAATTATTAAACTCGGTTTATGCAAAATTTAAATAACAAAGTTTCAAAGGAAAATACGGAAGTTGAGCGAAAAATAAAAAATGAATATGCGAAATTAAATAAAAAGTCCCCGTAAATCGTTGCGAGGATTACGGTAACTATCTCTTAGCATTGCGTACAAAACGCAGGATCCTACGACACCTGGATACATTTGTTATTTTTCAACAATAACTTACTCGCATGTTATCTTGAGCCAATTTTCTTCATAAAACAACGAAACAATTGCACTATCAGGCAAAAGGAAGGCGGATTTGACGGAGCTCTTGATGATAAAGTTGTTCTGCAACTTTACGACAACATCCTTGTCGAACATCTTGATTCGAATCATTTGCGAGACGAAGATATCTAAAAACAAAGAATTAATTGTTTACACACACTCTTTAAGATAGGAAAAGATAAAAAGAAAGGAAAAGCGCCCATTTGCGGAAAAACTAACACTGTTAGATTGCACCGCAACTTATTGTGGAAAAATGACGAATGTGAAAAACTGCAGCGAAATCCTATGTATTGTGTGCGTACACCGAGTCGCACAATTCAATAAGAGCTACAGTAATCTAAACTAAAATTTATTTATTTATTTAATTTTTTTCGTTCTTTTGTGTTTTCTTGGCGAATTAATGGTTTTATGTATATTTTTTTGTTAAAAAGTGTTATAGTAAATTTTTTTGTATATTATTCAAAGATAATTGTTATATAAAAAGAAACTATCAATTTTTCGAAAAAATCATTTAAAATATCATTTTCGACAATTTTTGCATCGAGCTGGAAGGCAGAGACGCAGAGGAAAGCGAGAGACAGCCATCGCATTTCTTCAGTTTTTTGTGAATAGAAATATTCTAAATTGGCATTTTAAACCTTTTAAATTCCTACGGTCCATATTTATTTCTAAATATTAATTTATATATATTTTATAATTTATCAAAATTGCTTTTTATTTGCCTTATTTCAGAATGCTTCGGTTGCTTTATGGATATCAGTTGGCAACCACTGTCAGCAATCTAAGAATGGTAAGATATTTTGATAGTAAAAAAAGGTTTCTAATAAACAAAGTAACGAAATGTTTTTTCTGAAAATCACGTAATTCACATAAATAACTCAATTTGATTTTAGATCCACGGCAAGGCGCTCATTTCCACAGTCGACATGTTGAAAGAAAGAGCCAACGGATACTTGGCTGATAACGATACTGCTCAAGCCTCTGAGGAATCATTCCAAGTATATATTTTTCAATTTATTCTTAATGTTAATTCAGTACATTGAAAGTTATAGCACTTTTTGCTTAGACTTCTAATCTTTATTAAATTATTTCCAGGCCACCAAACTTGCTCTGATGAATTACGTCAAAAGGCTTGAGGAAACGGCTGACGTCGAAATTGTGCCAAAACACCTGGAAAATCCATGAAGCTACAAGATCTTCAACAAGCTTTGCCGTTTCATCGTGAAGAAAGCCGATCAGGCTAAAGATATTGTGGCTGGATGGGGGTCAGCTTATAAGTAAGATATAATATAATTACTGATTTGGAGTTTTTTACTTGTTTTTAGATTTCGTGTCAAAGGATGGACACAAAATGACTTGTCTGTGGAGGATGTAAAGTTTTCACTGCCGTTCGTTATTCGGTAAGGCAAAGAGTTGTTTATTTGGATTTTTTGGATTTTTTTTAGATTCATTGATATTGTCGATGGAGATCAGAACGTCAATCGTGAAATGGCGACCTATGTCAAAGAAAATTTGTACACCATTAACATTGATGAAATCGCAGCAGAAATATATGAGGTTATTATTAAAACAAAATATATTAGTTTTTTAATTTATATATTTATAGGAGTCAAACGATGGAAAGATCACTCAGCTCCTGCAAAAAACTTGAAGATGAGAAAAGATTTGATAAATTTTATATGGAGAAGATCTTGCCGATGTTCTGGTCAGACATAAGGATGAATTCAAAAAATTTCTTAGTATTAAGGTTAATTTTTGAATAAATATTGATAACTATTGTATTGATAATATAAATATTGATCGAAATCATCTATCTAATCGAGTCCAAATTTACAATTCCAACTTCTTTTGATATTATCTTGTCCGGTAAGGTATCTCGCATAAAAATGACTCGAAAATTTCGAATTTTTAGTTGTTTTAAATGGTTTAAGAGATCGATGTTGGTTAGTGCAGGCAGATCTTTCTCTAGCTTCACCATTTATTGAGCGAGTTTTCTAAAGACACAATCCCACAACAATAGATATTGCGAGAAAACTTTTCGTTTAAAAATTTTTTTCATAGATATTTTGCAAAAATCTAATATCACGACCTAATTTAGCAAAAATTACATTGCATATTTTCCGTTCCTGGTTTGATCGCAATTATCATATTGGGCTCGTTTTGACCTGCCAAATTGTCAAAACTCCAGAGACGAAGAGTGGTGAACTCCTGCGTAAATATCCCCCAATCAACGCGTATGTTGCGAGACCCAGCTCAACATTAGAACGCGCCTTTAAGGATGTCCATCGTGCCAGATGCTAGTAGACCGCCACCGAAACAGCCACCACAAAGGTTGTCTTCGTTCGTTTTCCAATTCGCAATAGGATATATTTTCTCAGAGTTGGCGAGAAGACACATAACAAATATGGATTGATTCCAGAATAAATATCACTGAAATTCCAAATATTATTTGAAGTTTGTTGCAAAAGAAATGCACTTTTTTCGTCAAAACCGGTAATTATCATTTTTCAAAAATTTAAGATTGTTGTCTTTTGAACTTTTTGTTTTGGAAATGACGGCGATTGGTTTTTGGAACAAACCAAAAAAACTGGCGTTGTTCGTCACGAAAACTATTAACACTTCCAGTACGACACTCCGATTACACACCGCCCTCAATTTAGCGTAAATCACAGGCAGTCACTAACTTAATTCAAAACCATCAGTCAGTGGAGTTTTTTCCGGAATCCCTTTTTTTTTCGATTTCTTTTTGCTAAAGAATCTTCCCACTAACAAAAAAAATGAATTTCTTTTGCGACAACGGAATAAAATAAAATTTTCGAAAATTTTTTCAAACCTCAACAAATTATGAATTAAATAATATTGATCGGTAGATAGCGTATAAAGTGGCGACAAACTGTATATGGTAATTAATAAGATAATTAGTTGGACCCCCACTGAGCCTGAATATTGAGCTTCCAAACGCAAATTGTTTCTTACCAATTATGGAACACATAACCAATAAATTGGTATCACCTTTCGACGTTGTATTTCTTGCAAATAATTGCGCCGAAAAAATCTGAAATTGCTTTGGGGACACTTTTTGAAAGTGCACACCTGCTTTTTCTTTCTTGCTCTCAAACTCTTGAATAAATACAAATAAATGACGAATAGGAATAGGCAGTTTAGGGTGATGACGGCAGCGCCGATCGCATAAAATAAATTAGTCAGTGATAATCTGGAAAAAAAGTTTCCAAAAAATAGCTGCAACGAGAATTGATGATCTCTCACACGGTGAATTTGGGCACAATTCCGTTCAGCGAGTTTCGCGTGAGGCGGACCGGATTGAAGAACGTCAAAATGCCGAGAAGGCTTCCTGGCACATATTGAATGGCTATTGGAATCCATATACGCCGATACCAGAACATCTGAACCAGCAAAAATCGCATTTATAGTCTTGCTACCAGAATCGATCGCTGCGAGACTCAGCCCCAGAAAGAACAACTGTCTGTGCCTTTAAATACCGAAAAATAGGATTGATTTTTTGGTGTCCAGTGTTCAATTTTTTGAAGAAACTCAAAAAGACGCATAGCGCAGAAAATTTTTTGGGTCTTGCAGCGACCGATCATTAATGCTTACATTTGGATACTGCCTTGGAAATACAATAGCTGAAAATCGATTGGCAGCGAGAACTGAGACGCACATCGCCTGGCATCCCACTGGAAAATTAATCGGAAGAATGAATAAATATAAGAGAAGAATAACCTGAAACCCATGCGAGATACATATAAGTATGACCATAAATTCGGCCGGCGCGAACGTAAAACAGCACGAAATAACCCCATTTGGGGAACATTGCTCCAAAATAATTGTTCATCATTGTTACTGAAATTTGATCAACATTTTGTGCTCGGATTTTCGCGAAAACTCCAACCCAAATCAATAATTGCTGTGCTGATGCACAATTTGAAAAACGGCGTATTCAATCCGGCGTGTCGTCGTTTTTGAGCGTCGACGAGAAACACGACGAGAATTGTGTAAAATGGCACCGTAATACACCAAAACATCAATTGGACGCCTTCGACGACGAATATCACATTCGGATTCAATGGATCTTCCGATTCGTGAAGCATTGGAAGCGCCCAATACTCATCCATTAGAATTCTGGAGAATGCCGAGAGCTGAAACGAGAAATGACGCAAATATTGGGGTGGCTAATTTAATAATTCCAGCTGAAATTATACACAGATTAAATGACAATGACTATTATTCAAATTATGAAAGGTTTTTCGCAAATATAGTGATTTGGAAAATTTCGATTTAGCCGCGAAATAGTGTGCACAATCGAGAGGGTGCACTAGTGATGAGAGAGTGTGTGTGATAAGACGAGACGCAGGAAGCGTGTAGAAAAATTTCGAATTCTGTAAGGTCCAAAATTCTGGCAACATTCGCAGCAAGTAATAGTTTTTATGAGTTCACCCAGAACATGATTATTATTATTATTGAGAATATAAATAATGGCGGGTTTGCCGGCAAATGTCATTTCAAGGTGCGGAGGGGTTCGGTGAGTACAATGATTGAATTTTCCGAAAATCGAACGCGGATCAGTTTTTGGGCAGAAATTGAAAGCGCAAATTTTTCGAAAAAGATTTTCCCGAGGATAGAAACGGACAGGTTTTTTTTTTCTTGGAAAAATCTCATTTCACAGTATAAAAATTCGAAAAATCTCGGTCCGGCCGAAAAAAGTGTGCATTCACACGTACGCAAAATTGCGAACATTTGATTAATTTTTTTCTATTTTTTTTTGCAAAAAATTCCCAAAAACATTATTTCTCTTCTTAGCCACTTCATCGGTTAGCAGCACTTCAAGCTTTTCGGTTCTTGGCTTGTGATTACGGCTTCATCCGCTGTTCTTGTGGAGATCTCATTCCGAAGTGAGTCCGACCATCTCATGGGAAGCCTTCCTCGTGGCCGTGTCCAATTCCATTTGAAGAGTAAAAAGTCCATAAAAAAGACATTTTTAAAATAGTATTAAATATTATTAAAGGCGCACAACCGCTCCCAAAATAATTTGGCATTAATCCAAATTTTTCGAGGACGCTAAAAAAATGCGTCGAATCGTGACCTCAACATATCAATTTTTTTCTCATTTCTGCATAATGATGAAAAAAATGTAGGCGATTTCATTTTCTTTTTGCAAACCAAAATCGCAATTCCCAAAAAAATTGTAGTATCTCAAAAAAATGTCGTCGTTGTTTAATCAAGTTCGCGATTCTTTCGTTCGTCTCGTTCATATTCCTCGGATTTTTCGCCACGATGAGCAAACTCTCATCATTGGCGATGGCGAAAAATCGCGGTAGATCAAAACGTCGAAAACAAAAAAAGAGATTACAATTATTTAATTAAAAGATACCTATGTGGTTGTGATTGATGCCGGATTCGATTATACGTCGGCACACGTCTATCTGAGCAGCGTTCCAGAAGGCAAGCGCAGTGGATTTCAGAAAATTTGAGCTGAAATTTTCAGAAGGGGGACTCGTGAGCGTTAAAGCGGTTGAAACGAACGGATCATTAGCAATTAAGAAAGTTTCGAAAAGTTTGAGGTCGTCATCGAATAATGAAACGTATTTAAAAGGTAAAAAATTTAAAAAAAATTTTTAAATCTATTTTTTTTGAAATTCGCGTATAAACTGCATCATTTCACAATTTCTAAAAATTTCGAATTTCAAAAAAATAGACACAAAATAGGAAGGACCATTTTAAGTGGGAGTTTTCGAATTTCAGCAATATTGTTGCGATAATCAATAAAATCATATTAATGAGCTAATTAGGCTAAGGTAATTATAATAAAAAAATCAGTGCAATTAGTTTTTTATTTCTACACGCTCAGATCAGTGTGCTGAAGTTACAAAAAGGCAACGGGTTTCTTGAGAAATTACGTATGCGCGTATAATGAAATGTTTGGTACGCAGACCACGGTGGCATAAAAATGCGGAATCGCAAAAAAAATTTTCTACGCATTCGCGACATCTCGTTTTCAAGTAATCATCGCATTTTTCAGAGTACTTCACAGAATTGCTGAGATTCGCTGAAAGTGTTATTCCTGAAGCCGATATCTATAATTCGATTCTCTACATTCTAGCTGCCGATGATTTCTCGTATAATTTTCTCAAAACCTTGTTCAATTCATTCGAATTTTCAGCGAACTAGACCAATCGCTCAATTTTATGAAGTTTTATCTTCCCCAAATCACAAAACTATCTGTAATTTTTTAAAGATTTTAGCTCTATACTAGAAATCGAAATTTTTTGAAAAATATGGAACTAAACAAATTTTTGAAAAACTCGATTATTCACTTTTTAAATTAACTTTTTTTTTTGAAAGTGTGCCGACATTTTTCTTTCTTTTCTTCCAGAAAAATTTCAGAAAAATCATTTTGAAATAAAATCGATCAGGGTAAAATAAAAGTGGGCTAAATTGCGTCAGCGTGTTCATCGAATCTCAACTTATTTTGACGAATTTCATTTTTTTCACAAAAATTGCGCAAATTTGAATTTTTTTCACATTTTTCAAACAAGAAAACGCCTTTTTTAGTATCCTGTGGCGGATAATTTAGTTTTAAAAATCGATAATTTGAATTATTGGCTCCCAAAATTTGAAATTGCCAACTTTAACTCCTAAATTTCTTTTTTGATAATTCAATTTGAAGATATATAATTCAAATATTCGATATATTGATGGGAAATGGAAAGGAATTTATAATTGGATAGCTTTTAATTATGATGAGAAACGATTTAATGATCATCGGAGTGGACTTGTTAACCTGAACAACAATCGGATCAATATTGTCTATGAAACCGAGAGCGAGGAATCCTCTACAACTGTGGGTTTTTTTATTCAATTTTAAAAAATTATAGCAATTTTGCAGATTCAATTACTGAAAAACAGCGACGATTATAAATTTCGATTGTTTTCTTCGAATTACTATGAGTTTAATAATCAAACAGGTAATTTGTATGCATAATTTTCAAGGAATTCTTTGAATTGTCTAGAAATCAATAAAATTGAGTGCTCGGAGTTGATTCGAATGATAACGAATGATGAGGAATTTCCGGCATCGAAATCAAGGCTATGTGTGAATCCAAAAAAATCGGTTCGTCATTAAATGTGTTCAATCGATCGCTGGTGAGATTTCAGCAATGGACCAAAGGTGCCGTCGTCTTCAACTTTAGATATTTTGGAACGGTTTCCAAGTAAATTTTGCGATTGTGGACATCATTTGACTCAAATTTTTTTCAAGCCATCATTTAGGAAGATTGCAGCCGACGAATTGAACACCTACGAGTTCTATTTGCGATTTGTCGCGTTGATTTTAACGATTATTATTTTTCGAATTTCGATGCGAAACGAGTACGATCAGATTTCTGCGCAAATCGATTTCGTCGTTTCTTTGTTGGAAAAACACATCGAATAAATGTTGTTGATTTGAGTTGTTTAAAACTGCCTGAATTGAATGATCGGTGTTCGGCGACTGCTGTATGCGCGGGTAGATTTACGAGTGCGCCTTTCATCATGGGTCTCGCCACGACTAAATTCGTATTTTATTTTTTCTCGACGAATTCGTTGTATTTCGGAGGTTGCAAAAATTGGAAAATTATCGAAATCGGCCATTTACTGCAAAATAACTGGTTAGTCAGAGCCAGTGTATCTACCCGGGACAGGATTTCCCGGGATCCCGGGAATTTCGTTTCCCGGGTTTATCAGGGAAATCCCGGAACTCCAATCCCGGGTTTCGTCCCGGAACTACCCGAGATGAGCGGGTTCCCGGGAAACCCGGGAAAAAGTCTGTAAACACCGCGCGCGCAAACGCACACTCTTCGAATATTGCGTATTCTCGTTTTTTTAAATGAATTTTCTTATTTTAAAAAGATTCAAATGCTTAGAAAATGGCATAGGAAGTCCCTATTTGGAATTTTTAAAATTTCGCAGAAAAATGAGCACAATTGCAATGTGCAAATAACGATTTTTCCAAAAACGCCATTTTCTAAGCATTGGAATCTTTTTAAAATAAGAAAATTAATTAAAAAAAACGACAATACGCAATATTCGAAGAGTGTGCGTTTGCGCGCGCGGTGTTTGCAGAATTTTTCCCGGGAAATTAAGTTTCAATGAGTCCCGGGTCCCGGGAAACTTCGTCCCGGGTAGACACACTGGTCAGAGCGCTCCGTAAATCTATCCCAATTTTTTCCGGTTAAATTTTCTTCAAATAACCATCATCCTATTTTTTTTCTTGATGTTCTCTCGATCATTAAAACCGCCTACCAGAATCGCTCGTTGCGAGACCCAGCTCACTTTTCGTGTCAAGAATAAAATATTTCATACATTAATTGTCTTATAAAGCGATTCTGAAAAATTCCATTCTTCTTTCTGATATAACTTTTTTGTGTCTCATTTAAAAATATTTGCAATTGTTTGAAATTTCAGTAAACACTGTGACACAACTCAATTCGATCCTGAAATATTTAAAAAAAATGAAATAATCAATTAAAGGCGCATAGCGCAAAAGAATTAGTTGGGTCTTGTGGCGACTGAATATGATAACCACTTTTTTTTCAGAAACAGGCTATTGTCGGTGTCAAGCGACTAAAATCATAAATATTTTTAATTGAAAACAATCCAATAAAATTATGGGACTATTGGTAAAGAATCACCAAATTGCCAGAAAAAATACATACATTTATTTCGCATTTAGAAGACAATTTCAATGATGAAAAGCCCAGACGTCTATGTTATACATATATATATAAGTATAAGTTAGTACAGAACACGTGTAGCACACTGATAAAGGTGTGGAGTACAACGAACAAACGAGAGAAAAAAACACACAAAACAATTGATACAATGGAACAACATATAACAGTAGAGCAAACTTTAGCTGAAGCGCTAAATTCAATCTGAGGCGGCATTTCCCATTCGAAAAGAGCACGAGAAAAAAAAACAGAAAAGACGGTAAATATTAAAAAAGGAAAAAAAACTTAGGTAAGCACCATTGAAGGGCCAACAATGCCGATATATGTCATGTTTCTATGCGCATTAAAAATTGCAGCAGTCAATTCCGGGGGAGGAAGGTTCAATTCAATTCGATGTCGTCCATCTCAACGGCGGTCTCGCTTCGTTTTTTGTGATGATGATGCTTTTTGTTCTCCTTGTCGACACTCTTCCCGCGAGCCACCTGCTTGATCTGTCTGAACGTCTTCTTCTTCTCCTTCTGCTCTTTCGCCCAATCGGCCGATTTCACACTTTCGGCAGTTTCAGCGGCAGCGCCTATAAGATAATAGAAAAAATGACAACAAAAATCAGCGTGCAACGCTCACGCTTCTCCTGGTGCTTCTGATGGCGATATCTTCGATAACTGGCACGCCATCTCTCGGCCGCTTCCGCTGTCATCGCCGGCGCCGTTCGTCCGAACATGGCCTTCTCATTCTTATCCATTTGGAATGCGCGAAGAACACGAAGCTTAAAGAAAAAAAATTATATTTAAAAAATTAATATAGCTCTTTTTTTGTCTTCGCCTCCTCCCCCTACATGATTTCCGATGAGGAACATTCCGCGCATCCAGAGCGTCTTTCCGCTTCGTCGCATCGTCAATGCTCGCGATCTCGCGCGCACATTATAATCGCCGTTGATGTGCAATTTCGCCGGCTCGACTTCGCCTTTGCCGACCTTCCACGTCTTTGGCAATTTTTTCGATGGAATCGTTGCGACCACTTGTCCCCAGAGAAGCGTCGACACGCCGAGGGCAATGCAGACGATCCACTAAACAACACATCCAATTTTCGGATATTTCGATTCAAATCAAATTTAGGTGTCAAGTTTTTAAATTATTTTGGTTGTTTTAATAAATGCACCTTTGACAACCATAAAAATTGCAGCGACCCCTAAAATAATCCAGTCTTTCTTCTCCAAAAATTTGAAAAAATTCATTTTTTTTTTAATTTACTAAATGTGTGCAATTTTGCGTAATACACTGTTACGTACCGCACAAAAAATGTTTTTCAAAAAAAAAAGTGCCCAACTTTGATTTGCTGCTCAAAAATCAATAATGGTCACCTGTGGAATCGTGAGAGGATGAGTCGAGAACCAAGCTCCACCAAATTGAATAATGAAAATCTGAGCGATGAACGTCGTAATCCAAATCACGCAGAACACACGATTTTGAAGCAATCCCTAATCGAGAAAAAAAAATTCCGAAGTTCACCTCAACAACTCTTCAACTCACCGTGAACACATTGCGTTCGCCGTGAACTTTTCGCGCGTTGATCTCATTGAACACGGTCATCATTACAAACGCGTTGAACACAATGGTGAAATGTTGCGACGGCGGCGCGAAAAGCGGCGCGTACAAACCGCTCTGAATGCCGAACATTTGGGGTCCGTAGAAGAAGATGACGAAAATGATGACGAGCTGGTACAACGCGTGGCACAATATGTTTTTGACCATTGTTCGCGAGATGAGCGACTTCTTTCTGAAATCAATCGCGATATTGAGCAAACGTAATTGGAATACTATCGTTTGAATTGACGCCTTGGGTCTCATATGGAAAAAATACAAACTCTTTATCATCATAAAGTGAAAAAGCATAATTTTTTAAAAGTGCTTTTTTTCAAAATCGTCCGTCCACACTATCATACACATACCTTCCATACGGTTTTCTATTGAGCAAATCATCGGTTGGAGCTTCGGTGGCCAACGCCAACGACGCAAGTGTGTCCATAATCAAATTGATCCAAAGCATGTGGACCGCTTTGAGCGGCGAATCCGACACGGTGACCGCGCCGATGAACGCCGTGATCACAGCGACGACGTTGACGGTCAATTGGAATTGCAAGAATTTCGATATCGAATCGTAGACGTTTCTTCCCCACATCACCGCTTTCACAATTGACGTGAAGTTGTCATCCGTCAAAATAATATCCGACGCTTCTTTGGCGACGTCAGTTCCAGCAATTCCCTAAAAGTTTTTCTTTCTTTTTGAGTTGAAAATGGCAATCGTCAATCGGATACCATCGCAAATCCAACGTCGGCCTTCTTAAGAGCCGGACCATCGTTTGTACCGTCGCCAGTCACGGCGACAATTTCGCGTTGCGGCGTCGCCTTCGAGTCAATGATGCCCTTGACGAGCGTGTATTTGTCAGCCGGTTGGGCTCTCGCCAACACGCGAAGTCTCGGCCAAATCTCGTCGAGTTTCGCCTGCGACACTTTTCCATTCTCATCGCGAATCCGCTCGTTGAACTCGTGGCCTTCCATCGCGAGAAAATCCTCGCCGGGCTCGAGAATCTTGCATTCGGTGGCGATGGCGCGCGCCGTCATTATATTATCTCCGGTCACCATGCGAACAGTGATGCCAGCCTACAATTGACCATCTTCCGCATAATTTCGATTTTTTTTGCATTTTTTCTAGGTCAACAATTTCGTTTCGAGGTCATTCGTGTCAAGACCCATTACAATCAAAAACGATCCGCTCACGAAATATTCGATTTCCCCCCACACCCCCCCCCCATCCCTCCTTGTGATCGCACCTTTTTGCATTTCGATATCGCTTCCGGCACCTCGGGACGCACGGGATCCTGAATTCCGCAAATCGCAATGCCGACAAAATTGTTATACATCGCCTCCTCATCGTCCCAATCAATCTCCGATTCTTCGCCGAATGCGATCTGAGGAGACAGAAGAAAATTTGAAATTGCATTTTGGCGAACAAAACAAAAAAAATGAAGAAGAAGAAGAAGAAAAAGAAGAAACCTCGGTTTTTGTCGGTTCGCGTGCGCTCGTTCTCACGTAATCCTTATACGCAATACAAATTGTTCTCAAGCCGCTGTTCGCCATCTCATGGATTATAGTCGATGTAATTTCCTGCAAAAAAAAAAACAGCATTACTGTATTTTTCGCAATTTTATTATTTATACTGCTCGTATCTGGAGAAAAAACCGCGCTGAATCGATCGCTGTGAGACTCAACTTCAAAAACGATGTGTGCCTTTGAATCTCGCGTTCAAAAATTCCCCAAATTCTCTTTTACGTCAAATTTTCATTTTTTTTTTGGATTAGTGAAGCGAGGCCACAATTCAATCGCAAAATTCCAATAAATGAAATAATCAATTAAAGGCGCATTACGCGAAAAATGAAATGTATCTTGTGGTGACTGAATCAACCGCTTTTTTTTCAAGAAGCATTCAATACCTTCAAACGATCGCTGGTGAGCGGATGCGGTTTTCCACCGGATCCCAAAAGGTACGTGCATTTGCTGAGCACAATTTCGGACGCTCCTTTACAGAACACACGATAACCGATGGATTGTCCGTTCTCGTTCAATGGGATTACCGTCATCATGCATTTTCGCGAGGAATTGAATGTGTACACCTAGACGTCGGTGTGAAAAAAAAGTAAAGATGAGTAGAGGTACCTTAACAAGATCGTGTTCGGGGTACTTCTTTCGAATCGCCGCGTAGTCGCCGCCGAGTCGATTGACGAATCCAAGCAATCCGCATTCCGTCTTGTTGCCGAGCTGTTGCATTTGCTCTCCCGGTTTGGTCGGCTCAACAATCATTGAGTTATAGGCGCTATAAAGAAGCATACATGTAATAGGTATGTGCAAAATAATAGCAGAATTTTGTGTTTTTGTATTTCATACTAATTTTATTCAAACAAAACGTTACTTTAATATAAATGACTAATCATTTGAAAGCTTATCATTCAATGAATGGAATTCAACCAAAATGAAGCACCCACCTGTTGATGGAAATAGCCTCCATGAGAATTGGGCCAGTGATTCCCGGCAACGCGGATCCATGCGGTTGGGCATCCTGGGTCGCATAGTGATTGCCATTGATGTAACTCTGAACGACGGTCATCCGGTTCGTCGTCAACGTGCCCGTTTTGTCCGAGCAAATCGACGTCGCGTTTCCCATCGTTTCGCATGCATCGAGATGACGAACCAAATTGTTGTCGTACATCATCTTTTTCACCGAATATGTCAATGCCAGCGCAATCGCCAACGGAAGACCTTCGGGAATCGAAATCACGAGAATCGTGACGGCGATGATGAAGAATTTCACAAACATCTAAAAAAAACAAACACTTTTTTAACGTTCCAAAGGCGAATTATGGAAATTTAGAGGGGCGTCAGAATCGATCGTGGCGAAACCCGACACAATATATATGTTTCAAGATTTCCGAATTTCAAATCGAATCAATTCGATGGATTAAAGGCGCATGACGCGGAAAATGAGTTGGGTCCTGTAACCCGACAATACCTGCACGTCGATGAGAGAGAACTCATATTTTCCAATAACATAGTGTTCTATGCAGAAGCGGGTAATCAACACAATAAGCGCAACAATAGCTACCGACGTTCCTGAAATTTGACGAGAAATTTATGCAATTTGAAAAAAAAGCGTTTTCTTTACCACAATAAATGATTTGTAGGGCAAGTTTCGACAATTTCGCCTGGAGCACTGATTTCGCCGACAAATCGTCGTCAGCCGATGATTTCGACGAATCAGAAGTGGCGTTTGACGAGCCGCCCGACGACGATGACGACGACGAGCTGCTCGACGATGCTGCAAATCAGCACCAATAATTCTTTTTTTGTGAATTGAGAAAAATTTTTCCATAAAAGAAAATTTACAAAATCGCTTACTTGATGTCGAATCGTCATCATCAACTCCAGCTTTTCCAGCGCCAAGCAATGTCATTATAATTCCAGTTTGAGAGTTGACACCAACAGCCGTCACAACCATTTTTCCGGAACCCTCCATCGCGTATGTTCCCGACAAAAGGACCGGATCCGATTCGACGCTCTTCTTGATGTGATCCGATTCGCCAGTCAACGACGATTCATCGATCTAAATTGAGGCATTTAAAAATCGAGAAAACGAAAAACGAAAACACAAGCTCGCCTTCAAATCGTTGCTCTGAATCAAAAACCCATCGGCCGGCAGCAAATCGCCATATTTGACGCGCGCGATGTCGCCGACGACGAGATCCGACACGGGAACATCGATCGCCTCGCCGTTGCGAATCACCGAGAATTTTTGGCCGGTTTCGATTTTCGCCTGAAACGAAAGAAAGGTGTTAAAATGAAGCATGAATGAATGCGAAACCTGAAGACTTCGGAATTGGCGCTCTTTCGAGTAGTCGTTGATGGCGGTGACCAGCACGACGACGATGACGCAAAGTAGAATCGCAACGCCTTCGATCCAAGCGGTTCCATGTCCCTCAGTTGGTGCCTCAGTAGTAGTAGTAGAAATAGTAGAAATGAATGGTAGGACGGTCGAGTTGGCGATCGCCGCAATTGCGGCCATTGTCGCATTCGCCACCATCGTCGAATTGACGCCACCATCATCGGAGCTGCTGTCAGACGATGATGATGATGGCTCGTAGAATGAAAGCGCAAGATTGACAAAACCAGAGAGCACGAGAATGATCAGCGTCGGATCGCGGCACGCGTCGAAAACGAGACGAATGAAACTTTTGCTTTTCGCCGGCGGTATCGTGTTGGCGCCATAGACGTGACGACGCTTCTCGAGGTCCGCCGCCTCGCCGCTGAGACCCTTGAGCGGATCGGTCTTCAATTTTTGGCACAGACCCTCGACACCATCGTGTTCAGTGGACAGCTGAAAGTTGCAACAAAAACAATTTAAGGGGGTGACAGATTCGCACGACGTTTTAAGAAATCGCGGTCAGCTGATAATAATACAATCAAGTATTACAACAACAACGACTACTACTACTATTATTTCTATCTATATGTACATACATGTCAAGGCCGAAGTTGAACAATGGCCTGCGAGATGAAAAGTGCAAAATGTGGTTTGCGAAGAAAAAAAAAGAATAAGCGACTTACACGAACGATCGCCTCGGCTCCACGCGCCTCCATAAGACCGCGAAGATCGGCGAGTGAGCATTGGAAATCTCGTGCATCCTGAAAATCAAGCTGGTCAGTTTCGTGAATTTTCAACATCATTCCGCGCGCATCCTAAAACCAAAGCCCAAAAATTCTGAACAAGCATCGTTATCTCATCGAAAAAAAATTAGTTTGTTCGGTGATGATCCGGTTTTTCATGTCCCCCCCTCCCCTCACATACAACATCCCAAAAGTGTCCGCTTATCAATTCGTTCAAAATTATCCGCCACCCATATTGTTTGACAGAGAAAAAAAAAGAAAGGATGAACCTCATCATAAGTGTTTCCACGGCGTAGTCGCATAATCAGCACAAGACGAGAATCGGTGTTCGATTTGCGACAACGAAAAGCGAAATAACGAAAAAAAATCCGAAAGAATGATACTAATAATAATAATAGAGGGGGTCGTTGAATAATCAGTGTATTAAACAGTCAATATCCATATTAGGGAGATGTTTATGTTGAATAAGACGACACCGAAGAAGACGAAGGAGGAGAAGAGGAATCTAGACAGTTAGATGAAGCCAGATAGCTAATCGTTGTTCGAACTCGAACAAATCGAAACTGTGGCGGGGGCGGTGCGGGTGCGTCCTGATAACGACGCGCAAGATGAAAAATGCGGGTAGATTGATCATAGGACGTCGTCATCATGATTGTCTTCGTCTCTATGATCACTTACATACATTATACATAAAATAATCAACGTGTGGTGTGTATGTCATCTGTTGTATCACTCCTGTTCTTCTCAAAAATGCTTGCCTGTTATTCTCAACTTCCCTTCGCGTCCAGCCACCTCCACTGCCAATTGAGTGAAGTTGACATACAGAGGTAAATTATTTAAGATCGTTTTTTTTTTGTTGGTTTGTGATGTCATGCAATTCACAATACTCGATTGTTTTTTTTTTTCTTGTCGAATTTGATCGCTGATCGTCCTCAAAACGCACGAACAAGGAAATCGTAGACGAGAGATAATAATAATTCATGACTTCGCACCCAATCGTTGGCTGATTGGAAGTTTGCCAAGCGCGAGGCACGCCGTTTACGATGTTGTCAAACTTGGAATTTTGTTTCGATGTATCGAAACGATTTTTGAATCGGATAAACATCGAGAAGAGGGAACAATGATTTTCAAGCATTTCTAATAACAGTATGGTTAATAAAATGAACAACTAATGCTTAGAATATTTTTCTTTTTTTAATGTCACGTTTAAATTGTCGAATTTTGTCACGTTTAAATTGTCGAAATTTGTCGCAATTTTTTGAAATATCGCCAATAAATCAAAAATTGACAAGAATTATTACCAATGGATTTGAAAATGAATATTTTTTGATTTTATAAAATATTTTGTTTTTCAATCCCAAAAATTCCAAACCTTGATGTTGCCTCCTGCGCAGGTGTCAGGACTGGTGTGGCGAGCAGCAGCCGCCGCTCCCACACCCTTGATTGCCGCACTATCAGTCACATTTTGGCCCTTTCTCATTCCACGAGACAATTCAGTTGAAGACAGCTTCGAAGACTTTGAATGGAGGCGAATCGGTGATATGCCGATGTGCCTTTCCCTGTAAATTTGTTGAACTTGGTTATTTTTTGATGAACCCGCTATCGAAAATAACATTTCAACAGCGAGGACGTCGTCGTTCAACGAATAAGATATTCGGAATTCGCCAAATTTTTTTTGACACAAATCACGGGAATCGGTCCCGTTTGTGTTGATGGGGGGGGGACGTTAGTCAGAAATAAAGAACAATTGAAGAACAACAAAACAATGTACAGGAAACTTTTTTGAATAGATGCCATCGATGACGAAAAATAAATGGAATATTTATTTGTTATTGAAGAAACGCGGCGAACGCGAGAATCCGGGAATAACGGAGTGAATGACAATGAATGAATGACGATAGAACCCCTCCATAAATCATTATTGGGATCATAATTGATCCACGCCAATGATACCTTAATAGTGGTGTAAAAAATGTTGGTGATCGTATATGTAGATGTAGTAGGAGAATTTAAAAAATACTATCATTTAAAATAAAGGTCTGAGAAGCTTTTAAATCGAAAAAAAAATCGCTGATTTCTGAAAAAATTAAACTGTTTATGAAAATCAAAACAAAAAAGTAAACAAGATGTGTGCAAACACCGAGCAAGTCATGCGTACTTTTACTTCTACCGTATACTAGAATTTTTCAAATATTTTTTTCTCCGGGTAAAAAGGTGAGTGAAAAGTAGTAAAATTGGTTATAATCTGCTCGACACATTGCCTTTTATATCGTCACAATACAGTATCCCAATATAGAGCACAAAATGTAAATAGAAAAAAGATTAAAGATTTGCATATCAAATCGCTCGTTTCCATAATTTCTCTGCGCTCTATGCACTCGTCGAAATCTATTTGACTGAAACTGTAATTCAGTTGCAATCACTCGTTGTCACGGGTTAATCATCACCATTCGCCGATTGCATACTGATTTTCGAAATAATACCTTTTTTGGGTGTCATTGCGAAATTGAGCGCTGGAGAATTTTTGAACCTCAAATTTGAGAAGTTGGTCTGAAATCGACCATCAACCGGTTTCGATACAAAATTTGCGTTTTCGAACGAAGCATATACGAATTTTTGAATTTTGAATGGGATTTTTGAATTTCAACGTTTTTTTTTTCGAATCGATTTCAAACAATTTGAGAATCAAATCAGGCTAATTGTATATTTCAATATATTTCAAACTATAAACAAATTCGAGAGCAATATCAATGTTCAAGTGTTTATTAATATACACAATTTTTGGGGCAATGCAGAAAAAATTTTTTAAAATTATTAATTTTCATATTTTCTCTGCATAGCCCCTTTAATATGAAATTTTTTCGGAAATTCTATCACAGAAGAAAAAAAAACATGAATTAAAATATCACAGAATTGTTAACACATTTCGCATTGTCAAATTCTCACTTTTTAAAATTCTAGCCGACTCGTTTAAAGTCTCCGATTGAATTTTAGACCAAACCTGAAAAAATTATGAATTTTTTAAATGATTTCATTTTAATTCTTTTCTCAAAACCTCTTCAATTTTCCTATCCAATCGAATTTTGTTCTCCTCAATTTTGATCCGATATCGCGTCTGATAATAATTGCATTCCTCGCTGAGTTCATTCGAAATTCTCGCTGGCAGAATGTTCAGCGCATATTTTGAGCGATCCCTCTCCGACACCAGAATTTTCAAAATCCCCAATAGTTGATGATTTGAGCGAGTTGGAAGTCTGCACAGACAAAAATTCATTTATCATTCAGCCAACCAAAAATGAAAAAAAAAACCTCAAATTCTCCGATTTTTTTCTCGCCAAAAATTTGCAATCCGACGACCCATTTTCATCGTCGAATTCAAACGTTTGAGAAGCCGCATTTTTCAAGCAAATCCCTACAAATAGCAAACAAAAAAATTACAAATTTCATTCAAAAAATTCCAACCTTCATTTTTCGCCTCAACAAGACTAAAATATTTGAGTTCCGTCGAATATTCTTCAATTTCACGATCCTTTTCGTCCATTTTCTAGCAAGTAAGACCATATATGAATGGATATATATAAAAGCCAACAAAAAATCTGAAAAAAATACCGAAATCGTTGAGACAATCGACGACGAGGTGTCCAAATTCTTCGGTGGACGATTATCAAGCGACCTTGAATTCAATTTTTATGGACGCATGCGCGAGAAGCGTGTACCTGATGTCCTCGGATGAAGTCAACGACGACAAAATTGGCTTCGACGATGTCTGAGCGCTCACGTTTTTCTCCTCATAGAGATAATCCCAAAATCTGCATTATTTTTTCTTTTTGAAAACTCCTTGAGGTAAAAAAAAAAGAACCTATCAATTTCGCTAAGATCAATCTCGCTTTGAGCTTCGGTGGCAGCGTCCAGATTCTGCTTGAACGTCGACCGTTTAAGGCTGCTCATTGAAACCGTCGACGATACTAATGATTCTTCAGTCTGCAAAGTCGATTTTAAGAAAAATTGGACGCATGATTTATTCATAGAGCGAAAAAAAATGTGTTCCTTCAATTTTGGCTTCGTTTTTATTCGAATAGTGGCAAAAACAATTTGTTCACTTTTTTAGCCGATAAATTATTATTATTTTTTAGTTAAAAAAAGAAATCATAATTCCGGCGGGACGTTAGTTCGTGTTATTCGGAGCCGAAAACATGCTAAAAATTTCGATGGTATACGGTACACACTGCGGTGTATACACACACACCAGAGTTGACGCGCATCTACAGAGTTTTGAGGAATTGTCATTGTTTTTTCAGTTTTTTCTTGATATTTTTGTGTTGTGTCGTAATTACCCTAATGATATCATAATCAGCTATTATTTCTTGCAAAATTTATTATGTGTCTATTTGGTATCAGCTCGATATTGCTAATTTCGGACTAATCTATTTCTTGTGCGTTCTTAATTGCTAATTCAATATTCTAGATAAATCCATGACATATTCGCTTTTAAAACAGTTACTAAGTAAATAAGTAAGTGGCTAAGATATTTTTTCCGAATTGCCTATATTTCCCTTGTGTCGGCTAATTAATATCATCAGCTCGACTAAATTTGAAGCGCATTTACTCGGCAAAACCTCACATTTTTGTTGACCAACTCTTGATGGAAATATTCATGAAATGCAATTTTTTACAAAAAAAAGTGCAAAAACATAAAATTTGCCGTTTTTCACATACCTGCATTTAGAATTTTTTCACATTTTTTATTGCAAAAGTTGCGCAAAGTTTTTTTCAAAGTTTCGCACATCATTTAAACTTTTTTTCAGAAGCTGGCCACTATGTGATGCGAAGTATTCCCAACATCTTACTTCGACTTTCCCGTTCTTCGATCCCTGATTGTCATTCGGATGTTGCACCGAGTCAACCCACTGTTCAGTCCGGCTTCGTCTGTCATCCGAGTCAAACGGATCGGCAAAAATGTTTGCATTGCTGCAAGAAAAAAAAACAATAGAGATTATTAACTAGATAAACCAAAGAATTTAAAGCCCATCAAGTGTTTCTACTTCCTTTTTGCTACAAAAAAAGCTTCGTCAGCGAAGCCCTTATCGTGGATCGACTATATTTTAGGTGTTATCTAATCGCTCATCGCTACATCATTGTGAGACTTGAAGAACCTCGTTTACCTTAGCATATTTTTTTCGATGAACGATCTAATTTCCTCCTCGTAGTTGACCTTTTTGGCGAGACTCGGCGAAATTTCGGTGAATCTTCAATCGAATTATTTTTTAAAAATTTTTCACCGCATATTCTTACAAGTCTGAGCAAATTTCCAATGAGAAATCTTGATTTTTCGTTTCATTCTTCTCATCCTCATGCGTCATTCGTCGTGATTTATGCTCTCGACAACTCGATGAGGAAGATGTCTTGAAAAAAGAAACAATATAAATCAAGAGCGGTGTAGATTTACGGGCATAATTAATTCAAATTTGAAGCGACACAGTTATCAATAGGAAATATAAAAATCAGCGTGGCGAGACCATTTAAAAAAATTGGCAAGATGCCAAAAATACAATGACTGGGTTTTTGGCGTAAAACTAAAGGTGTCGATTTACGGGACCTCGTTGCAACATTTTCTTTGCTAGAAATGTGTGAATGCGGTCTAATACGACGCCCAAATGAGATATTCGCGTTCGCTGGTTGCCGTTAGAAACGAGCAGGTGTTCACCTCGCAAATTAGCGGCCACCGAGAAAAAAGAACAACTCACCGTGCTCGCCGTCGGCTGCATTTTTCGGAGGCGATCGCCGCGCTTCTTGCGATACTCCAAATATGACGATTGAAGCGACACCGAATCAACTTGAACACTCCATTCCGGTTCGCTGAAATAATAAATAAATGCAAGCGCGCTAAAATATTTGATGTGGGCTTACGTGCGGCTCGTCATATTAATCGTGTCGGCGATGAAATTTGACGGCTCGCTTCGACATCGTCGTAGTGTCATTCGTCGAGACGCCAATTCTGCAAGATTATCAATTTGCTCTGGCTGAATTGGTTAACTCTTGACACCTGGTGGAAGCGAGTTCATGAGCACTAGATGAAAGCGTCGTCGCGAGTTGCTAAAATCAAAAAAAGATTCATTTCCTCTTTATTATTTTGTTATGCATAGCGAGTTACTAGGGCAACCGAAGTGTTTCGATTGCAAAGTATAACCTATTTTTGGCTTCATTTTAAAATGTTGAAGTTATTAAGACAAATGAAGCAGGGTAAACCAAAAGAAAATTAAAATTCCTGTTTTCGGATGGCTTTTTGGGTATTTTTATGCCGGAAAATGACATGATGATCGAAATATCATTGATCGATGATTTTTGCATGGAAAATTAGAGTTTTTTGCCAAAAACTATTTTTCTTGAATTTTTATCTTCGTGTTTCATGAAACAATATATTTAGATTATACACCTTTAAACAAAAAAAATTGCGGTTACACACTGACGCAATTTTACACACATTTTATTCCACAATAATCAATTTTCTTTAAAGCGTTTTTTTGCAATTTTTTCTAGAAATAAATGAAAATTAGAATTTTTTTGCAAGTTGCCAATAAAAGTGAAGACCGGTAAATTATTAATAATGAAATTAAAAAAAAAAAGAAATGAATGTAGAGAAAATCGCATACCAATTTTGAACCGTCTTGTGTATTCGAAGAACGCTTTGCTTGTCATATGGAAGATGAAGAAAGCATAACATTCATGACACCTAAAAGCTAATAAAAACAAATGAGCGTTCAAAAAATATGTTTTTTTTTTTGGTGGCCTGCTGGGTGTACACGTAGAGTTGCCACGGATACATGACACCGAATTACACTTGGAACAAAAAGCGCGCAGGCAAATTGCGAGCCGCCGGCTGAATGTATGTATACGCCCGGAACAAAATACATAAATTGGTATGTGTTTCGCTCGACGAGCTCCCAACGACCACCCGAATAGTATAATATTCGCGCGCCGCCTCGCCAGCTTCTTCTTTTTACTTTTTTCGTTTGGTTTCGAATGGAACAGGTGCATTCCTTAAATGAGATGCCATGCGCAAATAAAATGGGACCATCGTGCGCTTCGTTGGGTTCATCATTTTCTATTCAGCCACACAGGCAAAACGCGACGGATGAAGTCCGGGCGAAGTCCGGATATTTGAACGTCACGGCTAAAAAACGGGCCAAGTACGGACCAAAAATTTCTTTGAAAAACGCCGCGGTAAAAAAACGGACAAAGTCCGGAGATTTATAGGCCACGTTTTTAAAACGTGTTAATTACGGATCTTGATTTTCAGGATAAAACGCCACGGCTAAAAAACGGGCCAAGTACGGACCAAAAATTTCTTTGAAAGGCATCACGGACAAAAAACGGACAAAGTCCGGAGATTTATTGGCCACGTTTTTAAAACGTGTTAATTACGGATCTTGATTTTCAGTATGAAACGCCACGGCTAAAAAACGGATTAAGTACGGACGAAATATTTCTTTGAAAGGCATCACAGACAAAAAACGGACCAATTACGTGACAATTTTTTCGAGTGAAAATGTCACCGACAAACAAAGGACTATTTACTGATCGACACTTCCTGGCTGAAACGTTACGACACAAAAGTTAATTAATATTTAATATAACGGCTTCACTGGAAGCTGTGGCGACCGATGGCTGATAATTAAATTTTCTTGTTGCAGGTTGCCCGATACCGATGCGGTAACCATAGCACGGCTCGAGACTTCCTTTCCTAAGATCGATGTGTCTAAGTTCGCTGCTGTCGATTCACCGTTATGCGTTCTAACTGTTCCGCTCCATATTTATATTCGTTGTTTTGTAATGTAGAGATAATGTGGAAATGGGAGAGTGGGCGAGACGATGAGGCGGTGGGCGAGAGAGAGAGTGCGAAATGAAGAGACGCACGCCATCATGCCATCGGGCAATGTCCAGCAAAAAGAGGGCCGCGGCCGAAGTTCACCTTTATTTAAATGCAAGTCCCCAATCGTAAACACCGATTTAGTCAATTACTTATGCTTTTAGTCGTATTATTTCAGTTTATTAAGTTGTTTCCCCAAGCCCACCATCCACCATATTTAGTATCATCAAGTTTGTTATTAGTTTGTATCGCTTTGTTAACATTTTGTTCGTTTTCGTTCAATAATGAAGGTTTAATTACCCAAGTTTGAGGTTTACTCGACTTGTTTAACGGTTCCAATACCGTATCATTATTTGGAAAAGTTACTGTTTTATTCCATTGTAGTTGAAAAATGAATAGTGTTCCTTTGAAATTGTTTTTTCAGATTGTAAATGGGTCATTAGGTCATTTAAATAAATACAAAAATTTCCCAATTTTCGTTCAAGTTTTGATAAAGACTACGATTTCAGTCATGGGACGGTCATATCGAAGATTTCTACCATCTTTACCAACAAAAAGTATGTTAAAATTGCATAACTATTTGCTATACTCTCTTTTACTACAATAGGATCAAGAGAAGTATCTTCTTCAAGTGAAGAAAACTTATCTGAACCGATTGATGTTCAACTTTCTGAGTCGCTCAATATAGACATCGATGAAGAGGAAGAAATGTTTCAATGGGATGTGAATTGTGACGATGTTGAGGAAAACGATGTTGAGGAAAACGATGTTGAGGAAAACGATGAGAAATCTTCAGAAGATTGTCCCCACAGCGGTAGGTAATTTGTCTTAATACTAATCGCCATTTTCGAATAGACTTGGCGCAGTATTTAGCGAATGTGTCGGACGAAGTTTTGACATTCGTAACTTCAGCGTGCATAGCTCGAAGTACCGATGCGGGTAAATAGGAAAAAATTACGAAGAAGTAAAGAGGCAATTACAGATTTCAAGAGATTCCTTTCTTCTCATAAAGATTTAACATTCCGTCGGCAAAGCTTCCAGCTATGGAAGAACAATATGACTATTTATAACGCGCACTATGTGTGCAATAGTTGTGGGAAAGAAACAAATAATATGTTCGCAAAATGGTATAGACGTTGGGCACTTTTTATCTATTGTTTGGGTTTTCAGTTGTGGAACTATAATTAAATATGTTAGAATTGGAGGAATTCAGCAACTCTCGGAGATAGTGGAGGAGTACTGGACAGATATTCATCGGATAAGAAGCGAAATAAAAAATGGGACAAACAAACAAGTTAAATTAGTTTAAAAGAAATATTTTGTTAAAAAACATCGGCTTAATTTAATTTTTTATGACAAAGTTTTGCCTCATTTATGTAATAACGACAAATTTTATTACTTCGTTTTACTTAGGGAAATCTATCATCCGGCGGACACTGGAATTGCCACGAAATGATAAAGAAGACTTGCTTCGATGATCAAGGGACATTGTTATCACGGAATGAATGCAAAGTGCTTTTGTTTAGACTTAAATTCCTAATAGTACTTTTCAGGCAAATTTGCAACGTACAATGAAAAACAAGAATTCGGTGGATTTTTATGAGGTCTTGAAATGCTTGCAGTGCAAGGACCATTCAAATAACTTCGAAGTATTAGCTGCGACTGTGGCCACCTTGGCTTTTCAAATGGAGCGCGGGCAACGAGAGTCCCATACCAGCAAAGTTTTAGTGGTTAGTTAAAAGTTGTTTTTTTGTAATGGACATATACATAGTCGACATCCGACAACTTCTGCATATATATATATATATATATATATATATATATACCGTAAAACCTGTATTAGACGGCATGCCGCTCTATATTTCGAAGGACTCTTAGGGGTTCCGCTCTATTTTTCAATTACTAAATTACGAATCTTGCAAAAAATCTGGTAACTAATGTGCTTGAATTCGATTGATAAAGTGATCGAACTCGATTTGAAAAAATGTATTCGATGGAAAAATCTTCGAAACCAATTGATTTATTTCTCATTTTCAATTTTAAAATCGTATTCGATTGAAATTTTCATGTATTTGATTACGATTAAAAATGAAATTCTTTCGAAACCGATTGATTTTCATTTACCAGAGAATGCCGTTCTATTGAAAGGTGCCGTTCAATTAGAGGGTGCCGCTCTATTAGAGAGGCCGTTCAATTAGAGGATGCCTTTCAAATACAGGTTTTACGGTATATATATATAAATAATTGTAGACAGATATCAACAGTTTCGATATTGTAAAAGGTAAAGAAGTCGACGAAGATATCGATATGCCAGCTGGGTATAAATTGCGCATTGGCGATTTACTAACTCCATCAAACTGTTCAAAATGGATGGCACAGTCGCCTGAAAAAGGCCTTGAAAAGGCGGTACTGCACCACAGGCAAAACGCGACGGATGAAATCCGGGCGAATCACGGTCCGTTATTGACCGTTCCAGCGTGTCGCTGACGTACCGGACACGGACGTCTTAGCGTATCCGGGAACGGACCGTGATTCGCCCGGTGGCGTTTTTCACATGCTTTTTTTTCTTCCGTTCGTATAATAATCAAAATTAAAATTGAAATCATATAGACAGCATTATTATAAAAGTTTTATTAAAGAAAAATCGAAAAAAAAATTATTTACGAATCGCAATCGCTATAATCGTTTTGAATTTAATCGTATTCGATTGTAAAATGATTAATTCGTATTCGATACGAAAGAGTCAATTTTTTGTTTCACAATCAAATACATTAAAATTCGAAATGAATACACCGAGTTTCGCACTAAATACGAGTACATTCGGGTTTTTCCAAAGAGTAATCGAGTACCACAAATTTCAAACTTAATTTTCGATCAAGTTTGTATCCGAAAATTGTTGTATTCGATTCGAATCGAATTACTAGAACAAAAATAATTCTAAAAACAAAAAAAAATATTTGCACATTCCATTTGCACACGCGTGTTCTACCTGGATTGGAACATTTCCATTAACTCTTCGATTTTGGCGGTTTTTCCGCGTCGTTTATCATCGCTGAAACACAGTATATAGCATATATATAACATTCGCGTTGCTCACTTACATGAAGTTTCTTGTCATTTCTCGTATATGAGAAACGACGACGGTTTCTTCCCACCCTTCACTTTTTATATCGAAGCCTCGGTGTAATATTTCTGAAAAAAAGCATAGTTTTTACCATTCAATTTCTCATTGGCCAATATGGACTAGGCGCAAGTTTTTAGCCGGTCAATGTTACTTCAAATCTACTTACTTCCAAGAATTTCGAAGAACTTGTCCGGTATTTTGGGATATTTCGTTCGTTTCGTTGACGAAGCGGCCGAATAAATTACAAAAAAATTATCTTTTTCGCATAACTGAAAGTAAATGTGTTCATGCAGTTGTACAGATTATGCATTACCTCATTCAGTATGTGCAGTACCGCCTTTTCAAGGCCTTTTTCAGGCGACTGTGCCATCCATTTTGAACAGTTTGATGGAGTTAGTAAATCGCCAATGCGCAATTTATACCCAGCTGGCATATCGATATCTTCGTCGACTTCTTTACCTTTTACAATATCGAAACTGTTGATATCTGTCTACAATTATTTATATATATATACCGTAAAACCTGTATTTGAAAGGCATCCTCTAATTGAACGGCCTCTCTAATAGAGCGGCACCCTCTAATTGAACGGCACCTTTCAATAGAACGGCATTCTCTGGTAAATGAAAATCAATCGGTTTCGAAAGAATTTCATTTTTAATCGTAATCAAATACATGAAAATTTCAATCGAATACGATTTTAAAATTGAAAATGAGAAATAAATCAATTGGTTTCGAAGATTTTTCCATCGAATACATTTTTTCAAATCGAGTTCGATCACTTTATCAATCGAATTCAAGCACATTAGTTACCAGATTTTTTGCAAGATTCGTAATTTAGTAATTGAAAAATAGAGCGGAACCCCTAAGAGTCCTTCGAAATATAGAGCGGCATGCCGTCTAATACAGGTTTTACGGTATATATATATATATATATATATATGCAGAAGTTGTCGGATGTCGACTATGTATATGTCCATTACAAAAAAACAACTTTTAACTAACCACTAAAACTTTGCTGGTATGGGACTCTCGTTGCCCGCGCTCCATTTGAAAAGCCAAGGTGGCCACAGTCGCAGCTAATACTTCGAAGTTATTTGAATGGTCCTTGCACTGCAAGCATTTCAAGACCTCATAAAAATCCACCGAATTCTTGTTTTTCATTGTACGTTGCAAATTTGCCTGAAAAGTACTATTAGGAATTTAAGTCTAAACAAAAGCACTTTGCATTCATTCCGTGATAACAATGTCCCTTGATCATCGAAGCAAGTCTTCTTTATCATTTCGTGGCAATTCCAGTGTCCGCCGGATGATAGATTTCCCTAAGTAAAACGAAGTAATAAAATTTGTCGTTATTACATAAATGAGGCAAAACTTTGTCATAAAAAATTAAATTAAGCCGATGTTTTTTAACAAAATATTTTTTTAACTAATTTTTTTTGTTTTGTTTTTTATTTGTAGGTTGGATTTTTTTTTTTATTTGTGTGGGTTTATGTTTTGTTTGTGGGTTTGCGGATGTTAATCTTTTGAGGGATCTTTGAATCTGTATTGCCTTTTATTTTGTATTTTTCTTTTACCCGCATGGTTTCGAGTATGCGTGAGTGATGTCAAACTCGTCCGCACATTGCTAATACTGCGCCAGTTTTGAAATGGCGATTGTATTAAGACAATCTCGCTGTGGGGACAATCTTCTGGATTTCATGTTTTCTACTTTTTTGTTTTACATCGTCATCCTTGTTTCTTCTTCCGTGTCTTTGGGACTGTTGACATCATCGGTCGGTTTTTGAGAGATACTGCTTGTGGGGTTGTTTAATTTTGTTGGTAGATGGTGATCTGCTGACTTGTGTTTACTTGACGTTTGTTTATTTTGCTGTTTAACTAGACTCTTTACTGAGTTATGGGGCTGTTTTGCATATGTGGATGGTGGGCTTGGGGAAACAACTTAATAAACTGAAATAATACGACTAAAAGCATAAGTAATTGACTAAATCGGTGTTTACGATTGGGGACTTGCATTTAAATAAAGGTGAACTTCGGCCGCGGCCCTCTTTTTGCTGGACATTGCCCGATGGCATGATGGCGTGCGTCTCTTCATTTCGCACTCTCTCTCTCGCCCACCGCCTCATCGTCTCGCCCACTCTCCCATTTCCACATTATCTCTACATTACAAAACAACGAATATAAATATGGAGCGGAACAGTTAGAACGCATAACGGTGAATCGACAGCAGCGAACTTAGACACATCGATCTTAGGAAAGGAAGTCTCGAGCCGTGCTATGGTTACCGCATCGGTATCGGGCAACCTGCAACAAGAAAATTTAATTATCAGCCATCGGTCGCCACAGCTTCCAGTGAAGCCGTTATATTAAATATTAATTAACTTTTGTGTCGTAACGTTTCAGCCAGGAAGTGTCGATCAGTAAATAGTCCTTTGTTTGTCGGTGACATTTTCACTCGAAAAAATTGTCACGTAATTGGTCCGTTTTTTGTCTGTGATGCCTTTCAAAGAAATATTTCGTCCGTACTTAATCCGTTTTTTAGCCGTGGCGTTTCATACTGAAAATCAAGATCCGTAATTAACACGTTTTAAAAACGTGGCCAATAAATCTCCGGACTTTGTCCGTTTTTTGTCCGTGATGCCTTTCAAAGAAATTTTTGGTCCGTACTTGGCCCGTTTTTTAGCCGTGGCGTTTTATCCTGAAAATCAAGATCCGTAATTAACACGTTTTAAAAACGTGGCCTATAAATCTCCGGACTTTGTCCGTTTTTTTACCGCGGCGTTTTTCAAAGAAATTTTTGGTCCGTACTTGGCCCGTTTTTTAGCCGTGACGTTCAAATATCCGGACTTCGCCCGGACTTCATCCGTCGCGTTTTGCCTGTGAAAGATTCCACGGCGACTTTCTGCTTCGATTTCAGGTAGTTTGCGGGAACATAGGAATTTGAAAATTTTGAATTTCGCGCCCCTTCTATTTAATTGGGTCCCGTAAGGAAATGTGCGCATACTTCGTCAATTTGTCACTTTTTGCAGAATAAAAAAAATTACGCAAATTTTGTTTTTCCATACGAGACCCAAAAGAGCGGAGAATAAATTTGAGCGAAATTTCTTCGAAAAATTTCACCAAAACACGAGTTTTCGGGAGGAAAATGATTTTTGTTGATTAATTGTATTCCGAAAAATTTGTATTCTCGCAAAAACCACGACTCTCCGTTTTACTGTAATTGTCGGCGAGATTGATTCGCAGCTAGTCATTTAGTCATGTCAGATCGATGTCATCCCATTGGCGACCGGAAGGATTTATATATATTAAATCAATCCTTCGACCGGAAGCTATAATATCTGATGGTTATTGTTGTGGAAGGTCCCGCAAATTTTTATATTTTCATAATTATTTTACGCAATGTCTGCGTCTCCGTCCACTGCACGCTCTCTCTCATCCTCTCGTTGTATGTGCCCTCTTTATTGTGAACAGTGTCTCACTTACTTGAAATTGTACGAGTTTTCTAGAAACACGTCAACCCAGTATATACGGGCGCACATTTTGTGTGTGTCTCTCTCTCTTTCTCTCTCTCTCTCTCTCGTTCTCTCTGTCTCTATCTTTCTCTTTCTCTCTGTCTCTATCTCTCTCTCTCTCTCTCGATTCCTCTTCAAAGTTTTCGAAAAATAACACAGAGAATTAAAAAGTTAAAAATTACAGTACTGTTTTCGTGACGTGACACGCGCAACTTTTCGCATGCGCCTTTAAAAATTAATATCGAAAAATTACGATATATCGTGTCAATTTTTTATTTGTAATTTTGAATTCAAACGAAAAAAAATTGATTTTTTAAATATTTCTTTTTCATTGAATGAATAGATTCATTATTGTTGGTACTAACCAAAACCATGAATAAGTAATTGAGTCGCGAACTGGACCGAATGGCCGACGTTCGGACCATCATGCTTCTCATTATTCAACAAAAAAAATTTGAATCGGAAAAATACAATGGCTCGAAAACACCCAATGTGCGACTGCTCGTTTTTATTCTCCCAATGCGAATATATTCATTTCTCATTGAGCACATTACCTGCTTAAGATTTGTGGCCGTGGCCGAACTTTTCTAGGCCACACCCACCTGTTGGGTTATTCTCTCGTGTCTTTTTTTTTCAATTTTATTAATTATTATAAATTATCGATATTCAGGATCCAAATGTTCTCGATTCAACTGGAAAACCCCATAGTCGTAAAAGTAGATTCGATGAAGATATTGCCGAACGAAATTGTCCCGTTTTAGCTGAAAATTGGGCAATTTTTATAATTTCTATTTAATTCTTGCGCTCAAATTTCGAAAGATCAGATTGATCTACCAATGTTTGATCGTTTCAAGTGACACAAAAGATCTCGATTATTTTCTGCTGTGCGCGGGTAGATTTACGCGCATGCGCCTTGAAAAGGTCTCGCCCCGTGTGAACGCTTCTATTGCTGTTTTCACGTGAACGATTTATCCTCTTTGTTTTTGATGAGTTTGGCATTTCTTAGAGTTTCTAACATCATTCGATTTAAAATAGTTCGTGGCGAGACCAAGAGAAAGACGCATCCCCGTATAATTACCCATATTCAATTTTAAATATCATCGGTTTGCCGGGGTGTCGTCGCCGTGACGGTTATCGTTCACAAAATCTGAGTTTTGATGAAACATCGCATGGAAACCTTTTTTCGATTATATCACGCAATTCATTGCCGGCTTAAACGGAGATGGGAGAACCGTTGCGAAGATCAAACTATCATTGTCGGCACATTTCGCGAGCTTCGAGCGGGTCCTCTCTTTTGGCTGCGTATCAAACGCTACAGTATGCATTAAAGGCGCAGTGTCATTTCTCGCCAAGAATTATTCCAAACTGTGTGTTGGCCGAAATTGATGTGAACACTAACAAGAATCAAACCACCTTTATTAATTACACTAACTCGATTTGAAGAATTTCGTGCCAATTTTCGAAATTTTTAACGAAATTTCACAAGTTATTCATTTATTCATTTGGTGTGCAATTTTGCGTGCGCGTGTGTTTACGGACCGCATTTTTTTACTTGTTCAAATTGTTCTAAAAGGTGCCTTAATGATTGCCTATACTTTTAAATTTCGATTAAATCTCAAAAATGTTTCCCCCACGCGCGCAGAAATCTTTGAAAATCGCCGATTGTTTGAACGATAACCTTCTCGCGAGACTCGACTTGATCTTCAAAAGGGAGCGGCGAATAAAAAGATTCGATAAGATGTTGGCAGGTGTGTAAAATGAATATGCAAAAACAGACGGCCTTCTGGGTGAAATTGCAAAATATTCCAATTTGGGAGGTAAAATGATCTTCTATGCGAAATATGAAAAAAAAAACGCTTCTTCTTCTTAAAATCTATGATGGTCCGTAGCGAAGAAGATTAACTGGTTCTCTACACAGTTGGAGATTTCGCCACCACCCAGCAGAGCATCCTCAGACTATAATATAAGTGCACCGTCCCACACAGGCCGCGGTTAGAGTCGATTACTCCTCATACGTTACTTTTCGACTCGGCCTAGTGAATCGGAAAAAAGGAAACAGGTGTCTATTGCGTTGAAAAACGCGGTAGATCAAACATTCGCTTTTTTTCGCGCCAAGAATTTAACATAAATTTGGCAAAATTAATGAAATTCTCGAATGTAAAAAAAACTTGATGCGTTTTTTACATTCCTGAATTTTTTTAAAAATAAATTCCTATTGTCGAAGTCAAGCGACTCGCGCATTTAATATTCCGTCACCGATTAATTTAAATCTACACTGATTTCGCGAATTTGAAGGTCCCGACTCCCTTCAGTCGTTTGACGCCGACAATAGGTCGATAAGATTCTTATTGGAGGATAGTCGATGAAGCTATAGATCTGCCATAAAGTTTTTTCTTCGCGAGGCCGACAAATTTCGTGGAACCATTTTTTTCTGCACAGTTGGAATCAATTTGCATTATTAAATACAAACTACAGTATACATTAAAGGACCACGCTAAAATATTGTTGAAGACCGACAATAGTTCACGTCAAACCCAGTTCCAACTCCTGGCACGAAATGAACAAGTTTTTGCGGCATGCGCCTTTGATGCCTATTGTAGTCTTGCATATGTTCGATACGCAGCCAACTCGATTTATTAAACAAAGCCGTCTGGTTTCGTGAATGTGGACATTTCGAGATATTATCAAATATGGTTGACCCGTAAGTTTCGAACCAATCGGGGACCACGATGGCCCAAAATGGTGCTGAAGAACCCTCGAAGCCCACAATCATACAATTTTTATGGCATCGCCGCAAGATTCATGAAAAATCTGATGGTTATTGCAGCGATTTAATAAAAACTGTAGGCTGTTGTGCACATTGAACAATTGAGGACCATCGTTTTTTTTCGGTGGGCGGTAATTCAAATTAGAATTTTAAAAGTCGAAATTCCGAGAACACAGCCTTCTATCTTCCTCCAAAATTCCAACTATATTTTTTGAAGTTCGATCAGTGTCTTTCTATTTAAAAAAAAAATTACTTTCGTTTTCAATTTGAATGGATTTTCGAACAGCACGAACGCGATAAAATGTTTCAGCGGCGTGGTTTTTCATTCGCCAGCAACTATCTAGAAAGATTTCGAGACTCGATAACACACCTCACTTGTGAAGATTTTTGATCCATTTGGAGAGGCGCGGATTTTTAAATTTTCGAAAAATTTGGAATTGCATCAATTTTGAGTATTTTATCGATCAATTACGGTGTGAAAAAAATAGATAGTGGTTTTTGACACGAGACACAATTTCAGGGGCTCACTAAAATCGCAGATTTGATTTTTTTTCGGGACCGCCTATTTGATTTCTTTTCCCCCACAACTGAATCGCTTCATAATTATCGTAATTGTTCTCAATTAAAATTTCAGACGATGCGAAAACCATATTTGACGTTCCTTTTTTTAGTATATTAAAAATCAAATAGAAAATATTCACCTGCTCTTCTGCAACTTTCCTTAACGGCGACGAATGTGTGCTATGAGTTGTCTCACTTTCTAAAACGACAAGAAATTCAAAGAAAATTGAAACTTCAATTATTTTACGTGTTGCCTCTTGGATAATGTATTGAATATCGGCTTCAGGAACAAATTGCTCGCGAAAAATTTGCGCCAATTTTGAAATTGCAGCGGTTTTTTGCGCGGTTTCCAGTCCGATTAAAATGATATCGAACTTGTCGATGTCTTTCGCGAAATCGCAACTCCTAAATATATAAAATACAAATTATATACATAAATAAAAAATATATATTGTTGAGAAATTACAAAAAAATCCAGGTGTCGTGGGATCCTGCGTTTAAATATATTTAGAGTTTTAAAAATAATTTAAAGGCGCACTCATCTTTTTGTGCCGAGTCTTGCAGCGACCGATACTGATGGCCGCGGTATTCCGAAACGGATTCTGGAGAAATAACAAATGTATCCAGGTGTCGTGGGATTCTGCGTTTTGTACGCAATGCGATGAGCCAGTTACCGTAATCCTCGCAGAAATTTAGGGGGACCTTTAAAAATTTCCTATTTTCATTTCTGCTCAATTTTCGTATTTTTTTTTTTGAAAATTTATTTAAAGTCTGAACCCGAAATTAATTAATTATTTTGCAGAATATGCACCTTTAAAGATATTTTTTTTTTAGTAAAAACAGCATAGATTAAAAAAAACATTTTTTTTGTCGTTAATAAAATTATTTATTCGCTATTTACTCTTAATACGCAATTCTATTTTGTTTTTGTGTTTTTCATTTTCAAAATAATTTTTCGAGCGACAAAAATATTGATAAATATCGTTTAAAAGTGCATATTCTGCAAAATAAATAATTAAAATCGCATTCTACAGACGTTAAAAAAAATTTCAAAATAAAATAGGAAATTTGAGCGAAAAATGAAAATAGGAAATTTAAAAATGCCCCCAGTAAATCGCTTCGAGGATTACGGTAACTGGCTCATCGCATTGCGTACAAAACGCAGGATCCCACGACACCAGAATACATTTGCCATTTCTCCAGAATTTATAGTCCGTATCGGAATAACGCGGCCATCAGTATCGGTCGCTGCAAGACTCAAAAAGATGAGTTAAATTATTTCTAAAAATTAAATTATTTTAAATTATTTCTAAAAATCTAAATATATTTAAATTTAAAATTTTTTAAATCCAATTTGTTAAAATTGTAACAAAATGAAATAATTCATTGATAGCGCTTTATGCGGAAAACGAGTTGGGTCTTATGGCGGCGGATTGTGGCATTCGCTTTTTTTTAAATCTATATTTTCAAAAATCAATTTCGATATGGAAAAAATGTGAAAATGACCAAAAACAAAGTCAATATTTGATATGATTTAAATTTTTTACATTTCAAAATAGATGAAATAATTTTAAAACTACATAACCATGTTAGAGGGGCCGTATGGAAATCTTCAAACGAAGGCGTTGACCAAATCTCTCGCTTCGCCAATTTTTTAAGCGATTCATAGACGTTCTTAACAACACATCTCATATCGCCCTTGCAATTCCAGCAATATTTATCGCTGAAAATAAAATCTCGCGTTTTTTTTAATCGCCAAAAACTCTTACTTGACACATTTATTGAGATAAAATGAGAGAAATCGATCAAACGGGTCCCGAATGAACGCAAATCGTCGCATATAAGGATTTCGTTTTTGTTTTTCACCGAAAATGGTAAACGCGGAGTCTTTCCAGCAGCTAAAATTTGGTGTGATCGGAAAATTCACCAAAAAAAAAACGAGAGAGACCTCCTCCTTGATATCAATGTGGCATCGCGCATTGATTGGTTGCTCCTCAAGAATAAATCCTTGTCGAAAAGATAGCATAATGTGTTGATGGTGAGTTGAGACATTGCCTTCGGCACAATGCATCCGGTCAAGTTGTATTTTGGAGCCAACTGCAACAATTTTAGGCCGTTTTTATTTAAACATTGTTCAACTTACTGTATAATAGGCCGGAATTTGGACGAAAGGCGGAATGAGAAATTCTCCTAATATATAATATAATAGTTAAATATTGTTGGTTTCAAAAGGCGCATCTGGAGGGTCATTTATTGTATTGGTGAAAAAAAATTAGTGAAATTCTAAATGCGCGTGCGCTAAAGTGTAAAGTACGCAAACACGCGCTCTCATCGCGACACCATTTTTTTTTTCAAATTTCGATGAGCCGTTTGATAACGCCAAAAATAAATATTTATTATAATATCTTACTTTCTGTTTTATTCAATTTATTTGAATAGCCAGCTATTATAATATAATTGGGCGTGCTGTGCGAGATTATTAGATAGATGGTAAAAATGACAACGAATATCACCAAGGCGATGACTGGTCGCGTTCCCATAATGAAGCTTTATGTGGAATAATCTTCTCCTCATCTCATTCCTTTCTTCGACTACGGGAGGATTTTGCAGCATCGAGACTCCGCCCAATTGCGAAAAAACGATTTGAATTTTATTTTTTGGAAACCCACATTTTTTGTTCAATCGTGACCTCGTGACGACAAGCTCCTATAGGGGGCTGAATTTTCAGAAACAGATTAGACAGTATCGTATAGTCTATGCTATAAATCCAGATGATTTATAACATTGAATTGCCTGCTTTTGTTCACAAAACCAATATTCTTTGAAATGATTCTATCAAAAATTGGTCGAGATGCGATTCGGCTAACAGTTGCTCCATTGCGCGCCGCGTGGTTTACACAAAATTCGTGTTTCAAAAAAACACACAACAAAGATCAAACTAGAGATGAAACACAAAGCCACGTGACTGTGAGGTGTGTTCGAAGATTTGAAAGTGAAACCTAAAAAATCGCAAATATTGCATAAAAATAAGCGAGTTTTAGAGAGATTGATTCGTGCTGGAAAACATTGAAAATTTTTTGCTTAAATTTAATTAGGTATTTTAAAATAAAAAGAAAATGCGCGCAAATTTGGCACTTTTTAAAACACCAAAAATTTTTGAAAATTGCGCTTTTTCATATTTTTATCATCGCAAAAAATCGAGCGCTTTTATTTCTTCCATACGAGACCCAATTCAAATGATTCTGTATGCGGATTTTAGGAAAAATGTTTATTTTTTCAAAAAAACCCGCATTGTTCCAATCTCATTAATTCGCCAACGACCTTTAGACCTTCTCTTGTTTATTTCATTTAGATTCAGTTCCTCCTCATGGGGGATTGTTCCGTTTTCGTGTCATCTATGACCATTGTATCTCAACGTTTTGCATGTTTTAAGAAACCCTTATGTACTTCCTGTTTAGAGTGATTAAATGACAGCGATCAATCGTAAACGTGCGACACTCTCGGCCGGCCGACGACCTTGCATCCCCCAGCTCATCAGTTGTTGCTCGCCAGTCGCTTCTATCTTCTCCAATCGCCAACACGACTTGACCTCCTCAATCAATTTTTGTGAATCGTATTATTCCATTTCAAAAAATTCATAATGTCAATTTTAATCAAAAACGGCGCTATTGTCAACGATGATTTTATGCAAAATGCCGACGTTCTGGTGAAGGATGGCAAGATAATGTAAGTATACACATTTTTGAAGATCCATTTCATCTTTCGCATTATAAGCCTTTTAATATTTATCTGAATTTTTCGATAGAATTGAGTTTAAAAACAATTTTCGTAGAAACTTCTAGAATGTCAAATTTTTTTTTTCAAAATTAAAGATTTAATGGAAAACAGCCAAAATTGTGATTTTAAGAAATATTTGAAGATTTCAAATTTCAAAAATAATATTTTAAAACAAATAATACTCCAGTGGCCACTTTTTTTTTGGCAAACACCCTATAAATACTAAATGCGCGTATGCTAAAATGCAGAGTCCGCAAACACGCGCTCATATCGTAACACCATGGAATTTTTTTTTTAATTTTTCGGATAAAAATGTTCCTTTTTTAAGCCGAAATATAAATTATTTTGCTGGAAATGGCCACAATGATATGACGAAGGTATAATTTTATAAAAACTTTAACAAAAAGGTCGTTTATTTTCTTCTAACAGTCCCATTTACCAAATTGATAATTAAATAAAAAAATTTAGGGCAATAGTCATTTTTATTTCATCTAAAATCTACAATATATTTTTTACTATTATTATACTTTTTATTGTAGGTGGAAAAAAGTGGGGGTGGATTCTAATATAATTATAATTTATATTATTATTGTTATAGCAAAATTGGCGAGAATATCAATGTGGAGGGAGAGGTGGAGATTGTGGACGCTACTGATCGTTATGTGATTCCTGGAGGAATTGATCCTCACACTCATATGCAATTGCCATTTATGGGAGAGGTAAACACTTGTATGGATTTGAATCCAACTTTTTTTTTGCCAGATCGCCAAAGACGATTTCCATCGAGGTACTGAAGCCGCGGTTGCTGGTGGCACCACAATGGTTTTGTCTTGTTCATTGGTTTTCTCGTTTTCAAAATTCTGCCGTTTTTCAAGATTATTGATTTCGTCATTCCCAACAAGGGCGAATCGCTACTCGCCGCCTACGATCGCTGGAGAAAATGGGCCGATCCGAAGGTGGTTTGCGATTACGGCCTCTCGATGGCGATCACCACGTGGAATTCGGAAATTGCCGCCGAAATGCGAACCGTGACCGCACCCGAGTACGGCATCAACTCGTTCAAATTCTTTCTCGCCTACGCCGGCATGTTTATGGTGCGCGACGAGGAGTTCTATCAAGGAATGCTTCAATGCGCGAAGCTTCGCGCGTTGGCGCGAGTGCACGCCGAAAACGGGGCGGTGATCAAAGAGCGAAGCGAAAGCCTACTGGCGCAGGGTGTGACCGGACCCGAAGGCCATACGCAGAGTCGACCCGAAGAATTGGAAGCCGAGGCGACGTTTCGAGCGTGCACAATGGCTGCGCAAGCCAACTGCCCACTGTACATAGTGCACGTGATGTCGAAAGGAGCTGCTGACGCGATTGCGCATCACCGAAAGCAAGGTAGCGAAAATGGGATCGTAGAAGAAAGAAATTCGAAACCTCTCCGAAAAATTGTGCCATCACGCGCACGCAAAATTGCACACATTTGGATATTTCGAATAAATTCTCATTTCTTTAAGGATACGTTGTGTTTGGCGAGCCGATCGCCGCCGGTTTGGGAACCGATGGCTCGCATTACTATCATGAGGATTGGCTTCATGCGGCGCGTTACGTCATGTCGCCACCATTATCGCGGGACCCGACAACTCCAAGCACGTTGATGAAGCTCTTGGCTGCGTAAGATTATTTGAGGGTTGTTGCAAAAGGAATGCACTGTTTTCGCAAAAACTTTTTATTTTTGTATATTGTTGGATTCACGTGACCGCACGCGAACCGCAACGCACCTGACGACAAAAATCTTGCACCCGCCGATTCTAGTAGGGGGTTTTTTTTAGCGTGATCTATTAAACTATAATTCTACCGAAATCGTATCTTACTTTTCAAATACTCTCAAGGGCTTATGATAATTTTTTTCCAATTTGATCTAATGTGAAACGAATTGAAAATTACAGTAGTATATATCAAAAGCGCATGTTTGTAGGCGATATATTGAATTCGTGCTAAGACCAAAGCTTTCATGTTCCTTTAACGTTGAGTGTAAAAATTCTCGTTGCCTTGTGGCCCCATTGGCACAAATCCAATATTTTTTTTCTGAATTTCGATCTATCGCAGGTTTTTAATAGAAAATATCGAGCGAGGTTCTCTAAATTTCAATTTTCATTAAAAATCTCGATATTCAATTTTTAGGGGACCTACAACAATCGATTTCAAAATTTCTAAAGAATTTGTATTCCAAAAAAATGAATAACCGCAAAAGGAATTTTTTATAATTCTCGAAACCAGAAAAAAGTGGTGCATTTCTTTTGCATTGAGATTGTCTATCGAAATTTGATTGAAGCGGCGAACTTCATCTGACGGCCACCGACAATTGCACATTCGACTGTAAACAGAAGGCGCTTGGAAAGGACGATTTCACGAAGATTCCGAACGGCGTGAACGGCGTCGAAGACCGAATGTCGGTCGTCTGGGAGAAGGGCGTGCACAGCGGTCTCATCGACCCAATGAAGTTCGTCTCGGTGACGAGCACGATGGCCGCGAAAATCTTCAATTGCTATCCGCGAAAGGGGCGAATCGCTGTCGGCTCGGACGCCGATATCGTCATTTGGAACGCGAACAGCACTCGAGTGATCTCTAAAGACACCCATCATCATGTAAATATTGAATATGCAAAACGAATAAAAAACAATTTGTTCTTCTTTTTTTTTAAGGCTGTCGACTTCAATATTTTCGAGGGAATGAAAGTTCACGGTGTTCCCGAGATCACAATTGCCGGCGGTCGGATCGTTTGGCGCGATGGCAAATTGTTGACGACGCCGGGAGCCGGAAAGTTCATCGCATTGAAGCCGGATTCTCAAATTGTGTTTGCTTCGATTGACAATAAAGCCAAGGTAAAGCTTTAAAAAATATATATATGGATGGTATCGTTTTTTCAGTCTTCGGCTCCAATCAAAATCAACCGGGCTCCTTATAATCCAGAAGAGCGCGCTCAAACCGGACGAGACGCGGCTCATCCGGCAGCCGCGGCGGCTTCAAGAAATCCGCCAGGCGGAAAGAGTAGCATTGAATTTTGAAATGTATATTAACTTCAACAAATAACAAATAAATTTGAACGACAACAAATGAATCAAATCAACGACGACTATTTTTTGGCCTTCATAGGCTTCTTCTGCTTCAGAACTTTCTTGCCGAGACCTTTGACCGCGATTTTCTTCGATTTTTTTGCCTTTTTGACCTTCGGAATCGATTCGGATGATGATTTCTTGAGTTTTTTGAGTGGAGTCGGGTTTTCATCGCCAGAATCTTGTTCGTCGTTTTCTTCGTGTGCCTCCTCGCGTTGGCGTTGCTTCTGCCGCTCAACTCTACAAATTTCAAGTGATGTGTTGAATAAAAAACAAGGAAGCGAATTATTTTTTCGCCGGTTTCCGAAAGGGACTCATCACAAAAACCGCGTGCGCCTTTAATTACGGTATCCATTTCCAAATTGTCACTGATTTCGCTTTTGGCGTAAAATTTTCATTACTTTTTTTTAGATAAGAAATGTGCAATTAGAAAACTTTGCAGCTTTTGGACAGAAATTTAAAAAAAAAAGTCGAAAATCGTGTTTTTTTTAAATTTTCGACGTCTGTTCCATTTTTTTTATTTTCTAAATCTCTATTCAACTTTACAATAATTTTAAAATTCAAATTCCGGAAAATTTGAATTGCAAACATTTTTCTTTGGAAGTTTACTGTTGAAGCGCTTATTTCAATTTTTTTAATTAAAAAATCCGACGATAACTCACACTTTCATTTGTTTGCATTTCTTCCTCTCATTCTTGATCTCCTCATTTATTTTCAACACGCGTTCCTCAGCTTCCTCGAACATCGCCTTCGTGAGAACTTCCGAAGGAACCGGCGGCTCGAAATGAAGCGGATCACGTCCCGCCGCCGCCTGCTCAAACTTCTTCACCAGGTCGTAAATTCGTTTTCGGCGCTTCACCGGAATTTCCGATTTTTTTCCCACGTTGAACAATATTTCGCCAATATTTTTGTAGTTAAACTATACCAAAAAAATCACGGTTTTAAAAAATAATTTTAATTATATATAAATAATTTACCTGAATTCCTCCTTCTTCCATCGGCTCATCTCCTTCATTTTCCGCTTTCGCGGCAATTTCTTCACTTTTTTGATGAAGAATCGTCATAAAAATTTCGGTGATAATCGAGCTGAAGAGATAATCCGAGATTCGTCGATTGCCGAGAAGATTCGCGTATGGTTTAAGCAGCAATGAGACTTGTTTGGCCGTCAGTCCGCCTATTAAATTCAATTGGAATAATTAAAATCAAAAATTTGCTTGCCAGCATTGTCGAGCTCATCGAGAAAAAGCGAGGCGAAATGGAATTTGAGTCCTTCGCTGAAATTTTTGTCCGCCGAAATTGTGGTTTCCTCAAAAACCGCCCAATATTTGTCGCGGATTTCTTTTTTCCAGTTCAATTCGCGCAAGTGCGCAAAAGTAAACTTTAGCATTCTTCGGATTTCCTGAAATTTTAAGGTTATAATTTTATTTGGACAAATTTTTAAAAAACCAAGTTGAATTACTCATTTTTGGTGCGCTAAGCTAAAAAAAATGAGGGAATTTTTGATCTGCTTGTTCAACTCAAAATCAAAATTGGCAATTTGCCAATTCACTTAATCCGTAATATTTACAACAAATTTTAATAAAAATTACCATTAAAAACTTGTCCATTCGCCAACGATCAATATGTGGCCATTCTTTTGAGATACTTTTCAGGAAACACTTGACATAGAGGATTTTCTCCTCTTCCGAGCCAAAAATATTAATTAGGCCTCCAATTTTATCAGCCAGTTCTTCCTTAACACACATATTTCACATTAAAACCCAATTTTAAATTAGTAGTTATTACTTGAAGAAGCATTTTGTCCTGCATCCACATGACATAATGCAAGCCTTTGCATAATCTCATCAGATCCTCCTCATTGAATGCTGAAATGTATTTTTCTCTAGATTAACATAAAAAATTTTACGTTTTTTTGACGACTGCTCCCTAATCCAATCATGTAGAACTCGCAAAGCTCTTTGGCGGGTCACAGGCTCACCACATGCAAGTTTTTGAGCGAAAACTACTTCAACGGCAGCCAAATCGACTTCCATCTAAAAAAAAGAAATTTTATATAATATAGTTGGCTCGTTTATTAATAAAATTGCAGAAGATTCAAACTAAGAAAAAAAAAAAGAAAATTAAGCGAGAAAAATAGGAGCGATGTCGTCACTCAGCAAATCGCGCCGTAGAAACGGCGGTGAATAGCGAGTAAAACGGCGGCAGATGATCGGTGAAGAAAACAGACACTTTCGTTCCTCCAACTTTCCACCGCCGTTTCTCCGAAATTGCACGCGTACGCGCGGAGTGTCGTACTGCCTTCGTTTTAGTACTTTCAAACTATTGTCATATTTCACCACGTTTATTGTTTTTTTGAAAGTACTCGCGAAAAACTGGAATAATTTATTACAAAAAAAAATTATTTAGTCATTTGGCTGCAAAAAATTAAATTTGTCCTCCGTGTGATGCCACTTTCTGTGATAACGTTGAAATTGTAGACGAATTCGTAATTCTATAATTCCTCGAAAATTCAATATCACTACTTAACTGTAAAGTCGAATCCGAACTGAAGAAATTCAAGTTTAAGAGATTTACATTAAGAATTTACCTCTTTTCGGTTGTGAAATAACTGTCCGCTATAAACTTTTTCGCCATATCCGCAATCGATAGTTGATTAGTCATTAACGATAAGTAGCAGTGCGTTTTTTCAAAACTTGCAGTTGAAGTTGTTGAACAATTGCCGTATCTACGAATCAACTCCACACAGTGATCAAAAATCAGCTGGAATTGCTACCATTCTTCTGTTTTAAACAAGTCAATTTTCTTACATGCATTTTAAGCGTATAGAATTCGCTATTTTCATGTCCAATATATCCTTTTATGAAATTCGAAAGTTGTTGGATTGCGTAGAGATGAGCTTCGGTCCTTGCCATATATAGCAAGTTGTTAAATATGAACAAGCAAGCCAAAAACGTGGTTTCCATGATGCGAGGAAACTTAAATGTCATTGATAACGCAGCAAGAGTAAACTGAACTGACTGAAAAATATAATCAAATGTCCCAACTTTAAAATTGCTCACTTTTCTTATCTCTGAACCGGTCGCACGCGAGAATCTTTCTGGGCTAGCAAACCTGCAGGGCGTTTCCGGTGGATCTATGGTATTAATCAGAGAACATGAAAGTGCCTGAACCACCCTAGTCGAAATTTTCAACCGAGGCAAATTTGAACCGCGCCCAAAAATTTGTTCCAATAAATTTTTCAAAAACCCTTCGGAAAGGTAATGAAGTTCATCGAACGGTTGATTTGATGGGCTGGCAAGAATTGACAGAATGTCTAACAATTCATATTTTAGATGTAGGTTTGAAGGGAATTGCTTACTTAATTTTCCGCTAGCTCTCATCATATTCATTACATCATTCGCAGTTCTTGAAGGGTATTGAATGTCGGAAAAAAAGAAACCGCTTGCCGACCCGATTTCGAACCAATGATCGTGCAAAGTGTGCATCCCTGTGTACTTGCCCAATTCGGAAGACCACAGATCTGACGCATGCCCTATATCGTAATGTTTCATTATGTACCAAGACAAGCTTGCCTTGAGATCCAAAAATGATACAGCTGGCTCGACCATGACGGAATATTTGACCCCTTCGTATTGTATAAGCAGTGGTGAAGTTCTAAGAAATTCTACTTCGTGCATTAATCTAAAATAAGCATACAATTATATATATAGCCGCGAATTTTTCATTACCTGAATGTGATGGTGATATTCATGCGTTTTGACGATTATTACAAGTTTTTTATTATCTACAGTTTCTTCTTCAATAACATCATTGACGTTTTCAACAGGTAAAAGACGAACTCCATAGCCCCGAATTCGCGCGTCTACAAAATTTTTTCCTTTATGCTGATCACAGATATACCATTCTCTTCTTTCGTCAATCTACTCCTTTTCATGTTGAAACGAACGTTCTGGAAAAACCATTCTCATCAAATCAAACTTTCAAATTTAAAAAGAATGTAGTATTAATTATATTAAATCTTAAAACCAATAGAAGGTTTTAAAACAATCAATACATTATAATTAATTAATTACAAATTAAAAAATTCATAAAATTAATTTAAATAAATCTTCATTTTGAAATTTAATTAAAACTTTAAATGAAATTTAAATAAAATCGAAAATTAATTTAAATTAATTTTCGTTTTTTTAGAAGGTTGTACGACACTACTAATATTACACATAGCCCACGGTTTAGCGCGTTTAGTAAACCATCGTTCCACCGCCGTTTCACCGAAACTCGCTATTCACCGCCGTTTCTACGGCGCGATTTGCTGAGCAGGTGTGTTGCATTGTGTGTAAACATCGCCCCGCAGAAGTGAACCAGAATTATTCAAATTTTGATTTTAAAAAACTGTTTGATGGAAGGGACAATTCTGAAAAAAATGAAAAAAAAAATGTTTGCAGTATGAAAATTTGCTTTCTTTCTATTTCTTCTGCATTTCCCCTTAAAATATTAAATTTTAAAAAAGTCTGAAAAAAAACTATTTAAAAATAGAAACGGCTAAATTAAAGTATTGGCTTATTAAAAAAAGGGGGGTTCCAAAATGTTAAAATCGTCAAAAACCGGCAAAAATCACAAATTATCGGTCAAATTTAGTATTGCCTCTTGGCGCGAAATTTATAAATTTATTATTCGCTCCGCCCCCTCAGGAAGTATTCGGTCCTCGGTAATATAAAGCAAATTTTAGAAAAAAAAATAAAAATAATAAAAATTTAAAAAATTATTGGCAATCTCTATTTTTTTTAGACCGAATTAATCTTTTCTGAAATTCAGTATTGTATTTATTCGAGATAGAAGGTAGACTTCGAAGCAGCAAATGACTTCCATTTTGGGACCCTTTTTTTGACGCTTGAATCTTTAAATTGAAATTAAAAAAAAACCTTTTTTATCTAGTTTCACACTACTATTGGACATATACAGTGCGTTGCAGAATTATAAGGCCACCCCCGAATTTGAGCGCCGCGCAATGATTTCGATACTTTGAGAACAACCAGTGTGAAAATCGTGTTCAGCATGAAAAATAACCTATATGTACCTATTTTTATGTTAGTACCTTCAAAAGTAACCGCGCTGTGGTCCAAAACCGTTTTTTCGAGCGGTGCAGAATTATAAAGCCACCCCCCAACAACGGACTTTTTCGCATTTTTTTGAAACTTTGGCGGGACCAGTGTGCATAAAAATTGTTGTGTGGCTTCGAGAACCTACAGTGGTCCTTATTTTTCACTTTTTGAATGATTTTGAAATGCCACGTGGTCTCTGTCTTAGTGCTTCTGAGCAATCTCAGATTATCGCATTCAAAACGGCAGGATGGTCGAACCGTCGGGTTTCGAAGAATTTAAATGGTCCGAAAACATTCGTAGACATCTTTGTGAAGGATCCAACTCGTGTCAACATGTCGCAAAAGTCAGGCGGCAGAGGAAAACTGGACAATCTCGCTAATCGAGCAAGCATTCGAACAGCTTCGAGCAGTATGAAGTCTACAAATGGCATCAAGAAGAAGCTAAACTTTGACAAAAGCAAGTGGACAGTTTGGGGAACCATCAAGAATAACCCCAACATCGCTAGAGAAAAAATGAAGCCGGCTCCGCGACTCACAGAGGATCATAAAATTCGACGCCTTGAGTTCGCACGCAGAAACATTAATACGGATTGGAACAAGGTACTTACTTTCGAGAATATTGTGAATAATAACCATTCAAACTTCAACAGGTTATTTTTTCCGATGAAAAAAAAAATAATTTGGATGGCCCAGACGGCTATAACAGTTTCTGGCCCGAGTTATGAAAGAATCGTCTCCTGCTTTCAAAACTCAATTTGAGAGAAGGAAGCGTGATATTATGGGGGAAGCGTTTTCGGAGGCCGGATTTCTGGAATTGGCTTTTCTGACGAGTAGGGTGGACTCTTCGGATTATCAGAATGTTCTTGAGAGCCATCTTCTTCCATTCCGACGTCATTATTGTCCTTTTTCAACAGGACAATGCGGTCATTCATGTGGGTCGGTCTACTTTGGACTGGCTTCAGTCTCACAGTGTGGACGTTCTCGATTGGCCAGCATGTTCTCCTTTTTGGAGTAACATGGAGAACATTTGGGGAGAGTTAGTACGGCGTCTTTATGGCCAAGGAAGGAAATTCGGGGAGTTGGAGAGCTGAAAACCGAAATCGTAGTCGAATGGAAGACGTTAGAGCAGAAATTCAAATCGAAATCGACCCAATATGTTTAAAACCTTCTCAAATCTATGCAAGACCGTGTTTCTGACATTATTACCTCAAATGGAGGTGCCACTAAACATTAAACTGTCGTTATTTTTGAGTTTATAACGTATTTCATGGGGGTGGCTTTATAATTCTGCACCGCTCGAAAAAACGGTTTTGGACCACAGCGCGGTTACTTTTGAAGGTACTAACATAAAAATAGGTACATATAGGTTATTTTTCATGCTGAACACGATTTTCACACTGGTTGGTCTCAAAATATCGAAATCATTGCGCGGCGTTCAAATTTGGGGGTGGCCTTATAATTCTGCAACGCACTGTATAATTAATACCATATAAGCAGTTTCGAGATTTCTTAAATGTCCCAAAAGCTCATCGATTTTTTTATGATTGCAAACTCATTTTTGCCTATACATAAATTTGAAAAAATTTGATTTTCGAGAAATTAAAATCATCTCATACAAAAATTGCCATAAAAGGTTTTACTCGTTCACATTGTGATAGCTAAATTCGACCAAAAGAGAGAGAGTTTTGTTTTCCATTCGAGACCCCCCTTCAAATCGTCGAGCCCAGACTATCTGAAATTTATTCTCGACACCTCTTTCATCTCAAACCTTCATCCACCAAAAATATTTCGATTCATTGCAACTTTCGGCCCCCCTCGTGTTTACATATGAAAGACATTTGCCTTTTACGCGCGGGCATTCAATGGATGGTATATACAAAATTGGATGAGATGAGGCAAAAAAGGAGGCGGAGGCGATTCATCTCGTTTTTTATTAGCTTCTGCTTCTTCTTCTTCATCGTATTCCTCGTCCTCCTCCTCCCCCCACGCAGCCACCCCTTTCCGTCCATTCTTCGCAATCTAATAGCAATTGCCACTGATGAAATTTCCAATTATTCTATTTTGGTTTCAGTTGACCACACTAGGTAAGTTGGCCAAATTCGACTAGCCGAATTGTGATTCGACATTTTTTTTCTAGTTTTCGGATGTATGCCTGGCTATGAAGCCGAACGAGATCGACTGCGTGAGCATCTCGGCATCGAGTGGATTCCAGGCGGATTGGCAAAAAGCGGTGAGTTCGGATTTTTACGCTCAATTTTGATTCGCGCTTGTCTCAATTGACAGCGATAGCCGCCCACGCCAAAAAAAAAACACACGGCAACTGCGCAATCGAAATTAATTGAACAGGTTCCTCTCTCTCTCTCATTCTCTCTGACATGCCGACAATGGCTAGTGACCACCACAAGCAGCTAATCAAATCGCCGTTTTTATGTTGAAAATTATTAGAATGCGAAAGGGAATTTATATTATATTAAATGAATGACTGGAAATTGCCGGGAATCTTTCATTTTTTTCGATCGATTCTGTTCGAAAACGAGATTTCCATTTTTTCGATATTTCGCCGGCGTACTGGTTCACTCGACATTTTTGTTCTATCTTTCCTAATGATCTCTCAAGTCGAAAAAGCCAATGAATTGGTCAAATTGAATTCAAATTCAAATAAGCTTCTGCTTCTTCGCGGGTAAATTTACTGGGTGCGTCTTTTCGAAGTGGTTTCACCATTTTTTCAATGATTAATATCACTGGAATTAAAAATTAACGGAATCACATCTAAAATGCAAAATTCCATTGTAGTCGGTGCGAGACCATAGCAAAGGAACATGCACGTAAATATACCCGCGGATAGTAGTCGCTGACCGCCATAAAAGTGAGAAAATAAAAAAGAGCCTCATATAAAACCGAGAAATGTTGAACATTCTTAGAAAATGCTCAAAGAATGTTTCTCTGCTTCTCATTGTATTAAATTCTGAAAAGCATTTGGCAACGAGCCAATAATTTCTCAAATGCTAATCCAAACATTTGTTTCTGAAAAAAAAATTGAGACAACTCGTGAAAATCGATGTTTCGATTCGACGTATCCAACAATATCAGAAATCTGTCGAATTACGATAATAATATGCCTGGGTGTGTCCATTTCTCACATTTTTTTTCTGCCGTCAATCCGAAATCCACACCAAAACTGGAATTGCGTCTACTATGATGATGTTGATGATGACGATATCCGATTTTTCCCTTTTTTGATTCGATCATATCATTCGTGGCTGACTCACTCTCACTTCGTTATCTCTATGAGAAGTTGCGCAATCCATCAAAAGCTGGCTATTATGTGAATCGGCTAACAAAAATTGCGCCAGCGTGACCGATTTGATATCGTTGATCAAAAGTTCAATAATAGTAATTTACAGAATGGTCCGACAAGCCGATTCGTCACTCATCGGATTTGAATTGCGATTTCAGCGAGCCGGCGAAATGCCGCTGGAAAAACATGGCCGATGATATGCAAATGGACTCGAGAGACTTCTATTTGTTCGAGAAAATCGATTACACCGAATTTCCGGCTCTTCGTGTTGGTCCGGGACCCACGAAGGTGCAACAAGGCGACAAGATGATATTCACCGGCGACAAGAAGCGCGATGAGCAGCACGCGATATTCTATAGTAGTCCGATCAATTGTCAAAACTCCACCGGAAATTTGACATTCACGTAAGCGATTAATTAATATTGGGACATATAAGATGGTTATAAAACAAGCTAGTGGTTATAATATTAGATTTACGTCAATTATCAATTAGAAACTAACCAAATCAGAAATTACTAACACAGAGCAAAACAGATACGTAGTTACGTACACAATAATTAATATAATATCAAAAAAACACAAAAAATATTTTGGAAGCAAAACCCCCGCATCCAAAAAAAAAACAAAAAAAAAGAAACTCACGCAAACTCTGCATTTTCGCGCCAACTCTGGTGTGTGTGTGCATACACCGCAGTGTGTACCGTATACCCTCAAATCCTGTGAGCGTATTTTCGCTTCCTCATCATAGAAATTTTTCAGATATTGGGTGTACAATGGCGCGAGAGTTGAAGTCTTCTTGTTAGAAGACAATAGAAGCGGCGGCTACAAAATGGTATTCGATGATCCGGCCGAGGAGAAGCCGTACGTCTCATGCGGAACGATACAGATCAACACCGAATGTCACGCTGAAATTCCGCCAAGGGATAAGCCGTTCAGGTTGTTTTCGAAATTTTTTTTCATCGAGCCAGACAAGTAGTTTTGTAGAATTGGAATTCGCGCCTACGAGATCGCCAACACCGACGGCTCATTTGTGATGATCGACAATATTCTTTACTCATCGAGCCTTTGCAAAGTTGGAAGTAATCGAAAACTTGATAGATGCGATCTGAAAATGATCTTTTTTTTCAGTCGACGTTGGCGACAACTTCAAAACGCTGCCATTGGAGACGGGCGCCAATGGGAAATCGATTCAATCGGCGCAAGACCTTAAATGCAATTCGTTCGATTCGAAATGCCGTTGGCGTTCGGGTGGCGACGCGAAAGTGGTAAGAATCGCAACAATTGATCGAATCGATTCGAGAATCTAAGATGTGGCGCAAATCGACGTCAATCCTTCCGAATCAGCTTCTACTGAATGCCACTGGCACCACCGTGGGTCCGAAAGGAGCGTACGCGGTGCTTTACGTCGAACAAGGCGCTGATAAGAAATCGTTGGATATTTTGAGATCGGATCCGATCGCGTGTCAAAGTCTTACGGAAAACGAGTTTTCATTCAGGTTCCTACGAATATATTATAGTCTACCAGAATCGGTCTATGTCGTTAAACGCGTTGCGGTTCGCGTGCGGTCACGTGTTTATTATTTTTTTTAGAAATTGATGACGAGGAGTTTTATACTGGTTGAACTGGAATTTTTTTATAATGAAGCTTAACGCGAACCGCAACGCGCCTGACGACATACAGAACTGAATTTTTTCATGAATCAAATTTGTTTTGTGAGAATTGCAATTTCGCAATGGAAAAACTGAAAAAGTGAAAAAAAATGTTTTTTTTTTTAGTTATCATTTTTTTCCACAACCTAATCATTATAGTGCTTTTGGGAAAATAACTAGTCTTTTGCGGAAGAATAAAATAGTTCCCAAAAAATCTGATTCTTATAGATTCTGGGAATTCGGGCAAATCGAGCTTGAAGCATGCGCTGTGGACCTAATGTTTAAAGACATTGAATGCATTCCGATTCCTCACGGATCATCACCGGCTAATGTGAATGTCACATTTCGAAAATCCACCATGAATTTTATGGTTTGTCAATTCATTGAGGCAAAACGATTTAAAAAAAAAATGACAGATCACTCTACGCGTTTCAAAATTGAATCCCGATTTCGACAACATGCTCATCGTCGACGACATCGTTTACAAGGCCACACTGTGCACCGACGCGTTGTCGGTGTTCGACATTGGCGATAGTTTTGTGACGACGCCAATGTTGAGTTTGCTGCTCGGCCGAAATGTGCACACCGCTCAAGATTTGTCATGCGACTTCTCGAAGAGGGCTTCGTCTTGCTTATGGGGAATGTTGAACCAGGAGGATGAGACAACCGAAATTGCCGAGAATATGTGGACGATCGGGCACGGACCATTGAATGCTGAGAAGCTCTACTTTTTGACGGGAATCGCTGATACGCCGGGTAATTCGCTAAACATTTGTTGGATTCAATTAATCATTCAAATTTAGAAGGGGAATTTGGCGTCGCAAAATTTGAAACTGGTGGAAGTGCCATCATTTTATCGGAAATTGTGAGGTGCGCTTTGGACAATGTGCACGTTCAATTCAAATTATGGACCACTGGTTCCACAACAGTTAAGGTAGGAAATTATTCGTTGACAATTAAAGCGCCAATTATTGGAATCGAAATTTTTTGAATTGCCCGCCAATTCTCACAAATCCGCAAATAAAAACGAGCACCCTCGGTTACTGTAGTTTAAAAAGTCCGTGAGTTTGATTCGCAGGTTGTCAGTAGTACGGTACCCGAATTTCCATTGTTAAACATTGAAATTTAAGTTGCCGCGTCAAATATGAAAAAAATTAGCTAGTTTTTTTCGCTCGAAAAAATGTGTGCAATTTTACGTGCACATAAATGCACACTTTTTTCTCTTCTCGATTTTTTCTTCAAATAAATGACATTTGAGGTATGCTTGGTGGAAGAATCATCGCCGTCACTTTTGGATTGTCAAGTCGCTTCGGCTGGTGACGTCGTCGTCGACCTTCCAACTATTAAAACACCGTTCCGCGTCGCATTTTCCGCCGAAGCCGATGATCAGGGCATGGCGCTTATTGATGACATAATCGTGACGGGAACAATTTGTCCGCCAGCGTCGGCGCGCCAATTTTCGTCGAAGACGTTCCGACCGACTGCCGACATTCCGGATCCGAACGTGTGCCGCCTTCTATCATGCGACTTCCATCTTGGACACGCTTGCTTATATGAGCCATCTCGAGTTGAAGGAAGCGCAATGCACGGGGTAATACGATCAGTCGACAATTGCAATAATTCTTCAATTGTAGATTTCTGATAGAAAACTGAACGCGTTTCTAACACGATCGAAAAAGGTGTTCATTTTGGAATCGCCTCAATTCCGATTGAACACCGCTGCGCGCCTTCATTTTGACTACAAACTTCAGGTTGCTCCTCATTTTTTATTCGAATCAATTTTTTTGAAACGTGAGAATTCTTAGGGTGAAGCCAACTTATTTATTTGCAACGATAGTGGAACCAAAGAATTGGAAAGCTGCTTCAAAGTTGAAGGACGGGAAGGCAAGGATTACATCGAGCTGATTGCGTCGGACACAAAGGCGAGTGAGATCGGTAAACGATTGTCAAGGAAATGTATGATTTAGGTTTATATGATTGCGAGACTCGCTGAAAATGGAAGATACGGATCATTGGAAATTCAGAAGATATCGTTTACTGATACGAGCGATCAGATGATATGCTAGGATTGCTAATAATGACCAATTTTAGTGCAATTTGATTACCGGTATAATTTATTTTTGTTAACAACGTTGTTGTTGTTGTTTTTTTTTGCATTTTAGAGCGAAATTAATAAATTTGTATGCTGTAATTTTGCATGATTGTAGGCTTCGAAATACATAGCCGAGGTTTTTTTGCGAACTCTGCATAGAGCCATTTTTTATTACAGTGTTATTTCCTCTAAAAAAAAGTAGAGAATTAAAAAATAAAAATTTCAGTTTTCCAGGGTGCATTCAAAAATAAATGGCTGTGAATTTTTTTGCATTTTTTATTTTTAAAAATATTCTATTCTTCTACGCAACCAAATCGCGCTGCCGCTGATTTTGTCAAAATTTGAAAATAAATGTCATTTTTGGATTTTTGTTTTCGCTCTTTATTAGGAAAATAGCAAAAAAAAAGGAATTAAATTATCATTATTTGCATTTTTCGTTTGAATATGGGCTTTTCAGATTTGTAAAAACGGTGTTAGAAGGTATGACCTCGATCAGATCAAAATCAATCGGGTTCTGAAACCTTTCTCCCCCAACACAGAGACAATAAAAAAAACAAAAAATAGTCATCCACACGGATGTTGCGAATTTGAATTTCCCGCCGACAACACATTTCAAATTTGTTCACGTGAAATTCGCCTGATGAGCTCAAAACAATCCCGACAGTGATTGGCGAGAGAGTGCACAAAAATGAGAGAATTTGACGAAATATGGTTTTTGCGACGCCTTCGACACCCGAAGCAATTGCGCTCTGCAGCAATTCGGCGTCGATTGGGAAAGAAGCGCGTCTCGCCGTCGATGATCAGAGAGTGTGCCGACATGAGAGAATCGGCGTCAATTTGCAGTTCGATTCGACAAACGCGCTCCATTGCCAGTGTCGCACCGACGACGCCAGTGGCACTATAAAAGGCCGGCGAGATGCGCATTTTGGTCATTCTCGCAACTCTCCGAGATGCGAGAGGCACCCGCATATCCAGCGGGGATCGCCGTGCCCCCCACGGATAGTTATGTGGGCTCTCACGCGCCCCGCATAACCTGCGGGCTCCTCGTGTTCCACATAACCCGTGCGGGGCTCATCGTGCCCGCATCTCCTGCGGGCTCGTCGTGGCCAAGGATCGAGCCGGTAAGTCGCATTCATCGAAAATTCATTTTCTCAATTCCTCGTATTCACGTGAAGAGGAGCAAGAAGAGGAGATGGCGAAAGGTCGATGCTGCCCGGGGCATCGAGTAGAGCGAGGAGGCGGATGCGAATGCGAATGGTAAGAAAGGGAAAACAATCTGTCAGAATAATTAGAATCATTGCAGTTGATTCGGATCTCATGGAACGAATAGGAGACGACGTCTTCTCGAGGAATCGACGAGGAAGGAGCACAGCGTCTGGTAATTGGTAGTTTTTGGCCCGGGCCTCAATTTTTTTTTTTACTATTCACTCGCACCAGCCGTACCACTTGCGGCTTCATTCTCTATATCCCACCACTTGGGATCCTCTCTCTCCGTACATTCGTACCGCTTACGTCTGTACATCCTCCGGTCCTACCGTTTGGGACCACCCTCTTCTTCTTTTCCGGGGAAAACCGGCTTCCCCTTTCCTCTTCATGCCGTACCACTTGCGGCTTCACCCTCTATATCCCACCACTTGGGATCCTCTCTCTCTCCGTACATTCGTACCACTTACGTCTGTACTTCCTCCCGGTCCTACCGTTTGGGACCAACCTTTTCTTTCTTTTTTTTTCGGGGAAAGTCGTACCACTTACGGCTATGCCAGTCGTTCCACTAATGACTGGCCTCCCCTTCTTTTTTGTCTTATTATTATTTCGTTTTTTTTTTAATTCTAATTAATTTGTGTGTGCGTGTGTATGTTTAGGTATCGTCAATGCTGCCGCCGATGGAAGAAGCCTGCCAGTGAATCGACTCACCGTCCCGTCACATTCTAAGTTCCCCCCCCCCAGCAATAGTCTCTAACATCCTAAGGTCCTTTAGTAGTCTCTTTTTAATCGGCCGTAGTCGGCAATGCTTAGGCCGTAGTCGGCAATTCATAGTCGTAGTCGGCAATTCATAGTCGTAGTCGGCTATTTGCCCCCCAAAAACGCCGCGGCTTCCCGTTCCCCTGTAGTGCCGAGGCGTTTGGCTGGATGGCGGCCAAACCGCTGTATCCTAAATTCGGGTGATTGGCCTGGCAAGCCCTTCAGCCCTGATTCCGTAGCCGGGAATCGAACCCTACCCAAACGTCCCCGTTTCAAGTACTCTCGAGTGCTTGGTGGGCGTTATGGATGGTTATGCTTTAGAATATTGCTTCACCGGGTGTCCTCCATACTAGTCAGGATGGCATCTGGACCTGACCTATATTGACGTGGTTTGGCCAGCTATGTCAATATGTCCAGCCTTTCGGGTGCACATGGACCGTGCTTCTTGGCATAGTAGCTTGCTACTTTGTAGTGGCTTGCTACTACTTAGTAGTAAGCTGCTGTGCTGAGAACACAAAAACCACTTTACCATATCACCAGTAGACCCGGGGCCCAGCCAGACGTGGCTTGCCCAACCACTTCTACTTCTATTATCCTCGGATGATAGTTGTGGGATGTCCTTGGGTGATCCCCATGGTGGGATCGGCGATGACCCACATCAGGTTTCGGCCTGATGCTGGTGAGCCTCTCCTTCATGTGTCGAGCCTCTACGTGGCGAAGGAGATCAACTGACTCGATCGAGTCAGGCTAATCGACACAGTCCCTAGAATGCAATCAGAGAATCTTTTAATGAACATTCATTTAATAAATCTAGGGTAACCAGTTAGTAGAGGGATTTCCATGCAATCAAAACTCACAGAAAACCGCCTGCATAATCTTTTTTGCTATTTGAAAATTGGGAATCGGTTTTTTTCAAATTCTCGAAATTCTCAAAAAATTGTTTATAAGTACAAATAATAGGATTTCAAACATCCCCAAAAATCATGGAACTCAATTGGTGCATCGTAACCTTCTTCTTGATCGCGCTACTATCGCCCTCCTGATGCTCAAATATCACATCGGCAAGTTTTTGGTGCTAAATTTCACAAATTGAGAAACATTCAAAATACTCTCATCAATCAATTACCCTTTGTCGTTTCAGTGCTCCCGCGGAGAGCCGCTTCCGATTGCTGGCCTCACCAGCCTTGGGCAGCATTTCAATTATTTTCGCCGTGTTCGTGATCACTCTCGGCGGTGTGCTGACATCCGTCAAGTGCACTTTTCGAAGAGTGATCTTGTGGGCGATCAGCTGCCTCGTCGCGTTCGCCAACGGACGCCTTGTGACATTTTCGCTAATCGGAAACATCGTCAACGAATCAATCGGCGGCGAGAATAGCCAATTCATCTGATCCTTGACCATCAACGGCGCGTATGTCAGCCCATAATCGCACATCGCGTTCACCGCCGCGCCGAGCATCGCCTGCTCTCTTTGCGTGTACAATTGATCATTCATCGGCTTGATCGGCGGCTGAACAATTCCAACCAAATACGGCAGAATGTCGAGCAAAAGGTCCCTCTTGTGTGCGCCTTTCGACATAACGCCACCCGATCGAACAGTGTTCAGCGTTTCTTCCGATTCGTGACATTTTTGCGATTGAGTTTGATCAATTTGTGGATATTGAATGTGAATTCTAGAAAATTACATTAATGATTTCAATATCGAATTGGCCTACTTGGAATGTGTTGCAAGTGTCAAATGAAGTGAAACAAAAAACGCGAACGCATATTTTTGAACCGCCCAATTTTGAAAAGAGCGAATCTGAAATTTTAATCAATTTTCAATTTGAATCGACATGCATACAATTTTTTGAACATCATCGTAAAACAAAAACCATGTCGACGCTTTTCGAATTTGTCCGATCGGCAACGAAACAAGATAGTTGGCATGAAGTCCGCTAACGAAACGCTCTTCGCCACCATGATCGGCGGCAATTCGCTCGATTTGACGGACACGATCGTGCACGGATTTCACTTTGCCTTTTCTGGAAAAAAAAACACGGAATTTCGTGAATCTCGACACCGAATTACCCATCAGAATGCTTCGACAACTCCAAAATCGCCGACCAATGGTCAAAAATTGATGCGGCTCCGCTTCTCTCTTTTTCCATTACCCAAAATCGAATAATCAATTAATAATTAGAATTGGCGTCCAACCTCTTTGATCAATTTCATTTCAATCGCTCGATTCGTCTTCATCGACGCCACCGCCACCCATTGAAGGGTGTTGATGGTGTGACGCATGTCGTTGGCGCACATCTCGCACAATTTTCGAAGTGTCGTCGAATTGCATTTGAGCTTCTCGTTGTCGCAAATCTGCTGAAGGCGTCGACACAAATTCTCGGGCTTCGTCGCGCCCAATTGCACACACCACGCCGTCGAGCGCAATTCGCGAAGCGACGGCGCAAATCTGCCAATAAATCCCCATCATCATCATTATTCGACATTCGTTTCGCTTTTCGCGTGATACGATTCTTATCAATAAGGTCACTATAAAAATGGCGGCGTTTCGGTGTCGCGTCAGTTCAATTTAAGCGTTCTATATTCATAGACGACTGAAACGCGAATTGCTAAACGAACGCGGTTGGTTTATTGAGAAGAAGAAAAAAATAGAATGGCATCCGAGAAAACAATCGAAATCGCCATCGATATGGAGGAGGGCGAGCCGCTCGGCGCGGTTCCCAACGATAAGCTCGTCATCACAAAAATTCAAAGCGGCACAATTGCCGACGGAAAACTTCGTGTGAGTTCATATAGGCGAATTAAGAATTCCAAAAAAACAACAAAAAACGGGACATTTAGATTGGTGATCAAGTGAAGAAGGTGAATGGAACCGAGTGCAAGAACATGAACGATTTCTTCCGGGCGCTTCGCTTCGCCGCGCCCGTCGCTCGCCTCACGGTGGTTCGCGACGAGAAGAAGGCCGAAGAGCTCGAGGCTCGCGTGCACATTCCCGAGGATCGCGCCAAAATCATTCAGCGTCGCGAGGGCTACATCTATGAGATGGCGACTCTCACATGGGTTCAGAACGGACCAAAACTCGGTTTGGGCATCAAGCATTTTCAGGTGGCGTTCTTTTTTCGCGTTTCTTTTCAATCGCCTCAACACTTTCAGAATCGCGTGCTCGTCTCTCGCGTCGATCCAGGATCGCTCGCCGAGAAATGCCTCGTCGTCGGCGATCATTTGTGCGACGTCGACGGTGTTCCCGTCACCGACAAGGACGTCGCCAGAGATTTGCTCGTCAAAAACATTCAAGAGCGCGGCAAAGTCACGTTCGTCGTCGAGAGACCCGATTCGATCGAGGCGAAACAATGGGCGAAGAACGCGCTCGCCACGAATCTCATGCAGCCGCCGTCGGTGCAGATGAACGAGGATGTTCGCAATATTGCGTCGGCGTATCGCGCCGCGTTGAAGACGTTGAAGCCGCCGGCGAAGAGCGCCATGACTCAGGGAGCCACCGGAGCCAAACGAGTCCAAATCGTCGATTCGACGAGCAGCCACGAGATCGGACACGATCACGAAGGTACCGTGGTTCATTTTTTGCTCTGCATTCGATTTGCACTAATTTTCAGGAAAAGCCCTTCGCAAAGTCAAATGAGAGCTCTTTTCTCAAAGTTTTGCAAGCCGACGTCTAAATGGCAAACACCAGCTCACACCACCAGTCAGCACCAGTCGATTTTAAGAAAAATAAAAAATAAAAACAACACCACCATTCTGATCGTCTCACTTACAAATTGTTGCAAATTCCGATGATGGGCCGTCGAATCGCTTTTTTTCCAACCGCTTGAAGGCATCTGATCAAATGGCGAATTGTGTCAATTGGCGCTCCGTCGATCTCGTCGAGAATCAAACAATTTGGTCGAGAGTCCTGAATGAAATTCGCCAAATCAGGGTAGATCAAACGAAATTGTCAATTTTTTTTTGGTTTTTGGACTCGTTTAAAACCACCAACCGCGTCGAGCGTTCGCGCGATTTTCACAGCGCCCTCGAGAACACGATTCAAATCGGCGACCGTTCGAGCGTCGCTCGAATTCACATCGACGGTCGTGTAGCCGGCCTGACGAGCCACAATTTTGGCGAGCGTCGTTTTTCCGAGACCCGCCGGTCCGGCGAGAAGGACCATTTTGAACGCGGGACGCCGCACTTTGCCGTTGTCCATCTGGAACACGTCGCGCAGTTTTTCGGGAACACTACTCAGCAGACTGTCGATGTTCCTCTTGAACACGCACTCGTCCCACAATTTGAGCCAGGTTAGAATGTTGCGATTGACGGTCTAGAATTTTTTTGTTTGAAGTGCTCCCAAAAAAAATGAAAAGAGTAGTGGCTACCGTAACCATTCACTGCGAGATTCAGCTTCAAATTAAACTATTTGAAAACTGCTCAAACTGTCAATTTTTTGAAAAAGGGACCATTTAATAGATAACGTTTTGGTGTATTTGAAAAAAATCAAATTTTTTAATGCAAAATTAATTTGGCCTCATTTGGTAACATCAAATATCGTGAAAAATGGTTTGGATTATTCTGATAGCCACTTCTTCTATTTTTCAGAATCCCTTTTCAAATAGCTCACATCGTCTGACAGCAGTTCGGCAAAATTTCTCGCCGAGTATTTGTTGACCCATAGTGCACTGTTCGGCTCCGAAGAAGCCGACGAACCGCCGACAATCTCCTCTCCATGTATCATTTTCTGCATTTGCTCTTCTCGCGCCTTCTTCGCCGCCTCGAGTTTCTTGTGCCGCAACTCATCCGCCTCTTTCATCACTTTCTCGAAAGCGCGATAGCCAAGTTTCGATGTCGTCATTTGTTTCGTTATCGAGTCAATGAATGGCTCCATTCGACTTGAATCTCGAATCATTCGGATGTACATTCTTTTGCCGATGACAGCGTCGCTGATTCCGATCCATGGACTACCGTCGATTGGCGGAGTACTCATTATCTCCTAAATCATCAAAATGTTTTCATTGGTTCATTTATACCCCACGTGTAGATTTACGGGGCGTTTGATTTACACATTTTCCGTAGTACGTCGCCATGAGACCCAGCTCATTTTCCATGCGCCTTTAATCCTATTGAATCACAAATTCAATTAAAATAACTTCTAAATAATCAAATTTTCAAATACCAAAAAATGGCGCGAAATCGTTGATTTCGAAGAAACGAATGAGCACGTTAATTAAAGGCGCATCACAATTTTAGCGCGCAGAGTCTCACAGCCAGCCATCGATAATGACAGACTAATTATTTAACCACTCACTCGTTTTCTTCCGAATCTTCTCGTCAATTCCTCATCGCAAAGCGCGCTAACAGAATTCGCGTCAGACGTCGTCAAATCATCGCCGATGATGCTCTCGTCGCGCTCGTCGTTTCGCTCGACGGCCGCCTCGTTGATTTTCTTCTCAAGCTCATCGAGTGCTCGCCGTTTCGCCACATTCAGACGGCGACCATCATCGAATTGCTCGCCCAATAACGGCATTCTCATGTGCCAATCTGTTTGCAATCAATTCTTTGATTCGTCAGAGAATGCTCGATTACCCAGCGGATGAGAAAGCCGTCCATCTTTGCCATAAACCTCTTCGACTTCCACAAATCTTCGTTTTCGCGACAAACCTTAACGATGGGAATCACGAGATCGTCAGAAAATTTTCCTTCTTTCTTTTTTTTTTGAGAAATTCTTGTTTTTTGCTATCATTCGTACCAGTTTCTTCAAGTGCATTCAACACATCTCGCCGTCTTTCGTTCTCATCGCTTCCATTTCTTGCGAAAACCTCACCATCACCCGCTCCATCATCTCTAAACAACAACAAGTGATAACAAGAACAAGACGATCGCCCATCAATTTTCTCGCCATCGGCCGTCACTTACGGATACTGCAGTTCTCCGCCATCGTCTCCGTATCCGGTAGAGATCACATTATAATCATCATCCATTCTGACCAATCTTTTTGTCGAATTAATGAAAACCTCTTTGCGATATATCTTGGAGTGATTTTCCCATTTGAAACACACCGACAAGCGAATAAATATGACATTTTTTATTGCAAGTTCAACGTGCCAACAATCGAAAATCAACGAAAACGGGCGATGCATAGAATGGTTTTTTGGGAACAATTCAAATTTGAGCAAAATTAACTATTGGTTTCTGATAAAAAATTTAACGAAACAATAATAAAAAAAATACAGGGAAGATTAACAAGACGCATCGCCCGATTCGTCAGACAACAAATGTTAAAACGTGAATGAATGATGGGAAAAATCGAATGGATGTCTTTAAACAACGTCGAATACAAAAAATGTGGACTGGAGTTCCGTGCGAATTAAATTTTATTAAATTCATGAATTTTACAACCATGAAAGTTCAAAACATTATGTGCATGGAACCCCCGGGGGAAGATCGGCTAGTTTCTCAACCGGGCTCTTTTTTTTCAACCTATGGTGCGTAAAGATGTTGAAAATAAATAAATAAATAGGTTTTCAGGAGATCTACTAAACACTCTACACGCGATGTAATTGTTACCAGAAACTTGATTACTTTTGAATTGAATATGAGTGCTCATCCAACAAATCAAGTATTTGGAGATGATGGTGATATTGGAATACGAGAATGATTACAGAAAATGATGGAAAGATAAAAAAACATGGTTTCCAAAAACACACAAAAGAAGTAAAGAATGACTTATTAATCAAAAAGAAAACGCCTAAAAGGCGAATTATGATGTTGGGTGTTAGAGTTCTGATTTACAATTTATGACTGAAAAGGTGTTTGTAAAGCCGAAAGTATATATATGGATACACCTCAACATTCATTCACCTTTTAGTGGTGACCATTTTGACCGCCAAAACCGGAATTGTGGAAACCCCCGCGAGGTCCACCACGACCGGCTCCGCGTCCTCGAGAATTATTGAATCCTCCGCGAGATTGGTATCCACCGCGGTTGCGGAATCCTCCTTGATAGTTATGAGGTCTGTCTTTCTGCTCACTAATGGTCGCAAGTCCGTCAAAACCGAACGAATCGATTTTCAATTGAAGGCGGTAGACTCCTGTCTCCTGAAACATAATCGTTTCCATGGAAACACTTTTGAGAAAGTTTACATCTTTTGTCGCGGAGTCGAAAACTTTCTGGGCAGCTGCGACATTCCTCATGGTAATGAAAGCAAATGCAGTTTTCGATGTATCATTCGGGAAATCAAGAACCTTTCGTGGGATAGAAACTCCCTCAACCTCTCCAAATTCTGCAGAAAATCAACTAATCAAGAAAAAAAGCTTTAAATTTACTATAGAATATCGTTTTGATTTCTGTTTCAGCGGTGGCGGTGCTATCCGGGACAATTGTGCGAGTGATGCCGCCAAGGTAGATTTTTCTCTCCATCAAACTTCCAACGTCGTGGCGGTTAGCGTTTTGCGTTTGAGGATGGGTGTCCCGTGGTTGTTGATCAGACAAATTTTCTAAAAAAAGAGAAAATGTTTCATTTTTAAAAATTTCTACTACCGTGCTTCGGTTGCTCATGTTGTTGTGGTTGCTGTACAGATTGAGTGTGAACTTGATGTTGAGTGGCAGTAGCCTTCGCACCCCCTCCAACAAGATTTGCCCACGTTTTTGGCTTTGGTGGCTCTTGCGGCACCGGTGCCGGAGCTGGAGGAGCCGGTGTTTCCTTTTTAGGAGTAGGGGCAGGAGCTTGCTGTTTTATTGGCTCTGGTCTCTTCTCGTGGAAGGCTGGCTTGTTCTCTTGATCACGAAGTGGGGATCGTTCTTAAAACTTTCATTTAAGGAGCACAAATTTGCTTTTATGTAACCTTCGATTTTTCTTGGAGTCGGGTGGGCCTTATGGACGTTCTTCGTTGGTGTCGCAGCGGTGTTCTCAATGACAGGAACTTGCTTTTCAACGTTTTCCTTCAACACAGCTTTAACATGTCCGTTCATCTAAAGAAACTTATTACGTCTATTATTTTTTAAATTCAAACCTTTGGTGGTTGGTTTCCTTCCGCAATAAAAACATCGTCAATAAAGTTGAAGACGTCATTTTCGATGTAGTATTTCTTCGCACATTGTTGTCCGAGAATGAATGTTTGCGTAAACTTTCTCAAGTTGATATGTCCGAACACATGCACGAGAATTCCTTGATGAAGGGTTGGAATTCCCTGAGATTAAACAATAATGCTTAATTATAAATGAATTCCTTACTGTCATTTTGTGAATTTTATAGTGCAACTTATTGTCGAAATTGGCTTCATAGAACTTCGCAATGTCCTAAACAAAACTTATAATTTTTCATTTAACAACGAATTGAACCTGTTGACCAACTGCTACTTTGTCGCCACATTTCACCATCGACTGATGTCCGTAGAATTTTTGAACATCGCTTCGGTTGTTCGAAAGAGTCGTGTAGAATTGGCGACCGAAAGCATTGACAATGTCTGCAAAAGAAACAGAGCAATAAACTACGCTTCAAGACGTTTCTTACTCTCCGCATCGGCTGGTGATACAATGTCGGAAGAGGGAGAAGCATTCGGATTTCCGTTCATAACGTCGTTCATTTTCATTGCGTTAATAGGAGCAGTCAACTGCATTTACTAATTACCTGAAACAGAAAACACCATTTTTCCGAGAAAAGAAATCGTGACGTTGCAATAATTATAACGACATTAAGTAATATCACATGATTGTGTATCACCTAATATGGAAGAATTAATCAATACGAGGGCGCAATTCAAAGTAAATACGAGAGAGCGCAATCATCACATTTTGAAAACGCACACAAAAAAGGGTGGACGCGCGAAAGAGGAGAAAACGCGAAAAGCAAAATTTTCGCGCAAAAAATTCGAAATTTCTTGGCAAAGTTCCTGATTCGCAGGCATCGCTGCGTACTGGCATCGAGGTCTTGCCACGATACGCAACTGTGGCGGCGATTCAAAATTTTCTTTTCGTTCCTGCGCGCTCATCGGTCGGCGCACTCTCTCGCTGCCACACATTCCAGCTCGTCGGAGTTTTAGGACTTTAAAAAAATTCAAAGGAGAAATGAAAATATTCCCATTTACAAATCGAAACAGTTTTATAATGGGCCTATTCAGCGGCATGCAAAATAGTCGAAATAGTCAACTTCAACAAATTTTACGTGATTTCATTGGGTAAAAAAGGCAAATTCGACAAGTTTGTATTAAAGCACTGGATAGATACATTTCAGAATTTGTTCGATTCAATTTTTTTTCGCACGATTCATTTTTTAATATTAATAATAGTAAAATTTTAGGATTCTCAATGTTTCTTAAAACAATTTTATTTGTTGTCGGCTGTTTTTCGGTGGTTGATGGACGTGCTGTATGTTAACTTACAAAGATAAGATAAAAGTTTTCAATTTTTTAGAACCTATTGATTAGCAAAACACCTCTCAGCAGATTTGCTGTCGAAAATACGCACTATCTCATCGAGTATCAATTTATCAACATTGGTGACACTGCCGCAACGAATGTTATTCTGGATGATCGAGGCTCATTCCCAACCTCCCATTTCCATATTGAAAAAGGTTCTCTACGAGTTATTTACGAAGAAGTTCCCGCAAGAAGTAACATAACTCATGTCGTTGTGGTATTGGCATGATGTATGTAATTTTGAGAAACGATCTGTTTTAGATTAAACCCCGATTTGTTGGAGAAGTCGAAAGCCTTCCCGCGAACGTGACATTTTACGACGGAAATGAATACGCGACCACTCAATCGACCGCATACGGAAAATGTACGAATTTTCGATATATTTTTTCAAATAGAAATTTACAACTTTAGATTACGTTTACAATACGAAAAGCTTCATGCGTTTCTACAACTCGAAGTGGCAAACATTCGGCACATTTTCCTTGATCTGCCTTCCGATCACTCTATCGGCATTGCTTCTCTACATGTGCTCAGTGAATCGTTATTGCATCGAGAAGAAATCCAAAAATATTTGATTATATTTTCATCATAATTAAATTGAAAAGCATTTTAGGCCATTTAGTGATCTCCATAGTTCTATTGTAAACGTTTTTGTTTCTGGTCGACATTTTCCATATATAAAAAGTATATTATTACGATCGTTTTTGAGTGCCTACGTCAATTCGAACCCGAAATGCAAATTGAGCGCCAGGATTTGCATTAAAATGCCGATGTGCATGTCGTCGCACTTCTCACCTCAACATTGTCAGCAGCAACTATTCGATACTGTCGATGGGTATGAAGAAGGATCTCCTTCTTGTGCTGACTATCGAGTCGGTAGTACTCGGTGTCGTACTCGGGTTTGTCATCCGACCCTTCAATCCAAGGTAACAGTTTTAAATTATTCATTCGTTGCTTTAAAGTGTTGCTCTTCTAGCAATGACACCATTAGTCTTATCGGTTTCCCGGGAGAAATCTTCATGCAAATTGTTGAGATGATGATTTTACCTTTGATTATGTCTTCAGTGATATCCGGTAATTAATAAAATCGCACCTTTTTTGAAACCACAATTTCCATTAAAGCTCTGGCTCAAGTGCGTGCTCGAGATGCTCGTCGAATTGGTATTGTTACAATTATTTATTACATGACCACAACTTTCCTGTCGACGTTTGTAAGCCGATAATTAAATTTTTTTAAAAATAATTGTTTCCCCTCTAAAACTGAAGACAGGAATTATCCTTGTGTCGTCGATTCATCCCGGTGATCCCGAATTGATTCACGAACTTGGAGAAGGAACACTGGAGAATACCGCATTGAGTACACTCGACACGTTTTTGGATCAAATTCGGTATTTATTTAAACTTGGGAACCCAGATTGATCGATACATTTAGAAATATGTTCCCGGAGAACATTGTGCAGGCAACATTCCAACAAGTTCAAACCGAATACATGCCAATTAAACCGGTAAGGTTCCGGAATTCGACGGTCAACGGAACTGCCGAAATAATGCACAAGCAGACATTGACATATACGAATGAAATGAACGTGCTTGGTAAATAGTTGAATATCAAAATCGAAACATTTCAAATCGCTCATTTAAGGCTTAATCGTCTTTTGTAGTGGGTTTGGCATTATTTTAAGCATTCTCGGTGATCAAGCACGGCTGATGATCAACTTCTTCATTGTTTTGGACGCTATTATTATGCGATGGATTAGCGCTTTGATGTGGTGCTATCCGGTCGGAATTTTGTCGCTTGTTTGTAAGAATATCATCGATATCGACAATTTGACAGAGACCGCGCAAGGTTTGCCCGAAAAAAGTTGATATTGGGAAAAAATTGAGCGATTGAAATTTTAAGCTCTCGCCATGTATGTGGTCACTGTCATTTGCGGATTGATGATCCATTCACTTCTTACTCTTCCACTTCTTTATTTTGTCGTGACCAGAAAGAGCCCTTTTGCATTTATGACTGGTTTGCTGCAGGCATTGGCTACTGCATTTGGAACGGCATCAAGGTTTTTCGAAATTTTGTCCTCTCGTTTTTCCGCACATTGAAATGGGCGGTGCCTAAAACTTTTTTGCCATTTGTCAAAAAAAATTGTCAAGCAGAATATTACAAAGAAATTAACACCTTGAGAAATTGTGGACCATAAAAACTCAAAAGAGACCTGCTTTAAAAACCATAAAACCAGTGCTTTTAACTGGATTTTTTGTATTTTTTTGCAGAATCATAATCAAACAAAAATTATATTATAGTTTTCCCCGCGCAATTCAAAATTCAAAAAAAAAAAACAATAATACATTTTTCTCTTATTAGCGGTGCCACTCTTCCTGTCACATTCCGTGCGCTTGAAGAGAATCTAAAAATCGATCGGAGGGTCACACGATTTGTATTGCCGCTTGGTGCGACTATTACTATGGTTCGAACTATAATGACTAGAAAAAAAAATAAATGAGCAATTGATTTCAGGATGGAACAGCATTGTATGAAGCTGTTGCCGTCATTTTCATCGCTCAACTTCATAACATCAATCTAACGCTGTTTGATCTATTCACAATCAGTATTACAACAACAGTGGCCTCGATTGGCTCAGGATCGGTTCCGGCGGGTCTCGACACGATCGTCATCGTCCTTACCACCGTCGGCCTGCCAGCCAAAGATCTCAGTCTGCTGTTGACAGTGGATTGGCTTTTGTAAGTACATATTTGACGAGTCCTCATTAATTGATTGCGATTCTTCAAGGGATCGAATTCGAACATCAGTCAATGTGCTTGGCGATGGATTCGGCGCGGGAATAATTCATCATTTGACGAAGAGCTCACTTCTAGAAGCGGACACCGATGATCTCATTCGTCAAATTCGAGAGGACATTGGTGAATTCATCAAATCAATTCATTTATATTTCCAAAAATTGGAATTTTTCAGATATTCTCAACAATCAGCAACTTGATGGTGTTTCTCATCATCAGAGTCAGCATACACTTCATTCACAAACCGCACCATCTCAAGTTCGATCGAAATCGTCGATCGGCCAAATTCCAGTATATCTCAACCTATTCATATTTCCTAGCGCTTCTTTTTAGAATCGCATTGGTTTCTCCAAGTCGGCTCGTGCTTCATTTGCCAAAATCAGCGACGAAGAAGAGCAGAAGGAATCGCTTCTGGACAACACACAGAATGTTGAGAAGTCTGATATTCATATTGTATAGACAATTGTTACATCAAACGCTATTGTAACTCGTACCGTAGTCTAAAGGATTACGGCGTCATGTGTACAAATGAGAAATAAATTCAAATTTAATTCGCTCGCTATAAATTAAAAACAACGGTGTTAAGACGACGACGAAGAATCAATTGAGAAGATACGTATTGTATTGATACACGGTATCACATGTTGATTGATATGAGGCACTTATAAGGGTCACTTCAGTTGCATCGGTGTGACGGTGTGCGTCGGCACGATTCCAAAATCGCGGAGGCGTTTTAACGCCGGACGATAGACTTCCTTTAATATTGGACGCTGAATTCCGGCGCGTTGGATCTCATCTAGAAATTGGTTCATTCTTTGTTTGTTTAAATCCGACAAATTGCAAACACTTACTGTTCAAAACCATGTGAGAGACGATCGCGCTAGTGTAGCCGACGGTTCGAGCCATCGCCGAGAAGCCTTGCGGGTTTCCATACTGCACCAAACTGATTCTGTGCTTCTCCGCCTGCTCTCCTGGCAATAACGCTCCAATGTCGTGATTGAGAACGACCAAATCGCTCTCGTGCTCTTTGAAGGCGAGAATTTTGGCGAGATACTGCGCCAGTGTGTCGATTGGCGTTCCGTGACGATCAACAATGATGTCGGAGAACAGTCCGAGTTGCTCCAAAGCGTTCAATCCGGTTGGCCCAACGCGCTCCTCAACCATCATGCGAAGCGAGTCGGGGAAAATGTCAAGCTTCTGATGGAGAAGCGAAGCGATAAGCTCCTTCCATGAGAGTTCTGGTCCAATTGTCGAGGTGAACGCGTCGCTCGTGTTTGATGATAAGAGGCCGATGGCATGAAGCGCTTTCACCGTTTCGACGAATCCGTGATATCTCAATGTTCCACGAATAATTGTCTTGCAGTCGCTTCCGAGGCCATACACGTCGGCGTATTTCGTCGAATCGCGATTGGGGAAGCCGATTAAATTGAGGCCTGAAATTAATTGATGTTTTTTTTTAAATTTAGAAGCTAAGAAGCGATTTCGTTGCGGAAAATGATTATGATTTCAAAAAATAAATAAATAAATAAACGTCTAACAAAATGTGCATTTTAAACTTTCGTGTCAGGACCCAAAGCACAAATTCAGAGTATGCGTCTAAAATTACGGTATTTTCGTAATAGGGTTTTTTTTTTCAATTTTTCTAACGTATTTTTCTTTTCTTTCACAACAGTTCCGCATTGAAAATATTAAAAAAAAAATACCAGGCATAAAATCAATGTCGATGAGGTTGTCGACAACGCTTCCCGACGGGACTTCAACGATGTTTCCATTTTTCAAATATTTCGCTGGATTCATCAAAGCGGTGAGAACCCCTTTCGGCGACCACGAGAACTTGTAGCGAAGCGGATTGTCGGACCATTCTGGTGCTGGAAGCCCACCGCAGAACGATTCGAATGATACAATACGACCTCCATGGTCCTTGATATTGTCAAAGCACTCCATCGCAAGCATGTGATCAATTCCGGGATCAAGACCAGCTTCATTCATTATGGTAACATCAGCCTCTTTTGCTCTAAATGGAATGATTTTGAAACAGTTTTTTGCAATACAAAATCGCTAACTGTTTGTCAAGAGCTTCCAATTCCGGGGAGACATAGCTCGACGTAACCATGTCGCGTTGATTCTGAATGCACATTCTCGCAATCATCGGATGGAAATTGAATGGAAGAAGTGAGACAACGATATCATGCTCTCTGTAAAAACCATTAATTTTAAAAAATCCGAATAAGTCGTTTCCCGTTGTGTTGTATTGATTTGAAAGCGGGAGAACAAACACACACACACACGGGCGCAGACACTCCCCCTCCCCGCACATATACTGCCACTTGCAATCTGCCCATCGTGGCCTTGTGGCCTAATGGATAAGGCGTCTGACTTCTAATCAGAAGATTGCAGGTTCGACCCCTGCCTGGGTCAAAATTTTTTTCCCCCCGCATTTTTCTACATACCTCACAAGTTTCTCCATTGTGAGACTCTCGCGTGCGACGTCAACAACAACCGATGAGATGTTTGGCGATGTGCAGAGACGCTGGCCGTCTCGCTGGGATTCAGTGGCAACGGTCAAATGGACCTGGAGAAAGATGTTGGATGAAATTTTGTGTCAATTGGGAATCGAATAGCAATGAACGTTTACATTCTTCTGTTTCGCGTAGAAATCGGCGAATGGTCCCGAAACCATGCCAGCGCCGAGAAGCAGCACTTTTTTGTCGGAAGTTCCCATAATTCTCGAACTACTCGCCGACGAACTGAAAAAAAATGTTGGGTGAAATTAAAGAAAAAAAAATGAAATCGAGGTCACGCAAGAAACCAGTCTTACAGCGCTTGTTCCTTCCGCAATTGATCAATGTACTCGAAATTCGGTGTGAGTTTCCCTTGATTCGTGATAATCGCGTTTTTAATCTCATCGCGACATTGCAATCGATCAAAGTGTTGGTCGTTGGAGCAGTTGAGCTGGAAAAAAAATGATAAGTGCTGAAAGTCATGTTGAAGCATGGCTCGTACGAGATCCATTAGCCACGGGTAGAGAAGATTTCCAAACTGATCGGTGGCTTCCATCGGCATCTGAGCTGGCATATTATCGATTGAGCACACAAGGCAGCCAGATGGGGCGTTGAAGCTTAAAAAAAAATTTGGAATGAAAATATTGGCGATTGCAATTTGATGTCGAACCTTTCCGAACTTGTGTTGAAATCGGCATCATAGATTGTGAATGGCTTATCGATTGTGGTGCATTCGCGCATGAACTCGACAGAGCCGCCCGGATCGGCGGAAATGTCGCAAAGCGCGACGAGTCGATGCGGAAGCGTCGGACATCCCGGCGAATCGTACTAGAAATCGCATGTTCAGATAATTGGGTCGGTTATTTTTGCAACAAAAAAAAACTACGAGACGGTTAGTTGGTTCAACTCGTTTTTCTCCGTATAAGGATTCAATCGGTTGCCTCTAAAGTTAGTATAAGAATGAAATTTTTTTTAAATGTATCGATCCAGTGTGAGGTCTTGTCGAGAATTTCTCAAAGCAGAATCTTTTAAATTCAAAATATGGACGCGAATTTAAATTAGCAAACGACTTCGGCCACGGCCTTGCATATGCCGACTATCGCCACAAGCGTGTGTCGGTATGGCGTCTCTTCAATCGTTGCGCTGTCTCGTCTCATTCGTCTCGTCGTCTGGCGCTCTCCAGCATCAACACACTCTCACGAAACCCCCCACAAGAGCAATCCGTGTATTTCTGCGCCCGTGTGTTTGCGGATTGCTTTAGACTCTTGCCCTTCGACTGTTCTCGTCAAGACCTCGAACATCGAGAACAACACCAAAAAAAAAGTGATGAAAATCGAAATTTACTTTTTGCACCGGCGTCAATAGATTTTTCGCGTCCGGAATCGTGATCAATCTCGGCGATTTCGCGTCCCAATACACTCCATTGATAATCACCGACGCGTATGGGGCAATCTGAGGCGAAAAAAAAAATATATTTATCTCGTTGATTTTTGTGGCATTGAACTTCTATATTTGGGTGATTCGGGCGCGCGCGCGCGAGATTTCCTAATGTGACGCAAATAAATAGGCAGCGTTGAATCGCATGATAATCTTGAGAATGATATGGTTCGCACCACGAGGGTTGAGGGTCGCAAATACACTTTTCATTGAAACAATGATAATGATAATAATTGTTCAGAACACGATTGATTGAGAGATTCTCGTGTGTCGTTGACACAAAATCAAAAATCGGGTTGCGATGTGAAAAACGCGCGACTGAAAATGATAGAATCGAGTATAGTCTAGTTCTGACGAAAAAAAAATCTACAATTCGACAAATTTGAATGCGTTGACTATTTTTGGTCTTTGCGCGAAATCAACAAATTTTCGCATGCGCCTTTAATATCTACTGTAATGCGTTTCATACGAGATCAAATCGAAAGTTATTACGAGACCATGGCGCCGAAATTTGAAACGCCTAATTATTCAAATTCGAAGTACAATATTTACCATAGTTACTGTAGTTTATAAAGTCCGTAGTACGGTAATCAAATTCCCCAAAAGATTCTCACTGGGCTCATTTGCGTTTTTTTTGTGTGTGTTTGCGATCGGTCCTTAAATCTGCATGCGCCTTTAATAACATCAGAAAGAAAAAATAATTTCTCCAAACTAGTGATTTCAGATTTTTTCAATTTGTTCGAAATTTTTACGAGAATTGCGATTTCAATTCTTAAATTGAATTGAATTTAAAATAATTGATCAAAGGCGCATAGCGCGAAAAGTTTGATGGGTCTTGTGGCGATCGATTCTGATTGCCTTGTTTTTCTTTAAATATTGATTTTAAAAAAATATTGTTCTTTGATATATTGTTGGAAAAAAAGCAAAGTAAATTCCAAGAAAAAAATAAAAACAATATTTTTTTTTGATTTTTCCCTTTTTTTCGTCATTGATCCTTTAAAAAAATTCTTTTTTTAAATTTTGTCTTAAAAATTCAAATTCTGAGCAAAAAAACCTATGGCAGAGGGTAATTTAAATTTCGCGCCAATCCCATTAAAGGCGCACAAGAGCTTCACCTAGCGTTTTGTCAAATATTCGGCAGAAACAAAAATTTTTCGGACCATTTAAATTTCTCTAGCCTTTTGTTTTTAAGTGGCTCCTAATGCCGTCAGACGCGTTGCGGCTCGCGTGCGGCTTGCAACGCGGGGCTTTCAAAAATTTTTTCGGACCAGTGCGTTTAAATTTCTATTGTTTTTTTTTGTGTTCGAGCGGTTCCTAATGCCGTCAGACGCGTTGCGGTTCGCGTGCGGCTTGACTTCCAAAAATTTTTTCGGCCTACCTCTGTGGCAAATTTGGACGTATAACGATCGGGATGCTGCTCGAACTCCTCCTTATTGAATGGTCCGCCTGAAATTATTTTCAAATGTGTGTTTTTTTTTTGCTTTCAGCCCTTCCAAACCATTGATCGGAACAAAATGATCTTTTCGCGTGACGACGCATCCGTAGACTTTGTTCAATTCTGTAAATCGAGTGGCTCGAGATGTGCTCAAATCATCGACTGTCTAAAGTTCGGGACCCCCTACACCACATCACGAAGAGGAAGATGACCTGGGCTGAACACGTTGCTAGAAGAACAGATGGAAGATGGACTACACTTCTAACGGAGTGGCGGCCGTGGAATTGGACCCGGCCAAGAGGAAGGCCTCCCATGAGATCACTACAAGAACAGCTGAAGGACCCTCTGGACCGAAAAGCTTGGAAAGCTGTGGTTCGCGCCTCAACAGGCGAAGGACGAACCGACTAAGTGACTAAGTGAAGTGACTCAAAACGACTCACGTCCTTTCTGCGCGACTTTCGGCAGTGTGGCAACATCGACGTACTCGTGCGGTAGATGCTCGAAGAGCTCGCGCGCGCCTTGCGACACGTTGCCGGAGCCGGTGAACACGAATATCAATGGTCCCAATGAGCGCGGCATTCGGTCGAGCGCGATCTCGTAGCCGATGTCTCGCAACGCGTTGATCGCCATGTGCGAGTCGTTGTAGTTGTGCGCGAGGCCCATGTGAAGGAATGGCGTGTTGTGGCCGAGGGCGAGAAGGCTGAAATAAGGGGAGGGCAAGGGGAAAAAAATGAGAATGAGCAAATCGATATTTACCGTAGGCCGAGTCCGTGAAGAATGTCGATGAAGCCCGCGTTGCCGGCCCATTTGCCGAACATCACTAGGCGTTTTCCGCGCTCGTCAACAATTTTCTCATAATCGATGAGACGGATATTCTGCAAAAAATCGATGGCAATAAGGCAGAACGAAACAATTTGCAATTGCCGGCCGCGGCCGCGGCCGCAGAATACTCGGCCATGCCATATTTCACGTCTGCGATTATTTTTTTTTCGAGAAATTGAAATTGAGTATGAACGATTTCCATACCCTTTGAAGAATCGTGTCAAGCATATCCATATTGTCCTTTTGCGCTTTGATGGTGTGCGAGAAGAACGCGTAGGTCTTGTTCGGAATCAATTGATCGATGGGCACCGATTTGACGGACATGATGACGTGAGCCTCGGTGAGATCCTCGCGGACGATGGCGCCGGCGGCGACGTAGTCCTGAATCGGGTAGACTCGCCGATTGCTCGGCTGGATGAGCACATTGATCCCATTTTTCGTCAATCGCTTCACGTGCGACGGCGCGAGCGGCGCTCGTCGCTCCCAGGCGTTCACGGTTTCTCGTCTAATTTTTGGGGTCTTTGATCGGATTCTCGCGAAATAATTAAAAAATTGTCCCCGCCCGGGACACTCACCGAATTCCGATGGTTGGTGTTCCGCGTCCATGAAAATTTTTCGCGCTATGACAACGAGCTTGAAGTCGACTTATCGATGAGTACTGTAGAATACGCATTCTGCAATTTGAGAAATGCGGTTTTATTTCAAACAATATTTCGTGTGTCACGCCGATCGACCAAAAAATCAAAAATGCTGGTCTGCAGGGTTGCGTGATCATTGTGGGGGGCGTAGTCGAGGCGCCCCTCCCCCCGTCTCTTTCGTGACCTTGGTGGGGATAGGGCGCATCCATGATGATGATATGATATTGGGGTTCTCGAAGCGAAGAACAAGAAAATTAAAGATTGTGTGGGCGAGGAAGCAAAGGAAAAAATTCAATAAAGCTGGAAAATCAAAAAAAGCAAAAAATTAATTCAGAAAATTGATTTTAAAATTGATTTTTTCTATTAAACCTGAAACATTTGGGCCTCCTGCAAACATCAATTTTTTTTGTTTCTTCTCTCTCTCTCTCACTCTCTCTTTTCTATCGGGACCCGTTTAATTTGAATTGGCGGCTTGAGAAAAAAATACGATGGTCCACAAATGTTGCTTTCAAATTTCTTTTGAATTTCGCGCCAATTTTTTTGTCGAATTTTTTCTTCTACAAAAAACTTGAAAAAAACATACAAAAATCCGCCAAACTCGAAATTTTTTGAAGAACGAAGATGGGAAAAAATTGCGATTGGCGCCAATTCCAATTTTCAATTTTTTTCTGTCGGTTTTTGATCTTGACTTATTAATATTTAAGGTTTAAAATTGGATGAACAAAAAGTGGGCACACGCGTTGCGGTTCGCGTGCGGTCGGCAAAAAAAAGTCGAATTTTTCTTCAGCATCTATTCAAAATTTCAATTTGTAGATATTTTTTCTTTCAGAATTTTTTTATAAACGGTAGCGCGAGGAAATCTGTGCAAACACCGCGACGCAAAAATCACGTACCCGAAAAATCAAATGCCAAAAAATCGTCTCAAAACTAAAGATGTAGGTTTAAGGGGTACCTCTTTAAAAAATTTTCTGGAATTTTGCCAATTTTTCAAAATTCGGCATGCGCCTTTAATACCTTTTATAGGCATATTTCATACAAGATCAAATCAAAAAATTCATCCGTCATCGACGAACAACTCGCATTTTACAATCATCGGGCTATCAATCAATCGATCGGTCTTCAAGCGAACATCGTAAATCATTGGATTGGTTTGTCTTTAAAAATTGTCTCGTCAAGATGTGGAAGTTGATTTATTGCTGAACGACTAGAGCATTAGTAACACATTGAAATGGATTGCCGGATCGGAAGGAAAAGTAGGGGGGAGGCGGGGAGGGGGAGGGGAAGGGGAGGGGAAGACACCCGAAAATTATGGAACAATTTTTTGGTGGAATGCGCTAGAAATTCGACGAGATCGACGTTATTGGGACGTGGAATGATAAGAAGATCGGCAATATATATATGGATGTGATGTTCTAAGGCAAGGCATTCGAAGAAGACGTTGTTTAGGAATCCATCGTTTCGCTTTTCACCGGGGGGCCGTTTCCGTTGAGTTTGAAGCCTAGAATTATCAATATCATTTTCTTTTTGTATTATGGAATGGGGATGGGAGGCCGTGGCCGGGTTTTTTCCACGGCCCCGCGGGGGATTTCTTTTTCTCATTTTTGGAAATAATAATTTTTGGGAGAAACATTTTTTTTCGAAATTGTACTCTCAAAAATGGGATTTTTTAAAATGCAAATGAATTTCCAAAAAATCATCATAATCAGATTTTTTTTAATTTACACTTTTCTGCAAAGTGTCGTGGGGTTCGGTGTTTTGGTACGCAAATTCAAATATTCTTTTTGCGGGAAAAAGTTCTTCAAAATTAGGCTTTTTAAAAAAGTCACATTCAATTTTCAATCTTCTACAATCACTGTTTTATAATCGGTGCAAAGTGTCGTGTGATTCGGTGTTTTTCGTACGCAACACTCCTACCGAGCAATTCCGTCGTGCTATTGTTCACCATTTCGGCGGCGTTGATAATTTGCTCGTCATAGAGTTGAACTTGTCGCTGATAATACGCGATCTCGAGACGAAGCGCTTTTTGTCGAAGGCGCTCGGACTCGATTTTCGCGTCGGCCAATTGGAGTTTTTTGTCGAGCAGCGCCGTCTCCGGCGACATTTCGCGACTGTCGCGCGACGCCTTCTCGATTTTCATTCTGAAATTTGAAATTTGTTTTTTTTTTCGAAGCTCTGATAACTCAAAACCAATCGGATTCGAAAATTGGGAAAATTTTTTTCTGAACACTTTCCATTCGGATCGGATTGAGCCGAATTTGAGCCGGCAATGGATTTTCTTTAATTTTATGTAGGAAAAAAATCTTTAAGCGCATGCGCCTTGAAAAAGGTCTCGCCACGTGAACTTGATGAGTTCCGCATTTCTCTAACGTCGCTCGATTAAAAAGTTGTCGATCCGAACCATAAAATTTAGTCGGAGCAGTATATTTTGATTGAATTTTTATAAAATAATATTTTATTCATTATACCGTACCCGTTCCCATCGAAAGTATGATGAAACAACAAGTCTGCTCCTTTAAACGAGCAAACAGATACGGTAGTTGTTTTAAATTTCGGGTCTCGCACCTTTTCGCCTTCGAGCCGAACGCCGCTTCCATCGCGTCCGACGCGCTGTCGTTCTCTTCGACGTTCTTCTCCTGCTCCTGCATCATGATCTGCGCCAAACCCGTCATCCAGTCGGGCACCGGACCCCGCGAGCGTCGTTTCGTCTCGGCCCAGCTGTACTCGTTGAGCTGCAATCCCAACAAATCGTTCTGAATTTCGTGATTAGCACCGAATAGTCGATTGTTTTTGAAGTTGTTTGGGTCTCGTACGGAAAATCATATGGCGATGTTTGCAACAAAAAAAACTCGCAAAAAAAAATCCCAAGTCCACATTATCACAATGTCAAAAAATGAAATGAATTGAAATAAAAAAAGAGACATTGATCGAAGGCGAAATTTTTTTTAATAAAAAAATGTCATAGTGTGGCCTTGAAAATCGTGGCCGTGGCCGAGTTTTTCGATAAGCGATTTTTATTGAATATTTTACAAAATCTGCATTTTTCAACGAATTTAAAGTGTTCAAAAATTCGATTTATGAAAATGTTCCCAAATGACGTACCGGCGAGCAAGCGTTGGCCGCTGCTTGCGCTTCAAGCCCCAATTTGTGCGCGTGTTTCCGCGAGAATTTCCGCATGTCCCGTATTCGTTGTTTGATCTGCGCCGGCGTGCGCTCGGCGAATCCCATCGCTGTGATTTCGGCGGCCCATTCGCGCGCGAGTGTATCCTGAAAATTGTCGAACGATTTTTTTTTCCTCTCGCAATGTCGTCAGGCGCGTTGCGGTTCGCGTGCGGTCAAATGTAAGTCACCAATTTCCAAAATCACATTTTTTTTTCAAAATTATGAAGCAGAAATTGGAAAGGTCCCCGCCGCCACGAAGGGATCACCTCTAGTAGAAATGCTATCTATATGTAGTCTGGTCAGGACTAATTGAAATTTTTCCAATTTTGTCTATATCACCTGCTCAAGGATTATTTTTCTTATTTGGCAATTGAACGAATTGCACATAGTATATTATATGCCTAATGGGAGAAGAATTATGGGGGTCGATTTACTAGGTGGGCGAGAGATAACGTAATCGAGAGAGAGTGCCAGACGGATAAACGAAGTGCAGCGTTGTCGCAAATAGAAACAGGCGAGTGCGGCGAATCCCCGAAAATGTCCGCAGGTGGTTCAAATGGGCCTAACTCTCGAGTTTGAAGTCCTACCGGAATTTCTCGCGGCAAGACCCTACAATTATCTATCGCGACTGAAGTTGGCTTCCAGTTTCACCAGAATATCTTCTTAAAATGGAATTTCAGAAGAAAAAGGTGTGGAGCCACACAAAAACCTCATGCGCCTTTAATGGGCCAGAAAAAAAAGAAACAATGGTCTTGGCGCAAAACTAGGTGTAGATTTACAGGCCAATGAGTTAGAGGCGCATACAACACACTGAGACCTTCAATTCTATGATATTTAGCCAATTTTCTGCAGTGATGGTTTAACTTGCTCCTTAGTGTTTAGGCGGCAAATTCAAATTCGAAATCCACCCCCTTTAAATTGGGCAAAACCAGAAATGATGACCTACCATTGGAACTTCTTCATTCCGTTGTCCCGAAGGCCTCGTCGAGTGATATTCATCCCGTTTCGCTGAATAGAGCTCATAGAGTCGCATGTTTTCGGCTTCTGAAAATCGACGTTGGCGGATACGAAAGCACACATCGCAACGATACCATTGAATCCCACCGTTTTCGGCTTCTCATCATTGGTGTGATTGGTGGCGTTGATGGCGAACTGCGCGCGCAATAGTTGTCCGATCGAGGTGGCATTGATCGAAATCGGCGATTCCGAGCGCCCGTGCGACATGTGTGGTACGGCCGGCCTGAAATGTGGAGGAGTGAAGCGAATCATTTTTGTGTGGGGCTGGTCATGCGCGACGCGGGAGAGGCAGATGGTCGCATGCGGGAGATGGGGGGAATTGGAAAGCCACCATCCGCAGATGGAGCACATGCCCCAACCCGGGGCGGCCCGGCCCGGGCCGGGGGGGGGGAGGGAACGCAGACGAAATTCTCCGCGCGTGTCCCGCTCTCTATCGCATTTGTATAAATACAATCGGATGGGAGAGGGGAAGGCGAGGAGGGAGGAGGAGGAGGAGGAGAAGGGGTGGAGAGTGAGCACACGGGAGCCGCGATATTCTATTGATGGCAATTTGAAATTGAAAATGGAATCGATGGGTGTGACCTAGTCAATTGTTGTCGACGAGTTCCCTAATTGGATTGCCTCCAATTTCGCGGATTATGGTGTTAATTAGTCAAGGTGTTGAATGCGAAGCGCCATAGGAACAGCAGGAATCGAGAACAAATTTTTTTTGATTTATTGAAGTCTGCGGTTCCACGATACGAAACGAAAAAAATTTTTTTTTTGGTGAGGGAATCGGACGGGAGAGCGCTGAGCGGAGCTCGTGTTGGAGGCGGGCGTCGGAGCCCCCACCCCGCGTGTGGGAGACACATCAATACATTTCGACGACGTCTTCTGGCTGCCCGTGGCGGCCGCTCGCTCGCGCGCGCGCGCACATCTCACAACACGCCATTGCGGGCGCAGCCGCACCACAATTCCATTCCCATATACGGGGGGTGACGAGAGCGGTTCGGCTCGTCGGGGGCGCCGCTCGCGAGCGCCTGCGTCTCTCGACGGGAGGAGAGGAGAGGGCGGCGGCCGTCGTGTGGTGCTGCTGCTCTCTCTCTGTTGTTGGATGCTGCTTTACTTGGTAGCAAGGAAGAAGGGGGGGGGGAGTCTCGGGCACGGCGCGCAGGATATGAGGGTGATTTTTAGATTATTTGGAAAAAAGGCAACAAAAAAAATTGCGCCTGCTTCCCCCCACGAGTAAACAATTGGGAATTGCGGGGGAAGGCATTCCCCCTTAGGTGTACAGTGGTTCCTCGATGGTTGCTAAAATTATTCCTAATTGGTTTCAAACAATTTAGACAAGTATAATTAGACAAATTGGATTCTCGAGATTCTCTATTATTATTCGAAATCGCCACTCCTTTTCTTTGTTTCAGAGATGGATTTCAAATTTGAATTGCCGCCCTTGGGTCTTGTGTGGATTTTTTCTATTGGTGGGTCTTCGACAAAATTCCCCGAGACTTTTTTTTGGGAGCCCCATTTTCCTTTCGGGGGGAAATTTAAAATGACCACTTGAGCACATATTTATTTTTTCTATGAATTTTAAATATTTTGGCATATTTTTGAAAAAAAATTTTTTTGTCAAAATTTGTGTGAAATGAAAGAGTAGGGGACCATTTTAATTTTGCGGGTCTTCGGAAACTCATTAAAAAAAATTTGGAACCCCCCCCCTTTAAAACCCCAAAATCGATCTTTTTTTCGTGGCCAATTACCAACTTTTCATTGGTTCGAATTACAGGCATTTTTTAAAACTTTAAATCCGACAATTTTCCGTCTCTTCGCTTCAAGATCATATTGAGGTCCTGCGCTTTTTTTTCTGTATTCACATTGACGCAAAATTGCACACATTTTCGCTTCACACCCTCTTTTCCAATAATTTATTTGATTTCAACTTTTCTGGAAAAAAAGGCTGTGTGAGATTTTCACATCATTTTTGAAATTGATTTTTAATTTTTATTTACAAAAAAAATTTTTTAATTGATTTTTAATTTTTATTAAAATTTCAAAATCAAAAATATTGAAAGGCAGCTTCAATTCGTGGCGAGAAATGAAAAAAATAAATATCGCGTGCGCCTTTAATGTATACTGTAAATTTCTACTCTGCAACACAATTTGTTTTGTCTCGTTGATTCTCTGCGCCCTCTTCACTCTCGTCTTGTGCTCCCGGGATTTTATTTGTAAAGCTCATCCTCAATCTGTTTCTCTCTCTCTCTCTCTCTCTCTCTCTCTCTCTCTCTGTCTCGCCTCATCCGATTTCCCCATTCCCCATTCCACCGAATCGAATGTCGTTGAATTTGGCAGCGGGTCGCGGTGTGACACAGGTTGTCGAGCGGTGTGAGCAAGCAAAAAATTCTGGAACTCTTGGTGATAACTATATTGAATTTTTTTTTCACAATCTCGCCCATTTTTAGATTTGTCGAATTGCCAATTGTTGTACATCGCCGACGCGGTTTATATGCTTTTGAAGGGCCACGAAATCGATAAAGTTTTGCGAAAACCCAAAAGACTCTGGTAACTCAAAACCAATCGGATCCGACAAAATTCGACTCCGGAATCAACCTTATCCGATTGGTAATTCTACGGATAAGATTGGAAAATTGTCGTATCCGATTGGTTTTTTGGGTTTTTTCGGATCCGATTGGTAATTCTACGGATAAGGTTGGATATTTGTCGAATCCGATTCGAATTGAAATATTAAAACAAAACGGATTCAAATAATTACCAATCGGATTCGAAGAAAATCTAATCGGATCCGAAAAAACCCAAAAAACCAATCGGATACGACAATTTTCCAATCTTATCCGTAGAATTACCAATCGGATAAGGTTGATTCCGGGGCCGAATTTTGTCGGATCCGATTGGTTTTGAGTTACCAGAGGAGTTGCTTGAAATCCAACACAAAAATTTGAATTATAGGTCAACATTCGCAATAATATGATGAAAAAATTCCCGAGAAAATTCGTTGAGAAATTCCCAAATGTCACAGGTATGAAATTTTTTGGCGGGTCTCGCATGGAAAAAATCGCTCATTGGGGCGAGCTTCATTCAATTTGAACATCTTTATTTGAAACAAAAAAAAATTTTGATGGGGTACGCGAAATTCAAAAAAAAAACATTTTCTCATGGGAAGCGATGTCCCCGGGAATTATAATTTTTTTTTGGCTTCTGGAAGAAGATTAATCGTAAAATTCCGAACGAGAAACTCATCGGGGGGCCGATTTCCACGTGGAAACGCTCAAAGAACAAAAAATGAGCACAGAAATGAATGGGCTCGAATACTATGGATTTCAGTGCTCAACATGGAGGCGAACGAAATTGCCGAAATCCCGCAAGAGTGCGCGTCGTGGTCGTCGCTCAAAGGTGTCAACGCGTCGCAAAACCAGTTCGCCGCGTTTCCCGAGCCATTTTTCAGTCTTGCCCAATTGAAATTCATTTGTTTGAGCTCGAATCTCATAGAAGGTATTTATTATAATAATTATTATTACGTGAGGCATTCACACGCGGGGAAGCGCAACAACATTTTCCATGTGGACTAACACCCGTCTGGCCTAGAATTTTCTCGTCCACCCGGCGGCACGAATGCCTCACGATGACAAATTGTTGCAGAAATCGATGCGGAAAAATTATATACATGTCTGCCCGAGTTGACGCACCTGGATTTGTCCGACAATCGGTTGAGCGAGGAAACGAAAATCGAACTCGAGACACATCACAAAAAACCGGCGGGTCTAACATTGAAATTATAAATACATAAATAGCAAATATAATAAATACATACACGCTTGCAGGGGTTGTTTGTTTAAAAAAAATGACTAAAAAAGGGCATAAAATCGGCTAAAAATGCAATTTCTTCAATTTTTTTCACAAACTGTTCCGATTTCCTTTTGAAATCGCGCCTTATTCATCTATGACATCATCGGAGCCCATTCGTTTCTTTTTTCGCTCCTCCTCCTCTTTCTTCATCGTCTCGCGCCATTTTTGTAAATCGACCGACGTTCGCGTTTTTTGCGCTTCTTCGTCTTCTTCGGGCACCGACGTCAACACTTCAATGGGTGTTCGTCGTGGCGACGAGGCGATTTCTAAAATTTTGGTTGTTTTTTTTGCACCACCACACACCCTATAATATTACCCTCGGGTGTTAAAAGCCCATTGTTCTTGGCGTCGTCGGCCAAATCATCGAGAATGCTCAACGAGCTGCCGATGTTGTTCTGAAATTTTGAACGCAATTCGTCGAAAACTCGAATTTTCGCCGATTACCGCGTCGGTGTTGATCGAGCACGTCGACGAGCCGAACAATTTTTGCGGCCGATTCATTTTGCGCGTCGAGCCGCTTATTTGGCTCTTCAGTCGCTCGAACAATCCGCCGCCGTGCCGATTCTTGCTGACGAGACTCGTGCGACTCTCGCAATTGCGATTCACCGACACCACCGAGATGCCGCGATGAAGTGCACCGCGATGGCCGTCCTCGATCTCATCGAGCATTCCGTCCTCGTAGTCGTCGGCGTCGACGTGCGGCATCATGATCACCTCGTTTTCGGTGACTCTGTTAAAAAAAAATCCGATTTTTTCGAGATATTGAAGCCCAAAAATGCTTACTCGTAGGGAACAGCCGAGCCGACTTGCGGATTCTTATGCATAAGCGCTGTATTTGCCGAATATAAAGGCTCAACGATTTCGGCATTCCAGAAGGTGTCTTTTTGAAGTGGTGGACTGTCATTGTAGCATTCGTCAACAATCGCTAGTCCAGTCTAGGTTGAATTATATCTATCGTCATCAACGGATTTTGATTTTTCGAACAAAAATTGTTTATAAAAAATTCGAAAATTTTTTCAAATCTGTTCTCCAAAAAGAAATTGACCTGTAACACAAAAAAAATTCCGAAAAATCATCAAAATAATTTTTGTTTTGAATTTTCTACAGTAATTTTTCTCTCGGTGCATTGGTACGCGTTTTTTTCAAACATTTTTGAAAATAATTTTGCAAAACAACTAATTGAAAGAAAATTGTTAGCAAAAAATCATTCGGAAAATTTTTTTCGAAATTTTGCTCCTAAAAAATTCAGCTAATTATCCAAACAATTTTTTTTCGGTTTTCGAAAATTGTCGGAAAAACGAGCTCGCTTACCGCCAGATTTCTGTCGAGCAAAAAATTGCACTCGAAATCATCGTCGTCTTCACCCAAGGGGTTCATCAAACTCTCGGCGACTTTCATCCATCCAACGTAGAAGATGAATTGAAGCGACGTCATGAGGAACGGGATCAGCGGGTAGACGGGACTCGCGTCTTTCGGCGGCTCGCCGTCGATGAGCACACTTTGTCGCGCGATCAAACACAAAAAGAAGTAGATGCGAACGGCGAGGAAGACGACCTGCGGGTAGACCAATGGAATTGGGACCCAATCGAAATTGCACAATTGGCCGAGACCGCGCCGAAAATCGCCGACACTTTTGACGATCTCGTTGAGCATCACGTCGGCGCCGATTTTTCCCTGAGCTCGCGCCTCGTAGAGAAGTGTGAAGCACCATTGAATTGGAAGAAAATATTTGTTGTATTTCAGCGAGAGATCGACGTATTTTTCGCGTTCCACATCCATCATGAACCCTAAAAAAACCACGAATAATAAAATAATATGTAGTTTTTTTGGACTTATCATTTGATTTTGGGTCTCGAATGGAAAAAAACTTTTTTTTTAAAGTTCGTTGGTTACTTTTTAAAGTGCCTAGCAGCGCGTGCAATTCAAAATTTTCGAATTCGTTATATACATAACTTTCAATAACAATTTTAGCGTAAAAAACTGAAAAACTCAAAATTTCAGTTCCACTGTAAAATTGGAAGAAACTATTTTTGGAAAAACTTTTTTTAAAATCCATATATGAAGAAGAATCGCTCCCTTTTTTGGTGACTTTATCTTGAAATGCGAACCTCAAAAATGGGACCATTGAAAATTGTATCCAATTTGTTGGAATGTCTTAAACGTTCTTCTAGTTGTTGGCCACTTGACAGATTACAAAAATTCCAATTAAAATACTGAAAACACCCGGGCGCCCTCCTTGTTGTCTGCATACACACTTACGCAATTGTGCACACATGTAATTTCATTTTTCCTTTTTAAAAGAAGGATTGATTTTTAGTTTTCCAGGAAAAATGGGAAAACCGAGATGGTTTGAAATTTTTTTTCAACAATTAATTATGAGCTTTTATTCTCAAAAATAAAAATTCGAAAATTGCCAAACAAAATTTTGAAACTTAAATGGAAATTAAATTTTCAACAGAAAAAAATACCTGCGGCTACAACAGTTTCCAATGTCGGAAATCGCCGTCGAACCTGCATGCTGATATCTCGAAATATGATGACCTGCGTCAACACCATATACCGGATTACGGTACGCCGAACCATTCGGCTCTTTTCATCGCTTCCCCTAATATAGGTGGATACTAATAATGCAGTTCTAAACTACCGTAATCATTTGGGAAATTTCGCGTTGAGAACATACGAGTCGATCCAGCCAATATTTAAAAATATATCATTCCATCTGCCAACAATAATTGTCACGAAGAAGCCGAGCATAAATGTTAATGGAATATAATCAAGTTTTTGGTCAAACAACGCGGCGAAATTGTCCCAAAATCTGAAAATATTGAAAAAAATTACATTAAAAAATCGAAATAAATTCATTTTACTTACAATCGTTGAGCTGGCGATAGAAAATAATTGGTACGATAGAACGCTGTCACCAATATAAAGAAAAATGCGAAAATTGCGAGCTCCTGAAATTCAGCGAAAAAAATTTAAAGAAAAAACAAAAAAATGAGATAAATTTCAGTTTCGAAAATTCAAGTATTTTTTTTTATTACGCGATTTTTCGTTTCGGTGTTTGCACACATCGCGCGCTACCATACATTTTGGTTAATAAATATTATTTTTTTGAATTTTAGGATCACATTTTTATAAATTAGTGTTGAAAAATTAAAAAGAGGCAAATAAATTTATGAAATATCCAAAATATTCTATTTTGGCGTTAATTTAAATGCGTTTTCCGATTTTGGGTTTCGTTTTTTCTGTACCTTCATAACGGATTTCCATATCGAGCCTCTCCATCGTAACTGAAGTTTCAAAAATGCGATTAGCGACGTTGATGAGACGTCGAGATTGTAGGAAACCGTCATAATGTGTTATCAAACTGAAATGTGAAAATTTTGAACAAATTGTATGAATGGTTGTTTGCTTGAGGGTGGTTTTGAGCTCGTAAATGGCGGGTCGACGAGAGTGTGCGGCGAAGCGAGAGGGCGCAGCGTTTGAAAGCGGAGCGAAAGTAGGAAGAGCACAGCGCAAAAATAAACATCAATCGCCACAGCCAATCGAGGCGGGTGGCGAATTTTCGAAATTTGATTGGCGATCGTCACCACAAAAAATAAATTGATGGAAGCATGCAGAGTTGTAACGCGCTTCTGATCGGCAAACATGTCGTGCGACGCGAGGATTATAGAATGGTGTCAATTGAGAAGCATCCAATCTTCATTTTTGAGACATCGGCAAACAGAGGCGTTTTGAGAAAAAATGAAGGATTCGAATCAAATCAATTGGCCAAATTTGAATAGCAAAGGGGTCCAAGGTCGTTGGACGTTGTTGTGTAATACTTGAGAGATGGTGAAATTCAATCCTCAAAGATATTTGTCACAGTTTCCATCCGCACAGTCGAAATAATTTATTTTGTTTCATACAACTATTTGGAGGTGCTTCTTTAAAGGCGCATAGCGCGAAACCCGATTTGATAATATAATTCAACAAAAAATTTTCGCTTGCCCTCAAAAATTATTCAATTTTATTTATATGTATATCACAGACCATTGTTTTTCTCAAAAAACGAAATTCTGCGAATCCGAATTCTCCGAATTATCAGCTGTCTTTCAGCAGGTGAATATGCGTCGTAGGTTTGTCGGCATTCTCGACGACGATTGGCCCCATGAGCCAATACGATTGGAATAATGTCGCCTATCAACTCACCCCGTTGCAACCATACATGGACTTTTATTCGAATCAACCGCGAAGCTACATGTTCCAAGGCGCCAATGACATCGATATTCTAATGTTGTTGGGCGCGATTCCGATGGTCCTTATTTTTTTCGCGGTGTGCTTCCGCTCGACGCCCTCGCTCACCAAAACGTTTCTCCTATTTCCATGGTGTCAAATCGTCCTCAACATGCTCATTCGATTATTCAAGGCCGGCATCCTTCGATTCATCCCGTATCCCGATTACCCTTGGCTATTCGTGTCCACCAGCATCGAGACGACCCTCTATTACACTCTTGATCTACAACTTACAAGCTCGGTATTACTGTATGCCTATTTTCGGGGTGCTTCGACGATGGCGCCGCCGTCGACGCGCCTTCTCTTCGCATTCCTTCTTCTCGTCGCGTTCGCAATTTCGGCGTTCAATATCAATTTCAACGCGCTCCTCTATGGCTTCCCGTTTTACGTTCACGTCGTCTTCTTTGTGATCACGTCGTTCTCGAATCTCGTCATTCTGATTACGGTAGCGCGAAATTCGAGACATCGCACATTGATTTCAATTGCAGCTGATTGTGGAATGCGTCGGACGAAAACCGGCGTCGCACGACATCGGTGTTCGACTACGATTGTTCATCTTCATTCTCATCTCGTCGCCGCCGATTTTGTTCAACACCGCCGTCACCGTCATGGATTTGCTCTTCATGTTCATTGGTGTGACAGAGCAATTCCCAATACGTATGTCCAAGAAACATTTTTTTACTAGTGTGGTCCCAGTGTGGCACTTCTTAGCGCAGTCAGAACCATGAAGATCTTGAGTTCGATTCCGCTCTGGCGAGAAGTATTTTGCTGTCTGCGTCTCCTTCCACTGCACGCACACTCTCCCTCTCCCTCGTTGTCTTGCACTCTCTCAATTTTACGCAGACTTTAAAAACGCGGACCGGGGCAAATACGCAAGACGTATGGGACGTTCTGAAATTTGGACCTTCTAAATTTGAAACGCACTATAGGAATACGTATGGATTTCGTATTTGAAATACCATGGGTCTCGTGTGGAAAAGAATTTAGCCATTAAAAAACCAGCACATTTCGAAATTTTTCAAATTCAGTCAACTCTGAACAAAAAAAACTAATTATTTCCGAAAACTTCTCGATTTCAGCATACCTTATCATGGTCAATTGTCGCTATAAGGCGTTTGAAATCACACCGATCGCATTTTTAATTGCCGCGATGTTCCTGTTGCCGGATTTGATGTAAGATTATTGCGAAAGGGAAAACCGTCTGACAGATTTGTTTCAGGAAGCCCGTCGAAACGACTACAACAATTACAACGCCAAACACGGAACGAATATCGCACGCAACATCAGCCGATCGGCACTCGTCGCCGCCGGCGCGCCAAATTCGCGAAACACCGGCCGATTCAGTGCCCGGCGTGGTGCCACAAAACAGCCAATTCGGATCAATTATTGTACATCTCAACTCATCGAACAACTCCCAATAACCATTTATAAATTAGAGCAACAATTCCTTCCAATTCCCATTTCGATATTTCTCATCAAGCGTTGATTTGCTGAACGGAAAAATGTGATAATCGTAGAAATAAATTTTGTGTAGATAATCTCTGATGAACGGATCGGTTTCGATTTGCTTCTGGGCGTTGATTCGTTTTTCCGAAAAGTGCGTACTATGAGTTGTCAAGCCGCCTGCGAAAGAAAAAATGAGAAGCGTGAAAAAAACGTCGATCGTACCAAGCGAATTATATATGATATAGTCGATTTCGTGTTTCGGCACATTTTTGGATTTGAGGATGTTGCCGAGCTGGTAGATTGCGGCTCGTCGCTCATCCTTCTCGGGTCCGATCATGAGAATATTGTATTTCGAGAGATGTTTGTCAAATTGACAATTCCTAAAACGACATTTTTTTTCACAAATTCGCTTATTCTCAAATTACCACGAAAGAGGTGCCGCGTGAAGATCCAAATAGTTTGGATTGGAATCCTTGTGAACCAGAAACTTTCTTAATGATTGGTATAATTTCTCTACGACGCATCTCATATTCTCCTTGCAATCCCAGCATCTATCTTCGCTAAATAGAAAAAATAAATAGATTTTTAAAAGTTTAAAATTATTTGAAATGATCTAAAAATCTTTGAAAATTCTGGGCCCCGCCCAGAATTCAACGTCCCCGAAGGAACAATTTTTTGTGTGGCAAGAAACGAAGTTATCAGTCAGAAGCTCTTCATCGCCGCCCAAATGGACGGCTAGAGCCTTCTGTCATCACTTAACTCCGGCCCTTCGCAAGGGCAATGCTCCCGAAATTCTCCCTTCCTACGGCCGCGCCGTCTTAATGGGAAAAGAAAACCCCCCAATATCTCCCACGCGGCCGCGCCGCCAATTTGGGGAACTCTACCAAGTCAAACTACATACCTGGGAGGTTCTCTTCCCCTTGGATCGCGCATCTCCTTCCTCCGCGAGATCGCTCCATAATCCGCAATCAGAATAATAGGCTTTTACTCCAGTTAGAAAGAAAAAGGAAAACTAAAAAACAACGTTTTTCAAAAACCTCCTAACGCCGCCGCTAGGTTACTGTCGCTCCGCGCCGCGAGAATTCCAAGCGGCATTACTGTGCCGGCCTTTAACTTCTCCCCCTGCGCCTCCTTTGCGCCCGTTGTCTTTCCCTCAGCGCGCGTTATCTCTACCCTTTGGCGCGCGCTCTCTCCGTTCACACACTCTCTCTCCGCGAGAGATATTTATCGATTTCCCTCATTTTTTCCTCCTTTTTCGTCGAATTCCCGCGGAATTTGACAAAATCTATTTTTTCATTAAATTTTTTTGAAAAAAAAGTTGATTGGCATTAAACAAAATGTGTGCAAAATTGCGTCAGTGTGCATACAAACAAAATAGGAATCCTACTTTTTTTTTTAATTTGCTTATGTTTTTTCGAATTCGTAGTATTACTTAACACATTTGTCCAGGAAAAACGATAAGAATCTGTCGAACGGTTCTCTGACGTAGACGATTCGCGTGAATTCAGGATCATTATCGAGCTGGTCAGATAGGTGAGTGAATTCGTATTTCTGACGGCATCTGATAATAAATTTTTAGGTCATTTTCGAAACTCTTGCCGCCTACTCTCGGTCTTTTGGTCCTTTTGCGTCGTTCATTGTTTGATTCATTTCGAGGAAAAGCTTCGAATCATACAAATAGCACATTGTGTTTAATGTGAGCTGAGCCATCGATTTACGAATTGTGCACATTCCAAGTTTGTACTTTTCGGCGATCTTTAAATTTTTGCAAAAATATGGGTTACCTTTGAATACAAAACTATATGTAGTTATGGAAGGACGAATTTCAGGTGCAAATGCTTCATCATTTGAATTGCCGTATTGGGTCTCGTATGGAAAAACTCATAAAGCGAGTTTTGACGAATTTAACTGCCATAATTTGATTGCGAGACCCAATTAAAAGGCGACACCTCGAAATTCGAAAAATTTCCATCAACGATAGTACTTACAAAATAATCACCAACGATATTGATAAATGGAGGGAGAAAATCTTCTTCTGAAAATCTCTGTCTTATTTGTTTTTCTTTTTAAAAAGAAACAAATTAAAAAAAAAACTTACTTCCAGTGAAATTTACCATCTTTCCGTTAGCTATAACATTATAAACATCCTCGCAGGAATTATATTGGTAGTATATGATTGCTAGTAGAAAGCCGATCACTATTAATAATATTATGTTCCGCATATTATAATTTGTCGGATATTCGGCATTCGGTAGCTGTCTGTAGGTTGACATTCTGCATATGAGACCCTTCACGACCGATACTATCGCCAGTCGAAGAATCTTCTCGTCGTTACTTTTGTTGGGATAAGGACACGCTCGAAATTCCAATGCATTTCATGTTCAAAAGGCCAGCTTCTCACGAAATAACGGAACCTGAACTGAGGAAGATTTGGCTGGCTTTTGTGAACCAAAAATTTATTTTGGTCGCGATTCAACGAACAAATATATGATAAACATTGTATATTCAAAATCATGGGAAGATTGAACTTTCGAATCACATGAAAATGATTTGTGCGCCTTTAAAATGTTGGAAATTCCCGGGAATTTAATCCACATTCAACAATTTAGTATTGTGCCAAGTTGTACACAATTATGTGAAGGTTCTTGTGAAAAAAATGCGGAAAAATCGCGAAAATGGTGAGCGATAGTGAGAGACCGAGAAATTATTATTTCATTTTGTCTGCTTTAGCCCAGTTTCAAAACTTGCGGTCTTACACATTACTTTCGGCATCCCGCGACAAATTGATAGTTGCGAGCCCACGACTTTGGTCTCCTTGCGTCAGTTTTTGATAATTTTGAAATTTCGCCAATCCCAAAAAATTCAAGCAAATGTTCTGAGACCACACTCAGTGCTTCAATCTACCCAAGATATTGTATGTGCAATGTTTATCATATACTTGTTCGTTGAAACGCGACTAAACTACATTTTCGGTTCACAACAGCCAGCCAAATCTTCTTCAGTTCAGGTTCCGTTATTTCGTCGCGATATCGATATACGGTAGATGAATGTTCACGATACGAGAAATAGTGTTTTTTAAAAAAGAAATCGGAAGATCATTGTAGATTATCCTTTTTCACTGTCTTAACGCATCATCATTGGAAATTTTCTAAAGAATCTATATGCAAAAAATTGACAACTTTCAAGACGGACAGCAAAAAGACTTCCCTTGTTAGCATGCATTTATTAGTATTGAAACGAACTTAATGGAGAAAAAATAATTTTTTTTTGTTCACTAAAGAAATTCCCGTGAAGGTCTCGAGACTCCCGAGAAATTCTCGGGAGTCTCGGAAAATTTTTCTCGAGAAAGTCTCGAGTCTCCCGAGAATGTCTCGAGAAATTCTCGCAAATCTCGGTACTTTTTGGAAAGTCTCGGGAGTCTCGAAGTGATTCTCGAGAGAATCTCTCTCGGTACCGGTTAATTTTCTCGATTTTTCTCGAGAATTTTTTCTCGAGAGCACACACTGGTTATTAGCTTTATTTTTAAGAATGGTAGTCAATTCAGGGCACCGAGGTACCATTATCGATATGGCTACGAAAGGAAAGAGCATCAGTTGCATCGCAAAAGCTCTCGGAATCTTTCGATCAACAGTTTGGAAAACCGTAAAACGTCAAGATCAACTGGCAATATTACTTAAAGGAAATTCATAAGAAACATGCTCCCATGGACCCAATCACACTTTGGAAACCAGGTTTGGACATTCCAACAAGACTCTGCTCCGACTCACAAATCAAAATCGTCCAATCCTGGTGTGCCGCAAATTTTCCCGGTTTATTTCTTGCTCAGAATGACCAGCGTCGTCGCCGAAATTGAATCCAATCGACTATTCTGTTTACGGAGCAGTGTATCTACCCGGGAATATCGTTTCCCGGGTTTATCCGGGAAATCCCGGGTCTCGTACCGGTTTCGTCCCGCAACTACCCGGGATCCCGGTATCTCGGGTTCCCGGGAAAAAGTCTGCCCCCGCACACTCTTCGAATATTGCGTATTCTCGTTTTTTAAAATTAATTTTCTTATTTTAAAATGATTCCAATGCTTCGAAAATGGCGTAGGAAGTCAAGAATTTTATACGAAATAATGGTTTTAACCTTTTTTCAATAGACTATTTCAACGAAAAAATGTATTGGAGATCGATGAAGTAAACAATAAATTATATTAATTTATAATATACTATAAATTATAATAATATATAATATCGCATCGCGTTCAATTTACACCAGACCTGTGAATCACAAGTAAGTAAAGAAGTGCATCGTTTTCGTGAATTTGTGCCGTTTTTCGCAGGGCTGATTCAAAAAGAACTTTCGTCTTTATCGATCACATTCACTTTCATCTCCGTCATCTCCTCTTGGCGCAGATTCAAAATTTTTCAAATAGGGACTTCCTACGCCATTTTCTAAGCATTGGAATCTTTTTAAAATAAGAAAATTCATTAAAAAAGGAGAATACGCAATATTCGAAGAGTGTGCGTTTGCGCGCGCGGTGTTTGCATACTTTTTCCCGGGAACCTGGCCATTCCCGGGAAACTTCGTCCCGGGTAGACGCACTGTTAGGAAATACTTCAGTCGAAGGTTCAGGCACATCCCCATACCAATTTGGAGTCATTGAAAAAAACTTTGGTTGAGAAATGGGCCAGACTATCTCCAGAATACTACCGTGCCACAGTCGAGGCATTCCCGACGAGACTCAAGGAAGTAATGAAGAAAAAAGAAATCGTATCGAGTAATGTTGATGTATTTTTGTTTATAATTGATTCAATAAACTATTTGTGAATTTTCAAGTTGATTCAACTATTTTTACAAAAATTACATCACTTTGAATGTGCTTCCATAATTATGGGCCACCCTGTAATAAGTTATTTATTTCAAATTTATGGATTATAGCAACAGGTCCTTCGGATTGTAATTTCGATATTTCTCATCAAGCGCTGATTTGCTGAACGGAAAAATTTGATAGTCGTAGAAATAAATTTTGTGTAGATAATCTCTGATAAACGGATCGGTTTCGATTTGCTTCTGGGCGTTGATTCGTTTTTCCGAAAAGTGCGTACTATGAGTTGTCAAGCCGCCTGCGAAAGAAAAAATGAGAAGCGTGAAAAAAACGTCGATCGTACCAAGCGAATTATATATGATATAGTCGATTTCGTGTTGCGGCACATTTTTGGATTTGAGGATGTTGCCGAGCTGGTAGATTGCGGCTCGTCGCTCATCCTTCTCGGGTCCGATCATGAGAATATTGTATTTCGAGAGATGTTTGTCAAATTGACAATTCCTAAAACGGCATTTTTTTTTCACAAATGCATTTATTCTCAAATTACCACGAAATAGGTGCCGCGTGATAATCCATATAGTTTAGCTTGGAATCCTTGTGAACCAGAAACTTTCTTAATGATTGGTATAGTTTCTCGACGACGCATCTCATATCCTCCTTGCAATCCCAGCATCTATCTTCGCTAAATTAAAATAGGAAAGCTAGTGAATTTCTCGAATTCAAATTGTTTCGCGTTTTTAATTTTCTCAAACATTTCAAGAATATTTATTTCACATCAAACTGTTTTCATCCTTTTCTTCCTGGTTGTACCTCAGTCGAATCGTGCCTAATCCGCTTAATTATTCGCTCCCTATTTTAACACTCTTTATACGACTCAATTGTTGTAAATGTGTCTCAAACGTGAAATTATCTAGAAATCTATTTTTATGACTTTTTATGACAGAGGCGGGACCTCCTAATTCGATAAATTAGTGGAATTTAAAATGTACAGGGTGGCTGAAAATTACTGAAAATTTGTAAATATCGTTAACTGAATATTAAAGGTGCGTACAATGCAATATACGCAGTTTTGCGTACGTCTCGGTATCTCGATACGCATTATCACATAACCAACGGTTTTTTTTAAATTTTGTTCAGTCGTTTTTTTTTCAAATCCGTAGTATTACTTAACACATTTGTCCAGGAAAAACGATAAGAATCTGTCGAACGGTTCTCTGACGTAGACGATTCGCGTGAAGTCAGGATCATTATCGAGCTGGTCAGAGAGTTGAGTGAATTCGTCGTTCTTGCGGCATCTGAAAATAAATGTTTTCGTCATTTTCGAAACTCTTGCCTCCTACTCTCGTTCTGTCACTCCTTTTTTGTCGTTCATTGTTTGGTTCATTTTGAGGAAAAGCTTTGAATCATACAAATAGCACATTGTGTTTATTGTGAGCTGAGCCATCGATTTGCGAACAATGCACATTCCAAGTTTGTACTTTTCGGCGATCTTTAAATTTTCGCAAAATCCAAGTTAAATTTGAATACAAAAATATATGTAGTTGTGGAAGGACGAATTTCAGGTGCAAATGCTTTATCATTTGAATTGCCGTATTGGGTCTCGTATGGAAAAACTCATGAAGCGAGTTTTGACGAATTTAACCCCCATAATTTGATTGCGAGACCCAATTAAAAGGCGGCACCTCGAAATTCGAAAATTTCCAACAACGATAGTACTTACAAAATAATTACTAACGATATTGATAAATGGAGGGAGAAAATCTTCTTCTGAAAATCTCTGTCTTATTCGTTTTTCTTTTTCAAAATTCCCACAAACACTTACTTCCAGTGAAATTCATAACTTTTCTGTAAGCTATAGATATGTCAACGTCCTCGCAGGAATTATATTGGTAGAATATGATTGCTAGTAGAAAGCCGATCACAATTAATAATATTATGTTCCGCATATTATAATTTGTCGGATATTCGACATTCGGTAGCTGTCTGTAGGTTGACATTCGGCAAATGAGCATCTACATGACCGGTACTATCGCCAGTCGAAGAATCATCTCGTCGTGCGTTTTGGAAAAAAATTCCGATGCATTTCACGTTTCTAAGTCCAACCCCCCACCACCCAAGAATTTTTGAATCACATGAAAAAAGATTTGTGCGTCTTTAAAATGTTGATGCATATGTGGAAATTTCTCTCCGCAATTTAATGTAAATTCAAAAATTTTGCTAATGAGCCATGTTATACATAAAAATGAGAAGGGACCCCTGAAAAAAAATAAGTTTGTCGTTTCGGCCAGCCCGAGTCATTAATAATGAAGGATTTCTATATCTAAACAGTTACTTTCGTAAAAAAAGAGCACATTACACATAATTCCCCAGTTATGATTCATTTTTTATCAAAAATTTAAAACAATATTATTTGCGGCCTTACACATTACTTCATTCCGCGACTAACCGACAGTTGTCGATATACGAGCCCACAATTTTGTTCTCCGATCATGGTCACATTTTGATAATTTTGGAAAAAAAATTCAAGCAAATGTTGTGAGACCACACTCAGTGCTTCAATCTACCCACGATTTTGAATATACAATGTTTATTGTATGCTTGTTCGTTGAAACGCGACTAAACTACATTTTCGGTTCACAACAGCCAGCCTAACCTTCTCAGTTAAGTTTCCCGTTTTTTTTCAGTTCAGATTCCCGTCGCGATAGCGATATACGGTAGATCAATGTTCGCGATACGTAAAATAGTGTTTTTTAAAAAACGAATGTTCAAAGACCATCCTGGGGGAGCCTTTTTCACTGTGTCAATTCATCATATGGATTTCACAATTTATTGATTTTTTTTCTGAGTAACGCCAACAAATATTATGAATGGCAATAATGAGGTAAATTTTAGAAAAGGAAAAAGCAAACATATTCATTTTTTATGTTGTTTTTCTGAGTTGGTTTTTAAAAATATATGTTTCTAAAACAGAACAATCTGCAAAAAAAAGACCAAATATATTGAAAATTTTGGCCTCAACGCGAAAAAAACACATATTCTTAAGACATATAATTGAAACTAGACACGAAATCGAAAAAATCGAAAACGAACGAAAATTCTGTGTTAATACATGTTATCGTGGAAAAATGACGAATGTGAAAAACTAGCAGCGATATCCGATGCATTGTGTGCATATCAGAGCTGCACGGAATTCCGTCTTCCGTTTTCAGAAAATTTAAGTTCGTGCAGCTCTGGTGCGTACACCGAGTCGCACATTTCGATCTTACCTACAGTAATCTCAACTGAAAATTATTTAATAAATTATTTCGGGGTCAAACGACTGAAACGAGGCGGGACCTTCAAATTCGCGAAATCAGTGTAGATTTAAATTTTTCGTTGACTGAATATTAAATGCGCGTACGCTTAAATACAAGGTACGCAATTTCACGTACGAGACGAATAGGCACATTGCCAATAATTTTCTAATTTTCGTCAAGTCGTTTGACTCCGATAATATATATTTTTTATTTTTTACTCTGTTTTCTTGGCGAATTTATGGTTTTATGTGTTGGAAAAAAGGTAATATTAATCATTTATTCAAAGTTAATTGTTTTAAATAAAAGAAAGATTAATAATTAATAAAATAATTTTCAGTTCCGATTACTGTAGCTCGGTGTACGCACACAAAGCATAGGATATCGCTGCAGTTTTTCGCATTCATTACTGTTCCACAATACGTAGTTAAACGTTTTCTTTGTGTAAATTCTTCTTCCTTAGTTCAGCTGCCCTCAATTGGTCGCGATATCGATATACGGTAGATGAATGTTCACGATACGAGAAATAATGTTTTTTAAAGAAAATCTAAAAATCATCCTGGAGAAGTCTTTTTCACTGCGTCAATTCATCACATGGATTTCACAATTTATTGATTTTTTTTCAGAGTAACGCCAACAGATATTCCATTCTTTCAGCGATTTCGTCGCGATCGAACGGCAATGACGAGGTCGCTTTGAGAATCTCGTCAACGCTTATCTTCTTGTAAGTCTTCATGCAATGATTGTAAGCAGTGAGCAATTCCATATCATAAGCTTTTGTCCATTTCTAAAAATAAAACTCGTTACTGGAGAGGTTGTAGGATTTAAAAAATTTTGTTTCTGCCTTTTAAAATATCAAATTATATTAAAAATTTTTGGTCTCAAGACGAAAAAGTCATATTGGTGATCTAATTTTCAAAGAATCAAAAAGACCTTAAACTAGCCAAACACGTATTTTTTGGGTATTTTTTCGAAAATGTGCAAGATGCCATAAGATCCATGTTGATCTTAAAAAAACCATATTCTGGTACGCCGAGTAAAATTCAAATCTCTTTCAAAATAAACTTTCAAATCTAATTTTCATTCTATTCCAATTCGATCAATTCCATGTTCGGAAAATTGCCAAAAATGCCATTTTTACACAATTTCAACGAATTTGCAAGCGTCACCACCCCCTCCCCTCCCCCGTGTTTGCCTTTCGTCGACCCTTGGTTGCCCCGATCCCCAAATTTGTTCCAAGCCTGCCCGACGCCCGCCCAAATTAAAAAAAAAAATTGCAATGTAACCCTGAAGCCTAATATAAATTGGTGACTTACATTTTGGATTATTTTCACTGGCACAAAATTTCCCTTCTTTTGAACATACATTTGTCCAGCTTTGACCTAAAATTCAAGTCTCAACATCAATCACCAAAAAAAACAAGAAATTATTTTTAAACTACCATTAGGGACGTCTGCGATTTCTTGATAGTGGTTTGTGACGGAAAAACTTTGTCCAAATCAGAGATAATTTCGAATTGAACATCCGTTTCCGGAATCTCTCCTTTGGTAAAATCGATGTATTCGAAATCTTCTAAAGCTCCTCTGAAAATTTTGAAAAAAAAAGCTTATTATAGTTGCGCGATCGTGCCAATCACCGCTCTTTTGCCGCCAATCCGTAAAACACCTTCTCAATTCGCTTCCAAAGCGGCCTCTCGTGTCCCAACAACTGATGGAATCGTTCGGCGGCTTCAACCGAGCTTAGGTTTTTCCATTCTTCAAATCGAAAAATTCAACATGCGCACAGATAATTGGGGGGTCATTTTTACCGATTTTCGAAATTAGTTTGAATAGTTGCCGAACCGTTGGCGTTTTGATTTTCGCCGCCGATATATAACCCTAAATGTTTCTTTTCATTTTTTTCCATCTTCTTCTTCGTTTCTTTTTTAACCTCAATATCGAATATTGCGTGAATCGCAATTTGATATGACATTCGTAGAGGATCGCTTAGAATTTTTTGCGGCAAATATTCAATCGGCACAAATAATAGGGCGAGATTCAGTACATCCGGCATCATTTCGAACAGCTCCACTATTTTTTCAACCTTCTGAATATGGGAAACAAATTGACTGATTATTTAAGAACCTATTCAGACAATAAGAGAAATGTGAAAAATTACAGAACATTCCAATGTAGCGACGCAAATAGTTGCTGAAGAACTCTGCGAGACCCATGAAGAAATTTTTTGCCATACGTCTTTTTACGGTATTATTATTTTCTATTTGATTGATTCAAATTTTCTCTTTTTTTTTTTCATAAAATTTGCGCAATATTTCTTAATAAATTTTAGTTGAGCAGAATAATCAAAAATTAGTCTAAAAAATAATACCGTAACTTGGTAAAAAGAAAGACGCATGGCAATAAATTGTCTCTTGGGTCTCGTGGATATTTTTTAATTATTTAATTATAGTACTCATTGCATTTTTATTGCAAGAATAGGTCCATTATTTATATTGTTCGCTTCAAAAAAAAATCATCAAAATTCACCTGCTCTTCGTCAATCGATGAGTCATTGATTAAACTCTTGAGCTTCTTCCATTTTTCCGTATGCATAAATAATCGATTCTCAATGTCGTTGAGAATTTTCCGCGAGATGATCATTTTTTGCCAATGCCTATACTTCAAATCCTTCATTCCCATCTCGCCCATATTCTCCTTTTCCAAACGCGACCGCTTTCGGCGTTTTCGCAACGGATCATAGCTCTCCGAGAATCGTTCGCCGTCGTCGCTGGTGCCCGCTTCGCTTTCAAACGTCACACGAGATTCCTTAATGCATGGTTTTTCAATATGGGTTGTTTTGATTCAAGTGTTTCGCAACTTGTTCGCCAACGCATTCGGAAGCGCCGTCGACGTCGTGCCTCGAATACTCATCGAATCCAATGAAGTCCGTCCGCCAATCGTCGTCGCTCTCACCCCATTTCGGCGTTTTCGGCGGCGGCCCCAACGACGACGACGACGCGCCGCCCGGCGTGGTAAACTCGAAGTTGTCGAGGTTCGAGGCGTCGAAAATTGGTCCGAGACTCGACATCGGCCGTTTTCCGGGTGTCAGCGGCGTAATGAACGTGATGCTTCCCTCATCGATCATTGAATTCTCTTCAACTCTCTGTAGGTAACAATGAAACTTTATGGTATGATTGGGGAGAAAATAAACCAGAAAAAATAGAGAAAATTTAAATTTCCTTCGTTTCGATTTTTAAAAAAATTTTTCTACCCATTGTAAGGCAGATTTGGGGAAAATATTTCAAAAAAAAAATCAGTTAAAACTATTCAGTTTTGCTTTTATTTGAAGAATTTGAAGGTACCTAATTTTTCAACATTTCCAATTGAAAAAATTCGCATGGGAAACACATTTGAGCTAACAAAAATCGAATTACCAAATTTTGCTCATCTGCATTTTCAGGTCCTTCTTCTCGCGGCGACTCGTTCTGATTGCGCTCGTCGTTATTTCGACGCACCTCGTCGTCCATCGAAACTTTCATCGGCGTCAAAATTTTCCTCTTTCGTTTTGATGGCGATTCCTAAACATTGGGCTTCATTCAGAATGTTACGAGCTTCCATTAATTTATTACATCCGGAAAGAGTTGATTGACAAGCGCCGCGACGTGCTGCTTCTCCATTATAATCGGTTTACCGCCGTCAATGGTCCCCAGACTAATGTACGGACTATCATCCGAATTGGTCAAATTCGCGCTTCCTTGTGTTATCGCCACCGTTGGCGTTACGACGAACGAGCGGAACATTTCCATTTTTGGCACGATTTTGTAATTATCAATGACATCAAAAAATCGCGAAAAATACTTGAAAAATATTAATTCAACAAAAAAAATGTCTTCAAAATGCACCTTGTACCAATTCGGTTGAAAATCTTCAGGCCACAATTGAATTGGAGCGTCGATTACCGTAACCGGTGGAATTGGGAACTCCATTTTGCATATTCCTTGTTCGGCTTGCTGAAACTCGAGTTTGCATCAAAATAAGAATATTGGGCAATTTTGTTTTGAAATAAATCTTGCGTTTTACAAAAATTGAAGAAATTAATATTCAATCGTTTTTTTTTTCAATTAAATGTGCGCATTTTTACGTAATTGAACTCTTTCAGCCTTGAATTATTCACTTTTTCTTTTTTTTCGTGCCAATTTAATTGGAAATGGAAGAATAATCGATTTTTGGAGGAGATCGAACTAATTTTGTCGAAATTCGCGAATTTTTTCAATTTTTTGCGCAATTCGCTATCGAATCACATTTTTGTTTTGCACGGAATAACTAATTTAAAAAAATAGTTTTCTAATTGTGAATATTTCACAAAAAAAATTCTAAAAACTATCGAAAAGCTATAAAAAAACTGCAAATTGAAAGCAGAAAAGTTTTCTTTTCGATTTTCCAGGTTTCTTCCCAAAATTAATGCGCATAGCGCCACAAACGAAATTTAAATTAAAAAAAAACCTAATTATTAAATTTTAGTGATAAATATTTGAAAATTGCACGCAACATTCGAGCTTTTGCATTTTTTGCTTTTCTAATAAAAATTTACCGCAATGAGAATGTGTATAGGCGATGATTTCTCATGGACATTCCGCATAGTTTTCATATGAATTCGAATTTTATCCGGCGATCTTGCCGGCAAACAATTCTCATGAATCGCTCGGTACCTAAAACAGTCAAAATTCGATTATTTCTCGTTGTTGGCCATCGTGCCTATCCAGTGTGTTACAGCCATACGCGCGTCGCGGCAAATGAGCGAATTGTAATAATGCTAATGCAAGCATGATGTCTTCGGATCGCGTGAAATTCGTTTCCGGCAATAAATCCCTCGGTTGGATTTTCGGTAGAAGCGACGGAAATTTGATGGCCGAACTTCTTGAGAGCACAACGATCGCCTCGGGCCGAATCGCCGGACCCATGACGTCTTCGGTGTTTGAACTCCAATTCGTGAACACTTCTTCGACGGGCTCAACATGAATAATGTCGTGGCAAGACTCGATCGATGCTCCAAGATTTGGAATGTTGAATATTGATTGGGGACCATAATGGGCGTAGTAATTGTCGAGTTCGTTCTGAAATCGAATTTTCTACATTAAAATAAACGAACACAACTTACAATCATTCTTTGAGCTTGATTTTTCGTATCAAAGAAATTCTTCTCCCAATAGCACATGACAACACTCTGAAATTGAATTTATGATAAGATAGAAAATTTCACTAAAATTTAATTTTTAGCCCAGCTTTGCCTAAAATTTGCATTTTTTTTTGGAAATTTGTTCTTTTTTTCTTTAAATTCTTTTGTTTTTCGCCTATCGTTTATCTACAAAAGCAAATTTTCGATTTAAAAATAAACATAAAATGAATATCTCTTCGAATTGCCCAAAAAAAATGATTGAAAATTATTTTCAAAATCCATTTTTTTTTTCGCTGATTTCTGATCTAAAAATTGCCAAATCTGGTTCGGAAACCATCCAAAAAAGAGAAAACAAATTTTGGCGAATTCAATTTTTCTTGAAATAGAGACAAGTACCTGCGTCAATAACTGAACGTGCTGTTCTAGTTGCATTTTCAGCTGCTCGATTTCACACGGTCGGAAGAACACATTGTTGCCTATATCATTTTCGATTAGCAATGAATGAGTCAGAATGATTGAAATTTAAGGATATACAGGTTTTCGCTCATTTTCTGTTCCAAAAGTCATCGAATTCGGAATTTCTAATATTTGTAGTTCAAATATTGTCAGCGTCAAACGTCTAGTGCTACTTAATTGAAGGCCCCGCAAAATTTCAGTCGTTTGACGCCGACCATAATCTACTGAAGCAGCTGAGATCGCTGTTCAGGCCTGTCAGAAAATTTCGGTGATCCGGCAATTCCATTGCCATGATGTCGTTTCACGAACCTCTCAGCAGCGTGCACGATTGAGGTGCATTTTCCGCATTCTCTCTCAATCGCTTCACCACGTCTTCATCCTTCTGTCGTTGCGTTTTTTTGCCGACATCCTCATTTCTCTCGGCCGCCTTCCCCTAAACCATCACATTTTTTCGTCAAAAACCGACGCCGCCTTGACAATTCTCACGACTGTTTGAATATCGGGAATCGCTTCTTTTGGTATGACAGCCATTGGGATCTCCTTCACCGCAATGATTGTGTCCATATAGAGGCGTTTGACTTCGTTCGGCGGGATTTTCGTCGATTTGCCGCATTGCATGTCCTCGCGATAATCAACATCGAGAATGTTGTTGTCCTCATCGGAATGATATTCATAGTCGGCGTCTTCTGGATCATCATCGGGAAGTAGTTGATCTTCTGAATTATTAGAATTGCGATCAAATCTCATTTCTAGAATCACCTTTATGGATGACAGAATTTATAATTTTTAAATAATCGGGATCGAAATCATCGATTTCGAAATTGCTTTTGAAATGAAATGAGGTGTCCAAATCAGGAAATGAGCACGTCTCGTTGCGAATCGACGAATCGTTCAAATTTGCGCGTTCGGCCTCCGGACATTTCGCGCTCATTTCCTCTTTATCCATTTGCACAAACGGATCTTGAATTTCATCGAAATGCTCATGAATTGCTTCTTCAGCATGCTCCTCTTCTAATTCGTCGTCGTCGTCTTCTTCTTCGTCGGACACCTCTTCATCCGATTCGTCCTCTTCTTCGACCTCTTCATCGTCGACATCGTTGTCGGAAATTTCCGAGCAATAGTCTTCATCGAACTCGTCGTCTTCTTTGAATTGAAAATCGACGGTGGTGACGGCGACTTTTTCACCAGTTTCGGGCGTCTTTTTTCGTTTTGAGCGCGTTATTCGAACACCCGGAACGGTTTCATCGCCAGTCGTTTGCATGAGTACATCGAAAGCTTTCGGGTATTTGATTAAATGCTAAAACAAACACCCAAATGGGATCATATTAGCTAATTTTGTAATAAAATTTACATGAATAATTGATTTTGCGTTGAGCGTTGTCACATTTAACTCCATCGCTTTATTTCGTATTTTTTCGTCTGGATATAATTTCATAATTGTTTCGCGATCTTCTGGCTTCAATTCGCTGCAAAGATATTATTATTTAATTAAAAATTAACGGTTTACATTTTATTCCTTCTTGTTATCCGTTTTGGACCGTTTGACGTTGATGGTTCATCTTCATCAATTTCCAACGTTTCATCTCGTTTTCGTTTTCCGTTTTTTTCTTTCTCATTACTCATTTTCTGTGAGAAAAAACGAAAAAATTGGAAAAAACTGGAAAAGTTGCAAAAAAATTTGAAAAAAATCGCGCGCGTGGCCGCGGTTTTCACGTGACCTAGAAATGACGACACAAAACTCGGCCAAATTATTTTTTGAATTTAGAAATTCAAATTTTCTCCTAAACTTTCAAAATTTTAAGGTAAGGTCAACATTTATTTTGCAATATTTTAATACTTTCATGTCGTCAATCGTAATGCTATAAATATTGGCAATGAAATACTGAACAATGATGGAATACTAACGAGCGGAAAATATGGATCTAATAGAGCATCAAGGTTGGATCAAAAGAAGACGATGGCTTTCGATTGATGGAAACGATTTGTTCGGTGAAAACAACCATGGTAAGTGGTGGAACATAAAGGGAGAAAAGTGCGCACAGAGCCATGTAGAAAGCGTAGGATAAGCTGTAATTTCGGAATTTTCGAATTATCGCGAAAATTTTTTTGTTTTGTGTACCTAGCCTGACCAAACGTACTAAATCCGACAGAGATTTGATCATCAAGCAGCATGTTTAGCTTGATCGAGCTTTGAAATTGTGAATAAAATAGCGCTAACGCTCCTCCGTGTGATACAGCTTAAAAATTGGGGATTTTCTTAATTTAGTTTTTTTTCGCAAAATTCCTTACATGACAATAAACTCCATAAATATATTCCATTGGCACCAGCGATTGACGAATCGTGTCCGAGTGTGGTTAATGAGAATGTGCAGGAAATGACACCAGCTAGAGACCAAATAAGGGACATTGACTCGAAGAACAGGAAGAATATCCAAACAGAGCGGGTGAAAAACGACGTTCCGTCTTGGAGCTCTTCAAAAACTGAAAAAAATTTATCCATATAAATGTGTTATGCTTAGAAATCGTTTATACCATTAAATCGCGTGCCATTTGATCCGTTATGATCATACAGTTCTCTAGTACCTAAAAATGATTTTTTAATGCACCAAGTTATAATGAAGAGATTTTTTATTTAAATCCGGCGACTGCTGTACGCGGGTAGTTTTACGAGGAAGCGTCTTTCGAAATGGTCTCGCACGGACTAACAGGTTATTTCGCATTTTATGGATCGAATCGATAATTTTTAAATCGAACGACGTTAGAAATTCCAAGAAATGTCAAACTCACCAAGAAAAAATTAACCGTTCACGCGAAAACAGCAAAATAAGCGTTCACACATGACGAGACCTTTTCAAGGCGCATGCGCGTAAATCTACCCGCGTACAGCAGTCGCCGTGACGCCGACTATAGAACTAGATGAATATGCATCTATTGAATGTGGTTACATTTTCAAAAATCAAATGTCAAATTGAGACAAAATTTTTTAAAAATTAGCCTGTGGTAGTGTGCCGCACTTGCTATTATTTCTCGGAATTTTCAATTTTTTTTCTTTTTCAAATTGCCGGCCAATTTTTCTAGGCCGCACGCGCATTGCGGCGAGCTGTCATTTGATCGATCTACCTGTAAAGATGCCGGTGTTGACAATTCCACTCTTTTGTAATTCTCGCGTGTCGAGAACGTCGGCGCGCACCCAATTTTCAGAGAGCAATGAAAAGCTTACGAACATTATACTGAAAATGTTTTGTCTTCAATTGATCTTCACTTTTTTTTCAAATTAAAAATTTGTCGGGTCTCTATTTTTCCAGTAATCCAGGCGGTCCGTTAATTTGAAAAAAAAATAAAGAAAATGCCAATTTGAAAATTTACTGTAGTGTTTCTATGAAAATGCGGAAAAAAATTTCCCTAGAGTTTTTTTTGCATACCGTAATTTTTACGATTTGGCTGCGTATCAAAAACTTGCGAAACAACAGCATACATTAAAGGCGCAATGCAAAAATTTAATTTAGCGCGAACGAAAGAAAACTGTATTTTGTCTAAATTCTTTAATGAGATTTTATTTTTAAAATGTGCGCCCAATATACCCTAATCCTCCGCCAATTTATAATTAAAGGCGCATTCGAAAAATTCGCACTTTTGCTACTGTAATTTATCGTTTTTATATTTCTAGGTTTTTTTTTTTGTAAAAAAAAAACAATGTGAACAAATGATGTACAGTAACGAAATTGCGACGAGACCTCACGAAAATGTTCGCATGCGTCTTTAAAAAATAAATGGATGAGAATTACGGTATACATTGGAGATTGAAATGGAAAAAAATTGATATCAAAAAACTTTTTTGGTTTTTGATCGCATGAATACTGTAGGTCTATAATATTGATGGGCAAAGTTGGACAAACCTCAAAATGAACGCGATTAGGGAAATGATGACGGCAATTTTCTGATATCGCTCCATCGCGCGTTTCTCGCCGGGGGATCAAACTGGGCCAATATGCTGTTGCCGTTGCAGCAGCGCGCTTTTTTCGCGGTTTTGCGGTGGCAAATATCCGGAATGATACGCGCGTCCACGCTTGGAGTAGCCGCTTGTCAGTTTTATTTGCAATTCGCACACTAGGAGCAGCGAAAAAATAAGTGTTAGAGAGAGAGAGAGAGAGAGAGAGAGAGAGACAGAAAAAACAACAGCAATAATAATTGAAACACGAGCCTGTTTGGATTTCGAAATGATTTATTGCGTGATTTCGTTGCTATCAAACATTTTTGAAAGACTAAAAGGGAACCGTAAAAATCACAAAGTTGGGGGCAGAATTGAAAAAAGAAAATAACTGGAAACCCGTAATTCCATAAATGCACAAAATCTAGAATTATAGACTTGATAAGTCGGCTGAGAAGAACTGGTGTAGGACGCCTTGCGAGATTGTCGAGATCCATAGGAGGTAGCGTTCGAGGTATTCAAAATGGAGCGTCATCAATGCACCCCAATTGGTGAGAAGGCCGCGAACCTAATAAATTTGACAATTAAGGCGTCCTTCAATGTTTTGTGTTTTTTTTTTCTCTTCGCCCGATACCTGCTGAAGTTCGTCGATTGTTCGAATCGAGTGCAACAAAATTCGCGAGGCCGGCAAAATCGTTGTCGAGTTTGTTGAGAAAAGCGCCGTTTTTTCGAGGGTACTCATTCGCGCGATCTCCGCCCAAAAGTATTTGCGAAACGCCGCGTTGTAATGAAGCGAGAAGTCGCTCTCAAAATTGAAAATTGTTGAATTGCGCAAAAAACGAACGGAATTACTTGAAGCGCCGACGCGTACACAGCAGCATTTTTCGTGTTCACGATCGCCTTGGCGGTTTTCTTCAAAAGTCGATAGTCGTGCGAACACGCCGCCAATTGGACCATCAACACCCATTTGGGACCGTTCGATTTTAAGCGATCATCGAGAATATCGTGCTTCAATTATTATTATTATTATTATTATTATAGAGCCAGTCGGCATCAATTCATCCTACCACACTTTGCAGGTCTTCTTGTTTCGTCGTCGCAAATAATTGATGGCACACGGCGGTGACTTGTTTGTTGACGTCTTCCGTCCACTCATCTGGCGCGTGAATCCATTTTTGCGTCTAGAATTGACAATTGTTTCGAATTGTTTCAATATTTCAAATTCTTACGTGATAGGCGTTCTTGCAGCTCGGTAGACTTGTGGCACACCGTAATTGGTAAAGTTTCGAAAGTCTTAAATTCGACAATTTTTAATTTGCGATTTCGAGTCTCGTTTTTTTTTGCACCCCAACCTTTCAGGTCGTACAAGCCACAACGATGCGGTTTCGGCATCGATTTGGCTTTCGGCTAGTAGTCGGTCCATTTGCGAAACGACGGGAGCGAAATAAATCAGAATCGCTTGGTTGAGCTCGGTTGCTTTAAAAAAAATTGAATTGGATCCTAACACGATTAATAATATAAATAGTCGGGTTCTGAAAAGAAAAGCCAAGTCGGGCCCCAATTTTAAGCGGTTTTTTTAAAGATAAAATTATTCGTATGTCAAAAAGTGGGGTTTTTAATTGACCTATTCACGAAATGTATTATTTTTTTTTTGAAAAAAATGCTTTAAAAAATATTAAATTTAGAATTTTAACTTGAATTTCGAATGTTGTTCAAATTAGAAATTATCGAACTGATCCTTAAAATGCGAATCAACCAGTTGGTCCGCGTGAGACCCCGCACCCCGTAATTCTACCCACGTCCAGTAGTACGAAAATTTCTTCTTGAATACGGTATTTAAAGGCGCACGCAATTTTCGCAGTGAGTCTCGCGGCGACAAAGCTTTCTTTTTTTCTAGAAACCCAAAATCTCGCTCCTACCTTTGAACATGTCTATAAAATTGTAAACCGCGTCAATTCCAAATAGCATCACTTCAAGTTTTGTTTCATGCGCCAAATATCTAGAATTCGGAGCTAATCGAGAATAATCGATTTCGAAAATCTACCCAAGAAGGTACAAATAGAGATGCGGATTGTTCGAGTTGCCGAGAAAATATTCAGCGTCGACGATCAACTGCATTCGCGATTTGTCGGGAATTTCCTGATGACTCTGATGGAGTTGTCGAGCCAATAGTTTCCAATTGAGCAGATCGTAGTTCACACGATACGGGTACTTCCAGTCGGGATTCAGAAGGACGGCTTGTGTCGGCGAAATCTCGCCGTCGCCGAACGAGACCGTCCGATTTTTGAGCCAAAACTCGCGGATCACCTTCAAAACATTATGTCGTTTGGGCGAGTTCGATATGAGTACCTGTCCCTCGCTGGTTTTCAACGAGCCGAACATGTAGGTGATTGGAATCGTCCACAAATCCGCCGGATTTCGCACACGTCGCGGTTTTCGAAGCTCATCCCTTCTACTAATCGAGCTTATCACCGGTTTGAATGGTCCGCGCGGTGTACTAGCCTAAATCAAAAAAAAAAACTACTAACTGTGGTAACACAAATCCAATTGGATCAGACAAAATTTGGCTCCGGAATTAATCCGATCCAATTGGAAATTCTACGGATAAAATTGTAAAATTGTCGGATCCGATTGGTAATTTGTCGTATCCGAATCAAAATCGAAATATTAAAACAAAACGGATTTGAATAATAACCAATCGGATCCGAAGAAAATCGTATTCGATTAGATTTTCTTAGGATCCGATTGGTTATTATTCGAATCCGTTTTGTTTTAATATTTAATCGGATCCGAAAATACCCAAAAAACCAATCGGATCCGACAATTTTACAATCTTATCCGTAGAATTTCCAATCCGATCGGGTTGATTCCGGAGCCGATTGGTTTTTTTTTGTGATACCAGAGAATAATAAATCCAAAACGAAATGACATTTTCATACACATACCTTTCGGCGATTCTGCTTGTGTTTCCTTTTCTTCTCCTTCCTTCGTTCTATCGTGTACCCATCGAATAGCGTGTCGTCGAACGGTGTGCTTCCGTCGAGATTCTCAGCGTCGCGAGCCTCGCGCACACTTTCGGTATCGTTGCTCTCAGCGGTTCGCGAGACGCGAAATATCGCCGCCAATTTGCGATCCTTCAAAAACGCGCGATACTCGTGCCGAATCGTCTTCCGTTGGCTCATCGTCATCATCTCGTTGTCGTAATTTCGTCTGAAAACCAGAGCTCATGCGATTTCGATCTCATATATTGGCTTACGTTAGCGTCACTTCCGGAATTCCCTCATTAACGAACCATCCTTCTAGAACGTCATTGAGCTTCTCTTGGTCTGCTCCATGATCGGCGTATCCTGGCAAACTCGAGAACAGATCGTCCCTTGAAACCGATCGATACGCATTCTTTCGCAAGTATCTGAACCATTCCGATGATTGGGATTGCCATGTTTTTTTTTTGTCAATTATATTTCTCACCGGCGAACCGCCGCCTTGAAATCGAAATCCGTTACGAGATCTCGAATCATTCGTATCAGAACGCATCCTTTTGTGTAGAGGTTGGTTGGATGGAACGACAATTCCACTTGGGATTCGGTGGCTAGATCGCGCACAAGGGCCAGACGATGATCTTCGCCGCTCTAGAAAAAGCTTCATTGAACAAGAATGGCCAAAATATAATATTTTTTGGTACCTGTGCCGCGAAAAGAGCGTTGAGATTGTCGAAATACTCGAATTCCGATGTTATCGGTCTTTCGGTGCTCATCATCTCATAAACATAGAATGTTGCGAATCCTTCATTCAGAAACACCTCACTCCAATCGCGCATTGTTACCAGATTGCCGAACCTAGAAATTGATGATCGTCGTCGAAACTCGCCATTCGCCGTGCTCACCATTGATGGGCGGCTTCGTGGGCAATTAGTTTGCCGATTCGAAATTCGTTGTACATTCGATCGACGGTCTCGTTCACATGATCAGATATCGACGGGGTGTAGGCGACCGACGAGAACTCGAACACGATGAGGCCCCAATTCTCCATGCCGCCAACATGGAAATTCCGTGCGGCGATCATATCAATTTTCGGCAGCGGATAGGAAATCTGAATCGAAATTTTTCAATGATCGTCGTTTGTGTTGTTGAACAAATCTCACTTCCAATGATTCTTCGAGACGATCGAAAATGATCGGCGCGTAATCGAGCGTGAACTTCATCGACATCACGTCTTCGGGATATGTCCACACCGTCACCGGCACGCCGCGTTCGGTTCGCGTTTCGAGTTTGACGAACTCGCCGATGGCAAACGCCAACAGATACGTCGACATTGGCGGCGTTTGCTGGAATCTCGTCGTCACGATGTTCGTGTTCCATTTCAGATGAGGCGGCGCCTCAATCGGCGGCATGTTCGCCAGCACCGTGTATTTTTTGTCGTGCTTCACCGAAATGTTGAATGTGGCCTAAAGAGCGTCGAAATGAAACGATTTGATGGATGAGGTGTTCTCACTTTGACGCCCGGCTCGTCCCAACACGGGATAAACGAGCGCGCAAGAGTTGGCTCGAATTTCGTGGTGAACGATGTCGATTTCAACGACGAGTTCGTCGTCTCATCGAGCGAACAACGAACACCATCGACGTCCTCATCGCAAATCGTCATGTTGTATTCGATTTCGAGAATATATTTGCCTTTTTGCAGCGGGTCTCGCAGCGAGATTCGTCCCAATTTTTTCGACTCCTCTCTTTTAAACGTTTTCGCGTAGAATTTCCGAGTGCCCATACGCAATCGCATTCGCTCGATGTTAATATTCGGTCCGATGTGGAATTGAATCTCGTCCTCGGTGGAATTGCCGTAGCTTTCGAGATGAATCGAAATGTTGGCGCGAACGAATTGAGCGGTGTCGAATCGCGTCAAATCGAGCTGGAAAAAATTTTTTTTTTTTGAGAACGCTTTGATATGCCTTCTCGTACCTTTAAATCATAATGATATGGGAGAATGTAAAGTGGAAGCGGGACCAATAATGCATCGGTGGTCAGCTTATTTCCGCGGACCGCATGCAGCTGCTCGGCGATGTCGAAACCATTGTCGGGCGGCGGAAAAACGTCGGCGAATGTGTAGTTTCGTTTTTTGTGAAGCTTAAAAAGAAAAATAATATTGATTACGTACGGAAGGATCGTTTATTATGGGAACAAGCGATCGTAAAATGTCACTAGTGTCACTTTTATTTGATTTTATTGCCGGCAGATGTACGCTTTAAACATGTTGTGAGTCTCTTGCGAAAACCAACAAAAAAAATGTTACACCGAAACGCGTGCCTTTTTTTTTCAACACCCATATTAGTAATAAAACAATTTTGTTAGAGGAATATATATTTTAAAAAAATTGATTCCCGAAAAAAAACGAAAAGTGGCGGTCCGCAACGAGACGCGACGCACAAATGCAGAGTGTGCGCTCAAAATAATTTTCGACGTTTCTCATTTAAGAAGAAAATATAATTCATACAGGAATAATTCTTTCGATGACTCGCGGATAGTGTTGGGCCTTTTTCGATGTTGTGGTTAGTAATGTCGGCCGAGCGCGATCATCGTCCATCGGCGTCGGTGTGATTCGATCGGCATTCGCCAGTTTCGCGCTTGCAACGATTTCCTATAAGCCATCGTTAGTAGACAAACAAAATAATGGTTAGAGCGATACGCGCTGAAACATGCCATCCCACATTACCGTTGCTGTTCGATTCGTCGCGTTGCGCTCCTCGCTGATCCAATGGCCGATGACGAACGCGGCGAGAATTGCGAGAATGAAAATCGCGTGGATGAAAATGAGAACGATGCATTTTCGCGCGCACTCGGATTTTCGTTGGCGTCCGCCCGATGATGTCGAATCGTGTTTGAAGCCGGCCCGTATGCATGGCTCAACTTCAGCAGTCATCGCGAATTGATGCCTCATCGCCGATTCCTCATTATTCGTATTTCGAGAATTTATGAACTAGACGAACTGCAATCCGACAAATTGGACTTTATAATAAATGTATGGAATAAGAGGCAATTAGAAAAGACGGTTACAGAAGCGAAATGACCTTATACAGTAGGGGGGGGTGCATAATCTGTCCGTGACTAATCCTCAATATGTCCATTAGTGCAAATAATAGAAGGGGGTTGGACGGCGCGGGGGTTTCAAATTTCAACGCTAATTTTTAAATACATTTTGTTTTTTTTTTGGTCGACACTTGCATGCGCCTTTAACGATTGTGGAAATTTTCAAAATGAGGCAACGAATTTTGCACGCGGCGGTTTTTTTTCTAGCGAATTCGGAATCTTTAAAGGGCCAACAACTGAAGTCGATGGGTTTGGAACAAAAGGGAAGCAGTCGATTTCCGGTGCGAGAAAAAAAAGTGAGTGGACCTTTTTTGAAACAATTCTTTTGGGGGGTCCCACGAAAATAATAATGTATAGAATAATAATAATAATGAAGTGTGCCTGAATAGTTTTCCCATTTTGCTTTTGTGTTGAAGAGAAATTTGATAGGCGACTTAAATGAATAATAAATAATACACTTGAAACAGCAAAAGAAGAAAAAAAAACAAAGAGGACAAATGACGGCGAATCGGATCAATAAAAAAAAATAGTCGTCGAGAATGGTTGAGATCGTAAAAATTGGTATTGTTGGGGGCCAAGGGGGGACCCGAAATGAACCATAAAAATAATGTTTCGCGAGTTTCTCATGTAAAACATATGTCTTTGGGTCCCCGCTCACGGCGACTCAAAGTGGTCAGTCGAAAATCAGCGAGCGAGCGGGACTAATTATTTCAATAATTATGCGGGCGCGCATAATTTTTTTTTCGCGAATGAGTTCGAGAATTGCAAACAGATGGTTGAGGCGGCGATATTGGTCACATGAAGCGATGTTTGATTGATGGTGCCCCCGTCATTATGGTACGAATTTACACATACATAGTTTGCCTAATAAATTTTGATGGAATAATTAGGCGATTTTAATTTCTTGGAGTGCGATTGGCAATCAATAAAAAAAGCAAAGGAAAATGATTTATGGTATTAGGCAGAATGCTGCGAGCCTTGATTTGGGGGTCCTAAGGAGTCTCTGAAATGGAGGATCATTGGGTGGTCCTAGGGAAGGACCCCTTCCTTTAAACTGGTTTTAGTAATATTTTCTAGGGTGATATTCGAATATTTTCGAATTCGGACCCCCTAGGACCCCCCTTTCAACATTTTTGACCATTTTTGGGTAAATTTGTAATTTTCAAATATTTTCGGATCTTTTTCACAATAGTTTTTTGTTCGTATCGGTTTTTAAAATTTTTTCAATTGCTGGAAATTTTTTTTCGTCATTTATCGATTAAAAAAATAGAAGTTTCGAATTACGCCTCACTTTTTAAAATTTAATTTTTCGAAAAGATGTGAATTCTCAATTATGTGCAATTTTGCGTGAGTGTGTATGACACTATTTTTTTTGAAATGTGGAAACCAAATTTTCGAAAAATTCTCTATTTTTATTTTTTTGTCATACTTGGAAAAAGTTTTCCCAGAAAAAAATTAATTCCTAAAAATTGAAAATTAAAATCACATTTAATTTGCTATTTAATTATTTTTCATGTAAAAAAATGAGACGAGCATCTCGACAAAATTTTTTGTGGACCATCGAACTTCTTCGATGGCCAGAAAAATTGAAAATTTGATTTTAGACCCCCCGGTGTGTTTGAATTGCCGCCATCGCCAAGAACAACAAACCAAGCGATCCCGGAAAATGTCCGCAGATGTTTTTCAATATTGCTCGTTGCCAATTTTTGATTGCAATTTTTACTTTTGCGAAAAATGGAAAAAAATACACACATAGATTCTCATTGAAGAAGAAACAAAAAAGAATTTCGGTTCAAAATATGTATATGGATTTTTTGGTCGTAATAATGACAAACGGCAATGTGAAAAATGTATGGTAATCCCCGCAGATTACCGCCCCGACGATTTTCTCTTTGGGATTATATTCATGATGGGAATGACAAATGTCAAAGGGACCATTGAAATTTGTTTTGGTTTTTTTTAGGGGAAAGAAAGAAAGAAGAAAAAAAGCGACAGCTACCAAGTTTTAATATCTTATGAGTAAATAGAGAAGGGGGGGGGGTTCGAAAACAAACAAGGCGCAAATTAGGTGATGTTCCAACGTTGGGTGTGGGTGTGGGTGTGAGAGAGAGAGAGAAGAGTTGTGCAAACACTCATTAGAGTGGGAAGAGCCGGCCGGGGCAGAAAAAAAACACATACAGGTGCGTCATTGGGGGGGGGGTTCTGAAATGTTGGATGATGCGGGGAGAGGGTGAGGAAGTGATAAAGGGAGGAGATGAGAGATGGGAAGTGTTCGGACGGCAAAAAATTATCAATCAAAATAAAATGATGAAGAATAGGCGAAATTGAAGAGCGATGAGACCCCCCCCCCTAATTATTATAGACAGACGACTGGCATTGTGTACGATTCGTACAACCGAAAAATTATTGGTTTATCTGGTTATCAATGCAATTGAGATTGATGAATGTGAAAAACTCGCAGCGATATTCGATGCATTGTGTGTGTACACCGACCTTGGCTACAGTAATCTCAATCAAAAATTAATTTTAAAAATTTTTTTCTGTGTTTTCTTGGCGAATTTTTTGATTATTTTTGTGTTGAATAATTTTGTATATTATTCAAAAATTAATCATTTTATATAAAATGAAACGATCAATAATTAATTAAATAATTTTCAGTTGAGATTACTGTAGCGAAAAGACTCGATGTACGCACACAATCGCATTTGTCATTTTTCCGCAATATTTAGAACATTTTGTATTTGGGAGTTTATTTTGAATCAATTTTTTTTTGAATTACGCGCCAATTTCAAAATTTTCAAGTGTGTGCAATTTTGCGTGAGTGTGTATGACACCTCTTTTTTTTCCTATTCATTTCTCGAGTTTTCGCATATTACTAATTGAATTGTTTTTCTCTTCTAAACGACAATTTTTTTCGCTTTTTTTAAATGGACCAATCTGTGCAATTTTGCGTACGTGTGCCTTACGGACTTTACGAAATTGCGGATTTTTCTTCAACAATCTTCAACGATTTTTTTGTCACATTCAAATTTTCGAAAAATTAACATCTCATTTTTTGAATTACAGTACCGCTAATTGGCATTTTTTGAAATTTCCCAAAAATGGAAAAATCGACAAATTTCCATTTTTGAATATATTTGTTAACTTTTCGAAATTTTGTGGATGGGCCGACCAAAAGGGTCCGTAAAAAAGGGGGTTCTCCACTTGCTGATATTGAATGCCAAAGGATTCAAGTTTTTTTTTGTCAAATTATTTTTCAAATTATTTTTTTTATTTCTTGCTATCGCTGGTTTGGCGGTTATTTAATGCCCTATATTGGGTGTGGCTGAATGGTCCTTATTAATAAGATGGTCCCCCCCCCCCAATATTCTGGAACTTCTTTCCAGCAAAATAGCTGCTGTAGAGATTTAAAGGCGCATGCAAGGAAGCTTACAAAAATGTGGAATATATGAAATTGCTAAGTTTTATTTCGAATTTCTGCAAATTGCTTCATACGACTTTGATCCCCATCTCGACAACTAGGAATTGTTGGCAGGTAGATCAATGGATTGGAAAAAACAAAGCAAAATCACAACGAAAAAAAAAATGGAAATAAGCAGAATTCGAGAAAGAAATGATCAATTTCAGAAAAAATTTTTTTCAAGTTCGAACCGCTGGGAATTGTTTTGCACAACTTCCGGCTCAACCCAATTCGTTTGGGCGGGTTGAGGTGGGTGTGAAAAAGAAAAAAAATTTGGCGAAGAAACGAAGAGGAATTGGTGGCTCTTTCTCTCCTTCTGACGAACGGTGGTCCCTTCCCAAAAAAAAAATATTACTCAAAATTTAGTTTTGATGGGTCGACGACGTCCGCGCGTCGAAGAAGAATAAAAGGAAAGGAGAAAATAAATTGAATATATGGGGAATGGGGGGAGGGGTCGAATATATTGGGGGGGTCTAGCGTGCACACACACATCCCACCCACTTCTCCGCTAGTCTCTATGCCTTCTTTTTCGTGCGTACTCGACGACGAATTAGAAAATAACCATATAATAACTAACAATGATCGGTTGTGACCGCGTTTTGCCCAGAAGGAACGTGAGCAGCTCTTCCTCTCCTCTCTTCCTCCCCCCTTCCCTCCCAAAAGTATTAAATGGACATGACGTTTTTGAGAAGGGGGGAGATGGGATTTAACGAAGCACCCCCTCCGTCAAAATACGAAATGACTTTGAAGCATACCTATAAGGCATTCAGAAATATTTAAAAAAAAATGCATTTTTTGTGAAATACGATTTTAAATACGCGATTTTGCGTCGCGGTGTTTGCACACATTTTCGGCTTTTTGAAATGAACGATGGGATTTAATGAAATTAATTATAATGGAATCCACGCGAGGCGATGATGATATGTTCAATGATGTCACACACCAAGGAAAAGTGAGAGTACGTGATTTTGCGTCGCCGTGTTTGCACACAACGCTATCACTTATTTCGCTAAATTTGAAATTTTTCAAAAAAAAATCATCTAAGTAAAATATTTTTTTTGGAATCGAAATACGTGATTTTGCGTCGCCGTGTTTGCACACAACGCTATCACTTATTTCGCTAAATTTGAAATTTTTCAAAAAAAAATCATCTAAGTAAAATATTTTTTTGGAATCGAAATACGTGATTTTGCGTCGCCGTGTTTGCACACATTCCAAACACAAAAAAAACGACCACCCTGCGCCGATTTGCGGTGAGTTTGATTCGTAGGTTATCCAGAGTACGGTACTCGAAATTGAAATTTGAATTGCCGCCGTGAAGAAGTGCGATGGTCCACAATAATTCAAAACGCTTGTTTTTTAAAAATAATATTTCGCTTAATTTTATTTACTGTGATTTTGCGTCGCGGTGTTTGCACACATTTTCAGACGCTATCATTTATTTTGTTAAATTTAACATTTTTTATATTTGAAAAAAGCATTCAAAGAGATTTTCGACAAAAAATTGGAAAATAATTTCATGAATAACACAATTCCTCTGATTTGGCGCCAAATTAAAATTTTTGCAAAAATTTTTTCTCTTAAAAATTTGAAAATTTCGAAATAATTATTTTACGAGATTTGAAGTACGTGATATTGCGTCGCGGTGTTTGCACACATTTATCATTTATTTTGTTAAATTAAACATTTTCTGATAATTTAAACCTCGCATTTTAATAAGAAAGTATCAAAATCTAAGAATACAAAATTATAGACTGTTTTCCAACAAAAATCCGGCTTGCGTAATTATCCTATGTGGCCAGACGCGTTGCGGTCCGCGTGCGGCTTGATTATTTTTTTTCTACAAGGTCTTGAAGCGAAAAATTGAAAAAATAAAAAACACTAAAGTTTTGGCGCGTTTTTCAAATTTTTTGTCGTCTTTCAAAAAAAATTAAAAAAATTTCGATTTTTGTGGATTTCTTTATGGATGGCAATAATAAAAACTATAAAATTTTTGGAAATTAATGAATTTTGATGTGCCATTATTCGGGCGGTATTTAATGGCGTCGCTGAAATCGCCATTCAACTCTCTCACTATCTGAAAAAAAGGCAAGAAAACCACCGATGAAAATTTCCAGCCTATTTCTATTGGTTTTCGTTTTTTCTGGCACAACGGCGAGCGGAATTGTAGGGATTTTTTAGATCTTTAAAAAAGATTTGATTGAAGCTTCATTCAAAATTTCAGGCATGCGAAAATGATGGCGATTTTCATCACAGGTAGCTCTGCGGCAAGGGAGGCGATTTTTCTCTCTCGAAATTTGCTCTTATTAGCTCTGAAAAATTTCCTATCGAAAAAAAATGATAGCAAAAATGATTGCGACTGGGAGGAGTCGAACCCGCACCAAAATGTTCGCAGGCGCGAAGACTTTCCTCTTAACCACCGCAGCACCTGGCGGCGAAGGCATAACCTCGGTATATGAAAGCGCGCATGTGAATATGCGCAGGAAACAAATTTCAGATTGAAAATTTTCAGAGATAGGAAATTTTTCATAGAGCAAATTTAGAGACCAATGATCTTCCTCCCTTGTGAGAGAGAGAGAGAGAGCGAAAAGAGAGAGGAGCAAGAAAAAGAATTGTAGAGCGAAACGGCATGAAGCGAAAAATCGAAAATACATGGACAACGCGCTTGGAGAGGGTAACATTAAATCGCAAGGGTTCATTTCGAGCCTCGTACTTTCAGTCGCCGGCGGTGTCGCAGTTTACGCGGTAGGCATTTCGCCAATGATTCACCGGAGTTGGTGTGTTGTCGACGCGTTTTGCAGATCGAGAAGCTTGCCGACGTGCTCGTCGAGCGAATCAGCGGCCAACAGCGGCGTCAACGCTACGGAGCGAGTCGAGCCCATCATTTCGAGTTGATTTTTTCTCATTTTTTGCTTTAATTATGAATTTTGTAGCGAAATTCCCATGGAAATTGAAGAATTCGAGAAGCGACGTCACATGCGATCGCAAGAGTTCACTCAAGACTTGATGGGCCAACGGTATTTCCAATCGAATGAAGCTCGACGACGTCGGAATGATGAAGTACAATTCGCGTGAAGCTATCTTGTAGAGTGATTTTGAATAAAAAGCAATTAAAAAATCAATTTTTCATTTGAATTCAAAATTCCAAAAAAAAATTGACGCGAGATATCGTAGTTCTCCGCTATTCATTTTTAAAGGCGCACGCGGAAATTTGCGCTGGGTCACGACGTGAAGTCGGTACTGTATTTTTTATTTTTCATTCAATGTGCAATTTTTCCGTATTTTTCGAAAACTTTGAAGAGGAAAATGAGCAAAGTCTTGAAAAAAACGGGAAAAAATACAAATATTTGTATAATTAGTCCTAATTCGATAATATATGTCTATTTTTCGTCATTTAGATACCAAATATTATGAGAAATTCTGATATTTGTGTTGATTTGATGCCGACTTCGCTCGATGACGCTTCTGATGAACCCTTAGCGTTGAGAAAACAAAATACTTTTACAGATTTTCGAAAAAAAAATTTAAAAACAAAAAAAAACAGTCATTAAAAAAAATACAGTACCGATTTCGCGTCGTGACCCGGCGCAAATTACCGCGTGCGCCTTTAAAAATGAATATTGGAGGGTTACGATATATCGCGTCAATTTTTTTTTGGAATTTTGAATTAAAATGCAATTTTTTTTTATTTTGATTTTTTTAAAATTTTTCCATTGCATGAATAGGTCCATAACAAAAAAATAAATAAACAAATAGACAGTCGGATCTCATGAAAAATGAGGTTGTATGAAATTGATGGTCGAGAACCATTTTTAGGGTGAGGCGGGCCAGATGCAATCTCGTCGAGAAACAGCGTGCGGTTGAGTGGAGACGTCGAGAAAACACCAGATGAAAATCGGTGATAAAAAATTGGAGGCGACGACTGTCACGGATTAAAAATGAGATTTTCCAGAGGTTCCGACCGACGAGCATGAGCGAAGTGCGAGAGAGAGAGAGAGCCTCACGTCAGTCACTTTTTGAAGGAATTATGTAAATCGGCATTTGCGTTGCCTCCGGATTTTCCCGCCGAAAAATTTTATTTTTATTATTATTATTTTTTTTTTGAGGCGCTTTGATTATTTTATCTGAGCCGACAACGGTGTACGGTAGACATTGCGGTGTATGCACACACGTACACCAGAGTTGACGCGCATCTACAGAGTTTTTTCTTGATATTCTGGTTTTCTGTCGTAGATTCCCTAGTAATATTGTATCTAGATATTATTTTATGTTGATTTCACACTATGTTTTGAATTGCCGCCCGTGGGTCTCGTATGGAAAAATGAATGGGGGGGGGGCGAATTGAATTCGACATCATGTGAAAAAACTACTTTGGCTCATTTTAAAAGTGTCCAATTTCAACGAGTAACCGACTATTTTATTTCACGTGACCCGATTAATTGGTAGCCCGCGAAATTCAAAAATTTTCGAATTTGTTCCTATACGAAAATATTATTATTATTATTCAGATGATTCGATTTTTTCTGCATGTTGGTATCGCGGTGTTTGCGGACTTTGTTGCAATTTAAAAAAAAATAAATTTTCACGAACCCATATATAGCCGGTTTTATAGAGAATCGCAAATTTTCGTTTCTCAGAAATATGCAATTTTCGAACACAATTTTTGAGATTTGAAAAAACCGAAAAAAAAATTTTTGAGAGATGTGTGCAAACACCGCACCGCAAAATCGCGTATTTAAGATTTTTTTATTTTTGATGTTTTAAATTGTCCATACTACATATAAATTAAAGCGATATTTTGGCGAAATTTGAAAATTTTGAATTACCGCGAAAATTCGTAAAAAAAATTTGCCTTTTGAAATTTCCAGTTAAATTCGACACAACTCGATCGGATTTGTTTTCCCTTCGAGACCCAAATAGCGTAAAATTAAAAATTTCAAAGAAAACTCACGATTTTATGGTATGAATTGCGATGAGGGCATCAAATTTCGATGGAATCAAGAAAATGAACACACAAAGGGTATGGGAAAGAGACGAATTTTGTGGGGGGGGGTTGTCATCAAGAATTAATTTATACGCTGATAAGCGTATCGAAATTGATAAGCGCCGTGTGTCGACGTATGGGAATTCGCGAGATTTTCAAAGTTGAGGGCGAAGAAAAAAAAACGCGAGGTGCTTCAACGAGGATTAGGTAGAATAATACTTTTTTTTTGGGGGGAAAAGACGTATTATCGGCGAGCGAACATTTTTTTCGCCTTTTTTCGCCGAAATTGACACTTTCCATCGGTGCCAATAATTGTGAAGTTGGGACGCGGGAGGGGGAGAAACGCATCAATTAACAAGTGGCTTCCATCCGAATTGATGTATAATTGTTACGGCGAAAGCTGCCAATCTGACTGATTGATGTCGGACGGCGCTGGGCTCACCTGGAAGGGGGGGGGGAGGTGTGAAGCAGGGCTGTGGAATTGCCGGATTGCCGAAATTGCCGAAATTTATATTTTCGGCAATTTGATATCAAAAAAAAAAATCGGCGAAACAAAAATCAATGTCCATTGAATAATTTGGGATACCGTGAAAATTCGGTGTTTATATTTCGAATTATCGTTGAAAACATTTAATAGCCGAAATTTTGATTTTTGGCAAATTGCCGAATTGCCGAATTGCCGAAATTTCCGATTGCCGCACAGCCCTGGTGTGAAGCAGGGCTATGGACGATGGACCTATTCAGGCAATGGAAAGAATTTCTAGATTCAAATTAAAAAAAAAAATTTCATTTTAATTCAAAATTCCAAAAAAAATTGACGCGATATATCGTAACCCTCCAATACTCATTTTTAAAGGCGCACGCGGAAATTTGCGCCGGGTCACGACGCGAAATCGGTACTGTATTTTTTAATGACTGTTTTTTTTTTGTTTTTAAATTTTTTTTTCGGAAATCTGTAAAAGTATTTTGTTTTCTCAACGCTAAGGGTTCTTCAGAAGCGTCATCGAGCGAAGTCGGCATCAAATCAACACAAATATCAGAATTTCTCATAATATTTGGTATCTAAATGACGAAAAATAGACATATATTATCGAATTAGGACTAATTATACAAATATTTGTATTTTTTCCCGTTTTTTTCAAGACTTTGCTCATTTTCCTCTTCAAAGTTTTCGAAAAATACGGAAAAATTGAACATAGAGTGAAAAATAAAAAATACAGTACCGACTTCGCGTCGTGACCCGGCGCAAATTTCCGCGTGCGCCTTTAAAAATGAATAGCGGAGAACTACGATATCTCGCGTCAATTTTTTTTTTGGAATTTTGAATTCAAATGAAAAATTGATTTTTTTTTCAAATTTTTGAAATTTCATGAATAGGTCCAAAAAATGGGAGTCCATTGAATAATTGATTTGGGAAAATTCGAAAATTTACCGTGAAAATTCGATTTTTGTATTTCGAAAAAAAATTAAAAGCCGGCATTTGTGTTTTCGGCGAAGGCGAGTAGAAATCAAAGCGTCGTACGATTTTAAACAGCACTTAGCTATCAAATAAAACGATCAATTTGATTTGAGTCGCATGAAAAAGATTTTTTTTTGCAAAATGAAAAAGTTCATTTGGACGAGTGGGGGGAAATGAGGCAGAAATTAGAAGAATTGGAGGATTGTCTCGCCGGACGATTCAGCGGTGAGCAATTCTGAAAATTTTTGCGATTTTTAAGACATCGACGGGCTTCGTATGAAATATCTCGACGCGATCTACACTATCAAATTCTCGTTGAGACAATTTAAGAGGTCTTGATGCGCGGTGTGCGCCTTTAGGCCCGTAAATCTACACTTCTTTTTTCAAAATTTGAATTTCCGGGAAAATTGGTCATTGACGGTTTTCCGTTGATTCGAAGCACAAAAAAAATGGAAAAGTCGAAAATCCTGTCTTTAAATTTTGAGCAACACACATGCGCCTTTAAAACATCTCTACAGTAATCGCTATAAACTTTGATGCGAATAAAATGGTAAAATTGGTTTTGATCTACCAAATTTCTTTTCTGACGGACCCTTTTAATTTCCGCAATGTTGAGAAATACAAATTTTGGCCTCTCTAGAATATACCTTCATCATAAACATCGACGCCACTGTGATCGATAACATCAATTGCAGAACCCTCTTCCTGAAAATGGGACGTCGGAAAATGAAATCAATCAATATGGATTCCGAGCAAACCGATTGGACAACAGCCATCGTTAGAAGAAGAACGATGAGGGTGACGATGAGAAAAGTGCGGACCATTCGGCGTTCGGGGGTTGTAATTCTGCAAGAAAAATTCGATGAGAGAGAGACTCGTCGAGTCCCAAAAAAAAAAACAACATTGTGCTCGAGTCGTTTTTTGCTTTTCGTTTGCAAGAAAAAAAAGTTGCACGCATTTTTGCGACGAACAGTTGTTTGAATGAGAAGGTCATCGGCGAGACGTGAGCACGATGAAATTGTTGCGATCGCCTCGCTGTACGATGGGATTCAATGGAATCCACGCGAGGCGATGATGATATGTTCAATGATGTCACACACCAAGGAAATGTGAGAGTACGTGGTTTTGCGTCGCCGTGTTTGCACATAATTCATTTTGTTAAATTTCGTATTGTATTGCGTATTGATTTGAAAAATTCGAAAAAAATGAATTTCACGGGATTTGAAGTACGTGATTTTGCGTCGCGGTGTTTGCACACATTCCAAACACAAAAAAAAACAAACACACTGCGCCGATTTGCTGTGAGTTTGATTCGCAGGTTATCCAGAGTACGGTACTCGAAATTGAAATTTGAATTGCCGCCGTGAAGAAGTGCGATGGTCCAAAATAATTCAAAACGATCGTTTTTTTTTTAATAATATTTCGCTTAATTTAATTAACTGTGATTTTGCGTTGCGGTGTTTGCACACATTTTCAGACGCTATCATTTATTTTGTTAAATTTAATTTTTTTTAATTTGAAAAAAGCATTCGAGGAGATTTTCGACCAAAAAAATTTAAAAAAAAATGCAAAAATAACGCAATTCCACTGATTTGGCGCCAAATTAAAAATTTTCAAAAAAATTTTTTTTTGGATTTTTGGATTTGATTTTGGTGGTATCTCTTAAAAGGTATTGCGTATTGATTTGAAATTCGAAAAAAAATTTCACGGGATTTGAAGTACGTGATATTGCGTCACGGTGTTTGCACACATTTCATGAGCCATCACTTATTTCGCTTAATTTAAATTTTTCAAAAAAAATGCATTCAAATGAGATTTTTGGCAAAATAATTTAAATACGTAGTTTTGCGTCGCGGTGTTTGCACACATTTTCAGACGCTATCATTTATTTCGCCAAATTTGAAATGTTCAAAAAGAACCAAATTTTTTCGTTAAAATACTGTTTGGCGTCAAACTACGTGATTTTGCGTCGCGGTGTTTGCACATAATTCATTTTGTTAAATTTCAATAGTTTGCAATTCAAAAAATGCATTCAAATGAGAATTTTGACAAAAAAAATTTTGGAATCGAAATACGTGATTTTGCGTCGCGGTGTTTGCACACAATCCTATCATTTATATTTATAGTTGAATTCGAAATTTTCAAGAGAATAATCTAGAAAGAGAAACCACAAAAAATCGAAAAATCACATTTTTTGGAAAATTTCAAAATGAAGCAGCTATGCACACTTTCCGCCCGACATTTTTTGCAAATTGCAAACTCCAAAAAAAAGATCAAAGAGACTCAAATGAACACTCGTTTTTTGTGGCCATCATCACCCAATTCTTTTGTGATTTTTCTTCCAGAAAATCCGGAATTTCGGCGCCTCTCACACCAATAAACCAGCCAATAACTTGACGACACAATGACCGAACGCTAGTATATAAATATCGATGTCGACGACGGTGTAGATCAGCGCAACAGAATGCGAGCCATTCTCATCACATTCGTCGTCATCGGACTCGTTTACTCGATTCCGAATCCCGATGGAAGTGTCAATGGTGAATCTTTGTTTAAGATTTTTCTCAAAAAAAATTGTTCCCAATTTTCAGCGAGTTATGTCGCCGGCGGTGAAGTCTTCGACGGTTCGTCCGAAAATTTTGTTTTCCATTTTACCCAAAATTTTTCCAGAATCGCTCACCAACCAAACCGCCCGTTTGAGCCGTCAGATCGATGCCGAATCGCAAGAGAGCGCTGAACATGGATCGGGAATCGATTCGGAATCCCTAGAGGACGTTGGTGTTGAGCCACGATTCAAACGCGGCGGTATGACGGATTAAAGAGCCATCGAATCAATACGAATCAATTTCAGGTGGATTCGGTCAGAGTGGCTGCGGTGGCGGTGGCCAGCAGGGTGGCGGCGGTCGCCAAGGCCAGCAGCAGCAGGGTGGCGGCGGTGGCGGCGGCTATGGTGGACGCCAACAACAACAACAGAATGGCGGTGGAGGCTACTAAATAGAATCGGACCATCGATAAATAAAACGGCATTTTTAATTCATGTCTCGTCTCAGCATTCATCAAATGATGCCTCATTTCCGGCCAACTCGATTAACGCAATGTTTTAGCTCTCGTTTTTTTCTCTTTTTTTTTGCGCTGCCGCTAATACCCAATTATATGTATCAATGTTGATGAGGATGAAAAGGGCAAAACCGAGCGATAGGTCGGCATCATCATTTCTCGACAAAGAAAAAACCAATGTGAGAGCGCGCTCGCGCGGTGAATCCCAATAAGGCGACGCTCGTCGGAAATCTATTTTCCCCAGAAATTCGCCATTTCTATTTTTGCGCTGGATTATTCCTACACTTTTAATCATTGCCAAATCCATCTGTAATCCTGGCCACGCCTTTTCATTATTCACCCGCCAAACTATTACTATATATTATTATAACTATTTTAGAATGTCGCTTCTTCAAACGCTCATCGTTCTGATGCTCATCGCGGCTTTGATTCAAGTCGACGCTCAACGATTATTTGTAAGATGCCTTCTTGTTTCTTCTCATTGAGCTTCAACCCCCTTCAGGATGTGCTTTTGGCGAGAAACGAGGAGCTCAACTCGCTTCGCAACGAGCGCGCTTTCCATCCGGTCAACGGTGTGCTCAAGCGAAATTCGCTTCTCGACAATTTGTACAACATCGGATACATGCCCTATTGATATTGTGTACCCCCCCCCATATCGGTGTTAATAAAGAAATTTATGAAATTGTTGGTCCCAGCTTCATTGAAAATTGTTGAAGTCCACAGCATCCAATTTAAGTCCCTCCCTTCTCTCAAATCAGGTGTTCTCATTGTTTTCCATTACGGACCATCACAGCAATTCGTCTCCCCTCAATTCGGGGTGCAGATATCAAGGGTGAAGCGACACCAACGCAATGTTCGTTCCACCATTTAATTAGTCGTCAATTATTCATTTGAATTCGGCCTCCCAGCGGAATACCAAAATTAAAGACGAATTTTTTTTTGGATAACAATTCGACGAATTATTTATGTGTGCGTTCACACATCAATTTTCGAGCAACTTCCGCTCGTCTGGAAATTGAAAATCTTCTAGAAGACTCGAAAATAATCGAATAATGTATGCGCGAATGAAAATTTTCATAATTAATTAAAATGATGTGATCGGAAAAATGTTTTGGGCATTGATCGTCGGCTTCTGAGAAACGATTTTTAATGTTGTCAGGTTTTTCTGAAATATAGTAATTCGTTGTTTTTTTTTTTGACATATATAGGTTCAAGTTTTTTTTTCTACAGAATATATCAAAAAAGGACTGAAAGAAAGGGATTGAGAAAAATAAAAATTTTGGCTTTTCTCAAACAATTTTTTCGAATTTCGCAGCCATTTTTGTCAAATTTAGTCGATTTCCAACCGATATTTTAGTTATAGACTTCAAAATTCCATGTTTCTCCGACAAAAATTGAAAGAATCGCTTTTTTAAGAGAAAGAAAATTCGGTGCAATTTTGCGTGCGTGTGCCTTACGGACTATTACGGTAGGGGACGCCGAAGTTGTTTTTTTTTTTAATTTTTCCCTTATCAGCTTTCAACTTTTTTATTCACAGCCAAATTTTCGAAAAATCAACATCTCAGGTCTCGTACGACTTTTTTATAGATATTATTCTATTTGATATTAATAATAATTGCGCTTAAACACCTTATTAACAATTTCCCAAAAGCAGAATTGTTTATCGGCTATCAGTCAGTCGAAGTGCTATCGATGATCACCGCAAAGGGATATGATTGTGCCGCCAAAAGGGCTTTCACACTTGCCAATCCGCTCGGGACCATTTTCTTTGGCGGAAGTTGAATGCCGCTTCACACCTTGCCGTTATCGCCTACATTATCAATGGGCGTGTCGCGACGGCCACTATAAATACGGTTCGGCCGGCCAATAATTGGATATCATATCAATTATGAAGCTGTTCAACAAACTCCGCCATCTTGTTCGTCGCTCAAGCGGCTCGTCGCACCACTCGGACACTTATTCCGATGCTTCCGACACCGACTCATGCTCATCATCAACTGCAAGCACTACTGGCGTTTACACAGTGGTGAGTGAGGTTTTTCATTATTTTTTTCAAATTTTTATGATTAATTTTTCATTACTTTTTTCGTTTTCAGATTAGAAACCCGTCATTGCGTCTTCGTGTTCTGCAAAAAGTTCGCGATGAATGGCTGCCGAGAACGTTGGTGCTTCGATTCGACACCAATGGTGAATGCCACATCTACATCATTGCGCATTGCCAATATTCCTATTACGAGGTCTACAACGCGTCAACCAACTTCATTCGCGCCATTTATGGTGAGCAATTTAATTTTTGCTCTTTTTTTCCTAAAATTCCAATTTTTTTAAGATGCCAATGACAAATATTGCACACTCGTCCTCCAGGAAGCCATTCTTCGATTCAAAATGGAGAGCAAATTGCAAAAGCTCAAATTGGTCGCGTATATTTCGGAAAATTTGGACGTCAAGGGTTGGCAAATGGACGGCGTTTTGACGTACGCGCCCGACGGGAAATATCACAAAAAGAACACCAAAGTGATATTAATAGTGAGGGTAATTACTGAAAATCATTATCATTATCATAATTGGTCATACTTTTTAGGGCAGCATGCTTCTGATCATCGATCGCGCCTCGCTGGAGATCATTCGCCGAGAGTCTCTACCCCATATTGGTGTGATGTCATGCGATTTTCAAACATCGCTACTTTATTACACCAATCTTCGCCAAACCGAAATCCCGATCAACAACCAGAATTACGTGGCCGTCTCGATTCCCAACATTCATCTGTTTTGGGAGTTTATGACGAATCATCGACTTCAACATTGTCAACGATTCAAGTTTCTTCGAGCCTAGATATTCACACCACCCCTTGATTTTCACCCCGTGCTTTTATTTTCTATTATTGTTTTATTTTGTTTCTTTTCATATAATAAATTAATTAATTTAAAATCGGTTGTTTTTTGTTTATTGTTTTTTTTTTGTAGCGCGACGGCCGTGGGAACATTGATGGGCAAAAACACGGCCGCGTGGAAACACTAGCAATTATTCGGGAAATTTTGACTAAAATGGAAATTCTTCAAGATTTTGTCCACATTGTTCCAGATTTTAAAAATAGGGAGAGCTAAGTATAGGTTAAAGGCGCACAATAAGACCTTTACCTAAATTTTTTGACATTTGGTCAATTTTGTTTTTGAGAATTTTCTTTTTTTTTTGAGTAAATGTGAATATTAAAAAAAATTGAAGAAAATAATATTTTTTTGAGTTTCGTCGCGATTTTTTAAATGACCGCGATTGAAATATATTTCAATAAAAGTTAATTTGTTGAAAAATGGAAAATGTATCCTAATGTCGTGGGATACGGTGTTTTGTACGCAATGCGGAGAGCCGGTGGGTTACCGTAATCCTCCAAGAAATTTTGAGTTTTTTTTTTTTAATTTCAATTTTTAACGATTTTTTGCTGAATTTTCTTTAGAATTTTCAAATTGAAATTTTTCGCCGACTGATTTTAATAATTTATTTACCAAAATGAACACTTTTGATAAATATTTTTGGCAAAAAAAAAACGCAAGATAAAATATAATTAAATTATTATTATTTTGCACATAATAAAATCGAAAAAAGTTTTGTCGTATTTTCGTTATTGCAATAAATGAACGAATTTGAAAATTTTGCATTTCGAGGCCCACTAATTAATTGGGTAATCTAATATCGAATGTACCTATACTCCCCGTAGCACTATAATTCACTAAAATACTACTCATTCATATTATGACGGTTCAATTGAGTTCTATTCGGTCCCTGGGGGGGGGGGTCCGACAGAGTTGGATGGAATTCGGCCTTTTCGAATCTCACCAACGCTGGTTCTGAAAATTTGCGTTAAATTCGGTGTCTTGCAGATTTCAAAATTTTCGCTATGAATTCCGCGTTTTCAATTATATTTTTAATTCCGCAAAACCTATGCTACGAGACCCATGGCGGCAATTCAAACGATACAGTAATCGCGTCCCAAATTTACATGCACCTCTTTTTGCCAAAAATGTCAGCTGCATAGTTATTTTCTTGGATTTGGTAACTCAAAAAAAACCTATCGGATCCATCCGATCCATTTGCGGACCATTCTGTTTGACGCGGCAATTCAAATTTGGATCTAAACAGTAGGAAGTCGGGTGGTAGTTGGCTCGGTGCACTGCGTACCAATGCGCCATATTCCACGACAGTATTTTTTGTTCCAATGTTTCCGGATTCGATTCAAATCGCGTTCTAGAATGATCTGAACCAATCTAAAACAGAAATTAGTGGATCCAACCTGATCGCGCAGCTCGGAATTTCGTCGAGGGCCGACTCCACCGAAATTCGAATCCTCCCAAACGAATAATAGAATCGAGAGAAAAATGAAAATGATGGTCTCAACTCTAGATCTCCGCAGTTAAGATGCATTTATCTTGTGAATTCGTGCGAAACCCGATGAATGCTCGAAACAGCGGGGATCCGGAGTGAAACGTCCGGCCAGCCATCGGAATGCGATGATATCGAATCGTATCACACCGCTTAAATACTCGCGCGTCTCATCGAGAACGACGGGAGGGGCGTGGCCTACGAGAATACCGTAATCGGGTTGCGGAACACTCGGACGATTTGCATAATCTCACTCTCTAAAATATGTGCATGATAATTTTAGTGATGTGCGATTGTGTGTGTTAAGTGGGGTACAGCGGATTATGCGAATCAGTAATTCGAAACGCATCATAAATATATTGAGTGAGTAACTCACACCTAGCTGGAGGTGGCCTAGAAAAATTGATGTAGGTTCGGCCACGGCCGTGTGTGTTTACGAACTAAATTTGACATCGAAAATCGAATTTAAAAATGAAACTGCTGCGGCGAGCCATAAAATGTGCTCCATCGCAAAAATAATGAAACAATTGTGGACCATCGCATTTTTCTCTAGGCGGCAATTTGAATTTGTATTCAAACAGTGGTGGGCAATTCGGGTACCGTACTACAGATGAGCTGCGAATCAAACTCGGTGGAGCAAAAATTCAATCTGCGGGAAAAAAATCAATTTCAATTTTTTTTCTTCTTTTGAAATTTTGCATTCCAGTTTTCTTGGGTTTAATAATTATTTTCCTTACAAATTTTTACTTTAACTATATTTTTTTAAATATATCACTCGAAAGCTTATCAACGGACCTGTCAGCCAACAACGATCCCATTTTCAATTTCAACTTTCTGTACAAGAAAGATATGACCATCAAAAATCGGGCCAAAAATGGTTTCAACGATTTCGTGAAAATTGCACGTTGGAAAAGTGGATCAATTTTTTGAAATCCACTTTTTTGGTCCAAATCTCAAAATGAACTTAAAACCACCTGAAAATTGTATTTAAAAAATTGATAGGCCCATTTTATTCGAATAAACTTGTTGCATCGATTCTTTCGAAATTGGAGATCACAAAATTTCGTAAGGATTGGAGAAGAGGTGGAAATTCGCGATTGAGGCCGCCTAGAAAGTTTCGAGAAACACGCGGTCTAGACGAATTCCACGTAACCCGCCATTTTGTATAACCGATTCGACTTTTCGCAATTCGTCTCGCCAATCTCAACACACTATTATTACTACTCTGATTATCAGGCGTCGCAACGCAAACACAATTAGTCGCTGCTCGACGCCGCCGTCGATGAGGCGTTTCCATGGTGAGCCGGCGGTTTCGACGCCATGTCAATAATATTCGCACCTCGACTTGCCTTATTCCCAACCGCGTTCGGTTCACTACAGTTAAAGTCATTGTATCGAGTTTCAACACTGATAAATGCACTTTAACTGAAGAGAACTGGAAGAGCGGACCATTTTTGATATTGAAAAAAAAAAGGTAATGCAATTAATGGGCGAGTTTATTGGATGAATTGAAGTACACGTAAAACGGCGAGGAGCACGCAAAAATTGAGAAGCGTCGTTGCCGACGGGTTTGATCGGCGAAACGCGACGCGGGTGTCTGACGTCACGACGTCATCGATTCGACGGGTTCTGGAATTGTTGTGTCGATATGTTGTTTGACTCGAACTCTCTTGGTGGTCTCACCGTCCCGGCGTTGGATTGCATTGAATCGAGAGCAATGAGCACATCAGCGAGTAGACGTCGAATAGCTCGATGGGACCTTTTCGGTAGCCGACGCGAAACGCCGGACCGTACGCCAGAAACACACCCGATATTCCCGGCAACTCGTTGTTGTAGCCGTCGATGGCCGCCGAAATTTCGCGCAAATTCGGTCGCGGAAATTGTTTTCTCTCGTCCTTCTGAGTAAAATTTTTTTATAATTTTTTTTGGCACAGCAAAAAAATCGTTTCACTCATATTCATTTTTCGGTTTTTTTTTGGTTTTGAATCGTGCTTTATTCATATTTTTGGCTTAAATGTGTGCAAACACCGCGACGCAAAATCACGTATGTAAAATCACCCCAGTTGAACCTTCAACCGCCCCAAGCCCCCTTTCGATGATGTCTCTCTTTTAAAAATTCCAATGATTTTAAATACGTGATTTTCATCGCGGTGTTTGCACAAATTTTTAAAAAGGTCAATATCAAAAATCGAAAAATTAAAATTAGAGAATTGCGAAAAAAAATTTTAGAGGTTTTTTTTTTAAATATATAGTTTGATAAATTTTATTTTCAAAATAGATTTTTGCTCACCGTGACAATCGCATATCCAGGATCGGCGAGCAGCACCAAATCAGGCACAACGTCGCTCTTTTTGTAGTTGTAATGCGTCGGAATGTCGCCAGACTGCAAAATATTTGTAGGCAGGATTGGAGCCAAAAAAAATGCACACTCACGTTTGGCGACGTATAGTAGACTTTGACGTTGGGAATCGGATGATGCTCGCGAAGTTGGCTGAATACTTGATGGGTTTTGCCTTTTTTGACGAGCAACTGCTTGATTGCACCGCTTCCGATGGTATTCTCGATTAGCTCCATTGGAATGTGCTCATCGAGGACTCTAAATTTGAAGTTTGAAGAATTTGTCGAGTATTGCCAAAGAAACGAGCTTTGGGAGTTTTTGCGGACCATCAAAATTTTTTTGCAATTTTTTTCTTCAAATTTTGATCAAAACAATCAAAATGAGGTGGCACAAATTAGGAATTGCACCTTTTCAAATCTAAAACACATTTCGAATATTGGAAATAAAAATTATAAGAAAAATATGGCCTATGTTGAAAAGGCATTTATAAAGAGCATTAGATAACTTTCGAATTATAAAATTATATTTCAAATTAAACAAAAATCGTTTTTCTTTTTGAAATACAATTATTGAATATAAAAATCCAAAAAACCGCATTTCTTTTGAAAATGGGCTTAAAAAATTAAATAATGTGCGCGGGTCTTGAGGCGACTGATTTTCAAGTCGAATATATTTCAAAAAAAATCGCCACCTTATATTTTTCCTTGGCACATCAATTAATCCATGCGTCGAGACCACAATCACATTCAAATCGATTCGTTCGCGAGCTTGAGCCACCAATCGCTCCAAACTCTGCGCGAACCGCTTCACCTCTTTCGAACGCCTCTCGTTGGCATGGTGTACACCAATTCGGCGAAGTTCGTCGCCAATTTTTGGGTGATAGATGAGCGTCAAATCGTTTTCCCTGAACACATCAATCATTTCGTTGTTCTTCCGATTCATTTTAATACATTGTTGATTTCACGATGAGTTTTGCTTGCGATTCGTCGGAGAAGGATTTGCCGCGCGACGGGACGCAAATATGCGGCGAGAGCTCCCATTCGACCTAAACGATGGCGATGAAAGGGAAACTCGATGGTTAATAATGCACAAGAGAGGCGATTTACTTGACATTCCGGAAAGAAGAACATCGCGACGGAAGCTTTTGAGCGCAATGCTGAGATGTAAATCGGCTCGATTGACCACCAATCTCTGAAATCATTTTTTTCTCGATGAATTGTGTAATAAAAAGTGATGAAGATAAATCTTAAACTTGAAAATTTACTTACGGTGGAAAATATAGTCTGAAACAGCCATTATTCCCTTTTTTGTGTTGATATTTAGGGCAAAAAAATAGGAAAAAATGAATAAAAAAAATTAAACGAAATGAACTGTAGTGTGCAAACACCGCGACGCAAAATCACAACTCGCTTTTTTCGTTAATTTAAATTGATTCATTTTTTTTTCTAATTCCATATTATTATTTTAAAAGAATTTTTAAAAAGGACGTTTTTTAATTTGCTCAATTTGTTTTTTTTGCCACACGACCAACCTTGAGAAATCGCTGGTTTCGGTGAAATTGTGGAATCTCCTATGGTTTTTCCAATTGTAAATAAAATCGCCGATAATTCCGTGGCGTTTCGGCGGCACGCCGGTGAGAAGCGAATGGCGATTCGAGATGGCGAATGTCGGAAACACGGGAATCAGTTTCGTCGACCAGACGCCCTCCTCTTCGAACGTTCGAAATGCCGGCATATGCGAGAATTTGTGAAACGTGTTCGCCGCGAGACCATCAACTAAATAATTGAGATGTCTGTTTTGAAACCCAAATTATAGAGAATTGTTTCCAAAAATTATTGATGATGAATTTTTTTCGATTTTTCAAATTTCAAAATTGCGCATTTTTGTCGCAACAACTTTTTAATTACCTATCACAACAGCCAATTTTTGAGCAGCGGCGTTCAATAAAAAAACGAGTAGAATCAAGAGCATCGACATGTTCACATTCTTCTCGATTTCTGCAAAATATGACAACCAATTCATATACGCTAAATTGTGGCAATTTTGCACTTGAAGAGTGGGGGGGGGGTCCCCTTCGTGCTTGTTTCTTTCGCCTCCTCGAAAGATTAATTAAGAAGATATACGTATAGTAAAGTCGACGCCAAAAGAGAAAGGGTGGGGGATGGGTGACAATATTAATTGCAGAATATTCGATTAGATGAAGAATGGCGACAACTAGGCCAACAGGTTGTCTGGTGGGGAAAATTGAATTTTCGCGGGGAGCGCGTCCTGAGAAGAATAGGATCGGCAGCACAAAAAAAACGACTTGGAGCACACACAGACATAAGTAAATTAAAGTTGAGTGCATCGAAATTTTGCGATTTTTTTGGTGAATAATAAATACTTCAATTTTGAGGAAGGAACAATACGAAATGGATTTTCTCAAAATTTTAAAAATCCTCTTTTTTTGGCTGAAAAATTACGTGAAGGCCAATTTTTATGATTGCTTGTCGGACAAAAAAAACTTCTCAAATTATCTTGCAAGCGATCTTTGTTGAATTTTCAATTAAATAGAATTTTTTGTTGAAAAATTACAAATGTCGTGGGATTCTGCGTATTGTACGCAATGCGATGAGCCAGTTACCGTAATCCTTGCAGCGATTTACGGAGACTTTTTTTAAATTCCGTATTTTATATATATATATTTTAATTTTTAGCTCTCAATTTTCCTATTTTCTTTCGAAAATTTTTATTTAAAATCTGTAGAATGCGATTTTAATTATTTATTTAGCAGAATATTCATTTCTAGCCGACATTTTTTGATAAAAACAGCAGAGATTACAAAAAAAAACATTTTTATCATTAAAAATTTATTTATTCGTGTGAAATTGTTGGATAAAGGGAAAAAACGGGCTATTATTCAATGTTGGCAGACGCGTTGCGGTCCGCGTGCGGTCCCGCAAAGATTTCTTTCTTTTGTTTTTTTTTCTTTCGCGAGAAAATTGAAATCGTAATATTTTCACTCAGGCGGCCGCGGCCGCGAATAATTCGGCCATGACACATTTTCAAATTTTTTCCGGAATTTTTTAGAATATTTCGCCGATTTTATTTAAATACCCATTGAATACAAAAAAATTAAATTTTGTTATATTTTTTATTGATGAAATCAAGAAAAATTGCGTGAAATTGAAATTTTTTAAATGTTGGGGCAGCTATTAATTAGAATTTCAAGGCACCTAAAATTCGTTAAAATTCTGTTTTTTTTTCATGTTAACGATTAGAAAAACAGCTTTTAACTATTTTTCCATACGAGACCCATGAAACATTAAAGCAAAGCGATTTGCCGTCAAATACGAGGTCCAATCAAAAGGCAGAGAATAATTGAAATCGTAATAATCAAAGAATGAGAATTGAGATTGTAAGATAAATTCAAATTCGCGTCGATCTCGGCCGGTGAGCCGCGTAATGTGTAAAGCTTGCGCGGCGCGGCCTGGCGTTGGCCAATATTTGTCCGTTGAGACAATTACTTGGTTGATTGGCGAACGCGGCGCGATCGATGAGTGCTCGGAAGTGTAATCGCTTTATGAAGTTGTTGCCAAGTTGTTAAACAATTGTGGGAGCTCCTCTGAATGCTATCCATCGTGACGGGACCCGATGCGCCTTTAATTTTGCAATTCTAAAAAATTGAACCTTGCCAAATTCTGACCCAAATTTCGAGATGTCTGAGAAAAAATGAGATTCAATTTTTTCCAATTTCAAACCCGCACGATTAATTTCCTGCTTTCAAATTTTTCTCAATTGATTCTTGAACAAATCAAGGAAAAAGCTTGCTCTTTTTTCAAGATTTAGTCTTGAATTCAGGCTTGACAAAAGAAGAAAAAAATTAGGGATACTTTAAGAACCTTCAGGAGCTTTTGCTTCATCTTGATATAAAAAATAATTCCATTTTGTTGCGCGATGATGGCGTAACCCTGAAAATGTCTGCAGATATATTGTCTCGTGAAATAAATTCTTACTCGCACAACGACGGAATTTTTTAAATAACCAAAATTCATAAAATTTAGCCTGGAAAAAAACCCATAACGATTAAAGGCGCATATTGTATGATTCTTGAAGCGATTAAATAAAAACTGCGACGGCTTCGAAAAATGAGGCCGTGGCCGAGGTTTTTTGGATTTTTCTTCTTCCATCTGTATAGCCCATAATCAGATGAATTCGCCAAAACAATTATTAAAAGCTTACGCTTTATTCTTCCAAACCACACGAATCAATCGTCTCAATACAAATATTGAGATTCCGAATATGGTCGTGTAAATTAGGCCAATCAAAAAATAAACATCAAGCATATGCTTTTGAATGAAGTTCAGCTTTCTCGATTGCGGGTCCAATTTGTCCAATGGTCCGTACTTTCCGACGAACTCGGTGTATTTGACGACAAGCTCTTTGGGTTTGAGAGGCTGATGCTCCAATTGCTCGGCTAAATGATGAGCATGTTTCGTGTACGACTCGTCGTACAGAATTTTGATCAATGCGTCTTTAAGAATGCTCGAATCTTCTAAATCTTCTTTTTTCAATAAAATTGATCCACCATGTCTTTCAAGCATTTTCGCGTTTCTATATTGATCGACAAACACCGGCACCTGAATTTAATAGACCACTTTCATTTTTTAAATTTAAATTTCTTACCAGGATGGCCGGCTTCCCACAATACGCCAATTCGTTCGTACTTCCTAGACCGCCGTGTGTCACAAATGCCGACAATCGATGATCAGCTGAAAAGAGGAAATAGAATAAATCAGCATGAGCTAGTGATCTACCAAGAAGGGCCGGCTGCGGGACCCATTTCGAGAAATAAATATTGTCAGCTTCTTTCGCGAATTCCAGATCGTCGGTTTCGTACTTCCAGATGAAGGTGACGTGCTTCATTGAGGCGAACACTTTCACCATGTTCTTCCTTTATAAAAATTAGGATAAAAACGAAAAATGGAAATCACGTACTTCCAACTAATGGGAATATCAGACGAGGCTGATAGGGATCCGAACGAGACGAGAACCGTCTTCGATCGTCGACTAAGAACCTCGTCCCACTCATCGTCCAGTTTGGATTCTCGGATCTTCTTCAAATGCACAGTAATCCCGCCGATCGGAATTGTTTTGGACAACATTGGACGCGGGAAATCCAATTGCGGATTCGCGTTTGTGAACATTATCGAGGCTGTCGCGAACAAGTCCTGGAAAATGTTGATATAAGGAGTAATTTGTCATTTTCAGTACATTCCAATGAGGCATGTCTTCTCCGAGATACTCTCGATAATATCTCATTTCGCCGTTGAATTGATCGTGGAAAAATTCAACACCTTTCTAAAATCAAAATGAATTAAAATTGGAATTTAATCATACCGTCATCATTCTCCAATTTTTGTATCTTTCAGCAATAGTCATTATATCGCTTCCCATGCCCATTACAGACGGAATCTGACTCGGCTCCAACGGCTCACCGCTAGCAATCACAATCGGGTCGTAGAATACCATCGATGAAGCAAAAATGGTTTTTCGAATTCCAATTTCATGCATGTATGCTGAAAAAAATGAATTGAGTTGGTCATTAGTCTTCTATGAACCTGGTCCGCAAATCGCAATCGGCTCAACAATGCCAACATCGAATTCTCGCGATTTCATTTCTTCGAGAATTTGACGATTCCGAAGCAAATTTGCGCACAACTCGACAAACATATTCTTAAAGACTTTGGTGAACTGAAATTTTTGTTTCGTTTAGACAATCCATATTTGGGAAACAATTTACTGATAGAAGTTCGTCGGGACTTTCTGAGTTCAAAAGCCACGTGTTCTTCATTCCATGATCGATTTCCATGAGATTCGCGTTGATCATGTGCGCGTCTTTCTCGACGACCACGACGTCGTTCGTCAATTTGACGCCGAGTTGAGTTTTTCGCGCCTCGTCGCCAACCGGCACCAAAAAGGTGACATTGTGGCCGGCTTCGGTCAGCACATCCGCCAATCGCGCCATAAAATTCGTATGGCTTCCACTGAACGACGGCGAGTAGACGAGGATCTTCAGCTCATCGGATTGCTTGAAGGTGGCGATCAGAAGAAGAACAATCGAAAAAAAATGCATGATGGAATATTCAAATCAACAATGAGTTGCGCCACTTTTTTATAGATACAATATGCTGACATCGTTGATGCGATGGCTTATCATAATAATTTCTGTGCGGGTCGTTGAGGGTGATGACACAAAGATCACCCCCCCCCCCCAAAAAATTGATCTCCCGGCCATTTTGTTGTTTCTGTTCTGACTACAAACTTTTTTGTATGATGCTCATCGAACACTGATAGCTTATCAGAGCGTGGCCGATGGATCTGTTCGATCGGAGGAACCATCGACGGCATCTGATGGGCGGTGGCTTCTTATCAGTAGCAAGGACTCACATTTAAGCTCGAATAAAGTGCATCCCCTTAAAATGCACAATAATTACGGACCATTAATTTCAAAATTATATTGTTTTTTTTATAGTGTGTGATTTTCATAATTCCATGTTCGTAACCTCAACATTCGAATTGAGTTGAAGCTTTAATATTAAAAGAGTTTGAAACTTCTAAAATTAAAATTTGAATTACCGCCAATTGTCCACTAGTATTCAAGGCGCATCGTCTTTTTTTTTGGCCAAATATGATTCGAATGGCAAGTTCACGCCTCATCCATCAAAAATTGTGTCGGCCGTCGAATTCACTACAAACTCCGAAATATATCAATATCAATTGATCAACTCTAGCTTATCATCATTTTTTAATAGTCAAAATGCAAAAAAAATTGATATTAAAAAAAAATGAAGATTTTTGGCAACGCTAACGAATAATTTTTTAGGCCGAATTGAAATTTGAATGATAAGAAGGATGGTATCAAAATTATCTATGCTAATTATGAGGGAGAAATGAGAAATTTTGGCGTTTTTGGAAATTACAGAACCCCGTGATATTGTCCGCAGATGAATTAGCTTATTACCATGCCATTGGAAAATAATCGAATCATGAATAAACGTTCCTAACTATTATGTTATTATATTACCCAAAATGGTAATAACATGATTATCAATGTCTGTTTTAGAGTAATAGCGATGGACAGAAAGATCACACACACAAGCACACACCTCTGTTTCACTTGTGACTTGATGATGCCTGCCAGTTTACTATTCCCTATAAAAGGCAATTCGAATATTTTTTGTAGCAACACACACACACACAAGTCAATGATGCTATTACGTTCTCCCCAATTCCTGGTATTCATATTATTCGCAAGTGTCGACTCGCTGAAGATTCTCATCTACTCGCCGTCGTTCAGTGGAAGCCATACGAATTTTATGGCGCGATTGGCGGATGTGCTGACCGAAGCCGGCCACAATGTCACATTTTTGGTGCCGGTTGGCGACGATGCGCGAAAAACTCAACTCGGCGTCAAATTGACGAACGACGTCGTCGTTGTTGAGAGGGACGAGCTGATGAGGCATTCGAACGTCTCCGAAATGGATAGCGGCATGAAGAATATGTGGCTGAAGGAGCAGAATCACAATGATGTCACTGAGGTAGTGGAGGGATTCCGATGAGATGGAATGACGATGGATGATTTTCAGATGTTGATGTTTCTCCGAAATATTTTCACCGCGGTGTGCGCGAATCTATTGCGCAACACCCAAGTGTTCGACGAGTTGAAATCGAGACAATTCGATGTCGGGATTCTGGAGCCGCTTGCCGCCTGCGGATTATGTACACCCTATTGATCACCAACGCCAATTAATTGCTGATTTTCAGTGTACATGAATCAGCTTGGAATCGAGAAGACCATTCTGGCATCATCGACGGTGATGTTCGACAATATTCCAGTGAACTGCGGTGAGGATCTTGAGCCGAGCCATCAGCCAGCGCTGATGGGATTGAGTTCCGACGATATGAATATTTTTGAGCGCTATGAGAACTGGAGGATCATGAAGGTTGTGGATTCTGTTCTTTTGTTTCGAATTTGGCCGAACTCAAAATTTCAGACTACCATTGATACCACTGATGGAACGTTCGACGAGGAGCTTGAGATCTACCGACAACATTTTGGGAATGATGTGCCGCATTGGCGGGTTCGAGCATTTTATGGGAATAATAGGCAATTCAATTTCCAGGACTTGTTCCCATCAGCGTCGATAATGTTCACAAACGCGAATCCGCTATTGGATTTCCCGCGTCCAATGTTGTCCAAAACAATTCCGATCGGCGGGATTACTGTGCATTTGAAGAAGATTCGAGAAGCCAAATTGGACGATGAGTGGGATGAGGTTCTTAGTGAGTGGGATGAGGTTCTTAGGGGACGAGCGAAGACGATTCTCGTCTCGTTCGGATCAATGACAGCCTCCTCTGATATTCCCATTAGTTGGAGGTATGTAATTTTCATTTTTCGTTTCTATCCTAATTTTTATAAAGGAAGAATATGGTGAAAGTGTTCGCCTCAATGAAGCACGTCACCTTCATTTGGAAATACGAAACCGACGAACTAGAATTCGCGAAAGAAGCTGACAATATTTATTTTTCGAAATGGGTCCCGCAGCCGGCCCTTCTCGGTAGATCACTAGCCTTTGCCTCCAGTGTATAATTTTATTCGCTCTTTCAGCCGATCATCGATTAACCGCATTTTTGACGCACGGTGGTCTAGGGAGTACGAACGAACTGGCGTATTGTGGGAAACCGGCCATCCTGGTGAGAAACATACACCGAAAATACTGAAAGTGATCCATTAAATCTAGGTGCCGGTGTTTGCGGACCAATACAGAAACGCGAAAATGCTTGAAAGACATGGTGGATCAATTTTATTGAAGAAGGAAGATTTGGATGATTCGAGCATTCTTAAAGACGCTTTGATCAAAATTCTGTACGACGAGTCGTACACGAAACATGCTCATCATTTAGCCGAGCAATTGGAGCATCAGCCTCTCAAACCCAAAGAGCTTGTCGTCAAATACACCGAGTTCGTCGGAAAGTACGGACCATTGGACAAATTGGACCCGCAATCGAGAAAGCTGAATTTCATTCAGAAGCATATGCTCGACGTTTATTTGATAATAGCAGCGATTTATATTTCCTTGTTTGGAATAGGCTTCTATTTATTATCTCGATTGTCAATTGTAATTAGGAGAAAAATTAATTAGGAACAGCTTTAATTTAAAAATTGTATAGAATGTCTCATAATCTTAATAAACCGGTCATATTATTGTTTTAATCGATGAGAATTCGACACCAACGATTAAATTCATCGTAATATTCATTTTAGGAATTTTTCTTTGAAGAGATCCATCGCGCATATGTGGAATAGAAGTATAAATGAAACTTGACTTAGTTTTTAATTTTTCGAAGCTTTATCCAATTTTATCGTGACAACAAAAAACAATTCTGTAAAATAAGGTCAATTAACAAAATTGAAGAGATAATGGTTTCATGAAATGTAATTTTACAAAAAATTACAAAAAAGTGTTTAAAAAATATTAAGTTCGCAATTATAGACCAAAATTCAAATAATTTAAAAATTAGTTAATTGCACGTATAGTCGGCGTCACGGCGACTGTTGTACGCGGGTAGATTTACGCGCATGCGCCTTGAAAAGGTCTCACCACGCGTGAATGCTTATTTTGCTGTTTTCTCGTGAACTTCTTCATTTTTCTTGACGAGTTTTGCATTTTCTTGAATTTCCAACGTCATTCGATTAAAAAATTATCGAACCGACCCATAAAATTTGAAATAACCTGTTAGTCCTTGCGAGACCATTTCAAAAGACGCATTCCCGTAAATCTACCGGCGTACAGCAGTCGCCGGACGCCGACTATATGCCACCACTTGAAACATTGTCTGCATTTGAGCGTCGGGTGTTTGCACGGAATCTATCGAAATTCAAAATTGTAATGGGGACCTGAAAACACGCTCATAATTTCGAGGGTATACGGTACACACTGCGGTGTATGCACACACACACCAGAGTTGACGAGCATCTACGGAATTTTTGAGGAATTATCATTGCTTTTTGATTTGGAGGCCGGATTTTTCAATTTTTTCTTAATATTCTAGTGTTGTGTCGTAATTACCCTAGTGATATCATAACCAGATATTATTTGTTGCATATTTTACATAGTATCTGTTCCTAGTTATATATTGCCGATTTTGGACCGCCTCTGGTAAATAACAATTAATCGGATTCGAAAATAATTTCACTTTCAATCGAAAAATTAATTTCTTTCGAATTATTTCAATCGAACACGATTTTAAAATTCAGAATGAGAAAAAAATCAATCGATTTCGAAGATTTGCGAAATAGAAACCAATTTTTCAAATCGAGTTTGAATAATTTCTCAATTGAATTTCAATTCTTTTAAAATCGAATCAGCTCGATTTATATTAAATTTTCCATGAGTTCTAATTGCTGTTTGTTTTTGCTAATTTAATAAATAAATATATATATATATATATGTACTTATATACAACAAAAATAATCATTCAAAAATTTCCTACAATTCTTTCTGAATCGTTTTCTTAATGAATTCGCGAAATTTCAAAAATGTTGAAATTTCTCGAAACTTACTTATTCCTTCACATTTTAATCTCAGCAAAAGCGTTCAGAATAATTGCTAGATAATTGCTCGAATGCTCTCTAGTATATCAGCGATGCTTCTTCGTCCCATGTGCCTGTAATTTGGAAGGCGTCAAGTTGCTTAAAAACGATTCAGAGGATGTTTCAGTCCGCAAACGTGCCATATTAAAATGTCTTTGTTGTATAGCACCCTCTCTCTCTCTCGTTCTTTTTTCTCTACGTCTCTCATATTTCTATTGTCTGTTAATTTAGGCATTCTATTTGATTGCTCCAAATAAATCAATTTTGGCCAAATCTCGTGCACCACACAAACACAACACAGAAAAATCATTGCTTGAAATGTTTTATTTAAAAATCTATCCGTCGAATCCCGCGTTGAAATGACACCCGGTTGATCATTATTATCACGAAATTGCATCTGCGGTAGTGGCGCGTCGAGACCGTCGCGGAATCGTCTCAAATGTAATTTTGTGCTCAAACGATGCTCCGCGTTGACTCGTCCGCACATTTGCGTGCCTTATGTGAAACGATGATGAGTTGCTCAATTTCACACCACTTAAATCAAATGAATCAGTGTTTTAATGATTCGCCGGTGTTCATTTACCATATATCCTGATCCATGAACGACATTTTGCGATTCAGACGCGTGCTTGAGGTGAACGCGTTGAATTCCTCGTCGGAAGCAAGAAATCGCCATCCTTTAAAAAAATAAAATAAAAATAGCAATTGGCCTATTCAATGATTTCGAATTACCTAACAATCGCCGCAATGAAATGCGAAATTTTCGCGACATGAACATATAAATTGCGAATGATATCGGATGTAGGCTGATTACTGTGATATTTGCGAACACCTGAAACTACTATTTTTTCCAATCTATTGTCAAAATCGCAAAATTTTTCGGTTACGATTTGAATTGCCGCCACGGCTCTTGTATGGAAAATTTCGTCTAATTTAATCATTATAAAGAGCATAATTTAATAATTTTAAAAACCGAGTCAATGAAATTCAAAATTATCGAAAACCCACCCGTAAATAAACGTTATTGATGATTTCGAAAGCCATTTGTGGGACTGTCATGTAATCCATCGTTTTGGCAAGAATTATGAGCAACGTCGACGGCGCGCGTGCCAGCATATAAATTACTATAATTACAGTCAGCATGATTGTTGTGTTTGTTGACGATTTGCGATTTTTGTGTCGATGCACTCTAAAACGGAAAGAAGGAAAACAATTAAATAATAATTATAATAATAAAATTGCCAACCCCGGTTTTTGATGATCATTCGTTCGAATCGTCTGGATCAGAAGGATTGTCACAACAAACAAGAGCCCACTGGAGACCACAACCATGCCAATGCGGAAATAGTCGAAAATCGCCGCAAATGTTTCGGCGCCGACAGCCGATGTTAGCGTCGAATAGCCGATGAAGCAGCGCGCCACCTAGAACGAATCGGAGCCGTACTGCAGAAAAATAACTTTATTTTGTTTTTTTTAATTCGGTTAAAATAGAATCAAGAATGCAAATGGGACAGTTTGATGGCGTGTGCCTTCTTTTTTTTCTTGAAAATCCAAAAAATCGCTGGCTGAAGAAAAATTGCAAAATCCTCGGCCACGGCCACGTTTTACGAAGCCAACATACAATACCACTGTTTTAATTAAATCGCTGCAAGAATCGTAACATTGTGGTTAAAGAAGCATACACATTGAATCTTACAGCGATTTAATTTAAAAAAAAAAAAAAGACCGTGATACTGTAGGCTTCAAAAAAATGTGGCCGCGGCCGGGGTTTTTGGGGTGTTTTTTTTTGAGAAATAATGATTTTTGGGATTTTCACAACAAAAAATAAATAAAATTTAATTCCTCTTGGGTCATTCGTTGATGATATTTTCAAAAAAACCATTTTTGAGGATCCCAACAAAATGATTACCTGAATACAGAAATGATAAATCAGGCGCACGTCGTAAATCGAATGAATTGCTGTCAAGAAGATGGCGACGAGTAGAAGAATTTTTGACGTGTTGCGAACTTTTCGAGGAGTACACCAGCGGATTGATTGAAGCGGATATTGTACAGCGATAAATCTGGAAATTTATTAATTATTCGAATTAATATTTATTTTATTGATCGCTTAAATAATGGAAAATCTTATTCTGGAAACTCAAAAACCAATCCGATCCAATAGGAAATTCTATGGATAAAATTGTAAAATTGTCGGATCCGATTGGATTTTCTTGCGGCAAATATCTTATCAGCAGAATTTCCAATTGGATCGAATTAATTCCGGAGCCGAATTTTGTCGGCTCCGATTGGCTTCGAGTATCCAGAAAAAATTTTTGTTGAATTGCACACAGATTGCTCAATTCTGGGTTTTTTGGTTAAAAATCGAAATGTAATTAATTTTTATGAAATTGTGCATTTTTGAACTTTTCTAAAAACCAAAAAAAAATTTAAAGCGTAATTCAAAATTTCATTTAAAAGAAGAAAAACCAAAATAGTCTATCGAGGAGCCGTGAAATCAACGTACCGTTGAATTCCGAGCATTATTGTGAACAACGTGACGAGGGTGTTGAAGAAGAACGGCAAAATCTCCATGCAAACCTGCAATCAAATCATATAAACTAAAAAAAAAACAAATGAATTTTGAAAGAACAATGAATACTGAAAACTACCTTCTGCAAATAGCACATGAACAGCGTCTGATTGAAATCGAGATGATGCGACAAATTGTAATAATAGATTGTGAATGGCAGCGGCGAGATCGCCATGAGCAGCGAGTAGATGGCCATGTAGAGGAGTGGCTCGACACTGGCACGCTTCTGAAATTCGAGTAGTCATGTTTAAGGCATTTCGCGAATTTTTTCAATTTTCACAAAAAGAAATCAAAAACGTATGTTTTTCCAGCAATTAGAAAAAGATTTTAAAACTAATTTTGACATTTTTTTTTCAAAAATTCACATAGTACCAAAATTTGGCCTTAAAATCTAGTGACAATTAGAAAAAAAAAGCAAATTCGCAACAACGAAAAAAATTTAAAAAAATTGTAGCGTGCGAAAATGTGTGCAAACACCGCGACGCAAAATATCACGTATCACATTCGAATTCAAATTTGCACTTTTTTTTTTGCAATTTGCTTGTTTAATTGGAAAAAATTATGCTTTTAATTATTTTTAAAGAAAGAACTTCTAAATTTTTCTGTAATTTTAACAAAAATTTTCAAAATGAAAATTTTCGATTTCTACACTTTGCCCATTTCAAATTCTCGGACATATTTGAATATTTTAGAATATCAAGAAGATTTTTTGAAAGTGACAAATTCTTTTTTCAAAAATTAACAAAAATCTCTTCGTTATTCTTCCTTTCGAATTCCATATTTGAAGAATTCAGCAAATATTCTCAATAATTTTTTTCTCATTAAAATTTTCAACAATTTTTGTGAGAAATTGGCATGTCATAATAAAATCGTTGGATTTTTTCGAATTCATTTTTTTAAATCGATTTTTAATTGACGGCAAATGGCGAAAAATTAAAAAAATCCTCATTTTTCCATTTTTTTTGGCTCCTTTATTGAAATTTTCGAATTTTTCTGCAAACTTTGAATTTCGATTTTCCCACATTTCCAAAATTCGTTGCTCGTTGCTCATGCAAAAATAATAATAATAAATTATTATTAATAATGATAGATGTATAAAAAATTCTTCCATGGAATAGATTTTCTAAAGTTTCAGACATCCTCCCCCCCCCGGGACCACATCCAACTCTCCAAATATTTACCCACGCGTTTTTGGGACCATCAAAATCGGCAATTAAAAAAGAGAGCGCGTCTGGCGGCACGAATTCTATTATTAGGACAACCCCGAATCCCTCAGCCCAAGCTCATTTACCGATTTCTGCTGACTGAGCACAACGATGACGATCGAATTCGAGCAGACGACGAGGACGGCGAGTATCGGCAATATGATGCCATAGATGATTTGCATTTTCACCTCGTTCTCTTGATCCTCGAATTGGATGACCTGCGCCGGAATGCACGCCTTCGTGTACGCGTCATACACCGCGTAGACGTCGGAGCAATTCGGAATGACGCCGTCATACGCCTGAAATCATTTTCCGGCTTCTATTTTCGTTGCATTCGCGCGAATTACCTTCGGATCACATCGTTCCAGCGTGCTGCTCATTCTAACGCTCTCATTTTGGTTGGAAGTTGGATCTCTGGAAAAAAAAAAACCAATAAGTTTTGCTGTAAAGACCAAAGATAATTCTATGGTTTCACTTAGGCTTAGGCAAAAAAAAATGAAGAACAATTTGAGAAAATGAGCACAAGTGCAAGGCAGTTTAGCGCAAATTGAGCTCATTTATTTTTTTGAAGACAATCATTCGTTTTTTCTCGAAATTTCATATTGAAAATGACGCGATAAGCCGATCATGTAGATTTTTTTTATTTTGAGTTAAGTAAGCTGAGAGCAACACAAAAAAACATTCTTGCACACATGTACTCGCACGAGCCAATTGAGAATTCAACGAATGAGAGCAGAAGAAGAAGAAGAAGGAGCCAGTAGTCGATATCTCGGAACACACGACCTTTGGCTGATGGGAACGCGCCGAAATTGGTTTGGTTATGTGCCGAGCACAATTTGCAAACGTTTTCCGGCAAAAATGGATCATTCAAATAATATGTCAATCATTCTTTGGAATCTTTTTTTGGTCTTCTATCAAAAACTTGAAAAATTGTTTCATATCGAATAATAAAAGGCGCGCAATTTTGGGAAAAACCTTACACATTTCAATAAAAAGGAAAAAAAATATATTTTTTAAAATTTTGAAATGATGTCATTCATCCTAAATATATAATGCTTAGATAGGCGACATTTTTCAAAATGAAGTAGAGCTCAAAATAACGACACAAAACTACGTGGCCGCGATTTTCGCGGCCGTTGAAAAATCTAGGCCACTGCGGAATTTGATGAATTTGATTAATCTCAGGAAAAAAAATGGAATGTTGACGTTCGCAGCACACAAATTGTTGTTTCGTTTGTTTGTCATATAAAATTCAGTCGATTTCACGAAAAGAGCATCGAAATTCGAGAAACAAAAAAAAACGGCGAAAAAATTTAAAAAATAACAGGAAATTTGGTGAATCGCCCAATTGCGGGCAATTTCGAAAAAAAAAACAACAAATGATGGTCCCCAATTATGCCACAATGAGACCAAATCTTGAAATATACTCCATGTATATTAGAAATTGAAAATTACAATATAGTAAAGTCAAAAAAAAAATTGAATTTAAAACTTAAAACTGTTGGCAATATTTCAATATGGGTATTTTTGAAAAAAAAATCAAAAAACAATTTTTTAATTTCCAAAAAATCTCTCAGTTAATTCTAACCCTCATTTTCCTTTCAATTCTTCAAAAAAAAAATCAAAATTTTATTAATGCAAAATAGAATTGGTGCAAAATTGCGTCAGCGTGTTACAGACAAAAAACGAAACCACGCGTTTTGCCATTTTTTTCAATCTTTTTTTTTGACAAATTAAATTCTAGTGAAAAGTGCCACAAAACAAATTTGTGGAATACTATCACTTTTTGAAATTCGCGCCATTCGTCCCAAAATACCCTAAAAATAGGTCTCCAAATATGGAAAAAAATGGCCGAGAAAAGAACAATTAAAAATTGTTGATTTATTTATTTTTTTTCAAATTGGTCTGATTTGCCAGGTGCATATTTGGAATTATCCAATCGAATCATACATGTCGCACCTGATTTATGATTTAATCAACCAAATTCGAAACAATTTTTATTGTTTATTATTTATTGTCGTCGACGAAATGAATTTACGAAGCGATTGGGAGCTTATTTGGTCTCGCATGGAAAAAAAAAACAGAAGCCGAATCTTGTATACAGGACCATTGAAGACCTACATATATCTAATTTCATTTGGGTCCGTTGATTCATATCCACACAGTCCAAAAAATCGCGCAACTAATTTTTCCGCATTCTAGATCTCATTTTGAAAATTTCAATGGCGTTAGATATTCAAGAATATGCCAAACTCATAGAAAAATTGCGAAACGAGACGCCCGTAAATCTACAGTAATGGCGACTATTGGTGGGCGGAGCTTGGCAAACCGCCAATTGATTAGAGACAACCAATATCGAGAGAGAGAGAGCGCAAAGAAATCAGCTCAAAGAAATTTTTCGTTCCTTTTTTTTGGGTCTCATTTGGAAGAAAACTCATACAATCCGGTTTTGTTAGTTTTGACGAGCTCTCATTACTGATTATTGTATCATTTGAATTGGGTCTCGCATGGAAAATCTTGCAGAAGCAAGTTTTAATCGAATTCGATCACCACAATAATGAAATCTCAAAAGTTCGAATGAATTTTTGCAAATTCCGTCAACTAAATGACAGTCGGCGAAATTCGAAATTTTTCATTGAAGGCAATTTTTTAAAAGACGCCAATTAACGCATTTCGACACCAAACAAATTGGTGGCGTCCGCGCGCGAAATTCGAAAATTTTTCGAAATACCGAGAATAATTCAAATCAGACATAGGATTCTGGATTTTTTTTTCAGAATTCAATACATTCAATTATCGGGTATCCTGTTTATCGCGAATCTTATTATTTGAAATTCTAACAAAAAAAAATATAAAAAAATAGTTTGTGTGGAAAAATCTGAATCAAGGGAAACCGATTTCTCAAAATCGAGAGGGAGTGAAAAAAAACGCCGGGGCACGCAATAGACATCATCGAAATTTGAAGTTGGCGATTTGAAATAAAAAATTTCTTTATATATATATATTTCATGTATTGCCTTGGGACAAGTTCAACTACTGCTTGCTTAAACGTGAATAATTAATAAAACTTGAAGAACCCGGTGGAAATTAATTTCAACTAGGCGTCTAAAGATAAAAAAAAAGAAGAAGAAGAAGCACGGACCTCTTTATTAAAAACTTCAAGAATTGGCAAGTTTTGCAAAAAAATTTTTTTCTCTGACGAGGACGATGCACAATGCATCACTAATAGCACAGAGCTTCTCACGCTACTACATTCATTCAGCAGAACAAAAAAAATAATCGACTCGTTTAATTGCCTCAATAACGATTTTAGCGATGACGCAAAAATCCATGAGAAAAGTTTATGACTCTCTCGAAACACGGGCTTTAAAGGGAGGGGGGGATAAGCAGCAATAATCCACTCGCGGAGCAACTTAAATCCTAGATAAACAGAGTTTCGCCTCAATCCAATTTGGCGATTCAATTATTGGCTCCGTCTATCGCAACACCTTCTTCGACCGTCTTCAGCGGACCACTTTTTTTGAATTTCGCGCCAAACTAAAAACACTAGATTCAATAGTTTTCCCCCAAATTTTTCCATTTCCGAACAAAAAACATTTAATAATTGGTTTATTATACAATTATCAATTGTGTGCAATTTCGCGCGCGCGTGTGCGCACACAATTTTTTTCTCATCATTTTTTGAGGCGAAAATCGAAAATTTTCGTTTTCGCTTCTTTTCCCAATATTTGTTTTGGGCGGAAAATAATAAAAAAAAAATGAACTCAATGAACTTTTTGCATTTATTTTTTCTTATAAAACTTTTAATTTCAATGTCTAGACCAGGGCTGTGCGGCAATGGAATTGCCGATTGCCGAAATTGCCGAATTGCCGAAGAGAACGTTCGATCGGCAAATTGCCGAATTGCCGGATTGCCGAAATTTTGTTTTTCGGCAATTTGCCGAATTGCCGATTTGCCGAAATTTTGATTTTCGGCAATTTGATATCAAAAAAAAATCGGCGAAACAAAAATCAATCTCCATTGAATAATTTGAGATACCGTGAAAATTCGCTATTTATATTTCGAATTATCGTTGAAAACATTTAATAGCGGAAATTTTGATTTTCGGCAAATTGCCGAATTGCCGAATTGCCGAAATTTTGTTTTTCGGCAATATGCCGAATTGCCGAGTTGCCGAAATTTTGATTTTCGGCAATTTGCCGAATTGCCGATTTGCCGAAATTTCCGATTGCCGCACAGCCCTGGTCTAGACTGAATCATCGAAACACTTTTTCTAATGGGTCAATATATGTATATATAAAATAAAAAATAATTAAATACCAAAAAAAAAACGGAAAAAAATGATTATGCTTCTTTATTTTTTTCTCCACATTGAGCCCTAAGGATTAACGAGTACATCAAAAAAAATATTCAATTACCCAAAAATTCATACATAGTTTAGCGAGGAGTTAAAAAATGTTGAATTTGAATTACCGCCATGGGTCCCGTATGAAAAAATAAATCAATTTTAATGTGAATCGATCAAAAAATTTTCAAAACATCCTTTGGAAGGAAAATTTTAGGACAACAAAAATTTCCTTTGAGCATTTTTTCGGGAAATTGCCTGGACCACAAACTTGGGACCCATCGTAATACATTAATGATCAGCATCTTTTCTTGGCTAGCTGATATTAGTGTGTGAATGTGAAATTGTTGAATAAATAATGCAATGTCCGCAAAGAATAAAACTTGCAACGAAAAACATGCGTTTGAATTGAAATGAGCTTCTCATAGGAACGAATTTCACACGCGCTTCTTTTTTTCGGCAATTTTTCGAATAAATAAAAAATTCAATTTTTTTTTGCTCGGCGAGCTAATTCAAATTTGTGTACCGTACATCAAAGCTCACTTTAATTTGCGATTTAGTTTATTCCAAGAAAAAAAGAAACTTATACTTTGAACTATTTGAACTTATCAAATGTGTGCAATTTTGCGTGCGTGTGTGTGAACTTTTTTTTAAATTCGATATCAATCATACTGCGCAATCCTAATTTGAACCAATGGGCTCCGCCCATTGAGGGACCTCAGATGAGACCCACTATGGAGCAAATTTTATTGCCTTGCGTCAGTTTTTCAAAAATTTCGGGATTTTTAAAAATTACTGCTTCAATTTCAGATTTTTGACTTTTATACATTTCCGAATTTTTTTAGATTAAGAATAAAACATAAATAATACCTCAGCGATTCAATCGCGACGAGCAGCGGACAAGTTTTGCTGAAATAACCGTGCGGGAAGAAAAATCAGTGGGCAGAAACAATAGTCGCCTCGCGAATTACGCTAAATTGAGGGCGACGTGCAATTGGAGTGTCGTAGTGAAGAAAAAGTTTTGCGGCGAACAAAGTGGCAGGTTTTTTTTTTGCGAACTCCCGTGGGACCACAACGTTGCTGAGACAGCTGAAACTGGAGAAATGGTCTCAATTCGACAAATTCAAGCGCGAATCTAATTTTTCGTTTTGCGTGCGCCTTTAACTAGTTTTCAATGCCTTACCTCCAATAGAAAAATATGTGGCGCGACAATTGTAATCCCAATTAAAGCCTTGCTTAAATTCAATATTTAATTATCATTATTATTCAATTCTCAAAAATTTACCAAAAAAAGCATCAATTTAAAAATTTTCATAATTTCCTTGAAATTTCGAAAAACAATAATTATATCGCCACTTGCTAGAAAACACCGAATATCTCTCATCATTGGAATGTTGTTGAAGATGAGATAATCAACAATTAATTATTTGGAAAAATTCGTCCGAGTAAAACTTTTGAAGAAGCTCGACTAACTATGTAGTTCGATTATGAAAATCGTTTTTTTTTAAATATAATTTATTGATTCGAACCACAATAAATAAAAATTAAATATCACAGTGCAACTAAATACTTTCAAATTCGGCAAAAATCTACAATTTTGCTTCAATGAGCTTTTCGAGGAGGCGAGCATCCTTGGCGAAGTTGCGAATTCCCTCGGCGAGCTTCTCAGTTCCCATCGCATCCTCGTTGAGGCCGAAACGATACGTTTTCTCATCGACGGCGATTTTCGGAATATCAAGACTTTTGGCTGTAAACGAAACAAAATTGAAGGCAAATTGCAAATAAATGAGCGCCACCATTTTCAGCCGAGAGTGCCAACGGAACCGTCTCAGTTTCAGCGGCGAGTTGTTTCAACAACGCCGGGCTGATTGTCAGAAGATCGCATCCCATGAGACCCTTGATCTCTTCAGTGTTTCTAAACGACGCGGCCATCACTTGAGTCTTGTAGCCATATTTTTTGTAGTAGTTGAAAATTCTCGTTACACTCTATAACAAACATAGTTATTATTAATTACTATCGCAAAAAAAAAACAGCGATGGCCTTGACTAATTGTGGACCATCGCATTTTTTTCAAGGCGGTAATTCAAATTTTAATTTTAACAGTGGGACGCCTAAGAATCCCACTGGGTGCTCATTTTTTTGCAATTGTAATATTGTCAAAGTCGCTCTACTGTAGAGTTGGGTTGTCTTTTGTCCGTGTGGAGTACACACAACTCTTCTCCTCGTTGTGCAGTCGCACGTTTTCGACAATAAATATAATATAAAAATGAATACCAAGACTCCCGGATCGTCGGCGCGCGTGAAACTCTTCTTATCGGTATTCTTGACGTACCAATCCATGATTCTTCCGACAAACGGCGAGATCAAAGTAACACCAGCTTCGGCGCAAGCAACGGCCTGCTCAAAATTGAACAACAATGTCATGTTGCAGTGAATTCCGTGTTGAGATTCGAGAATCCTTGAAAACGCCTTTCTTTTTCAAATCAAATGATCAAATACTCACTTGGCCGCCTGAATTCCCTCCCACGTCGACGCCAACTTAATAAGGATTCGCTCCTTCGAAATTCCCTCCTCTTCGTATTGCTTAATAATGTGAAGAGCTCGATCAATCGAACCTTGAGTATCAAACGATAGTCTAAAAATTGGATCGATTACCCAAAAAATGTGTGCATTTTTTTTTCAATTACCTGGCATCAACTTCGGTCGAAACTCTTCCAGGAATGAGTTTGAGAATTTCATTGCCAAACACAACGAAAAGACGATCCATCGCATATTGAAGAACCTGATCGCGTCCATTCGCATTCTTCTTCGCGTAGGCGACAGCTTCATCGATCAATGGAGCGTATTGCTCCATTTTGGAAGCAGCAAGTATGAGCGATGGGTTTGTAGTGGCATCCGTTGGCTGGAACTCCTTGATGACTAAAATTTCGATTTTCAAAACGAAAATATTCATTTCCAATGCAGAAATGTTTTATGTAATGGGTACAGTAATTAAACTGATATTATTATATTATACAGTCTATAGTCTAGAAACCTAGTGGATATCAATTTTTTAGTCTTTTTTTTTCAAAAAAAAAAACGTCATAGCACTAATACGAATAAAAACACTAGACCATTCTCCCTTTTACAGTATCAGTTTTTTTTTTTTCGATTAACTGAATTATTTTGGACCTATTTATGAAATATTTTTTTTACAAAAAAGTATAAAAAATTTTAAATTTTCATATATCTACAACACTGCATTGTTAAAATGTGTCATTTTAAAAATATTTTTCATTGCATGAGAATGGAAATTCAAAAAATCATCCGACATTTCAAAAAATACGCCAAAATTTAATTTGAAAATTTTTTTCCTCATCCTTGGGCTGAATTCACACAAATAAAATTGGGTCTCGCAGTCTCTTTTTTGTAGCATGATTACTGTAGCATTGCATGTTTAATTGGAGTTGTGGGAGATGTCTTTTTATAACCCTATTCAAGCAATACAAATTTTTTAAATTCCCACTTTTCCAAATGCCAGGGTTATTTGAAAAATGCACATTTACTGTGTAATTTTTTGTAAAAAAATTAAAATTCATGAATAGGGCCATTAGAATTTGAAAACTCTTAAATAGGTTCAAAGAAAATGAAAACCCTACGATTGAAATCTCCAGTGTCAGCGACAACAATCGATACCTTTTTGAGTTGCTCAAGAACCGACATTTTCCTAAAAAATAACTGATAAACATGAATTTAAAAAAAATAGTAAGAGCCATTAAAAAGGTAATACGATGTGATGATCATGTGGCGTGATTGAAAACGATAACGCGAGACCAAAAGAAAACCTGGACCGTTGGGTGTGGCCGAATTTTTGACCAACGTATCAAACCAAGGCCATCATATACTCAAATATTTCTTCGTTATGGGTTCGAAACCCTCTTTCTAGAAAAAAAATTGATAAATAAAATGAAAACAAGAAATTTAATATGTCAACAGAAACAATTACACTAAATTCAACAAACATCAACAAAAAAAATAACAACAAACATCATTCAACAACAATTATAATTATAATTATAACAAATGGAAATCATCTTGAAAGAAATTCAACAAAAAATTTACAATGATTGTGTTGTCATTTCGAACCACTGCCTAATCGATTCGGCAATCACTGACGGCAGTTGTTGAACATTTTTGACGATCGCGTAGAACGGGAACGGAAACAGTGACAAATACGATGTAAGTACCTGACAAAGTACACATTTTCGATTTTGTCTCCAAATTTATTTATTTTTTGTTCACTCACCACCTTGCCGTCTTTGAACGACGCCACTGACAAGTCTTCAATTGATTTTTTACCCGAATCGAGAATCACAAATAGCACAGTTACTCCGTGAAGAGCCGAATACAATGCACGAACCTGCCAATTGAATATATAAGGACTATTTTTCATTTGAGAAAAAATCGCCACAAGACCCAAACACATGAAAAACAGCTAGAAATTAGTGGTTTTGTTTAGACAATTTGAGTTTCTTTGAATTTATGGTTCGAAAGATTGAAATATCGCAAAAATCGGATTTCTCCGGGTTGGGACCCAACCAGCGTCGTCAGATTAAGCTTCTGCTGCACTCCAAAAATCAATTCAAATTACTCTGCTAGAAATAGCAAAAGAGATATCGTCATATTTAGCAAAAAAATATGGAGTCTCGCAACATATTTTTCTTCTATACTGTAATTAAAGGCACACATAGTTTTTTTTGTTGCGATGAGTCTCGAAGCGAACACTATAAATAATTATTTCCAATTAAGAAAAAAGACGAACCTTGTCAGCTCCTTGCGACAACGTTCCACGACCATCCGAAATAATGATAAGCATTTGCTCGGACGTTGCCGTTCGAATGTTGTCGAGCTCGCGTTTCGCCGTTTTCAACAAAAGCAAAAGATCGGTTTTGTTTTGGCTGAACGTGAGCTTCTTCAACATTTGCACACTGCTCGAACCCGACGCTTCGCCGAACGGAATGATTGTGTCGACAGACGCGCCGAACGAGCACACCGACACACTACCAGCGTCGCATCTTCAATAATATGTAGATGTTGATTTTGTGTTGATTGATTCGATTCATACCTTCGTAGCGCGTCCTCAACGATACACACCGACTCGCAAGTGACTTGATGGATCCCATTTTCGTTCATCGATCCCGAATCATCCACCGCGATCATTATCTGATATTCTCTTTGCGCTCGTTTCGTTCGCCTCATCCAAATTCGATCTTTGCGATAGTCGCTAGCAATATACGGAATGAGTCGCCGCATGTTCAACCGCTTGCCGCTTCGATAATCGCCCCTTCAATTGATGCCATATTAATTTCGATAAAAAAAATGAAGAAGTCATACTGCATTTTATTGGCTCGTTGCGGCTCCAGAATCAAACGAAGATTTTCAGCAAGTTCGGCGGCCAACACGCCAACGATTCTCGACATCGCCGCCCATTGCTCATCAGCGTCTTCATTGATTCCACGCGTCGCCTCATCATTCTCATCTAATCGTTTTTCCGTGTCGTGCTCAACAATTCCAGCGACAAGCTCTTTGGTGGCATCTTCCATCTGCAATGAACCGATTTATACAACAAAAAAACTTGCTCCCGGTCGAAAATTTCGAAAAAATCCAGTAATATTTGTTTTTTTTTTAATTTGTTTGTAAAAATCCAATTCGTGTCTCATTTTCTTTAAAAAATGTCACATTCGAAACCTTAAACATACCAAACTGAACATTTCCAAAGCAGGCAAATGAATCTGCGCATTCTTCGCCTCAACCGCATCGTCATCTTCAATCTCGCCATCATCGCCACCCATCTCATCCATGACACCCTCGGGAAGCTTCCTCCTCTTCTTCTCGCCGCGTTCCTCCGTCTCGTTCTCGCGCTTCGTCTGTTTCGCTTCATCGAGTGTCCCTTTTCCAACAATCTGCCTTTCAGCGACCGCCGCGTCCTCCATCTGTTGTCCCTGCTCGTTTTCCTCACCTTCACCCATTTCGACATCGTCGACGTTGTCGCTCGATTCTGTCGCCAGCTCGCGTTTTTCCGGTTTTTCACGCTTCTCGACGCCTTCTTCTTCATCTTCATCATTCTCCCCGTCTTCCTCATTCTCCTTCTTCTCGACTTTCGCCGTTTCACCATCGCCATCTTTTCCGCGAGGATCCGATTTGCTCTTGCCCTCACCTTGCTCCTTTTCATCCTCATCCTTCTCATCATTCTCATCTTCGGCAACACCGCCCTCCGTCTGATCATTCTTCTCATTCTGATCCATTCGCTCTCCACCCGTTCCCTGCTCAATTTTTTCATCATCATTCTTCTCATCAGCCGCCTTCTCATCGTCTTCGTCATGTTTCGCCTCAACATCTCGATTGTCTTCATCATTCTCATCTTCGCCTTCGCCATCAATCGGCTCATTGCCCTCTTCTTCTTCGTTATCCGTCTCATCACCATCATCATCCATTTTCTCATCACAATCAGGATCGCCTTCATCGCCGCTACTGAAAATTACAATATTATATAAAATTGAATTCAGTTTCTAAGGCAAACTCACATCTCCTGATCTTCTTCTTCCCTACTCGCATTTTCCTTCTGAGGATTCTCGTCGTCACCGTTATCATCATTCTCACGATCCCTTTCATCGACATTTTCTTGATCATCAGCTTCTTGATCATTTTCTGGAGTCTAAATTCAAAAATAAAAATAAAAATAAGGAGAACGTGACAATTTGGTTGGAAAATTCATAAAAACTCACAGATTATTTCTAGAAAAAAATTGGTATTCTATCGTATTGACTTATCAAAAGTAAACCGTAAAATAGAAATGGTTTGGCACGAAAAAAATTCAAAATTATGAAGAAAAATACAAAATCATCCAAATTTCAGAAAGAAATCTGCAATGGTGAAAATGAGATGGCCGACAAGACGAACGCGGAAGGGATCGAAACTCAAAAGACGCAAGAAGTGACACCAGAAGAAAACGCAGCCATCTGGAGCGCACATATCTTAAAAACCGCGGTAATCAACAACAAGCAATCTTAAAATATTACAGAAAAGCTCGTTAATAGTATTCAGTGACTCATTCAGATTTTTATCAATAAAATTTTGAATAAAATCCAAAAAAACATTGAGAATTTTTTGTATTTTCTTAATAAAATTTTAAGAAATGTCCAATAAGGCATTTTTTTTTCTAAATTTCTAAATTTCACAGTCCCAATAATTCTTATAAAATACTATTAAAGTTTGAAATTTATTATGGTTAAAATAAAAACTATAAAAATTCGAAAAACACCTAGTTTATTTTATCAACTTTTTTTCCCCAAAATCTGCAAGGTGAAGCACAATTTTCAAAATTTTAACAAGTTTTTGCAATATTTTAATATTTCATATCGTTTGTTGCCAAAATTGAATATAAATAAATTATGCAGAGAGTGAGCAAATTAACACAAGAGTATCGCGATAACAAAGATTGGAAACTCAACATATTCACAGCCGTTTATTATGAAAAGAATCCCGACAAAAACAGGTTTGTTCGAGATTTTGCTTCAAAATTTCAATTCTTACACACGAAGATATAATGATATTCCGTGTATGGACGAGAATCGGGTGGTTCTCAAAGAGCGAGACGCCACCAACGACTACATTCACGCCTCGTGGATGACGATGCCCGACGGATTTCAGTACATCTCAACGCAGGGACCATTGAAAAACACGATCGACGATTTTTGGCATATGATCTACACGGAGAAATGTCGAGTGATCATCATGCTGTGCCAATACGTCGAAGACGACGCCGAAAAATGCCGACGCTATTTCGACAACGACGCGACGAAAGAGTACGGCGAGTACAAGGTGAGCGTCAAGGAGAAGCAAATCGATGAGAATCCATCATTGAAGTACACCGTGTTGCAATTATCGCGAAAGTGAGCAAGATTCGAACGTCGAACACATATTTTGAAATAGAACATTTCAGAGGAAATGAAAAATCGCAAACAGTTCATCATTATTGGTATCATGATTGGCACGATCATGTGGCTCCGCTCGATCCGATAAGAATCATACGAATGCACAAATCAGCTATTGAAAACGTATTTGATAGTTGGCCGCGTTTTTATTTTTTTCAAAATCTCAAAAATGCCTAGGCCAAATTCGGACCAATCACAGTGCATTGTTCGGCGGGTGTCGGCCGAACCTCGACATACATTGGCATTCATTATGCTGTCGAGCAAATCAAAATCAACCCAAAAACCACAATGGTCGATATACTCAAAAGTCTTCGAAAAATGAGGTAAAAAAAATGAATTGTGTCGGCGATTTTCGGGAAATTTTTCCGAAAACGTTTTACTAAAAAAAATATGAGGAACAGAATGCCGAAAAAAAAGATGGACGAAATCCTAACTGAAATTTTAAAATTCATTTTTCGTTGCTTAATATAGCGACTTCCTAATGTACCTTGAAACATCAACAATAATTTTAGTTTGAAAATTTTTCAGTCCCGGGAAAAAACCACGAATTTTCGAAATAAACGATGTGCGCTTTTTTTCGGCGTGAGACCCAAAATAGTTTTAATCAACCATTTGATTATATTTTTTCAAACTATCGTCGTGGACAATCGAATTTGAAAGTTTAAATTTTGCAGTTGCCACCTGATTGGGCCTCTCTTTGACACTTCAAAAACTACATTTGTAAAATTCATTTAAAAAAAATTATGCTCTTTCCGATTACGATGGTTATGTAAAACTCGCTACTAACTATTGGCGGCAATTCAAAATTTTTTTTTAATTTAATAATAAATCAATCATGCAGGTATGGATCGATTCAAAGTCAACTTCAATACGTATTTCTCCACATTTGCGTCATTCAACTTTTGATTGTCGATGGAATCATCAAACGGGAACACTCGTTTGACGAGTTTTTGAAAAAATACGAAAATATCACGAAAAAGGTTATGACGGCAATCGATGACGAGTTGAAGAAGCACAAAGAAAAGAAAAGCGTGCGAACGAAAAAGTTTGTGGTCGTTTTGCGACCAAAAATAAAAGCTATTGCCAATAATTTCAGCAAAACCAAAAGCTGGGAGACGAAGCACGACGGCCAAAGCGCACTATTCAAATTGGTTTTGAACGTGTCGAAACTTCTTTTAAAAAATGACTATTAGGTTGAACAAGAAGCAGGCAGCAAGAAAGAGAAGAAGCCGGCGAAGAAGGTCGAAGCTGTCAGCAAAAAGGACAAAAGAACGAAAAAAGACGACGTTCGTCGATCAACTCGAAAAACATCAAAACGATAAGTGCTTGAGCACAATACTTGTTAAACATAAATGCAAATTCTTACATTCTCATCCTTTTTCTCGTCACCCTCATCATTCTTTTGATCGGCATTATCTTCTTTGGCCACCATCTCGTTCGTCTCTTTGTCGGCGCCGTCTTGCTCCTGATCCATGTTCTTCGCATCATTCTCCTCTTTCTCATCGTTATCCCACATGTCCGGATCAAGCTGCTTCTCATCTTCATCGTCGACGTCACCAATTTGATCTTCCGGCTCCGGCGTTTCCTCGTCGGATTGCTATGTCAAATCAACAATTGAGTTCACATTTTGAGACATGCAAATCTTACGTCATTCTCATCATTCTCGTCACCTTTTTCGGTTTTGTCAATATCTTGCAAATCTTCGGCGAAATCCTTAAATAGGTTGAAATCGATTTGAAAAAAATCGAATGGTGCAATGCAAAAAAAAGAACTCTAGATTTTCGAGTTTTTCGAGTACTCTTTTCACAAAAAAAAACCACCAACATCTTCCATTTCAATCGGCTTCTCATTCTCATTTTTCGCTTCATGCTCTTCCGAATCAACCGGCTGCTCATCTTCAAGACCTTCAATCTGCCCGGTCTCTTCCATCTCGTCGGTGACATCTTTGGCGTCTTTGGCGGTTCCACCTTCGCCAATTCCGCCACCTTCGCCACTCGCATCCGTTTCACCATCGCCACTTTCCTGTTTGTCGGCTTTCGGAATCGTATTCACGTAGCCCTAAAACGAAAACGATCTATTAGATAATTTTTCGATTGGATTCTCGTTTACGTGTTCGAACAGCTGAATTGTCATCGAAAGAATTGCGTGATACAAAACGCAGAATTTTCCGAGGCAATTCGTCAAACGAGCAATACATTCGTTCAACATGTGCACAGCTGTTTTGGTGAGCTCCACAACGCCTAAAACGGAAAAGACCGAGGAAAAAAATTTGTTGAAATAATTCCAACGAGATACCGCGCATTCCCTGACGGACAACTCGTCCGCTTCGATGCTCTTCGATCATCTCTTCAAGCCAAATCACAAGAGATCCCATGTCGGACGCATTCAAACAGTTCGCCACGCTGATTATCTTGTCAAGAGCCTACAATCAAATGAATTCTTAAAAAAAAAAAACAAAAGTGCGACGACGAGTCTTACAATCTTCTCCGTTTTTCCGCCAACAACGGTGTCGTCAATTTCGGCATTCTCGAGGCCTTTATAAATATTTTGAATAACCATTAAAACACGGGCCACGTTGATTTCTTTTCGCGTCGGCTCTTCCAATGGCAACAATTTCTAAAATTTCAATTTTTTTAATCAAAAATGAATAATGCAATTTTTACATCAACATCCGCTTGAATCAAAAACAGCAATCGTTTCATTTCAATTGATTCGACGTCGAAGAATCCATCAAACGTTTCAAATTCACCGATTGCTTCTTCAACATAGCTCTTCATTTCTCTCTTCCAGTATTCAAATTTCGCACTGAAAAATCAAATTTAGACAAAAAAAATTCGATTAGCTCCCCACTTCTCAATGATTTTGCCATCATTCTCATTGATCTCATCATTTGTCCGCTTCAGATTTGACAACGAAATCTCAATTCTCTTGAGGCAACTCATCAATTTTTTCGCCATCTCATCCGACTTGCAAATTCTCGCCAATGGATGATGGTGCTCTTTCGCGAATTCTTCAACAAAAAAAAACCAATTACCAATTTTGCTCGATTCAGCAAATCTCGAATTACCATCATCAACGTTCTCGGGAATCTCGTTCAATCTTCTCATGACAATTTCAACAATAATCGAAACATCGCTAATAAGCTTGGAAATGTTCTCAACTCTTCCGGCAACAATTTCATGATCGATATTCCAAGAAACTTTCTGATTCTCGACAATTCGCTTCATTTCATCAATCGCCTTCTCAATTCTGCCAGCATCGTTGGTCCATTTGTTGAGATTCCCATGCATTTTTATCATATAGTCCATTCCATATTCTTAAAACAATTAAATAGTCGTATATATGAATCAGAGGATGTGCGGGACCCTTCGGTAAATTTATTTGAAAACCTTTGTTTCTAGCCACAGAAATCCGGAAATTTCGAGGTTTCAGGCTCTATTAATTTTTTAAACTAAAAGTTTGACGAAAACCCCATATTCCAACAATCACCGACATAAATACCGAATAAATGAACGAAACGCCAAGGTATCTTTAAAATCGACAGTAAATTTAAGATTTAAAACGTCTCAATATCCTGGTAATGTTTTCGGGTTTTTTCAAAGGTTGATTTCAAATTTGAATTGCCGCCTGACAAGGGAACCGTATTTTTTTTAGGAGAATTGACAGATTCAATCCGTCGTAGCTAAATCGAGTAAAATTTTCAAAAAAAAATTCTACAGCACTCGCTCTGAGACCATCTTTTTGAAAATTCGTATGAATCCGTCAAATACGAAACGATGACATACCAATAATTCCCGTCAAGTGTTTTCGCGTCGAGACGCCAACTTGCTGATCGATCTTGTTCGCCTTCTTGATGACAACATTTCGGCCAGCGGCACAAACTCGCACCGACGTCTCGCATTCGCCGCTCGTCTCAATTCCGATCACACTCATCTCATTGATACGCTCTTGCGTCAACAGAGCCGCTCGCCGCGCATTCAAACCAATCGATTGCGCTTCTTTAATCACCATGGCGACTTGACGTTGACGCGCATTTCTCGCATAGCCCTGTTGCTTCTCCTTTTCCGAATCTTCACCAACATAATTGATCATCGTGCGAATGCTCTCATCTGTCGATTTCGTCTGTTCGGCAAGTTCTTCAATGGCAGTGACGTTGCACATAAGAGTTGCTAAAAAAAAACATTTTGTTATCGTTTCAAATGAAATGCATTTTTTGGTTTCAAGATACCAGCCAAACTCGAAATGTTGGGAAAGTTGTTTGAAACAGCGGTGGATTTATTATAGCATTTTTTTTGCAAATATGCCTACATTTTGGTAAATAATCAATCATTCGAAAATTAATCGAATTCTCATTTTAAAATGCGGCCGCAAAAATCATAATATTCGAAATTTGACCATTAAGGTTTGATTTTTAATAAATTGTCTTAATAAATCGAGAAAAAACAACAACTTCTCACTTTTTGCCGAGACTTCGTCACAGAATTTCATCGATTGCCTAATACGCTTTCGAATCTCGACATCTTCAATGTCCTCAATTCTCGATTCTTCTCTATCATCGATCGCCTTGTTTCGCCATTCGGCGAGCGTTTGAAGCACCTCGAAATCGGCGTCGACTTCCTCATTGATTGCGGCTTTAAATCGCCGAACAATTTTGTAAAGTTGCGCGTGCGCTTTTTGCGACGAAACGCGAATGTTCCAAAGATTCAAATCATTGTATTTGACAACTTTCAAATAATCGCTCAGACTGCGCTCGGCCGGCTCGCGCGCCGCTTTCAAGCGCTTCTCAACGCTTTCGACGAACATCTCGAAATGTCGTGACGCCGACAACAACTTCGCGCTCAATTCCATTTTTCCAATGATCGTCGCCCATTTCGAAAGCGATTCAACGCTACGAACTCGTGTGCCGAAATCGATGAGCGTCGAATTGTGCATCCATTCAATACTCATTGCGACAATCGACGTTTCAGCTTCAATCGCTGAAAATCGGTCCATCACAAAAATTGTCAAAATTACAGAATGTCATACAGTCAGCGGTGAATAGCGATTCGAATAACGGGAACGCCACCAATTGGGCTCGCTGTCTCGCCTCATTCTGACAATTGTCGAGCAACGCCGACCAGCAGCGCACCTCCATTTTCTTCCATTCGACAAGAAGCCGCCTCAACTCGTCTAGCGGTCCCTTCAGCGAGTTCTGTCGATCCGCCATCGATTCCCATTGCTCGCACTGCTCGATCAGCTTCTCGATTTCGGCGGCCATTTTGATGTGCGGCATCGCAACCGAGACGCCGAAAAACTCGTCAATCGCCGTGAGAATGCTTTTCAGCGAAACCACTTCCGGCCATCTCTCACGAACATCGCCAACTCTGGCGGCAAGTCTCTCAAGAATCGAAGCAACACGACGACATTCGCGAAGCGATGAGTTTCTGGAATTTGCTTTTTTTCTAGTGGATAATAAACCAAACTAGGGAATTATTACGAATAGACATTGATGATTTTCTTATCCTCTCCTTCAAGACCATCGTTGAGTCCTTCATTGTTGGCCAAGATTTCAAACAGCTTTTGGTCACCATCTATAAGAAAATTGGGCTTATATTAAAATTTAAAAAATAATTGTAATCCTCACCGATACAACGTATATCTACCAACTGATCATCGGGAATCAATCCAACTTCCGATAAAACGTATCGCATCCATGACAATGCCATTTTGTGTCGCGCATCCGAAGCATTCCGACTGTTTTCGTCAACCAACGACCTAAACCTCAGCTATATTAGGTATTCATTATTTTCGATGACTTGGAAGTTTTCTCGACCGCCTCCAACAAAAGCGAAACATCATTCTCCGAAAGAACATGCGAATCGTGCGAGCTCGCCGAAAAGTATTCCTCAATATCCAGTTGCTCTTTCTCCTCTTCGCTTTTCGATCGATAGACAAAGTCCTTTTTCTCTGCTTGAGCAATATTTCGTTCGTACCTTAAAAGAAGAATGAAACGATATCAAAAGTTTGCCAATTTTGAAAATACCATTTCTTCCATTGATTTCGAACCCATTGAATGTCCGCTTGCAATTCCATCGCACAGCATTCTGCGAGTCTTTTCCGCACCACCGCCGCTTTCAGAAGAAGTGGCATCGGCGACGAGTCGCGAATCGCCCATGTCAGCACTTCTGGCGAGACGAGACCATTATTTGATGAGGTGATCTGAACAGGTCCATGTTTTGAATTGACGGGAATGACTGCTCCTCTCTTCCCGTTGGCTCAAACATGGTCCCTTGAAATTCGTCGGAACCACGTTCGAGTCAACGAGCAGAACAGATCATATCAATGAGAAAAAGAACGGTTATTTTCATAGAATGCCGAATATAATAACAAAAAAAACAAACATTGATCATTCTGGGGAAGTTCGTCGAAATTTCAGCATCGTGCCGTTTCAGCACACGACTCGCGTTCAATACGCTCTCATTCAACGCGATTTCAACAAGCATCAATCCCGCGATGAACGGCGTCGCGACATCAACAAACGACGAGTACTTTCGGAGAATGCTCTGCAAGAGAGAAACAAAATAATATTAGAAATCGAAAATTGATTCAATTTTCAAAATCATACCACTCGAAAATTGGAGGCGCTAATAATGAACGATTTCATTCGCGCCAATTTGATTCTCAACTGCTCATCCGTCGCTCTCGATTCCTCAATTTTCCGCGAATCGCGAATTGCGTCCAGCGTGACATTGAAGAACGACGCAAGTTCGGCACAAAGCGTCGCATACTGCGTTGCGGATTGACGATGAATTTGTCGCGCACGAATTGCGTCGTCGTCGCCGCCTTCCGTGAGCTTCTCATCGAGACACTTCAATTCGGCTTCAATTTCGCGTGCCGCTTTCAAAATCGGATGAGTTGTCGCCGAATCGCAATCGCGCTCCTGTCTCGACACCAATTGTCGATACGTCGACAGAATATCAAGCTGCTTCAGAAGAATTCGTCGTTTCGCTCGAATGAATTGAATTTGTTCCTCTTCAAAAATCACCGGATCGAGCGTGTTCGGTGGAGGCACCGCATTTCGCATCATCTCGACACCAACTTCGACACAATCCACATTTTCATTATCATCTCTCCATTCCTTGATTCCACAGCTAACTTGTTTGATATGTTCTCTTAAATTAAAATAGTATATAAATTTGGTCGCTCATTTCACAAAAGAATAACAACCATACCTGATTCTCGTTTTTAGTCGACCGCTATTCAACGCCAATCGCCACAATTTTCGAGAAATCTCGCGAATCGGAAACTTTTGCAAATGTGAAACGCTCAAATTTGATAGTGTCGGATTGTAAGCGATGGCCGAAAAGAACAAACGCGTCGCTAGACAATGTGCGCCGCCGCCAATCGAAGCCAAATCGCCAACACTGAACAATTATTCATTTTTTTGCTTTTGTTGAAAATCCCCAGGCTTGTCGTTCTGAAGCCGAGCCAAAGACGATTAAAAAAATTCAATAGAAAAAGAATTTTTTAACGAATGTTATTGAAGAGTTTGAATTTGGAAAGGTTTAAATATTTGATTAAATTTAGTAATTTCGGCTTACAAGGTCGAGTAAAAGAAAAAATTTCTTGGTCGAACAATATTTTGACTGTGACCAGCAACAAGCCTGAGAATAATTTGAACATTTTGAATTTCGCGGGAAAATCATGCCAATTAAAAGCTTTGAAACATTCAAAAATATTGTCAAGAACGGGCATTTTTTGCATTTCACAAACGCGTTCATAGTCCCCACCAATAATTAACAAGTGCTTACATAAAATCGGTTCCCTCTTCGGCTTGGCTCAACAATTTGGAATTGACAAGTGTCGCACATAACACCGCGATGGTTCGCATCATTCGAGACTTTTCAACACTCGTCCAATTTAAACCATTGAAAATGTTCGAGATGTTGAAAATCTTATTGCTCTCATCGGTGTCACCATTCGACAAAAAATCAAAAAGAGCATTGACGCTTTCGAGAACATTCGACGTGATTTCGACGGGCGATTCAACGATTTCCTTCTTTTCCTCCTCCTCATCATCATCTTTGTTCGCATCTTTCATTTCGACGTCCTCCGATTCCTCACTCGTCGACAACTCCATTCGTTGGACATAATTCACTGCGTCCGACTCATCCTCAAACGGCTTGACAATCGAACCGTTCCGCCACCTCCAAATATAAGCCTTCAAGAATTGCTCGAACGACTCCGATGTCCATCCTTCTTCGATTTTGGCAATTATCGAGATCACATCTTTTGGGCTATAAAAATACATAATCAAACCTTTCAGTTTTGTTTTTCAAAAAAATAATTCAAAGGACCACTCACAATGAAATATCACATCGTTTTCCGATTTCATTTCGCAAATCATTCCAAGAGAGATAAATGGCAGCACAACCAGTCCGATTCGAAAGTTTTCGACGAGAAGCGGCAATCAGCAGAAGCAACGACAAACAAATTGAAAATTGCTGAATCATTTAATACATTTTATATTATAAAACGAGCTAAAATACAAAACAATGTGTTCTAAATTATTTCAGATCCTCAGAAAATTCCAAAGTGTGCAAGTTACGCAAAAATTAAAAAAAAAGAACCAAAGTTTGCGGAAAAATACAGCAAAAATCTATTTTTTTCAAGTTTTTAAACGAATTCTGCCGTATCAAAACTTCATGATCAGCCAAATAACAATTATCAACGAAAACCCAAGAGTTCGTTTAATTGTGGAAGACACTCAACCTACCTTCGATTCATCATTCGAAATTGGTTCGTTTTGCTTCCAGAGCGATACAGTTGCTTTAATCAATGAATAAATGAACGGCAAATTGTTGAATGTCACATCGCATGTCGCAATTTCATCTAAAAATCAATTCAATACCACTGGATTATCTCAAAAACCCCTCCCCATACATTTGGTTTTCGTTTTGCTAATGTTCTCCGCTGAATTCTCATCAATAGGCATTTTCGATTGTAATTGCAGCATCCATTCGAACAAAACCATCGTGTTATATCTAAAAACACTATTTTGAGTGAAAAATTGGAAATTTTTCGATTTTTGCAACTTTTTAACGGCCATTTCATTTTTCAAAAAGCCGCCTGCAAATCTCGGATCAATCAAATGCCTTCCAGCGAGGTTGAGGTGTTTCAAACGATAAATGAACGGCTCTGAAAATTCAAACTTTCGAAAATTTCCCCCCCAATACCAATTTATACCAATTAATTTTCTTCCAAACGCGTCAATCAAATTGTTCGAATTCAAGATTTGCGGTGTCGCCGATGACAATACCATAAAGACGCCTTCAACCATCGATATTTTTCTTGTCTTTATGGCAACCTTCCAATTCTCAATCAGCCATTCCTCATAATTCCCATTCAAGTTTCTGAAGTCAAATAAAACGGGTCGACTTCGAGTAAAATTCGATTCGACTTACGCAACGCATTGAACATTCGGCGCAATCAGTCCCTCGATCGTTTCATTCCCATCATCAAAATTCTCAATTTCCGGCGCTCCAACGAGTTTCAATAGCGAAGGCAACGGCAATCGATTCTCATCGCTTAAAAGGATCGACAAGTGAAGCTGCTGTTCAGGACTCAAATTGCTCGCGATGTAGTCAGCCTGATGTTCATTCAAGCTTCTACAAATCACAGAGGACACATCACGAGTCGAAGTGTGCCATCTAAAACCATTCGCATGAAAAAAAAAATGAAAACAGAAGGAAAGAAAGAAGAAGAAGAAGCAACCTCGAGGTTTCGTCAACATAAATTTCGACACTTCGATTTCGCATCGCTCGCGAAATTTCACCAACTCGCGAGTCCATCGACAAAAACACCCGAAACTCCGGATGCGGCTCAAGTGGCTCATAGCTGTTCTGTCGTTCAGCGACCACCAGTTTTCCGCCGCTTTCGAGGCACGAATTCAAACGATCAAGAACTGCGGCGCTGAAAATCAAAGAAAACGATTTGAAGTTGGACTAGACGTCGATTGAAACCTGCACAGATTGACGTCTTCGACAAGAAGCCAATAGCCGTTTAGATAGGCATCGACAAACACAGAATCTCTCCATTCGAATCGCATCGACGCCTGATTGGCGATCTCGTTGATGTGACGAATTTTGGCTTTCACATCGTCATTCGAAATTTCAGATAGTATCAACTGCAAAATTTAATGTGCGTTTTCAGTTCGACTCAACAAATTTCGCCTACTTCGACCGATGATTCAAGTTGCGTCAAATCTTCGGCACCTCTCAATTTCTCGGCGTACATCGATCGCAATTCAGCATCGTGCAAAACTTTCAAAATCGCCTCTTTCGCGTCGGGCAAACAATTTTCGTCAACAATTTGCTCGTACGAGCCGATGAGCTCCTGAGCGTCGGTGTCGGCGTTCAGTGCAATCGTTCGAAGTGTTCGGCCGCTCAGCGTCGCCAAATTTTCAATCGCACTCCGCTTTCCGCAATTCCGCGGCCCAACGAGCAAAACCAGCCAATTCATTTCAACGCATGTGGCAAGATTGCTACAAACTTCCATTTGTGAAGGCAACAGGCGATTCTCATTCTGAGCCATTGTCGGCGACGAGCGCCGTGAAATTTTGCTCTAAATCGACTGAAATTACTAGAAATCACAATTTTCCACAATTACCTTCCCAATTCTAAGAACTCGCTCGTCAATAGTTAACTGAACAGCAGGATAAACGCTATAAGAGCCTGAGAATCCACGAAAAATTGTCCTCATCAATTCTCGATCTTCCGATGAACGCATTCGGCTGACGTAGACAACTTCATAAGCTTCTGACAAGCTTTTATACTAAACCCAACATTTAAAACGCATAAACTAGACAAAATTTCAACACCTTTGCCGCTAATTCATACCAACGAAGTAAGTCGCGAAGATTGAAAGAATGAGGACCACCGGCAAACTTTGCCGCCTCGGCTTCTTCGATACACCGCTGGTTAATCTTTAAAAAATAATTAGTAGCAATCAGAAAGTAAAAAAATTCAAAAAAAAAATTATATACCTCCACCATCATTGTCCGCACCTCTTTCGTAAGCAAATTCGACGAATCAACACCTTTGAGAACAATTTCAATATCATTTTTGGACAAATCATCAGTGTAAATCTTAAAAAATTTTTCGAATCAAAGATGATTAAAAAAAAAAACAGAAAACCAACATTCGTGAATCGGTTGACAAATGATTTCGGAAGAGCTCGCCGATTTCCGCCTTGAACACGCGGATTCTGGCAAGCGAAAAACCGGCAACTGGACGTCGTCGGAATCTCGAAAGATTTGTTCAACTCGGCGATATAGAGAATACGTCGATGATCGAAACACGCGTTGAGACCTTCCAGAACCGATTGACTCGCCAAGTTCATTTCATCGAGAAGCACCCACTCGCCGTTTTTGATTGCTTTCAGCACCGGCCCATCTTCCCAACGGAAGCTCATCGCTCCGTCCTCGGTTATCACCGGAACATCGCTACCGAACAAATCCGATAAGTCCGTCTGATCACTCAAGTTCAATCGTGTGATCGGATTTCCGGTGAGTTGCGCTAGTGCCATTACGGTCGATGATTTGCCGCAACCCGGCGCTCCTTCAAGCAAAATCGGCTTGTTGATGAGCAATCCTCTGAAATTCAAATATTCGTGTTTTGGCTACATATGAAACGTGCCTAGCAATACGGTAGAAGTTCTTTGCGCATGTCGGAGCCTTTAGCGAAAACGATTTAGGCAATTTTGGATCCAATGGACCGTAAGGAACCTAAAATTTCAAATTTTCATTCATGAATAATAAGAAATTAATGTTCAACCTTCAAATGCCCGATTGCCAATTGATTGGCCATCACATTGATCTCATTCATCGCGCGATTGGCATCATTGAGAAGTTCTAACATCTCCTTCATATCACCAAATTTCGTTTTCGCCAATTCATGAACCAACTGAAAGCGACGATATAATTGGTACTCAAATCACAAGGAATATTTCGAAGTGTTGGCGTGGACGAATTTGTAGTCAAAATGTTGTATCATTTGAATTGCCGCCTTGGGTCTCGTATGGAAAAGCCCCGCTTTTTTTTAATTGGAAAAAACTTGTATTTTTTTACGAGCGAGTTTTTTCCACCTCACAAAATTCAACAATTTCAAATTCGTTCACCAATACTTCAAATTCCAATTTTAAAAATAAAATGAGAAACCATTGAAAGCGCGTCATCGAACACTTCCGACGGATTGATTTGTAATCGTGTCGTCAAACCGGCAAGCGAGTCAAGAAACACGGCGCAAAGCGCGTCGCGAATCGCGACAATCGATTCGATGCCGGCGCGAATTGCAGCCGAATAGAGTTCGGCGCAAGCAACAATGTCACGAACCGACGGAGCGTGCCTTGAAAAAAAAACAAAATTCATCAAATATCTTATATACACAAATCGATCAAACCTGAACACGTGAGAGTATTTCGAAAAAAAGTCAATAATCCAAGCGACGACAGCTTTCGACGTTTTCGACGGAAAAATTAGCGCTTCATCAGCGGTCGCCTCGTTCCCCAATAATCTTTGATCGAATATTGCCATCAATTCTGAAGGCGTATAATCGCTCGACGTCCAAACTTCAGTAAATCGATTTCGAAGTGCTTTTGAGAGCTTCAAATTAGTGAGTTTTTTTTTGCAAAAAAATACAAAAAAAACGAGCAAACCTCCTTTTTTCCATAGTCACCTCCCGGATTCATCGTAGCAACAATTTGGAAGCCCGGCAACGCCGTAATCAATTCGGTTTCTGTTCCGGCGTCCGACAACAATAATGATCGATCCTCCTCGAACAGCGGATTCAATCGTTCAAGCACCGAATCTTCGGCGAGAGAGATTTCGTCGACAAGCAATGGAACACCGTCGCGCATCGCCGCGATCACAACACCATCGGACCATTCAAATCCGCCATTCTGTTTCGGTCGAAGTCTTCCGAGCAAATCGACGGTTTCGGTTCGCTCGTGACAATTGATGCTTCGCAATTTCCCTCGTCCCACCAATTCCGACAGCGTCGTCTTACCGCCACCGGTTTCTCCAACTAGAAGCACAGCTTCATTGCGAAGCCATGCCTGATGCGTAAGCACCAACATTCGACGCATTCCAAGTGTCAAAACGACATTGCCGGTGTTCACATCCGTCGGCATATAGGGCGATTCCATATCGAACAGCTTTTCAACATCAATATTCCGCTTAATGACCTTCTGGAGCGTCTCCACCACCGTTTCTTCATCCTTCTTATTGCGGCAACGTCCGGCGAGCAGGAAATAGCCGTGATTGACGAGAATCTGAAGCCAATCGTCGCATGTTTCATCGGTCGTCAAACGTTTCGCCCAGCGGAACACGTCGCGCAGCGTCATGAGACCATCGCGCGCCGAGAACAATCCTGATAGGGATCGTCGCGTTCGCAGCTCATTGAGCACTTCAATCATCTTATGGGCAGCCGACGGCGGTACGTCGCAACGTGTGCAAACCATTTCGGATAGCTCGTCCATCGGCAAATGATTGAAGCGCAACACGATGAATCTCGACATAAGCGCTCGCGATAATTTCTTTCGTCCAGCATACGTGCCCGCCGGATTCTGGGTGGCGAATAGCCGAAATCGTGGATGCGCTTTGATTGTCTCATTGATTTCCGGAACAAACAGCTCGCGATTGTCGTCGAGAAGCTAAATACTCACAATTCTCGTTTCAAGATTCAAAAAAAAATGCAATACTCTATTCAAGGCTTCAATAACATCGGTTGGTGCCAAATTGAGCTCGTCGAGAATAACCCACGAACCATTGCGGACCGCTTGCACGAGAGCACCTTCTCGAAAAACCAAACGACCGCCATTATCGGCCACATACGATCCCATATATCTGCAAACAAAAAAATTTACCGGATATTTTTTTTTTCGTGAGTCGTTTACTCTTGAACATCGGTGTGCTCGTGATTATTGATGCGAACAATCCGATTGCCAGTGATTTTTCCGAGATAGCACACAATCGACGTTTTTCCCGCCGACGTTTCGCCCTCGAGAAGTATTGGAAATCGTCCGCTGCAGACGATCCTCGAAATTTCGGCCAAATTCGCTTTCACCGTCTTCGTGATCACGTATTTCGCGTCGTCGGCCGGATGCACGTCGCCTTTCTCGATCAAATAGCCGCCGATTTTGACGAAATTCTCGACATTTTTCGGCGACGGCATCGCCGCGTGTGAGCATTTGAACATCGTCTGGATTTTTGAGCGCATCACATTTTTCTCATCGTCTTCCAAATTCGTCAGATACGCCATCGATACCTGAAGTACATTTGAGAGAAAAATCAATTAATTAATCAATCAATCAATTTCATACCGCTTCATAGATTGATTGCTCCACACTTCCAAACATGTTATCGGTGACGAATAAGAGCGCACGACAAAATGTTCGAAGGCTGTACGTCGATGGATACATTTGTTTCGCTTGTAGGTAGAACTTCACGAGATTGTCGACATGATTCTGCTGAATGGTTGGCAGATAGGCCGACACGATGAGCGCCAATTGGTGTGGGTCGTGCGTTTCGGAGACGAAGAACTCCGTGAATTTCGTGCGCACACTCGGCGGCAGTCGTCGTTTTCCGGAATCCGTCGCCGGATTCATGCAAGCGAATAGACGGAAATTCGGATGAGTGCTCGCAGCCGAGAGGGCGTGAATGATAGCATCGAGGCATTCCGGCGGCGCCAAATTGATTTCATCGACAAGAAGCCAATGCCCGTTATCGGCCGCTTCAAGCACAGCGCCCTTCTGAAGCGCGAACGGCGCCGCGCCTTTTTCCAATCCAACTCTGATTTGTTTTGCTCGCACGAGAATCTCAGCCCATCGCTCGTCAATTTGTCCATTCTTCTTCTTTTCGAACGCCTTTATCGCAGTTGCTTCGACAATATTGAGATAGTCGCGGAATCGTCCAGACGACAGGCATTTCTATGAAAAAAATACATAGATATTTGACATTTCGTAAAAAAAGTTTGATTAAAAAAACAGTACCTCAAGATTATCGAAAAACTTCCGGTTTTTCGAGACATCGAAATTCGCCGAGAAGACGTCGACGTAGAATTTGGTGAACGGTTCAATCAGTTGGCCAATCGTTGTTGGCTTGTACCTAAAAAATGGAATTCGCAAACTATTTCCAAAAACATCAATCGAATAAAAACCCTTGAATTAGCTCATCCGAATCCGACGTTGGGCTGACGTTGACAACATTCAAAGTCGTTCCGATTAGATCCGCGACAGCCTGGACGACAGACGTTTTGCCAACTCCCGTTTCGCCGACCAACAGCAGCGGTTCGTTGTTCGACACACAAACCGCAATTCTTTCCATCAGCTGGACGACGTCACTGAAAACAAAAAAGACAAATGCATTATGCGAAACATGAATATAACCGAGTATGTCCTAATCGATGTCTAGCTGATTTGATCATCGATTGTTCTCTAGGAAGAATCGCTCTTCCGATGGACACCACTTTATCATCGTAGTTCACATCAGGCTGTCGAACCGACATATGAGTGTGAACTCTGTCGGGATGAACGTTCAACATTGCTGCCACCTAAATAGATATAAGTTTGTTATAAAATTCGCTATATGAGAAAACCTTGTTGCACATTTCCATGGATCGATCCTTCGTATCAGCTAAACACCAAACATCAATCAATTCAGCGAATGCTTCAACATTTGCGCTAACATCGGCAAGTTTCGAAAGACGAGAACATCCACGAAGAAAGTCTCTGAAATAATTATAAATCGATTTTCACAGTAAAATTTGCAAAACGAAAATAGTACGCTGATGTTAGTTGTCGTGAATTCCCATTGCCTGGAATGGCCTCCATGGTTCGGAATATTGAAATAAGTGTTCTAGATAAATGTGAAATTCTTGGAAATGCCTGGAAAAGAAATGATGATTAATTGAAACTGAGGTAAATTCAACTTTTGAAGCTAGACGTTTCAATTCTTCATCGCTAAGCGGCCCAACTTTTATTCGAATCGGCACACCGTCCAAAACCGCGTTTCTCTTGCCTTTTCCCCTTGAATTTGTTTTTGTCATACACATTTCCGAATAGTATTTTTCATTCTCTTACGACATTGTTGCCAATATTCGAACGCTCTCGTGAAACACGCAATTCTTCTCCTCATCTGATGCGTCTGTTTTACGAGACGACGCAATTTCAATAATCTTCGTGATAACATCCGCATTCGCTGCATCGATGTCTTCGAGTAGAATCACGCAAGGAGTGCGAAGCCACTATAATTTTGTGTTTTTTTTTTTTTGAAGAAACGCACAAAAACGGACCTTGGAAAATGTTGATTCATTCCAATGGAATTGTCCGGCGACTTCAGTACAGTAATAGGAGCCAAATAAAGTTTTCGAATCAATCTGGTCGCCCATCTGCATCACATTCAACGGCAAGTTTAATGAATTGGCAGCGTAGGAGGCAAGAAATGTTTTACCACATCCGAGGGGTCCCTGAAGTTAACTAATTTAGAGAATTAAAGTTACGATTATACCTCTATTATAGCGAATTTCTTATTTCTAACAGCTGTAACAACTTGTTGACCTAATATTTCTCTAGTTGGAAGAATTGTGCATGACTCGTCTGCAATCATGGGAGGTAACTAAATTAAACAATTAGAAACAGACCGTTCATTATTATTTCTTTTTGGGGTTCATCTTCGAGAAGGCGTTTTTTCTGAAGAGATACTTCAATGACTTCCAAATCTTCGTTGGTCTTCGAATTGGATAACAGGCGTTTACGAGCCTTACGCCGTTCCTTGCTTTTGTTAACCATTTTACCCTGCAAAAAATGACAAAATTTGTTCGAGGAATCATTAAAAGCAAACCGAAATACAAATTATTTTACGATTCATAATAAATCCAAATTAGATAAACAGTAATCAATGAAAAATTACGGTAAAATGTGTTTTTGGCGATTCAGAACCGCGCAAAAAAAAAGATTAATAAGAAAATAAATTTTCATTTAGGCATTGTTAATAATATCTTAATCTTTTGCGATTCCCCATCTTTAAAATTACTCAAACTTTTATATGTTCATTATGTGTGCCACAAACCTATAGATACAAATTTCTTAATGAGAAAAAATCTTTTTAAAATTTCAACTATGTTTTGAAACATATGAAAAACCTAATTGCATAAAAATTAAAAAATTAGGAATTAAAAAACTTTCAAAAAAATTCAGCGATAAATAAAAAATTGCAAACACCTCACGCAAAGTTACACCAAATGCACCGCATCTGTCGATCATGACTATTTTTCAATTTTTAAATGTCTCTCGCTCATATTAAAAATTAATTTACTTTTAAAATTTTAGTTTATAATAATTTATTAATTAAAATTAACAAATCCTCCGAGTTTTCCAAGATCTTCACATTCTATTCGGTGTGTTCTAAAAATAATTTTAAAATTTTTTTCCGCAGAATAATTAAAAACTTACAGATATCGATGTAGACAGTGTGTTTCTAAAAGCTGTTTTACAATTCGAATCTTCTTCGTCTATTGTTGTCATCATATGTACTGGTTTCGATTTCGACGCAGTTCTTCGCGATTCTAAGCTCTGACAAATTTTTGTATTATTTTAAAATTTTGAATAGAATTAACCAGTTGAACATCCGGTGGAAGATCTCGGTTTGAAGACGAATAAATTGCTATAAATATTTTATAACACAAAATTCAAAATTATATTTACCATTAATGATTTTCAATTGTTTTTCCTCCTTTGAAGATCGTTCCTGAAAAAAGTTAATTAAAGCTGGTGGTTTTTTTCGAGATTTCCCAACCTGCGTCGATTCCGTCATTTTCGTTCGAGTATCCTGCGCAGCTTCGCATTTTGGATTCTAAATTCTTATTTTAATATATATAATTATCTGATAATCGATTCGCACCGCCGAATCATCGTCAGATATCGATGCCTGTTTCGCCGGACGAAATTCTTTTTTCACCGGCTTCGCATAATTCAATTGAGCGTTCGCATCTATATTTCAAGTTTTAAATTATTTCTGCCTCCTATTTTAGCAATAATTAAACCAATGCTATTATTCCAATGTTTTATATCAATATAGCAAGCGATTGAAAGACAAACCGCTAAAACAATCGTGATTCCACAAATAATTCCAAAAACCAAATTGGAACTATTAAAATAGTAAAAACGTTTTTTGAAAAATTGTTCGAGATGCAAACCAACCCGAAATATTCTCCAATCAATTCACCACAGATTACATCAGCTTTTATTAATAATATAAAAATGATGCTCACAATTCGAGACATAACTAGAAATAACTAAATAAACAAAAACTATTCACGCGAATTTTATTGATTACGATAATGGCTTCGCTTTTTGGAATCGAATCGGTACTCCACGCTGTTTGATTCGATGACGCAGTGGTTCTGGCAATTCTCCAAGTCCCTTCTTCTCCTATAAAACGATTATTCTAATTAAATTTTAAAAAAACGGGAATCGCCTTACATTTTGGTAGGTTTCGAGCAGAGCTATCAACGCTCTCGTGGAAGCAAGGGCAGTCCCGTTACAAGTGTGCGCAAACTTTTCCTCTCCATCCACCGTTTTATATTTGACACCTTCAAATTTCACAAATATCCAAAAAAAATCTTGAAAAATTTGATAATACCTAATCGTCTCGTCTGAAAATCGGTGCAATTACTAGCCGATGAGACTTCGCCATAAAGTTTTCGGCCCGGCATCCACGCTTCAATATCGTACTTTTTTGCTGCCGACGCTCCGAGCTCTTCAGAGGGCATTTCCAATTGACGGCAATGAATTCCGAGCGCCTCGAATGTGCCGCGTTGGACTTGAACAATGAATTCAAGTTCGGCGTCGCTCTGTTCCGGTGTGCACACGGAGAACATTTCAACCTTCAACAAGAAAAAATAATTATAATTAAATAACGTCTCGAGAATTCAATTCGGACCTTTGAGAATTCGTGAACCCTGTAGAGTTTCGCTTCAATTGCCGATTTGCTGATCTCGGTGCGAAAGCATCGACTCATCGACACAAGTCTGATCGGAAGTTGACTCTCCTCAAAAGTTCGTCCCCGCAAAAACGCCGCAATTCCCATTTCAGCGGTTCCCGACAGCATCGTGTTCGCCTCGCCGTCCAACGAATACTGTATGGGATTGTCGCTGCGTTGAAAAACACCGCATGCTTGAGTGACGTCGCCGGAGACGAGATCCGGAACGACAATCGGACGGAATCCAAGAGCACAAACGCGCTCATAGGCGTATTCCAACAATGCCTTAATTATGGCAAAAACGTGAGGAGCCTAATTTAGAGAGAAAAAAAAAACAATGGGCTTGAATGGTCCGTTTTTCGGTACACTTATTGCTCGCAGAGCTGCACGGAATTCAGTTTTCAGAAAATTCAAAATCCGCGCATTTCTGATTGCAATCGTTAAATTCATTAATTGAATTATCGCAAAAAATTGACAATTTTACAATTCTATTAAAGTTTAAGCGATCACAAATCTAAAATCAAAACCAACATTTTCGAGAGACGTCAACGGACCCAGAAACACATAGCTTCGTTGTCCGCAAGCCTCATTCGGATGAAGAAGCGATCTCCAGGATTGAACGAGTTTCTCGGCACTCAGACAATTATCCTCGCGTTTCGTTCCCCATTCAGCGACAAGCTTAAATTGGCACAATTAATTGTGAAAAAAACAAACGATTCGGATGTGTTCAACCCGCGCTTCTTCCATTCCGCCTCTCGGCACACCATCAGCCGTCATATTCGGAATCAGCATCGCCTCATCGTAGAGCTCATTCCATATTTGCGCATACTTCTCTTCGGTGAGATCGTCCGGCTTTTTTCCCGATCGCATCATCGCCTGAATCAGCGCCCACTTCGCGCGAACACTATCAATATCGCCAACACCTTTTCGAGTGCTGCAAAAAATCCTCAATGAAATTTCGATGATCACCAACACCCCCCTACACAATATTCTCTTTGATCAACTCCAAATTTTTATCATCAAGAAGAAATTCAAAATTCAAATCGGGCCTCAAAACCGGCGCGATATTGCCGCCAGCTGACGTTGACGCTTCCGTCGAATACGGTAATCGAAACAGTGCCAGCCGATTGCGAAGGATTTGGCCAGCGCGACGCATTCTAAGCAATTCATTAAATTGCTTAAAATCTTCATAGTATAAATAAAGTATAAATGGATAGAACCATGAAGAAATATATGAAAAAATATATAAAATTTCAAACAATTTATTCACAATGCCTTCATTTTTTCCTTCTCGCTGCAAAAACTTTATACTTCTCATGACATCGCCGAATCATTTCTTGAAGATGCTCAATCTAAAAAAAATCGAATTTTTCAAATTTCAAATGCAAGCCCTTACGTGTATTATTCCAAACTTCCTCTCGGCCTCACGCAAATACTGATTCTCATATTTCGTCAGTGTCGCTTCCATTCTATCAAGCTTCTCTTCAGCTTCAGGTGTCGTCGGCGGAAAACATCCCCAAAAATGTCGACACAATTCGTTGACCGCGTTGTTGACATCCCGAAGCTCGTTGATTTCCGCTGCCGTCAATCCCCATCGCTCAGGCGACACCGATGTCATCGAATCGCTTCCATTTGATTGTTGGCCAACGCTCACATCAATATCCTCAATATCATCAACACCACAAATGATATCCTTGAAATTCGCCGCATTTTGATTGAATCAATCTCAATTTCAAACCTCGTCTCGATTTGAATCGAAAAAACTTAAAACCGCACTTTTGTAGCTCGCAGCCAGCTCAGGCGAATAGGATTTCGAAAAAAATTTTAAAATTAGCATTTTTTAGCCGAAACTAGGAGAATACCACTTCAACTCCAACAAAATCGGGAATTTTTATGACTTGCACTTCATCATTCGTTGATTCTTCAGCCAAATCCTCAGATTCAATGCGTTTTTCGCACTCTTCAACGACACGCTTAAAACATTCAAAATAATTAAACATTGGTTTTTTAAAAGTCAATTTTATGTACATCCAAAACCGCAAATCCTTTTTTCTTTTCCAAATTTTCCGATGTGCTCGGTTCGACCTCTTTCCACGATGTCGCCAAAATTTTCTCCGATAAATAATTGCATCGTTTTATTAACGTCGTCTTCGCCGATTTTGGAGCACCTTCATTTTTCTGCAAGAAAAAAAAACACGAAATCCTCAAATTGATAATGCGATAAACATGAAAAAATTCGCGGAATGTGTAGTCATCCAAGTGATTGAGATCGAATCGCCGCCTTTGAATCCCGTCGCTCGCGATTTTTCCCATCTCCTCGTCATCAATTTTCACACAATCGGCAAAAATGTCTTTCGGATTCGGGAGAACTTCTCTTTAAAAAAAAATTGAAATTAATCGTTTTTAAATTATATGTATATTCAGCAGATTTTAGGGGAAACCCCCCATATTCTGAAACAAATTTCAACCAATTTTGGATTTTTTTTCCAAAATTTATTGCCGGCGTTCGGCAGCTACTGTCCGCGGGTATATTTACGTGCATGCGCCTTCGCTATGGTCTCGTAACGACGAACTGGTTATTTTGAATTTTTTAGAGGTCATTCCATTTATTTTTAATTTTCGTGATATTAATTATTTAAGAAATTGAAAAACTCATCAAGAAAAATTGAACATTTCACGTGAGAATTTCAAAATAAGCTTTCACGCGTTGCGAGACCTTTTCAAGGCGCATTCGCGTAAATCTACTCCGCGTACAGCAGTCCGACTGCACATTCTAAAACAAAAAGAACAAAACCTCTCTCGATGAAAATAATGCGATTTGAAGAATTTCGTCCAAAATTCGGACTCGGTCATTTCATGTGGCACCATTTCCAAATGCTTCTTCTCCACTAAACCATTTTCAGGTAAACAATTGAAAAACGAAAAAAAACATGAAACCAACCGGCAGGATAAGTTGTAAAAATCGCCTGAATTATATCGGCATTCAAGTTCAGCTTAATCCCATTGGTGCCTTCTTGTTGCGCAATATTCGCCAAAAATGCGCCATTTATACCCATTTTCTCTTCAGAAATTCCCTCCTACAAAAATTTAAAATTCGAATAAAAAGAATTTTTTTAAGCTTGGTTCTTTCCAACCCCCCCCTCTCCTCCAACAATAAAAAAACAACCAATCACCTTTCTGTAATAATCCTCCCAAAATTCTTGCGGTGGAATGAGTTGCGTCGCGACGAGATGCTTATAGAGTTGCTCCAAATTCTTGTTCTCGCGCAAAATCTTCTGCTTCTCATCGAGCTCGGCGGTCTTCGAGCGCTTCTCCACCGACGCCGCCAATTGATTGACGTGAGCGCGATGCGCGATCAACGCCTGCTGTAGCGTTTCTTTGACAGTGTCGCGCTCTTTCGTCAATCCGTCTTTGTCGAGCGCCGGATTCAGAAACACAAACGTCGCCTGCTCTTCGTTCTGTAGAACAAGTTGCAGTTGGACTTTCGATTTGTGCGGTGGCGAGACGCGTTGTCCTATCATTCATATTTCAATTTCAAGCAAAAAAAGTCATTTTCACCTTTAATATGAATAAATTTTACGGTTAGAACCTCAGGACTCGCATTATCCCTCCATTCAACATACTCCCTAAATAATCCATAATTTCAAAGGCAAAAAAAAGAAGCTTCTAGATTCGCTACTTATAAATTGAAAGACGTCCGATGGGCGATTTGCCGTCGCCGGCTTTTCGATATTTAATATGATCTGCGCGAAACAATAAATTCACATCATTCTCCTCCAACATTCTAAAAGTTTAATTTTCAAAATGCATATGTACGTGCAGAAAATTGGCTGAATCAGAAAAAAAAGATAATGACAAAGGTCTTGGCGTCAAAAAGATGTAGATTTACGGGCTTATGGCGCACATTTTGCCAATTTTCCAAATTCTCCAATAGTTAAATAAAATTCAAATATATATCAAAGGTAAAATCACCTTTTAAAAATGGAATAATATTGATGAAGAATTTTTTTTATTTTTCCATATTACGCAAAACGTTCAATAAATGTACAAAACCAGCGAGATTCAAAAATTCAATATCGATTATTTGTTGCCGTTCTCGGCGGCGTTCCACTACCACCGCGCTCATGTTTCGCTCTCTCATCGGCCATCGCCGCTTCCGGTTGTGACGCGTTGAGGTTCGGATACAATACCACATCGTCCCCAAAATTCTCTCTCGCCGCAAAATCACGTCTCGTCTTTTTGACGTGCTCTTCAACATTGTTGCATATCAATTCCATTACGTCGATCTCGATCGCTGCAAAAAAAAAACCCTCGGCTCTCACAAAAAATTTCTAATTTCTTACGTATCCATTCTCTCGGCTCCTGGCTCTTGTTCAACGCGAACAGCTTGACCCGTTTCGGCGAAACGACTTCGCCATCTTCCAAGTTCTCATCGGACAACATTCGTCGCAGTGTGGTCGAATCGGTTTTCAGGAATAAACACGGAAATGTTTCGATATTCCTGAAAACAATTGATTTTCTTGGCAATATCAATTAATCGAATTTACGTGTCGTTTGGAATAATGTCTTCGACATCCAAATTGAGCATTTTCGACACACCCAAAGCTTCATCATAATCTCGGTAAATCTAGAAAGAGCTCAAACTCTCGAAGCTTCACAATTATTCTACAACTACCTTTTCATGTTTTTCGGAATTTTTTCGATACAACGACAGAAGTCTCGCAAACTCGACAATCGCAATTCTCGCCTGCTCGGATCTGAAATAAAAAAAATATGCTTATAAAAACGGAATTGATTAGAATACTGACGCATCCGACATATTTTTGACCAACGTCGTCTCAATATCGGCTTTTGGCGAGCAAAACGGCACCATTTGGTCTCTCTTCTGTCGAACTTTCATAATTGTCTACAAAAAAATTTCAGCCGTTCACAATTCATTCATAGCAAGCAACAAAAAAAAACCAACCGCTGCACAATTCTCAACATCCGCATCGTCAAGCGTCTTCTTGGTGATCAATGTCGCCAGCGGCTCAAAATTCTTCATCACCTGCGGATGAAACACAAACGTGTCTTTCGCATAGAGCGGAATGTGTCTCATCAAGCGAAGCATCTTCTCGCGAGCTTCACCCATTCGAAGCTTTCGGAATGCTTTGAAATTCTCCTCATTGAAATTTTTGCCTTTGATCATATCGATTTCGGGTTTTTTCAACTTCAACTGCTCCATGACGTGCTTGAATTGTGCCGTATTTGGCTTGATGGCCGGCGGTCTGATTGGCGTCATTTTAGACAAATGCAACGCGAGATTTTTGTTAACACCTGAAAATATGGATGATGATGCTCAATTAATTATTAATCGTTTTTTTCCCACGTCTCGGCGCAATGTCAACCGTATGCAGATAAATCCGTCCATGTTTGGCGATCAGCAAATGCGACACCAAGTATTTTCCGCCAACGTTTGTGCGCAATTTCGAAGCGGCACCTTTTCTCTAAATTTCGTTCATAAAAAAACCCATTCTGGTCAAATTTTCTCAAATTGGACCTGCCAAACTAGGAGGACCATTACCCTCAACGCTCCTTTGGAAAAATTGGACCATATTGCAGGTATCGTTCAGAATCAAAATTGAGGAGCCCACAAGACCGAAATATTCAGAATTACTACATATTCGATTTCAAATTTCTGAATAAAGTGCGTCATTTTCAAAAGTTCTCGTTGAAGAGCAAAATTCGTTTGCGGGGACCCACTTGGAAAAAGTGGACCATCAATTTTTTAGGGGCTTATTGTTGGCATCGCGGCTAAATGATTTTGGTTAATGCCAAAAAAAAAACAATGGCAGTGGTCTTAGCGCAAAAATGAAAATGTAGATATACGAACCAATGTATAAAGATAGGTTAAAGGCGCACACGGAGAAATATTTTTAAAATTGTTTTGGCATTTAGCCAATTTTCGCGCGACGCCGACAACAAGTCTAACCTCCAAGTCGAGAAGCACACATCGTCCATCCATTACAAATTGCGTCAAACACGTCGCTGGCCGACTACTCGATTCCGAAGGTGTGCACGGAAATGCGGCTCGTTGATAGGGAAACTTCAAATTGACGACAATCATTGAGAAACCGATTACTCAATTATCTTACCAACGACCATTTACTCTTCGGCGCTGTCGCCCATGCTAAACGATTCGTCTCATACGTGACACCCTCATCAGAAGTTGCTCGTGAATTCACAAGCTGAAAATGAAAATTTTCAAATTCTATACAAAAAATGAAATTAATTACTCCGCAAATTTTCAGACGTTTCAGAATATTGAGAGCAGCTCTCGGATGGAACAGCTCAACATCATAGTTCGAAGATGTCGAGGTCCTTAAAAAACATTATTGACTCAAAAGGGTCCACAATTGCCATCAATTTCCAAATAGAATACCCTTTGATCTCCTCCTTCATCGGAATTTTCGATACTGTCGTTGAGGCGAGATGAAATGCGTGAAGTGTGATCGATCGAAACACTTGCAAATACTGCGACGCATTTCGCGAAATCACCCACGTTCTCATTTGTGGATATGGCGGATACTATAAATTATTATATAAATTCATATAATTACATAATTGGGTGCGATTACAATCACTAATGGCGATGTGGACACATTGCAAGAATTTCCAGTGTACAAATTAACGATGAAAAGTCGAAGGTCGGTGATGGGCAAAAGTCTAAAAATATTCAAAATCAATTTTATGGTCTTACAGCGGGTTTCACATTCATAAGGTCACTTCTTATACAGTCAAAATTCCGATTTCAAAATTGGTTTACCAATTTTACAGATAGCAATGTAACACAAGTCATATATGGAATTTTAAGCGCCGAATTCAATTTTGAAGTTTTGACTGTGGAAAAAGTAACGGCCATTTATGGCATTAAAAATGTGAAACCCACTGTTTTCATATTTTGAAAGAAAAAACTGGCTAAACAGATTTTCAGTGGGTGTTTCCCAAAATCTGCACAATTCCATAAAAACACATTACGTTTGAGACGTCGCCGCCGTTGTCATTTCATTATGCATTCGTAGCAAATTGGCCACTTCATTTTTGAGTTTCGTAATATCGCCATCGCTAAAAAAAATGGGAAAATTGATCACTTCGGTTTCTAGTCAAAAAATGAAACTTTTCAAATCTTGTGAACATGATAATATTTCCGACGGTGTCAATTTTATTCGGCTTCTCCACACGTTTAATCTCGTCGATGAAACGATCAATTTCCGACGATTCAACATCGCACGTGGCTTCCTCATTTTCCTGCGGCGCCGCCTTCACTTTCGGATCCGCCAACGCGTTGATCGCCATTGTCAAACCGCCCAATTGGTTTATCTCAGTGTTCGTCTCCACCGGCGGCTCAACGTTGCCAAGAACTTTCAACATCTTAATTGGCGGCTTATTTGCAAATCTCGTGTCTCCAATCAATACCTCATGTCTGTCGTAGCCTCTTTCCGGCCAAGCCGAATCAAGCATTCTCGAGACATAATCGGAGACGGCGAAACGAATGAGAGGGTCCCCTGGAAAATGGCATTGCGCAACAAGTTTTTTGGATATAATCGAACCATTTGGATATACATCTCTTAGAATTCTGTGCATTTCGAAAAGACCTTCCATTATCCACGACCATACTGGTTTGTCGCATTGGTCAACCTAAAAAAAATGGTGGGAATAAAAAAAATACAATTTTGATTCGAAAATAACAAACCAGTCGATTAGTTGCTCCTTCTTTTATAAAAAATTCGTATTTCTAAAAAAATCGTCAATGGAAAACATTTTAAAATGCAGTTTTTTCTACCTCATCCGTACAATCCGCGAATTGCGCGCTTCGATCCAACACCACAACCGTTTTTCGGACCACCATATTTACTAAATTCGCATTCCTATTCGACATTTTTAAATTATTCGGTATTTGAAAAGAAAACCAACTTTTTCAACATTTTTAATGATGTGCAATTATGAATAATATTTACAAAAATCGAGCAAATTTAAGTTAAATAATAAAATGTTGAGTTGGAAGCCATAAATTATACACGAACAATTCAAATTGGATGGTTTAATTCGCGGGAACATTGAGAGTATTTTTCGCTACAAGAAAATCAACAATATGAATTTGGTGTTTCCAATAATTCACTCGAACCGGATCCAACTCGATGAGCTCATTGTAGAGCTGCAAAATAAAATGATCAAATACAATTCAAATTTTTTTTTTCGCAAACCTTCTTAGCGCGTTCCGCAGATTGTTCACAATTCACCCGTTTCTCAATATTCTCCAACATAATATCAGCGATAAACGAAACCATCATCGGCGATCTTTCTTGCCCTTCGGTTCTTTCGTACAAATCCTCAACAAAGTTGACTATATTTTGGTTCGACGAGATTCCATTTTCGAGCAAAAGGCCAGCTAGATAATTCCAGACACTTTCATTATTTGGCATTCCTTCGATAAATTTTTTCGCAAGACTAAAATCATATTATTGGCGGTTCTTTTTCTCTTTAATTATAATTGTTACCTGATTTCTGAATCAATCGTTTCCCTATCCTCGGTTTTCTTGTAGAGCGTCAATAGAAAATAGCGATAATTGTAGGCTGAATTATTTCGTGGGTCTTCGAGAAGAAGTCGAAGTGCAAATGATAGCTCACGATCCAATGGTGATTTAAACGTGCGCACAACCCATTGCCTTAAATTCGAGCAATTCATTTGATAATTGAAATTAGATTTACCGATGTTGCCACGCATGATAATTTTTGTTTTCGTCATTCAAAATATCTCCAGTGAAATCGAGTTCATAATCAAGCATACTGGCACCAATCTGCTCAACAATGAGCCGACGGTGATGCCAAACTTGATAATTTTTTGGAGTTTCTTCGATTATCGTATCCAAATACTTGATTTCCTTCTTCAAATCGGAATTGAGTGCTTTCAATGTTTCGCGACGATACTGCCTGCATTTCTCATTTACCAATCGAACATATGAATATTAAAATACCAAACAGTATAATTAGCCGGATTGAGGCGAATGCAATCTTCAAGCAAAATCAGCACACGATTAGAGAATTCTTTTTTCTTGAGGATGGCGCGAAAATAGGCAAACGCGTCGATGACTTAAATTTAAATAATTTCTAAATTTTTCAGCGAAGCTTACAATCTTCCGTAACTGCAATTTTCACTGCACGATCTTCATCTTCTGATGGATATATTGGCACAATATCGGACCAATCTTTATTGTCTTTATAGAGAGTTGAAGTACAAAGCTCCTGTTCGTCAGACATTCTGAAAATCATAATTTGAAGAATGTTTTATCGTTAAGGAAAAGCTCGATCCACATGTCGGGAAACTATGGATATTGCACTATTTGAACTTTGAAACAGTTTTTATTTGAAATAATTAAATATTTAAAAAGAAACTAATCATTTTCGAATCGGTCATCAAAATTTTTAAAATAATTGCGATGGTTCGTTGTTTTCGGTGCAAAGGACGCAAACACCGCTGCATACCGTACCACGAATACAATTCCAACACGATTAATTTTCTCATTCTTATTTTATTTTGTTCAATCGAAAATTCATAATTTCCTGGATTGATTTAATTTTTAACTGATAGAGAATGGAAAATGACATACAATTGCCAATTGAAAATGACATTCGCACAATTGGATTGGAGCAAATGCGTGAGCTTTTTTTTAACCCTAGAGTTTCCAAGTTAAAATTTTGTTCAGGAAGAGAAAGGGTACTTCTAGCCAGCGAATTAAAATCAATCGAATCACAAATAAGTGATCTGGCGTTTAAAAACTATGGAACTTACGCGGATGCTGGAAGAGCAACGCACGATTGCTCAAAAACCGTACAAAGCTTGAATTTTGAAATAGTTGAATACATTTCAAGTTTATAGTTCGGCGGAATGCGCGAAGGCACCGAAGATCTATCAGCTAGATCGGAAGAGCTTACAAATGCATTTCAAGATTTCCGAAAGAAAGCGAAACTTCTAGCCGCCGAACAAGAATTAATTCAAAAAGCTCTTGACAAATCAAATCCATTGTGGGAACTTTTATCGCTTCCATCGGTATAAACTAGGCATTCGTATAAATGAATAGTTATAACAAATACATTTTAAGAAAATGGATGTCTGCATTCGCGCGGGTTACTATGACTTGGCGTATTCCCTAACAAATTATGGAATGCAGCTTCACCAACAATCACAATTAATCAAGAATCCCCTAATAAAGGTATCCAACGCCAATAAAAATATATTCGAAATTTTTCAGAAAGTCTCTGACCGTTTGGTTGAAGCGCGCTCTTATTTACTCGAAATGCTTTTCAACAAGTTCTCCGGCCCATTGGATCTAGCCGAGTCGATCAAAGTAATATTATCTCAAACGATAAAAAATATAGAAACCTTTCAATATTTTAGGTAGTGAATAATGTGCGAAAAATGCCCTACTTAACTGCAAACCAGTTAAGAATTGCCGTCCTTCAACATCGCGACATCTATCTAGACAAACAAATTTTGGATATTTCGGTAACAACAAGCATTTTATTAATCAACTGGATTTGGCGTCTTATTTCTTAAATTTCTCGCTATGAATGATACGGAGATATTCTTTTCCGCTCGGCAGTGCAACGGTCTCGCAAAGAGAAGCGTCGCCGTCGCAAAGTTGGTGAACCTCAATATTGATATCGTTTGATGAAAAAAAAAATTCGAATTTACCACTTGATCCATCTTCAACGATGGTTGCGCAATCACCGCGTCTCCCTTTCGCCAATTGACTGGCGTTGCAATCGCTGCCGAGGCTCCCAATTGAACACCATCAACCATTCGAAGAATTTCACTTTAAAAAAATAATATTCTTTCACTACTAAATGAGCGTATTTAAAAATCTTACTCAAAATTTCTTCCAAACGTCGCTGGGTACAAAATCTGCGACTTCAATTTTCGGTCAGGTCCGAAAAGCAAAACTGCGCGAGCCGATAATGCAATTCCCTAGGTGTCTTTTTATACATATAGCTTATATTTAAAACAATCTACTTTGGAATTAATCTCGTCGGGATCAATCATTCCAAGGCTTGTGCAAATTGATCGATCCTCATCGGCAATAATTTCATATGGAAGATCTAAACAAACGTTAGCAATTCTTTTTCTTTTTCAATTAATCAAACTTGATGATGGGGCATCTCCAGATCCTTTTTGGGAATATCCAAGAATATCTTTGGCCCATTGACGATGGGTTTCAGCCGAATCAATGCTGACAGCGAGAATTTTCACATTTCTTTTGGCAAACTAGAAAAAAATATATATATAGGAATCTCAACAATATCAAAAGCAAACCTCCGGCGCGAGTTCGGCAAGTTTTGCGAGCTCCGTCGTGCAAACCGGCGTGAAATCGGCGGGATGCGAGCAAATCATCAACCAACTGATGAGAATTTCTAGTCATTTATCATCCAACACAAAAAATACCTGTCGTTTCCAATCCATTCGTACAATCTATCGATTTTTCCTCGATCGGTGCTCAATGAAAAGTTGGGAAGAGTGTCGCCGAGCTTCATATCTGCAATGAATGATTGAATCATTGAATGTTTTTTTTTTCAGGCCAACGGCGATATGGTCTCGCAGGCGATTGAAATCTATCGCACGTGTATGTATGATACGCTCGTTCTGTTTCTCGCCGTATTTCCCGAAAATGAAGTGATTCGCAAAGATGTTAGTGGATGATGACAAAATTTGCCATCTCTTCTACTTCGTCTTTGATTTTTCAGCCATCGTTTGACCCTCGCTGGGAGTCGACCCCAATTCTTCCACCATCGTCGATACTTTCACAATGGACCCTTTCAAACGTGAAGCGGCTTCTCGATTTGATCGAAAACGCCGACATGAAGTAAAACGTGATTTGCGGCACGATTTCTCAATTCATTTTCAGATCGCCTTTGGATCTCTCAACCGTCTGGTCGAAATTGATGACGATGGCCTCATCATTTGGAAGGATGGGCATCGATTTTCGGCCATTAATTATCTCGCGTCTCACGCAATTAATCGAGAACAAATTCAAGCGGAATGTTCAAAATGCAACACTACAGTATGACAAAAAAAATAAAACACCAAATAAGCTTGTCGACATTGAATTTAGATTAACCGGCTCGTCGCGCGAAATTGTCATGATCGGAATTGATCCCGCCTCGTTGCCGCAATTCGAGAGCTCGCCCGACTCGCCGCCGGTGCCCGCCGCCGAATTGAGCCTTTGGGACGATCTCACAGTCTACGCGAATCACATCGTTGATTATTTGAACTCGCTTCGCTTCATTCTCAATCCGATTCTGGTAGGAATCGATGATGAGCAGCACGACGACTCATCGAGCGCACAAATTTCAGCTCTCCACAGTCGTCACCTCATTGCGCGACTCGATTCGATCGATACTGTCATGGTTGGCCACTTGTCATTCGGCTTCGCCAAATTTCACGCGAGCGATTCGCATCGTGTGCACGTGTTTGGCGCCGTTCTTCGAGAAGTGCGTCGTGTTCTTTTTTCCGCCGTCGACGATCACTCAAATTTTCGGCTCGTCTGTGAGCAAGCAGCAATACGTAAGAGCCCGATAAATTCGATCTAGCCAAAGATTCGATTTTCAGCTTCAATTCATCGAATTCGATATGCGCCAATTGGCGGCATCGTGTGACGGCGCTGATAAAATTGAGGTCCGTTTATTTTAGCGATGGGAACAATTGACAAAAAAAAAATTGTTTTTCGGCTTTCAGGAATACGTGATAACACTTCTACAAAAGAAAACATTGGCCGAAATTGATTTGGAAAATGTTTTGAACGTTGACAAAACGAAATTCTTTTTGGAAGACGTGCCCGAGGAGAATTCCGAGCAAAAATTGAGCACGAAAGAACCAACGATGAGCAGCGCTCTAGAAGAAGAGCCGAGAGAATCAGAAGACGTTGTCAAACCAGCAGAGGTCCAATTGGAGCCTTTTACGGCTCCAACGGTCGCAGAGGAACCAGTTGTCCCGCAGAAAATTGAAGCAGAAAAACCTAATGCGGAGACAGCTGACGAGATTCGAATCGATGGGGTTCCATCGGAAGATCCTCAGCAAGCTATAGTTGAATCGCAAACGCCTGAGATAAGCGAGACGAACCATGAATCTCAAGCAACTCAAAATAGTGAAGCTGAAACTGAAGAAGAATGGGGATGGGATGGTAATGAGGAAATCAACGTTGATGGAATCGCTGAGGAAGCGAAAGTCATCGCTCCGCCGGAAATCAAAAAAGGAAAAAACGATTAAGTGAAGTGATTAACGAACATTGTGATAAAATATGGATACAAGATATTAACACCTTTGTTGATCAGTGGTGACACAATTTAACAAATGATTAGTAAATTATTCAAGTTTGAAATGTTTTATTCTTATTGTTATTTTATTATTATAATTAATTATGACTGGACTGACAAATACAAGCTTCAATAATCGATTAGGAGGTGCCGAATTGGAAGACCAGAAAAGGGCATATAAAAAAACGTTGGTTGATAGCACAACCATAGCTATAAGAATGCAATAGAATGTAATGTACAAATTGAGATCTTATAAAAAAATTAAAAAAAAAAGAAAAAGAGAACAATTTTATAAATCATCTCCCTATATGCCTCCGATTTCCTCACGCTCATCATCAGCGTCAATGCCCGGTCGAATCGTTGGAACGTTTTCCGAGTCCGACAATGTCGCCTCGGGAGCATGTGCGCCGTTTCCGTTTTGTTGAAGGAGCTCCTAAAACACAATAACATAGCCGTCATCATCGATAGTCAATAAATGGGCGTGGCGCGGATTTTATTTAAAACGGAAATGCCGAAAAAAAAACAAAAATTATTATTACATTGCCCCCCTTTAAGGGGGTCCGAAAAATAATTGTCTTCGCGCAAAGACCCGACACACAAATTCAGGATATGCGTCCATACAAGGGATTTTTCGTAAAATTTGCTCATACCTTTTTTCTCTTCTTGATTTCTAGAAGTCAAAAAAATTTTGCTAGATCCTTTTTTGGAATCACGCTTTCTAGTATCCGGACGAGACCCGATTTTCTTCATACTACTCTTACACACCAAAAAAACTTCCGGATCAACTTAAGATGCGTATATATACAAAATTACCATACGCATACATTAAATGAGCCTCAAAATTTTGCATACACGTCAATTTGTGCGTCGGGTCTTGCCGCGAACAACATCAAAATTCTCTGCGGTCGATTTAATTCTTTGTTTTTTTTTTTTTGGCAAAGTTGATATGCAAAATTAAGAAAAAAAAAACGGGCTAAAACTAGTTTTTTTTTTCGTAATTTCCATAAATTTTTACTTTTTTCTAAATTGCTTTCCAAATGTTCATAAAACCATAAAAAATGCGGTAAATTGCATCTCGAAAAATTTCATTTTCAAATTCCGCATTCATTTCATGTCGAATTGGTAGTGTAAAGCGAAAGCGTTAGTACCAATACATTTTTCAAGAAACAAACTAACAATACTCACGGTCTCTTCAGGCGTCTCTTTTTTCGGTTTTTTGCCGCCCCACCTCTGGGCGATCCCACGAATCACACTTCCCGGCAATCGTTGATGCTCTTTGATGAGATAGCGAATCTCGCGTTTGATCGTTTTTCGCACCTATTCTCAACAATTCTTGTCAATCCAGAGTGTTTCAAATTTCGAACAAAACCTCTTCGGGTGTTACCGTGTCGAAATCGAAATAAATCGGTTTTCCCAAATGGGTGATCATTTTCACCGGAAATCCGCCGTAGATCGGGCACAACGGCATTTTCGTTTTTTCGTAGATCCACCGAAAGAAGCTGCGACCCCATTCGGGCGTTCGGAACGATTCGCGGCAATTTTCGGTGAACATCGGAATTACTGGCTTTAAAAAATATTAATATTATTTTCTTTCCTCAATTAAAACAAAATTGATACCGTTTTACTGCCGATGATGACCTTGGCAAATCCCAAACGTTTACCCCACAAAATATCATAGACGTTCGGATCGGAGAACAACGCTTCTCGAACACCACCGGGTGCAATGCACAACAAATTGCCGTCTTTCAGCTGTTGTGTGCATTCTTCAACAGTTCCAGCCGTGATTGAGAACATCTTGCAGAGCGGTCGCCAGCCTGCAAAAAAAGAAACTGCGTGCGCCTTTAATTTCTTTATCCAAAAATTGTTTTAATTAAAAAAAAACAATCTTTGATTTTATTTTTCAATTTTCTTTAACTCAATGAAATTTTTTAAAAATTGCAAAAATCAAGGAATAATTGATTAAAGACGCATAAGGCGAAAAATGAGTTGGGTCTTGCTCAACATATTAAAAAAAAAAAACAAGCGTGAACAATAATTGTTACCCGGAATTTTGAAGATGAACTTGTCGCCAACGCAATGAAGTGACCGGTTTTTGTGGATAACTAATTTCGAAATCAGATAATAGACATCCAATGGAAGGCATCCGTGATAATAGATGAATAGCGCCGGTCCCTCGTCCGGCACGTTCTCAATTCCATCAAGTTCGTAGCCTGAAACAAAAAAAAGCCATAGATTCGATTGAATCGATTCAATTTTTGTATTCGTTATTCATCAACAACGCTCAAATTTGTAGTATTCGTAATGTTTACCGTGCCAAACACTTCCGACGCCATCCCAAAACGACGCAATCGCCACTCGAGCTCCATCCCAATAGCTCGTGTGATATGCCTCGCGAATTTGATGGCGATGCCCATAAATGTGCACGAATATCACGCAACCATAGATGAAGAGCGCCAAAAATATTGGGAACACGAATAATATGAAGAATGGAAGCAGTAGCCAGAGAAGATACTGAAACATTTATGGTTTTTATTCAATGTCTGCTGACGTCACTATTTTTTCTTAAACTCTTTGAAATAATGTTAATCACCAAAATCCAATTTATTTAATGCATCGGTGAATTGCGTACTTTTTGGCCCTACAGTAACCCCAACAATTTTCGAGCATTTCGACAAACCTCCGGAAAAATCTCATCGACGATTTGAGCCACCGCGATCGCCGCGTTCTCAGCCCATTTGAGCATTTAGCCATCCGATAGCAACACTCAACTGTTTCACTGATCAGAATCGGTCAACCAAGAGAAAACGCACGAAACAGATTTGAAAAAAATTAACAAAACAAAGGAAACGGCGAAACGCGTGCGAAATAACCGCAACGAAAAAAAAATTGCTATGCATGGCATAATCAAACTAGGAGGAACACTGGCGAAGACGAAAAGACGCAGGACTCGCGAGGAATGCGTATAGAGCGCAAAAAACGAGAGGGCGGTGTGCTCGCGGTTTCGACCGGCTCATAACTAGGACACTGTATTCGTCCATATATTGATCGATTCGCTTCAGTGACGATAATCAGATTGAACGCAGAGCAGGTCGTTTAAACGCGAGAATAATTGATTTCAAAGAGAATTGACATCCAATTGATTCTATTCGGTGGAATGTCAGCAAAAAAAGGAAGCTTAATTTCCTGTTCATCGCTCTCAGCCGAGAATTTTCTCTGTGATGCTTCAGTGAATGAGAAAATATTGGATGAATATGCGTTTAATGAATGTGAATCTATTGTAAAGTGCATTTGAGAAATGATGATGACAATCATTGGTTTCTCGAAAATTGCAAGTTGAAATTCTGGCGGGAAATTGACTAAATACAATATTTTGAGGTTACTTGAATATTATATTAAAGTTTGCTTTTTCAAATCATTAGAAAAATAATTTGTAGATGAGTTTAAAATGGTTTTTTAAATTTAATTCTTGTGAGAATTTAAAAGGCACAAGCACATATTTTAGAGTTTTTTTTGAGTCCTAATAAGATTTATTGAATATCAACAGATTTCACTATTGTTGATCATATTTTAGAATTTAACATTAATTTTTTGTAGATCTCCTGTGCGCCTTTAACCTATTCCGTTCCCCGTAAATCTACTCGTTGCAATTTTATAAAATGGGCCAAACCTCGAAATAATCAATATCGATGTAATCGACAGCCCACGTGATCCATAAAAGCAAAACTTCAGCGTGAGGCTGAAGAAAATGCGGCCACTCGTAGTCTACAAATAAAATTGTTTAAAACTGATATTTTTTGAGATTGATTTTTCTAACCTTGTAGGGTCTGTATTAGTTCTGAAATCGCCATAATTGGGCCTATGGCGTGACCCGTATCGTTCTAAAAAAAAATCGATATAAAATACACTGAGGCAAATAAGCAAATATTCAACAGTGCTAAAATGCAAACACTTGGCGAAGACATTTACAAAACTAGTTGTTAAAATTTTTTATAGTTTTCAAAAAAAAAAGAAAATAAATAAACAAAAAAAAACCAACAAAAAATGCGCTAAATGATCGATCTAACCTATTTCTTTTAAAAATCTATTTATTCATCATCGGCACCATTGTCCTCCCATTTTCCCGTATCATAAATTGTGAAAACGCCTCCATTCAATGATAATCTGAATTGAAGCAATTATTACAAAATAGTCCGATGAGAAAGCAAATATCAGAATCGGGCCGCTACAAGACCCATCTCACTTTTTCGCGTTCTGAGCCTTTAATCGATTATCTAAATTTTTTTTGAAAATTCATAATTTCAGTGATTTTTTTAATTGGAAATTGGCTGCTAATCTTAGATGGTTTCAAGGCAATTTTTGAATTTTCACAATTTTTGGTTTCGAAAATTAGAAGTGCACATTTGCTGGCCGCGTTCCTTTCAAAAACAGATTGTAAAATAATTGTTATTCTCTAAAACTGCTCACCGAACTTTGGCGGTTTGAAATTCGTCATTTTCAGCATCTCTAACCGCCAAGACATCCATGTGACCACAATCAACAACACCTGTTATCGGAATTCTCAGCTGAAATTCGCCAAACAGCTGATTTATGTTGAAAAGCTGAAATAAGAAAAAAAAGAAGGCAAAACCAAACCTGACTCCTCGTTTTATCAACATAATTATGACGCCTATCGGCCAATTCAACAGTGCCAATTTGAATCGGCGCACCGATCGCTTCAATCGCTTTCGGATGCTCGTAGACGATTTTCAGACTTTCGCTATAGTGCGGCAACTTTCGCACTTTCCATTGCACCGATTTTTGCGCGAGATAAAGACCCGTTGAGCCAGCGACAAATACACCAGCTGCCAGCTTCACTAGTGTTGCAGATTGTACCTGAATTACAACAAATTCAAACAAATTTGACGAAATGAAAGACATACCATAATTTTACTCAATATTCCCTGATGACATTTGTCGTAAATGAAGAAAAGAAAAAAATTTACTGAAGATTTATTAAATGAAATGAAAAAAAATTTTGAGCAAATATACAGATCAAATTGGAACCACCAAAATTCTCTATTCTTTATGCAATGTCCACGCGCAAGTTTGCCCGATTCCCGCCATTCCGACGACACGCCAACCTTCACGTTCGAGTGTGTTCAACACTTTTCTCGGCGACCATTTTGTTATATACTCCTATGAGATACTGATGTGTGTGTAATAAGACAATCGGAACAAGGAAGTCACTAATGGCCTTGATTCTTTTGATAATAAAAACAATAAAATAGCGTCGAAAAAGGGGAGCTAATTTTTATTGAATTAAAAAAGTTACGATTTTCGTCAATTATTACTAATTTCTTCGACAAAAATTTAGAATATTCGATTTTCAATAGTTTTTTTTTTAATTTTCCTGCTCGGGTGAATCAAATAAAACAAATTTTGGTTCTTTGAGAAACTAATGTGTCTCTATAATATTTCTCAATTTTTTTTTTAAAGGTTTTTTTAAATTCATCGAGTCTCAATAAGTTTTTGGAAGTATCAATAAACGTTAGAATTTCTCATAATATTATAGAGTTTATTATTGATTGAATATTTGATTTTCCTGTGGGGTAATTAATTAATTAATTCTAAAATCTTTGGTGAATAAAAGAAATACCTATGAATACCGTGAAAATAAGTGATTTTAAATTAGAATTAAAACCGAACAATTTAATGCGGAAAATTCCGTTTGACCAAAAATTTGGCAAAATCAATGTTGTTGTTTTTGAGAACGAAAATACCTGAAACTCATTGCCCAACTGTTTCATCAGGTTCGCCTCGAGCAACGCCATCAATTGCGGATCGCTATCACCATCGCCGACCATCGTCGGACCGCATTCCATTCGAATTTGTGTGGAAATGAGCAAATAGGGCATTCGAATTATTGAAACAAGACAAGAATGCAACAAAAGACAACAACAAAATCAAGGACGGCGGCGACGGGAAACAGGTTAACACATCGATTGATACCAAAAATAAGCGACATGACAGATAAAGAATAGAGAATTTTTCCAATCATTTTCTTTTTTTGTTCAATTAATTAATTAAGAAAGCCATGCTGGATTTCGAGAAACCAAAATAAAACAAGAATAATGAGATAAACGAAGAGAACAATATTTATTCACAATGAACTTCTGGTAAACAAAACACCCGGAAAATTTGAAAATGTTCAATTCATCATCAAGCTTCAAGTTGATGCATACTGAGTCCCTCGTCGTCGTTCAGCGCCGATTTTGCGGATTTTGAAAAAGGTGGGGTTGAGAGCACGCGAAGCTTCTCTTGAAGTAACTGATTGATCCAGTCCAATCTAAAAAAAATTAAACATTTACTCAAGAAGTCTTCAGAAAATAAATATAGCCGCTACCAATATGGATCGAGACTGCGGGTTTTTTTTACATATAAAAAAATTAGACAAATTTCTTAAACTCGTCCTTTTCGTGTCCAATTTTCAATCTATTTAACTTTTTTCGCTATATGCAATATCAATCACGCGAATTACAAATTACTGGAAAAAATAATTTTCAAGGGCTCCGTAAATGAGTAGGGTCTTGCGACGACTGTTTCCGGTAGAAATAAACACACATTTTTTTGAATTTAATAATTTTTCAAAGCAACTTTAATTTTTTTTAAATCTCACTTTTGAGTCACGTTGGCAACTTGTTCGGCGGTGACCTCCGGCACATTTTCCGACCAAATCACAAATGATTTCGTCGCGTCAAATCTAACAGTAATTCGATTCTCATTGACAAGACTCTGAAACATTTTCCATATTATTTGATTCATATTTATAGCCAAATGTTTTTAAAAAAAAATGCTAATATAAAAAATGAGCATAAAAATTTAATTTTTTTTGCTTCTTTTTCAATTTTCCAATTTTCCAAACCTCAATAATTTCTAATGTCTCCTCGTCACTCACAAATCCGGCAAGACGTTTAATATCAAACACTTTGATCGACGAATAGAGCTAAATATGTTAAATTAGAAAAAAAAAACCATTATTGAATGGAATAAAACCTTGCAAACTGCGAGCACCGCCTTCTTTTTCATTTCGAGTTCGACCAACTCCAACAACGCCAAATTATCATCCTAAATTTTCAATTGCCAACATTTTTTTTTTTCGAAATAATTGCCTTACAGCCTCAAATCTTTTCTGATAGGTCGAAACGCGATCCTGAATTTGACCATGAGTGTTGTCGCCTCGCTTAAATCGAATTTCCGTCAGGCAACGATAATCGCCGAGTCGACTTTTAATGATCCGATTCACTGCGATCGAGCGATCCGAAATCTCCAACACTTTCCCCTCGACAAGAAGCGAAACAAGAATGAATCTGAACATTGTTAAAACCATATTTTCAACAACTCATTTTCAAAATTACTTCTTGTAGGCTTCCAATTGCAAATCACTGGCCTGAACAGCGGGAAGCGAAACGCAAGCCTCCAATAAAATCATAGCACGTTTGTATTGCTTCTGGAAATAAAAACAGATTAAAATAGTTATAAGAATCTACAAACCAGTTCGATAAGAATCAGAGCGCCATAATACAAATATTGTAGAATGTAATTTGGATTTATGTGTGGATATCCGGAAACCACCGGCGTGTTTACTGACGAGCATCCCGCTGTCATTTTTGACTGAAATTCGAGACACTCAATAATTTCTGCGTGTCGCAATGCAGACCTTTACCGATTTCCAACCATTTCCCGCGTCTTTGTCAAAAGATTTCGCCGGTTTCGATGACGAAGCTTCCGATGGCTTCACCGCTTCATCTTGGGCATCATCAACAGGAACCTTGAAATTCAATTTGCGACAATTGCAGAAAAATAAATTGTGAATTGGAACCTCATTGAAAATCCCCTCGACAAATTCGACAATGAACGGCTCGACTTTTTTGAAATTTCGCGTTCGCAATGCGCACGCAAATAACGCGCAATGGCACGATGTGATGAAATTCTTGGTGTTTGGATCATCAAATAGCAATTGTTCCAGTGCCGAAATGATGATTGATTCGCCAATTTCGGGCTGAAACAAAAATTTTTTTCTCATTTTCTAACAATTCTATTCAATATACCTCATTCTTTTTCTCAAGGCAATAAAATCCGACACATCGAATTAAAGGGAACACTGGAAAAACAATTGCAAAAAAAAATTAAATAAAAATTCCCCACCAATGTCGGGAACAATTTTGAGATGTGCTGAAACCAATTTGCCCTCATCCAAATAATGCTTGAGAAGCTCGACGGCTCGATCGGTTCCATGCTCGTAGTTTTTTGCAAACGACGTGTCAAACATGGCTTTAATTGCAGCAATCATTGCCGCCTTAAAAATTGCCAATTTGGTGTTTGAAAAAGAAAAATCTAATCTAACCGATCCAACATTCGGGCTGCAGTTCAGCAAAAACGCCTCAATATCGACCGTCTTCTTCTCGAATATCTCTTTGCTCTTTCTAGTGAGCTCGGCAACTTTTGGCCCAACAGAATCTACAATTTCCAGCGGTGTTCAACTCTCGCCAAATAATATTACCAGTTGATTCTGTCGACAAATCGTTGATGATTTTGCAAAGCGTCTCCATACACGTCACATCCGATTGCGCGCTGCTTGATGATCCCGGCAGAAGTTTGGCCAGCAATGATGACATGACGGTTCAATCGCTCAATTTCTCTGCAAATATGGTGAGTATAATTTATGTCAATAATATCACAATGTCAAGCAATATATACAACGAGACGGGTGAGAAATTATGTCAAAATGATAAAAAATCATCGTCGAGCGCCGAAACGCTCGACTTCTTCTGTCCGGCGTCGTAGAACGGAACAGTGTCGAGAACGGCGTGCATATTTGTCATTTTCGCGTTCATCTGCTCGAATAATCGATCAATTTCCGCCTCCTCTTCAGAGTCCGACTGAAATCGATGATTCTCTATGTGAATAGCATATGTCACAAAATTACAGAGAAGTCGTCGCGGCCTTTTTGTCGTTTTCGCCGTTCCAAATCAATTTCGTAGACACGCAAATGCGTGTTTGTCACGTCTTCATGAGCTTCTTTCACCGAGCACATTGCCGCGATTTGCGGCTCATCGAGCCACCTCATTTCCCCATTTCGAAATTGTTCCAATAATTTCAACATTCCCTTCTCCTAAATTCATACAATCGATATTAAAGTTTAAAGAGAAGAAAAAAGCGAACCTCGAAAATGATGGCCTGATCCGAATCGGTCGGATGCGCAACAATGGATTCTCCAAGCGTATTCGGGTCCCATTCATACAAATCCACTTCGGAATCAGCCGGTGGCAATTCGCCGGTTTGCGATCCAATTTCGAACCACTTCTCGCCAGACTCAGGGCTCGCTAATTTATCCGGCCTATTCACTTCTTCCTCTTCTTCGTCCTCCTCAATGATTTTCTTATCTTCTTTATCCGATTTCGTGAATCTGAATTTCACAATTTCAAGTTAAGTTATAACAATCGCAAATAACACGAGTGAGTTTGCTTCGTAGGTTAAGAAAACCGTAGTACGGTACCCCCCAATTCGCACTGTTTCAATTCTAATTTTAATTTTCACCTCAACAAATTTCAATGGTCCACAATTGTTCAATTTTTTTCTAATGGTGTTTTACCTGTGAAAAAAATTCGATATCGATGTCGCTGTGTCTTTCCGCTTCTTAATACCATCATCATTGATTTTTAATTTGGATTTTTTGCGTTCCTACAACTAAATGCGCTATTTCTTGATTTTTTGTATTATTTAACTTTAGTGGGGAATGTCAAATCATCTGTGGATTCGTCCAATTCTTCAGGTGCAACGAACGAAGTGGATAAGGTGGCCGAGAATGAGAGCGGGTTGTCGACTTTCTGAAAACTGAGCTCATTGTAATGCAAATTTGTAAAAATTGATTTTTAAATATTTTTCCAAAATCTTTATTGAATCATAAATTTTCAACTAAAAAATTTTATTTTTTCATTTTTTTGAAGCGCTTCTCAGAATTTGCCTCGCTACCTGTGTCTCATTTACAACATCCACCACGATCGGCGGTTCATCGACAGGCGCGAATCGAAATTCGGCAGAAGACGGCGATAAGCTGCCTTCTCTCGACATGTTCTAAAAGAATCACATTGAGAAGCTAACAGGAATTACATTTAAAAATATATCAAAAGCAAAATACCTAAACGAACCAAAAAAAACATTTTTATGGGTCTATCTTTATTCTTTTTTTTTATCATTGGGATTTTGTAAAAAAAAACAGATTATTCAACAATCAAAGAGAATCGAAAACAAAAAGGAGAAAAGAAAGTATCTCTGAGCAATAGTGGCAAGTGAAGAACCGTAGAAGAAAATTAGAGATGAAAATGGGAAGCACTACGAGGATGGACGAACAATTATTCTCGGCCAGCCAACATGTCTCAGCCACGGTCCTCATCAAGCAATTAAATAATATACATGATACTCCATAGAAGTAATAAATAAAAGGATTTCAACATAATTTGTTTTTTCTTTCTAAATCTACCCAAATACACGATAACCGGCAGATTAAGTGTAATCGATATTCAACATATGGCAAAATCGAATGACGTCAGAGCTTCTTTTTTTACTATCTACATGCTGATCAGTGTTTGATCATAAACTTCCACAAATCACCGGCATGATTCGCAAATGCTGTTGAGAATCCGATGGCGACCAGTGTCGGAAGCACCATTCCTGGAGTCGTTTTCGATCTAAACTTTCATTTATTTTTATAAAACTCATTTATAATTGAGCGATTCCAATGCGAAAAGAAATTTTATTGTCGAAGTCACAAAATTGCGGAAACAGGGTTAAAAGCCAAAAAAAATTCAAAGAGTGTGTCACAGCGTGCGCCTTTAACCTATCATTATACATCGACCCGTAAATCTAAATTTTTATTTTTGCGCCAAGACTGCTACAATTTATTTTTGGGCATTTGGCCAGGCAATATATGTATTATTTTCTTTTCGAGAGCGGAATTGACCTTTTTTGGGAATCGGATTAGTTTTGGTGTTTCTCTTAAATTAAGAGGTTCATAAATGACATTTTTAAAATGAAAAATTCAATCTAGTACCAGAATTTCATTTTTTTTTAATTAACATAATTATTTTCAAAATTTTCTGTTATTTTAATTTTTCCACGGAGAAACAAAATTTGGAAACTGTCGGCGTAGGGTCTCGCAAGGAAATATTTTAAGAACAAGGTTTTCTTAATCGAATGCGTAGATTACACGGGTGGAATTTAAAAAGCGAGCAAAGACACACAATTAACTAATTGCGCCAAGACCTCTCGACAAATTTTGCGCATTTTAACAAAAAAATTGTCATCTGGCAAGAAACGAAACAGTTTTAATCTGCTGGGAGACTAAAATTTAAAAGGAATTCAAAAGAAATCAATTCAAAAAAAATTGCTCACCTCCAAACCGTATAGAGCATCTCAATCACCAGCGCGCAGAAGACCGCAGTGAATGTGATATAGAACAATTGGGTGTCGAACATTGAACTATATTTCAAGACGACGTTCAAAAAAATGCCTGAAAATAATTGATGATTCTAGACAGCGATCGCGAGATCAATTCAAAATCACCTGGAATCATGATATCCAATGTCGCCACACTTTGCTTATTTCCATTGCCATCTCTCGGCACCAAAATGCGCAAAGGCGCCGTGTTTTCATTCGTCACACATTCTGAAAGAAATTAAATCAATCAAAAAAATGTTTTTTTTTGGAAAATAATTTCTTACTCAGCATATCAATGACGTAGAAGAAGAACAAATCGAAAATTGACATTCCGATGACAAATATAACAGCAGTTTGATAGCTAACAGCCTAGAAATTTCAATTTTTTTCAACATTACCTTCACCTTTCAGAATACCTGAACTCTCGAGCACACGACATAAATCGATGAGAACGCCAAAATATCGTTCGTGATCCAATTTCCGCAAACCTCGTGGTATATTCCGAACAATATCGAAATCACCATGGCGGCGTACATCATCGTTTCTTCATGATAGTAAAAATAGAACGCTGAAAATGTCAAAAGTCATTTAACAAAGACACATCGATTCAGAATTTCATACAAAGATATTGGCTGAACAATTCCAAAACCCAAATGTAGATACAAGAAACGCACGCCCAAGTTGGCACATGAATCGCAATCAATTCGGCGAGAATATCAATCAATCTGAACACATTTTTCCATATTTTTCGATATATCGAAACACCTACCCCAGCTGTACATAAACACGAGGTCCGTCAGGAGAAGCTGGAACGAGACTCAAAATGCTCAAAGAATAGGAAAACAAATCAATCTGCAAATCATCTCGATCAAGAGAACCATTCAAAATACCTTACATCTCCAAGTCTTGAGTAAATATCGCATTTATCATCGGGTTCATCTGAGCAAGACCAGACCACCTAGAGAAAAAAACATCAAAAATTCATTTCCGATCATAGTGGATAAGAAAAAACCTTGTTATTTTTGTCAGCCGGCGTTCCACAATACGACGATTTTCGGCTTGAACGCTGACTTGCCGAAAGCCAATTGCTTGATGACAATTTCCTTCCAGCGCATAAAAGATCATTTCTCACTCGCGAATCCGTTCGAGATCGTTCCAAAGGGGTTGAGCTCATGCTTGAGTCTTCAATAAATAATAATAAAACAAGAATTGTATCATGGATTTTTTCTATTTGAAGATGAAGCGAAAAAAAACCTGGCGGTGCAATTATCTTCCGATCGTCGTCAACACTTTCCACGCAAAATCTCGAGCGCTGCTTTGGTTGTGGCGAATCCTGTAAATCAGAAATAACAAGTTATGGAATGTTTCAAAAAAAAATCAGCAACTGTAATTACTCAATGACTTCAAACGCGTTGCGCTTCGCGTGCGGCCCGTTAAATTTTTTTCTAAATTTTTACATAAACGCGAACCGCTACGACAATGTCCTACAGCGAAAAACTCAGATAGCCGCGATTTTTGAAAAATGCTCCAAATTTAACACTTACTTCATCAGACTTCTCCGAAGATTTGTCCTCAGTCGATTCTGCAATTTCAGATTCCGATTCCAAACGTTTGCGTACACTTCGAATTGTCGACTCAATGTCTTGTTCTTCAATATCCGACAATAATCCTATAATCAATTATTTTCATTTTTTCTTTTTTTCCGGAAATTTCAAATTTCCTCAAACATTGCCAATGTGTATAATATGATTTCCGAAGGAATCCGATTAATAATCGAAACGGAACTAGAAAAGCAAAAGATCAATGAGAAACGAGGGAAAACATGTTACAACGCTTCCGGAAATAATTGTTAAGAGGCGAGATTTTTCGGTCAGCGTTTAAATTCAAATTGCGTCATGAAAAATCTTAAGACAATTAAATAATTATCTCGTAATTATTTTACGCTATTTCAATATAAAATCTCATTTAAAAAATAAATAAGCATATGTCAATTTTAGAAAAAAAAATCTTGAAAAATTGATTAAATTCTTCTTAAACAATTGATTAAATCTAGTTTTTTTTCTAAAAATTCGAGTAATACCGTAAACTGCAAAAATGCTTACGTCGAATTCGTTGCTGTTGCTCGCTATTATCGTCCAACGAAATCGATGGCCGCCTGCTTGTTTCCCTCGAAACTTTTCTCGAATTAAACGACGAAGACGCTTGAATTGCCTACAATCATAAAATGCACATTAATTAGGGAGCCTCCCCCCCCCCCAGCTCTTCTCAATTTACCCTCAATTCTTTCTCGGCTTGCTGCGCGGCTTCTCGCTCGCGTCGAATATCGCCGCTTCGTTTCGTCGCGTGATACACCAAATACAAAACGAGAGACAACGCGATTGGGAATATGAATGCAAATGTTTTGCTCATAAATATGACAGAAGTCGTGTCCAGCTGGAAAAAAAAAGAAAGAAAGATTGCAAAATCAATTTTTCAAACATTACCTCGAAAAAATAGATTGTTGACGATCTTCGACAAGCCTGATACAAAACGAACCACGAAACTATCAAAATCGACGTCGACGCCGCAATCTTCGGAAGCCCATCGCGCATTTTGACGAATTTCTGCCAATTAGGTAGTATTCGAAACGCATCGTAATATTCGTGATTAATTTTTCTTGATGGCATCGTTTGATGACGGGGAGGGCAGGGCGACAACTCGATCACCGCCCGAACATACAAAGGTCAGTCGCGTGGTTTATACGGAAGGGGAGGCGAAAATAAAAACAACTTCTCTCATTCACTGGAGACGAAAAGATCGAAACAATTTGACGATGTCTAATTTTCGTTCGCTTAATTGATTAATCAATTTCATTATTTTGATTTGGTTTCTTCTCGCAAAAATTTGATTGCTTCGAAAAATGATTGCTCTCAAAAGCACGAGGACAACGTGCAGAAGTAAACTCGAATGAATGTAAATAACGTTCAAAAACCGGCGATCTACGACACGTGTTGCCTGCGTCTCTTGTTTATCCAATAATATTCGACAACGCGACTGCACAAGGACGAACAAAAGATGATAGCGACTTTTGAAAGTTGCGGGGACCGATCTTTACCTTTTCAAATAAATCTGAAGATTCATTGGAATTCATTAAATTTTTTTCGTAACAAGTAGTTTCTTTGGATAAACCTTCATTTCTTTTTATTATGAAAAGAAAAACATCAAAAGTTTTGCAACGATTATTATATAGCAACTTGAATTAATGAATAAACAGCACAAGATATAAATTACTCAATTGATTGGTGTAAGGTAACAACATAAATTTTTCAGATAAAAATAAAAAAGTCGATATTGAGTTGAAGAGATACATTGGAAAATGTTTAATAATTACTGTTTGAATTGATTCCTTTAATCACGCGGTGATGCTGAACGGCTGCGCGAGCGAGAACGGCTTCGGCTTTTTGATGCCGAACGATCACGTGGTGGTGGTGAGCGAGACCTGAAAAATTAGTATAAATTTGAATATTTGAATAAATTGTTTTACCTTGTACGAGAACGGCTACGCTCACGTTCACGATCGCGACCACGAGAACGAGAACGACTTCTAGATCTTCCTCGATATGGTGATCTAAAATAGAGGAATTAACGCTTGGTTTCAATATACTTCGCAGTTTCTGGAACGGATGATAGTGAAGAAGAAAATTTCCCTCAACCTCTTCTTCAAAACTGGCGACGAAGGTCACATCTTTTCCAAGAGCCGATGTAGGGGATCAGATTTTTGAATCCGTTAAATTTCAAGTGGTATCGATTCAAATGAGACATTGCATGAATGAACTGTTGTTTGTAAAAGATGAAAGAAGCGCTTTGCTGGAGCGTAGAAGAGAGGTGCGGCGTTTTGAGAAGAGAGTTGGTGAAGAGAAGTGGAAGAGGGTGGTGTTTTTGTTGGCACTTGGAAGCGCGGACGAGCGGAGTCCGCTAAAATTAAAAAAAATCATTTCCCATATAATTTTAGTAGCGTTTCTCATATTAAATATTAAATTAATTTACATAATCCCCAGTTGATAATAACTTAATCCAGACGATCAAACTAACCGGTCTCTTCCGCGATCGCCACGATAACCACGATCTCCTCTGTCTCCGCCGCCCCGTCTGCGACCATGAGAAAGTTCGACTCTAGCTCGGTTTCCACAAATTCTTCTGAAAAAAAATTATGCATTATTGCCAAAAAACAGTTACTTACGATCCGTCAAGAGCCTTAACCGCATCTTCGGCATCACGAACATCTTCGAATTCCACAAATGCAAATCCTGGAGGACGACGAGCTACCCAAACTTTACGAATTCTTCCGAAACGATAAAAAACATCTTCAATTTCTTGAGAGGTAGCGTCGTTTGGAAGACCGCCGACATAAACTTTAGCGTCCATACTGCAATATTAAGATTTGCAAACACATTTGACCGGAAATGGCAGCATAAAGACACATTAAAACTTTTAAGCACAATAAAAATGTCGGAGAAAACGGGAAAACGCGAACATCGCGTCCCGTATTCAAAAAAATCGACGAAGCGGGGAACGCGTTGCAGCGTCGTGCGCGTCGCGGTCAGACACATATTATGGTAACACTCGTTCAGCTGTGCGATTTTCGAGGGAATTCAAACAATTTCGCAATAGAATAACGGCGAGTCACCACAATCACAAATAAAAAAGTTACCCGTTAATAATCTTTATGTATAAAACGAATTAAAAAAAAAAAAACAATTCAAATCATTTAGAAAGACAAAGTGCACATAAGCAAGCACAAAGGGCCGCCAAGCAGCAAGCTTCTCCAGCACCACCCGATCTATGATGACGATCATGTCCATGACAATCGTCGATTCTAAAAAAAAAATAAAAGTTTGAATAATAAAATAAATAAATACGAATACTTACACAACCATCTGCGGTTGAGTATAATAAACCGGTTGCGCACCAGCTCCAATATGAACTCCAGGTTGGGTAGCATATGGTGGTGGTGGTGGATTGTATGGATTGAATTGCTGAAATCATTTAATTTTTTTTGAATTCTCAGTTTCAATTTACCTGATTCTGCGGTGGATTGTAGGGATTAAATTGCTGAAATATTTTCATTTATATAATCCCAATGTCAAATATCAATTTACCTGATTATACGGCGGATTGTAGGGACTCGCCATTGGTAAAAATCGATATGATCAATGTGTGCAACTATTTTGCCCAATGGAAATCAGAGAGCAGAAGCGACAATGATAAGACGGCGCACAAAATTAAAACAAAATGACTAACAAGAAGAACATTCACATGCATTTATTAACAAAAAATCCTGATAAGCGACAAAAATGATGTCAAATAATTCTGGAGAGGCCTTTCTGTGAGTAGCTATGACTCATTCCAAGCATTTTGTGATACGTCGCGGGTAATCGATTCCGAATAATTAAGAACGTCATGGCCAGTACGGTCATTGAAAGGAACAAAATAATACCCGTGAGAATCATTGAACTTGATCTGAACATTAGAAATTTAAAGTTTTAAAAGAGCTATTCAGATTTTGCAACAAAAAACTAGTTTTAACAGACTTTTAGAGTGTAGTCCTCCGAAATCTGCATAGCACCATAATTAAATAAAAGTAATTACCTCGGAGCATATCCAAAACTTCGTAGATTATATACAACTGCTCCAAGTGCCCACTGCATTTCAACACCCGCTATTTTTTGTACAGTCTGTAATTTCAATTCATTTCTTGTGTTAGACAATTGTTTCACCTGAAATTGATTCGCTTCTTTTGATATTTTCAATCCGTCGTGCAATACGGTCGCCACCCATGCGGATTTGAAGCAGAACAACTCAAAAGATCGATCGTCGACGAGAGGATTCGGATTCCTCTCAAACTTCTCCTGTACGTATTTTACAATTTAAAAAATTGGGAATCGAAAAAAAGGAAACCTTTAGATCGTGCCAATTGCCCGAGCAAAATTCGCGCGATTTCTCAACAAAACGTTGATAATCATATATTCCACCCAACCCTGTAATTTCCACAAAATTTTTCTCTTTTCCAAATATTAAAAATATATAGTTATCGGGAATGCTTCAAAAAATTAGTCTGCTTACTACATATAATTGAAATTTCTTACCATATAAGTTATCTGTAGTGTAAAAATATTCCGAAAATCCATATATAGTTATCTCCGATAAGTTCACCTAAAATTTGCTTATTTATAACCACAATTCTAAAATTTAGTGATGATTAAAACATAACAAATATGTATGTATGTATATTGAACGCGTTATATTTATATAATTTTGAATTCTTTACCTTGGGCGATATAATCTTTTTCATATAACAATCATTCGCATAGCATTCTTCAGATTTCTTCAATTCCATAACAGTTTTCAGTCTTGATGCGCATTCATCAAAATTCCCATTTCCCTGAATCATAAAACCATGACAATTGTAAAAATTCAAATCAAAACCTTTTTCTGGCCATTTGTAACGCTAGCATTTTTTGCGTACCCATTAGGGAAGCAAGGATCGCTCTCAGTTTTATTTCCAATCGCTTCTTCATACATTTTATATCCTTCATTGGCTCCATACCCCAAAAAGGTTGTAGAAAACAATTGGTAGCGATATTTCGGATCCTCATTCGAGGGACTTAAATTTATCTAAATTTCTTGTTCTTTTTTTTTCAAATTTTTATTTTTCTTACGCTTATCACATCAGCACTTGAAAATTCGATACTTTTGGGTAGCTCAAATGTGATTTGAACGCTGGCTCCGCCCATATCACTCATTCCCACCGTCGGCGCACCTTTATTGAAATATCCAAGCATATAATTGACACTAATCCAACTATAAATGCCTTCCCATTTTCCATCGATCACGTTGATATTTGAATCGGCAATCTGAACTTCAAATAAAAGTCTGACGAGAATGAAATATACCGAAAATCGCGAAATCGCCGGCAGATTTGTCCGCAAGTGCTCCATGATTTCAAATTGAACACTGAAAAAAAAAAGAAAATTACAATTTTTGAAAAAAAAAATAATTTTTTCACTTTTCTGGCAATAATCGAACACCGGCGGTGGCCAATAGAAAAAATTGGGTCGCGTCGAGTTTTTCCTCCGGAATATAACTCTCAGCAAACTGAATAAGTGGTTTCATGTAATCTGAAAATTCAAACAGTTCACAATTTCTCGATTTTTCGCCTCACCAATAATTCCGCTTATATTGTTTCCAAACGTGCTGAGCCCCGGCGAGATTTTTTTAACAACAGGCTCATTTTCAACAACCAATGAGTCAATTTCAATTAATCCTCCGTCTAACAAAATTTCTTTATATAGATTGTTAGTTTGAAATGAAATTTAAAGAAAGGCACCTTGAGGTATACTGTAGGTATATACAAAAATTCGAGTACCACTAGATCCTGCATCGCAAATCGCCACGTAATTTTTTTCTGCAAAAAAAAATAATTAAAAAAAATTCGTTTGCTCCTTTTAATAATACCATTAGCAGAATGAACACTTCGCCGATTTTCTTCTAAATTGTACAACTTGTAGTTATAGAGTATAATTAGAAACCCGCTAATTAGTATGGCGATTGTGACAATTTCCGGCGTGTTGAACCGCATGAGCCTGTCTGAAAACCAACGCGTTCACAATTCGAATCGCAATGTGCGGCGAAATGGGCGAATAGCACGAAACGAATCAAAACCCAATTCGGCGATTTTATCGTGAATTCCAACGCAAAAGCCGTTTTTCCATCTAATTTTCGAGGCAAAATCGTCGACAATTTTCCCACGCGAATCTATTTTTTAACAAATAACGCGATATGAAATGCCATAAATATATATAACCAACAATTTCAGAGGCAAATCACAATTCTTCGCACAACTTCTTTTTGTGTCCACCGTTGAGCGAGATGTCGGATATGTTGAGTATTCTGCCGACCGATTTGCCATCAAAAATTGATCGCCGATTGTCAAAAACGGTTGAATCAATCCAGTTTGCCTTATGGTGCTTTACTATGCCTTTTTATATATTAATTTCAATATTTATGATTTTGGCGCAGATTAGAAAAATTGAAGAACTTTGCACCCCATTTTTCAAGTTTTGTATTGTTGCAGCAATTATTGATTTATGTAAGTATTAATATTTTTCAATTTACAATTAAATTTGAATTTCCAACATTTAGTCACATTATTCGCTAATTATTTCGGGGTAATTTTTCCGAAAAACGGTCAATTTCTAACAATCTATCTTTATCTTGATGAATATTACGCTCATACCTATTTCTACATTGCATGGAGTACAGGTAGGCAAAAATGAAATGCGAAACACATTTCATAAACCCCCCAGTGTGTCAATTCCATTCGGGACCATTATAAATCAAACCATTTCTTAATTGCATTTTTTTTCAAGGAATTTGTCAAGCCATGTCCGTTTCTGTGCTTGCCACCAATAGATTGTCTGCCCTTTTGGCACCCAACAATTATCAAAAGGTTAGTTTTAATATCAAATGTTGTTTTTCAACATTGTGGATTTAAAATATTAATTTCAGATGTGGCGATCTTATCGCTTCTGGATTGGAGTTGCAATTCAATTAATTCCGGGCTGCGCAATGGCAATTAGCACATTTTTCAATTCAACTCAATTATATCGAAACGATTCGGGTGGAATTGTGCCAAAATTCATCAAGTATCTATAATTGCTCGACAATAATTAATTAAAATAATTTTTTTCAAGCAAAAAGCTCACTTCAATATATTTTATGATCGGCGGAGGATTTTTAACATTAAATTGTTTTTATCTAATAATCGCCTACTGCTATATGTTTTATAAGATTAAACAGCGGAATACGAAGCATTTGAAGAATTCAAGCAATCCGCGCCAGAAAATTCGAAGGCGCGAATTTCGTTTGTTTGTCATGTGCTCAATTATAGGTATAGAATTCTGAAAATTCTCTTTTAAAGCCAAAATTACCTTTTTTAAGTGGGTGTTCAATTAACTGTTTTATTATTTTTCGCTGTCAAAGCTTCTGCGCTTTTCACAATCAATATCGATGAATTCTATCTGCTTTATAATGCCTTGAGGTGAAACAAAAGGAAATCACTTTTTCTTCAATATATTACAATTTTAGTGATCTATTCGCTAGTATTAATCCATATTTGCTATTCATTTTCTCCGATTCACTTCGCAAATTTATATTAACACAATTGGGTTGCCAAAAGAAAAAATCGCCTCAAATCACAGTATTGAGTTACAGATCAAACTTCAGATAAATATGGGTCAATAATTGAAATAAAATAGAAAATTTTTATTCATTTTTCCGCAAATTTACAGGATTTTTAATAGTACATGCTTAATTGGCGTTATTTCGCACCGCGACGACCACGCCCTCGTCGAGCTTTTCCTCTCGTTGCCACTGGAGCTTCAACGACTTTTTTCGACGCTCGTGTTTGGCGCTTTCTGAAATCAAATTCAAACATACTGCAATCAGCCCACTTAAAAACGAACCCTTCGACTTGTGGAATTGGCGTGCTGGTAGCAAATTTATTATTCCTTAAAGGGCTAACATCAAAAAGATCGATCGAGTTTCTTGAACGTAGACGCGTGACGATAGCAGATGGCTGAAATCATAGAAAATGACATTTTTCCGGAACGCATTTTGGTCAACTTTTTCTAAAACCGGATCTCTAGAGTCGTCGAGCTTCATTGGCGACACCTCTTCTGATATATCCGCAGAGTCTTGTGAATTTTGAGATACTAAAGAAATTGTTCTGTTCAAATCTGCCGTCTTCTTCCTATTTTCTTTCTTCAAATTTTCCAACTGAATAAAAAAAAATATTAATCTTCTCGGCTAAATTAAAAACCTCTTCCTCAAATTCGTCAATTTTATGCTTCATTGATGATAAATAATGATTAAGCTCATTTTTCTCAGCCTTCTTAACTTCTAAAAGCGTCGACAATTCACGCAAGCGATCAGGTATATCAAAATTCATCAGTCGCATTTTCTCACGAATTTCTTGAAGCTAAAATTTAAAACTATGCTAAATTAAAAAAAATTGTCACATTTTTTCGCTCTTCGTCCAAAAAACTCTGCTGCTGTTTTCGTTTCTGAATCACAATGTTATTAAACTTTAAAAATTTACATCTTACTTTATTATCATCAGAATATTTCCTTTTCTTTTCAACAAAAGCTGCAAGTCGTTTTGTTGTCGAGATTTCTCGACTTTCCTTTTTTTCCTATATACAAAATATAATAAATATTATTTGAAAAAATGTTAAACCTTCATATCATTCTCAATTTTAGTTATTCTTTCGCTGATTTGACTGGACAATTGGTTTTCATCAAAACTTTCCCATTTCTCAACCATTAATTTAAGGTGTTTAGCTGCATTCTCAACTTCGATTTTCATTTTTTCCTAAATTTTAAGCAAATTATCGATTAAAATATCAGCGAGATTACGATATTTTCCTTCAAAACGTTTTTGCATTCAATTTTTTGCTCTTTCAAGCTTTCAATGTTCGTATCAACTTTCGAAGCCTCCATTTCTAGCCGGCAGTTATTTGCTCGCGAATCGGCCAACTTTTGACGTTTCGTGTCGCGTTGAAGCTCAAGATCTCTAACTTCAGCCTCATAGCCTGCTATTAAACGTTTCCTCTCATCATAGTCTTTCAAAGCTAATTCGTGTTCTTCATTATTGGTTTTCATCCATGAGCAGTATTCAAAAAGATTTTTCCGATAATCTGCATTCTTTGCTAATTTTTCGTGCAGATCCTAAAATTGAATTTTACAATTTTTTTGAAATATTGAAATTATAATAAACTTACCTTTATATCGCGCTTCAAATTTAAATCTTCTCTCATTTTTTCACCTTTCGCAGATATTTCGCTTAGAAGATTCGCCGTAATCTGCTTGAAATTTTTCGACGATTCGAGTAGACTGTTGAAGTTTTTAGTTGCTTCTTCTAACTCGCTTGTATCAAAGTTATTCGGTTCTGAAATTAATTATACATTCAAATCGCAAAAATTTAATTAGAATACTTTTCGCTTTAGAACAAGCTGCTTCGTTGCGACGCAGAAACTTGTCTATTTCCATTTTCTCCTTTGACACAGCTTCGAGAGCACCTTTCTCCGTATTCAGATAATCTTTTCGTTTTTTCTCTTCTTTCTTGTTGAGTTTGTCAAGTTCGACACATTTCGCTTCATTTTCCGTCGATGTTTTGAGCATTTCAATTGCTGATAGCCTTGCTTCCTTGATGAAATCTCGAACGAGAGCAGCGTCTTGGATTTCGGGATCCACAGGACTCCCTTGGACATTGTACATCCATTCTTCAAATGTTTCCATCTAAAAAAACATTATCTCGCTTTAAAAAATTAAAACACTTATGAGTTCATTTTACATGAAAGGAAAACAGAAAAATCGTGGAAAAAAAAATGTAATTCATAAATTCGTCCAGTAGAGCGTATTTGCAACTATGACCAGTATTAGTCCAACTCAAAAAAAGCTGAAATTCGAGTAAAAACTGAAGCGTTTATAAAAATTTATTTTTGTTAAAGCTTCTTTACCTTATAATAGCTATAAATAGAGTAAAATTTAGTTATTTTTTAATTTTTGAAAATTTAAATATTTATTTTCTTGCCTAAATTTTCTTAATTTTCAAGGTCATTATCTCTATTGTTGGTTGTATTTGTTTATTTATGAATGATATTATAACGATGGTCCGATTCTGAAATTTCCCAGTGTCAAAAAAATTTTCAACCAAAAAATTCTGTAGACGAAAACTTTGAAATTTTGTCAATTGTTGAAAAAATTCCATAATCTATTTATAATTACCAATAATCAAATAATTAATACAAAATTTCCGAATTGTTAAGTTTGTGAAAATTTCTTCAAACATTTACCCAATGGTTTTCTCCACACACCCCTGGCCCACGTGCACTGCATTCAAATATTCCTCTTTCACCGCGTGTGCAGTAGCGCGCGATTGCTATATGAAAGCGGCGTCGGTTTAAAATTCTTTTCTTTTTTCGCTTTTATTTAGCATTGTATAATTAATTTATGAATTTTCTAAACGTATAAATCATTGAAATTTGTGTGCTTGCTCTTGCGGATAATTAAGTAATTAAAATTTTTTAGAATGGCGTACCGAATGTCCACAGCGCCAAACAGTAGGGCATCGGGCGTCAGAATCGTCGAAGTGCATGATTCTCCAGTTCGGGAGCCGCTCAGAGTTATTGATCGAAATACTAGCGAGACAGCACAGCTTCTTGTCAGCGTTAGAAAGCTTTTGTAAGCTGAATTTCGATATCTTGAAATTTTTTAAAATCATGCTTCTTTAGAGATCTGACGCCGGAAAATTTTCAAAGGCTCGGCGCCGATAAATATTTAGATTATTCGGAAACATCCATTCGTAAACTGTCTCGCAGGATAAACGAGCTCACAGACGACGAAATTGATTTATTGGAAAATTTAAAGTGGAAAGTTCAGGATGTAAGGCGTCGATATGAAGACAGAGAAGAGGAAATTGCGCGACGATCGCACAGTCAAAGTTTCGCATTTGTAAGAAAAAAAATCCGGCCAACTAATTTGGACATTAATTTGTTTTTCAGAATAGAGAGATTGGACGGCACAATAGCATAACTGTTCTACAAGATAGATCCAATGACGTTCGAATCAGACACAGAAGGTATATTGAAATAATCAGGATTTTCTTCTGATCGTATGAGTTGTAAAAAGCAGTTATTTGGACTTTGGAATTTCATTTTTTATTCATTCAGTAATATATATATTTTTAAAGTTCCTTAAAACAAAATTTAGCTAAATTTCTTATTCAGAATTGAGTAGAATGCAGAAACTGAAGAAAAAGCTTCAAAAAAATTCTAAATTGTAAAAAAAACCATTTCATTCAAATTCGGAATTTCAGGGACAGTTATGAGTCAGACCGAACGTCGATATCCGACAGAAGAAAACAACATGAGCGGCGCATCGAGCAATCAGACGAATCGGACGATGAAGTACCCGCAAGAAGGAGTCCGATCAGGCAGAAGCGTGTGCCTTTGGTGCGCGGAAAAAATCAATCGACGCTGAAAAAGATGAAGCGCTACAAGCCGGGAATGAAGGCTTTAAAAGAAATTCGACAGTATCAAAGATCGACGGATTTATTGATCAGTAAGGTAAGAATGCTCAGTGTAAAAAACAACTGTGTGCGCCTTTAATTTAATCGTAACAAAAAATTTTATTCTCAAAATTAGGCCCACTCAAATTTAATTGAAAAGAAACCAAAGAATTCGGAATTTTTGTGTGAACAATTTTCTATTATTTTGAAATTTTTATAAAAATTCCAATCATAAAAAATGAATGGGGTCTTGTGGCGATCAATTCTCTCACAAATTAGGTCCTTCATGAAGTACGGTAAAGTGGGAGGGGCTAACATTGAAGGACCATATCTCGATATATAGAAGATTGTGGACCATCGCAAATGAAGAAGCGAAAGTTCAAATTTTAATTTAGAGCCTTGAAATTCGCCTACCGTACCCTCTGTAAATCGGTGCAGGATTTTCTTTTTTTGCGCCTTGTTTTTAAAGGCGAATCTTTATTCAAAAATTTTTTTTTCGATGAACTGCAAAAAGTTTTCAGGCGCCATTCCGACGTGTCATCCTTGAGATCATGAACGAGCTGTTTCCGAACGTCGGCTACCGAATCCAAGCCGAAGCGCTCGCGGCTCTTCAAGAAGCCGCTGAAGCGTTCCTCGTCAACGTATTCGAATCGTCCCAACTTCTCTCATCGCACGCCGGTCGTGTCACACTTCGTCCGAACGACATTCAACTCTATAGGCGTCTATGCTTATAAAATACTACAAACACACTGCTTCTTCATTTTTTTGTTGTTATTTTTCTCAGTATTGAAAGATAAATTGTCAAATAAATACTAACATTTTTTATTTTTTTTTCAATAAAATTCTATTAAGACAGAACGGAGAAACCCACAAAACATTAGTGTTGTAGTAGAGAATCGAGAATGGAATGCAATAAACTTAAGACACAAGTTCCGGGATATAATGATACAAATTAATCAGAAAATGGGAGGCGAAAGAAAAAAAGTTCAAGTTGTTATAAATAAGACCCAAAAAAAAAAGAAGAGAATAATAATGGAATGCGCAAAAACAAACAAAAAAAAAGAATGGAAAAGAGAAATTTCGACAGCCATTCTCGCCAGGGCCGTCATATCACAGTTGTCTATTTACAGCTTATTAATATTATGCTTCGTTATTAATATAGTATTATCAATTATTGCCGATCAGAAGAGAGAGAGAGAGAAAACAAACTATGGGAGGAGCAATTCATCGAAATTTGTACTCGTGTGTGCATGAGAATTGAAAATGGGCGGGAGGGGGCCAAGAAAAGAAAAAAAAAAACGTCGATCACAGAATAAGGCATGAACAAAAAGAAAAAAAATAAGAACGAGCCAACAATCAATTCAAAATCGCTTTATGGGCACGCTTTCGGCAGCTGATTGGCAAACTCATGAGGCGTTATCACCATCTGATGAATCGGCTTGCTAAAGTCCGCGTCATCCAGCTGATTGGTTGGCGCAAAATAGAAATTGTTCGCCGCAAACGGATAGCCGGCCGAAGCGGTCATCAGCATCGACTGCGTGTTGTTGGCCTAAAACAGAATCGTCATTGATTGCAAAATTCCGCACCATCACAATCTCGGCTCACCTTCATCCCCCAAACCGCCGACACCGTCTGACTCGCGTCCATCTCCATTCCGATCATGCCGTTATCAATTTTGATCTTTTTGCCACCTTTCGTCGTCAACTTTCGATTGCGCGTCTGAATCCCATCCTTCTTCATTGTTAGCGGCCGCTCGACCTGCAACACAAACACCGTCAAAACGATATAGTAGTAATCCATCAAATTCTCAAGATTTTTATCAGCTCCATAAAGAACACACACACACACGCTGGCGTCATCGGCAATTATCGGTCGGATGCCGCGAAAGGACCAACACAAACCGTTGTTGTTGCATCATCATCATCAAAAAAAAAAACAATCTCTCTCGCCATTTACCTGATGAAGCTTGTAATAGAGACCGCACGCGTTGCACACCGGCTCGCCGGAGCCGTTTCGCCTCCACAGCGTCGTCGTGTTCGTCTTGCAATTCACACACGAGACTCCCGTTCGTTTTTGGGCGCTCTGCAAATCAGAAAAGAATTAATAGTAATAGCCAACAATTCGAGTTATCGAGTTCACATTTCAAATACGAGGCAAATGTGCTAATTTACGGGCGCCTCAAATCTACCCCCCCCCCTCTCCTCCTCATTCTCAACGACAGTTATACAGTACATTATGTTTCCCCTTTTTCGGCGACGACGATTTGCCTCGTTCAACACAACATTTTCAGAGATTCTTATCTGAGGCGCGCGCGCCCTTCCCTTCCATCCTCTTCTTCCTCACCAACGACCGTCATCGCTCTTTTGTTTTCATGCTAACAAATTTTCAAAATTCTTTTCGCGGTTACGGTAGCAGTGTTCCGTCACGCATATTATGAGGAATCGAAACACACAAATGAGAAAAGTCCGATCAGCAAAGAGTTAGGGGAGGGAATCGCAATTTGTGAAAATTCAGTCGCCACAAATTTCACTACTTCTTATCTACCATCAGGCGCACACAGCCCACAACTAAATGAAGCGCAATATTTCATAATGAGCTTCAACTGCTCATCGTCAGCCAACAAAAAAAAAAGCGAAGAAGCACAACGGACGTGACAACAACTGTTTGTTTGTCACTGTCCGAATAATTGAAATATCGAAACCAAACTTCTTTTTTTTTCGTCTTGGTTTTCGCTGGGCCGCGCGCGCGCACGTCTTACGCAAGTTGAGCATTTGTCGTCAACTTGATCAATTGCTAGCCCAGCCCTCTCCAATCACCTCAATATTTATTGCAAAAAGGTCCACCACCCTCCCAAAGATAGCCATCAGAACCGTCGTCGACGGGCGGCAACATGATGGAGGTCCTAACCTCCTACTCCAATAAACTCGAGGTCATCATCAACGTCGTCGTCGAGATGCGCGGACCCTTTCTCTCTCCCACCCCCCCCCTTTCCCGCAATCATGGTCCGATTCATAATTGTTAATTGATTAAACCGCATAATGACGGGACGACGACTCTCTAATTCAATCCTACCTGCCGCTTTTTCGGCTTCACCAACGGCCGATTCGATCCGTTCATTTTGTGATATAATCCGCACGCATTGCACATGTACTGCCCGTTGCCGTCGCGACGCCACAACGGCGTGTTTTGAACACCGCAATTCACACATTCGCGACCTTCGATGTTCGCTGAAAATTGCACAAAAAAATCCAATAGAAAAAATCGAGTAGGACAGGCAAAAAGAAATTGCGTCAGCCAAAAAGCATAGAAACGAATGCTCACCATTCGACATCGAGCCACTTCGAATTTTGCCAATTTTAATCGACGTCGAGTTGTTTGACATGCTCGACGAGCTCGATGATCCCGTCGACGTCGCCGACGAGCATCCGGCCACCGTTGCCGTCGTCGTCGGCGTCATTCCCGCCGCGCTGATTCTCGCCAAATTCGACGTACCGCTTGTGTTGTTGTTGGCAGTGGTGGTGGTGGTGGCGGCGGCGGCGGTGGCGGTGGTGGTGGCAGCCGCCAACTGATCATACCCATAGCCAATCGGATTCGGATAGTAGAAATTCGAATTTTGACCTGAAAACGAAAATGATAGACGTTTGGCGAAATCGAAACGACAACAAAAAATTCGCAACAGCCAGCGCGCCAATAAAACATTGGAAGGGAGATGAACGGAGGGGAAAAAAAGCAACGGCAGCAAAACGAGGCTCGTCTGAACGCGGATCGAAATCAGATAAGACGAATTGCTGCTTTTATTCCTCGTTAATTGGTGTGGTGTTCGTCCAGCAAAACTTTTTTTTTTGTTCTCGTTTTGTCGTTTCCAATTCGAAACGAAAAACTAACCAGTAAAAACGCTCGCGTCCATCGTCATGCCTTGCGAGAACGAGTCCATTCCGGTGGAGCACGACGCCGTCGAGCCGGGTAATGAATACGACGGATAATTGAGAAACATGTTGTAGCTCGACGGCGCCGTCGTGTAATCCTTATAGTAGACGTTGTTCGCCGGATTGTAGCCGAATTGCGCGGTGGCTTTCACCGGCGAGAAGACGTCGTCGCCGGCGGTCTCGTGATTCTCGGCCAACACCTCCGACATTGTTTGCGAATCGCAATCCATTATCGAGCACGTCGTCTGATACATGCCGGGTTGCGCCGATAGTGTTTCGCCGCATTCAAATTTGGGAAAATCACTCGACGGCTTCTCGTATTTGAATGCCTCGCTCATTTCCTGCAAGAAATCGAATTACTCGTTTTTGTGCTTCACTTTTAATGACGACTTGACTTGGTTTCAGGGCTAAACAATTGAAGAGCATCAGGAATAAGAGAAAAGAAAAAAAAACAATACATACACACATATATATGTATTTACAATGTTTCGACTTTCATAACTCTCTTAGTAGTGAAAATGCATCAATCGAGAAAACGGGGGATTAGTGAACCGAGCGGGCCGCCGACCGACCGGCCGGCCGGCTGGCAAAAAAAAAACAACGTCAAGCACGAAGACGAAGAGCAAGAAAAAGCTTGAGGGCACAAAAAAATGGTGGCATAGATCAAAATCAACACCTGAGGTCTGTGTGATCAATATCGTGAATGATAATCTTCAAGATATGTGGCCAACGTTCCAAATTGGTATAAAATACACGCTCATGCATTGAGAAACACACACACACACACACACACCCTCAGACCCCTCCTCCCTTTCGCACAGCAACCCCAAAAAGTGGGCGTGGCTTGTGGGCCGGCGCATGACTAATTGACCAGCCAATCAGCGGCCGTCGGAGGCGGGGCACTTTTGAGGATACGAGCGCGGCGAGGATGTTTTGAGATTTATGAGCTGATGATTGCCTCGGGACGTTTGGCTTTTTTTTTTCATCTCTCTCTTTTAGTTGTCGGTCGTTTTCAGCGGAATGCGATCGGGTCGACTAATGGGATAAGTGATAAGCATCAATTCGAACAACACGCATGGTTTTGGGGCATTCTGAATTCTATTGTTTGAAAAAAAAAAGGGTCTCGAAACGATAATAGCAATCATTTTCAATTTCCAAACGATTTTTTAGCAACTATCTAAATTTTTATAGATCACAATATCTATGGAGAAATTTGGGACCAATGAAAGTACGATCTAAATTAACATTTCAAAAATGGTATATTCAAACCTTAAACGCGATAATATCATCGAGACTTTCAACGGCATCGAGACTATTCTGTGCACAATAATCCATTCTGAATCAATCATTTCAATTGATTATCTGGTTGTTTTTGAAAAAAAAAGCAAAATGAATAACGCGCGAAACTCACGGGAATATTCGAAAAAAAACCGGAGAGAACCAAGACGCCAAAAATGAGCGATAAGATTATCTATGAAATTTGATCAAAATGCGGTTTTTCTCATTCATGCGTTTCGACGAGCGTTCGATTCACCGTGGAACACGGAACACGTGTTTGTTCGGCTCACCTCACACGTTTTCCCAAAACAATTTTTTTTTCATTCCTCGCCTCATATTTATTTTTATTTAAATTAATTGTCGCTGAAATTAAGGCGAAACGAGACACACAAAAAAAAATCAACCAAAAACATTGAATGAGAAACACACACACACACCCACATTTATTCGAGCTTCAATTTTCATCCAATTCCCCGGAGGATCCTACCGTATTCTCAGCAGCGCCGCCCCACAAAAATAAAACGCGACGCGCAAAAACGCCTTGAAATCGTTGCCAATTTCGCGCTTCGCTGAACACCCAATTATGCGCTTCAAACGGTCAATAAAAATGTGGGGCGGATGAGGAAGAAGACGTGAGCAGCGCTGCTGCTCACGCCGAATCAATTACCAGAGCAAGATCGCCAACTGATATACGCTGGCTCGCCCAAGATAATTAGTTGGGAAAAAAAAGTGACAGAGCGCGCGGGGGGGGGGCGTGCGGGAGTTGCGGGGAAACTTCAAAAAAGCTCCCGCGCACACACTTCGGAGCTGTTCACCGTTTTTGCGGGGCCGACGGCGCGGCCGGCGGCGCCTGCGCCACACGCCGCTTTACAATTACTGATTTATTCGATCGCATTAAGTCATTTGGCGCGAAAACAAAGCGTTTCGTTGTGTTGTTGCCGATTCGTTCCAGACGAGACCCAACTAATGCGCAGTTCATTTCAAATATTCTTGACTTCGTTAATTATGGTCAATTAGTGCAATTTTTACAATTTTTGTTTGTTTAAAAAAATCCGAAAAAAAATCCATAGGTGCTCATTTTTTCCATTGTTTTAAAAAAAAAACTACCCCCCCCCCCCCGGAACCTGTTGCCGTCGTTTTCAAATTGCCGCATGTGGCGACGGCACCCTCTTTCATGAGTTCGCCAACCGCGTGCTCGCACCATTCGGCGGGTGTTTGATTTTTTTTGTTTTTTCAACAAAATACCGCCACGGTTTTTGACGTGCCAACTTTTGCACATTGCGAGAGACAAAGAGCCGCGCATGTCAACCAAAACATGACATGCTTGTCACTACACACCTTTTAGAGATCCGACTTCCGATACCGTATCGGAAACCTAGTTTCTCCATATTGTCGCGTCGAAAACCCACATTGTGAAATTGAAACAAAAAGAGAATTCCTTGTATTCACTCATTGACAATTATAAATGAGCCCCCCCCCCCTCTCCCTGTTCGGACCAAGTATATTTGTGAGCATTATCCATTTTCGTTGCGCGCAACCCTCGGAGCCCCGCGATTCGCCCCATGGGACCATTCAAAAGACCGCCTAATCGAGATTCATGGCTTCCGCCGTCTTTGCCAAGAGTGATAGGTGACAGACGGGTTTCTCTCGAGAACACGAGCCCCAAATCAAACTAGATGATGATGATGATGATGATGATGAGGAAGAGAGTTGCCAGAAGAGATTCACCTAGGATTTTCGATTAAAACCACCCGAGTGAGGTCGGCGGGAGAACCAGAGATGGAAGACGCCAAAACCGAAAACATCGCCAAGGTTCACGGTTATCTTGATTTCGATTGCCACTCATATTATGAGTCTAGTAGGTCACAAACTCATGGTTGCATAACTTACATATGAATGGGCACCCAACGCCCTCCCCCTCAACGTATTACGGTAATGTTCTTCGGGGAGGAATTCTGGCAAAACAACACAAATCGAAAAAGACGAAAGGGACCATTTCAAGAAGAACCCCCAGCCCCCCCCCCCTCTCTCGTTGTTAATTGGCCCATCAAATCGATCAAAATTTGTTTGTCATCCAGGCGTTGCTCATAAGCCGCCATCCCATTTATCTATGTCAAGAAGCGATTCACACTTGGAAACAAGCTGATGAAAATTTGCATAAAATCTGCGCATCCTCGGCCTTTCCCCCTTCCCCCCATCGCGCGCGAGCTAGCTGATTTATCATCATATAATTCATTATGGCCGTGGCTGGTGCCAGCGAGAAAATAGGATGAGCGAATAGGCTGGCTGCCAAGAATTCGCGCGGCGGTTTTCATCTCCTAAATCCCGGGTATTGACCATCAACCGGGGTTCGGCCCCTCTTCTCCCCCCCTCAGCCAACCAACGGAAATTGAACATTGGGAAATAGCTCCGACTTTCATTGTTCCATTGATGAATAAATAAATAATTCGGTGCGGAACGACGCCGGCGACGACATCAACAAAAAAAAATTGAGGTCAAAAATCCGGGTCCGATTTCGCGTTCCCGTCACGCCTCTCCCTCTGCCAGTTTTGTGTGTGTTTGTAGGTGTCATGTACCAGATTGCTGGCAGATAACGGGCGGTCTTCTTGTTTCGTCCGCCGGTCGCTCGGTCGGTCGGTCCGTCCTACAGTATGCCGAAACAGCGGCGGCGGCGGCGACGTCGACCGCCCACGATTTGCCTCGTTTTTCGAAAGTTTTCCAACGACTAAATATTGACTTGAAAACGCTACCCAACGACGAGATAGATTCGCATTGATTGATTAAGATTGAAGAGACAACACAAATTATTCCTATACGAGGACGTTCAAATGGCGGTTCTTTCAAGAGAAATTCAATCTTCTGACAAAACAATCTAAAAATAATATTTCATAACAAAATTGAAATTCTCAAAAATCATAAAATCTCAAAGAAATTCAATGTGGCAAAAACATTTTTTCAAAATCCAAAAAAAAAATTTTTTCAAAAAATTTTTCAAAACCCAAAAAAAGCAAAATTTTCAAAATCAAAAACTCGTAAATACCCTTTGCAATATTTATTGTGATGATATTTATGCTCTTTTAAAAGTCATTGATAGTTTTGGTGGAAATTAATAAGATAATAATTGTTTCTGTCATTGAAATAAGGGGGAAGAAGTTGTAAATTAATTGATGACAAGTAACAACACGATCAATTTACAACGATTTTGAGTAATTATTTTCGAATAAATCACGCTAATCGTAAAACAATGACGATACCTATGTGCTCTCAGCAAGATCGGCATGCTCCGATTACCGGCTCAAGACATTCAGATTTGCGTCGCCACCAAGCCTAATCCCGTTCGCCAATTTTTTCGATGGCATGATGCGCCGGTCGAAAGTGAAAACCGGAAAATGGTGTGGCGACAATTCTGAACAGAAGGCGAGATTTCGAAATGTGTTCCCATATGCGGCGATGATTTAAACGCATCGCTTCAATGGTCTCCAAATGCTCCAAAATCATTTTGGCGAGGGGGGGGAGGGGGGGGGCAAGAGAAAAATCGCAATAAAGTTTGCTCATAAAGCACGTCATGAGCAATTAATCAAATACGGTAGCAATAATAAATCAGGAAAATGTCTCAAGTCAAGGTTGAACACGTGCATACACCTTTAACATTTATGGACCCATTCCATCGGGTGATGGCAGTCGAAAATAAAAATTATGAATAAAAATGCAAAACGTTTGCTGGCGGATCAATCAAAGATTCGGCAGGTGTCGGTTACACACAGATACCGTAATTCTATAATTGGGTGAAAAATTTGCTTCTCGCAAATCGTCGCTTATTATCCGATAGTTAACACGCGCGTGTGCGGTCTCTTTAATAACGAACCAATTCATGAAAATCATTTTTTCCAACCAAACATCTATTTTTTTTTGCTCATACGCTGGATGAATCTCAAAATTTCGGCCAAAATGGTGCAAAATTCGAAATTTTGAAAATGAATAAAAGAGAAAATGTTAAATAAAAAGCAGAAATATATAAAAGTCTGTGAGAAAAATTGTGTAAAAACATTGCAGCGAGGTTTGTAAAAACATAACACACGAGGGTTTCGATTCGATATTGGAGCCTATCATCATTTCTTTTAATAAAACAATTAGTCACCTTGTAGGACAAATGTGCGAAGACGGTTAGGATGCCAATGTTAGTACAAGTCGAGATTGTCCTTGGTTTTAAATCATCTGAAAGAAAATTTTCTTAATTTTTTTATAATTCAAAGTGCGAGACGGAAATTAACGATTTTTAACATTGTCGCTAAATGCGAATAATTTTTGTTTCGGACCATTTCCGTTTTTTGTTTCTGTAGAACACCTGCATGTGGACCATGACGATTGTTGATACAATAATTGGAGCAAGTTAATCCGGATTTGATTGCCCACATGTCATATCTCGAGACTTATCTGCCTGTAAGCAACTGCGATGTACCGCTCGCTCGCTCTTGGCTCAACACCAACGGATTACCACATAATTAGCGTGTCTTGCGCGCCGCCGAAGAAACGTCCTCAAGAACTCACGAAATTGGGGGGTTTCGTTGGCGAACCTTCTACGGCCGGATGAGGTAAATGAATAACTTCCGTGATTTGATGTTTTTTTGACGGAGGGATGACATCGGCAAATCCTTGATGATATTTGATCATATCGCCAACACACTAACGTGCCGCCGCCTTCGCGGACACATCGAAACAAATTTGATCGTCGCTCGCACAAACATACCATTAAAAGAGTATTCGAGAGCGAAAAATTTGTGTTCCTTTTTTGCGTCGCTTTTTTTTATTTTAGTTTGCCTGTTCTTCAAACAAAACGCATTGACCATTGACTACCGTCATTGTTGGTTGGCTTCTGTACCCGAAAATGGGCGGTTGGTTGGTGCATTTCGGTACAATGCAAATATTGACACCTACCTAGCCGAAACCGTCTTTTGTTACTTACGGCGTGTAGTCCGTTTGTTGAATATGCCTAAGCTTCTACACAATATTCGTTTTCATCGAGAAATTGCTCGCTTTTTGCACCCGAAAAAATTATTTTGATAGTGTTATCAGCAAACAATTAATGGTTTATTCTAAATTATAATTGCCGCTAGTTCCTCAGCAAATATATAAGACGTTTTTGATGTTTACATTTTATTAATGCACTTAATAATGTACTAATTTACAAAATATAATAAAAAAGGAAAATAATTATTCGAGAAGAAAAAATAAAAAATATATATCGCGTGTTTACGTACCCCTAATGCACAGACTCACATCTACCGTAATCAAGTTAAATAATTAATTTAATTTTTGGATTATCCTCATCGTTTTTACGCTTTTTCTCGTGTTTGCACATTTTTAAATGCAACATTTCCCTGCATTCATCACTATGAAATACCAATTCAGCTCTGGCTAGTGTAAACAAACCGGCAACGTTACTGCAATCTCTTTTCATTCGAAAAAACATTTGATGCCCTTTTGAATGTTAAAACGGCGTCTTTCTCTTCTCATGAAGAAAGCAAATTTGCCCCCCGTTCTACAAATTGTGATCATTTTGTGTCGCATTTTTTTTGCAGGAAACATGACTGAAAAAGAACCGTTGAAGAATAAAGTGGAAGAAGACAATCAGGTGCCAATTTTTTAATTGATATTTCAATGCATTTTTTTAATAATAGGACGGTGATAAAGGCCTTGCCAAATCAATCAGCTTGTTCAGCGGAATTAATGTGATCGTCGGATGCATTATTGGATCCGGAATTTTCGTATCTCCAACCGGAGTTCAAGAACGTAATATTTTATTTAAAAATTTTTTTAACAACATGAAAATTCAGAAGCTGGATCTGTTGGCTTGTCTCTTATCGTATGGCTTACATCAGGATTGTTCACAGCAATCGGAGCCTATTGTTACGCCGAGTTGGGCACCTTAATTAACAAGTCGGGTGGAGATTATGCTTACATCATGGAAGCTTTCGGTCCATTCGTCGCTTTCATCCGCCTTTGGGTCGAAGCAATCGTGGTCCGTCCATGTACGATTACAATTGTCGCTCTTACCTTCGCGATCTATTCGCTTCGCCCATTTTTCCCCCACTGCGATCCGCCAAGTGGTCTCGCTGAACTTCTTGCCATCCTTTTGATTGGTAATCTTCAATTCACAATTAATTAATTAATTATTCTTTCCAGTTATTATTACCGCGATCAATTGCGCCTCAATCAAAGCGACAGTATTTGTGCAAAATTGGTTCACCACTGCCAAGGTGGTCGCATTGGTGCTTATCATTTTCACCGGATTTTATCTCCTCGTTTTTGGTGAGGCAATTGCGAATCAGCGTAAACAACAATTTATTATAGGCTCGCCACAATACAAAGAATCATTTGAAAATTTGTTTGAGAATTCGTCGAAAGATTTGACAAAAGTCTCGCTTGCCTTCTATTCGGGTCTCTTCGCCTATTCGGGATGGAATTTTTTGAATTTCATCGTATCGGAATTGAAGAACCCGAAAAGAGACTTGCCGATTGCGATCGCTGTATCAATCACCGCGTGCACTGTGATCTACTTCCTCACTAATGTCGCCCTCTATACGGCCATCTCTCCCGATGAAATGCTCGAAAGTCCCGCCGTCGCTGTGGTGAGAATCGAATTCAACAATTTCTTGTGCTGAAAAAAATGTATTCTAAGCTGTTCGCTGAGAAATTATACGGACGATTCGCATTCGTGATGCCCGTTTGTGTCGCAATTTCAACAATTGGCTCGGCAAACGGCGTCATTTTTACATCATCAAGGTATGATTTTTGGCTCCCCCCAAATCACATAGCTCAATCATTCTAGATTGTTCTATTCTGGTGCTCTTGAAGGCCAAATGCCGCAAGTTTTGACAATGACAAATAAACAAACGCAAACCCCGATTCCAGCCGTAATTCTCACGGTAATTTAGTCTTCTGAAACTTGAATTTAAAAAATGAATAAGTGTTTCAGGGTCTTTTGTCGATCGCATACCTCGTGATGTCAAAAGATGTGTATCAGCTCATTAATTACATTCAGGTAATTTTGCGATTTGTTGAATCATCGCTAAACTCGATGATATTCAGATTAGCTATTGGCTTGCCATTGGTACCGCCATCGCCGCGTTGTTCCACCTCCGCAAAACGATGCCCGATGCGCCGCGACCAATCAAAGTGCCCCTCATTTGGCCGATCATCTTTCTGGCGGGCTGCATCGCGCTTGTGATCATCCCAATCATCGCGAATCCCCATGACACTGGTAACAATCGACTCGATTCCACCTAATAATAACCCCCACTTGCTTTAAAGGTATTGGACTTCTCATTATGCTCTCCGCTGTTCCGATTTATGCTATTTTCATCGGATGGAAAAATAAGCCGAAGGCTTTCAACAGCGCCATTGGTAAGCTTCTGACAATGTCTTAAAATAATTTCGTTTTTTTTTTCAGATGCATTCACCGTGTTCACACAAAAATTATTCATGGTCGGCGATTATTCGAAAAATCAATAATTTTACGGTTACCAAATTTTCCCTTTTGAAGGTTCAGTATTTTATCGTAATTTGCATTATCAGATAATAAAAATTAGCATAATCCACAAGTTTTTCCGCACAGAATTTTTCGTTTATCGTTCGAATACCATTCCAGCTCGCAAAACTTTTTGTTCTTCCAAACCGCACATCTGGAAATTTTCAATCAAAACTTATACCTTTGTGAAATGTGGGGAAAAACCGATCGGGAAATGCGTCGGCACAACAATTCTGACATTTAAGGCATTCTGAAGAAGGAGAAATTGTTGTGTTGGTCTCGTAGCTATGCATTGAGAGGAAGCATCGGTGTCTTGTGACGACGTCGCATCCATCACAAGCTGGACTCGAAGTGGCGGCTGACGTCGTCTTTGAGGCGCCACGTGGCGGCTTGGTGGTTTTTAAAGGCGCAGAGCAGCAAAATTTGCCACCTTCACAAGTTTTCGTGGTGTCTTCACACGACTTTCGCCCCAAGAATCCACTTTTACATGCTGAACAGTAATAGCCTATATAAGGGATTCGTGGGAGGAACTCACGAATTTTCGAGACTTCACCATTTTGACATTTAAACGTTTCCTGACTGATTGCTAAAATGACGAGCGATGAGAATACAATAAATTGTTGCATATTCATTATGAGGTGGAATCAGTGGGAGGAAGAAAAATATCGAAAAATATTATTCTTGACACATTTTTAAATAATCGATAATATTTGTCCAGCTGATTTCTTTATTTGTACTCGCGAAAATAACAAAAACAAGTAGGTCAAACGAGAAACGCGTGGGGGTCGCCGAGAGCAAATATGCGGTGATGAGATATCGACGGTAGGAGAGCATTCGAGCAGGTCTGAAATGCACAATGAGAGGCATGTCTGATATAAGCTGTTGATGGCATGCAAATCGAAATTCTTATATTTGAATATACTATATTTTGAAGGTTAGAAAAATTTGAAAAAAAATTGAAAAAATGCGGTCAGGCCGAAAATGCGTGTATACACAAGTACGCAAAGTTGCACACATTTGAATTCTTGTTCGAAAATGATTTTTTTTTTCAAGTTTTTGCCGAAGAAAATAAAAACTAAAAAAGAGATAATTTTTTTCTAAATTCGTCGATTGAAACATTTAAACTTTTCTTTCTTTTTTTTAAATTTGTGAACACCTGATAGTAAACGCGTCTCGCGCTATATTTCCCATCATTTCCGGCCAACTTCTTCAGAAGCCTCTCGGAAAATTCCATATTTTCTTTTAGAATGTAAAAGTCCACCGATCTTCGATATATAGCGAGTGGATCCTCGTCAAATTCAAAATCTTCTTCAGGATTCTGGAATCGGATTTGTATTTTTAAAATTGCGAGAATTCAATTACATAAAAATCTTTCAAGCAATTTCGAAGGAGCACTTCGGCAATCTGACAATCTTCCGCATACAATGGGCTAATCATGAGATCCGGCAGCGTATCTTTTTCATTTAAAATATTGCGCTGCATGGCGATTCCAACGCAATCCCCCTAAATTGTTGGCAATTTTCTGATGGGGGATGAATCGAATTTGAACCTCTCTGAATGCGCAGATCAATTTCGTCGACAAATTCGAATACGAAATGTTCCAATTGACATCAAGGCTCGTCACCGATTTTGAGAAGTCGCTCACTTTGCCAAAATCGATTTGGTCCAATTCTGACGAATTTTTTACTATTACGCCAGGTAGGGTCTCCTGAACACGAAAATTGAAGGTGGGGAGTCAAATTTCAAACAATTCGCCGCGTACGATCAACTCCGGAAATCCTGACGAATTTTCGACGCGAATTTTCAATATTTCTCGCGCCATTTTTGGTGACATGCCCAATTTCAGAGCACTCGGAAGGAGATAAAACGCTGAAATGAAAAAAAAAATGAACAACTGCAAAAATTTCGTGTTTGAAATTGTCGATTACGAGCGTTTATCGAGACTTCCGGGAATTGGCGCATGATTTCAGCGAGCATTTTGCCGCCGATTCCGACATGCCGAAATTCCTCCATGACGAAATGCGCTCCGATGTGTGTTATTTTCCCATTTTTGCACAATAATGCCGCTCCAATCACTTCGGAGCCTTTAAGTAATTATTTTAATGGAAATACGTTCATCCAATGGGGGGCTTTACGAATATTTTTAGCCACTAATAATTGAAGTGGTCCCGATTGCGATTCGAACATTCGAAACGAATTGGAATCGAGCATAAATTCGTTGCGATACCACATTTCTTCAACTATCTGTAAAAGAAATTTAAAAAACTTTAATTAGTGAAGAATTAAATTTATCGTTGACTGTTTTTTTTTTAATGTGTGTACGGTATAATGCAATGTACGCAGTTTTGCGTACGTCTCGCTGCATTGGCACAAAAATTATTTTCGCTTGACGCCGACAACCCTATTTTATTAAAGCAATTAAAAAAATAAAATTTAGACTCGCAACGATTCAAAGACTATAAAATAATTTGAGCTTACCTCATCCCATTCATCTTTTCCACCCCAATAGAGTCGAAACCAATATCCGTTTTTTGTGTACGCTCCAACCCAAGCGTCGCCAACATTTCTCGGAAATCCATGGTTTATTGCGCTCTTCATCGGATACGGCAGATTGAATTTCGGATTCATCGATTCAATGATCGCATCGATCGGTGGCAATTCGTCTTCGGTCGGCCACATTGTCATATAAGGGAATAATAAGACGAATGTTTGCACGACTGACAATGGGCGGAGAATTGTGAGCGAATTGGTATCATTTGCGACGCAAATTGCCTGCAATTTTTCCTCCCGCAGAATATTGTTTGCTCGAGTCAAAATTATAAAAAGTGCGGTTTTGTCGAAATATCAAACACAATTCGATTAATGACAATAAGTTTATTGGACTGTCAACTCGAGAGCCACAACACAATTGAGATCGACATTTGGTGAATTGCTAGAAACTTATTGATTGGATGAAGAGAGACAGAGAGACAGAGAGAGAGAGAGAGATTTGTTTCGAGACCACATTATTAAAAAAATAATTATTTATTTTCTTCCGAATCGAATGAGCGGCGCTCCCGAGGCGCGTCCAAAACGGATGAGCGGAGCGCCGTCGGAGCGACCGAAGCGAATCAGCGGCGCTCCTGCGGCGCGGCCGAAGCGTATCAACGGCGCTCCAGCGGCACGCTTGCCGAACCGAATAAACGGCGACGCTTCTGGAGCGCGTCCGAATCTGAAGCCGGCCAATTGAATTGAGCTCTCAAAAAACGCGTTCAATACCGTATCAGTGGAGCGGTGGGCGATCGTTTGCCGAAGCGGATGAACGGCGACGCTTCGGGAGTGCGGCCGAATCGAATCAATGGTGCCGTCGGCGCTCGTTTGCCGAATCGAATAAGCGGCGAGTCCAAACCCTAAAACAACAACATTAATTTGCAATCGCCCTCGATTTTCTGCGGTTTGAACACACGTCCATTGAGCGCGTCGGTCGTTCGCTTCGCTTCATTTCTGAAAATCCAAATCGAATACTTCGAGATTTTTTTTCGCTCACCGTCGACAAACGTAACGTCGGGCGTCTGCTCGACAAACTCCAATTCATTGGCATAGCTCGCCGCGAAGATTAGCGGAATGACGAGGAGCGACGAGATCATCGTGTCCTCTTCCACCCAAACGCAATAGTGTAACCGAGTTTGAAGCGAGGCGGCTTAAAATTGACATATTGAGGAATGGGGGTGGTAAAATGGCAAAAGAATTGGCGATCGAATGAGCCGGAACAATTCGGAGAGCTTGTTGCTCCGCCCCACAGGGCCGGTGTGATTTCATTAATTCATCAAACAAATTGAATCGAAATTCAATTTGTCTTCATTGTTTTTCCAATTTGTCCTTTTTTTCATATAGCCATTGAGCAAAAATTTGTAGAAAAGAGGAAGAAGTAATAAGAGCGATTTTTCTTTGACAAGTGAAGTGGTCCAACCGGGGGAGAAATGAGCAAGTGGGGCTGAATTTGCATTTTTTTCGGAGGGTCTGGGGGAGGTGGGCAATCTTCAAGGACTCGCCCTCCTCCTTCCTACCCGATCAAATTTCATATCCGGAAATTGGTTGGTATTCTCGTCTGATTACGTCGATCAAGAATACGACTAATTTCCTGAAGTGGTCGAGATTCGGGAAAGATGGCATACAAATTACCCACTCGCGCGATATATTGAAACCAACAATGACGAAATCGCTTCGAAAATCAAATGATTTCATTTTTTTGCGCTTCGCCCCGCCTCCCCATCCAACTCCGAATGAATGTTGGTGGCACATTGGGTCTCGTCACGCAAATCACCTACAGTAATCGCAAAAGCGACACGAATAAGCATTAGAGCAAATTAATGGATTTTATTGGCAAGAGCGAAGTACAACATTTGAGATACTTGTTTTTTTTTCAGTATACACAACAATAAGCTACTCTATTGGCATTTGACCGATTTCGGCTCGCCGATTCCTGTCACAATTCCGAGCATCTGCAAAATCGCATTTCAAATTTCATGACTAATTAATTATTTGAAAAAAATTACTCTCTGCAGCGATTGGTAGACGTGACTCGTTTCATAGTCGCCGGTGCCATAGAATGTGAACTGGTCCGGTGCCGCATACTTTCGTTTGATTCGTTTTCTTCAAAGAAAAAAAAATATATGGAAATACAACTAATGATGTCATAAATTTTAAAAATTTCTCGATTCTCTGGGCAACTTGTTGTTGACGCGAATCGTATATTTGAATAGCATTTTTATGGCGCCGCTTTATTTTTGAAATGGGGATCAGAGAAAATATAAGCAATATTACTGTAATTTACAACAATTTGATATGCAGATTTTTAATTTACACAGTTTCAAGAAATTAAAAAGTATAAACAAACTATATAATTGGGCACTAATTTCCAAGACATACGTTTGAAAAAAAATCATTGATGTCTTCCTACACACTGACGCAATTTTGCACACATTTCATTTTACACAAATCAATCACATTTGAAAGTGATTTTTTTAATCTTTTGACTTAAATGAAAGGAATATTGATTTCAAATGATTAAAAAAATTAATTATCGATTTTCGCAAACCAATTTTGACAAAATTTGAAAAATGAGTGCGCAACAAAAATTTTGCACAAAAAAATTTTTAAACCAAAATTCGAACTCCTTCAAAAAATGCGCGAGCTCGTTTAACATTTGTTTTTCTGTCGAAAAACCTTTATATAAACCTCAGTGTCATTTCCGGATTGAAAATGAAATCGAACATCATATAAACCCAACTATCGTGCGTTCTCCAATCTCTATAATATTCCGGAGCGATTTGGCGAACCTGAATTGAAACAAAAAATAAATCATCCACAAATTTCTGCACTAATCGTCGTCGTGTTGATTTACACGCCTCGCTAAGGTCTTTGAGCGAAATCGCTGAGCCCTAGTGAAACGCACGCGCGTAAATCAACACCCAATGCATGATGAATCAAAAAATTTTGAAGAAGCTTCATACCTTTGGCAAATTTGCACCGGTGATGTAGGGAAAATCGTGGTGCTCGACATGATAGCCAACATTAAACACGACCATATTAATAGGACCATAATAGCTACAAGAGGTTGAGTTGGGAAACGTCGGTGCCAGAAGTGATCGATGAAGGCTCGTGCGATTGAAATTAATAAATAAATATTACCTGTACGTTTCTTGGCCCTTCTTGAACACATAGTGCTCCGAAACAAAATGGCCCGCGCATGGATGAAGCCCCATTCCGAGCACAAGACCGCCGAAAAGATACACCAGCGACTTTGGGCCGAATTGGGTGTAGATGAAATAATTGAACGACAACTCCAAAACGATATTGATCAACTCCAAATCGGTCATCGCTTTCGGATAGATCATAAACGGCCGAATTCCGTAGAACACCGGCTGCAAGCACATCCATACGAGTTTGCCGAGCCACGTCTTGAAAATGTTCGCCTCGATTTCGGTGGGCACGTCGGTATCGATAATATCTTCGCCTGCAAAATAAATTTTGGTTTTCTCTCGCAATTCAAAAATCGACCTAGATTTCGATGATGCTCAAGATGATATTTTTTGAAAGAAATTGACATCGGAATTCCCATCGGAAGATTGGCGATGAATCCGAAAAGGCGATTCTGCAAACTAATTTTCAATCAATAAAATAATAGGGTCCTACCGCTAGCGGCCGATTTGTACCAAACGCTTGATTATGACTAATTTCATGTACAGCTAATGTCAGCGAATGATTAATTGTTCCCGAAACGACATAAGCCTGCAGGAAAACTAAAAGCCAATCAGAATCTGAATGAAATGAGCTCAATGGTTTTGAATATCATGATTCATCTGATACCTCGAAGCAAATAGGCGAACACAATTTGCGCGATGACCATCGAGATCACCACCGGTCGAAACGCCGGGTCCTGACCGAACAGCTCTTTGATTTCGGGATATTTCGCCAAAATTTCTTTTCGCCTACAATCAACAATTAAAAATCAATATTGAATGAATTGAAAAATTTGCCTCGACGCGTGCGGCTCCTGTGTGTAAGCCCACGCGAAATCCTCTTCTTTCGCCACCGATTGGCCCATTTTACCCACCCTGCAAAAAAAATGAAAAAGAAAAAATTAATAATAACAATGCGACCAATGCAATCACTAATATTTCGGGAATTACTCGAAACCATCGTTTTATCACGTCAATCACTCCATATCATCGCACTATACGACGAGATGATAAAACGTCGCAATAAAAAAAGATAAATATAAGAGTGGACCGGAAACCTGCTCATCAGCTACTTGTTTGAAAAAAAAAACAATTTTCATTTCAACCAACAATTCTATTAAACAAAATCTAATCTATTATTATATAATAGTCGGCGTCGTCCGGTCGGGTATATTTACGGGCATGGTCTCGAGCCGACTAATCGGCTATTTTTCATTCTACGGCCATTTTTGAAATTCAAGAGTTAAAAAAATCAAAATTTCACAGGAAAATTGCAAAGCTTTAAAAGACCCATTCCCGTAAATCTACCCAACAGACACTGACTATACTAAAACAATAATTATTAAGCAACAGCGGCTACGAGCGGCTCATCATCATTGCCTTCCACCTTTTTCTCCTCCTTCTTCTTCTTCTTGTTCTTTCGTTTTTCAATCTGAATCATAGAATAATCGAGCTTTAAAGGAACATTGAAAATCAACCTTCTCAATTTCCTCTTCCGATGGAACTGGAAGCCATTTCGAAACATCGATCGCGTAATGCTCATCGCCGGGAATCGTCATGAGCAGAGCGCGATTCACAAACGGTCCGAGAGCCGGATTTCGATGACTACACGCCGCCGCGATTACGGTGCCAATGTTCGCTTCGATCTCCTCATTTGGCATTGATAATCGACCGACGACGCAATCGCTCAAACCCCAATTCGGATACACCGGATCGCTTTTGATGTTCAGCTTCACACCATTTTTGAATTTCTCGATCAATTCCGGAAGATTTTCACCGAGGCCGCCTGCAACATTTGAGAGTTTTCTTTTTTTTTGGCGGGCGTTCAAACAAACCATTGGCTCGTGTCGGGAATCGAGTTTTCAAGATGCCTCGAAGCGGCAATATGAACGATGCCATGTCGATGTGCGCCACACAGAAATCATAATCTTCGGTGCGAAATTGGCCCTTGATGATTTTCTTGATCATATCTTGTCCCAACGACATCTCGGCGCCCGATTCCAACGCCAATTCTTGCAATTTTGGGTCATTAACGAACGCGAGAATTGTTCGTTTTTCGTTGTGTTTGAACGGAAATGGCACCGGCACAATTTCGTCACTACTTTGAACCATTTTTGTCTTAAGCAATGCATTATAGATTTAAAATGTTCAATAAATTTGTACTTGTCGCTCGGTAGTCATATTCAATTCGAGACGCATTCGAACGGGAGCGTTGGGATTGTTATAAATACTTGGCTGCTGAAGTTCGCGGTGCATTTCAAGCGCTTCGCCGACAGAATAGAATTGCGTTTTGAAATGATTTCTAGAGAAAAATATATAAAATATTTTGCAAAACTTTGAAATTCACTTGATAAATACATCAAGAGTAGGTTTTTCCGGCAGATTTGCTTCATCTTCAGCGGCAAAACGACCAGGAAATTGCTGCGATGGAGAAAGTCTGCAATATTTCAAACAAAAATCCAATTTAAATATATTTAAATCGATACAAATTCTTCATTCGTCTGATATTGATTCGTTCCATAAATGAATATTGTTTTCTGGCCGCCTCTTTTTCTTCTCGTTTTATCCTTCGTTCAAGTTTTTGCTGTCTAGTCATTGTTTGCTTCAACGCACGCTTACGCCCTAAAGTTTTCAATTTCAAATTGCTGTTTTCTTGGATTTCTAAAAAGAAAACCTCGAATTTGCATAATTTCCGCCGATGTTGGCCTTAACACCGTTGGATACCATATTGAGCCCAGTTGATTCCGTAATACGGACAGCATCTGATAGTTGGAATGAAAAATTTTAAGATGGACTATTTAAATAATCTAATCTGCACTAACAGTACAAAATAATTGAAAATGAAATTCATCGAAACGTTTATTAATAAATATAATATGGAATTAATCGCGGACTAGTACAGGGGAATGATGAGAAACGATCAATATACATGGACCATGCCGTAGAAGAATACCCATAAAAGAACAAAAGTGAGCAATCCGTTTCCATGCGACCATGTGAATTGGCTGTTTTCCAGGAAATAATGATGCCAACCGCCTGAAGCTTTTGCACTCCAAATTAGTCCCTGAAAATAAGTTATTAATCAAATGCATGCACATATTTTTTTCCGGCCTACCTGCAAAACGACAGTAGCAAAGTACAAAATGAATCCTGAGAATCCGGTGAGGCCAAGAATTCCGGCGGCTATTCCGGCGGCACAAGATTGACACGTTCTTCCAAATTCTAGCGCTTCCAAGTTGCTTGCCATTGCAACGGCACTAAAAGAAATTTGCATAATTTATTTTATTATTAAGTGGACGAATTACTTGAAAGCTTCATCCAATGGTTTCTCATTTTTGTTTTTCTGAACCGACATTATGCTGAAAATAAATATATTATTAACAAATCAGAAATGCATCGGGGTTTTCACAAAAAAACGATAATTTGCATTTTCGGTCCGCAAAATATCGTTTAGTAGCACAGTGCGCTAGAGCGTACATGCTCATCTCGTTACGTATATTTTCAATTTTCCTGATTTTTTTTCCGATTTTCTGCCCAATTAGCTCAATTTTTAAAGTTTGATTTTATTATTCAAATCAATTCAGATGTTACGATCATGCTTGAGGATTGAATCAACGTTGGAGAATAGTTGTAGAACCATTTCTACTTCATCATGCTTATTAAAAAATAGAGCCGGCAAATATAAGGCAAATAAAATCAATTAAAATATTAACATAAACACAGCTGTATAAAAAATAAAATTCAGGCAACCGTTAATCGTTCTCAGCTGTTGACATACGAAATGGCTCAGAAGCCCCATCACGTCGGTGTTCGAAAATCATGGCTCACATGGCATTCGCAAAACTTGGAAGGTTTAAAATGTTTTCAATGTTAATTAGCAAAAATGTGTTTGTTTCAGGCTTTCGTCAATCTCAACCGCTCGTCGTTGCCCAGGATGAAGTCGTTCGAAGATTTATTCGCGGCTTCTTTCCCCAAAATGTAGTTGTCAGTGGAAACGAGGTGAAAAAATTTCGAAACCAATAATCAACTTCATCTCTCAATTTTTAGATTGTCATAAAGAGAAGAGGCAACGTATTAATCGTTGCCGGGTTCCTTCAATATTCGCGACGTCTCGATATCCGAAGAATCTACTGGATGTTTGGATTTGCTGAAGAATTCCTCTCCATCCTTTTGAAGCAGCCCGTCAAGCTCGAATTGTCGTTTGTTGAATCCGAAGCAGACGTGGCATACAACTATATTTAGATTTGTATATTTCCTTTTTATAGTTTAGATTATGCGATTTGTTGATTGTTTTAATAAATGACTCCCTGAAAAAATTGTGACTCCATCAGACCCCATCACAAATCGATAAGAGAGCACAACTGATAGCGCCTCGTCTCCATCCACCTGTTACTTATTTGCTCCGTCCTTTAAACTATATAATTCGACGGTGCGCATACACACACACATCAAATGATAAAGACCATTTTGATAATTTGAATGGAAGATTCGCGACGTTCAACGGACCCGCCCAAAGAAATCGCGGGTAGGTCATGCGCAGTAAGTTGTCAACTGTTTTCCACCGTCGCCTCCGCGATTTATTCAGGTGTGCTCGGACAAGGCCAACGGCTACAATTTCGGCGTGCTCTCGTGCGAGTCGTGCAAGGCATTTTTTCGGCGAAACGCTGCAAAACGAAAAGTAATTGGCAATCATTTGGACAAGTCAAAGCAAAAAAAAAAACAATTTATTGCAAACAATAGGAAATAAAATGTCCATTTTCGAATTCGTGCGAAATCACATCGGCGTCACGCAAATTCTGTCAAGCTTGCCGCCTCAACAAATGCATTTCGGTGATTGTCATGTCGAAACAAAAAAAAAACAAAGACCCCTTAATTGGGTTTAGGTCGGAATGAACAGCGAATGGCTAATTGAAGGCAAAAACAAAGTTGGGAAGATTAAACGAAAACGAAATGAGAGTCCAGTAATTCATCAATCCCCTTATCAATTGAGGTGACGTCGTTTTAGGGCTCGACTGTTGAGAAAGAAGACGATGAAAATGTTACAATTCCAAAAGCATTTCTACAGAAATTAATGAAAAATGCCAAGTTCAATTTTTCTGTTTAAAAACAAAATTAAGGGACCCACTCCTTTATTTTTTAGAGCCCCTTCGTCATGCTCATGCAGCTGCACTTGTGGCTTTTATCCAGTTGGCACAAAATTGGTGGCTGCACCTCAAACACCAACACCATCAAGTTTCGATAAATACTCGGCTGTCAATTCGCCATCGTCTATTATTGGATATTCACCAATGGCGTCGACGCGACCCGCCAATTCGCCAATTGTTCCGTTTCCGATTCAATGCTCGCCGCAGCCAAGTCGGTTTTGCTTATGAGCCGATCAAAATCGTACAATTCTAGTGTTTCCTCAATTTATGCAACAAACGGCATTTCATTCCACATGGCCTCCACAACCAACATTCACTACTACTACAACTACAGCTAATTGCGCATTTGTGGTGAATCCCGAAATATCAGCATTGTGAGAAATGATTTTGTTGTAAAAAATCATTTTTTAGCCTATTAGGGTGTCTAATAAGGTTTCCATGAGGTGCGGGTGGCCGCCGCTCGAATCTCGGTGGTGGCCGTGAAAAAGTTAGGCCATAAAAAACTTCCGCGAAAAAATTCGTTAAGCATTAAGAATTTTTAGAATATTCTACAGTGAAACGTTATGAGAGCGTTCTTTTTCTCACCTTGATTGGATATACAATTTGGACCATCTATGGTTGAAAAATTAACGCGGTCAAACATTCGCCCGCATGGAAACCCTAATGGGGGTCGTACAAAAAAAAAATTAGTTTTTCCTGCGTTGAAATTTTCTTCATTTTACTATTTTAAATTTTATTTCAACTCAATCCCTAGATCCCCACTTTTTTCCAATTTTTATTCTGAAAAAGTCTAAATGGGTTTTAGAGGGGTCCGAATTTGAAAATACAACAATATGTGTAAATATTCTCGATAACTGGACTTATTAAAATTTTTCTATCCTTTTAAAAATCACTTTAAAACTATACAATAATACAAGTTAATCAATATTTGGAATCATTTTCTGATTTTTTTTGGTATATAATTGATATATGAAAACGTGATAACACTTATGAGCTCCAAATTTCAGCACATCAGTTGTGCCGAGCTTCACAGCCCCGCAAGATTGTGCCAAAAAATCGGTGATCAAAGAAAACACATTTGTTGACGATGGCGTTTTGCAGGAGATCCGAAGAAGTTGGTGTGATTTCGTCGAAATCGAGAATTCCCAAAAAAATTGCAGAAATCGACAAATATCGCGGTGTGCTGTCGATCGATGAAATGGCGCTGCTCGAAGTCGACGAATTCGAAACTCATGTCTAATTTGAAATTCGATTTTCTTGCAGGAGCTTCACGTGTTGAATGAGCCACTCAAATATCCGCTCGAGAAGAATTATAATCAAGAATCGTTGCAGGTTTCGATTTCATTGTATCGAAATTTGCAAGTCGAATCGGGGTTTAGGGCGTCGTTCAAATTGTTCAAGAAGCTCTCCGACGAATTATTTCGATGACGGCACAGTTGAAGGCGTTCAGAGAATTGGGCTATGAAGATCGCAGGCAGCTAGTTAAGAGCGGCTTTTGCGAGCTGCTGATTGTTCGAGGTATTATGGCCTATAATAAGACGAATGCCACGTGGAATCATAAATTTGCAACGGTAAGTATTGATTGTTTCCGGCAAACAAACAATGCAACGCAGCTATCAGAATCAATCGCGACAAGACCCACCGCATTTTACGCGTTATGCGCCTTTAATCAATGATTTCGTTTATTGGTCGCCAATGTTCAGTGACTCATGATTTTTGACTCATAAAAATTGTATCATAATTGACAAATTCTTTTTGACTAATGATTTTCTGATTTTTTACTGCTTGAGATTCATGATGTTATTACTGAATGGGGGAAAGAAAATTCAGAAAAGACGTTATATTAAAAAAAAAATAAGACATTGTTATACTTTGAGAAGTTTTGTGAAAGCTGTTTTGTTAGAAGTACCATTTTTATGCAGTTTTGACGGTATAAATGATCTATTGAAAATTTCAATAATTGATTAATTTTTAAGTGTTTTTAATAAATATGATATCGAATATAAAATATGTTTAGTTGTTTTCATTAAACTAACGGAGACTAATAACAACATCAAACTACTACTACTACAGGAATCTCAAGTAAAAAAAAACTTTAGAAATTCATTATTCAAAAATTTTTAGTTAAAAAGAATTAGTCAAAAATCATGAGTCAAGTCAAAAAGTATGAGTCACTGAATATTGGCCTTTATTTGTTGAAAATGGCGATCGCATTGAGTTGCCGTAGAACTAAGTGTTTAGTACGCAATACACCAAAACCACTTACCGTAGTCCGCGCAAAAAAATTTTTTATTTTCACATTTTCTTTCGGTGTTAAAAAAAAAACATTTTTTTCCTTAAAAAAAATTGAAATTTCTCTATTTTTTATTTTGTTTTAATTGTAAAAAAATTAATTGAAAATAATTAAAAAATATTTTTCTTTTTATTGAAATTTCGATATTTTTCTTTTTTTTTTAATTACAAAGTTTTCTTTTTAATTTCTGAAAGTCTGAGACTAAAATTTTCTTTATAAATAATTTTTTTTAGTTTTGAAAAATTCTAGAAAAAAAAAACTGACAATAATAATTAGCAATTTTCTGTTCGGTGTACTGCGTACTTAAACACAAGAATCGACGATACCTCAAATTTCATTTCAATTTTAAATATAATTTTTAAAAAGTAAAAAAAAGAGTTTCAAAATTGGACACAAAAAGCGCCGAAATTATAGACAATTTGAAAAGCTTTCAAATTTCGCAAAAAATCATTTTTTGTTTTGATTACTGTAATTAAAGGCGCATGCCATTTTGAAAGTTGAGTCTCGCCGCGACCAATTCTCAAAGCCATCGCTTGTTTTTTAAGGAATTCATTTTTGAATTTTTTTAATGAATGAAAAATTTTTTAGAACAACATGGAAGTGAAATTAGACGTTCTCAAACAGGATCCCAAATATGTGGCTCATTATAAAGTTCATAAAAAGTGTGTTTCATATATAATTTAAATATTGAAAATACGGAATTCTTGTAGACTTTTGGACTCATTTAGCGATGAGATTCGAACAAATGAAAGTATTATGCTGATATTCAACGCAATTGTAATATTTCATCCTCGTAAGTGTCGTCGCGAGATGCGAAATGAGAGCGTCGATCAATTTCCAGGCGTCTCGGACCTCAAGGAAAGCCACAAGGTCCATCAAACGCAGGCAGCGTACTTCAAAATGCTGCTCAGGTTTGTCGAAAAATTCGCCGCCACCAATTCCGGGTTCGATTCCATTCAGCGTGTTGAACTTCGAGTTCTCCGAGGAAAAAGCCAACGACTGCTACAAAAAGCTTCTCGATCTTGTTGTTGACCTACATATGGCTAATCAAACAATGCTTCACGTTTTTTACGGTTTCGATCCGGCGCGACTCGATCCGCTCGTCAAAGAACTTTGCGATTTCACTTGATCAACTATTTATTTCAATTATTACAAATTTGTATCTCGAGTCAACAAAATGCGTTATTAATTAGAAGAATCGAATTATTGCACAAGGTGGGTGGTGAATACACGTAAAACAACGAATTTGAATTAAACAAACAACAATCTCAAATTAATTTTTTGCGAATTTGATTACAAATTACTCATCGGCCAGATATTTTTCACACTTGGCGACGTAGATCTTCACTTTTGCGCAGGTAAGAGCTGGATAGTAATTCTCGATGAAGTAGCAATGCTCTGGAAGAAAAAATGATGAATTTTTTGCGACATCGTCATTTCAGGTCGCGGCGCAAAATCGCGTATTTTCAAAAATCAGTTTCCCAAAATGCCGCAGTTTTAAAGGCGCATTGGGACGCCTATTCAAAGGACCGTACCATTGGCAAAATCAGCAACATTGTCGAACAAAAATTGCTTGGCAAAGCTTCTGAGATTCAAGCATTGCTGACGAGTCACCAAAACCTTCTTGGTCCGTCTCGTCTTCCTCTTCAATACGATCGGAGCTTGGGTTGTTGTCGTCGTCGGAATCTCCTCCTCCTGCTCCTTCTTGTCATAGTCCTCATCGCTTTTGGTCATCGCCGACCGAATTCGCTGCATCACCTTCTTGTGGATCTCCATGTCGAGCAGCTTCTCCTTCTCGTCGGGCGTCATCTCATCGACCGCCGGTTTTCGCACATGTCTCGTCGGGCTGTCGCTTTGAAGGTTCACGCGTTTCTCCTGGACCTCGTCGACGTCGGCGAACGTTTGCGCGAAATCCTCCGACGGCGGCGCGACACTCGGCGCCACTTGCGTTTTGTATTGCTCCTCGTAGAGTTCGGCAAACTTGCGAACCTCCTTCTTTTTCGCCTCCTCCAATTTCTTTTGATGGAGCTTCCTTCGCTTCTTCAACGCCTTCTTCACAACCCGCCTTCTCTTCTTTGGCGGCTCGGTGACGTCGTCAACATCGGCGGCGACTTGCTCCTTGTACGAATCCTCGAAGTGTGTTGGCTGGTGCTTCGGCTTAATGGTGCGCACGCGAAGCTTCCCCTTGAGTCCCTCGTCCTCGCCGTCGCCTCGTTCGACCTACAATGAATCAAAAATTGAGGTTGGAAGGATTTGATGGCGATTCACGTCTGATTGAATCGCGAAAGGCTTCGTCACCGCGATGGTCTTCGACGCGAATTGTCTCGAATGCAATGATGGCGATTTTTTTTCGACGCGCGCGATTTTCGAGATTTTTCGTCGCGGAAAATGGCGTCGATGCGGCTAAAATATCAACTAGCAAAACAAAAAAAAACCGCCAAATCGCTGATACCTTCACACTTTCCTCTGTCGTCGTCGTCATTTCTTCGGTGGTTGTTGTCGGCGGCGCTTCGGTGGTGGTGACGGCTTCTGTGGTAACCTCGTCGGTTGTCGTTGTGGGGGCGGTTGTCGTTGTCGTTGGCGGCGTCATCGTCGATGGAAGACTGAACTGATCAAACACGTTCACCATTGGCGGGAATGTTGGCGCAACGAAGTTGTTCTGCGCGTCAGTCTTCTGGAAAAAAAAAATCGAGGAACTGCGCAAAATTTTTGAACGTTTCTGAAAACCCTCGCAAGACCCACCGCATTTTACGCGTTATGCGCCTTTAATCAATGATTTCGTTTATTGTTTAAAAATGGCGATTGCATTGAGTTGCCGTAGAGTCAAGTGTTTGGTACGCAATACCCCAAAACCATTTTTTTTAAATTTTTTTTAATTATTAAATTTTTTTTAATTGCTGAAAGTCTCAAAATTATTTTTTTTAAATAATTTTTTTTATTTCGAAAAATTCTAGAAAAATTTTTAAAAAACTGAATGCAAAATGCGCTATCGATTTTTAAAGACCAATTTGAAGGAAATTCGAATTAAAGGCGCACATGGGGGCGAAGCTCGATCAATTTGTTGCGAGAAAATTAAAAAAAATTGCGTTAAAGTCCGCAAACACCGCACCGCTTACGACAAATCACGGAAAAAATTCAAAACGGCGATTTTTGTTAGAAGAAATTTAATTTTTTTTCATATAGATTCTATATTTTAATTGTTTTTGTTTAAATTACCACAGTCTTGATTTGCATTTTCTTCTGCTCGGGCACCGGCATTTCGCTGAACAGATTTTGAGCAACAATTCGCGACGTTCCATCGCCATTTTTCAAGAGCACAATTTGCTCGAACATTCTGCAAAATACACGAAATCGAATCGAATTGATTTTGGTTTTCGAATGGCTCGCCGAGCTTACGTCTTGCCATCCTTGACCACCGGCCGATAAACAATCTCGGTTTGCGGATTCTGGTTCGAAGCGGTCGGCTCAATCATCGGCCTAAAGTCGAAAGTAAATGTTTTGTTATTGTTTGCCCCCCTCGCATCTCTCGAAAAACCGGCTTGCGAGTGGTGCGAGAAGCGAGATCTCGGAAGACCGTGATTCGATCAAGAATGTTGTCATCATCAAAAAAAAACCCGATGAATTAAGAAAAATGCGAATTAGCCAAAAAAAACAACAACAACAAACATTCGAAGGCCGGGCATCTCGAGTGGATTTGGCAACGGGACAAGCGGCGGAACGGTCATCGCATCTTGTTGCGGCTGCTGAATGATGCGTTGGGCTTGCGCTTCGCGAATCGCGTGGCCCGTCGCCGAGATGAGTCTAGAAAAACAAAATTCGAACGCCTGCATCGAATCAAAATAGGGCTCACTCGGAAATTGAGAACAGCTCGTCATTCTTCTTCTCTTTTGCTGGCGATGCTTTGAATTCCTTCTTCTCTTCTAGAGCGTCGTCAATCTAGAAATAGAAATTGTTTCGATCAATGAGAAGATGCTCGCGATACCGTTTTGAAGCTCGGCGCTTCTTCTTTCTTCTCTTCATGCTTCTCCGCCTGTTTCTCGGGCTCCGTCGCCGTGTCGGCCATCAATCGATTCATTATGTCAGCTGGCAGTTTGAGCAACGATTTGTAGACGTCGGTGGCCGGCGGACGGCTCGGCGACGCCTCGTCCGATTTTGACGCCGTCGTCGTCGCCACTTGAACGCTCTCATTCTTCGCCAACATTTCGGGCGTCTCTTTGATGGCGTCAATCGTGTCCTGGAGAGCGAAAAAAAAATCACGTGCGATAAATGAATGATGGCGATAATTGTTACCCTGACAAGTTCGCGAACATCGATGAAATGATCGTCGGCGAGCGCGAGAGCCGCCAGCAAGACGAGAGCAAGACACGACAGCTTCATACCTTAAACGGAAGTGAATTCGAATGTGTGGGGAGGGCGCGAACAAGGCAAACGCGTCAGCGGTTACGCTCAATAAAAATCGACCCGAAAAAGTGCACTCGATCCGGACATCCGATCCATCTAGGTGGGAAACGCACGGGCTGGGGGTCAAATGCCAATTACCAATTAAAAGAGGGCGAGTTGATTTAATTGCTTGATGGTGGTTGGGGAGGGGGGGGGCAAGATTCCCTATTTGGATGAATGGCTTGATGAAAAGCGATAGTGTCGAAAATTGAGCGAAGATTTTGACGAGATAAATTTTTGCGAGTAAATTTCCACACGCGTCGAGAATACGCAATGTCCATATACATATCGATATCGAAATTAGTGAATTGAGGAGGCGGAGAGGAGGGGAAGGGGGAAGGCGGTGTCGAAGACAACAAAAAAAAATAAACGGGAAACACGAAAAAGATGTCTCGATCAAGTTTCGACGACCACCACCACGGCTAGCTTTCGCCGCAGTGATATGCGAACGAGAATATCGCGATGGGTCGCCGATTAGGCGGGCCGTGTTGAAACAAGCGAGTTTCGAATGATAATAATTGAGTCTCGAGAGAAGCGGCGAAAGGGGGAAAAAACAACAACAACAAAGGGGAAATGCGAAGAGAATGAAAAAAAAAACACAAAAATGATATGATAGCGAGAACGGGATTCGAAGCCGAGAGACGATCTGTGCATCGAAGGTGTCCGGAACTAATTTTTGTTGTTGATTTGTTGATTTTGTTCGACATTCGTGCCGCTCAAATTTACCCTTACCTCAAAAACCACAACTGCTTGTCAAATTAGGGTATAAGCTCGATATAATATCCCATTATTTCATTCCATATATTTGTATGCAAAATTCACGGGGGCTAAAGCTTTGATTCTCCATATCTTGACAACTAGAGGTTTGAGAATCTGTATGCAAAAAATTAAAAATGGACTGCAAAAAAGACCCTCCTTGTTAGAGATTTTCTAAAGCACTGAGCCCCGAGTTGGGCGGAATTCCGCATTCTGCAACGAAGGTTTTGAAAATTTCGCGTCAAATTCGGCACATTTTCGTTTTACAGGGTTCTCCGCTTAAAAAATATTCATTCCGCCCAGCTCTGATTGAGCCTCTTAAAATTGCCAATATCACTTTTTTTCCCGGTTGAAATTTACCTGATTTTTTCTCGGCCATTTTTTTGCCGACTACAAGGTCATACAACGACCGGCAGCCACATTTTTTTCCAGAAACGGTCAATATTTTTTTTAACTCAAAATTTGCTGGTCTAGGGGTTTCGCGTGGTCTCGCGCGGATAATTAAGTACCCAAGACAAAAAATCAATCGTTCACCCGACAAATCGGCGAGAGACCTTTTTCAAGGCGCATGCGCGTAAATCTACCCTGCGTACAGATGAAATTACAGTTTATTGTTTCATTAACGCCTCATTTAATGCTCCAGATCTCATTTTCAACATACTAATGGTGTATGTGGGGTGTGTTCAGAAGCCATTTCCCCAGGAAGAATTGCAGAAGAATTTGGGATTGAGGAAATAGAAGTTGACAAGCCCATATGAAGAGCTTTTAGAAAAATTTGAAGAAAAAAAATTTCAACAAAAAATTGAGACTTTGGCTTTAAAAATATTTGCTTGCCATTTTTTTAAAATTTTAACCCAAAAATCTGCAAAAATAACTAGTCAGCTTCATTTTTGATCAAACGGACACCGAGTTTCAAATGCCCATCGAAAATAATTTGTTTGAATTCGTTAGAATTGTCGATCAGGTTCAATTTGCAGATCTTCTGCTTGCCTGCCATTTATCTCGAGATTTCCGCATTGCGCGCGCGCGCAAAAACGAGATTTCCATACAAAAATCGAGTGATCACCTTATTTTTCTTGATAAGCCTCAATCATCATGACTTTATTTCGATTAAAAAACGTGACAATCGCGCATTCATTCAATTTTGATCATCTTCTCCTTTCCAAGAAGCATATTCAATGTGTATTCGTAGACATCGAATATCTGAAATGAAAATAATGTGAGGTCGTAAAATGAACGAAGACAATTTTAACGACAACAATTCCAAATCATACATTTTCGTGTTGCTTTTTCAGCATACTCAACGCGAACGCTCTACTTCCTCGTGAGGCGTTCGTTTTGCCGAGAACGTTGTCGGCAAATGAATGATAGTGGATCAATAGGTCAACCATGACATCTTGAAGAAGTACGGCGAATTTGCGAGTCTCCGGAATGTGATCCCTTGAATATTTGATGGCTTGCTAGAAAAACAAAATTATTTATTGCAAAATTTTCGCAAAAATTATAAAAATGCAGAAATTTCACTGAAAAAAATGGAAAAAAAAGAAAAATCGACTGGTGATTTTGAATTTTCATAGCGTCCGTGCCAACACCCGACGCACAAATGCAGATAATACGTATCGAATTTTATTATTTAAAAAAATTACCCGAGCATTTTTGAAACCGAATTTGCTAGTAATATACAAAAGGACAGACATTTCCTGAAATCAAAATTTTCCAAAAAAATCATTATTCTATAATTATCACCTTTGGATATTTCTTGTTAAGCGCTCTCGCCGCTTTCATCTGCATCGCGAAGGTTTTCTCGCGATGCCTCTGGTAAATGATTCCTAGTCGTATACGAAAAAAGCGAATTTCTTCATCGTATAAGATAAAATTAAAATCGTATACGTTAATGGTAATCGTATTAGTTAATGTGAATCGTATAGGATCGTATACGATTCTGATGAATGGTTTGTAATCGTATACGAAACATCCGCATTTCCTCGTCGTATACGTTATTGCAAGGATCGTATACGATTTGGATTTTATCACAGTAGTGTAACCACCACAATTATACACTGCGGACATGCATTAAAATTGACGTCTAAATTCGAAAAACAATTTTCGAAAATTTTCGAATTTTTTCATATTCGATTTTTATGCGTATATTGTGTTTTAATATATATACTTTCCAAAAAAATCGTGCATTTTACTGGCTCCGCTCTAAGAAATCTATATTTTCTTTGCAGATATGTCGCAAAATTCAAAACTATTTGCATATCGAAAGCGATATCGTTACACCACACGAGAAATCATGGAAAAAAATATATAGGGAATATCGGAACGAGACAGAAACAGGTGATAACAACAGAAAAAATGAAGAAAATAATTATTTTCAGAAAATAGAGAAACTTAACATCAGGTATAACTAAAAGTAAAAACAGAGCAAGATTTAATTTCTATAGATTCTATAGAATCGTCTGAAGATGAGCTCACTTGCGCGGAAGAAGATTTTGTGTCAATGTCGAGCTGTGACAACTTGCAAAGAGTCATTACGTCGAGAGGTTGTTACCGTTTTTGCATATTTTTGAAATTATTTCGCTTTAGGCCAATGGGAAGCATTATCTTCGCGAGATTTTATTTTCACAGTTTGAAACGACTATTATCGTCAGAAATCACAAAGGGAATTGGGCAAAGAATGTTGCGGAAGTATGCTTTATTATAAAATTGTACACCGTAGAAAAATTTTAGTGCTGCAATTTTGCAAGATTTGACGACCGAAGTTCGTGCAAGACTTGATTCGGACCCAACGAGAAAACAACATGATGTGTCTATCGTGAAACTGAGAAAACTGCTATTTCGATATTCGGAGAATGATGATATCGAAAAAACGACAGATGTACCACTGAAGTACTCAATGCTGGCTCAAAAAGGCGATTTGTTTACTGAGAAATACAGCTATCAAGGCTCACACTACTCAATACAAAGAAATATTGCTTCGGATAATAGCGTCGTGATGTTTCGTTGGCGAAATTCACTGCAATATGGCGATGTATTGGGATTTCTCCTCAATGAGAAGTTCGGTGACCGGGTTATTCTACAACCATACATTCTAAATGAAAGGAATCATGTTCACGGTATGTTTTATTTATTGTTCAATCATTCCAAATGTAATGGTACCAGATTCCGCGAAAAAAAGCATTAAAATCATCAAAAGCCGTAAAAAAATATCAGAACTCGTCAAAACCGGCAAAAACCATTATAATTATGGTTACCGCTGTTTGAGTTTTTGGCGAAATCTGCATAGTACCACAATAGAAACTATAGAAACCCTATACTTCCAGATAGAAACTTTATCCCAAAAATTCGCGGCAAAGCCAAACAAAAACAATGTGAGTATTTTTTAAAATTTTGCTATTCTCTAAATTTAGATCGACGTGATCGCCGTATACAACCCTGAAGCTCTTAAAGACGCAGAAATAATTATTCCATCACTGGATGGAAATAGTGGGTTTTTTGTGTTTCGAAAGCTTTGAATTTGTATTAAATCTTTTAACAGGAGACATCAACGTCGCCCAAATATTTTTGGAAATTCCGTTCATGAAGGCAGCTCTGAAGCATGTGATAAATACTACAGTCAACAGATTTGTCGATAAGGTATCTTACAATTATTTAAAGTTGCAAAAAATATCTTCAGACAATTCCCAATAACGATCGTGTGAATTATTCAACATCGTTTAAGCCAACTCCGCCGCACGCAACGCTTCCAGTTCGGTTTGTCAACACAGCGATTGGTATGCTCAAATAGCGCGAAAAATGTTTAAAATATGTTTAAATTAATTTCAGCTGTTTTACAAAAGACGGTTACCATCGATGGAATGGCTGACGAAACGGCGAATTCTACAATCTCCTATTTGGTACACGGTCATATGACCTATCTCCTGTGAGTTTTCACTTTTTTAGTGGGCCTATGCAGATTTTGAAATGAAACGCAGTAAAAACCTTTTAAAGAAACTCGACAACATTATAAAGATTCGGCTAAACTAGTCTTAATCAGATTTTTCGCGTTTTTCTCCAAAATCTGCACATGCCGAAGACTGCCTCATGATTAATCATTCAAATGAACTTAATTCAGAAACAATTCACGATCGAATGCGCGAGCAGTGGAAAAAAATGGTTGATGCGCCAACCAAAATTAATTAATTTATTCCTTTTTCTTTTTCATTTTTTTGTCTTTCATATTTTTTTTTTAAATAAACAGGTATAGAAATCTTTACATCATATATTTAAAAGCGTTAAAATGCCAAACGAGTAGCTCTGGTAAATGATTCCGAGTCGTATACGAAGAAAGCTCAATCGTATACGCTGATATCGCTCTTCAAACGCGGCCAAATACGATTGGGATTTCTTAATATACGATTGGCATTTCTTCGTATACGATTATAATTCTTCGTATATGATTGTGATTTCTTCGTATACGACTACAATTCTTCATATACGGTAACGATTTCTTCGTATTCGATTGGGATTTTTTCGTATTCGATTGGGATTTTTTCGTATTCGATTGAGATTTTTTCGTATTCGATTGAGATTTTTTTCGTATACCATTTCACTTTACACTACTCGTTTGGCATTTTAACGCTTTTAAATATATGATGTAAAGATTTCTATACCTGTTTATTTAAAAAAAAAATATGAAAGACAAAAAAATGAAAAAGAAAAAGGAATAAATTAATTAATTTTGGTTGGCGCATCAACCATTTTTTTCCACTGCTCGCGCATTCGATCGTGAATTGTTTCTGAATTAAGTTCATTTGAATGATTAATCATGAGGCAGTCTTCGGCATGTGCAGATTTTGGAGAAAAACGCGAAAAATCTGATTAAGACTAGTTTAGCCGAATCTTTATAATGTTGTCGAGTTTCTTTAAAAGGTTTTTACTGCGTTTCTTTTCAAAATCTGCATAGGCCCACTAAAAAAGTGAAAACTCACAGGAGATAGGTCATATGACCGTGTACCAAATAGGAGATTGTAGAATTCGCCGTTTCGTCAGCCATTCCATCGATGGTAACCGTCTTTTGTAAAACAGCTGAAATTAATTTAAACATATTTTAAACATTTTTCGCGCTATTTGAGCATACCAATCGCTGTGTTGACAAACCGAACTGGAAGCGTTGCGTGCGGCGGAGTTGGCTTAAACGATGTTGAATAATTCACACGATCGTTATTGGGAATTGTCTGAAGATATTTTTTGCAACTTTAAATAATTGTAAGATACCTTATCGACAAATCTGTTGACTGTAGTATTTATCACATGCTTCAGAGCTGCCTTCATGAACGGAATTTCCAAAAATATTTGGGCGACGTTGATGTCTCCTGTTAAAAGATTTAATACAAATTCAAAGCTTTCGAAACACAAAAAACCCACTATTTCCATCCAGTGATGGAATAATTATTTCTGCGTCTTTAAGAGCTTCAGGGTTGTATACGGCGATCACGTCGATCTAAATTTAGAGAATAGCAAAATTTTAAAAAATACTCACATTGTTTTTGTTTGGCTTTGCCGCGAATTTTTGGGATAAAGTTTCTATCTGGAAGTATAGGGTTTCTATAGTTTCTATTGTGGTACTATGCAGATTTCGCCAAAAACTCAAACAGCGGTAACCATAATTATAATGGTTTTTGCCGGTTTTGACGAGTTCTGATATTTTTACGGCTTTTGATGATTTTAATGCTTTTTTGCGGAATCTGGTACCATTACATTTGGAATGATTGAAGAATAAATAAAACATACCGTGAACATGATTCCTTTCATTTAGAATGTATGGTTGTAGAATAACCCGGTCACCGAACTTCTCATTGAGGAGAAATCCCAATACATCGCCATATTGCAGTGAATTTCGCCAACGAAACATCACGACGCTATTATCCGAAGCAATATTTCTTTGTATTGAGTAGTGTGAGCCTTGATAGCTGTATTTCTCAGTAAACAAATCGCCTTTTTGAGCCAGCATTGAGTACTTCAGTGGTACATCTGTCGTTTTTCGATATCATCATTCTCCGAATATCGAAATAGCAGTTTTCTCAGTTTCACGATAGACACATCATGTTGTTTTCTCGTTGGGTCCGAATCAAGTCTTGCACGAACTTCGGTCGTCAAATCTTGCAAAATTGCAGCACTAAAATTTTTCTACGGTGTACAATTTTATAATAAAGCATACTTCCGCAACATTCTTTGCCCAATTCCCTTTGTGATTTCTGACGATAATAGTCGTTTCAAACTGTGAAAATAAAATCTCGCGAAGATAATGCTTCCCATTGGCCTAAAGCGAAATAATTTCAAAAATATGCAAAAACGGTAACAACCTCTCGACGTAATGACTCTTTGCAAGTTGTCACAGCTCGACATTGACACAAAATCTTCTTCCGCGCAAGTGAGCTCATCTTCAGACGATTCTATAGAATCTATAGAAATTAAATCTTGCTCTGTTTTTACTTTTAGTTATACCTGATGTTAAGATTCTCTATTTTCTGAAAATAGTTATTTTCTTCATTTTTTCTGTTGTTATCACCTGTTTCTGTCTCGTTCCGATATTCCCTATATATTTTTTTCCATGATTTCTCGTGTGGTGTAACGATATCGCTTTCGATATGCAAATAGTTTTGAATTTTGCGACATATCTGCAAAGAAAATATAGATTTCTTAGAGCGGAGCCAGTAAAATGCACGATTTTTTTGGAAAGTATATATATTAAAACACAATATACGCATAAAAATCGAATATGAAAAAATTCGAAAATTTTCGAAAATTGTTTTTCGAATTTAGACGTCAATTTTAATGCATGTCCGCAGTGTATAATTGTGGTGGTTACACTACTGTGATAAAATCCAAATCGTATACGATCCTTGCAATAACGTATACGACGAGGAAATGCGGATGTTTCGTATACGATTACAAACCATTCATCAGAATCGTATACGATCCTATACGATTCACATTAACTAATACGATTACCATTAACGTATACGATTTTAATTTTATCTTATACGATGAAGAAATTCGCTTTTTTCGTATACGACTAGGAATCATTTACCAGAGAGTGTAAAGTGAAATGGTATACGAAAAAAATCTCAATCGAATACGAAAAAATCCCAATCGAATACGAAAAAATCCCAATCGAATACGAAGAAATCGTTACCGTATATGAAGAATTGTAGTCGTATACGAAGAAATCACAATCATATACGAAGAATTATAATCGTATACGAAGAAATGCCAATCGTATATTAAGAAATCCCAATCGTATTTGGCCGCGTTTGAAGAGCGATATCAGCGTATACGATTGAGCTTTCTTCGTATACGACTCGGAATCATTTACCAGAGGCCTCAATATACTTTGCGCTTCCATTTTGATGCTTGGCAGGTTTTTCATAATTTTCTTAAATTCTTTCATGCTTCTCTCCAGTGTTTTTCGATTGCGCCCAAGTGTTTTGGCGAACGTTTCCTGGAAAAATAAATGGGCAATTTTTGCAATGGAAATACACTTTTTTTTTGTTTTTTTTTTTGAATTTTTTTATTCCAGCAAAGCTATAATTATTCCAGTTCACCTTCTTTTTTATCGCTTTTTCTTGAATCACCAGATCGAACCATCTGGCCAAATATTTTAATCGAAATTCTTCAAAAACCAAAAAAAAAATTAATATTAATTGCAAAATATTTCCTTTTCCTAAAAATGGATTTCTTTGGCGTCTACCCTATAATATATAAAAATCCCGACGGCTTCAAACCTTCAAATTTAAATTAATTATTGACTACAATATAAAAATGCGCGTACGCTTAAATGCAAAGTACGCAATTTTGTGCAGATCTCAAATTCCAAAGAAAAATCGATTTTATCTTAAAAAATTGCAAATTCGAAATTTTTGAAAAATATATTTACTAAAACCGAGGATTTTTCTCGGAAATCGGACCCCACTATTTTATTTTTGCAGTTTTTCAGTAATATTTTTCGAAATCCCACATCGTTGAAAATTTCGGACCCCCCTAGGACCCCCTTCTCTAAAATCTAAGCTCAAAGCGAACATGGATCAAAAGCACATTACCAAATAGCCAATAATAGGGATTTTTGCGAAAATTTCGCGTTCAGTCGTTTTTTTGTTTGTTTTTTTTTTTTGACAAATTACCGCCATTCCAAAATTGGCGGCAAGCGCCACCAACAAACGATTGGTGTCATTTTCGGTGAGCGATTTGTTGGCGTAGATTTCGGCGAACTCCTTCTGAAATTCGTCCGGCACCAAATCGACGAAATCCCGATAATTGTTGAGTTCACAATTCACAGAATAAAGCAAAACGCAAATCGAGGCGGCGAATCGAAGCATGACGATCGGCGTGGCACTTTTGATGTCATTTTTCGCGCTTTTTAAGGCTGCGAAATTCTCAACATTTGTCTAATTCGACGATGTGAATGAATGAATTGAAACACGAAAAATTTTATTTCAAAACGCCGACGATGAAAATAAAAATGAATTATTGAGATTCATTGAGGCGTTTGATATTCCATTCGGCGGTTTCGCGAATAAGTCTATCGAGAATTTCAAGATCCTGAAAATCAAGGTTTTTTTCGATGAATTTATTCGAATACAAATTTGGAGACAAATGTGTGCAATTTTGCGTGCGTGTGTTTCACGGACAATTCGAATTTTGTTTTGCATTAACACAATTTTTTTTATTTTTATGAGTACTGCAGAAGGAAAAAAAAACTCTAAAAAGTTCGGCCACGGCCACGTTTTTCGAAACCTACAGTACCATCAATTTTCATTGAAAATCGCTACAGGAATCGTAATCATAATAGAAGTAATAGCTAGCGAAAAACGTTTAAAGGCGCACATAATCGAATTTTATGATTCTTGAAGCGATTTAATTTTAAATGATACTGCTGGTTTTAAAAAACGTGGCCGTGGCCGAGGATTTTGAACACTCCTTTCTGAATGCGATTTTTAGGTTTTTTTTTGCGAAATCTTCAAACTACCATTAGGTCTTCATTTTTTTCAATTAGAAAAAAATAAATTAGCACCAACCTCTTTACTCAAACGCTTCTTGAGCGTTTCGATTGCCGCCTTGATCTGTTTCACCGTATATTTATTGCTATCGTTATAATAGAAATAGTCGCCAAAATCATCAGCAACTGGTTGAATTCGATCTCGATACTCGCTGCTTTTCTTCGTCAATTTCAAATAATAATTCGCATCGCTTTGCATATGATCATACACATCCTAAAAATATTTGATTGTCGGCGATTTTTCAAAATAGTTATATGAAAAAAAATGGGTACTTCTATAGACTTAACTATTCTTCATCCATATTTTTGTTATTTTCCTAGTTTTCTGTGCTTCGAGGGAATGTAAGACAACGAGAGAGCGTGTGGTGGAAGGAGACGCAGACAACAAAACGCTTCGCATCAGAGCGGGATCGAACCCGCGACCTTAACTCTAATGGGCCAAAACTTCCACCACTGCGCTATCGCGCCTCCTTTTGGACCGGCTATAACTTGATAACAAGTGCCACCTGCCTTTCGCAGCTTAAGCACGAGCAAGCGGATGGTATAATAATAAAAATAATAATGAGCTTACCCGCATATTTTTATCGGGAAATCCTTCGTTCTTGACAATCGCGAAGAACGCGTTCAAACCCGGCGCGAAGTACGTCAAATGCGTCTCATAAAATCGCCTAAAATACTCGGTGACGTTATTGAACTTGGCCACCTTCTTCGGCATTTTCGCTATCAATTTCTCCATACGCGGTCCAAAATATTCAACAAATCGCGATATGTCTTCGGTGTGCATATAAGAGGCAACGGGTTGCTCGTTGATGATTTTCTCCAATTTCTGCAACAAAAAAAAATTGAAGAAACGCGTCGTACGAGTGAATTTCGAAATCGCCTACCGCGTCGCCAATCTCCTGTGCGAGCTTGATGGCCCGTTCGGACATCATCGCAAACGTGTAGTCGTCGTTGCTCACAATCTGCTCGATTCGTGCGCGATAGTTTTGCGGGAATTTCGGCGGCAAATCGGCGAAAATGTTCACTTCTTGGAGGGTTGGGAAAAACGCGAACGCGACGCCAAAAAATGCGAACACCCACAAATGGTTCACGAGCATTTTTTTTTTCTTTTTTTTTTTTGGGTCCCCCCTATCATCAATGGGCGCCTTTTATAGTCAACCAAATTGCCAATTTTATGCGGCACAATAATACCTCTTTTATTAGAAAAACAACAATGAAACGAGAAATCAAATATCATTTTTTCTTTCTCGTCAATTCAACAGGAACTACGTTTTTTTTGAGAAATCTTTAAGAAAACCCGAGTTCGACGAATTCATTAATATCGTTGCATTGTGGGTTGTCTGAAACTAATTTGAGCGCCTGAAAACAATTGGCGATTGGAACAAACATTTATTGGAAAAGTCACCTTTTCGGCGCCGAATATTGGTGTTAGAGCTTCAACATATGGAGCCCGTAGGGTGTCAATCTGGAAAAAAAATTATTTGAAAATTTTTGAATTTTTGGAAAAAAAATTATTTGAAAATTTTTGAATTTTTGGAAAAAAATTATTTGAAAATTTTTGAATTTTTGGAAAAAAAAAATATTTGAAAAAATTTTGGATTTTAGAAAAAATTATTTGAAAAAATTTTGAATTTTAGAAAAAATTATTTGAAAATTTTTGAATTTTTAGAAAAAAACTTATTAGAAAATTTTTGAATTTTTGAAAAAAATGCTTGAAAAAAAATTATTTGAAAATTTGTGAATTTTTGGAAAAAAATTATTTGAACATTTTTAAATTAAAAAAAAATTCTTGAAAAATTTTTGAATTTCTCATCACAATTTGAAAAAAAATCAATATTTTGATTTTTTTGAAAATGCCCGAAATCTTTTTTCTTTCATTTCTTTCAAAAATAATTCAAAAGAAACAATTGATTGGTGTGAAATGAAATGTGTGTAAAATTGCGTCACTGTGTTAACGTATCGAATGCGAGTTTGAATTTTCTAGTCAAACTTTTCATTCAACATGTAAAATGAATATAAAAAGCTGCGGACATGTTGCGGGTTTGGAGTCGCGAAAAAAAAATCGGGGGGTTTTTTTTTGCTAAAAACCCACAATGTCATGTTCGCTTTCAGCGTTTTTCGGACCACCGACGCGATAAATCGAATTCTTGTTGCCAATTCGCGTTATTTTTCTCGAGTTTCGCGGTTTCGACGCCGCCGGCACAACGTATTCGGGCAGAAACGGATCATTCGCGCTGTATTGATAGCATTGTTGCGATAGCGACGAGTGAAATTTTCTGGACAACAAAAAAACAGAGGTGGAAATAGTTCGTTTTTGCTGATTTTTACTGATTTCTATCATTATTCTTTGCTGCTCGCATATTCATCTCTCTTGCTTTCATATACAAATCCATTAAACTTTCTAAAATTTTTGAAATATACCATGCAGATTTCGCAAAAACCTAAAAATTCCAAAAATTCGGTCACGGCCGCGGTTCACATCCGACTTTATTTCTTATGGTTAAATGCGCATATAATAATAATTTAAATGCGCATATAATACAATTTTATGATTTTTGCAGCAATTTAAATTTTTTAAAACAGAGGTTTTGAAAAAACGTGGCCGTGGCCGAGTTTTTGGATTTTTTTGAATATCATTTTTTAGAGCATTTTTTTGCGAAATCCGCATGAAAGTGGCATGGAAAATAATGCCTAATTTAGTTGATTCACCATCGCCAATAATTCTCGCCAATTTTCCCATTATATAAAGCTGATCGGAAGCCGATAATTGGAACGACAGCGGGTTTCCGGTTGGCGTTTTTCTCGCAACTTTCTTTTGATTCGAATTAATCTTGAAATCAACAAAAATGAAGAAAATTGATTATTTTGACAAATTTTCGCCCAACATTCATCGACAAATTCATTTCGCATCGAAATTTCATCGAATTCGGCGTGACAAATGAGGGTCGAAGAAATCTTGAAACAAAAATTTGAAATTTAAAAAACAAACAAAAATGAGCACCTATTGATGACAATATCAGCCAAATCCGGGTGTTTTCTACTGAATCGCAAATATTTTTTGCGTCGCCCCACAACACAACCATCGCTGTTCATCGCGCAATCGACGATCGTTTTCGAAATGTCGGAAGAAGTGACGTCGCCTGAAAATCGGCTTCTTCTTTTTCATTCGTCATGTCGTGCGATTTCAAATTTGAATTGCCGCCGGGACCATAATCATTTTTCAACATTTTTGCGCACAAAACGAGAAAATCGATGATGCGCCGAATCCCGGAAATTGTCCGCAGGTGTTCGAAAATGAAAATTCAAGATAACGCCTCGTGCCCCTTTAGTGTTTTTTCCATCCAAATTCAAATTTTAAATTCAACCAGTGTCTTCAAGAATGATCAAATCGAGATTGGCAAGCAATTGCAATTCATATGGATCGGTGCACTTGGTAGCCAATTGATGTAGTGTGGATCCGAAAAATGCGACAGCCTGAATACGCCGGCATCAATATTCGATATTCATTTCCACATAAGACTCCTCTAACAGTATGCCCTCTTGTTATAAAATACCACAACGCGATGGTGACAGCGCGAACGTTCAGAATCGATCGATCCATTGGGAATGTGTCGCGATTATTAGCCAACATTTGATTGTACCTAAATTGGACCTATAATGAGCCTTAATTGATAAATCAAAAAAGAAAAAATGATATTCGATATTCATACCGCGCAAATTCGTCGAGTTTTCTCGACGTTTCCCATGCGCGCCCCTAATTGTTACTTGGAGACATTTGTGGGTGTGGGTATCGCATTTAATATGCTCGTATTTCGAGAGACCTATCCGAAATATCCATTGCGTCGATACAAATTGGCCGCAGTAGAAGGTCGTCGTCTCGTTTTTCAAACGATTTCGTCGCCTCATTATAAATCAGCGAGTAATATTTGTTGTCGGCATTTTCGATCGACTGAAATCGTGATGATGACGACTAATTTGACGACTATTCCCCGAGCAACTTTTAAACATCTTGAAGCCGAATTCGTTTGTGGAATATCGAAAATCGTTTCGAATCCATCAATAAATTCCATTTCTTCTTTTTTTCGAAATGCCTAAAATTTAAAAAAAAATATATCATTTCACGTTTTATTGAAAGCCGCGCAATTTTTTGAATATATCAATTTTTATCGATTTTCAACTTTTTCATCGAAGGTCGTCTTCCACTTTTTTTTTCAAATTTTGTTTTAGAATTCTCGGATTGCAAAAATTCCTAGATGTCTGAAATTAATGCGAGGTTTTAACCTCGCACATTTCGAACACCATTTTCATATTCGGAGTTTTCAATGATGGCCATTGATTGAAGCACTGACGAATGGGTTGTTTTTGAACTGGTGCACATTTTTGATCGGGTTCGACCCCTCTCAATTCCAAAACGTTTTTGCATTCACTTTTTAACCCTTTAGAACTATTCTTTCTGACTTTAATTGTAAAATTGCGTCATTAATTAAATCAATTCATAGAATTATTCACAAATTGAGAATGTGTGCAATTTTGCGTCGCGTGCGTGTGCACATTTTCAGCTGCTACTATGTATTGTTTGAATATTTTTTCAATGTTTTTTTTTTCTAAAAAAGGTATCCAAACGGACCATATATGGCAATTTCATATTTATTTTTTTGCGTCGCCGCCGCCGCTTTCATCATGTAGCCGCCGCGATCGGGCGGCACCGAGCCAACCACATTTTTATTGCTCCGAATCAAAATCGCTTATTAAACTTTTATGTTCGCCAACCGACATTGCTATATACTTTTTTTCTTGCTGGTGATTGCCATTCAGCCAGCAACGACCAATGATTGATGCAAATCAGGTTTAATCCTCCCGAAAACACCATGTTCTTTTGGTTGGTCGTGTTCGAGGCAGCCACCAACAAAAAAAAATGACAAACTACCACCCGTGGTGTGGGGGGTTTGGATTAGACCCGCCTCGCTTCTGCAACAATTCTAATCCATCAGAATTTTTCGATGGGGGGGGGAGGGCTTTAATATATTTGTAATCTTTTGCTTCTTGCCAAATATGTAGTGTGCGTTGAGTTGACAAAAAGAAAAGGAATTGCGGCCGGCGCAGAAAGTGCATTTTCCCACCTTTTCAGGGGGGGGCTCAATTTCGGACCGGACCCCCCCCCCCTCACCACATCCCACACATATTTCCTCAAGTGCCTCCCCCCTCTTCCTCTTCGAGACCCTCATTGTTTTGTTGGGTAACATGCGAAATGAATAATTGATGAAACTCAAGAATTTCTCGAGTTCGACTGCCAATGAACCACCTAATTATTCGGTTTTGTTTTTTTTTATTTATCGCGTTCAATTGATCTACCTCCTCCATCAATCGAAAATTCTCAGAAAAGAAAATTTTTTTCCCCTCTCGCTATTTTTGTTTTTGTTGCGCGTTCTCACGAAATTTGTATTATTATTATTATTATTGCTATTATTTACCCGTTTTTATCCATCCATTCTTTTCATTCTCTTGATAACGAGGAAATTATTTCGATGGTCCCTCTCTCATGTTTACCTATTATATGATATGTCGAAAAAATGAGGCCCAATTTGTCTTGGGTGTCGAAAAAAAAATGAATGAGGTTCGCGCCGTCGTCAGAAACGAGTTAATTATGGTCAAAAATGGAGGAAAGGGATGAAGGCGTGCGACACGCCAAGGGCGCCATTAAAATGACACCCTTTTCCAAAAAAAAACCTTTCGTATTTTTTTTCCTGCCTTCCTTGTATGGCAAAAAACATTCATTCATATTCCCGCCAAAAAATGGGGGTAATATGCATTCGAAATGGTGTACTTAATGGGGTGTCTCCCTCATGTACTCACTTTGAAACAGAAGGAAAAAAAAACAATTTCGTTCTTTTTCGACTCGAAAACCTCCCAATTCACACTTGTTGGCGGGCGGGAATTTATTATTTGAATTGCCGCCTGGGTTGGGTCTCGCGCGGAAAATCGGTTTTGAGTTGATTAAAATGAAAAAAAATTGAAAAAAAAAGCAGGTGTGTGGCGTGAATGTGCCGCACACACACTCACGCAAAATTGCACACAATTAATTATTTTCATAATTTTTTTGTTTTGTTCAATTTTTCGCAATTTTTATGGGAAAAAGTATGAATTTTGGCAAAACTCACAAACTATTCAATTTTTTTAAAATATGGTCGTGGAATTTTTGGGGTCTCGTATGGAAAACGCCAAAGTTGGCAACCCGCGAAATTCAAATTTTTCTGAAAAAACAGGTGATGCCATTGAAAGTTTGTTGGTGTGTGTGTTTTTTTTTTTTCGAAAATTTTCTTATACCACATCGATCAAATGTATGTCAAATAAATCATTGGCTGAAAAATATTCCCACGAGATATTCACCCCCAATTTTTGTCTCCACCCTCTTTCCGAAATCCAAAACATGATAATTAGCAGGTTGGCAATCACAAGACACCAGTGTGCTCTCAATAATCTATCTGTCGTTGAGTCTTTCGAACAAAAAAAGTGGGCGTGGCCAGTGGTGGTGGTTCATGTCACTCGAAGCTTCATCGTGCTATTCGAAGCCTCCCCACTTTCGCCGACAAAAAACAATATTCATTTATTTTTTTTTTGCCAATTTCGAAACCGTTCTCAACTACAAATACGCCACGAATAAAAAAAAACAACTACAATTATTATTGCCTTATCAATTATATATATTTTTATTTATACATTGAGGCAAAATCAAATAATCGCTGATGATGGATTTGAGGACGAAAGCCGTCCTCAGCCCACACCTCTAATTATGATTCCCGCGAGAATTCGTCGATGAAAATTGATGATTATCAAAAAAATAAATAAATTAGATGTTTTTCGAATTTTCTTATAATTATTATTGAGTCAGCAAAATTTTTTTTTTAATTCGGGCGCTTCTTAATTTTTTATTCACATTTCCTTTCATCAAGGGCACAAAACGGGCCGAAATCATAGGCAATTTGGAAATTTTCTTTTGGATACTGTAATGAAAGGCGCATGACGTTTTTTGGAGTCGGGTCTCGCAGCGAACGGTTTGTTTTTGAGTCGAAACTGTCCCAAAATTGCAAAATAATAGTAAGCCGGCTATTTCAACCGCTTTTCCCGACTTTTTCAAATATGCCAAACTCACACATGGTACTCAAGTATGCCCCAAGTATACATATAATGATGTTGAGCACCGACCGGGAGAGGGTTTCTCAATTATTCACCATGTCACTCGCACCTTCTTCCAGCGTTTCGTCTTTCCATTGTTTTTGTTTGTTTTGCACACCTCCTTGGGGGGGCCGCAATATCAATCAACTTATATTGTTAACACACTCTACCCCGCCGATAACATTTTTATATTTATTTTTATTTATTTTGGATGCGATTGATATTTCATTTGAATTGCCGATTTGTGTTTCGTGCTGAAAAGTTTTTAGCAGCGCATTTTGTTTAATTTAACCATAAATGATTTTTTAAAGGAATTTAGATTATTTTTTAAAAGTGCCAAATGTTTGAATGCGCGATCCAATAATAAATTTCAAATTTCGTCCTTCGCATTTTTTTAATTATCACTTTATTCGTCTTATCGAACCTTTTTGGCAGCAATTAACCCAAATCGTTGCTTTTTTGCTTCTCGTGTAAAATAATCATGCTTACAGATTTTTCGATTTTCAGGAGAGACTCCCAGCCCACGAGATTTTGATAATTTTGTTTTGCGCGGCGAATTTCGATGGATTCATGAGGAAGATGAAGAAATTTCGAATAACATGCTATTGGTTTCGATGATCGTTCTCTATTTTTCCGTATTCGGCTCGTCGGCTCATAGTGAGAACGATTTTTGATCGAGACACATTGATTGCAATCAATTTCAGAGCTTTCGGGAGTTTCGCAAAAGTGCTATAGTTGTATGTCGAGATATTACGGTGCAACGTGGCAATTCGCCGGCTACTCGCGAATTTATCAAGAGCCCAGAGCGTTCACCGATCATTGCAGGTCTCGAAACGCAAATTCTCATCGGTACCTAAATAATATCGTCTAGGGACCCGCAAGCACGTGGCGCCGATGTTCCCTACAGCTATTGCGAGGAAAATGCGAATTGTATAACCATGATCGAGGAGCTCAAAATAGGTAATTGTTTTTTTTTTTCTTTTTGATTTTGGTGGACCCTGAGAAAACCAAACAATTATCGAGAATTGTGATGATTAAACGAGACAAAGCGCGCTGAAGAGAATTTTTCCATACGAGACCCAAGAGCCGCAACGCTCTATTATTCTCACACCTGACGTTTTTATGCTCAGTTTGATTTTGCGTTGAAAACAAAAAAAACGCACGAAACTTGTCGAAAATGTTAAGAAAATGTGTCAATCATGCTATGATAGCGTCTTGTCAACCGCAAAGCAACGCGATTCTCGTTGAGTTGGCTTACTAATTGTTGCAAGCAATGTATATATTTTTTTCGGGGCGAAACGTTTTTCATCATCGCGATTCGTCGTCCTTTTTTTTCGGGGCGAAGCGCAGGGGGCCGATATCGCCTCAAATTGGCTATATCGCGCGGCAGCAAAGGCAAAACGATCATTAAATTTCCGTATTTGATTTTGCTCGAATATGTCGTTGACGATGATGCGAAATTTCGGCGTTTTTGCAGGAACCGGTGCGCGGGGTTATATTCGCGGATGTTGGAGTTCAGTTCTTCTATTCGGATTCAATCGATCAAGTATGTTTGGTAGACGGACGATATTGAGAAATCGACACTTAAAAAATACTTAAAATTCAGTTTTTTAATTTCCACCGAATTTTTCCGTACGAGACCCATGGCGGCAATTCTTTGAAAAAAAAGAACGCGTTCAATAATTCCAACCAATTCATAGGCACCGTCGGCGCACTCGCCAACCATTCATTCTGCCACACGTTTAATTTGACGGAGCTTGTGAGCGGCGGAAGACCCGAAGAGTCTTCAATCAAGTGAGTTACCGTAGGATGCGCGCGCACACCCCGGCATTTGTCTTGATAGATTGGTCCGTCATTAATTGATGTCGATGACAGAATACACGGGTTGCCCCCCCCCTCTGCCGCATTTTGATTTGTTTTGTGTGTGTGAGTATTGGTGTAATTTGATCATGACCAAGGGGAATATTATTCTTATTATTATATGCTAGAAATAAAACAATTCATTTTCAGCGTTTGCTCGTGTCGCGGACCACTTTGCAACGGCTCAACAATCAATAAGGCAACTTCATTTTCATTCGTTTCTGTGTTATTTATTGCATTTTTTCAACTGTTCGCATTATTATGAAATTTTTTCTGTATAAATGTCTTTCGAGATTTATTTCAGCTCTTCAAACGTTTTACACCATTTCGCAAGGGTTTCGCAATTTTTCGCCACTAAACCAGCTTTGCAAAGGGCGTTCAATCGATTTCCCAGTGCAATCAGCATTCGCGAATAACGATCCCAAATGTTTGAGAACGTTTGAAGCTCTTCGCCATCGTCAATCAATTTTCTTTTCTGAAAAAAAAAAACACAATTTTTGAAAGCGCTTTTCAATATTTATCTTGTAGAAAAGTGTATAACTTTAAATTAAACATTTCTAGAGTAAACAGTGTATGTTTACTTCTCGAATTAAAAATTTCCCACCGAAACTCGAAGTGAGAAGCGGTGTTTGCGGACCGCTGTGATCGGTGTTTGCAGACTTGCTCCATTTGACGCAATTCTGCATTTTCTCGCAAAACGTTCGATTTTTTTTGAAAGAATTAAAAATTCAAATTTTTAGTGTTATTAAAATAAAAGATTATTGAAATTAGTTTCAGAAAATCGCCTCGATTTTGTCGCTCACCGATTCGACGCCCGAAAATGTCAATTTTCTACTTTGCACGTTGTCACCAATGATTTCCTCGACTTCCAATGAAACCTTCACAATTTTTTCACCATTGATGTCTTGCCAGCTCATTTGCTTACGAATTCTGTATTCAATACTGAAAAAAATTATTTTGCATCGAAAAAGAATTTAAAAAAAAAAACGACCTTTCCAATTTCTTGGCAGCTTTTTTCCACATTTCCAAATTCGAGCAATTCGATTTCAGAACTCGCAAAATAAACGAATTGGCTATTAATTCAGATGTAATCCAATCAATAATCACTTGAACATCGAAATCGATGAGGCAGAATATTGAGATAATAACGCTCGGTGGAAAATATCGAGAGTCTTCTGGAATATTGTCAATTTGTTGAAAAAGCGACACAGCGAAACACAGGCATCGCTCATCATTATTCAACAATTTCTCCGAAATATCGAAGCTTGATTCGTAAATATTGTCATATTTCGAAAGAAATTCCTCGCCATCTGAAATCGGACACAATATTGAGAAAAAAATGCAATTTATTTATCTATGCAAATGGAATTTTTTGAAATCTTTCAAAAATAATGATTTTCAACTAAAATCTTCGTCGCAAATTGCTATTTAGATATATAGTTTTCGATAAAATTTTGAGAAAATGCATTTTTTTTAATTAAGTGTGTGCAATTTTGCGTGAGTTTCTCTTGCGGACTTTTTCGAACACGACGAAGATTGGTTTTATGGATCTATTCAGTGAATGTAAATTAAACAAAAACGACAAATTTTCATTATGCAGCGATGTCGTTTTTGTCGCAATAAGCGCTTAATTTTACTGAGGGGTACTGTAGATCGCGGGTCGATATTTCAAAAAAATTGGCACATGCTCCTTGAATATCGATTTTTTTTAAATATTTTTTATATTAAAATTTTCGTATTTTCACTCGTTTTTCGCGGATTTTTTTTAAATAATTTAAACTTTTTTTTGAGTAACACTTGGTGATATTCATAAAAACTACTAATTTGTGCATATATTTCCTTTTTGAAGCATGTCATTCGCTGAGTATGAAGGAAACGACTCTTTGGTCGAAGACGTGGTGGAGGCACATGGGCCAAGAAATTTGCCAATTGCTGAACAGCGTGAAGAAGCTAAGCGCACGAGAAGGAGAAAGCCACTTGTAGATGACGGATATGAAGCGGTGAGTATTTAAAAATGAATTGTTGGATTTTATAAATTAATTAAATTTTTTTAGTTTCCACAACACTTTATTGTGGACTTCATCAAGACCGTTGAGCAGTACCCAAGTATTTGGGACTCATCTATTAAAGAATACCACAGGAGAGAATTGAAGCTTAAGGTCTTTCAGAATATCGAAAGCATGTGCAAGAAATTTCTCCGCGCCGGAAGACCAAATGGTATTTTCAAAACCACTATCGGTAAAATTGAAGTTTTAGGTATGACGGCTTGGAAATTGTGGGATTCGATAACGCGCGATTTCAATAGACATGTGTTGCGAATCCAAAATGCTCGATCTGGAACTGGAACATTGGAATCATCATTTCCGTTTGCGGAATATTTACAGTTTTTGGATGGAGTCAGACACAAAAGACAAGTTAAAAAGTAAGTTTACCTGTTTTTTGTTAATTTTTTTTTACTACAGTGCCTTCATATGCGGTGATAAAAGTATTGAGTTGCTTGAATCGCGGGGACCCTCGGATAGTCCGAAGACTGCTAAACGAAGAAAATCAGGTTTCTAGCAATAAAAAATGGAGTTTTATGGGTATGTTTTAGACAGCGATGAGCTGATGAGTATGTTGCGCGAGACGAACAGCGAAATCAAGCAGCTGCTTAGATCGAATGATGAGGAAGCCAAGGAAACCCCCAAATGTAAATTTGACCGATTGTGCAGGGTCATGGCCAGCCACGTTGCGGATTGGCCTGAATTGGATCAAATTCAAGCCGAAGCGAAAGCGATCGCTTTCATCATGGATCTCCAACCGACGGGCAAAAGAAATGAGCAGACGACTTCTCTCAGTTTGTTGGACGAAAATTATTTTTAAGTATTTTTTTTATTATATTAACAATTAAATTTAAAAAGATAAACATTAAACATGATAAAGAAGATAATTTTTTAATGCCGTTCTTTGATCTTCGGCATCGCTGTATGGGTCTTGAAGTAAGGGAAAGTTGTGGTCAGGTGGAAGATCGGGAGGAGCACCTAGTGATATGTTATGTACAACTGAAAGTGCTACAATGAGGGCGCGCGAAGAAGACGGGTCCATATTAAGGGCTTTTTTGAAAATCTGGAATTTCGACTGCATCACACCAAAAAAATTTTCAATTTTCACCCTAGTTGCCGACATAATCTCGTTAAAACGCATGTTTTCTGGAGTCAAGGAAAGCTGCCTATAGGGTTGCATAAGAAACTTAGATAGTCCAAATCCGTTATCAGCAATTATAAATGGAGGCATTATAATGGATGAATTCGGAAGCGGGCGATATCCTCCTATTGTGGCTACATTTTCGAGGAGTGCTCCCAAAGGCCCATCTCTGAACATTTGGGAGTCCGAATTTACTCCAAGCTCAGAGATTTGCAAATATATAACACGCAAGTTTGCATCACAACAAAAAAGAGAATTAAATGAATAAAACGACTTATAATTATAATTTAACGATCCTGTATGCGCAGGATGCTCGATCTTCCAATGCTTTCCATCCAATATGGCAAAACATGGAATTCTTCGACGAGGAGTTCGATCAGAAGAGTTCATAAATCCTTCTTCCAGACGAATTAATTCTCTTCGATTTTGTGGCAATCGGATTTGTTCTCCGGCAACTTGGACGATATCCTCGATTGTATCTCTAACTAGTCGAGAAATCGTTGATTGCGAAACTCCAATTTCCTTCGCAAGAAGATTTTGGCTAATACCTATAAATTTTATAATTTTAATGCTTGTAAAAAACTAACAAACAACTAAAAAATAACCTTCTCTTGTGTATTTTAAGAAAACTGCCAATCGAATTGTCGCATTGATTCGACCTTCGTGATTTCGGCATATCTTCAGAAGTTCCATGAACGTGCTGTTAGAAACGCCGGTCACGAACTTAATTTATTCTACATTACTTATGCAGAAATTCACTTGTTTTACTTGTTTCCTTACCTCAATACCACCACAATCTACTAATCGGTTGACTTTTTCACAAAAAAGATCGAAGCTCTGTTTCTTGATCACTTCAATTGTTTCAGATGCATTCAATGCATTTTGTTTCAATATCCAAACCAAAATAATTCGTTTTTTCATAAGCAGTGCAATCTATAAATTCATTTATTTGTTTTTTGTTTAAATTGTATTTCTTACTATAGCCTTTTTCTTATTTCGTAACCTATCCAAATTAGCCATGGAACGATCTGAAATATTCAATTTCTTTAAATTAAAACAATATTCGAATAAAATCGATTCAGTTTTGGAATAGAAAAAAACGAAAACGATATGAAATTATTATTTAAAAGTGTTACTCAAAAAAAGTTTAAATTATTTAAAAAAATCCGCGAAAAACGAGTGAAAATACGAAAATTTTAATATAAAAAATATTTTAAAAAAATCGATATTCAAGGAGCATGTGCCAATTTTTTTGAAATATCGACCCGCGATCTACAGTACCCCTCAGTAAAATTAAGCGCTTATTGCGACAAAAACGACATCGCTGCATAATGAAAATTTGTCGTTTTTGTTTAATTTACATTCACTGAATAGATCCATTAAAAAAAAAATATTTTTTTAATTTCTTGAAAAAATCTTCCAAATCAAATTTTTTAAGGCATTAAGAATTAAAAAAAAAACACCAACTTTTTCCTAAAAGACAATTCGCCACCAATCCTGAAACAATTTTCCTCTCATTATCGCTATTCGATGAATAATCGGCAAATCCGCCCAACCACTCGACACCTCAAAATTTCCCACATAATCCTATCATGCAAATTTTTCGCACCGGTTTGATGTTGACCGTCGAGTTCGCTACAAAATTTCAAAATATGTTCTAGAATTTCAATTTCTGTCGGATTAGTGATCTAAAGCAATTAATTCATGTAAAAATGATAAATAATCATCGTCACCTTTTTTAATCCGAAAAACGAGTCTTGGTAAATTAAAAATACTAGTCTTTCGCATATTCTTAATTTTGTGTCGAAATCAATTGAAGATGCTAGAATTTTAGAATAAAGTGGAATGTCTGAATCGCAAAGCCCATCTGATGATTGCAATTTCAACAGTGTAAAGTAATCTTCCATCTTCAAATTAATGAATCAAAATAAAAAATACTTAAAACTTAGTTACGTGAATCCCGCTGAAAATACAATCTCACGACATAACCTGTTTCATTTTAATCAACAGTTTATTGGGCAAACACGAATGCGAAGCCAGGTAACAAAATTCAGAGCCAATTATTGATCTACTCGTTGACGACGTGCAATTTGGAAAAAATAAAAGCGAAATATTAAGCTGAGAAGGAGATGAAGGGGGGGGGGAAGGAAAACAAAATAACAACAAATAAAACTTGGACAGCATAAAAATGGTCTATTCGTTATTCGTGAATAACTGGAGACGTATAACAGAACATTTATGAGAGGAGAATTAATTGTCTTCATCCTCGTCGCCGGAATACTCTTCGTCATCCTCACCATAGTCGAACATCTCGTCGGTAAGCAACTCTCCGGTGTAGAAAAGGACGGCTCTTGGAATAATAGAATCGCGGATGGTTTGTCCGAGCTCATAATCCGATTGCAGTGACTCCTCGTCCTATAAAATGAATTAAAACTTGTTTTACTTCAGGAACCAACCAATTCTTCATCCTCGTTTTTATCTGTTGGTGCAGTTGGAGGATCGAAGAAATTGAAGAAACTGTCAGCTTTAATTGTTTTGGTCAGGAATTTTCCGGCAGCAGCACCCTTCTTTTGCTTCTTCTTAACGACCTTCTTGGTGACATCTTTACCATCCAGCCAATCGATCTTATCACTAAATTAATTAGCTGGAATTTTTACAATCTACAATCTACTTACGCATAGGCTCTAACGACACTTGGTCCTTCATAGCGGTATTTCTCTTCGTTATTGGTTGGGATTATTTCCAAATCGTAAGTCTTCTTAATAACTTTGTTGCTGAAGAATTGGTTCTCAGCAAAGTGGAATTCCAAAGTGAAGCTCTTAATTTATAACTTAACCAAAGTTTTAAAATTGAAAATCGCTTACTGGTGGGTCCAAAGAAGCTGTCGTTGTGATATCAGTGAGGAATGAAAGGATAGGGACATCGTGTTCTTGGATAGTTTCGCTAATCATATCGTGCGATCTCAAAGCATTGAGCCAGAAGTCTGGAATTCCCTTTTTGTCGGTGTCTGGCAGCGAGTTCTTGTAGAGATCCTGAAAGATTACATATTTTATTCTCAATATTGTTTTGTTTTCATCATCGCTAGGATACATGGATCAGAGCGGGAATATAAAACAATTCAGTATTGCACAATTTACGGGGATTTGGCGAAAGTCATCAAATCCCATGAACACATGTGCATTGAATTTAAACTAAAATCATACTTCAATCTCAGCATCATCAGCTTCGTACAAGAGTTTTTCGCTCGCTTCCTCATCAGTCGGTTCACGTTCACCAGTAACAATTTTTCTGCGCTGAAGTGTACAATTAATCATTTTAACGCATTGCCAATACCATACCTCTTCCATCAATGGCTTGAAAAGTTGCTCGAATTCGATTTCCAAAGCTTGCACTCTCTCATAGAACTTGGCTTCGATCTGTAAAAAAAATAATTAATAGGCTTTAAAATTTTAAAGAAAAACGTACGTCAATAGTCTTCAATTGAAGGCTCTTCAAAGCGCACACACGCTTCTTGACGGCCTTCGGCAATGGTCCTAAAACGTCGTGATTGCCTTGCAAATTTTGTCCCATTTGTTCGACCATCTCGGCAGAAATGCTTTGAAGCGTCATTTTTATTACCTTAAACAATACATTGAATATTTGGTGGCATACATAATAAAAAAAAAACTAAAACATTGATATTCAATAACCATTTAAAGCTAAAAATAAATTTCGACGAGGAGTAACGAAAAATGAAAATGTTGCGAACGATTGGGAATTCATTCCGATTATTTTCAAAAAATAGGAAAAAGTGAGATACAGTAAGCATTTTAGTATTGCCGTCGCGAGACCCACGTTCAAAGGAGCATGGCGTATTTTCCCAACGCCGCGTTATTGCTAATGCTGCTACTCGAGTAGTAAACAATATTTCGCCCGTTGCTCACATTTTTGCTCAATTTTTTGCATTTTTCTGTTATCAATATTCAAAAATAATTAATTTTCGGTTTATAAATTGTAATTAACCATCTGTTTTTAAACAAAAATTTTCACAAAAGTGTAAAATAATTTCAAAATATTTCGAAATTGTTCGGATGATGAAACGCTTTCGACACTGATAAGGAATATAATATTGAATTTATTTAATAAACAATATTTTCAGAATGGCATCAAAAGCGGATAATAACGCTTCGAGCCAAAATATTCAACTCGGGCACGGCCTCGAAGTTCCACCGTTCAGAAGTGTGAACGAATTTCTGTTGGAAACCGACAGATATGAAGTAAACAGTTTTTTTGTGGCATATTTTAATTACCCAATAACTTTTTTAAGCGTCCATCATTCAACGATTTGAAAAAGTGGAACAATCGGATAATTTCGAATTTGTTGTACTTCCAATCGAATTATTTTGTCACGTTAGTCGGACTTTTTCTTCTGCAGTCGCTTTGGAACAGCATGGTTCGTTTTATGTCAGATGAATCATTGACAATTGTTTTGTTTAGGATATTTGCATCGGATTATTCGCTATTCTTCTGGTTATAGCTACACTTATCTTCACAATTTCCAACGACCCTAACTTGAATAAGGTATAATATTTTTTTAATCCGATTCTGCCAAAGACCAAAAAAGCAAAAAAGGTCTCTGTTTCAATAACTTATCACAAAATTATAATTTATATATATTTAAATTTATAGATTCGCAGTGATCATCCGTTGATAACACTTGGCGCGATCATTGTCGTCTTCTACTTTTTCGTTCACGTTATCAACTCGGTATTCGTTGTTTTATTCGCGTAAGTTGCAAACAAAATGAAAGTTTGAAATGAAACATTGAAATTTTATAGCTTCCTGTTCCCCCTGTTTCTCATTCTTTTGCACGCATCATTCCGTCTTCGTGGTATTGCTAATCGTTTGGCCAACAATATGGAAAGGTAAATTCATTGTTTTGTTGATAAACGAAATTTCATGCCAATTTCAGACATGGCATTCGCACAACCGTTATGGGAAAAATTCTCGAGAGAACCGGTATTTCTGTTCAATTATAAGCACTGCTCAAATTGCCATTCAACACTGATCACATGCCTTTAAAATGTATTTTGAAAGTTTAACTTTTCCCCCATCTGTTCATTTTTTTCATGGAACGCCTAGGAATATATTTATGCAAATATTTATTTACTCTCATCCTGAAACAAAACTTGATTCCGATGCTTCAGGTTTCCTTTATTTATTTTTTTTTCTCGCTGGGTGAAAAGTGTCCCCTTTTACACTTAATAAACTTCATTCCATTAGCAATTTTCGATTATTTGCGATTCGATAATTAACAGAACAACTTCATGCAGGTATTAATTAGTAGGAGAGAAAAAAATGAGTTGAAGAATAATTAACGAGTAAAGGTTAGTGATAGAGTTGCGGGCACTCCTCTTTTGGGCATGGCGCTAAAAGTTTATCTGAAATTGCTAGAATATTTTTGAACGCGATTTCTATTTAAGTATTAGTCACCGTCCACTTGAACCGATCGGATTTTCTTTTTGAGGATGCGATTCTTGAATGGCTCGGTGAAGCGGACATTCGATCCGACAAGATTGAGAAGCGGCGCTCGTTTGTTGGCGGCGATTATTTCAAACTGAACTCGTCATTGAGGTTTCAACGATAATCTCGATGTGCAAACCTCATCGGGGTCTTGAAACGAATACAGCAACTGCTTCTCCAAACCGAACAACGGCTGTGTGGCGACAGCGGCGACGAGGAAAACGAGCAGCCAAGAAAGGGCACCGATTCGCGACATCTGAATTGTCGATTATTAATTGGTAGGCGAGCATTTCGACAGAAAAACAAAATAGAAGATTTTATTATTTTGGGTAAGAACAAAACGCAACGCGATTCCTTATACATTTCATCTTTTTTTTTTTCATCCATAACATATAATTAGGAAATGCGCGGCACAAAAACCAACCACTGACATCTTTTTCTTCGTTTTTTTTTTTCGTAATCTCGGGTGAACAAGTTTCTTATAGAATTAAGAAAAATGAGGAGGGAGAGATGAGAAGAAAAAAAAGAAGGTAGGAATAATCCAGACAATCCAAGCTCGCGACAATAGATTGAAATTAACACTTGACTGCGTTTGAATTCCGTTGAATCGAATTCGCGATGATGAGAGTCGAAACAATGCGTCGTATTGTTCTCGTCTAGATTTTTGATGACAAGTTTTCAATTCTTGAATGGCATTTAAACAAAATTTGAATGAGCCTCTTCTTCGAGCAAAATGTTGCGCGTGGTTGTTTAATGAATAAATCAGTGGCGTTGTGGAAAAATTAATAATAATAAATGCGAAATATTTCTTTTCTCGACAGGCGGAACTAGTCGAGAAAAGAATGGATGGTCCGAGAAATTCAATTAGACTTTCGAATAGTTGTAAGAGATCCGAAAAGGCCTCAATGTGTTTGTTTTTCTGCAAAGAGCTAGCCAAATGGGTCCTGGTCTTGCGGGTCCCGCAACGAAAAACTATGCAGGATTTCTGTGTTTTTTTTTTTCAAAAAATGGAATTTATATTATTTTTAAAAACTTCCCTTTTTCTAATTCGCCAATCGCAAAAATCTCACATCAGTAAATTTAATTCGAACCCAATTATGAAATTTCGATATGGGACCAATTGACCCCTCCCCCCGCCTCCCCCGTATGTCCAGAAATGCAAGTCAACGGCAGATTGTCAGGAACACATGAAATTTTACGTCAAAATCATGAAATTGGCGTTTTGCACCCAATACCAGAATTTTTCGCTGTAAGACCTTGCATATAAATAACTTCGAATGAATAAATGGGAGCCGCACGCGCGCCGCAACGCGTCTGACGGCATTGAAAATTACGGTAACCACTTTTTTGAAAAAAAAAGACTTCTCTTTGGAATTTGGTCCCTTTGGAATTTTTTGCAAAAATAATTTTAAAAATTGGGAAAAAAATTGAAGGCATAATTTCGGGATGGTCCAATTTTTTTCAAATTTGACACGAGAATTCGCTTTTGGCTCTTCTATTTATGTCAAAATGAAAAACAAAATTATAAGAACAAAATTGTGCATTAATTCATCCTATTTTTTAATAAAAAAATTAATGTGTCCCAAGAAAATGTTAAAGTCACAATTTAAAAATTTGGGCTTTTGGAGGCTAATAATAAATATTTGTAAAATTTTCAACAAAAAATCGAAACCACAAATTAAAAACATTAGCAGTTATAATCGTGGCCGGACGAAATTCAGGGGGAATCCATTAATTTATCATTCGAATTTCCATCTTAGGTCTCGTATGGAAAACTCCTAGCAGCGATTTTTATTCAATTTCGCCATCATGATATATAAGTAATTTTGGTAATTTTAAAAAATCGAATATCGGCACCTCAAAATTACGGATAAAATTATTTGAAATTGTGGAAAAATGACGAATGTGAAAAACTGCAGCGATATCCTATGCATTGTGTGCGTACACCGAGTCGGACATCTCCATCTACAGTAATCTCAACTGAAAATTATTTAATCAATTATTTTTAAACTTTTTTGTTTTCTCGGAGAATTATGGTTTTATGTATACTTTTGTGTTGAAAAAGTGTAATAGTAATCATTTTTGTATATTATTCAGAGTTAATTGTTTTATATAAAAAGAAACCATCAATAATTAATTAAATAATTTTCAGTTGAGATTACTGTAGCTAAGATCGAGATGTGCGACTCGGTGTACGCACACAATGCATAGGATATCGCTGCAGTTTTTCACATTCGTCATATTTCCACAATAGCACGCGCCTTTCAAAACATTCCATCCGACAATTACTGTATTGTCAAATAATTGGACAAATTTTAAAATATTATTGGCTATGTGCCGATGCAGCGAGACGTACGCAAAACTGCGTACATTGGCATTATAGTGCACGCGCATTTGATATCAAGTCAGCGATAAATTTAAATCAACACTAATTTCGCGAATTTGAAGGCCCCGCCTCCTTTTTGACTCCTACAATATATACGATGCACTTTGGCCAAGGGCAGAAAATTATGGAATCTAAAAAAAGAATCAAAGTGCGGATCCTAAAGCTAAATAGAAGATAACGCAAAAAAAAATAATACGAGCAATGTTCAAAAAATTTGAACAGAATGAATTAATGTTGGTTCCCCTTTAGTTTGCGATTGTACGAAATTCTTCGTGAAGTGTACTTGTGAGCACTGCAAGTCGCTGGCTGCTCAAGGCTTTCTCGAAAAAGTGACGCGTGGAATATCAAAAAATTAATGATCCAAGGGCTTTTCTTTCGTTTTTTATTTAATTTTCATTATTATTTTGCAACAATGTACAACCCAATTCGATCAAATATCGGCATATCTGTACATAAGGCTCATATCGTTCGGTTTTCTAGGCAGCGGCTCGACGTCGACTTTCGGGCAGAACGAGCAACAGCAGAAGAGTAGGGGAACCGCGCGGCGATACGGCGGCAGGAATACCATTGTGATGATCACCATCCAAGTGGGACGATAGAAATGGACCATGACAATGAGAATATCGCATATAACCTTCGCCTATAAAACAGAAATCGGGTGTTTCCAAAAATATATTGAAAATCTTTTCAAAATTCGTCATTCATTTTTAGATTATCCTCCGCATTTGTTAGTTCAATATCGAATGACGAGCTTTTCAAAAAAAAAAAGAGAGATTTGGATCATTAGAAATTCTTCAACACACTTGCTTGTCAAGTGATACGAGAGCGTGGGAATGCGAACTCACCAATCTCGTGCCGCTATTCGGTTTTCCGTGGATATCGAAAACGTAAAATATTGCCTCAACTGCAAAATGGGACAAATCTGATCGATTGCCTGGTTTTCAATGTTACCAATGAATGGAATTAGAGTGATGAATGGGATGGCGATGTAGGCGAGTGTCCACGCCAAACGACATCGCGCATCTCGAACCTGCATGTCCACCGATGTCGCCGCCTCGTAGGGCAAATCGCGCATTAAAACAACAATCGACTAGAATAATTATTTTTGGATAAAAGTGGATTTTAAGAAAAAAGTTACCACAAATATTTGGACGAGGATGGCTGAAAAGCAAACAAGTGTGACTATTCTTGACATGGCTGCGAGAATTGCGAGCACCGTCGCGGCGTTTGTTGTGTGCACATAGTTCAGAATGCTGACAAAGAATGGCACAACTTGCATGACCATGCATATCATACTAAAAACACATACAATTTGTTTATTGGAATTTTTCAATCCCCCCTATTTGGTGTGAGACACTCAACGAAATTTGCCAAAGAAATTTCCTCCGTGTTCAGCTAGTCAATATGACATTTTTTGGAATTTTTTTTAATTAATTGCCCAACTTTTTCACAAAAAAAATGATGCACTGGCTAAAAATTGCCATTGTTTAAAAGGACCAATGCAGAAAAATTATCAACATAAAATTTTTATTTTCTTTTTTTTTGCGGTAAAAAACCCCTTAAGAGTGGTTTTCGCTATTCCCTTCCATTTCATAATGAATTTTAGATGCCTTGTGGCGAAGTGGGAGCGTATTGATTAAGCGACTTAATAAATTATAGCCCTTACATTTAAAATCTTCAAATTCATCGGTCCCACCAAAATTCTTTGCAATTTTTTTGTGATTTCATCTAAAAATTTAATTATTTTTTCATATATTCAATGCGATTTGAGAGTAATACTCTAAAAACTCATAAAGATTCGAAAATAAATAAAAAAAATTTGAAAAAAAAAATGACGGACGTGAAATGTGGCGTGGCCGAAAAATTCGCGGCCGCGGCGAAGCGAGCCCAAAAATAGAAGTCCACCCCCCTTTTTGTTAGCTGTTTTGCATTAAAAAAAAACAATTAAATCGTTTTTTTCTTTTTAAGCCCTTTAAACAATGCGCTTAGTGTTTTTTGGCTCTGATTTGCGCAAAATCAAATTTCTAAATATTACTCTATATCATTTTTGTTTCACATTTTCCAATTGGGTCCCATTTTGAATTACTTTGTCGGAAACGCGTTGATGCGATCGCCAGGAAGTGTCGCAATTCGTCCACAATACAACAATAGCGGAAGCATGCACACAATATTGATATGCACGTAGTCGTTCATGACGGACAGAAACCCTTGCGTCCAAAGAATGTAGGCGCTGAAAACGAGCAGCTGAAATTGATGGGAGAAAAAAAATGAATGAATGAGATGCCTTCGGAATTCCTTCGATTCTTTTGAGGATTTTGTGAAAAAATCGGCAAAATTCACACATTCGATGTAGATGGCGAACAATTCCGACACGACAATTGGTATGAATATTGTGTTCGATATTGAGCGCATAAAATCTTTCTCCATCTGGAAGTTTTTTTTGAATTTAAGCGGCTGAAACCTTTAAAAAAATAATGAAAATTCTACAGTAATTCGTCTCGTCAATTAAAATGCACAAGTCCGCAATGATTTTTTTTTCGAATTTCCACAAATTGTGCATTAAAACTTCGCAAACACGCATAAAATTATACGATTTAAAATAGTCGTCAGATCTAATGCATTTGGTGTACACACACGGAAATTTTGATTTCAATTTCTGACACAAAATGAAGGCGTAAAATTTAGTTGCGGACTTTTGCATTTGATTTGACGACAATACACATAATTTTCATTTTTTTGTTTTTTTAATCTATTTCCATGAAATTTTCTCCTTTTAAAGGTTAATCCCCTATTAATTGCCACTTTTTTTCACCTTGGTCCCTAAAACGAGAATCAAAACTGCGATTAGAAGTCGTCCAAGCATTATTCCAATCGATATCACCTTTTGCGGAGTAAAATAGACATCTAAAAATAATTATTTTTTGAAAAAATTGCCCAATTTTGAAGCACCGCAAAAGAACTCCTCGCATAGCGGATAGTGCCTTGATGACAATGATTGATAGGTCGTCGTGAAACCGGTTAACAATGTCGAATCGGTCATGAAAAGCTGAAAAAGAAGAAAAAGGGGGTTAAGAATAAAAAAAATGGATTTTCTTCTCGATTTGGGCGCCATTTGGTGATTGTCGTGTGTGAGAAAAATCAAATGGAAAAAAGTTTTTTTTTGGTTGCGATGGAGACGAGGAAAAAATGACTGTGAAACGGAAAAGTTCGCATAGGAAAAATTTTTTTTGCGCGCAAAACATGAAACGTTTAATTAGATTTCGCCGGAAATTGCTCATTTTTTGTTGGGCGCGCGATTTTTTTTGGCAATTTTTCGCCGAATAAGGGTCTATTTGAATTTATTCTATTCACACATATCAAGCGAAAATGATGCTTTTTTGAAATTTCTATGAAAATTGAAATCTACCAATTTTTTTGCCGAACCGAGTAGGCTGATGGACGTCATTGCGGGCAGAATGCGTCGAATGTCGGCGAAATAATGGAAAGCTGAAAATTTTGGTGTCAATAATTCGGCAATTCTTAGCTTTTAATTATTCTTGGTTGATTCTTTGAACCGTTTTATGGAAAATTTGTGAAAACAGGTGAAAACATCGAAATTCTTCACAATTTTTCAAATATTTTCGATTCAATAAATGAAAATCTCAAGGATCAATGGAGAGAAGAAAAAAGAGTGTTGAGATTCGCGTCGAGACCCATCGCAAAAATAAATGGCGCGCGTCTTTGAGTTTTTTTTTTAAATAAAAAATACAGCAAAAAATTCTTTCAAAAAAAAATCAAACCGCAAAGAAACGGTAGTTTAAGACGCATGCCATTTATTTATGCAATGGGTCTCGAAGCGAAACTTTTGATTTATTTTTTTTTCGCTGAATTGCCCTGAAATTACACATTTTATAGTGCTGAATTGTTTTAAAAAATGCGCTTTTTATATAATTCTTACATTTTTTAAAATATATTTCATAAGTGTAATCGATTTAGAAAAAAAATGAAATTATTCGAAAGTATTGCTCGTGATTCTAGCGACTTTTTTGATTGTTGAAAGCCTGGAAAAATTTTGTTTTGTGAAATCTTTAAAAATTTCGAATTGTATCTAATTTCCATGTTCTTTTTTTATGAAATCAGAGGTCCATTGAGATTCTTTGCCGTGGAGAGACTCCCCCATCCAGCATCAGGAATTGAATCGGAGCTCGATCCCCCAAGACGTTCGTCATCATTATCTTCATCCATTTGATTTTTTGGTGACGCACTCATTTCTATTAAAAATAAATGAGAAATTCGAAAAATAATTCACAGAACGTGCTTTTTGAAAATTGAAATATTAAAAAGGCATTTTTTGAACTTTTTTTTTCGATGTTTGTCACTGATTAATTTATATTTTCCAATAATTGAATGTCATGTATTTACATGTGATTTTTTTAGTTTCTATAAATATTCTAACTAATTAGCTTATTCCAATTTCTAAAAAAAAATTATTGACAAAAAATTTCGGATTAAACGATTTATTAAAAAAAAAACATTGTACTGTTTTCAAATTCCCTCGCTGAGAGCGCGGCCGTGAAAAAAAAAACTCGGCCGCCATTTCACTTATGACGTAAAAAAATGCAATTGATTAGAAGTGGTCGTAATTATTCAATTAAATGTGCCCTTCAAAACCACACATTTTTGTATTGTGTGAAATATGCCGACGGTTGCACATGCAACGAATTTCTCAGATTATTCTCGTTCTGAAATAATGGTAAAATGAAAAAATAAAAATAAAATCGTAATATTAAAGGCGCGTTTGATAAATATTACATGATGTTGGCCGAAATAAAAAAAAACGTGGCCGTGGCCGAGGTCTCGGAAGTCTTCTCTGCCACGACGATTTATAGGGGTTCTTTTTGCTCACCACAACGCAAGTGCGGTCTAGAAAAATTGGCTAAAACTTTCAAAAAGTAAAAACGTAAGTGCGGCACACAAATTCTGAGAAAAACTGCAAACGCGGCACACCACCACAGACAAATTTTTAAAAATAATTTGTAACAATAATATGTCTCGCAATTTTCTTTAGTTTTTTGTGACTTTTTTTTAAATATTGATTTTTGAAATCGCAGAAACTCAAAATCTATGCGTATTCATTTAATTCGACTTAATTAAATTAACAAATCCATCAAGTGTGGCCGTGGCCGAACCTAATTTTTCTAGGCCATCTCAGCGCGTCTATTTTTGCGATGGAATAGAAATAGATGGAATAGAAATGCGCGTAGTTGTATCAAAAAAGAATTAAAAAAATCGCATTACCGCTTTACTTTGTTTTCGGTCCAAATAAATAACGAGCAATGGAAATGCGATGGAATATTGCGGAAGCAAAATAAAACCTAAACGCTTCATCAATGTGCCGGAAGGCTTTATTTTTTTTTAAATTTTTACTCTCTATCAGAAATATGAATTTTGGTCCCGTTATATATCTGCTGTGGTAGAGTAGAATGAACGAGCCGCAGCTGAAATATAATTGGACGAATAGGAAAATTTTTGAAGGAAGCCACAAGTTCTCCAAACTCCTGAAACAAACAAAAAAATAGTCTTCAAAGATCTTGATTTTTTTTTTGGTTTTTTTCTCGAACCTCAATGTTTCTCTTATATGATAGCGACTGTTCAATGTCAGACTATCCGGTGAGATTTTGCTTTTTTGATTGACGCTTAATAGGTATCGGTAGATCAAAACCGCGAAAATTTGAAGGAATGTCGCCAACGCCAACGAGAAAAATGAGAAGGATGAAGCTTGCGGATTGGCCGCAATGCAATATTCCCGATAGCCTTCTCGTTTTGTTCCCCAATACATAAAAATGAGTAAAATGATCGTCATCAAACTCTAAATATTATTTTCATTTTATTTAGATTTGGTTGTGAATCGGTCGCTGCAAGACCCACAATTACCATTGTCATTTTTTTCCCAAAAAAAATTGAGCATTTTTTGTTGGAATCTTTTTTCCCGTAGAATTTTTTAAATACAAATTGAATAAAAGAAAAAATGTGGAATTAAAGGCGCATGATGCAAAAAATGGGTTGGGTCTTGCGGCGTTTCTTTTTCGGGGAATCACACTCTACTTGTATGAACAGTATGATGAATCCCCATTTTCGGTCGTGTTGATACGTTGTCGATTTACGCGTCGCGATGAGCCTCTCCAAAGATATCGAAAAAATCGTGCTGATTGAAAACCACATGCCGAAATTGAAAAATAATCGAATAAAAAAACATCTTGAATTGGAACTCATTGAACAACACCGATTGCGTCAAATTGCTCATTTCAAACCTTTGCGCTGTCGAAAGTATATGGCACGGCGAGTATTTGTACATTGTCACCCAATAATCGTACAAATCCCAACTATGATAAATCACCCTCAAATATTGATCATTTCAAAAGGAAGTCAATATTTATATAAAAGCCGTCTGGACATTCTGGTCCGTCTGCGTTTTGCGAAACTGTACACAAATCTGAGACGATACGCAGGTAGCAAAACACTCCGCTTCAGAGCGGGATCGAACCCACGACCTTTACGCTCAAGAGTTAAAAGCTTTGCCACTGCGCTATTGCCGTCCTTTTTGTGGAGGCTATTATTCGATAACAAGTGCCACGCAGCGCACCACCTGCCTTTCGCTGCTTAATCACGAGCAAACGGCTAGCAAATAATTAATTACTAAAAAAGTACCTGTCGCCGAGATGAATAATTATCGAAATGCCATAGGCAATAAGAAGGACTTTCGTGTTGAAATGATGTAGCGGATTTCGCGCCACCGAGTGCATAAAATACAACATCAACGGGATGCCGATTATTGAGGAAATTACAAAGAGTGCTAGAAGAATATTGAGCGGTTTATAGGTGGCAATGGCGTACATTTCATCGCACTGCTTCGACAACTTCATATTTCGACGAATAACACGAATTCATCACAATGACACCTCAATGATAATCATTTTCCTTGGGGGATTCGAAATCTTGTGATGTTTTTTAACAAGTGAAATGACTCATGAAAAAATGGAATCCATTCTTGTGATGAACTTTGTTTCAATTTTTGGACTCACTAGCGTTTAGATCGTGGGTTCAATCCCGCTCTGACGCGAAGTGTTTCGCCGTCTGCGCCTCCTTCTCCTCGCACGCTCTCTCGTTGTCTTGCACTCTCTCGATTGTAAACAGTCTCTCAAAAAGGATGATTTATTCACAGTAGAGAAAAATAAATTAATTAAAAAAGTAGTAATATAGAAGAAAACAATAAAATTAAATAAACTAAGAGTAACAAATAAAAAATAGAAAGACAATGGAATAAAAAAAGAATTAAAAATAAAAATTTGTATGACTAAGGCTTAACGAAGAACTATAAGAGATTTAAAGGGTGATGGAACAGTTTTATGGAAAAAAACATGAATTGAGCATAAAAATCTTTTTTTTCTGAATCTGTAGGATTTGGTAGAAATTCTGAAGTAATCGATGATCCTGAGTGAAGTGAAGTATTTTTTTTTCTTTTTTTTTAGACCTCGTGGTTAAATAATGTTCCTCAACACACTTTTTTGCATTTTTGTTGAATTCTTGGCACACGTCAAATTTGGCGAAGATTCCGCCAATCCCGGTGGCGAATGGAAAAAACAAAACGACTACCATTGATTTTTATATAGGGTGAAATAGGTGGAAGTTTCAACGTTGAGCGTCTTTTTCAGGTTTTTGATACTCTGAAAAATTGCAGAATTCAAATTCGACGTTTTTTATTGGAAAAACCGTTTTATTTTGTTTTCTCTCCAAATAAAAAAACAGCAACGGAAATGCTATCGAATATTGGGGAAGAAGAACGGTGGCTGAAATTGAAAGACTAGGATTTAAAGGGGGGCGGGGGCTAACCTTTAAAATTATTTTTTAAAAATTAATGGAATTCGAAAAAAAAAAGAAAAATGAAAATTTTGTGGCGTCAAATAAAATGCACAAGTCCGCAATGCCATTTTTATAAGCTTCATATAGAAATTTAGAGTCTTCTCTGTGGAGATGAGTACAAATTAGAAATGAATATTGAAAAAAGGCGAAATTTAAACCATTGCGGACTTGTGCATTTTATTTGACGACAATAAGATTTTTCCCCTTTTTTTTCGATTTTTTATCTATTGTCGAAGTCAAACGACTTGACGAAATTAAAAAAAAAAATTATTGTGAGATTGCGTACATTGCATTATAGCGTACGCGCATTAAATATTCAGCCAATGAAAAATTTAAATCGACACAATTTCAGTCGTTTGACGTTTTTTTTTCCATCGTATTTTTCATTTTTACAGGCAACTGCCCTTTAAATAATCACCAACCTTCCATTAGAAGTAAATATTGTCGGTGTTCCAAGTACTTATTATAATAAAGCACCAAAAAACATGAAACGCTGAAATATAATTGAATGAATAGTACAATTTTTGCGGGAAGTATCAGCATTTCCAAGCTCCTATACGTCAGAACTTATAATTATCAACAAAAATAGGAAAACCTTAGCGATTCCCTTATATGGTATCGATTTGTTAAACTTGAGGTCCCATTCGTTTCTTTTATTTTCAATTGCTTTGTGATGTTCAAGAGATAGTTGTATATCAGAACAGCAAAGAATTGAAGTACCATTGCCATGGCGAGCGAGAATAATGTAAAATAGGAAGCGTCTCGATTGGACGCCAGACAGTAGACGCGAAGTGTGTCGAGCTTCGTTCCAGAATGCATTATCGTTAGCAACACAATTGTCAATATTGTCTGAAAGTGAAATTCGAATTTTTCGGTTTTATGCGCGTTTAATAGATTGAAATTCGTTTTGTCATTGAAATTATTGGAAAAATCGCGAAATCTGTGGGTTTAAAAAATTTGAGGCAACTCTCGACATTCCAACATATTTTCTTTCTCTGGAATAAGCGACTGAAATTAGGCGGACCCTTAAAATTCGAGAAATCGAAATAAATATTTTAATTTAAATTAATCACTTATTTAATATTAAATGCGAGTACGGTATCATGACAATGTACGCAGTTTTGCGTACGTCTCGCTGCCTTGATACGCACTGGCACGCGGCCAATAATTTTTTTACTTCGAAAATCGTTTTTTCTTTTTTTTTAAATAATGTATTTTTGAAAAAACTACCTGAAATATTAGTAGAATGATTCCCCATTTTTTATCCTTCTGATAGGTATTGATATGATGAGCGGCAATCACTCGCTCCATTGCAATTGTGAATAATGCACCGATTGAAAACCATATTCCGTAATTGTACATAACTCGAATATAAAAGCATCGTTTGCCGCTCGACAATATTGCGCACGCCGACGAATTTGGCATTGTGATGAGATAATCATACAGATCCCATCCGTGGTAAATTATTCTTAATTGATTTTTTCATTTTTTTTTTTGAATTTGTTCAAAAATTATAATTTTCCCCAACGAAACGAATAGATGTACCTGACTCCGAGGTGGAATAAAATGAACATTCCATAGGCGACGAGGAGGATTCTTGTATTGAGATGGAATAGCGGGTTGCGGCCAATTAGATATGTGAAATATGTCATTAGTGGAATTCCGATGATCGAAGATACAAAGTAAAATGACAATAAGAGTATTAAGGGCGTGTAAGTTGCGATATTGTGCATTTCATTACACAGCATTAGGATGTCCATGCTTTTATGCGTTGAAATTGATGATTTGAATGAGTAGTTAGCGCATTTCTCTAATTATGGTTTATAAATCCCATTGGAATTCTTGTTTTCAGCGTTTTCTTCGATAATTGAGTTGCACTGTTGTATTCAAATGACTCATGGGTGACGGGAAATTAAATTTCACCTAATCAGTGGGGATCTACGATTTTGACAATTCACTAATATGCATACACTTGCCTTTGTCTCGAGCCATCATGGAACCTAGCTAATTATTTTTTTAACGTTGATCGCAATCGAAAATACTTCATAATCAACATTGAATTTTTGAATTCCCGCGTTTGTGTGTTACACACACACCTCACGCAAAATTGCGGCCACAAAAATTGTGACATTTTTTTTTCGGAGGGATAGTTGAACGTCGGCTTCTGTTCTTCGAAATGGACGAATTCAAGAATGCATCCACCAGCATTCATCCAACCGAATCGAAGCGCGTGCATTCGAACGCCGCCGAAATCGAAGAATCATTCCGGAGATTGCTGAAAGTGAGTCAAGAAGCTGAAAAATTCAAAAATGTTGGGCAACATGAAGGTATGCTTCCAATGGTGTTCCCAACTCAAACGTTTTAAGATAATTCCGACGACGATTCGAATGAAGAGGACAAAGCGATTCCCGATGAGAATATCATCGAGCCAACATCACACGAGGAGCCATTGAAAAGCATCGCATCGCCCGAGTATATTCGAAAAGTCATTCGAGAAATGGATATTATGAGCGCCGAAATGCTCAGAGAGGCACTTGCTGCTATAAAAGTCTCAACAAGGTAAGAATTTACCCGTAAAAATTTAAAAAAAAAATAATTTTTTATTTTTTTAGTGGAACTAAAAGACAACTACGCAAACGGGTCGCACATTATTATCGCAAAGAAAATAGTCTACTGAATCGAAAAATGGATTTCCCCAATTCTGATAAAACATTTCGTCATTTTGATTATTTAATAGCAATCGATTTCGAATGCACATGTGTGGAGGTGATCTACGATTATCCGCATGAGATTATCGAGCTTCCCGCTGTTTTAATAAATGTTAAAGATATGAAAATAGTATGAAAACATTGGTATAATTTCAAGAATATTCGTTTTTAGGTAAGCACGTTTCGCACTTACGTCCGACCTGTCCGGAATCCGATTCTTAGCGATTTCTGCATTGCATTTACCAGTGATTTTTTTTTCAATTTTCAATTTTTGTGATTTCAATTTTTAGAAATCGCACAGGAAACCGTCGACCGCGCTCCCTATTTTCGCGAAGCCCTCGAATTATTATACGAGTGGATGCGAAAATTTGGATTGTCGGAAAAAGGGGTCCGATTTGCGTTCGTAACTGATGGGTTTTTTTTAATTTGGGCTCGATGAACCCACAAAAACTTGGATTTTCCAGACCGCATGACATGTGGAAATTCATGCAATTTCAATGCGCTCTTTCCGGAATGAAAATGCCGCACATTTTCCGATCATTTATCAATATCAAAAAAATTTTCAAGGAAAGACTACACGGATTAGTCAAAGGAAATGGGGTATTTCAACAAAAACTGACCGCTAAAAATCAATGGGGCGATTTGTTTTTCAATCAGAAATCTGGAATTGAGAATATGCTTGAAAAATTCGACTTGAAATTCGAAGGAAATAAGCACAGCGGACTTGATGATGCGAAGAATATCGCATATATCTGTTTGGAAATGATGAAGAGAAGAATTGAGTTGAGAATCAATCAGAAATGCGCTTATAAAGTGAATCAGTTGGATATTCTGGATGACGATGTAGATAGATGCGAATATATATATTTTTTGAAATGAAAAAAATTTAGGACGACGAAGTTGCCGACCATCGTTCGCTTGATATTTCGCAACGCGATTTTCAATTGTGGATGCGCAGATTGCCGTTGAAGCTTCAAACCGTGTCTCGCCGCGAATTTCTCAACGACGAGTACATGGATTGCGAGTCGTGCGACGATTTGACCGACGATCAGGTAAAACGCCGCTGGCATTCGCATCGATGCGACATGTTCCGAATTGAAAATGAGCAACCCGTCCGATCAATCCGATCAATGTGCCCTAGATTATCCGAGTGTCAAGTGCCAATTCCTGTCGGATCATTATAGAATTGATGTTTGAATTGATAAGAGAATAAAAAAGTTGATTTTGAAATGATATTGACAATTCGTGAAATTTCAGAATGAAGTCAATGAGTTTTCGAGAAAAATGAGATATCGCGAGGAAATTCGAATGAGAATTGACACCCAAATGGAAGAGGCACTTCAGGAGCACAAATCGAACAAAATCGACGATATTCAAGAATTGGGGTTAATTTGAAAAGGGTGAAAAAAGCAAACCTATATTGATTATTAGGAATGGTGGAGATTCGCCAATTTCTGATAGCTTCTCGGATTCGGATAACGCCGACGATGAAGACGAGGAAGACTTTGAAGCGCTTCTGAATACTCGCCAAACGCAAACTCATTGCGAAGCCGACATGGAATTGAGATCGGTTTGGAGTCGAAGCGATGAGAATCAGAATGGTCGGGAAATTTTGAAAAAACGAAACCTATCGATTTTCAGACCAAGCGCTTCAACGAGCCGATCGTCGACTATCCGATTCGTCATCGTCGGATTCAACCATTCTCGATTCGAGCTATGCGCATTGTCGACCGCAAACTCAAGCCGCCCCGAGAAACTCGCTGGCCAGCAATGGATATAGAAGGGGTTTTTAGACTACTTGAGCATATTATCGTGTACTTGAATCATGAATAATTTATTTTCGACCCGTTTCGATTTGATTTGAATTAGCTCGTCCAAAAAATAATTAGTTGTTCGTCGATCGACACACTTGAAACGAGAGGATGGCCATTAGAACCCAGAGGGGCACGAAAATGAGGCCGTAGCTCATTTGGACCTTCACCTCTTTGGTGTCGAACTCGCCGCCAATTTTCGACACCATGAGAACAGTGAAAGTGGCGCAGAGTGAGAGTCGCAAACAATTGAGTAGAAGTCTGCAAACAAATCGAATGGATAAGAAGAAGAGGAAAAAATGGGACCTTAAAAACGGCGATTTAAAATCTTTGTATTCGACGCAAGCCCTCATAAATATGATGAATAGAAAGTAGAAATTGATGGCAAATCCGGCGTAAACCGGCATGAAAATCATCATAAATTTGATATTTATGAGGTCGTGCAGTTTGAGCACCTGAAATATTTCGTAATTTTCCGAAAACCACTTCTTGTTTTTTTTTCTTTACTAATAGGGCCGATGATGCGAGAATTGAGCCAACGGTCACCCATAGCTCGAACACCGTGGTATCGGTCCATGTCATAAACTCCCGCAGTGTTATAATCATGCGTCCCGAAACTGCAAAAAGAAATGAGCCTGTGATTGTCACAAAAAAAGGCGTTGTTGAAAAATGCTTCGCGTTGTACAACTGACCATTGCGATGACTCATAATGCAACGTTTTCGCCGAAATAGCGCTTCGATCAATGAGATTGACGGACAATGGAAGAGATCGTTCGGAAAGGTACGTTCAGACGGCCAAATAGATTTCTAGCGTATGCGTGTCTGCGCTCTCTAGCCATTTAAAACGCTCTCGCGTTGCCTTTGTGAGGGCCCAGGACGTTTTTTTTCGGCCATAGAATTATTCATGTTTTGTTCTTCGCTTTTTTATGCACATGTGCAAAACGCCGCGATTTTTTGGACTATGAAAGTTTATTCAAATATTGATTTTTTTAAACCGTTATTTTAAATAGCATTTTGAAGGGGCCATGAAGTAAAAGGGAAAAGTTAATATTTTTATTTTACTAAGTATTCAATATTTAAAGATTAATATGTAAAAAGAACGATTTTAAGTGTTAATAATAACCAAAATAAAAATTAATCCATTTTTCCATAATTTCTCACTTCGGTACTGTATGCATATTTTGTGCATACACGTTAAAAATCTAAACGCATTTTTTGCATTCGTCATAGAGATTTGCAAAATAGCCGAAAAAGGCAATTTTGACAACTTCGAAAATCCGAAATCTATAATTTTAACATTTTTAATGGTATTGTAGAAAAATAACGAATGTGAAAAACTGCAGCGATATCCTATGCATTGTGTGCGTACACCGAGTCGGACATCTCCATCTACAGTAATCTCAATCGAAAAATTATTTATTTAGATTTTCCAAAAAAAAAAACTATAGAGATTGCGCCAAACGCTAGCTTTTTTGAGGCATTGAAAATTCCATTTTTGGCATTGAAAATTCCATTTTTTTAATTAATGACTTGTTTCAACTTGTTCTATTCATTATCAGCTCATTATTCTTCTTGTTAAGGAAATGGCATGGAATGGCATTTTTGTCTCCACCTTTTGCCATCCTATTTCTCTGTGTTTGTTCTCGACTCCCATTTTTCTTCCTCTTCATCTTCTCGTTTTTTTTCTGTGCCTCCCCCTTCACGTTTTGGCTTGTAATCGATACAGAAAACGAATTGCAGCGAGGGCGTGCCGAATGGAAGTCGACACGGTGCCGCCGAACGCGTCGGCTCAGCAAGACTACGACACGAGGCTGTTTCATCAGCAAGTCGTTCGCGACGCGAATTCCGGCTCCGAGTGCACGTTCACCATCCCGAAACGATATGTGAATTTGCGATATCTCAGCGCCGGCGCTCAGGGTACTGTAGTGTAAGTCGAACGACGTCGACGAATCGCTTAATGGATTCATTCGAATTGCAGCGCCGCTGACGACACGCAGACCGGCACTCAGGTTGCCATTAAAAAAATGCAACAGCCGTTTGTAATGACGATGTCCGCCAAGAGGGCCTATCGTGAATTCATTCTGCTAACTACTATAAAGCACCCAAATGTACGGAGGGCCAGACAAAAACCCATAGTAAAATTTTGTATTGCCATTTTTTTAGATCATTCAGCTTCTGAATGCTTTCACACCAGACCGTTCACTTGAAAATTTTAGAGAGGTTTATTTGGTCATGGAGCTAATGAATCACAATCTTCATGAAGTAGTGCATAGATTGAGGTGAGATAATTCTATATTTTGTTTCTTGAAAAAAAATTATGCGCTTTTAATCAATTATTTCATTTTTTTTAAAATTTAAAACACAATTTTTCTTAAAATTTCCAAATATTGAGAAAAGAAAATGCAAATTTGACTCAAATTGTACTTTATGTTTTTTTTGTAATCTGGGAATTTTCAAAAATATTATTTCGATTCCGTAATTCACAAAGTTAAAAGCTGGGTCTCGCAGCGGCAAATTTTTTTCTACTTTCAGACTAGATCATAAAACACTATCCTTTTTCGTTTATCAAATGTTATGTGCCATCAAGCATCTTCACAATTCCGGCGTTATTCACAGGGTATTTGATTGTTCTTTTTTTTTAATCTCAATAAAATCCTAAATTTGTTTAAAGGACCTTAAACCATCGAACATCGTTGTGAATGATCGGTGTATTCTCAAAGTTCTCGATTTTGGACTCGCGCGCAAAAAGAATGTCGACACGTCGATGAGAATGTCCGACTATGTCGTAACGAGATATTATAGAGCGCCGGAAGTGATTTTAGGAATTCCCTATTCCGAAAAAGGTGTTTCGAGAGAGAAAGTTTCTGAAAATTCAAAAAAAAATTTGTTTCAGTTGACATTTGGTCGGTTGGATGCATTTTCGCCGAAATGATCAATCACACCGTGCTGTTTCCCGGAAAAGATCGCATTGATCAATGGACGAAAATCTATACGGTGATGGGTTCGCCTAGCGAGGAATTTGTGAATCGTCTCGGCCAGAGTGCGGCCGTCTACGTGAGATCACTTCAACGAGCCTCGCCGACGCCGCTGATTGAAATCGTTCCCGATTGCAATTTTCTGACCGATACCGAGAATCCGCGAGTGAATTTGACAGGTTCGAAATTTTGCAAATTCTCGGGTAAATGAAAATCAATCGGATTCGAAGAAAAATTAAATATAAATTAACCTTTTTCGATTGAAAAATAATTCAAATTCGATTAAAAATCTTCGAAATCGATTGATTTATTTCTCATTCTCAATTTTGAAATCGTATTCGATTGAAATTTTGGAATAATTCGAAACAGATTAATTTACATTCGATTTAGATTGAAAAAAAATTATTTTCGATTGGTTTTCATTTACCTGAGATGCCACCTCTGGGTCTCGTATGGAAGAACTCAATTTCAGCCGCACAAGCTCGTGATTTACTATCGCATATGCTGAAAATCGATCCCGATGAAAGATTTTCGGTTGAGGACGCTCTCAATCATCCGTACGTCAAACTATGGTTTAAGGTTGAACATTTCCGTCTGAAAAAAAAAATGGAATGCCTGATTCTTGATTTTTAGGATGAGGAAGTGAACGCGCCAGCTTCTGAAAACCGCTACAATCAGGAAATTGACTTCCAGGACAAAACGCTTCTCGGCTGGAAAGGTACGCCAATTTTCATATCACTCGCGAGCCAATCCATTCAATTTTTAGAACTCATTTATCAAGAGGTGCAAAATTATCAAAACACTCACGACATTTTCCATAAATGAGTTTCGAAAAAAAAAAGAAAGAAACTCACTCAAAATTCAGTTTCTCTAGTCTTCATGCTCTCGGCTCCCCCTCAACTTCATTAAGCCAGCCATTGATTTGTTGTGATTTTTGTACAGTATGTTAACGTGTAAAATTTATACTCTGTTCGAAAAAAAAACTATTAATGAAATACTGGGAATTTCGAAAAATCGCAACATCTTGTGTTTTGTCTTTTTTTGCAATAAATCGAAAAAAAATCAATACATAAAGCAAAATACTCGTAGCATATTTGGTTGAAGACGTTTTTGATGCATAGGAGGGGCGAAAACAAAATATTGAAAGCAAATACTAATTATGGCGGGTTGACACTCGGCTTGGGTACCGGCCGGTGGCGGTGTCAAAAGAAAAATTAAAAAAAAATGAATTGAGACTAAAAATTTGATTAGCGCCGCTTTTTGCGCCATTCCCAGTCTTCTGGCAGGTCGCCGCGGTTTGCAGTACTGTTCGGATCCGTCATTTCGATTTGACAAGTTGGTCCCAACCATCCAGGCGCACAAGTGCATTGACCACTAGAAAAAATCGAGCAGAGTGAATTTACAATCTATATTGTTACGTGTTGGGATTGCACGAGGCTCCATTGAAGCATTGACACTTTTGGAGGCACGATTCTCCGTATCTTCCCGCTCTACACGTCTGCTCACATTTCGGACCATGACGTCCCATCGGGCAGATGCACGTTCCGTCTTGTGAGTTGCATCGGAACGTCGCGCAATCGCATTTTTGAGCGCACGCCGGCCCAAAATAGCCATCGTCACATTTTTGTTCGCACTGCAACGCAAATCTTTTTTTTATGTGTGTGTTGCAATTCAATTCACCTTATCGCCCTGGAATCCGGGAGGACAAAGGCAACGACCGTCGGCCGCGTCGCAATGAGCGCCGTTTTGGCACGAGCACGACTGCGAGCAGTACCATCCGTAGAAGCCTGACGGGCACGCGAACTGACATCGCGTCCCGTAGCGACCCGGCGGACAATCGCAGCAACCCTGCACCGGATCGCATCTCGCTTTTCCGTAACACTCGCAATCGAGTGTGCAATTCAGGCCGTATTTTCCCGACGGACAAGGCGTGTCGCAATTGGGTCCGGTGTATCCCAAATTGCATCGGCATTCGCCCGTCGCCGAATCGCAATGACCGTTCGCGCATCGGCACTTCTCTTTGCATCCGGCGCCAAATCGGCCTTCAGGGCATACTGAAAAAAGAGAAAGACAATGATGTCAGCGGATGTCGGTGAATCGGCTGTGTTACCCTGATTGCAATTGATTCCTGTGAAGCCCGGCGGACATCGGCATTGGCCGGTCAAACGATCGCACGAGCCGCCGTTCTCGCACGCGCATATCTTCTCGCACGTCGGTCCGTAGCGATCCGGCGGACACGCCACCTCGCATTTCGTGCCAATGAATCCCGGCGGGCAGACGCACGCGCCGCTCGCCGCGTCGCACACACCGCCGTTCTCGCACGCGCACAACTCGCCGCAATCGGCGCCGAATTTGCCCTGAACGCAGCCCGATTTGCAATCGGCGCCCGACCGGCCCGGTTTGCATAGGCATTTGCCGGTGATCGCGTCGCACAACGCGTTCTCGCCGCAATCGCACGCGTGCGCGCAATTCTCGCCGAACGTGCCGTCGGGACAGAGTTCGGTGCACGAGTGGCCGGCGTAGCCGCGCGGGCATTGGCAACGTCCCGAAATGTGATCGCACGCTTTGCTGTTGGCGCATCGGCAACTCTGCGCGCAATTCCTACCGAAATACCCTTTGAGGCACGCTGGAAATTTTGTTGATAATCCGATTTCTTTTTTTTTTGGCTTCTGCACTCACGTCGATTGCATTTCCGTCCACGCCATCCCGGCTGACACGAGCAATGCCCGGTGATATGATTGCAAATCGCGCCGTTTTCGCATTCGCAAATCTCATCGCACCTCGAACCGTAGTTTCCATTCGGACACGGCTTCTCACACCTCAAATACATTATCCAATAGACAATTTGCAAATTGGCTTTCTCACTTCTCGCCGGTCCAACCGGGCAGGCATTCGCATTTTCCGGTTTTTCTATCGCAACTCGCGCCATTCTTACAATCGCATTGTTGTGCGCAATTAATACCGTATTGTCCGAACGGGCACACTAAAACAATTCAAAATTCATGGATATTGGGGAATTTTTGTTGTCGCGACTCACAGAATTCGCAAGCCGGACCCGTCCAGCCATCAATACAATTGCACTCGCCGGTGACGCGATCGCATTCAGCTCCATGCATGCAAAGGCAATGCTTCATGCAGTTCGAGCCCCAAAGACCCGCCGGACATTCTAAAATAGCAAATATTCAATAGTTCCGAAGCGTTTCCCACTGTACCAGTTTCACAATTCCTCCCCATAAATCCCGGCGGACAATCGCAGAATCCAGTCACTCGATCGCAAAGTGCACCATTCGAGCATTCGCACGCATTTCGACATCCTTCGCCGTATCTGAAGACAACACAATATTCTAATTTCGACAATCGTGATCGCATCAGTGCCTTCCAGGCGGACACGGCGTCGCACAATCGGGTCCAGTCCATCCAGCTGAGCATCGGCATTCGCCAGTGATGTGATCGCATTTCGCGGCGAACGGATTATACAGCGACGTATCGTCTGTGGTAACTTGAATTTGGGGAAAATCACAAGAAATTACTTGATACGGCACAATCGCAAATCGCATTGCACTGATCACCGTAGCGACCGTCAGGGCACGGCCGGTCGCATTTTTTGCCTCGCCATCCTGGTTTGCATTGGCATTGGCCACTGACAGGGTCGCACTGAAATTGAAATTAATTAATTAGGTCCCAATTTACCGAGAGACCCAAGAAGGCAGTTCAAATGATACGGTAATAGATCCCCCCGCCCCCCCCCCCATATGCTTCATCGCATTCTGTTCGCTTCTAGACCCAAAGCGGCAATTCAAATAAAAAATTCCGTATTGAAAATGTTCTTACCGTTCCGCCGTTCTGACACGCGCACAATCCTTTGCATCCGGCGCCGAAAAATCCCGGCTCACAATCGTTCTCGCATTTCGGGCCCTTTTTGCCCGGCGGACAAATGCATTCGCCGTCGGACGGATCGCAATGCATTCCGTCGGCGCATTCGCATTTGCGCGCGCAATTTTTGCCGAACGTGCCCGACGCGCACGACTTCTCGCATCGTTTGCCGCTCCAGCCCGGCGCGCAATCGCACTCGCCGTTCTTCGGATCGCACAGCGCGCCGTTTTGGCACTTGCACAACTCCATGCAATCGTTGCCGTATCGACCCGACGGACACACCTCGCTGCACGCGGCGCCGTAGAAACCCGGACGGCATCGGCACGAGCCGTCAATTGGACTACATGAGGCGTCGTTCAGACAATGACACGTGTGCGCGCAATTCGGGCCGTATACCCCATCGGGGCACGCTGAAAATTTGAGAGAGGTTAACTGTGTGTGTATCGTCATGATCTTCATTTGACATATTCCGGAATGTACTCACGCAATCCGAACGCCAACTTTTTTGTTTACAGAAAAGAACTATGTCGATAAAATCAGTGGTGATTTGCTCAAAAAAATAATTGCAACACTATATTTAAGAAGAAGAAAAAAAATGACACAAACGTTGATCACAATTTCGACCGGAGAATCCGGGCATACACGTGCACGTCCCGGTGACATGATGGCACACTGTTGGCGTGTTGGTGTCGTTCGACGAACAATCACAAGCCTGCTCACAATCGTATCCGAAGTAGCCGGCCGGACATGCTGCAATCGGTGCGCTACTAGTGTGTGTGTGTGTGATCACAAGAAATGTGAATGTGCCCACAAATCAATATTTAAAAGAAAAAAAACATGTAAAATGTGGATTGCGGAAAAAAATGTTGGGTGCTTACGCGTCTCGCAATTCTCTCCAACGTATCCCGCCGGACATTTTTTGGTGCATTCGCCGGTCGCCGCGTCGCATCGAATCCCGTCGGCACACTCGCACTTTTGCGCGCAACCCACACCGAATAGGCCCGGCGCGCAATTGCGCTTGCACAGGACACCGTAGAAGCCGGGTTTGCAGAGGCATTTGCCGGTGATCGGATCGCAGCCATCCGAATGCTCGCGCGAGCACTTGCAAGGGAATCGGCAGTTTTTACCGAATGTGAACGATGGGCATGCCTGAATTTGATAAAAATAATGAAATTTAAATGATTTTAAAACCTTGTCGCAGTGTTGTCCGTAAAATCCTTCCGGACATGTGCAGTAACCGAACACCGGATCGCATTTGTTATCAGCGCACTGCATACGACATTTAAGATTGCACTGCGGACCATAATAGCCTGCAAAATAGTGTTCAAGTATTAGAGGCTAGCTTGAAGAAATATATTAAAAACCACCGATTTTGGTATTTTGGCTTAAAAAACAATTTATGTAATTTTAAAGAAACTCATTCATAATCAAAAATGGAGTAACGCGAAAATTTGGGTTTTGCGGCGATTGATTCTGATGGTCACCGTTTTTCTAATAAAATTTGCACCTACCACTTTCGCATGGACCATCGGAGCATTTGGTTTCATCTTCACATCTGCACGAGCCGGTCGTCGGATCGCAAAGAGCACACCCACATTTTTGCGAGCAACCAACACCCCACGTTCCTTGCGGACAAATATTCTCGCATGTGTCGCCGGTGTAACCGGCAGGACATTCGCAGTGCGCTCGGATTCCCGGCGTACAGCGTCCGCCGTTTTTGCAATCGTCACAAGTATAGGCGCATTTTGAGCCAAACATTCCCGGCGGACAATCTGAAACAGCAATTATTCCACTCTTATTTTTCAATGCGTCTTTTTTTCAAGGATACGGTACTTTTTTCGCGAAATTCAATTTTTCATGCAGTTTCTTTCCTTGTAAATGATGGAAAACCTCTTATTTTTCGTGCAGAACAATTTTTTAAGCACACATTTTCCCAATGCAAGCATGCAAAAAATGGATACATAATTAAATTTTTTACGTTATTTTTAAAAAAAAAGATAATTCCGTTATTAACTGCTATTTTTGTTACAAATAATATATAAATTAATACCGTAACTTTGAAAAAAAAAACGCGTATTTTGCATAGGAAATAGATTGGATTTTTTCTAAACAATTTTTTATGTCGCTAAATTTCCTAATTAAGCCAATAAAAAAATAAAAAGCTTCACAAAAAAAGCCAAGCAACCTTTGACGTTTCGCCGCCTTCCGAACACTAGCGGCTTCTCCTCGTCCTTCGGATATGTCTCGATCGATGAGATAACCTCGTCGAGCTCGTCGAGTTGATGATTGTCGGCTTCTAAAAAAGGCAATGCAACATAAGCCAAGTTTTCGAGGCGTGCGAAATCAAAGCACACAAAATCGACATTCTCTAAGAAAACATTACAAACAAATGTGACGACTCACCGCGAACATCAGATGAGGCTAGAAAATTTCGAATTGAGCACGAAAGAAAAAAAAATCCAAGAACGAAATGAAGTCTTACCAACGCATGTTTTGCCATCACTGGCGAGAATGTAGCCGACAAAACATTCGCAACGTCGAGTGCCTTTATCATTACGGCAAAGCTGACTGCAGCCACCATTGTTGTCAAAACACTCGTTCGAATCTAAAAAAAATCATCGCTATTTTAATTTATCGATTCCCACGTTTACAATTTCTAATAGGTTTCTGCCAAAAAGTTGTCGAAGGTTTGCAAATTTCTTTAATTTTTTTTTACGATGGACAGCAAAGTCTTGCCAGTTCTTTCCGCCCCTTTCCCGAGAACTACTCAAATCGAAATTTGAATTAGCGACAAAAATGGTCACCAGAGGAGCTTGCATTTTTTCTGATGAGATGAATTTCCAGGTTTCAAATGACTGATTGAATTGTGGAAAAAAAATATATTGCCGAACAGCCGCGATGACCAGCGGTAAATTCAAATTTCGTGCAGCTCCGATCGAGCCAATTGATGATATTAATATTCTTACCATGGCATGTATGGCGGTCTTCAGCAAGCTCGTAGCCAGGCTCACAGGCGCATTGATAATGACCTGGTGTATTGTTGCAAATCTGCTGACAGCCAGCATTATTGTTGACGCATTCGTTAATATCTTAAAATATATCCAAAGTAATGAATCTTTTTATTTTTAAGATTGCCGGCATACCTTCACACGTTTTCCGATCGTAGGTTAGCATAAATCCTGACTTGCATTGGCACTCAAATGAGCCGGCGAGATTGATGCAAATATGCTCACATCCACCATTTTTATTGGCGCATTCGTTAATATCTGAAACAAGCAGAATATGAATTAGAAAAAAAACACGGGACCACTAATCACAAAAGACTGTCTACAACCCAAATTTTCAAACAAAATGTTGTGCTCGCTATTGTATATTGCTACTGTGCGGAATTCACCGTCGCATTGGTGGGTTCCCACCAACTCGAATCCGCTGTCGCACACGCATCGCACTTGGCCTGTCGCGTACTGCATACAGAGATGATGGCAATCGGAGTCGCGAGGACTCACACATGAGATTGGCTCCCATGGCTGTGTCAGCGACACTTCTTCAACGCGATATTAGGCGAATGGCGAGGCTTGGAAATTCGCGAAAAAAAAAAGAAAGCAAAAATTTGCCGCCCTACCGTAGCACAATCGTTTGTCGTCGGCTAACGCGTAGCCCTCACGGCAATCGCAAATGTGTCCACCGTCGGGCTGATCATAGCAGTTGTGCTGACAGCCTCCGTTGTCCACCTGGCAGCCAGACGGCGCTTCTTCACAGTGTCGCCCGTCTTCCGCCAATTGGAAGCCGTCTTTGCATTTACACTTGTAGGCGCCTTTTTCGTTTTCGCAATAGTGCTCACAACTATTGGCTCTCGCGCATTCATCAATATCTGCAAATTTTTTCTTATTTCCCCTATTGTCATGGATTGACGAAATTGATAAATTTGAATTGCGCTTGCGACACTTTTTCAAACCATCAAAATGCTACGACGTCAAAAAATCCTACGAGTTTGATTTGCAGGTTAACTGTAGTACGGTAATCAAATTCTCACTGTTTAAATTTTTGAAAAATGAGATGGTCCACATTAGTCAAGGGGCTCGTTCAATTTTGCAATAGTAATTCTTGAAAATCATCAAAAAATTATTATCCTTCACCTTATGATGGTTAAATTATACAGAAACTGCTCACAGGGGGAGTATTCCAAACGGGACCCAATTAAAATTATAATTGAATCACAAGCTTTTCTTACGCGAATATTTGTTCTTGATTAATTTCCTTGAATTCCTAATGTCAGTTAACAATTATGAAACCGAAACCCTAAAATGCGAAATAACCATAGAATCTGTGTGAGACCATAGCGAAATGTACAGAAATCACCAGGCGCCGACTATATCTAGATATATTTTTTTTGAACGCACCAACACAAGAGACCCGATCATAAGATAGCTGAAATCCGGGATAGCATTGGCATTGAGCTCTTCCGTGATTATTGGTGCAATGATGTTGGCAGCCTCCATTGTTGTCCAAACACGGATCCAGCGCCTGGCACGATCGTTTGTTTTCAGCAAGCCGATAGCCCGACCGACAATGGCATCGATAGAACTTCCCATCGGCGTCGTTTTCGCATTCGTGCTCGCAGCCGCCATTCGCGACGGCGCAAGATGTCACTTCTAAACAAATTATCATTCATCGGGTCAAGTGCTCTCGAATAACCTCCGCAATTTCTGCCATCAGCGTGCAAGTAGAGTTCCGATGGGCAATCGCATCGAAAGCCCCCTTGTGTGTTGACACATCGATGCGAGCAACCGCCATTCAGTGTTGCGCATTCGTCAATATCTGAAACAGGACAACAATCAGAATCGATTGGCCGTCGGCTCGGACGAACCAATGCAATGATTCTCGCTGTCCAACTCAAATCCCGGCCAGCATCGACAATAAAATGTGCCAATCGTGTTGACACACTCGTGCTCACACCCGCCATTGTTTATCATACATTCATTGACATCTGTAAATCAAGAATAATCTGGATTCCGTTGAGCACCTCAACAAAACCATATTGGCACTTCGCTCCAGTGAATCCACTCGGACATTCACATATATGTGATTCTGAAGATGTCGAAGGTAGGCAAGTGCCTCCATTATGGCATAGATCCGATGAGCAGTTGGCTAAACAAGACTCGAATTTCCTGTCGGCTAATAAGGCGTTCGGTTTTTCGTTCTAACATTTCAAAACAAACACCACACAATTCAACATGTGTATCCATCTCCATCCAATCAATCTCAAATGTCACAAATCTGTTGGGGGTCCGCCGAGCGCAAAATTTGCATAAAATTTCAATGGTGAAGCGTTTTGTCTCGCAAAAATTGACGACGAAATTGCTCACGCATAAATTTTTGTGGCACCTCGAATTTGAAATGGCCCATTTTAATCGAGTGGCGCGTTTTTTTTGTGACGTTCTCGCGCACATCTGCCTTTTAAGGACAAAAGGGTGAGCATATGTTGAACACGATAATTGCTGAGGCATTTCTTTTATGGCAGAATTCCATTGTTTCCATCGCATTCAAAAGGGACACTGGCGGTTGTTAATTAATAATCATATTGGCAAACCCTCGAGCAGGTGTGAAACATTTTACGGTTTACTATGTATTGAAAATAGGGATAGTAGTTTAATAAAACAAAAAACTGCATTTTGTGAAAACAATGCGAGATTTGATTAATTTTGCATTTTCAATTCAAAATCTGAAAAAAAGAAACTTCTGTACGATTTCTTAATAACTACACCTAAATTAATAACAATATGATATAAAAATTCGATCGATAAAAAATTTACGATTATTAAAACAAGAAAAGTTGAATAATTCATCAAACGCTTCGACGTTAAAAAAAAATTAAAAGTAGTGCAAACACTACAACGCAAACATGCACAATTCTCAAAATTGCGGGAATTTCTATTACAAAATCCTATTAAATTATTTGCTATTCAATTCTAAACCAAATGCTAAGCTTAATTGCTCGAGAGGTTGCCAATAACATTCACCCACCCCCTTCCCTTATTAGCAAAATCGCATGTTATAACAATTATCGGCGCGCACTTCAAAACGATAATAAAACAACTGTCGCGGCCAATTGGCACATTGCGCGCGAAATTAGCATAATCAGAAGGCAGATGCTCATGGTCGACGTACCGCGTTGACAGCCATCGTCGCCCGGCTTGTGTATCCATCCGGGACAGCATTCAGCGACGGTGTGACGCCTCGTTCGATTCACTTTTTTGTATGTATGAAAGTAAACGGTCCTGAAAATCGTTGTTGTTGTTGTTGTCGTCGTCGTTCTCATTTTTTCGTTCGCTCATTTGGTTTCAAAACGTGCTCTATATAATAAATAGCCTTGAAACAAAACTTGCGCCATGTGCGCTAATCTAATAAACCAGCGAGGTACGCGCGACTAATTATAGGTGTCAGAAGGACTTGGCGAGATAACGACAAAAAGGTCATGAACTCATACTTTGGCTGACGAACCGCGCACGTCTGGAATTTGCCGTTGCATCCCGGCTTGCGACTTTTCACATATTTCGTGTAGGCTTGAATGCATGGCTGTTTCAGCGTGACAATCTCAACCTCCTCGTGCGGACACACGTTCTTCCTGCAAACAATTGTTCTCATCGATGTTTGTACTAGATAATCACCGTTTTTTTATCGATTTCTAATGATGATTTATTCGTCGGCAAACAGTTGAGAAAGAGAAAAAAAAGATTTCCCCCACCCACTCCCCATTCTCCTATTATAGAACAGTATGGACGCGTAAACGAAACGAAATACGCATTGCGTTTCCTTAATGTGTATTTGTAGGCAATTGCGCGTTAAATCGAGTCATGTATATATTTGTACAGTTTTATTACCACTTCAACACCAACCCTGCCTGAGGCTTTATGTCTTTGATACACGATGTTTGCTAACTGGGGGTGGGATTAAGGAATACGCGGCTCGTTCGCAACGCAATTTGTCAAAACGGGATTAGAGGAGACAAATGCAACAGACCGGGGGGTTTAAACTGTCAAAAAAATTTTTTTTTTGGTGTCAGACCCCATCAATCGTTCATAATTCCAAATTCCCCCCCCCCATCTGGCGTACAATAGTGATAAACGTGACGAATCGAATTGTCTTATATAATATTCAATTAGGTGCTGGGGGTCACATAAGACCCTTAGGGGGTCTCAAATTATTTGTTTGCATATTCATGTAGGAGCACACGTATTAAGAAGGCATTCGGTAATGTTTGCCGGCTGCGATTAAATTACCTGAACACATTGGGTGTGAGTTGCACCACACCTAGTTGTGCAATGGTGATCAATCAAAAAAAAGAGAGAGAGAGACTAGCCACCATATGGGGGATGGTTTCTTTTTGTATACCTCGCCAATTTCGAATTCCAATCAAATCACCTTCGATTTCATATTGTCGTATTGAATGTATGCAAATTGAATTGGGGGGGGGGCCCCGGTGTTTTGTACTAATTCATATTTGAGGGCCAGCCGCGAAAAGTTTTTGCAAGCGCGCGCCCAGCGGGTGGTCCCGTAAAAGCTCTCGCCAATTTTCGTTTGGTGCCTTTCGCTTTTGAATCGAATCATACATCAATTCGTTGATGAATCGCATATTTCGGATTGGAATTCGCAAAAAACCGCAAAACGACATTGCGCCCTCAATCGTCTCGCCTTCGCATTTCGATGATATGTATGTCAATGGTGAATTCGTTTCCAAACACTCACTGTCCTAATCGAAGCTCCTGAAGTTGAACGTCGACGAGTTGGCCGGCGTCGTTGAAGCTCAACGCGGCGCACGCCAATAGTAGAATGATTTGAAGCATTGCTCAATTGTCGATGCACATTTCGGTCGAGTGGATATCTGAAAGCCGAAAAAAAGAAAATAGAACGAATAAATTGAAGACAATCAGTGGTGGTGTGCACAGCACTATGAGGATGGTGGATGGGAAAATGAATAAAGGTGGGCGGAGTCGAGGGGCGGGTGGCGTACGCCTCGCTGACCACCACCCAATTCGCGCGGCGCACCACTCACAACGACACCGAGAGTCAAAACGGAGATGTTTGAGGCGGTTGGAAGTCGGAATTCTGGCGAAAAGTCGCTTCAACTGGATTTGGGGAAAATGGTTTTTTTTTTTCAATTTTTGAATTTCTCAAAATTATCTAAAAATGGAATTTTGAAAAAATTCCATTAAAAAATTGGAGAAGCCTCATTTTTCAATTTTTTTTTTAATTTTGAAATTGAAGAATTTCTTTAAAAAAAATTGTTTCTCTAGAAAAATCGCAATTTTAATCTAAGCTTGTTTTTTTTAATTACCCAATTAAATAATTTTATATTTCTGCCATTTTTGGGAATCTGGTGTCGATTTACGGGGGATGCGTCTTTCATGTGGTCTCGCGCGGATAATTTAATTTTGACGTTGGAAATTCAGAAAAAAATGTCACGCGTGGCGAGACCTTTTTCAAGGCGCAACTATATTAATTAATTTAATTTAGTTATAGCGAATTGGTGCGGCAAAAAATCGTCCAATTTTAGTTTTTTTTTTCTTTTTCACTGACCAAATATTTGCTATCACATAACATTAAATGCATAAACCTCGAGAAAAAATTTTTTTTTGGATTTTTCTTTTCTGGCAACCACCCAACGCCAGAAATTATAGGGTGTACAAGTCCACCCAGCATGTAGAACCCCCCTCGACATGAAAAAAGTTTTTTTTTGCTTGCCAGTAAGCATGCGTTTTGTGTCATTGGAAGCATTTTCTTTTTTTTTTTTTTGAGAAGACAAAGGAACAATGGAAGATGCAACATTTCCGAATGATATTTGTTTATATAAATATATTTTTTGGCAAAAAAAACGAGAGAACGTTGGCAATGTTACCGTAAACTATACTATATAATTTATGGCCAAAACTAAGCATCTACAGAACACACAAAAGAGTTGAGGAGGTATGAATGTAACACAAGGGGGTGGATGAATCACAATACCGGACATGTTCATGGGAGAGTTGAAAACTCCATATTTGTTATTTTTCAGAATTATATATTTCTTGCTAATGAAATTCATCCTTTCGATTATTAACGAGACACAGACAGCAAAAGAGTTCGCCCCCGAGCGGGATCGAACCCATGACCTTCACAGTTTGAATCCAAAAACTTCTCCACTGCGCTACTATGCACACAATGCGTAGACTATAAGTTGGTTACAAGTGCTACACAGCGCAGCATTTGCCTTCGGGTTAGCTGCGGCAAAAAAAGACAAAAATGCTATAATTCTTTATATGGACCATTTATTACAAAGGTCCATGTTTGCGAGATTAAATCGAATTGTCCCACATTAAAAATTTTTTAGAAAGAGCATAAGATAAGCTTTTGATGCTACAAATCATTTTATATTAATAAAACGTTTTGGCCGGAAAAAAAATTCAAAAAAAATGAGAAGTCGGCAAAAAACTAGGTTTTGTCGAATTTCCATTAAAATAGCAAGGTTTTTTAAAATTCCCTTCTTTTTGTATTATTTAAAACCAGGAAATGAAAAAGAATTGTGGGAAATCAGAAGGTGTCACGATTTTCGTGTTTTCTTTTAAACTTTATTTTATTACCAATGCATTATTATTATTCGTACGTCTTATTACTATTATTATTATTATTATGGGTCGGCGTGGAATGCAATTTTCTCGTATGACACGCCGGTACAATTTTTTTTGCACGCGCCTCACCTTCCTTCTTCTTCTTCTTCCGCCCCCCCCCCACCCATTCTTCCTTACAAGCTCAAAACTCAATGAAGCTGAAACGTGCTCGAGTTTCCGTTCTCATTCGAAGCGAAAGAATGTTGGTGAACTTTTTTGGAGCCCCCCCCCACACCATTTTTTGTTGGACCCGCTTACCCTCCCCATTATTTTGCCCGAGCGTATAGATAGCAAGCTATCGAGTTGCCGACGAGGGCAAATCGCGTTGCTTTAATTTCCGGAAATTCGGATCAAGTTTTTCATTCACTGAAATATCATCATCATCATCGTCGACGTCGCTTAAGCCGTATACTGTAGAATTGATGTTCTCTGATTCGTTTTATAACCGAAAATTTTTTTTTTCAAATTTTCATTTTTTTTTCTCGTCTCCACAACAATTTCTGGAAAACTCGAATGTTGACTCGACGAAAAAATTTATTTTCGTGTGTTGGTTCGCCATTTGAACACAATTTCTTTTTCTTTGCTTGTTGCCTAATTTTCAGGTTGCTATTTCTTAGAGGTTTAACAAAATAGAAAATCAAAAAAAAAATGAAATTTCGGCTTGAACGATTTTTTTGAATTACGCGCGCAAATTGAAAATTTTGTTTTGAAATTCAATTCTAAAAAATCGATATTTAATTGAATAATTTTCGCGGATTGCCCTCGGTTTTTTTAATCTGGTGACGAAATTAAATGTGTGCACAATTGCGTCGGTGTGTGCACAGACAAAACCGTAATTCGCTTGTTTCATTGATTCCATCGTCCAACTTCAACTTTTTTCGACGAATTTAATTTTGAAGGGTTTGAATTGAAATGAATAAGTTGCCTAAAAATTTTTCAATTATTATTTCAATCAAATTATCTATTTATGAGGCCAATGCAGGCAAAAAAAGACAAATTTTAAAAAATTCCATATAAGGCATTAATTATTAATTATGTGCTCAAAAGGTAAAAACAAACTATATAAATGGTTTTGAAAAATCAAATCGGTGTATTTTTGTGTCGCGGTGTTTGCACACATCTTCTCGCGCTGTCACATTGTGTTAAAATAATTTTCCAACTTTTTAATAACTCAAAAATTAAAAAATTATGATTAAAGACCAGAAGTGATGATAAAATGTTGAGAAAAGTCCGCAAACACCTATGGTTATTTTGGCGGCAATTCAAAAGCCTCTCTCATTTCTTCGAAATTTCGAAGACACCGCAGGTCAGATTGAAATGTAATTAAAAATAAAAATTGGCCTTGTGCCAATGGGTCTCGAAGCGAACAGTGCGCACATTTAATAAGAGTCCCCCGCACACCCAATCAGTCGTTTGAATTTGACAATAAAAATAGTTGAAAAACATTTTTTGATTCTATTTTATTATTATATGATTATACTATTTATTCGCAAAATCGTTCTAGAAAAAAAAAATAACGAATTTACGCGGGGTTTGATTTATTATTCGCGAAAACACAACAAAAAATTTGAGAGAAATTTCAAATCGCACATTTTCGCGGCGAGATTTTGGTCACACGTCACCACGTGCGCCTTTAATTCATTTTGTAGTGTCACAAGAAATATCGGAAAGCTCAAAACAAATTATTCTTGTTATTTGTTTGATACGCAGCCAAATCGATAATTATTAGTTCAAATTCTTCCCCCATTCTGTGTACTCCACACGGACAATATCATAAATCACCGGCTTTCAGTGAGATCCCCACATTCTACAGAATAGCGTGGCTTCCAAAAAAAAATTGATGATCTCGGTGTACTCCACACGGACAATTGCAGAAAATATGTGGTGTGACTTGAAAAACAATTGGCAATGAGTTGTGCTTGTGTACTCCACACGGACAATACCGTAAATCGACACCAATCCCTTAAAATGATTCCAACAATGCGGAATACAGCGTGTCGTGAACAATGATCGTTTGATGATTGCCTGAAACCGGTCGTCGCGTTTCCGGAGCCAAATTTGGGCGGAGGGGGGCTCGTCTCAGCGACTGATTACGACGACGACGACGACGACGAGCAACAGGACGATGCGCGGCGGCGCGCGGACAGCTAACCGCTCGCCTTATCCCAATCGCAAATAAGCGGCCCGCCACGCTCATTATCATTTTTCGTTTCAGGAGCCCTTCCTGCGGCGGCCCCCGGCCGGCCGGCCCTTATTCGAGCTTCTCCGATTTCAATCAACTTTGAGGCGCCCCGACGAAAGGTCATGCTCTCAACGATGAAGGCAAAAATCCAAGTTCTTGATTGATCGTGACGTCACCACCATTCTTCTCCATCATCTTTTTTCTTTTTTCTCGCCTTCGTTGCAATTTTATAGCGTGCCGCCGCAAGTTGCGGCAACACACAAAAAAAAAACTCAAAAACAACCAGGACCCCCCCCCCCATTCCAACCTTGGAAGAGAGGGAAAAAAGGAAAAGAAGGTCCCCCCCTCCCTTTCACACAAAAACGTAGGTTTCCTGCGATTATGCGCCGTTTTGGAAACCAAATTTTTATATACATATATACTATATATGGTATATTATATATATCAACCCAACTAAAAAAAAATGCAAATTCATTGACGCAAATTTCTGCACCTGTTACGTCGGGAATTATGCAAATTTGAGGATTGTCATGTTATATTTAATGTTCGACAATATTCAGAATACCACCATCATCGGCTTCAATTCGATATTTCCTTTTTTGTTCATTCTGTTCTCGTCAGCCGCACTTGAAAATGCATTAGAGAGAACATTTTTTGATTGAAAATTTGATGGATTTACTTAACTCGTTTAGTTTTGCCGTCAAAACACGCCCCATAACATTTTAATTTCATTGTCGGCGTCAAACGAGATTTCGCAAAAATTATTGCCTAGATTGCGTACAATGCATTATAGCGTACGCGCATTTAATTTTTAAATCAATACTTCAAACTTTTTAATATCAAATTACGCGCTCATCGAAAATTGGAATGCTTATCAAATTACGAGAAATGGTAATTAAGTTCAATTGTTGTTGCTTTTTTTTTGAAAAAATTTCGCCTGGCTGAAATTTCATTGATAGAGATTGACAAAAAATTAAATTTGATCAACTCAATTTTTTTTCCAAGTTGAAATAATCTGAAAAAAAGATTTTTCTTGCATTTCGTGGTAAAAAATGCAATAAATTTTGCGGAAAATCTCGTTATTTTTTAAGACAGAATCTCGAAATTTAGAAAATTTGGAAAAATATATATTTCGCCTTCAACAATGAAAAAAATTGTTTCGTTTGTGTGCAAACACCGCGACGCAAAATCACGTACTCTACATCTTTTCGACATTTCACCTTGTTCATAATCAATGCTTCGAATAAGAAATTCTCACCAAGGTCGAATCAATCTCATCTTATCATCAATATCTCTAGCTAGCTATCATCTACCATTTCGGGAGGGGTGTGGCGGTGGCCACTCATTCAAATGCGAGATTCGTGTGTCGAGTCGTCTTGGCAACGACGTCCCATCTAATTCTTTTCAAGATTTCGTCGTCGCGCTGAAAACTTTCCTCACCCCCCTCTCTCGCCTTATATGTCGCATCGGCGCTGATATAGAGAAGTAGGGGGATGGCGTATACATGTATGTGATTTTTTTTGTTGCGCTAGCGCGCCGGTGAGAGCGTGACCAAGAGGGTCGCGACGAGACGGAAATGCGAATTGATAGTGGTGAGGCTCCAAGAACGCGAGAAAGAGTGTGCATTTCATCACCCCCCCCCCTCTTCATTAGTTTTTTTTTATATTCACATAAATGTATTCGACGACTCGCTTCTACGCCCCTCACCACCCCAATATGGTTGGCTTGTTGCCTGGAATGCTCATTTTTGTTTAAATGCACTCTCTCACCATTTCCGACAAATTCATTTCACCGTTGACGGAAACTAATTAGGCCTGACAACAGCTCAGTTAGTTCTGATGGGTACCAAGAGATTAACGTGGCCGGCTTCTTCCATTTTTTTTGCCTCCTCGTCTTCTTCTTCTTTTTTTTTCGAAGGCCCCCCCCCCTCTTCAAGCAATCATCACACGCTAATTATACTTAGATGTGCTATACGAAGAAAACTACTATCAATAGTGGATGGCGATTGAACTTCGGGATCGGTGAACAGAATGGAGGACGATGTATCCATTTCTCTTCACACCATCCCACTATCATAACCGTGTCTCATCGGGGGGTCGTGTGTCGATTGCAACAATATTTCAAATATTGATTATTCCATTGTTTTCCCGAAAAACGTTTTTCCGATATATACACATTATTCGTTTGGTATCGATACAAAAAAATTGCATTTTGTAGTTAACTTGGTGTGACGATGCCACCATCACAGCACTATGAGTGCACCACAGCCGAGCTGCGCTCGCTTATGGAATTGCGAGGAGCCGAAGCGCTTGACAAGGTAACCATCATAGGGGGTTGAAATTAAAAAAGAAAAAAGTAAGAATGATATAAAATAGGGGAACCAAGGTAATAAATTTTGTAATTTTTTTTTGTTGCGCGTCCTGGATGAAACCAGTTGCTATCAAATTGCATTTCTCCTAATTTGATATAGTGATGTACTTGAGACCAAAAATTTGTTTCGACTGAAAATAATTTCTATCCCTTTTTTCTCTTCTTTTTTTGTTGGTAGAACTGGTTGATAGCGGTTGAAAAATTGGGGGGAAAAGTGCGAAGATTAGCACGAGAGAAAACATTCCACGCAATTACCATAAACACGAACTGGTTGGGTTTCGTTCATTATTTCTTTCTCTCTGTTTTTGTCTCGAGACCCCCCCCCCCACCACCTATCTCGTGTACTAATAGGATTACATGCATTCGATTGCAGATAAACACGACGTATGGCGGTGTTGAAGGTCTCTGCCGTCGGCTGAAAACCGATCCGGTGAACGGAATCAAACACGATGCGCAAGAATTGAAAAGCCGACAGGAAGCGTTCGGCAAAAATGAGATACCGCCGGCACCGTCGAAGTCATTCTTTCGACTCGCTTGGGAAGCTTTACAGGTGATTCATATTTGAAAAGAAAATCGCCTGAAATTTTGATGTTGAATTTTTTTGTTAAATTCAAAAATTTGTTCCTTTTTTTGGTGTGAAATGAAATGTGTGCAAAATTGCGTCAGTGTGCAAACAGACAAAGTGGGAATTTGCGCGTTTTGAAATTAATTAACTACAATTTTTTAATGAATTAGATTTTACTGAAAGATATGAATATGAATCATTCAAAATCATTTTGGACCTATTCATGCACTAAAAAGGGTTAAAATTTCACATTTCAATGTGTATCTTTTTATAATTTTTTAATAAAAATGTACGTTTCATTAATAGGTTAATACTTTATGATTTCTTCATAATTTTCGCGATTTTCCTTTGTCTGAAAATTGTTTAACGAATAATCGTAATATTTCAGGATATCACATTAGTCATTCTTCTAGTAGCTGCGCTTGTATCCCTTGGATTATCATTTTATCGTCCTTCCGAGGAGCACGCAGGCAAACATCAATTATTAATGGGCTCGTTGAAATCGAATCGGGTTTTTTTGCAGGAAATGATGCATCCGAGCAGGAAGCCGGATGGATTGAAGGCGTCGCCATCCTTGTCGCCGTAATTGTCGTCGTTTTGGTGACAGCGCTAAACGATTGGACGAAAGAGAAACAATTTCGAGGTTTCGGGTGTCGCTGAATCATTTTGTTGAATCAATATTTTGTTGTAAGGTCTCCAATCGAAAATTGAAACCGAACACCGGTTTTCCGTGATTCGAAACGGCGAGCCAATCGATGTTGTCGTGAATGAGCTGGTCGTCGGTGATGTTGCGCGCGTGAAATACGGCGACCTTCTACCAGCCGACGGCATTCTGATTCAGTCCAACGATCTCAAAATCGACGAATCATCATTGACGGGCGAGTCGGATTTGATTCGCAAATCCGAGGATTTCGATCCAGTGCTTCTCTCGGGAACCCATGCGATGGAAGGCTCGGGACGAATGTTGATCACCGCCGTCGGGCTCAATAGTCAAACCGGCATCATTATGAGTTTGTTGGGCGCGACAAAAGAGAAGAAGGATGAGAAGAAGGAGACGGCGCCGCCATTGACCGTCGGCAACGGCCTCGCGAACGGCGACCAAAAAGGCGCCGAAGCCGTCGCCGTTCCGGAAGAAGACGAGATTGGAAGAATGTCGAAATCCGTTCTTCAAACCAAACTTTCAAATTTAGCTTTGCAAATTGGATACATAGGCATTGAGTATTGATGGTTCGCCTCTAATTGTGTGATTTATAGGATCGATTGTCGCCGCCGCCACCGTTCTCATATTAATCATTCGGCATTGCATATCGAAATATGCCATCGAGGGCCATTCGTTCCAAGCTTCTGATATTTCGCATTTCGTCAACTTTATCATTATCGGCGTGACCGTATTGGTGATTGCTGTGCCCGAAGGCCTTCCGTTGGCCATCACACTGGCATTGACGTACTCGGTGAAAAAGGTTGGTTGGTTGTCGCGATCGAACCAAATTGGCTTATCAATACTGCAGATGATGAAAGACAATAACCTTGTGCGACATTTGGATGCGTGCGAGACAATGGGAAATGCCACCTCGATTTGTTCCGACAAAACGGGAACATTGACAACGAATCGAATGACATGCGTTCAGCAATACATCAATCGTAACACATTCGATCATTTGATTGTCGTTCTCATGTGGTTTTTTCGTTTTAAACAGATCGCTTTTACAAAGGGGAAGTGCCGAAGTTTGAATCGTTGGATGCGGTCACACGCGATTTTCTGTTTACTGGAATTGTGGTGAACGCCGGCTACAGTTCGCAGGTGATTCAACCGTCAACGCCCGGCGAGCAACGCCAACAATTGGGAAACAAGACCGAATGCGCGCTGTTGGGATTCGTTTTGGACGCCGGAAAGAACTATGAGGATATTCGGAAGGAGTACCCTGAAGAGAAACTCTATAAAGTGCGGACTTCAATTTCAAAAAAAAAAATGCTCAATTTTTGATGATTCTAGGTGTACACGTTTAATTCGTCGCGAAAATCGATGATGACTGTCTTGGACCTCGGCGACAACAAATTTCGAGTTTACGCAAAAGGCGCCTCGGAAATCATTCTGAGCCGATGCACGCACATTTTTGGCAAAAACGGAATCGTCGAGAATTTCGGACCGGCTCAAGTCAACGATTTGACGCAGCGCGTCATCGAGCCGATGGCCTCCGACGGCCTTCGTACCATTGGTTTGGCGTTCAAAGACATGGTGCCGGCCGGCACCAAGGCGAACGACTTCGAGGAGGAGTACTCGGGAGACATCGATTGGGATAACGAGGAGAAAGTGCGCGAAGGGATGACGGTGATCGCGATCATGGGAATCCAGGATCCGGTTCGTCCCGAGGTGCCGGCGGCAATCGAGAAGTGCCAAAACGCCGGAATCACGGTTCGAATGGTGACTGGCGACAATATCAACACGGCGCGTTCGATTGCGACGGCGTGCGGAATTCTCAAACCAGGCGCCGACTTTTTGGCGCTTGAGGGAAAAGATTTCAATGCCAGGTACCACAAACTCCCTCAATATTGGACCCTCCTCATTATGATTTTGTAGAATTCGCGATGCCGACGGAAAAGTGAACCAAGCGAAACTTGATCAGATTTGGCCGAAACTTCGCGTGTTGGCACGCGCTCAACCGTCCGACAAATACGTGCTTGTCAAGGGAATCATTGATAGTAAGAACACGAAGAATCGCGAGGTCGTCGCGGTGACCGGCGACGGAACGAATGACGCGCCGGCGCTTAAGAAAGCCGACGTCGGATTCGCGATGGGAATCGCTGGAACCGATGTGGCGAAAGAGGCTTCCGACATTATTTTAACCGATGATAATTTCACGTCAATTGTCAAGGTAATCGAATTTAATTGTGCTTCGTTGCTTTTTTTTTTGGCTTCAAAATCGATTTTGTTCAGGCGGTGATGTGGGGAAGGAATGTGTACGATTCGATCGCGAAATTCCTTCAATTCCAATTGACCGTCAACGTCGTCGCCGTCACGATCGCTTTCATTGGCGCGTGCGCCATCAGCGATTCGCCGCTGAAAGCCGTTCAAATGCTTTGGGTCAATCTAATCATGGACACATTGGCTTCATTGGCGCTTGCCACTGAAATGCCGACAATGGATCTACTCGATCGAAAGCCGTACGGTAGAACGAAATCATTGATCTCGCGTACGATGGTGAAGAATATCGTTGGCCACGCGGTCTACCAGCTCGCCATTCTTTTCGCAATCATGTTCTGGGGTAGAATTTGTGTTGTCCAATGAGATCAAATTAATGGATTAATTATGTAGGTGATAAATTAATTCCGAACACACCATCTGGACGCAACGCGCCACTTGGCTCGCCACCGAGTCAACACTTCACAATTATTTTCAACGCATTCGTTTTGATGACGTTGGTGAATGAAATCAACGCCCGAAAAATTCACGGCGAGCGAAATGTCTTCAAGGTGCCGATAATAATGAGCGTCTTCGTTTTTTGTGATCTCGCCATTTCAGGGCATCTTCACCAACCCGATTTTCTGTGTTATCTGGATCACCACTTTGATATCGCAAGTGTTGATTGTCCAATTTGGAGGCCATTGGTTCAGCACGGCTCCACTCGATGAAATCCAATGGCTCGTTTGCATTTGCTGCGGTCTCGGCGAGCTCATTTGGGGACAGGTAAATGACGAGCCGGAGAAATGGCTTATGAGAAACAAAAGCAACCAAGACGCATGCGCGTTTCGATTAGACGTGATTAGCAGCACCGTTCACCATTACAGATTATCAACACGATTCCGTCGTCGATTCTGCCGAAGTCGTTCCGATTCGGAAAAGGCGAAGTCAAACCGACGTCGATAATGCTGAGCGGCGAGTACGATGTGCCAAGTTCGGCGTCCGAAATGAACGCCAAAGTCGACGGCGTCGGCGATGTCGAGAAGCGTCCGGGACAAGTGTTGTGGCTTCTCGGATTGACGCGCCTTCAAACTCAGGTAGAATTTCGATTCGATGGATATTGTACACAATTTCCTAATTTATATACGTACATATTCTCTTGTTTTCTCTCTCTTTATATAATTTTTTGTCTATTTCATTTCCTACTCTTCTCACTTACAATATTCATCGTGTTCGGATTGATTGACAATTGTGCGCATTCGTTTTTTTTTGCATGTTGTGTTAATTTGCAGATACGCGTCGTCAAGGCGTTCCAATCGGTGAACGATGATTCGCATCCGAACTCGTTGACGACATCGACGGCCGATCGATTGCGCGCTTCCTATCGGCGCCTGAAAATCGCGAGGGAGCTCGAACAGCAGAAAAGTTCGTGTAACTGCCTGAAACGGGCGCAATCATTAGGGGCTCGCCGCAAGTGATTCTCGTTGCAGGACCCCAAAAACGCATTATAACTAGTCACTCAAAGTATATAAAAGAGGGTGATCCTCTAGTCTAGTAGTTTTATGCACAATTATTTATATTTATATATATATATATGGACATTTATACATATTTATTAATATTAATGCGATAATTTGATTATTAATTGACGACGAGGTTTGGGCCAATTAACATGTCATACCCGATCCCAATTAACCAGCGAACTTTACAGGGTCTGGTGGCCTACGAGCCGGTGGACAGGTATATAATTCGGACGCAACAACGAAGGATACATCCGCTATAAAATTCGCATAGGTGGCCATAAATCCATACCCATTGCAGGGTTCAATTCACGGTGCTAACACCCAATTAATTACCCACCACCCATCTCTAATTGTTATTTTCCCTTTATTGCAAATTAATTATTTCTCCCCTCCCCCCCTCCAACAAAAAAGTGCCTGCTTGTTAGCTAGTCTTTCCTTTTCATTTTTCCCTTCCAACCAACCACCCCCCCCTCTCGCCCTTTTAGAATCAAACACAGATTCGATTTTTCAAACCGTTTTTTTTCATACTTAAAACTAATAATTTTCCTAAGCCCAATTTTTAATTGCCTAAGCTTACGTCGACGAAAACGTAACTATATGTTTTTTTTTAAATTCAATATTGTACTTTTATTTATTGAAATACTTTGAAACTGGTGCGTATAGCTCAATGTTTAGATCCAAAGCGCATTAATTTGTGTATAAATTGGTGAATAAACTTATTGAAACGTTTTATCCGTTATCCTCCGCTGCGATCACTAGCGGAAGTGCATTGATCTATAAGACAATGATTTTATTCGAAAGTAATTAGCGAGCTTACCGATCGGTAGGTGGTCCGCTCATCCGAGTCTTCCTCATCAATGATTTGGATTGTCTCTTGTTGGGTTGCGAATCGGACCCTGTAAATTGCATCTTCTCGAAGGAACGCTCTCATGCTCATTCTATAAAAGGTTGCGTCAACAATTGCGAGCGAATTTTTGCGAGAAGCCGACTCCCTACGTTCTTGGATTCAGAAGGCGATCGTCCATTTCGGAATTCTCCATTTCCAGTTTCGAATAGGCCATATGGCGTGTAATTTGTGAGGTCATCTTCTGAAGGGTCGAATCTTTTCTTGAACGCGGGCGACTGAAAAGGAAAATGTTTAAAATATATTGTAGTGATAAGGGCGTTTTTTTGCGGGATTATTAATACGTGATTTTGCGCCGCGGTGTTTGCACGCATTTTCGCGCGCTACCATTTATTAAGTTTGAGATTGTCAAATAAAAGTGTCCGAGCCTCTCTGAAACCACTAGAAAATACATATTACACATCTGCGGACATTTTCGGAGTTCAAATTAAATTTTTTGCTGATAAATAAGGTCTCAAATTTTATTGATGCCGCCAAAACGGTATCATCAAATTAGCCCATTATTTTTCAGAATATCATTCGGTTTCAAATTACTCAAGGTGTCATGCGATGATAATATTTGTGAAAAAAAAATCAAAAAAATTATTCGAGCAGGAAAGCACCGGTATTTTGGCCCAATTCAGACACACACACACACACACACACACACCTAATTAAATGGTAACGCGCGAGATCCAAATTTTCAAAATGCAATATATATATATATATATAACCTCTGGAAAAAGTTGCTGATGATGTGGAACAAATGAGATCGAAATGTGCTGCTCAGAATAAACATTAGGGGAAATGGTAGACTGTACGAGACGCCGAACATCAAATTCTGAAAAAAAGGATGAACATGAATGTTTGATGAAAAAAAAATTGAACCCTCGTCGACTCTTGAATTTCCTGATTGTAAATTAGATGAAGTGTGGTGTACACGTGAACCACCGAATGCGACAAAATCAGTGAAATGAGCAATGGTTGAAGGTTTGAAAACAGTGGGATGTGTTTGGCCGCATACGGGCTTCCCAACTTCGGCAGAATGCACTTCTCAGAGGCGAGAAATGTCAGCGTGCACATGATGCAGATCCAGTAAATTACGGTTGGAATCAGACGAATGAGGTCGGTTTTAATGTGTTTTTGGAGAGCGGCCTCGGAGAGATGAGGTCGTCCAATCGCGTACAATTGATCGCTGAAATTGGGCGCGATTCTGAGCGCGAGAACGTTGAACTCACCCATAGACGCATTGCTCGTAGTCGATAACCCATTCGAAGCATAGTGACACGTTGACAATTGTGCCGAATGGTAAAAGGCAAAATATTTTGCGCCACGCCACCCATGAGACCGAATTCCAGCGTCGGCAACGCTTAATTTTTTTGGCAATTAATTGACAATTTATAGCGGATTTTGAACCAACCCGAATACAATTTAGTAGTAATAAAAGTCGCACTACAAAGCATAGACATAATGTTGATATTGAAAAATGGAACAGGGCTAGAAGAACTGGAAGAAAGTTTGCGGCGATCCAAGTGCGTCCTCTGGTGATTTTTTCAAATCATTCTTTATAGTACAATGCAGATTTAACAAACTAAAACTCTAAAGAAAACCCTAAAAATTCGAAAAAATTAATGAAAATTTTAACTGTGAAAAGCGTGGCCGTGGCCGAAGTTTTCAAGTTTTTTTTAAAGTTTTTTCCGGTTTTTCAGATTTTCATTTCTCGCAAAATTCTCGCAAAAATACAATATTTTCTTACTCTTGATAATAATCGGTTAAGATTTTCAGTGGAAATGGAATAATGAAGAAGACGAATTGAAATATGCCGATGATTCGAATGTAGGCGAAGCTCGCCGTTCCCAATTTTGGGCGATCGGAAAACACGAAATGTAAACATGTGTTCGACAATAAGCCGCCAACAATTATAATGAGATGTGTGATGATTGTTGAAGACTCAACCGGCTTCGCCTGAACCCATATGGATGTGGTCCCTCAAAAAAAAAGGAAGCGCCCTCGACAAACCTGATACAAATCTACACATCTGGCAACCGTGATGTTTTTCAATAGGCCAAATCGAATATTCATTTTTGAGCGTCGAGAATTGGCAATGTAAGATCGAAATGATGAACGAAGGGGGGAGAACTGATGCCGTAATTTGAGGCAATTGGCCAGTTTGCTCGGTTCACTTACATATTTGTTTTATTATAACTATTTGTCCTGGACTTGTATTTAGCCCAAGAATTTGGGAGTTCGATTACTGTATTATTTAAATTGGCGCCTTGGGTCTCGTTTGGAAATGTCTTTTGTGCGAGTTTCGCTTAATATAACTACTAAAAATTTAGAGGTCATCATTTTTTAAATACTTTGGTTTGGGGGACGATCGAACACATTTCAAGAAAATTCTTGACATCCAAGGACGTTTTGGAATCGTGAATCATCCTCGTCAACGTACTCAGACGGGTTCATTTGAATGGGACCATCGGCGATCTGAAAGATCTATTCGGGACATTGTTTTGTCAAAAAATTTCCAAGGTGCATTGCGCGTCTTGCGACGATTTAAAGGAATATTTTAACAAATCCGATATTGACTTTTTTAAAGGCGCATAGTGATTTTTAGAAGTGTCAAACGACGAAGTATAAAAAAAATTTATTTTACGCAACCAATGATTTGATAGCCGGCGAAATTCAAAAGTTGGATACCGTAATTGTGCGTTCGGGTCTCGAAGCGGTCATAAGGCAAAACAGCTACTGTTTCTCAAAAAACCAAAATTCCAGGACTCTAGCGACGATTTTTTGGCACCGAGATACTCATATGACCCCACCCCCCCCCAAAGATCTCCTCCCGAGATGAAAATATAAAATAGCTTCAATCAAATATGATTGGGGAGATTAATAAGTGAGACTTATCACATATGCATTATGATAATTGTCACGTGCACAGTTATCATTTTTCGTGTGCGACATTTTTATGAAGGAATGTACCTAAAATTTAAAAATGTGGGCAAATTCTAACAATGTGAACAATGAAATTTGTGATCGCGATAAAATTAGAAAGGCATTGGATCGATATTGCGGTCGAAAAGACCTCCAGCGTGAGTTTCGTTCAACTTTGAGAAACCGGCGACAATTTTGCCAACCGACTCATCGACCTTCAAATTTTATATAAATGATTAATACAAATAGAAGACAAACAGTAATCTCTGCATTTTGGCCTCCCATGTCTGTTTTTACCCATCCTGGATGAATCGTGGTCACCAAGATCGGAATGCCGAGATTCTTCAAATCGCATGCCATGGTTCGAGCATAACTGAGCATAGCGACCTGAAAATAAATAGAAATAATTTTATGAAACTGGTATATAGTTCGGTTGTTCGCGTTTCACCTTGCTCATTTTGTAAGCGAGAAGAACTTTTGAGGGACCGGATCCGCGGAGATTCAATGCTTGCGACGAGCAATCCGATCCGATGTTGATGATGGCGGCGCGATCAACCGAGAGTTGATCGCCTTCGGTGAGTCTCGCGGTTTTTTCGAGAAGTGGCAGGAAGAATTGCGAAGCGAGAAGAGCGCTGACCGCGTTCACGTCGATACATTTGAGAACGGCGGCGCGATTTGGCTCAACGTCTGTCGCGTACTTCTCGATTATTCCCGCATTGTTAATAAGAAGATTCAACCCTTTGGGACCAACAATCTTTTCCACCTAAGAAGCTGCATAACATCTGAATGTTAAGGAAATTTTATTCACCTCGCTGACAGCGTGTTTCAAGCTTTCATCGTCGGTGACGTCGACCTTGAGAAGATGAACTCTATTATCTGCCTTTGCAATTCCATTAAGATCCTGTAATTTGAAATGAATAAGAAACAGAATGCTAGAGATACCTCGGCCGCGTCAATATTACGAGCGCCGGCGATAAGAGTTTCCACTCCCGGTAGTTTGAGGATTTCCCGAACTAGACCAAGTCCAATTCCACGATTTGCGCCGGTGATGAAGACGGAACGAGGAGCCATATAAAAATGTCAAATTAATTCATAAAATAAAAAAAAATGAATTTTTTTTTAAATTAAAAAATCATCATGCGTCTGTAAACACGTAGCTTTACGCGCAAATGCACATCCAATGCGTACTAAATTTTTGAATTAAATTTTTGAGATTTTCTAGTGACATTTCAAATTTTTTCTTAACTGTTCAATTATTATTCTGTTTTAGAATTTTGTTTATGGGAAATTTTGTGAGTTTTCCCAAAAATGTATGGCTATTTTCGTGAGACCGATGATTCGACAACCGTTAACTTCAGTGCATATGGAAAATTTTTACCAGGGCCCAGTAAGTGGTTTATAGAATAACTTTGTTTATATATCGATTTTAGAAACGGGTTATCAATTATTAACTATCGGAGCCAAACACATTCGAATATTTCGCACGAATCCGTACCTTCTTGTCGAACCGAGTCGCGATGAAGACGAGTGGCAGCAAAAAACCAAACTTGAATGCATGTTCTCATGTAGATTGCTCAACAAATGTCAATCTGTTGCAATTGCGAGGGTTCCGCGTAGGAGAAAAATCCAATTAAAAAGAAAAATAATGCTTTTTTTTAAATAGAATTTCCCGAACAAGATTCTATATTAATGGCGTTTGATTATGCGAAACTCTCGATTGTGACGATGAGCGAAAAGGAAAGAAATCTGCAGACTGTCTCACTTCACGCGTTCGAAAGTGAATATCTTCGTGAAGGATTTACCAAATACTTTCCGGACCCTATTGTTCGGGTATTGCTTTTGTGTTTCAAAAAAAAATTGTTGTTCTAAATAATCTTTATATTCAGTCAGATCCGTCGAACCGATGCGCAGCTATGTTAGTCTACGGAAAACATATCGCGGTTCTCCCGTTTCATGAGAATGCCAAACGCATTAATAGTTATATAATTTCATTGAAAAAAATTGACGCCAGATTGGACAATGTGTATGATATGGTGTTTCTCGACGGATATTACGAGCCAACAATTCTCTTTTTGTATGAGCCCCTTCAAACAACACCGGGAAGGTAATTCAATCGTATAAAATTTAATTATTCGATTTTTTTCTTATTTTCAGAGCGTCAGTTCGATTTGACACCATGTGCATAATGGGCGTTTCTGTGAATATTGTCGACCGCCAGTTTGCAGTTGTTTGGCAAACATCAAATCTTCCAATGGATTGCAACAAGTAAGACCATTTTGATTTAAAGCCTCGACGTTTGATTTCAAGACTTCTTTCAATTCCAAAACCGATTGGAGGCGCATTGGTCATCGGCTCGAATTGCATTATCTATCTTAATCAAGCGGTCCCCCCGTGCGGAATAACTTTGAATAGTTGCTATGATAATTTCACCAAATTTCCTTTAAAGGTATGTTACAAAATCGTATATGAGGCTGTCAGAATCGAAACCGAGCTCATTTTTAATTAGTACCATTGCAATAATGAACCCCCATAAATAATTGAGGCCCATCAAATTTTTTTCGACCCCCCCCCCACCTTTCAAATTTGAATTTCAATGGAGCGAATTTGGGTCCTTTAACATTTAGATTCTTAAAAATAGATGTCAAATTGCAGAATCCGACTAAAGGCTTTTAAATATATTTTTTTATATTCATTGAAATCTTTTTATACCAAAACAAATTGGGCAAAATGCCCGAAATCAGAGGTATTTTTGAATATCATAGATCTGCGATCGATTTTGGTGGCCTTGGTGGTTTTTTTTAAATGCCAAACCAGAACATATGAAATTGTCTTATTAATTAGGATATGCGCCATTTTGCAATGACACTTGATTGCTCAACGAGCGCTTATATGGAAGACGGTCGAATCGCGTTAGTGACGAAAGACGGCGATTTGTATCTGTTGCGGCTTGTCACCGGCTCGGGCGGAAATTCGGTGAAAGCGTTGGACTTCAACAAAGTTTACGAGTGCTCGATTGCCTACACGGTGACCGTGTGCGCGCCGGGCCATTTGTTCATCGGCTCGCGTCTCGGCGACTCGCAACTCCTCGAGTACACGCTTGTGAAATTGGCGGCGACGAATGGCGCGAAGCGTCAAAAATTGAGCGACGACAACGATTCGAGCGACAAGCCGACGTTGGAATTCAACGAGGATGATCTCGAGTTGTACGGCGATTCGATCGACGAGCAACATGCCAATGATGAGGAGGAAGTCGGCGAGACGTTGCAGTTCAAAGAGCTCGACAGACTATGCAATATTGGTAAACTCGAAATTTGTGGTGCGCTTTAAAAATTTCCCATTGCCACAGGACCCATTAAATCAATGTGTGTTGGACAAGCCAATTATTTAAGTGCCGATTTGGCGGAGAAAAAGAGAACCGATCCAATATTTGATATTGTGAGTGGAATTTTCAGTTGTTGTTGCTGAAAAAAAAATTCTTTTCAGGTCACTGCTAGCGGTCACGCAAAAAATGGGGCGTTTTGCCTCCTTCAGCGAACAATTCGACCCAATATTGTGACGAGCAGCGCGCTGGACGGCGCCGAACAAATGTGGGCGGTCGGGCGAAAAGACGACGAGTCCCATCGCTATTTGATTGTGACGCGATTGCGTTCGACACTTGTTCTTGAGCTCGGCGCCGAAATGGTTGAGCTTGAGGAGCCGTTGTTCGTCTCGAAAGAGCCGACGGTGGCGGCTGGCGAACTATTGCAGGGTGGATTGGCGGTTCAAGTAGGCGTTATCAATATTATCAACAACAAAAAAAAATGAAAAATCGCGGACATTTTTAGTGGTATTTTGGAGAAAAAAAAAACTGGTATTGCATGGAATTTTTATGGAGAGAAAATTTAAAAAAAAAAGATATAGGAAATTTTTTTTCATTCTTGCTGAAATTCACGGAGTATACTCCAGATTTAGAAAAAGAAATCTTCAGAATTGAATTAAATAAAAATTAAATGTGCTTTTTTTAGAATCAAGTAGAACTTTTTTTTTCCTTTTTTGTATTGAGTCATTATGTTTATCATTAAAAGTGAAACTTGGAAAATAGCTTATTCGATTCGGAATTTCAAACACTGCAAATGAACCAATTTTTGAAAAATTCTTGAACTGCGACTCGAAACAGTATTAATTACAGTAACCGAGGGTGCTTTTTTTTGTGACTCTTAATAATAATTGCAGGTCACTTCGATGTGTATTGCTCTTGTCGCTGACGGACAACAACTGCAAGAAGTTCACGTCGACTCGAATTTCCCGGTTATCATGGCTTCAATCGTCGATCCTTATGTCGCACTTCTCACACAAAACGGCAAACTACTTCTTTATCAGCTGGTGACGTCGCCGTTCGTCCAATTGAAAGAAGTGAATCTCTCATCGACGCAATTCGCCAACACTCTCAACACAACGCTCACCTCGATTGCCATTTATAGCGACGCTTCCGGAATGATGGTTCTGAGTGCCGATGGTGAAGACAATGAGAAAGAGGCGGGCGTGTGCCAAATCGAGAAGAAATCGATCGACGATGATTTGTATGGAGATGATGAGGATTTTTTGTTGTACGGCGAGCCGACGACAAGTGGCGCCGATGGGAATGGTGTAGATCAACAAGGGGCGAAAGAGGGTGAGACGAGGAAACGAAAGAGGCTCGGGCATGCGGCAATTCAGTCGAGTCGAGGCGGCGAACAATCCGATGCTATTGATCCCACCAAGAGTTTTGGTAATTTGTGGAACTCATTTCATTTCTTAAAATTTGATTTTCAGCCAATGTTTCCTACTGGCTTGTATTGGCGCATGAAAACGGACGATTGGTGATACACTCGCTTCCCGACCTTCGAGTTGTCTATCAGGTGAGTGATTTGGGCAATTTAATTTTGCCAACGGATTGATTTTGAATGAAGATTGGAAAATTCGGAACGGTGCCGGAATTGTTGAATGATTTGAGCGCCGAGGAAGAAGAAAAAGAGAGGAAGGCGAGAGCGCAACTGGCAGCGACGACACAGGATCAGGGTACCGGTGAGCTTTTGAAGCCGGAAGAACGAGTATTAGAAGCGCAGATTATACGTAAGGATTTTGGGGGTTTTTTTTCTAAATGGAAATGAGCAGTTCTACAGCAATGGGAATCAATCAGTCACACCCAATTCTTATGGCGATTATCGATGAACAAGTGGTGATGTACGAAATGTTCGCATGCAAAAATCGAATTCCAGGTTCGTTTTTTTTTATTTGAATATATTATATCGCAAAAGGCGGTTTGGCTGGCCTGAGAAGCTTAACCTGATGATTCGGCGCCGGCTCGGAGCAATCCGACTTTTTTTCCCGGAAGGCGACCGATTAGTGAAAAATGATTTAATTTTGTGGGCGAATTTTCTTATTTTTTTTTAAATCGAATGTTTTCCTTACTTTCGAACCATCAGATTCAAATTGACCTGCTGAAAGAAGACGAAAAAAAAGTTTTTCAGAGCACTTGAATATTTCTTTCCGAAAATTACCTCATAATGTTTGCCTTCGAAGGACTCCTTATCTATTGCCGGACGGAACGCGAGCGCCGGTAAGCGACAAATTGAAAGTCAGAAATTCTGAACTCAAATTTCAGCTGGAAATTGGTCAAGAGGGAGAGAAGAAATATTCGATAATTCATCCGTTTGAAAGAATCTCATCTGTGGTATGGAAAGAGAATTCTCATCAGATATTATTAAAATTCAGACGAACGGCGCCATGATTATTGGATCAATTCCGACGCTAGTTCTTTACGGATCATGGGGAGGATTGCAGACGCATGAGCTCACTGTTGACGGGGATATCAAGTATTTGTTTTTTTTTGCTGAGTGTTTCGGGTCACTCGTCGCATTTTAGAGCGTTCACACCATTCAATAATGAGAATCTACTTCATGGATTCGTCTATCTGACGGCGGACTCGTCTGAACTCCGAATTGCGCGCCTACTATCCGATTTTGATTATGAGATGCCGTATCCAACGAAGAAGATTGAAGTCGGAAGGACGATACACAACGTGCGGTACCTAATGAACTCTGATGTAATTCTGAAGGTCCACTTTTTTGAATTCTAACGTGTAATTTGAAGGTTTACGCTGTAGTGTCGTCTGTGGCACTCGGAACAAATAAGCTGTGGGTGGTCATGAATGACACGAAGCAGGAGGAGGTGCACGAGAAAGATGATGATTTTGTGCTGCCAGCAATTCCGAAATATACACTAAATGTAATTGGCGTTGTTCAAACGCGACATTTGTTCAATTTTCGATATTCTCAGCTTTTTTCACCGGTCGACTGGAAGGAAGTGCCGAATACGTCGATCGAGTTCGAGGAGATGGAAGTCGTCACGGCGTGCGAGGATGTCGCCCTAAAATCGGAATCGACGATGAGCGGCCTCGAGACGTATTTGGCGGTGGCGACAATCAACAATTATGGCGAAGAAGTGCTGGTGCGAGGCCGAATCATATTGTGCGAGGTGATCGAAGTCGTTCCGGAACCTGGCCAGCCGACGTCGAATAGAAAAATTAAGGTGTTGCATTTTCAGCAAAGAAAAAAAATTGGTCACCTTTGAGATTATCTGAGTTTTTCTTTTAGGTGTTGTACGACAAAGAGCAGAAAGGGCCAGTGACGGGACTCTGCTCAATGAATGGCTTGCTGCTCAGCGGTATGGGCCAGAAGGTGTTCATATGGCAGTACAAAGACGGCGATCTGATGGGATTGTCGTTTCTCGATATGCATTATTATATCAATCAGCTCATTTCGATTCGATCGATCGCGTTGGCGTGCGACGTCGAAGAATCGATGTCGCTGATTCGATTCCAAGAAGAGTACAAGGCGATGTCGATCGCGTCGAGAGACGATCGCAAATGCGCCCAACCGCCAATGTCGGGCCAATTCATTGTGGATGGTAAAAATCTGGGGTTCGTGTTGTCGGATGAGATGGGAAACATCACAATGTTCAATTATGCGCCCGAATTGGTCGAATCGAATGGCGGCGAGAGGCTCGTGATGCGAGCGGTTGTCAATATTGGGACCAATGTGAACGCGTTCTTGCGGGTCAAAGGTGAGGGCTGATCGAATTTGAAAATTTTGAAACTATTTAAAAAAGAAATGGAGGGTCCCAAAAATCGTTTGTTGAAATCAAAATCACTTAAAATTCATAAATCCAATGTTTTTTCATTTCCATACGAGAACCATGGCGGGAGTTCAACACGTGCGCTGATCTATGTGATGTTGTGGTTTCAGGGCATACTTCATTGCTACCGCCGTTGTCAACCGCGGAGGAGCGAGACGCCATCGAGCAGCGACAATCAACGCTGTTCGGATCGCTTGACGGCTCGTTTGGGTTCATCAGACCGCTCAGTGAAAAATCATACCGAAGGCTTCACTTTTTGCAAAGTTTTATTGGAACCGTGGCCCCGCAAGTTGCGGGCCTTCATCCCAAGGTTGGAATTGATTTGACATTGATTTTGATGGTAGTGCCGAATTTTTGGGGGGGGGTTTCCCGTTGCCGAATTACAGAATTCAAAGGCGCATACCGAAATTTCTTATCAAGAATTGAAACTATTATTTATTAATTTGTTTTCTGGTCACAAAATTTTGTGCCCATGATGTTCAACGATCAAACTGTCATCATTTACCTGCCCAACATTATCATCATTTTTTTCCTCTAGGGAGCGCGTGCCTCGAAACCAGTACAGCCGGTGGTGAATGGTCGAAATTTTCGAAATCTGGTCGATGGCGACATTGTCGAACAGTATTTGCATCTCTCCACTGTTGACAAACAAGATTTGGCGAGGCGATTAGGTGCTAGCCGGTTGGTGGATATGTTTTTTATTAATCGCAATTTAAATATAATTATTTCAGTTATCATATTATTGATGATTTGATACAGCTGAGAAGGATGGCGCTGTATTATTAAAAAAATATATTTTTTTTTGTAGAAATTAATTTTATTCGAATTTGTTTTTCAAATATCGTTGTGATCTCAAGATTTTTTCTCTTTTTGCGTTTATGTTTTTATTATTCCTTTTATTGTTTTTGTGCTATAGTAAACTTTTTAAATTATATTTACCTTCCCTTATATTTTTTCTAAGAGAAATTAAAAATTTTTAATGGTTTCTGTAGTAAATTTGGGATTTAAAAATTGAGAAAAATAATCGTTGGTTTGTTTTCCTTCAGAAATCCCAATAAAAAGGTAATATCTTTTTTTTAGGTTGAAAATGGTGTATTTTAGCACTCAAAGATAATTATAATTCTTAATTTTTATTGAATTTTGCTCCAAGTATTCTAGAAAAAGGATAACCATAAATAATAAACGGCGATATTCTTTTTTTTTCGAACGTATTTATTTTATGGCAATTAATCCATTATTATATCTCATTATGTGTATTTAAATGTTTAACAAGTTGTTGTTTTATTATTTTTATTTTAGGAATTGTTAGAAGAAAAAATGGCACCGAGAAGTGTTTTGGTGACCGGAGCGAATCGAGGAATTGGACTTGGAATTGTGAAGCAGCTCATTTCGCACAAAGATATTGAAATTATCATCGCAACTTGTAGAGATTTTGAAAAAGCGCAGGTTTGAGATGCAGGAAATTAATTTTAATTTTAATTTCAAGGAGCTGAAATCTATAAATGATCATCGCCTTCATGTTTTGCAATTAGACGTCGACAGTGATGAGTCGATAGACAAACTTTATCAACAAGTAATTTGAAATTTGATAGATTTGATTGGATTTCCTTTTTTTGGGTTGATGAAATTGTCGGCGAGAAAGGTCTTACTGTGCTCCTCAACAATGCTGGAATTTTATTGCCGTATAATGTTGAAGAACCAATTGATCGTCGAACGATCATCCGCCAACTCGAGACGAATTCGGTTTCGGTTGCCATCATCACGCAAGTATTTCGAATTGTCAAAACGCGTAAAGAGACGAGCGAAACGTTTAGAAATTTTTGCCGTTGCTCAAAAAAGCGGCGGCGCAACGAAACGACGAATCGGTATCGATTAATCGAGCGGCGATTATCAATATCTCGTCAACGGCGGCGTCGGTGGAGAAAATCGATGGAACATTCAACGGACCACTAGTATAGTTGCTCGAAATTGTGAAAAATGTAATTTTTTTGAGTTCAGGTTGCTTATCGAATGAGCAAATCTGCGCTGAATTCGTTCGCCAAATCTTGCTCGATTGATTTGGCAAAATATCATATTCTCGTCACTTCATTTTGTCCGGGATGGGTTCAAACTGATATGGGCGGAGCGAATGCACTTCTTACGGTATCATTATTTTATTATTATTATTATTGTTGAGAAATGGCAAATGTATCTAGGTGTCGTGGGATCCTAGGTATTTTCTTTTTTTTTTTAATTTCTGCTATTTTTACCAAAAAATATAGTTTAAAAGTGCATATTCTGCAAAATAAAAAATTAAAATCGGTTTCTACAGCTTTTAAATAAAAAAATTTCGAAAGAAAATACGAAAATTCACTGAAAAATGAAAAATAAATTCGAAATTTAAAAAATTCCCCGTAAATCGCTGCGAGGATTACGGTAACTGGCTCATCGCATTGCGTACAAAACGCAGGATCCCACGACACCTGGATACATTTGTCATTTCTCAACAAAACCAATATTATCCAAAAAAAGAGCGCCTTGAATAATTTTGGACCATTTGCGAGGCGCTAATTCAAATTTGAATTTAAACAATGCGAATTCGGGTACCGTAATACCTGCGAAGCTAACTCATGGTAAATCGGCGGTCGTTTTTTTGCGAATGTAATACCACATTGAAATTTGTTGTTTTAGGTCGCCGATGCTACGAAAACTCTCGTTGACAACATATTGTTGTTGAATGGCGACCATCATGGAAAATTCCTTCAAAGCGATTTGCAAATAATTCCAAATTAGATAATTGAGCACAGTTTATATATTTATGCTATCATAAGAAAACTTGCTTGTGTAATTTAATCCAAACTTTGAATTATTTTTTTTATTTGACTAACCAATAAATAATTATTTATTTAAAATAGCGAACATGGTTTTCCCGTGCGAATGTTAAAAACGGAGACAAAAAACATTTTGATATTTTTGCAACAGAAATTGAATCAATAAAAACCGCGGGAAATGAAATTTACGTCTTTGAAACTTTATCGACAAATATTTATTTATGTTCGGCGGCCGTGTTTATTTTTCGCTGTGGCCTAGCCGACATTCGGCCACCATCTTTTTTTTGCACTTATTGAACTTTATCGCCATTCACTAGGAAACTCTTGTTTTTCTCGTATTTCGACCGCGTTTAAATCGATATCGGACATTTCAAGATGAGCGGCATTGTTGAATTAATCCCAACGCCAAAGTCGCATCAGTTTGAGCCGCGACGCATACGCGTTGGGCCCGAGACTGAACCGGTCAAGATTGGGCGAGCTGTTGGGAGAATTCAGGCAGCCAAAGACAACGCAGTTTTTGATTGCAAGGTATCATTTCCTAGTTTTAACAATCAAAATACGTTTGAATTAAGGTTTTATCGAGAAATCATGCGCTTTTATGGTACAAAAACGGCGAATTTTTCATAAAAGACACAAAAAGTAGTAATGGAACGTTTGTTAATACGGAACGACTTGGAGGAACCAGTATGATATAAAAACGTTAAAATTGAGTGGAAAATCCTAAGAGTTTAGGTCAAGATTCGCCGCCACGTCAAGTATTCTCCGGTGACATTATTCAGTTGGGCGTCGAAATTATCGAAAATACGAATAAAGTGATGTACGGGTGCATCTATGCGCTGATTCAATGTTATGATGCTGATGGAAATTTGATTCAATTGAATCGTGTCAATGATCCATCGTAAGATCAATTGTGAAAAAAAATTTAATGGAATATAACAATGAATTTTTAGAACCATTAAAAACTCGAATGATTCGCTTATTGTGAATCGAGCAATGTTCCAAATGCAACAATTCATATCGGAAGGGGCGTATAGGTAGCATCTCATTTTGAGAATGATGTTTTATTATTTGTAAAAATTTGTAGGGAAAAAATGCGCGAGGAGAAGCTCATCGATTTGGTAACCCTTTTGGATGATGTCGATCGCGCTTCAGAAACTGCTTGGAAAGCGCTGGTTAATGAGGACCGACTACTTGCGAGGATTGAAGCCTTGGAAGCGCAATTGGCGGTTTGTTCGAATAATAACACACCGGATAAACAGAAAGAAGAACTGCTCAAGATGATTGATGATAAAACCAAGTTCGAAGCGACCACTAAAGAAACTATACGGTATAATTTATTGATTTATAATTAATCATAGAATTATTGAAGGCGTTTGCAAGAAGAGATTGCCGAAACGCGTTGGCGTATGCAAGATATGGAAAGAAGCTTGAACTCCACTGAAAATACTTGCAATCAGCTTCGAAACTCGGTAAAAAATATACATATAAATTGTTTTTTTACATTAAAAAAATGATTTGCAGAATTCGGATATGGAGAAGCTTTTATATGAATCTGCATGCATGTTTGATCAGAAAATGTTTGAATATGCAAAATCGAGGAAAGAATTGGAGAAAACCAAAATGTAGACAAAAAACGCATAGTTTTAAATCAATTTTTATGATATTTTAGTGAGCTATACGATCAAATTCATTTGCGCGAAGAATGGGAGGCGAAGTTCAAAAATCTGGAAAGAGATGTCGAGAATGCCTCGAATGATCTGGCGATGTTGTGTTTTCGAGTTCGTGAATATTTGGAGAAGAGCAATGGGAATTTTAATAGGGTCATTATCGTTTCGCTGCAAAAAGCGTTGAAGCAGGTCATGGGTGAGAATGACGTTGAGATTGCTGGTAACCTTAGAATGTTACCTAAAAAATGACGAAAGGCTGATTTTTAAGGTAAAACTAAGGAAAATGAAGAGCAAATAATCGACAAAAATGCTGAATCCTATTTGAAAGAGACATTGGCGTTGCAAGGTATTTTAATTGTTTTTGAAATTGTAAATTTTTTTTAATCACCACATAGCGACTATTCGCGATCTCGTCGCTGAGCTTCATCAGGCGAAAGAGACGATTGAGAATATGCGAATGGAGCGGAATGGGGAATATCGAAAAGTGGAGTGCAATCAATTGGGCGTTGGAGATGCCAGTTTGACGATGACGGAAGCTGGAAGCGTTTCGGTTGTGCCGAACAAGCTAGCGCTCAAAACCGGCGACATAACAACGAATGGGGAGAATGTGGTATTTTTTTTGGACCAATTTTATGGTTTTGACAATTACGCGTTACTTTTTCTTCCAGCTTTTCCTCGTTTCTTTCGTTCCGCTGCTCGCTTTTCTTCTCTCAATTGTGCTTCCAGTTCACAATCGATTTTTGGCACCCAGCGAAGAGAAAATCAATAAGCTTAAATGAACAGGTTATATAAGTTCGATTCATTACATAGTAAAATCAATATCGATTTTTCAGCGGCGTGTCAGCTAGTTGTTTTACTACCGAATTGATCTTCAACACACGGTTCATTCACATTCTTATCGGTTTTCTTTTTTTTTATTTCCAATTTTTATTGTCTTACAAATAACGTCATTAATTTATTTAATTGTCACTATAATACTACCAATTAAGGAAAAAAACTCGAATTAAAAAAATCTGTGTGCAAAATACCAAGAAAAGGGTTTATTTCAGTATTGCTTGAACTTCTTGTGAATAAAATCAGATTTCCAATAAAATGCATGCCCGATTTGTTTTTTGTTGAAACCCGATGATTCATTTTTTGATGATCTAGTTTTAGTCTAGATTTGATACATTGGAAATGATATTGATTGAGATTATCGAAATTTCAGCCGATGGATTGCGATACGCGTTTTTTGGACGAAGACTACGACGTTGTCGATTCCGGTGTTGATGATGATGGACTAGTGACGAGAGAGTTTGTCTATCGCGGAAAGGCTTATTGTCCGGTGCCTCCGACACCTATGACGCTTGTATATAATGGGGTGAGAATTTATGGAATTGTCGAACTCGCGTCGAGTTGGATGTTGTCCGTGTGGAGTACGTAACTCGCGTTTCGAGACAGTTTCTGGCAATCAATCACGCGATTTCGACAATAACCATTTGAAAATTAATATTGAAGCTTTGAACGTTTAGGACTACAACTCACCTTATAAAGTTACTGCCAAGAAAGATTCAGAAGAGGAAAATGTATATATATTTGAATTGAGAATTCCGGTATTTTTTTGCATCGAAAAAACATTTAAAGCCATTTATTTATTTTAGCTTGAATTTTTTTAGAATCTGAAAAACAATCATAGCGGAACTGTGCAAATTTATATCAAAGTTGGGAATGACATGCTCACTAGAGAGCTTGATCTCACATTTCGCGGGTTCAACTTGCCGAAGCCGGATGGTCGAGCGTTCCATGAGCTCGACGGTGAATATCAAGTGATTGGTGTTCCATTGCGCTACGTGTTGCCTAATGAATATAATTTTGTTTGGTATAAGGTTTTTTTGAATCGCGAAAATTTTGATAGCGACGCGAGATTTGTGTTTAAAGAATGGCGAACTGGTGCCGCCGCAACGGAAGAGAACGCATCAGTATATTTCGAAATCGAAGGTTTCACCACTGCCGGTTGCTGCACTCAATATTGGGGTATAATTGAATTAATTAAATTGAAAAAAAAAATGATTTAGAGGACGGCTGAGGAAACTGCTGGCTCCTATCGAGTTGTTATCGAAAATAGTTCCGGTGAGAATTATTGCGATATCGATATAATTCACGGTAAATGCTGTTTTTTTGTTCGAAATTTGTCTTGAAAATGCCATTTTTTAAAGACACCTCTCGTCCGTTCTTCTACAAACTCGCCGAATGCAACGCGTGCTTCCATAAGCGTTGTGTTCCGGGAACCGATTTCGACGCGCCGAACACGGGAATGCGTGTGAACTTGAAAATATTCTATGTGTCATCAAGCGAAAAAATGACGCGGGTTTGATTTTTCGTCGAGATGGACGGACGAATAAAACGTACAAAAAAAAACCAGTAATGTCAAAATCTTTAAAATTCAAATTTGAATTAGCTCCTCGAAACAATACGATTGTCCAAAATTGTTCAAAGTGCTCGTTGGCTGGAAACGGCAAAAATCGCTTCAAGACCACGAGGCGGCAATTCAAAAAAAGCACCAATTCGTCCGCTCATTACAATAGATTGTTAAATTCACTTCAAAACGCAATTGTTTCAGGTAATTTGGTCTTGTAACGATCCACAGTTCGTTAAGGGCACGGAATTCGATCGAGAAGATTCGCGACGAAGTGTTTATAAATATGAATCAAAAATATCATTCACGGTATCATTTTTTTAAAGCTTTATTCTTTAAATACATTATTTTAATCGGTTTAGATGACGATTCGAACCCTCGAGATGAAATTTAAGGTTACTGTTATGAACGAGTTTGGTATAAAAAATGGCTACATGAATGTTGTTCTAAAAGGTATCGCAATTTTCTGACAAAGAAAATGCATTATTTGATTTTCGGTCATCGAATAATGGATAGGAGATCCGACAAACCGGAAACGAGAATCACATTTAGTCAATTTGAGAAGAACGACGAAGATTGCTTTTATTTTATAATTGACAAATTTAAATATGGAATGTACAATGAGAAGGACAACATTGTGAGAAACAAGGATAATAAAGAGGTTGAAAGTATGGATTCAGAATGTTTGAATTAATTATAAATCGAATAAATGATGTGATCTACATATTATTTTGTATTCGTTAATTTATTTGTGAATTGTTTGATTCAATTTATATATATATATATTTTTTTTTTATTTAAAGAATTCAATTATTGTTTAAATGTTTTAGATGACTGGGTCATCGGCGTTGTTGAAACGCCGCTCGAAACCGCCTTCGAGCAACTTGAGGTTATTTATAGCTTTTTTTTCTGAATGTGAAGTAGAATTTCAGGCTGAGACGCCTCACTCAGGCATACCTTCAACCGACTGAAGAGCCGAAGCATCCAACTACGACGGTTTCGAAAATCGATCAGATTTATGATATAAGTGAGAGGCTCAATTTTGCGCGGTGGTTTTGACATAAGCGGATTTCAGCACAAGAGCTGATTGTTCAATGCCAAAGTGTCACCAGTGGGCTGTTTCCGAGGTATTCGAAAAATCGCGATGTTGGATATGTGAAGGATAGCATTTATTGTGCGATGGCGTGCTGGGCTTGCTCGGTTGCTTACAAGTATGTAGAAATCGGAATTTGTAATTTTTCTCGCAAAAAATAATATTCATTGAAATTCAGGCGGCTTGATGATGATCGCGGTCGGCAGACAGAGCTGAGGCAAACCGCGGTGAAAACGATGCGAGGAATTCTGTTCAGCTGGATGCAGCAGACGAGGCAACTTGATCAGTTCAAATCGCAAAACTCGTCGGAATACGCGCTTCACGCAAGATTCGATCTCGCCTCTGGTATGGTGCTCCAATCGGCGCACAATCATCACTACGGCCATTTGCAAATGGATCTCGCGGCGCTTTACCTGCTCACACTTGTTCAGATGATCAGCGCCGGCGTCAAAGTCATCTACACACATCACGAGGTGAATTTCATTCAAAATTTGGTGTTCTACATTGAGCGCACGTATCGCACACCCGATTTTGGGATGTGGGAGCGCGGAACGCGATATAACAACGGGAAGCCGGAATTGCATGCGAGCAGCCTCGGAACCGTGAAAGCTGCATTGGAGGCGATCAATGGTTTCAATCTCTACGGAAGCAATGGCACATCGGCTTCGGTGATCTACGTCGACATTGACGGACACAATCGCAATCGGACGACACTTGAGACGATCCTTCCACGCGAAAGCAACTCGAAGAACACGGACGCGTCGCTTTTGCTGACGGTTGGTTGGCCGGCGTTCGCCACGCACGACGAGGATTTGTTCGAGAAAACGATGAAGAAATGCGTTCGACGATTGGAAGGACGATTCGGGCTGCGGCGATTTCATCGCGACGGCTATCGAACCGAACTTGAGGACAACAGTCGATGCTTCTATGAGGAGCACGAGACGGCACAATTCCAGAGTGTCGAATCGCAATTCCCAATGTTTTTTGCTTGTATTGCTTTGACGGCGTACATTCGCGGGAATCAAGAGTATGGGGATATTTATTGGAAGAAACTGCAAAAAGTTTTGGTTGCCGATGATTCAAGTGATTATTATTATTTTTTTCTTCGTTGTCGACACAATCCAATGATTTTAGTTCCTGGCGGTTATGTGGTTCCCGAATGCTATTGCGTCGATGAGCTCTACATGGACAAAGAGCGTGCGCAGCCGAACAGCACCGAACTCTATGCGTTGAGCCATCAAGAATTTGGCCATCATCTTTGGAGCAACGCCCTCTACATTATACTAATGCTCAAACGAGAAGGATTGATCCATAGCGGCGATATTGATCCAATCAATCGGCATTTGCCGGCTAGTCAGCGTCCGAAAATGTTCAATCGACATTCGGCGTTTCAGGTATGCAGATAGTTTCGCCGACAATTGCATAGTACTATGAGAACAGTTATATACTATATGATATTCTTTAGGGGAGTATGGAAGGCGATCCTGTAGTTCAAGTGGCGTTGATCTCCGAATCTCCACGACTTCAAATGATGCTTTCCACGTATGGCATCACCACTCAGACGCCACACGAGGTTGAGCCAATTCAAATTTGGCCGAGTTGGCGAATGGTGAAAGTGTTCGAATGTCTTGGGCGAGACAAAAAGCTCGAATTGAGCGGAAGGCCACCGAGACCGTTCGGACCATTGAGCACGTCGAAAGTGTTTCGCGTTTTCGGCGACACTGTCCTCTGCTATCCGCTGCTATTCGAGGTCAAAGATTTTTATGTGAGCTCGGATCCGGCGGTATTGATTGATGACATTAAGGTAGGTCGTGTGTGTGTGTGTCTTAGGGAAGAGCACTACATTCCAGAGGGATATCGAATTTGTGGCAAGACGATGGAAGTTGGCCGGACGGCCGACACTTTGTGTGGTTCTACGCGAGGAGAATGTCGCTGGCGAGTATTTCGATCATATTCTTGATCTTCTTGTCCAACTCAAAAATGGGCACATCAACGGTGTGCGTGTGAGATTGGGCCGAGTTCACGTAAGTGTCGATTATTATGAATCCGCCGATTCCATACTTGATGACTATCTCAGCAACTGTTGAATTCCTGCTGCATCGAGCATATCGATTTTGCCAATTCGGATGATCTCGAGTTTGACATTGACATTCTTGAGGAGACGCACGAGAACTCGCAGATATTCTCGAGGTTGAGTTTGAAGGAAGGCATCGATGATGAGCAAACTGTTGAGGTTGTTGTTGGTGTTTTTTAAAACTTGTGACAATTTCTTTGTTTTTTTTTTTTTGAGTTTAGAAGGATTTGGCGAGTAAAACTGATCACGAACTGTATGAAATTATTGTTCGAGATGATATGGAACGACCACGAATGCTAGCATTTGCAATTTGGACGCTGTGGTCGAGAACGAATATGGATATTCTTGTTCATAACTGTAAACGTCTAGATCAATGGGATAATTTCTTTTTTTTCTGCTTCATTACAGTGACGCTAAAAGAGCGAATGGAAAAGGTTTATCGGAGATGCTGTCAACTCAGATTATGGTGGCTGGTGCGGTATTGTGCTGGACGATTGAGAAAATCGATGAACTCGTTGGCGCCGGCAATCACCAATATGTTGGTTCGAGGCAAACAAGTATGTTTGACACTTTTTTTTTTGATTTTTGGGGGCAAATTTGAATTTCGCGGGCTTCGAAAATGTTAAAAAAAAATATTTAAAATTGTGCTTTTTTTCTTTACATATTTCCCTTTTTTATAAAAAAAATTGTGTTCTTTCCAAACTAGAGCGTTTTCCATTCGAGACCCAAGGCGGCAATTCAAATCATAACTCACGAATTCGTCGAGCATTGTTGTTATTCAGATAACTATTGGCGATCGGAGTAAAGGAACGCGAGAGGAATGCATTCAGAAGCCGATCGCGCCGAATGAGCTCAACAACTTTTTGTTCGAATGCTGTCCGCCGGGTGAGCCGCAAGTTGCCGTGTTCCATATGGAATTGATAATTGCGTGCTCCGATTTGGTATCATAGAGAATCCATGTATATATATGTCGAATTGTGCATTCGTAGATGTCCCACAATCCAGCGGCATTCGATGGTGTCCTCACAATTCGCCTCTCATGGCTTTCGGACGCCATCAGCATGCTGCTCAATTATGTGCGAACAACTAGCGTTCTTCATATTCCGGGAATTCGTCATAGTACACCGCCGACGCCCGGAACCACCGGGATTCCGACAGGTAAGAGAGGGGGCGGCTTTTTTTTTGCTATTGCAAATTTTTGTGTTGCGCGCTTTTCACATAAAATTTGGCGTTTAGAATCGGAATACCTTCGACAGTTTGTCAAGAGAAAGTACCGTAAGGATTTGGTATACAATGGTAATTTGAAATGCCTTGTAGTGGAACGATTAATGTGTGGAATGTCATTTATTTATTTATTCTTTTTTGACTGATTGTGTTCTTTCCTTATTAGCACGTGGGCTCATCAAAAATTTCAATTGCGTGCGATTTTCAGAATTCAAAAAGAATTGTATATACGATTTGTCGCCGACGGTTGTCAAAGATGTCGTCACCGCGCTGATGACGAGAACGAATTGGCACCTATTGTATGACGCCCGAAATATTTGGTTTGGTGGGATTTTTAATTAATTTTTTGCGTTTCATGTCGCCATTGCAAACGAGACGATTGAATGGCGCGTTGAACCGGATGCCCGTCAACTTCTATGATCGAGTTTGGACGATTCTGGAAAGATCGAAACACGGAATTACGATTGCCGACACTCTGCTTCCACAGGTTTATCTTTTAAGAAATCCGGGATTCCCGCATTTTTTATTTTGCGCGGTGTGGTTTTAGAAGTGAACTTTGCAAAATAATCGGTTTAAACGAAATCCAAGCTCAAATAGGTGCGGTTGGCTTCTGGCAATTATATTTTTTAAAAAAAGAATCGAAAAATTTCAGCGCACGTGTGAAATTTTTTGTGAATTTCGCGCCATTTTTCGAAATTTTTTTCAAAATTTCAATACGCACCTTATAATTAATTTTTTTTATCGTGAAAATTTTGAAGAAATGCATTTTTTAAAAAGAAAAAAATTCATCGAAAAAATCGATGTGTGTAAATTTGCGTGCGTGTGTATGAACTTTTTTGGCGGCAATACGGTTTTTTTGAATTTTTCTGCGAGTTTTATTGTGTCGAAACGAGATTTTCCTAAGAATTTCCTTAAGAAACTTTTATAGTACTGTTTTATTTTTTTTTTAATGAAAGTATTAAATTTTTCAGGAGCCGACTCTTAGCGATATGACGCGTTATGAGCTAACGTTTTCGCACAAAATCGAAGCGATGTTAAGCCGAATATCGCATCCAGAATATCGTCAATTACTCGTGGAAGTAAGTTTCGGCGTTATTTGATTTTATGTGATTTGATTGTTCTGCGAATTTTGAATTTTCGGTCATTTATTTATGATCGGGGCCGCAAAAAAAAGGCGCGGGCGTAAAATGTGCTTTCTGCCGTCCGATTTTTGCTTTTCCAAATGCGATTAGACGTATGTGTTGCTGGTAGGATTGAATTTGCGGCCTTTTTGAGCCAATTATGACGCTGTGTTATTCATTAATAGTACTGTTGTTTCTTTTTTTCAGCTCCTCTCCATTATCGCTACAATTCTCGAGCGCAATCCGGAAATCAGTTTCAACGGATCGAAAATCGACTGCGATGCGGTGATATCATTGCGCGCAATTGTCTGAGAAATGAACAATGCATTATTTTTTAAGCTTATCAAAACGGCGTTCAAGATGTACGCCGAGGAGCAGAACATCGAGGATTTGACAAATCTGACGCCGTTTTATCAGCTCGAGGGGCAAGCGTTGTCGACATCGACAGCGACATACCTAACAAGGGTAATCATCGAAACAAATATTGCGAAAACAATGTTCGACTAATTATCATCAAATATTCCCTCCCTTGGGGGTTATCATCGCGTGGACTTGATTCAAACTGCCCACGACATTGGTTTCAATTAGGACAATAGACATTGTAGTGTGTGATGAATTGGAAAAAAAACTCCCAAAAATAGACATGTTGCAAAATGTTTAGAAGTTCTCATCACTTTATTATTATTAGAATGAATTAAGGGGGGAAATGAGACAGATTTCCGGCGATAATTGAGCAAACCCACCAAAGTTATTCAACTTTGTTTTTTTGTGAACTAATCGGATTTTGAGCAGACGAAGGTGGTTTGATTTTTTTTTGAAGAGTGTCGAATTTGTATGAGTTTCGAGAATTTGGGAATTGTTTACATCTCAATTTTAAAAATTTCGACAAATTAGTGGTGAACTTTTCGTTAATTAATTTGTTGAAAAGTCCAATTCAAGAAATTGAACCTTCTGAATCATCATCATCATCATCATCATCATCCGAATTTTGTTGAAAACAAAAATTGTTAGCTTTTTCTTCTTTGTCGTCATCGTCATAAGAAAATTGAGATGATTGAGAGGGAAAAAAAACACGCTAATCCGAGAGGACATTGATAATGCCGAATAACAATACCTCAAATAATCCAATTAGATTAGGAATTGACATGAACTATTATTTTGTGGCTGAGAGTTTCATCATTTTGTATTTTTAGGCGATTGTCGAATTTATTCTCGCCGGACGACATTTCTCGCAGGTGATCAACATATTCGGCGAGCAGACGTCGCGTGAAGACGCCCTAGCGACGCCGCACTCGAAATCGAAGCATCATCGCGATCGGACGCCGGGTAGGGATGGGATGGGGGGGGGAAGAAAATTGGATTGACGAGAGATTACATGGCGATTTTCAGGGCGTATTGAGAGCAAAAACGAGGAGAGCTGCAAAATACAGTAGTCCGCAAGCAGAGTGGGGGATTATGACGCTCTCTTTTCATCTTCATCTTCGGATTTTTATTTAGCTGGATTAGGACACGCATAATAGTGCCAGGAAAACGACGCAAATTAATCGTTATTGATATATAGAAATGTCTGCACTCTAGTCAATTGTACACCTGACTTTTTTCTTCTTAAAAGTTATATAGCCTTTCATCAATGACGAATTTCCAGCTGCACGTTTCCTTTTTGCCATAGATTGCCATATATATATATAAACCGTTTTTTTTTCTCATTATGATTTTTCAAACCCTCGAAACTGTGGTCAATGATTCCTTATAATTTTTATTTCAAGCAAGCATAAAAAAAGAAATGAAAGAGAGCGTTTACTTGCACTCTGTCGAATGAGATACAAAAATAATTGGAAATCCCCATTGGAGATACGTTGAGTGTCGAATGGCGTCCTAACTGGATCCCATAAGACAATGAAAACTGACGAGCGACATTCGTGAATTAGGCGGGCGGAAAAATTGGGAATGTCGCGGTTGGGAGTAGAGTTGTCAGTGGGAAATTGAGAAGAGGGTTCGCGAGAAGCGGCGGATTACGAGCGTTGTGGTCGCAATTGTTGAGAAGCTGCTGGAGGAGACTGTAAAATAATTAAGGGGTTTCGCCTAATCACTGCGCTCATTGATTACTAGTTGTTTAGAAGTTGAATGAGTAGATCGTTGGTGTTCTCGATGGGAACCTGCTCGAGCTCCGAACTCGACGACACTGTCGATGGTGGAGATGGCGAGCTGAACGAGGTTGACGATGTTCTTCCAGACGGCGGAAGAATTGAGTGTGCTGAAACGCGTGTGTTGAGTATTTTTTCGGTTTGCCTCAAACGTTTCGGGTCCTACATCGATTGTCATAAGTGACCATTGTGCCGTCGACGTCGTCGGTGGATTTCGGAACGATGCGCAAACGCATGTTGCCGTTTTTCGAGCGAATCGTCTTGAGGACCGCCGAGTTCTGGTTCGGTTGACGATGACGAAATCGGCGAATTAGGGCGTTGGCGCGCATATTCATCACTGATGAGCACTGAACACACCGGAATTGAATAGAATTTGATTAAAAATAGATTTTTGGCGCGATTGATACCGTGTCGCATGTGCAATTGTTGAACGGACATGAAGCGGCGTGGCCTTTAAGGATCGAGTTGATGCCATGGCCTTCGCATTTGCGGCACGTTAATTTTTTCACTAAATTCACACGTCATTATCATTATTATTAGATGATGATGTTAGTATACTTGACTTCTTCTTGGGCGATTCGTAGACAGCAGCATTGTCTTCAAGAATCATGATGATTAGAAGGATTGGAATAGGTGGCGAGGAGCAATCAAGAATGAATAAAGGCGCGCGAACGGCGAATTCTGGGCGGGCATCCCGTTTTTGGCTTCTGCCCACCGAGCCAACTTTAATCCTCTTGCTCTGATAATCGAGAGGTGGGTGTGGCCTGCTGTGCTCCTCTGCGCGCACTAGGCGTATGCATGGCAGCAGTAGAGCGGGGCGCGCGCACACACACAAATCTATGTATTCGATGTACATATATGTGTATGTGTGTGCAATTCATTTTTTTTTGGGCTCGTTGCCGACGACCGGACTGCGGATAAAATGATTTGATTATGAGACTGACAGCACTAGGAAATGTTGAATGACGAAATCGAGAAATGCGGGGGATAAAAGTGTTTTTTTTTAATGAAATGAAAGATTTTCGACGATTAGCGAGAATGTGAGACATTCGAATCTTGGGGGGATTTAACGAGCACACCCCGAGGCCCTTTAAAAGATTTAAGAAACCTTTAATGGAAATGGGAAATGAGACATATGCTAATGATATATAATCAGAAGAACGTTTCAGAGAATCGTTTGGTCGGTATGAGCTAGCACGTCATTACGTGAATAGTGGGGACTTATTTGAGAGGGTCCGTGATAGCCACCACTAAAAAAAATAGGGTATCAAGCTTTTGAAAATAATTTTTTTATCAAAAGATTTTGTTTGAATGAAATTATGGGAAAATGAAAAATGATAATACGATTTGCTGAAAATGATTTTTTTCAGAACCTTGATTTTTCAACAATTTCTGCGAATTGAAGGTCTGAGAAAACTCAAAAGTTGTGAACAAACTTGAAACATCAGAATTTGAAAAAAATTTGTGATTAAAAATCTCGAAAAATTTTTTTACACACAAAAAAAACCAGAGAATTTATTAAATTTTGCATGGAATTTTCGCAATTCTAAATAATTATTTTCTCCAAAATTCCCTTCAACTATTTTTTTTCTTGATAATTTGTTCTGATTATAATACATAGTTGACGATAGCGATCGCGTTGATACAAGTAGGCCACTTTCTTACGATATATCCTCTCGATTCTTCACACTGTCTCATTTTGCTTCGGACTTTGATCACTACACTAGATTCTTATCAGCTCATTTTATCGAAAAAAAATTTTTTTCACAAACATTTATCCAAGAATTGATTTGCATTCATTTCAGACTTGAGAAATGATCATTCTTATCGGGTTTCTTGTGATCATTGGGCTTTTATTGTGGAAATGGCTCGACATTCGATCGATTGATGAAATCCAGAATATTGGACAATTGATGACGAGCGGAAATGGACAACACGTGATGTCGAATTTGTTTCAGGTTTATTTTTTTCTTGAGAATGCGCTATTCATATTTGCAGGTTGATGAAAAATCGAAGCGGCATGGTGGCGAACTCGTGGCAGCTGCTTTGAAGGTTGTCTTCCTCAATTGTTGCAATCATTGATATATTTATTTTAAAGGCGCATGATGTCAAGGAGATTTTTGTGCTCTGCGGTGGTCATATTTCGCCAATTCTCGTCGCCGCTCAGAATCTTGGAATTCGCATCATCGACACTAGGCATGAAGTTGGAATGAGCATTAAAAAAAAAAAAAAATTTTATATAATTCTCAAGGTGACTGCCGTGTTCGCCGCCGACGCTGTTGCTCGCCTACGCCAGTCGATTGGTGTGGCGGCGGTGACCGCCGGTCCGGGACTCACCAACACAATCACCGCCGTCAAGAACGCGCAAATGGCCGAGAGTCCGCTGTTGCTCATCGGCGGCGCCGCGCCGACGTTGTTGAAAGGACGCGGCGCGCTTCAGGACATTGATCAGATGGTGCTGTTTCGACCGTTGTGCAAATTTGTCGCGCGCGTCGAGCGCCTCCGCGACATCATCCCGACGATTCGAGAGGCGATCAAAGCGGCGATGTCGGGATGCCCGGGTCCGGTGTTCGTCGAGTTTCCCGTCGATGTCCTCTATCCATACGATCTTGTCGTGAAAGAGATCGGATTCAATCCGAACGCGAGAGGATTCATTCAGACAGCGCTCAACTACTACCTTCGTTGTCATGTGTCTCGCCAATTCAGCGCCGCGTGGCGATCGCAAGATCCGACGCCGTTGCCGACGAGTATCCCGTGGCCCAAGAATGAGGACGTCGAAAAAATGGTGCGCCTTGTGAAGAACGCCAAAAAGCCGGTGTTGCTCATCGGAAGTCAGGCGGTTCTTGCGCCAGTGAAGCCCGACGATCTCGTGAAAGCCGTTGAAGCGCTGGGATGTCCGGTGTTCCTTGGAGGAATGGCGCGTGGTCTTCTTGGCAAGAATCACAAATTGCAAATGAGACATGTTAGGCGAGACGCGCTCAAAGAAGCCGATCTCACGATTCTTGCAGGCAACCATTTTGACATTTTTTTTTTCGATTTTAAGATTGCTTTTATTATTTTCCAGGAACTGTTTGCGATTTCCGATTGTCCTATGGTCGAACGCTGTCCAAAAAATCAAAAATTATCGCTATCAATAGAAGTCGCGCGCAATTGACAAAGGTTTTCTACCGATTTTCCACCTGCATCGGCGTTAGATTATTCAACGAGGAAGTTTCAGAACGAGAAAGCTTTCTGGAACGCAGACGTTTCGGTTCAGTCGGATGTTGCATCAGCTCTAGTGCAGTGTGCTTCGAGACTTGGGGTAAAGCGTCCCATGTGGTACTTGAATCCATTTTTGTTTTGTTTCCTCTTCAGGGCGATTATCAGACGCCATCGGAATGGGTCGATGCGTTGCGAGAGAAGGACAATGAGAAGGAAGCGGGAAATGAGAAGAAGATGATGGCGAAAACGGCGAACGGATTCATCAATTCGTTGAATTTCCTGAAGACGTTTGACAAAGTATGCGAGCGTATGTGTGTGTATTAGAAGAGGAACCAAATTTATAGCTTTAAAAAGTGTCTATGATGATGAATTGAGGCCACAAATCACAATTTTGATATTGAATATTGTTTGCAGTTGCTTCCCGACGACGCGATTCTTGTGGCCGACGGCGGCGATTTTGTCGGATCGGCGGCGTACATTGTGAGACCGCGCGGGCCGTTGCAATGGTTGGATCCGGGCGCGTTTGGAACGTTGGGTGTTGGCGGTGGATTTGCGCTTGGCGCAAAGGTGAGCTGTTGGTGTTTTTTTTTTTTCAATTTGAATGCAGAAATTTGGTGGGTTGTGGAAAAAGAAAAAAAAAGTTTGGAGTGAAATTAGAAGCTCCCAATTTTTTGCTCCCAGTATTTTGAGAAATTGTAATGCCGGCGTCGCGCGATTGCGGAAAATTGGCGAAAGGCCAAAAAAACGAAGGCAATGGTCTCGGCGCGAAACTAAGAGTGTAGATTTACGGGTCTTAGCATAGGGACTGATTAATGGCGCGCACTGAGACCTTTTTTTGGCGTTTTGGCAATTTTCCGCAGTCGCCCGAAAATACTAGATTACCATCGCAAAAAATAGAGCGCCTTGAATTGTTGTGGACCATCGCACTTTTTTCGAGGCGGTAATTCAAATTTGAATTGAAATTGTGGGAATTTGGGTACCTGCGAATCACAGAATGCTCGTTTTTTTTCGGAATTCAACTACCACGATTTTACCATTTTGTCTTTTGTTTCATTTTTTTTCTAATAACCCAATAAGGCATGAATTTGAGGTTGTTCATCCGGATCGTCCGGTGTACATAATTTGGGGCGACGGCTCGTGCGGCTACTCGTTGATGGAGTTCGACACGTTTGCTCGTCACAATTTGCCGGTGATCGGCATCGTTGGAAACGACGCGTGCTGGACGCAAATCGCCCGCGAGCAGGTGCCAATGTTCCAGAGTTCGGTCGCCGTCGATCTTGCGGTAAATCGATGACAAAATTCTGAACGATGACCGATTTGTGGTATGATTTTTAGCGGACGCGCTACGAGAATGTGGCGAAAGCGCTTGGCGGCTATGGTGTTCACATTGACGAGACGAATGTGGATGAGACGGAAAGCATTCTAGGCGATGCTCTTGAGAGCTCCAAATCGAGCAGCGCTTTGGTCAATGTGTTTATTGGTAAAACGGATTTCAGAGATGGCTCGATTTCGGTTTAAATGTTTCGATTTTGGTTGAATAATAAACATTCCTAATGGTCTCGTGATTGGGAGAGCGAAATTTTGGGTGAAAAATTATTGTTTTACGATGGACGAAAAATTGTTGGCGTCGCGCGACTGCGGAAAATTTGGCGAAATGCCAAATGAAGAAAAGGTTCAAGTTGAATAAGTCTTGGCGAAATGCCGAAAAACCGAAGGCAATGGTCTTGGCGCAAAATGGTAAGTGTAGATTTACTGGCCAATGTTTAAGAATAGGTTAACGGCGCACAGCACGCACCGAAACTTTTTTTTTACATTTTCGGTATTTAGCCAATTTTGCACCCTAGATATCAATGGACCATCGAATTTTTTACGCGGCTATTCAAATTTGAATTGGGGAATACAACGAGTAACCTGGTTCTCTTTCTTCGCGATGATAATGGTCTACTTCCTTTGTAGCCTTAGGCATAAATTATCGTATTCGAAAAAGAATTATACATATATTTTACGAAATTTGTTTTTTTTTTAATATTAATCTTTAAAGGATCAATGTAGAGAAAAAATAATAACAGTTTTTTTTTGCGTTTCTTCGGCAAAAAAAATACTGAAATATAAAACCACACGAAGATACGGTAGTTTAAGACGCACGCTGTTCACTTTTGCGATGGGTCTCGCAACGAATGGTGTATTTCATTTTTCGCATTGCATTTTTCTTTTTTTTAACATTCCGTATATAATAATCAGCGATTTTCATTGGGTAAACATTTTGAAAAAAATTATTTTATTTGTAAGCGCAAATCCGACAAAAAGTTAATTTAGTCGAAATTGATTTGCGGATGCGGAATTCCGCGCCGAGCACACCTGCTCGACGGACAGTTCGACCTCGTCAGAGAAGCAGCTGACAGGAATATGACTATTACACTGTTTTCGATTGCGCATTTCATACTAATATCCCCCCAAGTTTTTTTTTCGTTGGATTCTCATTTCATTTTATTATTATTATTATCATCGTCTTTAATCGACAGTGTCAATCACTTTTTGGATATGAGAATCCGGGGGGAATGTGGAAAAAAAAGGAGCAATATTAAATTTTTCGCCGCAATTTAATTGGAAGAGCCGAATGGGCGAACAAAAAAAGGAAGAAGCAAATTAATAAATGACATTTGCTCGCCTTTATTTTTCATTTTTCACTGCATAAAAAAAACAACAACAAAAAGCGCACAAAAATTGATGACACCCCGAGCGCGCGCGCGGATATTGCCATCCTTTTCCTCAATTTATCCCACCCCCACCGCATCAACGAAAGTTTTTTTTTGTTTGCCTTTGGCATCACGGAATCGCATTCCGGGGACCCTCCCCCGAATTTCTTTTATTTGTCTGCTCAAGCATTTTTTTCTCTTTGATTTTTCTTATGTTTTTGAAGTTTCTTGACGATTCACTACGATTCACTTCAATCGAATAAAATATTTTGAGATTTATTGGTTAGAAACTTTTCTCAGCTATATGAAATGCCAATCGGATTCGAAAATAATTTCGTTTTCAATCGAATATAAATTAATCTGTTTCAGCTTATTCCAGAATTTCAATCGACTCCGGCAAATCGAATAAAATATTTTGAGATTCATTGATTAGAAACTCACGTGTTTCTCTATAACATTTTAGATTTTTCTTCAATCAACTTTAGAATTTATTGAGATAATTTCGAATTTGCTCAATAATTTTTAGAAATTCTAAAAAAATATTTTTAAGTTTAGCGATTCTCTAGAAGTTTTTCGAAAATATCAATCAACCTTTGAATTTCTCATAATATTTTAGAGTTTATTGAATTATAATTGAATTGAATTAATTGATTGAATTATTCAATTTATTGATTGAATATTTGATTCTCAAAATATTTTATTTGATTTGCCTGAGTGTGGAATGAATTGGTTACGAAAATACCGATGAAATGCCTAGAAATGGGAGTCGCTAATGAAAAACAAAAATAATTGAGCTTCTCGTTATATCAGCTCCTCGAAATATGAATATGTATGAAAAGTCACTTTTTTTTTCGAAATAATTTTCCCAAAAATTGAATTTTCTCGACATTTTCGTGACGGGAACCATTTGGATAAATCACTTGAATTTTTCGAATTGAAAAAAAGATCAAGCCATTCGCTAAAAATTTTTTTCTTCTCATGCGCGAAAAGGAAATAGATTTTGACGAATAAATGTGAAAAAAAAATGTGGAAAATTTCGATTGATGATTTTTTTTTGAATTTCGATAGGTTCCGACACGCGACGCACAAATGCAGACTTGGGAATTACAGTAGTAAGCTATGAAAATTGAAATTCATCAGCCGAAATTTCCTCTTTTTTTTCCATTTTTTTTTCTTGAATTTGATTTTCCTCAAAATAGAAATTGACTTGATTTTAAGATATGATTAAAAATCTTCGAAATCAATCGATTTTAATTCTATAGGGAGATTTTCGTTACGAGATTCCGCTCAAAATCAATGTGCGCCTTTAATTACGGTATCGAAAGAAAGATATTTCTTCGAAATTGGAAAATCCATCAAATTCTCCCCCCGTTTTTTTTTGAATTTATACCATCAAAAAATTTTTTTTGTGATTCAGTGGCAAAATTTTTAAAAAATGAAATGATTGATTAAAGGCGCATAATGAGCAGAGGGTCTTGCGGCGATTGATATTTTAAAAATTACAGGATATGGAGCTATTTCGATCCACATGAACAATTGTGGACCATCGCACTATTTTTCGAGGCGGCAATTCAAATTTGAATTTAAACTGTGGCTACCGTACCCCAGATAACTTGCAAATCAAACTTGGCGCTCGTTTTTTTTTCCTATTTTTGGGAAGCCTATTGATTTCAAGTTTCTCTTATCCATGCAATTTTTGAAGGGTCCATCGTCAAGGTAAAAATAGCAATGGCCGTGGACGGGGAAATTTGTGACCGAGAAAAAAAGCGGCCGCAATAAGAACGTTCAATTTGGGGGGGGGTTGAATTCGAAAATTGGTCAAAATAAAATGCCACGCATTGGCCCGTAAATCGACACGTTTCGTTTCGCGCCAAGACCATTGCCTTCGGCTTTTCAACTTGAACGTTTTCATTAATCGATGGGTCCAATCAGAAGCATCATAGTGGTCCCAATTCCGCTATATTTTTTTGTTGGTTGAATCTCGAGTCCTCAATCTTCTTAATGTATTTTCAAAGCGTTTTCACATGTGTTTCTTGCCAATTCAAAAGTCGATTATCGCACGAATGAGCAGGCTTTTAAGCGCGCCGAATAAACGATGAGCCTCTTCTGAAGAATGAAACAAATGTTTTTTTTTTGGTTGGTCTCGGTCCGCAAAAATTCCATTTCGCCTCGATTCGACAATCAAGAAGAAGTTCATTTCCTTTTTTTTTTGCTCATTTTTCTCCTCCTCTCGCTTCACCATGTCGTCTTAAATAATGTGAAACGGCGTAGGACACCTAATTTTATACATTCATATATAAATAGTCAATGGATGAATATATAATTTATTGAATGGCGAGGCGAGGCGAGGCGAAATCGCCGCGAAGATGAAACATTGAGGATGACACGCGAGTGGAGAGAAACAAAAAAATAGGGAAATTTAATTATTCGGCTCTCATTGCTTGTGCACACCTAGCAAAAACTATTCCGAGTGCATTTCTTCTGCTTCCTCTTTTTTTGTCGTCTCTCAGAATGCAATTATGCGATAACGCGAGTGCTATTATAGTCGGGGGGCGTTGATTTAAGCGCGTGCGCCTTGAAATGGTCTCGCCACGCGTGAACGAACGCTTGTTTTTTTCTTTGGAATTTGCAAAAATTATTGAAATGGTCCTTGTAAGTTTAGTCGGCGCGAAACCCATCCGACGTAAATCTACCCGCGGACCTTCCATTTTTTTTGCATCCCTGAACATTTCCATGGATTCTCAGGTAAATCGAATAAAATATTTTGAGATTCATTGAGAAACTCACGTGTCTCTAGAATATTTTAGAGTTTTCTCAAAGAAATTGAGAAATTCTTATAAGATTTTCGAATTTGCTCAATAAATTTTCGAAAAATAAATTAAAAAGTATTTTTGAGTTTAGCGATTCTCAATAAGTTTTAGAATGTATCAATCAACTTTAGAATTTCTCATAATTTTTTCGAATTTATTGATTGAATATTTGATTCTCAAAAATATTTTATTGGATTTGCCAGAGTTTTTGATGTTGGGTGACGGATTCGCCGAGATTAGGAGCCTGGATCAAACCGATTCGATTCGAACCATTTTTTTTCAACCCGAGAAGCCCCCTTGATTGTAAAGATGAGGGGGGGGGTTGATTTTTTTTCTCTCCTGGATTCTGATTAGAAGCCTTGCTGGGATTCAGCCGAGCAATTCATTTTTTTTTTGACTCACCTCCCTTTAAATTTTGGTTTTTCTCATTTATTTTTTCATTTCTCAATGGGGATCGCGAAATTTCACATCATTAAAATTGACTAGCTTCTTCATTTGTTGAAATTGCGCGCCAGCAAAAATCAAACAAAATCAAATGTGTGCAATTTTGCGTCTCGGTGTTTGGCACACAAATTTTTTTCTACATTGATATTTCGAGAAAAATTTTCGCATTAGCGAGAACTGCTAGATTCATTTTTTGGTGATCTCCAAAAAAAAAGAAAAAGAAGAAGAATCGCGCTCTTTGATCTATTAGCATGGCGTTCGATGGGCAGAAGCAGTAGCAGCAAAAAAAAATAGGAAGCCGAGAGATTTTGAGAAAAAACGAGGGGGGCAAGCGAGAGAGTCGTCGGCACATCCGGTTGACAAGGTGATAAATCTATATCTTGAAAATCCCTGCTCGTCGGCCCGCCCATGCGAGAGCCCCAACCCTGATTTGGCTAATTCATTCCAATCCGCCAACCTCGATGCCATTCATTTCGATTCCCTTCCCCCCTCCCCTCCTCTCCTCCCTCATCCCCCCTTCTGTGTTGTGTGAAACACGAAAAGCTGGCCAACTAAAAAAAAAGAAGAAGAATAATAATAATAATAATGCAAAGGTGTCTCGAGTTACTCGAAGTCTCACGCCATGTGTGTCCTTTGCGCAGCTCGAAAAAAAAAATTATATATATATATAATCATATATTATACATTCACATACATATGTGTGTATTTTGGCGAGAATGAGAAACCCGCGGGGCATTTATCCACCGTGGCAAACTCGAAAATCCGATTATTCCGACCCCCCTTCAGCCCCTAAACGACGCTGAACACATGCAACAGCACAAATTCGGGTTTTTTTTCGGTGGTCCCATTGATTTCGGTTTTTTTTCGTTGGCGTCTTGCAGAGAAAAAAAAACAATCGAGCCGTTGCCAACCTTCCATTTTTGATGCAATTTTTTTTCGACGCGTGCCAATTTTCGCCAATTCGAATGTGAAGCCAAAAAAAAAAATAAAATTGCAGACAATCAAATTCCATGACGCCTTGCTTCTTTTTTCTGACATTTAATCGCAATTTAATTTTTTTTTGACATTCACATTTTGACGAGCCACAAAAAAGCAAGTGGGCGCAATGTCAAATGTGTGCAAAATTGCGTCGCGGTGTCAACACAAATTTTTTGAATTGCCGCAAATAGGATAAGTGATGCTTTCTGGTAATTTTATTGAAAAACTCTTCCACTTCTATTTTTTTCTCTTTAAAATTCTCCTCAAAAACCAATTTCGGTGAATTTCAGATGATATAATGAAGTTCCGCTCGATCGCCTTGTCACTTCGCGTATTCGGCGTCAAGAATCGCCTCCTTCAGTCCACAGTGCATAATGTGAGTTTGCATTTTTTTTTCGACGGCCTATCGCATTTCACCAACGCGTTTCGTTTCATTCATTTTTTTCATTCACCCTCGATGGTGTGCCACCAAAAAGTGTACAACGCGTCCACCCAGCGTACACCATGACCTTTCACCCAATCCAATAAAATCCAAATGGATTGCGGACCACAAAAAAAAGCGCAATTGTTGCGCTCCATTAGTCGGCCATTTTCGCGAAAAAAAAATAAAGATGGCGAGCGTGTGTCTCTTTCAAAAAGAAAAAAAAATTGCATTTAATGAGTGCCGCGTCGAGTTGACCAAGAAAACACGTCTCCGAGGGTCCCTTTTTTGTGTCATTACATATTAGCACTTTGTGTGATTCGTTCGCGAAACTTGACGCTTCTCTCCGTTTCGTTTTTGTTCTTCACAAGCGCCAACGCCAACGCCTTCACACCCCTCAACCACCATAATCGAATTTTCATTATTTATTCATTGAATTTTTCATTTTCGCGCTTTTCGCACCCCACACGATGGGAGGTCATCGTTCAAAAAATTCTCATCTCAATCGGCGTCTCGCATTCTCTAACTCTCTCTCTCTTTCGCGCTATCACAAAAATGCCGTCGTCGACGGCGTCGCAACTCATCTGTTCGCCAGAAGGACACAATTCGGGTCGTCGTGTTCTTCTTCGATTGTTCAAACAAGTTCACTGTATGTTTGTATATTTATATATTTGTTGTGCGCGCGCGCGTGCGCGTGCGTGCGATTTTAGTGCCATCGGCTAGACGAGAGAGCACGCCAATCACGGAGTGCGCCAGACACTCAATAGCCCCCCGCGCGCGCGCACAGGGGGTGTAGTTTTCTGATGGCAAAAGAGATGAAAAAAAAATTTTTTTTTCGCCAAACTGTCGAGAGCACCCGGAAGCTCCTCGATTATCATCCGCTCGGCAAATTTTCAGTTTTTCTTTTTCATTTTGCATTCTTTTCTTTTCTTTTGTGACGGTAGATCACACGCTTCTTCATTTTCCCCCTCTCCGTCCCATTTCCACGTGGATTTTTTTCAACTGTCTGCCATCCATCAATTTGTGAAATTCGGCCGTGTTTGTAGTACTCGCCTTTTTTCTTTCCAACGCGCGCCATATCTTTGGCAAACATATCGCATCATCATCCCTCCAACGACAATAGGAGGAAGAAGAAGAAGAAGAAAAATTGAAGAAGAACAGAAATGGTTGAAATTGATAAAAGACGCCCATTGTTGACACAGCGCGCGATTTTCTCATTCTCTCTCTCTCTCTTTTTCAAAAAAAAAAAAAAACGAACTAAAATGGTGGCAATTCATGGCGGAGGCGGAAAAATTCAAATTGGTGCCAATCATGAGGCGGGCCCGAAGGGCCGAAACAACAATGCACGAAAGAGAGTGAGAGTGAGAGAGGACGACCTTCTTCCGCGTCGAAACGAAAACCCAAAACGACACCATCATCATCATCATCATCATCCGAATTTATTTGGTCGTCGGCAGAATGCACAAACCGCTCTCGCCATCCGCCCAACGGCACTCGCTGGCCACCGCGCCGGCGGTGTACACCGTCGACGGTTGGCCGATGCGAAACACGTTGCCGCTGGGAAAATACTTGCACACCGCCAGTGTGTACGGTTGGCCGTCGAGCCAATTCGGTTGGCGTGCGCACTCGCGAATCGCGCATCCGACGAGCCGCGTCGCCTCCCACATCATCTGGAATTTTGATTCTCGACGCTTCGTCTTCGAGAGCGCCCTACCTGAGTGGCGTGTCCGATGCGGCGTTCGAACGCGTCCATTTCCAATGATTGTATGCCGTGCACCGAAATCTCGGCGCCCATCTCTTCTATCCCTTTCTAGAAAAAAAAAACATTATTTTTTCTCTCTGTCGTTTTTCTTATTCAACACGACATTTTTGCTTGTTGATACTAATTTTCGCGCTTACGTTTATCGCATCGCGTTGTTGTTGTTGTTGTTGGTGGCCGCCGAGAAAATAGAAGGCATTCTCGCCGCGCATTTCGTCCAAATTGGTCGCGTTCGATATCGTACTCACGATTCGGCAAGTTTCGGCGCGATCGTGCGCCTCGTTTTCGAGACGGCAATCCCATTTCTATGAAAAATAAATATTTCTTTTCGTCGAATCAAAAAAAAAAATAACCAAGAACTCAGGTAAATGAAAATCAATCGGATTCGAAGAAAATAAAATAGAAATTAACCAGATTCGAAATTCGATTTGAAAATGGCCAATGATTCCTCACTACCGAAATTATAGTTTTTTTTTTCACTTTCAATTTTCCGCTACCGTTTTTTCACTACCAAATTTTCTTATACTCACTCATTCTTCTTGATTTTATCAATAATCCACTTTATTTCAGAAAAAAACGAGTTAAAAAATCTTTTTTTTTAATATTTAGAAAAAAGCTAAATTTATTTAATCTTTAAACGAGTGAAAATTAATTTCACAAGGAACAAACAATGTTTCAAAATTTTCGTCCGTCCGAAGCCATGAATGTTAACCTAACTGCATTGTTTTTAAAATTGTTTTCTATTAGTTTAATTAACAAGGTTATTTCTAATAATATTTTATGGATATTGATCACAGCTTTTTTTTTAGCTTTTTTAAATATTTAATAAAAAAAGATGAAAAAAAAGATTGTTTTAACTCGTTTTTTTTTCTGAAATGAAGTGGATTATCGATAAAATCAATAAGAATGAGTATAAGAAAATTGGTAGCGAAAAATCAGTAGTGGAGTGAGAAATCGGTAGTGAGGAATGGTTTGCCTTGAAAATTTTATTCAAAAATCTTCGAAATCGATGGGGTTTTTTTTGTCAAGTTCAATTTTGAACTCAGGCAAATCAAATAAATTATTTTGAGAATCAAATATTCAATCAATAAATTGAATAATTCAATCAATTAATTCAATTCAATTATAATTCAATAAACTCTAAAATATTTTGAGAAATTCTAGTTTATTGATATTTTTTAAAAACTTCTAGAGAATCGCTAAACTTTAAAATATTTTTTTTAGAATTTCTAAATATTATTGAGCAAATTCGAAATTATCTCAATAAATTCTAAAGTTGATTGAAGAAAAATCGAAAATATTATAGAGAGACACGTGAGTTTCTAATCAATGAATCTCAAAATATTTTATTCGATTTGCCGGAGTCGATTGAAATTCTGGAATAAGCTGAAACAGATTAATTTATATTCGATTGAAAACGAAATTATTTTCGAATCCGATTGGCATTTCATATAGCTGAGAAAAGTTTCTTACCAATTTCGGCATTTTCGAAGCGGTCGGCAAAAAGCCGCCCGAATTTCCGTTTGGGTACAAGCCGAGCGCGACACGACGACGCAATTCATTGTGCTTCTGAAATCGTGTTTAAACAAAATAATTGAGTAGTGTAGGAGGAAAATTGGATTGGCTAAATCGAATAAAACATTTTGAATATTTTAGAGTTTTCTCAAAGAAATTTAGAAATTCTTATAAGATTTTCGAATTTGCTCAATAAATTTTCGAAAAATAAATTTAAAAGTATTTTTGAGTTTAGCGATTCTCAATAAGTTTTAGAATGTATCAAAATATTTTATTGGATTTGCCTGGGAAAAAAAACGATGGCGTCGGTTTTCGAAAAAAAAAGCAATAGTTCATACACGCGCACGCCAAATTGCACACATTTGTTTTTTTCAAAATTTTTGCAATTTGAAAAAAAAAATTACCATCAAAAATATTTCGCGCATCGATTTATTCATGCGATCGCCGCAATTCATTTCGCCATCATTCGCGGCAAACTGAATTCTCGATGGCTTCGAGTTTGCTGAAAAATACGAAAACCCTCAATTCGCTTTTCTCAGCCTACAATTGATTGATCGAAACGCGATGAAAACCGCCGTTGTTATAATAATAAAACCTCTAATATAGCTGTAAGACATACTGAAAAATAATAAAATAAATAATTAAAATGTGTATTGTAATTGTGAAATACCAGTTGGAACTAGTTTCCAAGCAGCTTGTTGATTCATTTTTGCTGACTTCTTCAAATTACAAAATTTGTCGCTCACACCCATTCGCCCACCTTTTGCCATTTTTAAAATTGTGAAATGACTCGTTCTTATCTTATCTCAACAAATCAGTAACTATGCGTTTGTTGTTGTTGTTGTTGCGTGAGTGAGCGGCTCCGTTTAATTGCTAGGTGCGCCCGTCAATTTTCGAGAGAGAGAGAGAGAGAGAATTTCTGTTGAAAAAGAAATGAAATAAATTACAGGCGATCGATTTGTACTCGCTGGAGCCGACGCCGATAAGCTCGACGTCACTCGAGCCGAATTTCGTCATGTCGTCGGCCGATTACGCGTGCCGACTGAAATTGTTGCGAGCCGACGTCTCGCCGGATTTGCTGCCGGCCGGCTGCGCGCCCAACGACTTGCAGGCGGCCGTCAACGTGAAAGAGCGCGTCGACGTCGACGGCGAATCGCGTCTCGTCCAGAAGAAGAAGACGCTCTATCCGGAATGGGAGAAGTGTTGGGATACGGCCGTCGCCGAGGGACGCATCATTCAAATCGTGCTAATGTTCAATCAGACGCCGGTCGTCGAAGCAACAATGCGACTCGAGGTGAGCGCAATCAAAAAAAAAGCGTGGGTCCCCAGCCGCCCTCTCTCCTTCAACTTTTTTCTCCTTTCTTCTTTTTGCCAATTTTTTTTCGTGTGTATTTGTGTGTGTGCGTAAAAACGTTTTTCGGACTCCTGGGCCCCTGCTGCCCATTTTCGGTTCGTTTACGTCAATCGGCGAATCTATGGTTGTGTTGAAGGGGGGTAGGAACGGTAGAAGTCAAGAAGCATGCGCCTTTAAAGCCATTTGCAATTTTTTTTCCGGAACATTAAAAATTGGGCTATTCAAAATTTTTCTATTTTTTTTTTGAAGTCCGCAAACACCGAGACGTCCAAAAAAGGCAAATTTTGCGAAATTAATTAAGAATGAAGGAAAAGCTTCGAAAAATTGTGGATTTTAATAGGAACGGTAGAAGTCAACAAGCATGCGCCTTTAAAGCCATTTGCAATTTTTTTTCCGGAACATTAAAAATTGGGCTATTCAAATTCTTTCTATATTTTTTTTGAATTCCGCAAACACCGACACGTCTAAAAAAGGCAAATTTTGCGAAATTAATTAAGAATGAAGGAAAAAGCTTCGAAAAATTGTGGATTTTAATAACTCAATGAAAATTGCCGCCGGCGATTTTTTATTCGTCGCAAACGAGAAAAAAAAAACCAAAAATCCCGTTATTATTATTATTATTATTATTGTTTAGACGTTCAGCAATTTTTTTTTCAATTTCCAAAAAAAAAAAATGAAGTTTTGTTCGTTCGGACCCCCCCCTTCTTTCCTTTTTTCTTACATCTCATCTCATCTGCTTTGAATTTAGCGTGCTTTTCACATTTCGCCCATCTCCCGAAGCGTTTTCATACTGCCCTCAACACCCCCCCCTCTCCTGCTACGTCGTTTTTTGCTTCCCCCCTCCCACCCACATTTTTCTACTTCAACATTTTTTTTGAGCATGGGAAATGCGCACACCTTTTTTTAGATGGGCCCCCCTCCCCTTTAAAAAGTACCCCATTTGTGATTTTCCAAAAAAATATTTTTTTTGCCAAATCGGGATGCGCCTTTAAGCGTGGTGGTACTGTAGGATTTGAAAAATGGTGGCCGTGGCCGAGGTTTCGCTCCCCCCCCCGTCCTCCTTTTTTGATGGTTTTTTGTCTGCAAGAAATGAGGCGTTTGAATTGCCGCCAAAACAAAAACGAGCGAGTCGGTGTTTGCGGACTTTGCGATTTTTCCGTTTTATTTAGGTTTAAAAAGAGTCGCCTAGAATTATTGCGAATGTGTGCAAACACCGTGACGCAAAAAATCACAGGAATCATTTTAAAGGCGCATCGAGTTTTAATTTCCCCCAAATTTTTTTTTCGCCATCTTCATGTCGTTTTTTTGTTTGCCGAAAAAAAAAACACGGCGAACGGCAAAACAATTAAATAGGGCAATTAGATGGGGGGCTCGTTTCTTCGGGTATTTTTGCCTCCGAAAAAAAAAGATGAACGGATAGACGTGACATGTTCCCGCTTGAAAATCGTTTGTTTAAAGCATTCGACCATTATTATGTGTGCTCGGTGTTTGCACACATTCTCGCGAGTTACAGTACCCCAAAATCGTTTTCCCAATCGGTTACTGTAATTGGGGTGTTTGCACACATTCTAGCGAGCTACAGTAACCGAAAATCGTTTTCTCAATCGATTACTGTAATTGAAGTGTTTGCACACATTCTCGCTAGCTACAGTACCCCAAAATCGCTTTCCCAATCGGTTACTGTAATTGGGGTGTTTGCACACATTCCAGCGAGCTACAGTAACCGAAAATGGTTTTCCCAATCGGTTACTGTAATCGGGATGTTTGCACACATTCTAGCGAGCTACAGTAACCGAAAATCGTTTTCTCAATCGATTACTGTAATTGAAGTGTTTGCACACATTCTAGCGAGCTACAGTAACCGAAAATCGTTTTCTCAATCGATTACTGTAATTGAAGTGTTTGCACACATTCTCGCTAGCTACAGTACCCCAAAGTCGCTTTCCCAATCGGTTACTGTAATTGGGGTGTTTGCACACATTCCAGCGAGCTACAGTAACCGAAAATGGTTTTCCCAATCGGTTACTGTAATCGGGATGATTGCACACATTCTAGCGAGCTACAGTAACCGAAAATCGTTTTCTCAATCGAATACTGTAATTGAAGTGTTTGCACACATTCTAGCGAGCTACAGTAACCGAAAATCGTTTTCTCAATCGATTACTGTAATTGAAGTGTTTGCACACATTCTCGCTAGCTACAGTACCCCAAAGTCGCTTTCCCAATCGGTTACTGTAATTGGGGTGTTTGCACACATTCCAGCGAGCTACAGTAACCGAAAATGGTTTTCCCAATCGGTTACTGTAATCGGGATGTTTGCACACATTCTAGCGAGCTACAGTAACCGAAAATCGTTTTCCCAATCGGTTACTGTAATTGGGGTGTTTGCACACATTCTAGCGAGCTACAGTAACCGAAAATCGTTTTCTCAATCGATTACTGTAATTGAAGTGTTTGCACACATTCTAGCGAGCTACAGTAACCGAAAATCGTTTTCTCAATTGATTACTGTAATTGAAGTGTTTGCACACATTCTCGCAAGCTACAGTACCCCAAAATTGTTTACCATAATTTTTCGACGCGTTGCGGTTCGCGCGTGCGGCTGTCCTATTTGGTGTTATTTTTTTTTGAATAAGAATGCTATTTTTGAAAATTGGGGGGTCCTAGGATTTCAGAAAAAATTTTTTTGTGCAACTTTTGGGTTTTGTCGAAGCGAAATTCGCATGCGCCTTTAATTCGCACCAATTTTTGTTAAACCAAAGAAAACGATTTGCAGGATATCATCTCGAAATGCAAAAGTGACTCAATCACGCATATCTGGATCAACACGAAACCTGGTGGACGAATTTTGGCGCAGACACGCCATATCAAAAACGCCCGTAAGTTGGCGCCCTGTTTAAAGAAGCATATTGTCGTCAAATCGAACGCACAAGTCCGCAATTGTGATACATCATAATTGACGACAATTTGCACATATTTGAGGCAACCCCCTTTAAACGCGATTTTTTCTCAGCAATTAGAGAGAGAGAGAGAGAGAGAGAAAAAAGGTTTTATTGAATTTTGTCCTCCACCCAAATTTCTTTGTGCGATTTATTTTTTCCCTCCCAATAATAATAATAGTTGTCGGTTTTTTTTTCGAATTTTTTTTCCCGTCGATTGAGTGCCGCTAATGCGTCCACCAAATTTCGGCTAAGAAGCTTCGAAAGGTGCCAATCTGTCATTTCTCATTTGCATTTTTCTGCCATTCTTTTTTTTTTTGGTGGGGCCTAAAGCCTTCAGCAACTCTTCGTCTTTTTTTTTTGGCCCGCCACTTGACGCATCATTTTTTTCTTTTTTCGTCGTCGTCGTCATACGGTAGGCACCCATTTTGGCCCGATTATGATGCATTTTTGAGAATTTATGAGCTTGAAACGTATAATCGACGCCAAGGATCTCTTCATTGTGGCTCTTTGCTTGGGGTTTTTTCTTTCTGTTCGCTTTTCAAATTTTTTTCGCACTTGTGAGCAGCATCCGATGCGCGTTCGAAACATTGGCGATGGTCTCTGAATTGTAGAATTGAGTCGGAAAAATTTTTTATTGCTCGTCGAATTTTGTAGCTCGCTCATTTTCGAGAAATTCGCATCTGAATTTTCAGTCAAGATTTTCTGAGGGAGAAGGTTTGCATTGGATGCTTGTTGTCGCTGTCCTTATTATCATCGGCGTTTAATGTGTCGCGCTGCAAGCGCTGATGGCTCAGTGGCAAGTGTGGCCGTTCCCCGGCGCGCGACTGTGGGTTCGCTCCCACTAGATGCGGGGGGGGGTTTTGTCGTTTTTATTGAAAGGGCTTATTTTACCCTTCCATTCATAATTTAGTTATAGTTCGTTTATTATAGCAGCATACAACAATATTAAATGTATGTACAAAATTAGACAAAAATCCCAGACCGACAGTAAAAACACTTTTCTTGTGAGTGTCGATTCACATTAAGTGACGCATTGTCCGTGTGGAGTACACAACGAGACAGCTTCTGGAAGTTTGCCAATTTTTTCTGTTGTCTGCCGGACTTATTTTGTGCTCGTCAAGTGGATATATACGTTAAAAAATGGTAGCAAAAAAAAAATAAAAATAATATTACGAATGACGATCAAGCTTCCCATAAATTTTTTTTGATGTAAAATTGTTTTTTTTTATTGCATTTTCGCGAATCGCAAAAATTGCGACGCTTCGGGCCGGCGTCGAACCCGTCGTTGTCTGTTGGCCGCAACTAGCGGCGTTGAATGGCGCAATTGATAGTGCACCACCGCGTTAATCTCATGACGGTGGTTCGAGACCGCCTCGAAGAAATCCATTTCAATTTGTTGCTGAAATTCCGAAATCTACAAAAAAATGAGAAAAGCAACAAAAATTTAAAGGCGCATAGGACAAAAATTTGTTACAACATTGGAAAAAAATTTTTTTTTGAACCAAATTCGTAGATCATCAAAGGTGAGGGGGGGGGGAACCTCGCATATTACACAGAATGGTTCGTGATGATGACGTCATCACGCCAACCTAAGTCTTCTCGATTTCCGCGACCGGTTTTCTTGTTTTTCGCCCACTGGCCCCATCTCTCTCTTTCTCTCGCACTTTCTCCAATTAGAACAGTGTCTCGCGCGCGTCTAATTATCGAACTGTATCACTCGACGGTCGTTTGCGTGCTTCAATTCGTAATTTCTGTTGGAATTTTTTTTCTCGCATCGAAATTATTGACATACAAAAAAAATTGCTTCTTCCATTTTTTTTTGCGATATTATTTGCCCCCGACAAAATGTTTGATTACCGGATTTACCATCGCGATTTTCGCATTTTTTTTTGACAATTCGTTTCATTTCAGCCGATGATGACAACCCGATAGACGACATCATGACGAGTCGCAACAATTCGGGTCCCGGCTTGCAGCGTCGTCGAGGCGCCATCAAACACGCGCGCGTCCACGAGATTCGCGGCCATCAATTCGTCGCCACATTCTTCCGCCAATTCCATTTCTGCTCGCTATGCTCCGATTTCATGTGGTGAGTTTCGGTTTGCTTTTCTCTTTTTCTGCGTTCAACGACAAAAAAAAACAATTGAATTGCCGAAATTTGCGATTACTTGGGGGTAACTCGAAAAAAATTCCCAAAATCGGATTCGGAATCAATCCGATCCGATTGGATTTTTGTCGAATCCGATTGAATATGTGTCGGATCGGATTGGAAATTTGTCTAATCCGATTGAATATTTGTCAGATCCAATAGGACTTTTGTCGGATCCGATTGGATTTTTGTCGGATCGGTTTGGATTTTTGTCGAATCCGATTGAATATGTGTCGGATCGGATTGGAAATTTGTTGGATCCGATTGAATTTTTGACGGATCCGATTGGATATTTGTCGGATCCGATTGGATATTTGTCGGATCCGATTGGATATTTGTCGGATCCGATTGGATTTTTGACGGATCCGATTGGATATTTGTCGGATCCAATTGGATATTTGTCGGATCCGATTGGATATTTGTCGGGCGAGGAGCCGAAAAATAAAACTGTGCAAAATTCTCTGGAAACTCAAAAAAAAAACCAATCGGATCCGACGAAATTCTGATCCGGTATTAATCCGATCCGATTTATCATTTTACGGATAAAATTGGATATTAGTCGGATCCGATTGGTTTGGTGTCAAATCCGATAAGATTTTTGCCGGATCCGTTTTATTTTTCGGCTCCTCGACTCCGGAATTAATCCTATCCTCTACGGATCCGATTGGATTATTGTCGGATCCGATTCGAATTGGCATGATTAAAACAAAACGGATTCGATTGCGAATTTTTTTGGCGCCGCAAAATTTTTCGACACCTCGTGCGCCTTTAAAATTTTTACTTTGATATATAGAATTTTTAAAAATTTCCTTTGTGAAAAATTCAAAAAAAAAATTATTTTTTAAAGGCGCACGGGTCTCGCAGCAAAACGGTAGTTTTTTTTCAGCATTTTTTGTAAGCGAAAATTCAAAGAAAAAAAATGTCTTGTGCGCCTTTAAACTGAATTTAGGGACCACCAAAAAAAACTGTGTGATTGGAATTAAAAAATTTGATTTTCGCGATTCAAAAAATTCAAAAATTGTGCGGCGCGTTATTGTGGGCGTGGCCTGCCTAGAAGCGAATAATAATTGGTATTCTTTGAGCGATTTTCTCGCTGATTTGAACGGCGGCGCGTTTTTGTGGGCGTGGCCCAGGGGGGGGAATGATTAGCAGTTTTTGAGCCGAATTGGAATTAAAAAATTTGAGTTTCGCGATTCAAAAAATTCAAAAATTGTGCGGCGCGTTTTTGTGGGCGTGGCCTGCCTAGAAGCGAATAATAATTGGTATTCTTTGAGCGATTTTCTCGCTGATTTGAACGGCGGCGCGTTTTTGTGGGCGTGGGCCAGAGGGGGAATTTTTGAGTCGAAAAAAAAGTGATTTTAGTCGGATATTTTGCGCGTCGAGACCCGTTTTTTTTTTGTTTGCAGGGGCCTCAACAAGCAGGGCTACCAATGCCAATTGTGCTCGGCGGCCGTCCACAAAAAATGCCACGACAAAGTGATCATGCAATGTCCGGGAAGCGCGAAGAACACGAAGGAGACGATCGCGTTGAAGGAGCGCTTCAAAGTCGACATTCCGCATCGGTTCAAAGTCTACAATTTCAAATCGCCAACGTTCTGCGATCATTGCGGCTCGATGCTCTACGGGCTGTTCAAGCAGGGCCTCAAATGCGACGTGTGCAACGTGGCGTGCCATCACAAATGCGAGAAGCTGATGTCGAACTTGTGCGGCGTCAATCAGAAGCAGCTCTCCGAGATGTATCACGAGATCAAACGCGGCACACACGCGACAAGCAGCAGTCCGCCGAACATCGCCAATTTGCAATTGAACGGCGACGCGTCGAAGAACGCGACCGGCAGCCTGCCGGCGAAACTCAAAAGCCTATTCCGAACGCATCAGTACAGCATCGAGGAGACGCACAAAGACGCCGACGACTACACCGACAATATTTGGGCGGGCGGCGGCGATGGTCCCGTGCGCAAGTTCGCTCTGCAACACTTCAATTTGCTCAAAGTGCTCGGCAAAGGCTCGTTCGGAAAGGTGACATTGAAGGTGGCCTAAAAAAACGGTTCCTTGATTTTCTAGGTCATGCTTGTTGAGCTCAAAACGCGAAACGAGTTCTACGCGATGAAGTGCCTCAAGAAGGACGTGATCCTTGAAGACGACGACACCGAATGCACGTACATCGAGCGACGCGTTCTCATTCTCGCTAGCCAATGCCCATTCCTCTGCCAGCTGTTCTGCTCGTTTCAGACGAACGTAATCATTTTTTTTTGGGGAATTGGTTTTGAAAATTCTTACGACCGAAATGTCAACCTTTTTTTTCTTCTACCTACTTACAGTTGACATTAAAGGCGCATGCCTCAAAAAGAACACAAAAATTGGTTTTCAGGAGTATTTGTTTTTCGTCATGGAATATTTGAACGGCGGCGATTTGATGCATCATATTCAACAAGTGAAGAAGTTCGACGAGGCGCGCACAAGATTCTACGCGTGCGAAATTATTGTTGCGCTACAATTTTTGCATTCAAACAGCATTATTTACAGGTGAATTTTTGGTTTCGTTCTAAAAATGGTCGCAAAAAATTGATCGATGTTGCGAGGGGTCGAACCCGCGAATAATTCTCGGTGCAAACGAAATGCTCCAGTTCGGACGTGGGACTGCTCCCGTTCGAATGTAAAACTGCTCTCGCTCGACGTCGGAGGGGGCGCAGTTTCACGTCCGAACGGGGACAATTCACGCCCGAATGGGAGCAGTCTCACGCCCGAACCGATGTGAGACTGCTATCAAACTGCGACAAATTGGTTGCGAATTGGGCCCGATTCACGCCAGATTCTCGTTCGAACTGGCTCCAGTCAAATGTATTCTTTTTGTGTATTCGCTACAATTTGGATGCATTAGATTTATTTAAATCATATAATAAAATAAAATAATAGATATCGAAGGAAAAATATTAATTATCGAGTAAAGAGGAAGAAAATGGGAGGGAGAGGGAACATTAAAAGCGGGTTCGAGGAATTACTGTCGCGGAAAAAAATAAACTAAACGCCAAAAATGAGAAATGTCTTGGCCCACGGCATGAGCCTCAATACTTATATTTTGTCCGTATATCTACACATTTAGTTTTGCACCAAGACATCTCCTTCAATTTTTGGCACTTTGTAATTTTCCGCAATTTTGCGACAATTAAATACAATTAATAAATGTCTTAAACCATCTTACAACAGGAAGGGGATACAAATTCTTCTTCCCCATGACTCTTGACATTTCATCTATTTGGGAAGTTTCCTAGGTCTTCGCATTATGAGAAGCTGGGTCTTAGGTTGAAGCAGTTAGCAGCTTGTAGTTTCATTCTGTAAAACAAGGGTTAATTGATGATAGAATCCATATTTTATAACACTTACTCAATATTTAGTTCCAAAAAAACCAGTTGGTCCTCCAGTAAGCATATAGCAAACTCATCCTGTATCGCATTCAGCATCAGAAATCAGCATCGCAGCTTGCCGTCTCATTTCTAAATTATAAGTGTTTGAAAGATATTGGAATTGCGAAAAACGACGATAAATTATGGGCAAATTTAAAATCAATTTCTATTCACTTATCGAACCTTTACCGTTATAACAAAACTTTAAAAGTTCTCCTAATTTAACATCATTTTTGCATTTAAAACCATCCAAAAACGTGTTTCCGGCTTTTAATGGCAAAAATCAATACAAATGTGTCTGAAAACTACTTTTTTCTTAGAAAAGACAATGAAAATGCCCAAAAGTTTCAGTTAAAAATTTAGGATAACAAAAAGACGCGAAAGTTTAATAAAAAACAGACGTTCCACTAAAATACGAGCGAATTGATAGATACACATTTTCTTTAGTTTTAGAAAAAAAAATTACGAAAAAAGCTCGAGAAATGATCGAAAAAAAGCAATAAAAGTGTTTAAAATAAAAGACGCCATTTCGAAAAAAACAACCGCGACGCGGCAATTCCGCGGCGCGCTATTTTGAATTGCTGCGGCACACCATTGACTGCTCCCGTTCGGATGCTCACGCCCGAACTGGAGTCAACCGCTAAAAACCCCTGCTCCCAATTGGATGCAAATTGGCTGCAGTTTGGAAGTTGAAATAATCCTCTCCAGTTCGGAAGTCCGCCTGCCACCGATTGAACGCTATCGCCCGAACTGTACCAGTGGGAACCTATCGGTCCCAGTTCGGGAGTGTGTCGGCGACCAATCGAGCGCTATCGTCCGAACTGGAGCATTTCGTTTGCACCGAGATTGTGCACGGGCCCAAAAAGTCTCCACTCACCCATCGCGCCACCTTAGGAGCGCTGTTCGAATTTTAGATATGAATTGGCGAATGCAAAATGTGTGCATGAAATTTTTTTCTCTCCGCGAATTTCATAAAAATGAGAATCATGGTCCCGCCAAATGTTTCAAGTGACTCGAACCAATTCGAATTGTAGGGATCTCAAACTTGACAACGTTCTTCTCGATTCGGATGGACATATAAAGCTGGCCGATTTCGGAATGGCGAAAACCGAGATGAATCGCGAGAACGGCATGGCGAGCACGTTCTGCGGCACACCCGACTACATCAGTCCCGAAATCATCAAAGGCCAATTGTACAATGAAGCCGTCGATTTTTGGTCGTTCGGCGTATTGGTATGAATAAAAATAAATAAATCAATCAATAAATGGAAATTATATTTTGTAGATGTATGAAATGCTTGTCGGACAATCGCCATTCCACGGCGAAGGCGAAGACGAGCTGTTCGATTCGATTCTCAATGAGAGGCCCTATTTTCCGAAGACGATTTCCAAAGAAGCGGCGAAATGCCTATCGGCGGTATCAATCAATATAATGAGCGAGACAATTTTTTTCCTTTTTTTTTAGTTGTTTGATCGCAATCCGAACACCCGATTGGGAATGCCTGAATGTCCCGACGGACCGATTCGACAGCACTGCTTCTTCCGTGGCGTCGATTGGAAGCGATTCGAAGCGCGTCAGGTGCCGCCGCCGTTCAAACCAGCCATTGTAAGGATGATTTGGGGGGCTGAAAATCGCTCAAAGAATACCAATTATTATTCGCTTCTAGGCAGGCCACGCCCACAAAAACGCGCCGCACAATTTTGGAATTTTTTGAATCGCGAAATTCAAATTTTTTAATTCCAATCATATCTTTTTTTGGTGGCCTCTAAATTCATTTTAAAGGCGCACAAGACATTTTTTTTCTTTGAATTTTCGCTTACAAAAAATGCTGAAAAAAAACTACCATTTTGCTGCGCCTTTAAAAAATCCGCCGCTAGACCGTGCAGTTCGCGTTTGCCTAAAAGAGCCGCACGCGAACCGCGACGCGTCTGACGACATTGAACAATTTTGGTTTGAGCTTTCGTGTGAAAAATGCCTGCGCTTTTTGTTTTCAAATTTCTCATTTTTCTCAAAAATTTTCAAAATTGGCTATTTTCGCGCCAAAAAAAAGAAATCTGCAATTTTGCGTCGCGGTGTTCACACTCATTCAAATCTCGCACCATAATTTTGAATTGCCGCCTCAAAAAAAAAACGAATTACAATGGTCCACAAGTTGCGGTTTTTTTGCGAATAAATTGATGGGGGTGAAGAAAATTTAAAAAAAAATAAAAATTTTCAGCTCGAATTTCTGTCATTCGAACATTCAGAAAATGATTGGAAATTGCGCAGAAACTCAAAAAAAAAAAACCAATTGGATCCGGATTCAATCCGATCCGATTGAAAATTCGACGGATAAAATTGTGAAATTGTCGGATCCGATTGGATTTTTTTTGGGTATTTTCTGATTTCGTTATTAATCGGAACCGTTTTGTTTTAATCTTTCAATTCAAATCGGATCTGACTAATATCCAATTGGATCCGACAAATATCCAATCGGATCGGTCAAAAATCCTATTATATCTGACTAATATCCAATCGGATCGGTCAAAAATCCTATAGGATCTGACTAATATCCAATCGGATCGGTCAAAAATCCTATTGGATCTGACTAATATCCAATCGGATCGGTCAAAAATCCTATTGGATCTGACTAATATCCAATCGAATCGGTCAAAAATTCTATTGGATCTGACTAATATCCAATCGGATCGGTCAAAAATTCTATTGGATCTGACTAATATCCAATCGGATCGGTCAAAAATCCTATTGGATCTGACTAATATCCAATCGGATCGGTCAAAAATTCTATTGGATCTGACTAATATCCAATCGGATCGGTCAAAAATTCTATTGGATCTGACTAATATCCAATCGGATCGGTCAAAAATTCTATTGGATCTGACTAATATCCAATCGGATCGGTCAAAAATTCTATTGGATCTGACTAATATCCAATCGGATCGGTCAAAAATTCTATTGGATCTGACTAATATCCAATCGGATCGGTCAAAAATTCTATTGGATCTGACTAATATCCAATCGGATCGGTCAAAAATCCTATTGGATCTGACTAATATCCAATCGGATCGGTCAAAAATTCTATTGGATCTGACTAATATCCAATCGGATCGGTCAAAAATCCTATTGGATCTGACTAATATCCAATCGGATCGGTCAAAAATTCTATTGGATCTGACTAATATCCAATCGGATCGGTCAAAAATTCTATTGGATCTGACTAATATCCAATCGGATCGGTCAAAAATTCTATTGGATCTGACTAATATCCAATCGGATCGGTCAAAAATCCTATTGGATCTGACTAATATCCAATCGGATCGGTCAAAAATCGGATCGGTCAAAAATTCTATTGGATCTGACTAATATCCAATCGGATCGGATTGATTCCGGAGCCGAGGAACCAAAAAAATGCAACATTTTCTGGAAACTCAAAAAAACCAATCAGATCCGACAAAATTCTGATCCGGATTCCATCCGATCCGATTGGAATTTCAACGGATAAAATTGTAAAAAATTTTGCAAAAATCATCAAAAGTTGCTCAAATTGAGAGGGATAAGGAATTCATCAAACATTATTCTGGAATTCTGAATTCCAGCCTTCAGAATTGTCACAACGTTTGAATCGAATCACACTGGTTTTTTTTTGCAGAAAAACTCGTCGGACGCCTCGAATTTCGACGACGATTTCACCAACGAGAAGGCGCAACTGACGCCGGTGCACGACAAAAACCTGTTGGCGTCGATCGATCCCGAAGCATTTTTGAATTTCTCCTACACCAATCCGCATTTCTCGAAATAGATTGATTGGATTGTCACCGGTATTTTTGGCTCTGTGAATATCCGACCCCCCCCCCCAGTCTCATTGTCGACATTTTTAGTCCGTGTCAACGAGTCGCATAACTCAGCCTGTCGATTTTTTGCATTCTGTTCTTCCATTTGAATTTTTTTTTTGACTTATCTTTCATATCACCCCCACCCATTTATTCAAGACTAACCCTTGTCTCTTTTTTTTTGTGTCTGCAACGAAACCTACTATATATCTAGAAATCAATATGATTTATCACATAATTAAACATAAAATTGGATTATTGATTGGTTGTGCGAAGAACGTTGAAGCTGGTGTCGAGCGGCTGATTAGAATTGTCGTTGGCGTTGCCCGCTTTTGAGTTGCCGCGATTTTTGCTGAAATTGCGCGCTTTGTGGCTGCTGCCGGCGCGAGACACGCGTTTCACTCGAACGGCTGAAATGGCATCGATTTGGTGTGGTTTGGTCGCGTTGGCGCGCCGCGTTGCGTATGCGTCGCGGTCAGCAGTAATTTGAAATGAGGAAATGCCAACACAATTTTGGGTTGGCGCGCCGCGTTGCGTATGCGTCGCGATCGGCAGTAATTTGAAATTAGCTAATGCCAACACAAATTTGGGTTGGCGCGCCGCGTTGCGTATGCGTCGCGGTCGGCAGTAATTTGAAATGAGGAAATGCCAACACAATTTTGGGTTGGCGCGCCGCGTTGCGTATGCGTCGCGGTCGGCGGAAATTTGAAATTAGCTAATGCCAACACAAATTTGGGTTGGCGCGCCGCGTTGCGTATGCGTCGCGGTCGGCGGTAATTTGAAATGAGTTTTCTTTCTTTTCTCTATTTTTTTTATTTTTCATTCAAGCGATTTTTTGCCAATATAATAGTTTGGCTTAAAAAATCCTTCGATTAAGATTTTTAAAAATTAAAAAGAAACCTCGGCCACGGCCAGGCTTATAAAAGCGCTAAGAATCATGAAAGGATTTTTAAAAAATTAAAGTCGAATTATGGTTATTGTAGGCTTCAAAAAACGTGGCCGTGGCCGAGTTTTTTGTTGTTGGCTTCAGATTATTTTTAATTAAAATTTTCAAAAAAAAATGTGATTAACTAGGCAATTCAAAGTAGATCAAAAAATTTTGGAATCATTTAAAACTTGTCACGTTTTTCCCATGAAAACTAGAATTCACAAAATTCCAAAAAAAAATGAAAAAGGCAATTTTTGATTTTCCATCAGCGCTTCGCTTCTTGTGAACGTGACGACGACCAAAAAGCGGCTTCAAAACAAATGTACCTACTGATTTCGCGGCGTTGTCGTCGACGTCACTCGCGAATGTCGGCAGCGGCTCATCGAGCGATCGCCGATCTCTCTCCTCCTCCTCCTCCTCCTCATCACCATCGTCGACGACGTCATCCAGCTCGTCCTCATCATGACCCTGATCGGTGCTTCGCGTCAGACGACGACTCGGACTCGCGTCGGAATGCTAAACGATTCGAATCGTGAACCGAATTCATCGAAGCATTCCTCACGTGCTCGCCTCTCTTATCAATATGATGATTGTCGGGCACCCCGGAATGATGTTCGGCGTGGCGTCGATGCGGCTCATGATGCTCGTCGGACCTTTTGTGAATGCCATGCACGAGATCCATCGCTTCCAACGTCTTCTCGCCGCTGTCGGTGTGGCGCTTCACGCGATCGTCGTCATCAATGGAGCCTAGGCGAAAATCAAAATTGGGAAATTAGATTTGTGGGAATGAGTGAAACCTTCCGTTGATTTGTCGTCGTGATTGCCGACCGGAAAACCGGCGACGAGGACGGCGGCGAATAGAAGAAGCGTCAATCCATGGATGAAGCCCATTTGCGATTTGTCTGTGGTGTGTGTGTAGCGAAAAACGGCGAATCGCAAAAATAATGACAATTTTGCGACGGTTGAACGAGTGTGGCGATTTCGAGGCTCCGCACCAATTATGTTGTGTGTGGGTCGTGTCGAAACCGGATCTCGATTCCAGCACGGGTCGCTGATTCGTCTACCGTAGACTAATCGGCGGTGATCGATGAGCGCTGCGCATCGTGGACACGCCATGCACCTTTTTTTTTGGGAAAGGGAAAAATAATATTGAAATCGCAAATTCAATGGAGACGTCTCGATTTTTCGGAGGCTTTTTTTTGGTGGTCCCACCCTGGAATTGAACTCGATTGTCAATAGAGCGCACTTGCATTTTTCAAATTTGAAAAAAAATAGTTAATATCATATTATGCCTCGGCAAGAGATATAAGAATTTTGACGAATTCTGCAAGAAAATGGAATTGTTGCAATTGCGCTCCATTGACAATCGAGTTCAACACCGTGGGAACCACCAAATGCCAACGAACAACAAAAAACAATGGCAATGGTCTTGGCGCGAAATTAAAAGTGTATTCCGGCGGATTAAAGGCGGACCTCTGGCATTCAGCCCCAATTTTAGGCACAAATAATAATTTTTACTGTTTTCAATTCAAATTTGAATTTCCTATCCGCCGGCGAGACGAATGCTTTCAGTTTTTTGGGAAATAAATGGCGGGGGTCGGGCGAATTTCGAAAAAATTCGAATTGCGATTTGGACGAACTAAAATTCTCGGCCACGGCCACGCTTTTCGAAGCCATAGCAGATTTTTTTCTGCGAATTTCATTTGTTTTTCTAGTATCGTGCATTTTTTGCAGACAAGCGTGGCCGTGGCCGACGTTTCCGGTGTTCATTCGGCCATTTGTATAGCTTGCAATTCGGACCCTAGTTTTCCACACGAGACCCACCCAAAGCGGTCGTTCAAATTCGCCGAAATTCGTCCGGAATTTTTTTTTTGCTTTTTCTCGAAACTACCACTGTCATTTCGCGCAGCGTCCAGATTCGTTGGAGTTGTCGGCGAAAATCGCGATTCAGCATCAAAATGCAAAACGGATTGATGTAGGAGAGAAGGCCGTTGGCGATTGGGTACAACGCGCGCATTGTGAAAATTGGTCCCGTCTGGAAAAGCGGCCGGTGGACTTGAAAATTGCTAGGCCAGCGATTTTCCGGCCACGCCGAACCCCCTTACATTCATTGTCTTTGCGAAATAATTTTGGAACGCGTAATAAATGAACATCGCGACGAATGCGCCGAACAAGGCGAACACCTGAAACGCGAGATGAAGCTCGCGTCGAAGGGACCTGAATGGCAAACATCGACGGACCACAATGATATTGCTAGAGAACCTTGAAAGCGTTGTCGAATTTTTGTGCACAAAAATGATGATTGAGGTGTAGCACATCAGACAAATCGAGCATGTGGCTCCGACGACGATCAACGCAATTCGACTATTTTTCTGCAATTTTTCTTTTTAGCAATTTTTTTTCTTGGCTCTAAATTCTCACCATTATTACTTCCTTATTTGTCATCACATTCATTTCCTCGATATTATCATATTTGAAATCGGTGTCTAGAAGCGTCGGAATGCTGAGAATCGTTGGCAGAAGCCAGTAGATCAACGCGATTGTGGGGATTCGCAAATTTTGGACCATCTAAAACAAGGAATTGGTGAGGCATTTTTAAATCGCCACCTCGGTGAGTCTCGCCAGCGGCAAAATGATGGCCGAAAAGCGTTGAAGTGAGAGGAGCACGATTCCGCAGCAACGAATGTTGAGGAAATAGTAGATCGATGTGTATGTGCCTTTAAAGTTGATTTCAATTTTGCGGGCAAAGTTTTTTCCAGAAAAAAACCGACTATCCGATTTTTGACGCGTCGCGGCTTGCGCGTGCGGTCACGTTTACATTCAATTTTTTCCATTGAAAAAAAAAATGCCAGATTAGATTTTGGGAAAAAAACCGCCTGATTGCAAAAAGAAATCCTCGGCCACGGCCACGGCCACGTTTTTCAACGCGCCTTTAAAGTTTTCAAATCCAAATGTGTTTATTATGGTTCAAACTGTGGTGTCGTGGCCGTGGCCGAGTTTTTGCAATCTCCATTTTTTGAATTTTTTTTTTTGCAAAATCTGCATAGTACCACTTTTTTGCGGCTATTTTATTTGGAAATTTGATAAATTAAAAAAAATTTACCGCCGGCGATATAATAATTTTGATAGGTGTAGAAAAATTGGCGAATATACGAAAATTTGCGGAATCCATAGGTTATCATAAATATGGCCATCGCTAATTGGTCCGCAATACACTGAAAACAAAAATCGATTGGTGGTATACTGTAGCGCGCGAAAATGTGTGCAAACACCGAGACTCACGATTATTTTTATTTCATTCATTGTTTTTTTTTTTGGCAAATTTTGGGAATATTTCAAACTGTAAAAAAATTGTTTCGGATATGGTAATTAAAGGCGCATGCGGCTCGGTGTATTCCACACGGATGATTGGTTTGAACACCTACATGTTGCAAAAAAATCGTGTAGAATGTCGTCCTATAAATTGATGATTCTTTTCGAAGACGTAAAAGACTTAGAAAGACGAGAAAATAGATTGGAAATGTGACAATGCTCATTCCGTAATAAACTTGTAGCGGCCAAGTCGGCGGCTCGTCTGGCAGCATTTTCGATGAGAATGACATTTGGTGGACGGAAACTAAAAAAAAGAATTCCCACAATTGCAAATCACCCACGTGTAATCATTGAACAAATTGGGATATCAATTTTTAGAAACGGCAAGAAGCTTATTGTTGTGGGGGCGAAGAGCACAGAGTCTTTCGCATTCATATCCGCAGTTTACATCGCTGCGCTCAGCTGGCGCGGTGGTTAAGAGGAAAGTCGTTATGCTGCGTAACCTTTTCGCCCGGGTTCGACACCTCGCAACATCAAAATTTTTTGCGACCATTTTTTATCCACTAGAATTGCATTTTAAACATTTTTTCTTGAAAAAAAAACAATTTTGCTCAAATATTGTCCAACAATTCACAATTTTAATTTTAATTTTAGCTATTTTATGTTGTTTGAATTATTTTTGAAGAAATTCTTTTTTAATCGATTTTAAACGGAAATTTTTTTCCTCGATAAAATTTGAAAAAAAAAAAACCCATTTAATAATGAAAATAAATTAAGAATAATCGAGTGTGTGCAATTTTGCGTGAGTGTGTATGACACCTCTAAAATTAATTATTTATTTGATTAAATTTCATAAACAATCAAATTTCAGAAATAGTCTTATTTTTCTGATACCGTAATTAAAGGCGCATGCAGGTTGTGAAGCCAAATCCCGTAGTTATTTATAAGACACTAAAATATGAAGCGATTTTTTCATTGTATGGTTAAAAAAAAAGAAATTGGCAATATGTCGTTAGACGCGTTGCGGTTCGCGTCGCGGTCGTCGCGAAACGTCGAGAATGTATTCAGAAGGATGATTTTAATATTTGAGAAAACCTGACGGCACGTGAACCGCAACGCGTCTGACAACACAGACACGAAGAATGAAGAAAATTGCCAAAAACCGAAGGCAATGGTCCTGACGCGAAACTGGAAGTGGAGATTTACGGGCCTTAGCTTAAAGGCGCACGAGACCTCTTTTTTTTTTAACATTTTTGGCATTTAGCCAATTTTGCGAATGGAAAAATATCAAAAAAAAAAACTTGGTTGTTTTTTTTTTTTTGAAAACAAAAATGGAATGAGATGATGAAATTAAAGAAGCGAATGGTTCATTAGGAATGCAAAACAAGACATTTTTCTTCATTTCCCCACCGCTCATTTGATGTTTTATTGATGATTTCTGAGTTTAGTCGACTGCGTCGTCATCGATAATTGAATGTCGCTCTGAAGAAATTATTTTTTTTTTAAATATTTTTTTTTATATTTAATTCGAATCGACATACGGTTCTGATCGTTCGGCGAGTTATTAAACATTTGACACGCTCGCCTAAATCGCGATTCAATAGTAATACGCAAAATGGGTTGAGGTAGGAGAGGAATCCATTCGCGATTGGGTAAATTGTTCGAATGTAGAATCGAGCGCTCGACTGAAATTATTTGGGATTGAAATGAGATGTCGTCGCAAGACCCAACTTTGATTTATGCGCCTTTAATCGATTATTTTATGTTTGCGCGAAGTGGATTTAATTTCCGTCCTCAATTGGGTACGGTGCGCTGTCGGTGTTGACACACACGCTCTAGGTGACGCGCAATTGCACAGTGCCAGCGCATTGGATTTTTTTTTCAAATTTGATTGTTATAACTATTATTCTCGGTTTGATAATAGTATTCATTTTTTAATTTTATTTTTCAAATAATTTTGAATTAATCGATAATATAAATGAACCTTGATTTTTGTTAAAATTGGCAATTTTTAAATATTATAAAAATTGAAGCAAGTTTTGTTCTTTTTTTCTTTTTTTTAAGATTCCATTCTACTATATATTAATTTTTGTTCATTCAGAAGCAAACTCTACATTTCCCGTTCGTCCAAAATGATTGACGAGCCCGTAGAACACCATCATCACGAAGAATGCGAGATGAAGCGCGACGATTTGAAGTGTGAGATTCAATTCGCGTCGAAGGCGCTTCGAGACCACCTTTTGACGAATCGCAATATATATGGAGAGATGGCACATTGAGCAAATCGCACACGCCAATGAAACGATCGACAACGCGATGATGCTGTTTCGCTGAACCGCACGTTTTAACGGTATTTCGAAATTTCAACGAAATTCGAAAGAGATACATTTGTGATTTGCAGCGGCGCGATGATTTGCATGGTTTCGAGAGAATCGTAATAAAAATCGGCGTCTTTGAGAATAAATATGGACAACGGTAGAGGAATTAGCCAGAATACGAGAATCACTTTCAATTTTGAGGCGTTCTGAATCGCCTGAATCCAAAAATGTTGCGTGTGAAGTGGATTTTGGCTTACTAATGAAATATGCGACGTCGGGAAGACGATGATGACGAATCGCTGCAAGGAAAGAAGAATAATCCCGCAACATCGAATAATGAAGCACACGTAAATCGTGTTGAAGCATGCTGAAACTCAAGTATTTCATTTACTACTAGGCTTCTTAAAAAAAAATACATAAATTTGAATTTTTTTTTTTTGAAAAAAATTATTTTTCTTGAATTTATTTCACAAAGAAATGTCTAGGGATTTGTGCATTATTGCGTCGGAGTGTAGCCATTGAAAAATTGAAAATTCGCGTTTCACCAGCAAAAATTGATTCCCACCTGCCGCTATATAATATTTCTGGTATTCGAAATAGAATTTCTGAACGGCTGGAATTTGACGGATCGGATTCACAAAATAGTATGTCAATATTGCGAGAAAATCAGCGATACACTAAAAATTAAAATTTTTTTCGTTCTTGTTGAACCCAAATTTTTTTTTGCGCTAACGTGCTGCATGAATAGCGTGTAAAACGTTGAATTGTAGATTTTCGAGTGTGTTCGAAGACCGCACAAACAAATGAATATCAATAGGTATAATGGAATCGCGATAATCGACATCGCGAAGAAGACGTACATCGACCAGGGCATTTTCTGAATGCGAATTGGTTATCGGCATCTACAGTGCGTTTCAGATTTATAAAGCCACCCCTGTTTTTGGGTGTAACTTTGTCAATTGTAAACATTTTTAAATTCTGTTTTCAAAATTGAATTCAGGACTAAAAAATACGTATATCTACCAATTTTCATTATGATATCTGAAAAATTGGCCGAGTGGCATTGAAAACACTGAAAATTGGTCACTTGCAACCGTTTCACATTTATAAAGCCACCCCCGTGAACGCAGTAAAAACTCTATTATAAAGCCAGATTATTATTTAGTTGCGGTTTCTTTCATAGAAATAAGGTCGTAAATACGATTTGACATCGATTGGACCAGGTTTTCCATATTTTGGGTGGTCTTGGTGTTGAGTTTCTGGTCCAATAGATCCCACTCGTCGGTAATCGCCGTTTTCAATTCATCAACGGGTCGATATTGCTTGCCATGACGATAAAAGCTGCTAACCAGTTCTCCCTAACCATTCTTCATCGAATTTAAGTCTGGTGAGCACGCTGGCCACCTCAAAACGTCGATATTTGCTTTGCTGAGCCAATCCAAAATTGATCGACTCGCATGAATTGAGGCATTGCCTGTTGGAATACGAACTTTCTTAGCCGAAATCGTCATCGAAATGGTAATAGATGGTCCTCTAACGCTTGCTGATAGTCCAGCGAGTTTATCCGAAAGTTGACAACCGCTAGCTTGAGAAATCCCGCCGAAGAGAATGCTCTCCATACCATGAGATTCTCGCCACCAATGTCCCGCTTTGAAAAAATTGGGTTTTCCTTCCGTAAATCGTGAAAATAACACTTATTTCCATCTGGATCATCTAGGTTGAACTTTTTCTCATCCGAGAAAAGGATCTAATGATAATCGTATTGTTTTTTTAAGAAAAATTTGGTTAAAAAGTTACCTTTGTCCAATCAGTGGCCATGTTGTCTCGAGCAATTCGAGACGACGCAACATGTGATGGTCCTGGAGGCTCGGAGCTGGACGCGTAACTGCCCGGATGATGTTGGGATCATCATTAAGTGTCCTCCAAGTCGTCGTTTTACTAACATCAAGATTCCGCTCGTTTTTGATGTCGTTGCATGACTTCATCGTGTTGGATGCTACTCGGATGATCGATCTTCGGTCTCGGGAATTCAGTTTCGCCTTCGATCTGGGATTTTTTGGGTGCTGGTTTTTGTCGATCTTGTTGAAAAAATTTATAATGCAAGTTTTCGACCGCTTCAGGTGCGAAGAAATCCTTCGGTTAGACCATCCAGCGAATTTTAAGGAATCTATGGTAGCCTTTTCGGCATCGGTGAGCAAAAATCTCCGGGACATGTCCAAATGTTGGTTAAAATACGCGGAAAAAAAGAAAAATATCTTACAGTACTCTATTTATAACTACACTGCTCATTCTTCTTCAGGTCTCCACATTTTCAGACCTTTCACGGGGGTGGCTTTATAAATGTGAAACGGTTGCAAGTGACCAATTTTCAGTGTTTTCAATGCCACTCGGCCAATTTTTTAGATATCATAATGAAAATTGGTAGATATACGTATTTTTTAGTCCTGAATTCAATTTTGAAAACAGAATTTAAAAATGTTTACAATTGACAAAGTTACACCCAAAAACAGGGGTGGCTTTATAAATGTGAAACGCACTGTATGAGCAATAATCAACAAGCGTGTGAGAGGTTTGCTCACCTTTCTTTTTCTTTTTGGAAAAATAAATCTTGAAGTTCGATTTTCGATGGGAAATCGGGTAGAAATTCGATTTGGCTTCGCTTTTACGTGATTTTGCGTCGCGGTGATTGCAAACAAAGTACCCTCAAAGCAGTTTTTCCTCTAGAAACATAAAATTTATTAATTTTAAAAATAATTTAATAGCAAATTTCAATATTTTCATCGATGTCGCGTTTTCGATGGTGTCGTTGTCGACATATGAATTTCGCTCTGAAAAAAAAGCCCTTCTGAGATTTTTTTTTTCAAAAATTTTCTCTACCACTTTGAACGTTTTGCATCTAAGCGAGCGTCTGACCTGAATCGCAAACTCGCGATTCAGAAATAATATACAATAAGGATTAACAAACGAAAGTAGGCCATTGGCTAACGGATAGATTGATCTCATCAAAAATATGGGACCCGTCTTCAAAAAAAAATGAGTCGAATGAATTAAATTGAAAAAAACAAAACGTACATTGTGCGTTTGCGCGAAATAATTTTGAAATGAGTAATACATGAGGATGGCGAAGAATGCTAGAAGAAGCGCGAGCACTTGAAACGCCAAATGTAGTTCGCGTCGAAGCGTTCTGAAAAATGGATGAGTTTCAGATGCCAAGCCGGATCTTTTGAAAAAATCACCTCGACAGCATTGCCGATTTTTTGCGGACCACATAAAACAAACCGCCGTAGCATAATGAGCACGTTGCGCATGTGAAAATTGTCACGATTAGAGCCATTAAGGTGTTTCGCTGTAAATCGGTGAGGCAATTTCTTTATTTTTAGAAAAAAAAATATTTAAAATTGGTTCATTTTTTGACGCGCTGTCTGCGTCTCCGCTCTCTCGCAGTTTCTTTGGACTCTCTCGATTGCGCACGCTATTTCACAATTAAATTTGATTTTTTTGTTTTTTTTTTTCAAAAATTTCCAGCACCATGGCCGCGGCCGTGTTTTCGAAAACTATAATCTAGTTTTTAAAAAATCGGTTTTTTCGGAAATATCGTTGAACTTTTGAGTCTCGCTTTTTTTGATCTATGCTAAAAGAAGATATTTTTATCAGACAAAGTTAAAATTAATTACTCATTAAATTGAATAATTCAAAAATTGAAGAAAATATTAGAAAAAATTGGCAGAAATTCAAATTTCCCGCTGCCTTCAAGCATGGCCGTGAAAAAAAAAAGTCGGCCGCGCTTTTTTTTTCTTCCTCTCACATTAATGACTTCTCTTTGTGCAATGAGTAGAAGGGTCTCATAGGATTCGTAATAGAAATCGGTGTCCTTGAGAACAACAACGCACAACGGCATCGGTAGAAGCCAGAAAATCGCAATGATAATCAATTTGTTGGCGTTTTGGAGGGTCTTGAAACGAATTGAAAATTAGCGGATATCGATTCGACGATTACAATGGACATCGTCGACGTCGGCAACGCGATGACGACGAATCGATGAATCGAGAGGAATATGACGCCGGTGCATCGAATGTATAGGCAAACGTATATCGAATTATAGCACACTGTGAGGAGAAACAAAAAATTGGTGAGTATTTGAATTCAGACGAATCCCAACTTGCCGCGATATAGTATTCTTGATAGTCGAAATAGAAGCGCTTGATGAATGGGATTGTGCGAAGCGGATTGACGAAGTAGAATGAGATGATCGCGATGAAATCGGCGATGCACTGGAAACAATTTGAATTTGCCGTCATCACGATGGTCCGTGAGTTTAACATTGAAAAGGGACCTACGTGTTGAAGGAATATTGTGTAGAATGTTGTGTTGTAGACTTTGGAATAGCAGCGAAGGCGAAGGAGACTGACGAACACGATGAAGTAGATTGGAAGCGAGACGATCGACATGGCGTAGAAGGCGTGCATTGGCCATGATGGTTGGTAGACCTCCTCGGGAATACTGTAGTTGGAGTTATAGACGGCGTGTAGATTTACGGGAGACTCTCGCGCCGATAATTTTGCAATGCCACAAGTTCACATGACAACAAGTGGAATCGTGGCGAGACCTTTTTCAAGGCGCATGCGCGAAAAATTTTTTTGGCGAATGGCACACAATCAGACGAGTGCTCTTTTGGAGAGAAACTTTTAAGCAAATTATATAGGGTATAATTAATTTTTCGAGGAAACGAGAGATATTAGAATATAGTTTATGATTGTGATTTATGAGAAAAAAACATCTGCATTCAATTTTATGCAAAAAAAAATAAAGTTGATCGATTTGCTCCGGCGAATTAACGCAACGTTTGCTGTTATGATTCTCGAATTGAAGTTCAAACTACTTATATGGCATTAATTGAATGTCTAATAAGTAGAATGTGACTGGCTGAAATGGCGAATGGAAATTTGAACCTTGCTACGAGATTTATTATTTTTTTTTGGGAGACGTGATTCGGCGTCGCGGTGTTTGCACACACACACAGTTTACAGTAACCATTTTTGGAAATGATTCTAAATTGTCGAGAAAAAAATCGCGGCATGTTTTTTTTTTCAAAAACACGCTATATGTGATTTGGCGTCGCGGTGTTTGCACATATTCTACAGTAACCAATTTGAAAATTATTATAAATGGTCGAAGCGAAAAAGTAGTGCCATGGTTTTTTTTTCAGAATCACGCTGTACGTGATTTGGCGTCGTGGTGTTTGCACACATTTTGGCGTGCTACAAAAAACGAAACACAGTCGTCATTTTTTTTGAATTTCTGAGTTGAAATAGAAATTTTTCAATAAAAAAGCCAAATTAGGCAAAAGGTGGCATTTCGCCAATTTTTTTTGATATACATTCGAACAGCTGCTGTTCTCTTTTTTTTGATTAAATATAATTTTTTATTAATGGTCAATTGAATTATGCCGAAAAAGAAATTGGTTTCAAGATTGTCACATATGAAAAAAAATGAGATCATTGAAAAACAAATTGAGCAGCCGTCGCAGCTCGGTGATTTTCGATTTGCAATTTTTTGGGAATCTGGAGTTGCGTTTCCCATCGGCCATGCGCCTTCCAGAACAATTGCTGATTCGATTCGTGGGAATCGAGCATTGACACCAATTCCTTGCATAGTTGAAACAGCAAGAAAGAAAAAACCAGTTTGATTGACATGGGTTGTTGCGGATTTGGGGCGTATCGTTTTTTTTTGTGTGTGAAAATGAATAATCCGGTGACGACCTCAATTTTCTTTTATTCACTTGTTTACTATGCATCGCGATAGTCAACGCCTTCGAGTTTCATTATTTATGGGCGCACGAATTTGGCGCAAGCTCATTCGCCAATTTTGGCACCAATTTTTGCGCATTTTTATGGTTTATTCGATTTTCTGCGTTATTTTCAACATTTTCTAAAAGTTTCATGGAAATTCGTTGACAGAAATGAGGTGTTGATGGGATTTCAAATTTTTGTTTTCCTCTCGTTCCAAACTATATTCTAGTCGAATTTTATCTAAAAATTTGATTAATTTAATTATTCGTTTCATATATTTGATACTAAAAGCGAAATGTTTCGTAAAAAGTTTAGTTTGAAAAAAAATGAATGGGCATGGCCGAATTATTCGCGGCTGCGGCCGCGCGCGCTCCCACACAACCTTCCTAGCTTTTTTTCTCGATTTCACATGGAATATGTTTTCCTAAACAAAAAAGTTCAAGCACGGCTCCAGATTATTCTTTTTTTGGTCCCACTGAACGACGATGGTAGGGAATAATTTCTGATAAAAACTAATTTGAAGGAAATAAAACAATAAAAAATTGATTGAAAATTGAAAAAATGATATTTTGAACTTTTAATGAATCAAGGAAACTACAAGACCAAGCCATTGTTAAACCATCAAACCACCGGACCAATAAGATCTCTGTCAAAACACAACAATTGGGATCCCAAATTCAAGAACCGCAATCGAAAGAGATCACCAGGAGTTCACCAATTCCCGGTTACTAGGAGCAGCCGATCAACGCAAAAGCTTGAAGAGAGTAGCCGAATACAAGTCACTGATTCCATGCCTCAAATGCTCTACTACACTCAGAACTCTCACCTCTAGAACTGAAATGGAGAACGCCCACATAAAAATTGTCGATGACCAGTCGAATTATCCTTTCCATTCAATGAATGGTTTAAAACCGAAATCAATGGTCATTCAATCTTGAACAGGAACTATTATCCCCCCGATAATTACCAATCAGATCGGATTGATTCCGGACCCGAATTTTGTTTTGAGTTGCCCGAGTGTCGAGTGATTCGTCAGCCGTCGATCCACACACTTCACGCCATTATTTCTCTACTCAATTTCCATCCTTGACTTCTTTTTTTTTATTGCTGTTGCTGAAAATTTCAAGAATATTCAAGAATGCGTCACGATATTCAATGCCTTCGTGCAATTGCCATCATCGGCGTCGTCGGATTCCACATATTTCCCGACAATCTCCCCAACGGATTTCTGGGGGTCGATGTGTAGGGCCGGAATATTCGAAAACGAAGTCTTCCATGAGAGCGGACCATTTTTTGCCGAATGGCCGACATGAAATGTGGCATGGCCGAGAAATTCGCGGCCACGTATTCGCCGGCCCCCATGAAAGACTTTGGAATCGCTCCAAAAAAAATGAGAAAGCCAAATTTGTGATTTTCAGCTTTTTCGTCATCTCCGCATTTTTGATGTCGAAGATTTTGTACGCCAAATCGCTCGACGTCGCCACAATCGCCGATTTCTACTATAAAAGGTAAAATTGAAATCAAAAATTCGAAATTTTCAATTTTTTGTTTGTTTGAAGGATCAAACGAATCTGGATCATTTATTATTTGATCATTTTCGCCATCAATCTCTCAAAACAATTCTTGCAAGCCGAAATCTGGTGGCCGAATAACAATATTTATGCGTTCTTCTCGCTTTTGTTCTTGACAAATCAGAAAATCATAAGCGATCAGAACGATTATTTCAACGCGGTAAATTTTTTTTGGCTTTAAAAAATTCAAAAAACCACTTTCAAGTGTTTTTTTTTAAATATTTTTTAAAATTATGCTAATTATAATATATATATTTTTTTTTGTTCATTCAAGACCTCAACGGTGGCAATGATTTACGCACATGCACCTTGAAAATGGTCTCGCCACGCGTGAACGCTTATTTCGTCGTTTTCGGGTTTCACTTGACGAGTTGAGAGCGTTTCCTTGAATTTTAAATTCCATTCGATTCAAAAATTATCCGCGCGAGACCACGTCTCCCCGTAAATCTCCACCAGCCGCCAGAAGCCGGAAAAAAAAATGGAATCGCGAAGATATTTATGTGATGATGCATTATGATATCCACGCGCATAAAAAACTCGTTTTTATGGATTTAGAAGGTTTTAAGACTCGATACCGATTGTGTCACAGCTCAGTTTTAGTTTTTATTCACATAATTATTATATAATTGTGGTAATTATGAATGTCTTTTTGAATTGCCGCCAATGCGAATAACAACAAACCCCGAAAGGTGTCCGCAGCATGTTTACAGTTTAATGAGAACGAATTGAGTTGACACGCTCTAACACTCTTGGTTTGAGATTTAAGGCGCGATTTGCGCGAAAAGAAAATAAAAAATTTGCGCGTCAAATTCGGTGTTTTGACGCAAAATTGCAGACATTGATAATAGGAATCAATTCAGTTCAAAACCGACGTCACCGCCAACAATTTATTCCTTCACTGCTGGTCATTGAGTGTCGAAGTCCAATTCTACACCATCGTGCCTTTCGTCTTCATCGGCCTGCATCAACTCAAATCGATTCGACTCAGGGTAAGCCTAGGGACCCCCCAGCCCCTCCCTCCCCCCTTTGAAAAGAAATTTCAGATTATCGCTTTAATCATCGCCTCGATCATTTCATTCTCGATCACCTTCATTTCGATCGATCCCAACTTCACCTTCAATTTTGCGATCGCCCGATTCTATCAATTCTTCGCCGGCATTCTCGGCCATATAATAGGGTCCGAATTGATAAGCGACGCCAAAAAAGACAATTATGGATGGCGCCAATACGATTTGTGCGCGTTGGCGGCGATTTTGGCGATATTCTGGCCGCTTCACGTCGCACCAACAATTCTCAGAATATTCGTCACAATTCTGACCGCCTATATTCTCGTCGCCAATTTCGAGCTTTTGGTGCCAAAACCGCCACAATTATCAATTCAATCATTTTTTTTGTCTTCAGTGCTCGCCTTTTTCGACGCTCGCCTACATCGGCGACATCTCCTATTTGATCTACCTCATCCATTGGCCAATTTGGCTCTATTTCAAAAACTATTTAAGCGTTTTATCAATTATCTGTAATGAATTTAGTTTTTTTTTTTCTCTGATTGGGACCATTTATTTCAGATCTCATTGGATTATTATCGATTCTTGTGCATCATTCAATCGAGACCAATTTTCTTCGACAAAATCATCGGCCGACGGTTTTCGCCATTTTGGCGTCGCTCATCGCCGCCAATTCGTTGTTACTGTACTCGTTGGCGAATGGGACCGATTCGGGTTTTTTGAGATATTCAAAAGGTCAGTGGATGCTAGCCCGCATGCGCCTTTAATTACCGTATCAAAAAATGGACTTAAAAAAAGGATTGCGACATTTTTTTTGTTGTCAAAAAAGGATCCTAGGACCCCGCCTGCTTCTCACTTGGGAACCATAGGGTTTAGGCTGGACCAAACCAATATTTTTGAAATGCTGGGGCGTATCCCCGAAGCATGTCCGCAGCATGCTGAAAATGAAATCGATTGATGAAAAAATTTTGAAAAATTTGTTTTTAGGAAAAATAATTTTAAAAAATCGCATAAATCAAGACAATGGGATTTTTCGTGCAAAAAATTGCATCGAAAAAAAATTTCGCATTTTTTTGGCAAAAATTGTCATTCTTTTGAATTTCAAAATTCAGCAGCATTTTTCGCACCGAAAAATCGAATTTTTAGTTCACAACGACGTGATCGATGAAAATTTGAAATTGACGAATGTCAGTTGGACGCATCCGCCGTGTGATCTTGAAAAATTTGACAACACCACCATCGACGAATCGTTCGGCCATTGCAAATTCCCGCCGGGCAATGGGACCCTCAAAATCATGCTCATCGGAAATAGCTATACGCTGAATCAAGCGCAAACAATCCATAAAGCGTTTCGCGGGAATTTCTCGAGTTTCGAGTATGTCTCGATGATTAGTGAGCGAAAATTTAATTATGCGCTAATTGCCCAATTATCATCGAGCTCAGGTAATTATGGAATCTACGCGGATGACATCGATGGCAGTCGAGCGAAATTGGAGTATAGTAAGCGAATTGCGGCGCGTGAGAAGCCTGATGTGATTTTTGTGATTTCGAGGCGAGTCAAAATCCAATCGGACCCCCCCCTAATTAATTATATTAATTATAGATTTATGCAAAGCCCTCGATGGAATATCATCGATATCGAGAATGACAAGATTGTTCGAAAAATGCGCGAAAATGTGGCATATTATGAAACGTATGGATTGAAGAAAATTGGTCGTAAAAAAAAAGTTCGGCCACGGCCACGGCCCCACTTTTTTTTATTACATCGACTTAAGAATCATGAAATGTTTTACCCAATCCGAAAAAATTGGGATTTAAAATGAATGGCATGGTTTAAAAAAAGTTTTCTGGGGTACTGTAGAATTATGGCCGTGGCCGAGGTTTTTCGGTTTTTTTCTTCCATCTCAATTTCTATTTTTTTTCCCGTAGTTTTTTGAGCACATTTTTGAGAATGTGCTTAGTACTATTTTAATTATAAATTATATATATAATAATTATTATATATATTATAGAATAGCGAAAAAGGTCTACATAATGTCGCCATTGCCGCAAACGCCGCTCAATTTTCTGAACATATTTGTCAGTGAGCTAATGTTGAAAACGGAGAATTTGGAATATCTGAATATACCAAAAATGGTTATTATTATGATTATTTCAATTCTTCAATTTTATTTTTTATTTCCAGGATTTTATCAAAGACTCGAAAAATTTGAGAAGGCGATTGAACAATTTGAAGTGCTCCAATTGTGAGGTATATTATATCATGAGAGTTGCGCATTCAAATTTGATTTTTATTAAAATTGTTGTTTTATATTGGATTGTCAAATAAATTTGGCTTGCGGTAGGAGGAGGCGCAAACTGCAAAACGCTTTTTTGCGCCGAAGGGGTTCGAACCAGGGATGTGCGGCAATGGAATTGCCGATTGCCGAAATTGCCGAAATTGCCGATTTTTCAAATTGCCGAATTGCCGAATTGCCGAAGAGAACGTTCGATCGGCAAATTGCCGGATTGCCGAAATTTTAATTTTCGGCAATTTGATATCAAAAAAAAATCGGCGAAACAAAAATCAATGTCCACTGAATAATTTGGGATACCGTGAAAATTCGGTATTTATATTTCGAATTATCGTTGAAAACATTTAATAGCCGAAATTTTGATTTTTGGAAAATTGCCGAATTGCCGAATTGCCGAAATTTCCGATTGCCGCACAGCCCTGGGGTTCGAACCCTGGACCTTGACGTTTGAAGTCTAAGGGTTTCACCACTGCGCTATTGCACCCCTCACAGGCAAATCGCGACGGATGAAGTCCGGGCGAATCACGGTCCGTCATTCCAGCGTGTCGCTGACGTACCGGACACGGACGTCTTAGCGTATCCGGGAACGGACCATGATTCGCCCGGTGCCGTTTTTCACGTGCCTTTTTTTCTTCCATTCGTATAATAATCAAAATTAAAATTGAAATCATATAGACAGCATTATTATAAGTTTTATTTAAGAAAAATCGAAAAAAAGGTAAAATGATTAATTCGTATTCGATACGAAAGAGACAATTTTTTGTTTCACAATCAAATACATTAAAATTCGAAATGAATACACCCGAGTTTCGCACCAAATACGAGTACATTCGGGTTTTTCCAAAGAGTAATCGAGTACCACAAATTTCAAACTTAATTTTCGATCAAGTTTGTTTCCGAAATTTGTTGTATTCGATTCGAATCGAATTACTAGAACAAAAATAATTCTAAAAACAAAAAAAAACATTTGCAACAAGAAATTTTAATAATCAGCCATCGGTCGCCACGGCTTCCAGTGGAGCCGTTATATTAAATATTAATTAACTTTTGTGTCGTACCGTTTCAGCCAGGAAGTGTCCATCAGCAAATGGTCCTTTGTTTGTGCGTGACATTTTCACTCGAAAAAAATTGTCACGTAATTGGTCCGTTTTTTGTCCGTGATGCCTTTCAAAGAAATATTTCGTCCGTACTTAATCCGTTTTTTAGCCGTGGCGTTTCATACTGAAAATCAAGATCCGTAATTAACACGTTTTAAAAACGTGGCCAATAAATCTCCGGACTTTGTCCGTTTTTTGTCCGTGATGCCTTTCAAAGAAATTTTTGGTCCGTACTTGGCCCGTTTTTTAGCCGTGGCGTTTTATCCTGAAAATCAAGATCCGTAATTAACACGTTTTAAAAACGTGGCCTATAAATCTCCGGACTTTGTCCGTTTTTTTACCGCGGCGTTTTTCAAAGAAATTTTTGGTCCGTACTTGGCCCGTTTTTTAGCCGTGGCGTTCAAATATCCGGACTTCGCCCGGACTTCATCCGTCGCGTTTTGCCTGGATTATTTAGAGCGCCTATAACTTGATAACAAATGCCGCGCAGCGCGGCGGCAAACGACTGGTAATAATAAAATACAACAAAATTTTCTATTTTTTCAGCTCTATGACATGAGTCGATTATTTTTCAACGGCAAATCCTATCAAACGTTCGATGCTGAAACGAATTTGGCTTATTTCGACAACGAAATTCATTTGACGCCGCCGGCGCTTCAATTAATCGAATCGTTTTATAACGAGTTTCTGACGAAAATGAAGATTTGATTGCATCGCGAGTTCAAAAGTGCAAACAGGTTTATCGATGTTTCGGAAAAAAAAATCAGAAAATCAACGGCGACGATCAAGTCATAATGAAGTCGTCAGAAGAATTTGAAAAACAAATCCTCAAAAGCGTCTGCAAGTTTTGTGTATTGAACCAATTCTTGCAAAAGAAAAATTTCGAAAAAAAATTATTATAGAAAAAATACGTTTCACGAATATTTCCATAATAAAAATCACACATTTGTTTAATTAATTCCGAATTTTTTTAAATGGTCGAAAAAAAGGATGGCCGAGTTTTTTCACGGCCCCATCTCCAATGTTATTTTTTTCCAAATTCGGCTAATCTGGTAGAGTAGAAAAGTGGAAAAATAAAAAAAAAAAAAATAAAATTCGATTTTGTCTAAACCATCTTTCTCAAGAAATTGAATTTTTTTGCAATTTGAATTTTCGCAAAATATTTCTTAAATTTAATTTTCCAGAAAATTTCTTCTAGAATGCTATTGCTACGTCAACGACATCAAATTTGTATTCTATTGAATGTGATGAATCATGCGACAGTCCATCGGATTCAAATCGTCCTGTTGGAATACCCAAATCGGGATTGGCTTCGGCAAAATTTTTCTCTCGAGTCCGTTCTTTGACGATCTTGAACTTGATTGATCCCCGATCAAAATCCACCAAATGGCGCAAAACTATTTTCAAATATTCGCCACGCCCATTCGCAGTCGCCTTTCCATTCTATTAATGGCCAAAAAGTCAATTGCAATCATCTTTAACAGGAACCATTATTAGCTAGTCGCCGTCGATCCACTTCACATCAGTGGTCGTCTTCTCCTGCGTAAGCCTTTCATGCGATCGGCAGAATCCCACGCCCAAGTCGAAATTTAAATTGGGCGAATTTAAAATCCAAAAATTTGCTTTTGAAATATTTTAGTCACCAATTATTCTTTTCACACCAAGAATTCCACCCATTGCAGTTTTCACGCTTCATCTGAAAATTTGATTGATTCAATTATTATTTGCTCATTGCTTTTATGTGTTTATAAAAGAAATTGGCAAAAAAAATAAATTGAAAATTGTGCCATGGCCGAGTATTTCGCGGCCACGGCCGGAGAATGGAAAGCTTACTCTTTTTCATTTTTGACCCTCTGAAAGGGCAATTTTTACTAATCTTGTTAATGAAAACCAATCGGATCCGTCGAAATTAGGCTCCCGTTCCGATTGGTAATTTGTCGGATCTTTTGATTTTTCAATTCGAGGACCCGATAATTTCCAATCAGATCGGATTGATTCCGGACCCGTGATTCGTCAGCCGTCGTCGATCCACACACTTCACGCCAGTAGTTCTCTTCTGAATTTCCAGTTTTTGATTTCTTTTTTTTATTGTTTTTGCTGAAAATGCCAAGAATATTCAGGAATGCGTCACGATATTCAATGCCTTCGTGCAATTGCCATCATCGGCGTCGTCGGATTCCACATATTTCCCGAAAATCTTCCCAACGGATTTCTGGGAGTCGATGTGTAGGGCCGAAATATTCGGAAACGAAGTCTTCCATGAGAGCGGGCCATTTTTTGCCGAATGGCGGACGTGGAATGTGGCATGGCCGAGAAATTCGCAGCCACGTATTCCCCGGCCCCCCCCCCTGGAAGACTTTGAAATCGCTCCAAAAAAAAATGAGAAATCCAAATTTGCGATTTTCAGCTTTTTCGTCATCTCCGGATTTTTGATGTCGAAAATTTTGTACGCCAAATCGCTCGACGTCGCCACAATCGCCGATTTCTACTATAAAAGGTAAATTTGAAATCAAAAATTCGAAATGTTCAATTTTTTGTTGGTTTGAAGGATCAAACGAATCTGGATCATTTATTATTTGATCATTTTCGCGATCAATCTCTCAAAACAATTCTTGCAAGCCGAAATCTGGTGGCCGAATAATAATATTTATGCGTTCTTCTCGCTATTGTTCTTGACAAATCAGAAAATCATGAGCGATCAGAACGATTATTTCAATACGGTAAGTCAAAACGAAAAGAAATGAAGATTTCATTTTTTAACTATTCTAATTTGCTTTTGAAAAATTTATTTAATATGTAGTAAATAATTTTAAACTATTTGAAAATGTTCATTTGGAGCGGGGGGGGGGTCCTGAACAAATGAATAAAACTAAAAGAATATGGCTAAATGGGTTTCTCACTAATCGGGGGACTTGAATTTAAATAAAGTGGACTTCGGCCGCGGCCGCCTCTTCGCTGGCTATCGCCCGATTGCATAATGGCATGCCGTCTCTTCGTTCTCGGCGCTCTCTCGTCAACCGTCTCGTCTTCTCGCCCCCTCTCTCGCATTCCCATACTATTTCCACACCTTGTTGTTTCCTTATATTACAGAAGACAATTATGTTACATATTTCATATTTTTTATTATTTATTTTGTGCGTTACGGTATTCTCAAAGTCCGCAATGAGCAGATTTTGTTGATCTTTTTAAATTATCGCAATAGTGCAAAAATCAACTTTTTTTTTCCTCGCAATTTTTTTTTGAATTGCCGCCACCGCGAATAACAACAAACCCCGAAAGGTGTCCGCAGCATGTTTACAGTTTAATGAGAACGAATTGAGTTGACACGCTCTAACACTCTTGGTTTGAGATTTAAGGCGCGATTTGCGCGAAAAGAAAATAAAAAATTTGCGCGTCAAATTCGGTGTTTTGACGCAAAATTGCAGACATTGATAATAGGAATCAATTCAGTTCAAAACCGACGTCACCGCCAACAATTTATTCCTTCACTGCTGGTCATTGAGTGTCGAAGTCCAATTCTACACCATCGTGCCTTTCGTCTTCATCGGCCTGCATCAACTCAAATCGGTTCGACTCAGGGTAAACCTAGGGACCCCCCAGCCCCTCCCCCCTTCAAAAAAGAAATTTCAGATATTCGCTTTAATCATCGCCTCGATCATTTCATTCTCGATCACCTTCATTTCGATCGATCCCAACTTCACCTTCAATTTTGCGATCGCCCGATTCTGGCAATTCTTCGCCGGCATTCTCGGCCATATAATCGCGTCCGAAAATGTGATTTCGGATCCAAAAAGGGTCAGCAAGATCTCCGAACATCGTGCGTTCTTACGCGACCAACTCCACTGCACAATCCTAGCCGGCCTATTGATCCTCTTCTGGCCTCTCGAGCTCTCATCGACGCCGGTCCGATTGGCAATCACATGCCTCACCGCGTTCATCATCGCCTCCAATATTTCGCCATATACGGCCGCCATCATCGCCTCGCCAATTTTATTCTACATTGGCAATCTCTCCTATATAATTTATCTCGTCCACTGGCCACTTGTCGTTTTCTTCAAACAAGACGTCACCGCAATTCATCTCATCTGTAATTTCAGATTGCAATTGGAGGGGGCAATCGTCAGAATTTCGATTTTCAGACCTCACAGCATTCCTATCAATCATTCTACATCATAGCTTCGAGCGGATCATTGTTCGTCAAAGCAGAAGATCCATCGGATTGTGGCTGATCGCCTTGCTCGCCGCCAACGCTTCATTCCAATTCGCCCAATTCGCCGATCCCGAATTAATGGCGTTCGGCAACTCACGACGTAATCCTTTTTTTTTATTCAAGGGACCAATTTCTGTTTCCAGCTTATATTCGAGCTGTTGATGAGAATCTGAAATTGAATAATTATTCAACCACGTGGGGCAATCCGTCGTGCCAACTTCAACCCATCGACATTGAGTTGGACGGCAAATTGCCGTTCGGCCATTGCAAATTCCCGCCGGGCAATGGGACCCTCAAAATCATGCTCATCGGAAATAGCTATACGCTGAATCAAGCACAAACAATCCATAAAGCGTTTCGCGGGAATTTCTCGAGTTTTGAGTATGTCTCGATTATAGGTTCGATGAGAAGTTGAAGCTCATTTTTCTTTTTTCCTTTTTAGGCAATTTCGCCCTCTATGAAAATGGCCTGTATAATAGCGCTCAAAAATTGACCATCGCAAAGCAAATTGCGAAGAGGGTGAAGCCTGATGTGATTTTTATTGTCACCAGGTGATAAATTTTGCCTTAATTAATTGAAAATTAACTGAAATTCGCAGATTTGTCGATGTCTCAATGGCGCCGATTCGCAATATTGAAACCGACGAGGTTCTTCGGCAATTTAATGAGAATATTGCTTTTTTTGAGGCGTAAGTTCACTTTATTTTTTTTTAATTTTCTATATTATATATTAAATGGTATTATGCAGATTTCGCAAAAAAAAACGGTAAAAATCACCTTCTTTTGAGATGGCCGAATTTTTTTTGAAAACTCGGCCACGGCCACGTTTTGCGAAAAGTTTTTTTTAATTGCTGCAACAATCTGGCAATTATTATATGCGCCTTTAATCGTAAAAAAATTTTAAAAAACCATTTTTGATATAACAAATGGAATCGTTGAGAAAATCTTCATGGTACCTTGATTTTTTTTGAAACGCTGCGGAAAAGAAGGGAGAGAGAGCGTGCGAATTTGAGAGACGGAGACATTTATTTTTCTTTCTACGAAACTTTTTTTGAGAATTTTTTTTAAGAAAATAAAAAATTAAAAATGTGTGCAATTTTGCGTGAGTGTGTATGAACCGTAAGCAGCTAAATTTTTGAGATTAAAAATTTTTTTTTTGGATTTTAATTTCTGAATATAATGGTCCTATAGATATGGGTTCGAGGCTTCAAATGAACTAAATTTTTTTCTCGAAAATTGATCTAAAAAAAAAATGGAAAATTGTTGGAAAAATCGCAAATCTGAATTTTCTGAGAAAAAATTCCCAATTTAAAATTCGGTTTGGAATTTTCAAATTTTTTAAAAATAATCTGAAACTCTGAATTTCAATGGTACCAAGCAAAACAAAAATGAATTCTCTGAATTTTTTTTTCTTTGAAGGATCTCGAAAAAAGTGTACATAATGGGCGCATTTCCATTCGTTCCCTACAAATTTCTGAAAATGTTCGTCGCCGATTTGATGCTCGAAAAAGACGGCCTCGATCGATTCCATATGTCTGTGAGGAAGCACAAAAATATGATGAAGCATTTAATCAAAAGATTGGAGCATTTGAAATGCAAAAATTGCGAGGTATTCCTTCTTTTTGCTAATGCGCCTTTAATCAATTAATTTCATTTGAAAAACAAATTTTAACCTGAGGAAAAAAACTCGGCCACGGCCACAGTGTCACAGAGTCCTATTAAAGGCGCACAAAATCAAAAAAAATTCATGATTCTTGCAATGCCAAAAATTGTGATACTGTAGATTTCGAGAAGAAAAAACCAAAAATTGGATTGGGAAAAAACTCGGCCACGGCCACATTTTTTGAAGACTACAGTATCACCGTGTCCTATTAAAGGCGCACACAATCAAAAAAATTTATGATTCTTTCTTGCAATGCCAAAAATTGTGATACTGTAGATTTCGAGAAAAAAAACCTAAAAAAATTGGATTGGGAAAAAACTCGGCCACGGCCACATTTTTTGAAGACTACAGTATCACCGTGTCCTATTAAAGGCGCACGCAATCAAAAAATTGCATGATTCTTGCAATGCCAAAAATTGATGGTGCTGTAGATTTCGAGAAGAAAAAATCGTGGCCGTGGCCGAATTTTATTTAGCGAACATTTTTCAGGTGTACGACCTCGGCACCACACTTCTCAACGACGGCTTCTATCGAACATTCAACGAATCGTCGAAACTATTGCACTTCGACGACGGCATCCATCTAACGCAATTGGCGCTCGACGCCTTCATCGAGCCATTCTATCGCCGCGCGAGCACCACAATGAACATTTGATCGATGAGCACAGAGCATGGCGCTGCATAATTAGTCATTTGTTGACTGATCATTCAAACACAACGCCATATCTCAAGAGCACCCGCATTCCAACAATTGTTGCCCAGTTTTCCGGTCAAGACGTCGCAAGCATAAATTTTTTTTGTTGTGTTGCTCTCTGTGTGTGTGTGAGTGAGAGTGATGTCTAGAAGTTCACACAGAATTGCGCAATCATAGTTCACTAGAGAATACAGTCAGCTCCCAATTAGCCGCCATAATCATGTTTGCTTTAAAGGGGGGTGCCCATCAACGTGTAATCCGTTTGGCACCGGACGTTTCACACACACACCGAGTCGGCTGATTAGCGAAATAATCGGGTTACGCCGGCCGACGAAGTCAATTCATGCAACTTTTCACATTCTGGTTTCCATCCGGCCCTCAAATATTTTTGGCCAATATGGTGAACCAACTAGATGGTGTGTTTGAACACCCCCCCCTTTGGGTCTACTTTTCAACGTACTACCAACTACTGGTAGCATTGCAAACATTTTGAGATCATGCAGAGACTGACTCGTAGAACCCCCCCCCCCTAGGCATCAAAATGTACGTCTGCCCCAGCTGTTCGCCGTCTTTCCATGTTTTGATTTGCCTGATCAAATACACAAGAATGATGTATGGAATGAATGGAAGCCTGAAACACAATAGCATCCGGAAGCGACTCGCCTAGCGACTCGAGAAACCAGCGGTTTCTCGCAATTAAAAAAAAAAAAAACAATACTCGTCGTTGCCGGGCCGCGAGTTGAAAAGTTGACAGTCTCGGCAAACATGAGGAGGATCAAGTTTCGCGATCCATGATACTGAAGGGTGCTAATGAGCGTGTTCTTCTAGCAGTTAACAAACATTGCCGAGATCCGGTGATTGATACTCGATGATTTTCTTCAGAGGGTTGGGTGAGGGGCTGCCAAAATGTTGTATGTGTCGTGGAACACAAATAGAGAGGGAGAGAGGGGGAAAATTTTTTTTTTTTGAGAAGCGCCATGAAGACAACAATAAGCCGAAACGGCGAATATCCACTTGACCGGCGAGAATCGCACGGAGAGGATATGGATAGTCGCGTTGGGCATCATCAATCGCCGCAGCGCAAAACAAAAGGAGCCTGGGACCCATCGCGTCCACGCTGGCTTCAAACCACCAATTTTGAATTGGCTGATGGGGGCGTATCCCCGAAGCATGTCAGCAGCATGTTGAAAGTGAAATCGACACATTCCGGCGTTTTGTTTTCAACTCCCAATCCAACTTTTTTGGACTGTGACCCTCATGAAAATAGGCGCATATCGGTTTTCAATGGTCCTGAATTCGAAAATGAAATAGTCTTGTCACAAATTTAGATGGTTTTCTCGAAACTTCGGCATCATGGAACTGTCGAGCACCATCGACAAGAGAATCATCGGGACCTCGATCTTTTGTGTTTGACCTCTTGCAATTCTTTTTTTTTTTTTGAAGAGCACAATCTTGTAAGAGCCAACTTGAACGGTTTGTAAATTGGCACTTGGGCAAATACGTGAAAATTGGCAGGCAGAGAAAGTAAGTCAAGTTCAAGGAGTGCCGACCCCCCCCCCCTGAATTTTTTGGGGGGTGTCGTGAGACCTCTTGAGGACCCATATTCAAACATTAAAACAATGAGACGAATTGGGAGGGTTCTTGAAGAATGGGTGCGGTTGTGTTTTTTGTTTCCTCAAAGATTCTTCAATTCCATTTCCATCGAAGCGACTATTGGTTTCCTAGGCTGTCAATTGAATGCCAAATGATGATGCGGCACCGTGTTCCGCGCGCCGCCCGCCCTCTAGGTGTGTGCTCTCCAGCGACGACGAAAGGGGGAGGTGGGAAGAAGCTCGGCGGGCGCTCGCGCGCGCGCTCCAAGCTAGTATATAAGCGAACCGGGTGTGCCGCTCAAATCACACAAATACCTACCAATCGTCGATATTCGCAACAGGCACAATGGCGCGAGTTTTGAGAGCGATTGCGTGTTGCGCACTTCTCGCAGGTATCCGTTGAGATATATGCTTGACGGGGGTTTAATACCCTTTAACAAAAATTGTTTCTACAGTTGCTGTTAGCGGCGAATCGAAAAGCGGCGACGAGACGCCGCAATATTGGCGCGCGATTCTCGGCGACATTTGCCAATTGCCGTCGTTCCCGCGCGCCACCGGCGATCCGACGCGCTACGTCGAATGCGTTCGACAGAGCTCGTTCGCCGCCGACAGGTACGTTTGATATTGAGCCAGAGTCGGCCAAGCCAGCGTCTTCATCGCCGCTTTCAGAAAAGATCTCGGCATTTGGCTTCTACGCGAATGCCTTCCCGGCTATGAGTTTGTCGCGTCGGCGCGTCGCTGCAAAACGGTTCGGTCCGTCAACAAGCAACAGGTTTGCTTCAGACCCCCCCCCTAGCCAGAATCGGAAAATTGGGAATTTAGGAGCTGTGCGAGTCGGCGAACGCCACCGACTACAATTTCTGCCCGCCAAAATCATCGATGCAATTCATGATCGATGAGATCCGCGAGGCGCCGCGACAATGCGCGTGTCCGAACGGCGAACAGAATTGCGTGTGCCCGTCGCCGGAGATTCTCGAGCCGACGCTCAACTCGCCGAAGGTTCGACGATCGGCCGCCCCACTCGTAAGTCGACGACCAGCAATACAACACCAGCGCCAAATCGGTGTGATTCAGCGCTTCTCGCAATACCCGCAATGCCCGTGCCCGCAGAGCCAGCCGGCGTGCACGTGCGCCACAACCGGCCAGCAGAACGAGCAGATCCTCGTCTCGATCACGTGCTGCCAACAGGCCGTCCAGCAGGAGCCGCAGCAGCAGCAGCCGTGCCAGTGCACACCGAGCCAGATTCAGCAGAATTGCCAAACGACGACGACCCAACAGCAATACTGTCCGCAACAATCGGCGCCCGTCGTTCAACCGCAACCGTGTCCGCTCGTGCAGGGCTCCGGTGTGCAGAACGCGCAATACCAGGGCATCTGCTCGTGGATGGTCGATCCGCTCGCCGTCGATCCGCAATCGCGCACCCACTACCTCCAATGTCAGCCGGCGCCCAACAATTTGTTCTGCGGCCGCTGGCAGCGGATGCCGTGCGCGCCCGGCACCGCGTTCGACGTCCAATCGCAAGTGTGCGTGTGGGACACGCAGAGCACACCGGCGACGCTGCCGACGCCGGCGCCGTACGTCTCGACGCAGGCGCCGCAGAACGCGCAGTGCGCGTGCACCGGCGGCGTTCAAATCGGCTCGTGCAACCAGAACTATCAATGCCCCGGCCAGTCCGTCTGCCAGGTCGGACAAAACGCCGGCCAGCAATGCATGGTGTGCTGCTATTTCCGCAAGAAGGCACGCCGTCTCTAATTGGCTCAACACGCCCCCGCCCCCCGCCCACTCGTTCTTTCATTTTTCTTCTCGAAACTGCCCATATATATTTTTTGTATATATTGCCAGTGGCCCAAACGCAAACCAAAAAGCCCCCAACTAACAAAATTATACTCAAAAACGGATAGACATTATTATATGCCGAGTGGTTGCCTTCTCTATGCGCTACTATGTTTTTTTTATTATTACTATGCTAATTATTATTACAATTAGGGTGTGACCAATTTTCCGACCAGAAAACACAAAAATAGATGAGGAAACTGTCAATTAACTTATGGCAAAATAATAAATATGTGAAATAGAGTTGTTGGTTTTTTTTCTCTCTCTCTCTCTCGAACAATTTCCGAGCCATTCGCGTTTTCAGCCAATGGCTTGTTGTGAACGCTCAATGGTCCCTTACTTGTCGATTTGGTAGGTCCCATTGGATAAAATCGGCTCAAACAAGTTTTCAAAGATTTTTTCTTTAACATTTTATTTTTTACACTACTTTTTTTTGCAAGATTGAAGAGATTTGCTGAAAATGTGTGCAAACACCGCTTGGCCGATAAATTGAGAGCCCATCATGCGCCTTTAACTAATTTTAAAAAATTCTTTTTTTTTCCTAAAAATACTCGACTCCAATTTTGTGCAATTAATGTCGCAATTAAAGTTTGCTCCGGTTTTTTGTAACCTTACAAACTAGAAGGTCTTCTTAGTGTGTCCACAAAATTTCAGCCGACACTAGGCGGTTTCAGACGGGTCATGACTGTTATAGGTAGCGGTTACATATTCGCCGCTCGGCTTTCCAAATTCATCGCTGATGTGTACACAAGTAAATTAATAAATTAATTGTCATAGTGTAGAATCCTACAGAAGATGATCACTAACTTCTCTGGTAACTCAACACTAATCGGATCCGACAAAATGCGGCCCCGGAATCAACCTTATCCGATTGGTAATTCTACGAATAAGATTGGAAAATTGTCGTATCCGATTGGTTTTTTCGGTTTTTTCGGATCCGATTGGTAATTTGTCAGATCCGATTGGTAATTCTACGGATAAGGTTGGATATTTGTCGAATCCGATTCGAATTGAAATATTAAAACAAAAGGGATTCAAATAATTACCAATCGGATTCGAAGAAAATCTAATCGGATATGACAAATTACCAATCGGATCCGAAAAAACCCAAAAAACCAATTGGATCCGACAAATAACCAATCTTATCCGTAGAATTACCAATCGGATAATTCTAGAGCCGAATTTTGTCGAATCCGATTGGTTTTGAGTTACCAGAGTTCTCACCCTGCGAAGTGCCTTCGCTTTGCAGTCATTTGTGGATTCTTGTCAAAAACCTTGAATGAGAATATCTGTAACATAGATATTTGCTATAAAATATAGACCCTTTAATTTAATATAATATAGTCATTGAGAATACTTCTTCAGTTACGAAAAAACATAAGACAGATACGAAATTGATGGTAGACAAATTTTTTTTCAATTTTTGAAAAAAAAATCACGAAAAAATTTTGCAAACCCATTGAGAAAAAGCAAAATGACAAAAATTTCGAAAACGAATTTCAAAAATTGTGAGGCGTGGCCGCATTTTGTGCAAAGCGGCGCACGGTTTTGCAACGCTGCGGCACACCTCTTCTACTCGCGTCTGCTACCAGTTTGGAGCAAATTGTGAGTAGTTTGCGATGCCAATTTCGGAAAATTAAATTGTAGAAGCTAAATTTCGTCCGTTGTTTATCATGTAATTTTCAAATTTTCATTGTTTATGTGATAGCATAAGTTTTTAATATTGATTTTTTTGGAAATTGTCTTGGTCTGCCGTCCAGACGACAATTATATAATGTGTGATGACATAAGATTATTTTATCCATATTCCATCCATATTCGTCCCATATTTCTTCCACAGACACTAAGAATTACATTATGCTTCCTATATGGAAGCATTATGCTTCCGTTCCACAGATTTCCCAAAATGTTTCCGTTATGCTTTCGTCGCGCTTAACAGTGTAGTAAGTTTAGGTCGAGGGTTCGTCCCCCCCCCGCATAATTTTGCATTTTTTTCCACAGTAAATCCTGAACAGAAAGCAAGTTGTCAAAGACACGATTTCTAGTCGGCGAGAGTCTCGCGACACACCAAAAGACTTTTCTCGGGGCATTTCTCTCACAAATCAAGAGCGAGAGACGCAGACATCGCAATTTCGAAACAGTGAAAAAAAAACACTGCGTCTAGAAATCGACGACGAACCTTTTCAAGCTTTGTCAAAGAAGCTCATCAAATCAAATTTCACTGGATTGATTCGGTTCGAAATGTTCGCAAATGAGACGAGATGCATTGAATTTGTCGTTGACGGGGTGGGAGATTGGAAAAAAGTTCGACAATGAGCGCGATATGATCTCCGCGCATCCTTCTTCGCAAATCAATTGGCAGAAGCTGTCGACGACTCCTTCATCCATCCGCTTTCACTCACTCTCTCCCTTCACTTCATTCTCCATGGCACTTCACATTCAAATGGGCTACTCGCGATCGAGACGCGCTCGCAATCAGCTCGTCATCATGTTCATCGTGCTCGCGTGCCTCACCTCGTTGTACGTGCTTCTGCTCAAAATCCGACGAATGATCCATTTGTCGCAAATGGACGAGAACTCGCTTCATTCGGCCACCATCAACGACGTCATCTATTACAATCAGAGTTTCACGCGGCGCAATTCGATCGGCTCGAAGCCGGAGCTCGCGCTTCTCATGACGAGCCACATTCACAATTTCGACATTCCGATGACGTGCAAATCCACCGACGGCTACTATGAGGAGACGTCGACGATCAGGTAAGAGAAAATCGTAGGCAATTGGGCTTCATCAATTTTCAGACTGACAAAAATTGGCGATTCGCTGATGAAGGGCTCGTGCGTCGTCGTCGAGGACCCGATTTCGATGACGATCAAACTCGACGATTTTCAGGTTCAGGTAGTTTCCGATGATCGGCAATGCGCCTTTAAATATTGCTCAAATTCAAATATTCACTTTTGGCGAAACTTTTGTGCCGTATCAATGCGCGTGATCCTACGACACATTGCACACAATCACTTTCCATTTTGATTTGTTCTAGTACAGAAATTAAAGGCGCATTCAGATTGAAACGCCGTCGAAGCCGCCCGAGTTCGCCAACGACGATCACGTCATCTGTGTGTCGCATCTGGTGTTGTACGAAGACGGCGCCACCGTGCTATCATTGCTGAAGCACTTCAAGAGCGACGCCAACAAGATTTTGATCTACGCTTCGAGTATTAGGTGAGGACGGGGGAATTTCTGGAAAAACTCAAACGAGTGCAACAATTTCAGTGATGACCTGTTTCGGACCATCGAGGAGTTCTCGGACAACGTCCAAATCGTTCCGTGGATGTTGCCGGAAAACCGGTGATCTACCGATGCCCCCACACCCCCGATTGATGCGATTCATTCAGGAAGCACGACGAGTTCGACGTGCTCAAATTGAATCCGACGTACGCGGCGGCGGCGATCGAAGCGAGCCTCGCGCACTGCTTTCTGACGTACGCGCCGACGGTTCGCAAATTGACGTTGATCGATCTCGCCGAGCTCAAATTCAATTCGGCGCCGTTCGCCACCGATTTCCAGCTAAAGTAATTCATTGAGACGTACGCAAAATTGCGTACAGTGCATAAATTGCGTACAGTGCGTGTGGAAATCAACTTTAACAGCGAATTTTGTCATTTTTTTTAAATCAAAATCCAAAAAATTTCAATTTTTTGAACAATTTTCAAGTTTTCAGCAAAGACGCCAAAAAAATGGCATAATTTTTGAAGTTTTTTCCCAATTTTTGAATTTAAATATAAATTTTATTAATTTAATTTAAAAAAAGTATATAAAAACGCGTTTTTTTTTTAAGAAATCACCAAAATTTTCTTGAAAAAAATTGCGAAAATCAAAAAATGTGGCATGGCCGAATATTTCGCGGCCACGGCCACCTCAACGTTTTTAAAACCGCCCAACAATTTCAGCAAAAATTTGAGCTCTTTGGTGAATAGCGCGTGGAGAATCGAGCAGTTGGTGACGTATAAAGTGGCAATTAATTCACGTGAGAAAATCAATTCAAAAAAATTAATCAACCAATTAAATACCAATTAACAGAAAATGAGATTGTGCTGAGTGAGAAGTGCTTCGTGAAGGCGTCAAACAATTGGGACGATCAGTGTGGTCCGTTGAGCGGAAGCCCGAATTTGGTAATTTGGAATTGAATTGGCAGAATCGATCGATTTTTTTTGAGAACTCGCCGGTCCGCTCGATTTATATTCCAAAGGTTATTCAATACGACAATCTGAGTATGTATGCCGACGCTCTTGGAAGGTACATTGAACAATTTAAAGGGGGGGGGAGTGTAAATTGTCGTCAAATACAATGCACAAAGTCCGCAATTACTTCTTGAGCATTTTTGCACTTCACCTGACGCCAATTTGCACACATAACTCGCACCCCCTTTAAAAACGCAAAAAAAAGAAATCCAAAAATCGTATGATTCCAGATGCACTTCCTACAAATCGGTGATCGACGACCATCAAAAACTGATGAAATTCGAGTTCGAGCTCGAAAACCGCGTGGCGTCGGCCGACGTCTGCGAGATCGAGCTGCTTCGCAACAACTTCGACTGTCGCGTCGCGATGGACTACAACAAGAAGATGTTTCGGCAAGTGGCGCGCGGATGGTCCGAAAAAAAATTGGAGAATTTGATTGCAGGCGTCGAACGCGCCTTCTAGTCACGAGAAAACGAGCGTTTTTGAGGTTCCACGACGGCTGCCATCTCTAGCGTTCCATATATGTCGAGACCTCCCCCAAATAAACGTGTTCTAATAAAACCCGCCAAATCGGATTTCCAGCAAAAAAGTGCACCAATTAAAAGCGGCCACTAAACGGATTAAATTTCCGGCTTTCGTTTTTTTTTTTTGGGTGTTCGAAATTTTCCGTATAAATATTCGCCGCCCTCAAATTGTCCGTCATCATCGTTTTCGGGGTCCCCCCCCCTACTGCCCAGTTTTGAAGCCTTGGAATAATGCTGCCATTTCGACGATTTTTGACTCGCACTAAAACAATGTTTCGAGGTATTTTGTCGTCGAGTCGATGGCTCCTTTTTTTTGTTTTGGTCCCTTCTTCGATTTTTTTTTGATTTTTACGTGTTTTCTTTTTTGAAATTCCGCCAATTTTTTTCCAGGAAAACGAATGGCTGGCAATTTCGCGGGAAAAGTTGTCCTGGTGACAGGTGAGCGAGATTCGAAATGTTATGGTCCCTATTCCCCCGTGGTCCAATCATGTCGTTGCGCGATTTTCGTCTAGCTCCGATTTCAGTAGAAAAAGCTTCTATAAAAAATGCTTCTAGAATTTTCCATCCGACGAGATAGCGTGCGCAATCGAGAGAGTGCAGGCAGTGACGCTGAGAGAGAGTGTGTGCGTTGGAAGGAGGCGCAAACATCGCGTCGCAATAATTTGCAAAAAAAAAAATGATAAATGTGGACCATCGCACTTTTTCGAGGCGGCAATTCAAATTCGAAATAACTTGCTCATTTTACCCCCCCAAAATAAAAAAAAACAATGAGATGGTACGTGATTTTGCGCCTCGGTGTTTGCACACATTGAATGATTTCGCGAAATAAAAAAAACCAAGATTGAGCGATAAATTGTTGTGTAAAAATTGCGCACATTTCTTTTTTTTTTCAAAATTTGCAAATTTGCGTCGTTTGATGGTTGTCCGTGATTTCGCGTCGCGGTGTTTGCACACAAGCAGTACAAATTAGTTAAAGGCGCATGACGGGCTCTTAACTTTTTTTTTTGAACAAAAAAACGAATGGTCGAATTCCATTGATTTGATGGATGTCCGTGATTTCGCGTCGCGGTGTTTGCACACATTTTTTTTCGAGCCTGCGATTTCTCTCAACAAAAAAAAAACCGTCGACGTCGAAATATTGTAGGCTCGTCGAGCGGCATTGGCCGAGCGGTCGCGGTGCTTCTCGCCCAACAAGGCGCTCAGGTCGTCGTCACCGGTCGATCGCTCGACGGCGTCATGGTGAGTCCGACATCAAGCCTCAAATTAACGCGTGGGCGGTCTGAAGGAAACGCGACGGCAATGCGTCAACGCCGGCGCCCATCCGGCCGACATTTTCACGATCACCGGCGATTTGACCGACGACGATTTCGTCGGCGATCTCATTCGGAAGACGATCGAGACGTTCGGAAAATTGAATATTCTGGTAGATCAAATCCAAAACCCAACAAAAAAAATCAATGAATTGAATTGAATTGTCGGTGAACAACGCGGGAGGTTTGGAGGTGGACGCGACGGGAAAAGACGGTTGGGAGATGTCGGTGGACGTCATGGATCGATCGATTCGGACCAATTTTAGATCGTAATCCCAATTTTTTTTTTCTTGATTGAATCGAATCCGCCGGGATTCCGGAATTTCAGGGTGCTGGTGATCACGCAAAAAGCGTTTCCGCACTTGGAGAAAACCAAAGGCGACATTGTGAATGTGTCGACGTTTCTGGCGGTGCCGCCGGTTGGGGTAGGCCCTTTTTTTTGGGAAGTTCACCGAATAACCGAATGAAGCGGTGTTCAGATTCGCTCGATGCCCTATTATGGTGTGCCGAAAGCGGCGCTCGATCATATGACACGATCGATGGCGCACGAGTACGCGCTGAAAGGCGTCCGCGTGAACAGCGTCAAGTAAGACGGCTCGCCATCATCGTCCGAATACATTTATATTGCATAGTCCGGGTCTCGTGCCGACCTCGTTCTTCTCGCGTCTCGGATTCGGCGACGAGAAGACGCGCAAAATGGAGGAGTATATTGCGAGCCGACGCGATTTTGTGCCGTTCGGACGCATCGCCACGTCGGAGGACATCGCCGAGACCGTCGCTTTTCTCGCTGACAGGTTCGAATTTCCCATTTTTTTTTCATTTTTCAAATTTGATCGCTACAGTTTTTTTTTTTGAATTTCGCGCCAAAACAAAATTTTTTGTCCAGATTTTCGCTGAATTAAAAAATTTTTTTTTGGAAAAATTTTTGAACAAATTTTTTTCAGAATTTTTTTTTGAATTTCGCGCCAAAAAATTTTTTTTGTCCAGATTTTCACTGAATTAAAAAAATTTTTGAACAAATTTTTTTTCAGAATTTTTTTTGAATTTCGCGCCAGTTTGGAAAAAATAATTCTGAGAGATTTTCACGGAATTAAAAAAATTTTTTTTGTGAAAATTTTTAAGCAGATTTTTTTTCAGAATTTTTTTTTTGGAATTTTGCGCCAATTTTACAAATTGCAAGCGATTTTAAACTGAAAAATTTAAAATTTTGACGAAAAATTTTTGATACCATTTTTTCCGCAATTTTTTATTTGAATTTGGCGCCAATTTCTAAATTTTTAGACAAATTTTCGCAAAAATCTTTTTAAAAATTTTAAAATATCATCTAATACGATCTTTTTTTCCAACGGGAGAAACTAAAGAATTAAATTTGAAAAAAATAAGCAATATTTAAAAAATGTAAAAAAGTGTGCAATTTTGCGTACCAACATTTTCGAAGGTCAACCAATTAATTTTCAAAAAAACAAACTACAGTATCCATTAAAGGCGCATGAAGAAAAAAACAGATATTTTTGTGGCAACAATTTCAGAAAACGCTCGCAATGCATCATCGGCCAATTAATCATCGTCGACGGCGGTTCGCGTTTGTGCTGCAACATCGACATGTCCGACTTCAAAGAGCAAATGCAGAACTAATCGAGCATTGGATTTTTTGATTTTATTCGAGATTCGATTTTTTTCGCAATAAAAACTGTTGATTTCTCAATGTTCGCTGAGAAAATGATCGAATTCGTGGCGAGATTCGGGCCATGGATCGCTGCAAAAAAAAAAAATTGGCGAAAAAAAAATAATTGGGCAAATCGCACTTTCTTCCGGCGAACGTCAAATGTCGAATCTTCTCCGGCGGCGACGCGTCGGATTTTTCGAGAAGCGACACGAGCCATCCGATGGCGATCATGAGGACGAATCCGACGCCGGCGTAGGAGAACGTCGAGATTCTGAAGGTGGGATGGGTGGTGGCTCCCGTTTTGGTGTACCTCGAAATGAACAGCGTCGTCGGATCGCCATAATGGGCGTCGTAGGCGGGCGGCCGTCGGAGTGTGAAATTCGAATGACCGCAACCTTCAGCTCTTCACAAAATCAAATTTGAAAGAAGAAAAATTGAGTCGGCCACACACTCACGTGGTGTTGGTCGGCAGGAAGAGTTCACGATAGGGGTCCTGAACGTAATTGGCGATGCAGATGACGAGGCAGACGACGTTGGAGGCGACGAACGAGACGAGGCACGAGGTGGCGCCCGAGTTGGGGAAGAAGAGCGCCAACGCGAATATCGCCACCATCGGACCCGACATGGCGCCCATTATCGAGATGCAGATGCGAAGGATGCCGCCGAGCGATTCGGCGTAGAACGCCAATGATGTCGACAGCACACCGCAAATCAGGCAGATCACCTGGAAGTTGTTTAAAGAAAAAAAAAAACTCGGCCACGGCCACCATTTTTTTGTTTTGGAAATTCCAGTTAAAATTGCAATAAAAGAGCTATGGCCGTGGCCGAGTTTTTTTTTTAAAATTATTTTTTTGAATAATGGAATTTTAAACTTCAGTTTTTTTGGAAAAATATGGTGTTTGCGGACTTGACGAATTTTTTTTGAGAAAAAAATGGCATGGCCGTGGCCGAGTTTTTTGGTTTTTTGGAGTAATGGAATTTTAGGTTTTTTTGTGGAAAAATGTGGTGTTTGCGGACTTGACGCATTTTTTTGAGAAAAAAACATGGCCGTGGCCGAGTTTTCTTTTCTGAATTGAATTTCGGAAAAAAAACCTCGGCCACGGCCACGTTTCACCACCATTATTTTGTAAATTAAATCATTCCCTGATAAAATTGCAATGGAAAAGACATGGCCGTGGCCGAGTTTTTTTTTTTGAATTAAATTTTGGAATTTTAGGAGTTTTTGGAAAATTTGCAAAAAAAGAAAAAATAAATTTAAAAAAAAACCTCGGCCACGGCCATGTTTTACGAAATCGCTGCAAGCATCATGCGCCTTTAAGATGGATTTACATTCAATAAATAAAATCGCGAAGAAATGGAATGATTATTGCAGCGATTTAATGAGATACTGAAGGTTTCGAAAAGCGTGGCCGTGGCCGAATTTTTTTTTGAATATTTTTTCGGCCATCCTCAAACAGCCCGCTTTTTTTCTGTTGAAACTCAATGATACCTTATTGAGCCTAGTGGCATTCGTGTCGGTGATTTTACCATCGAGACGCGATTTGAGGAAATCCTCGTAAATCGCCGCCGCCATACTATTCATACCCGACGACAGCGTCGAAAGTGTCGCCGACATGATGCACGAGACGTACAAACCGAAAAGTCCCGGCGTTGGTTCTGCAAAAAAATGGTTTTATTCAGATTTTTCTCAAAAATTCACGTAGAATGTCGCGCGCGAACAATATCGTGATGTGATCGACCTCGACGATCTCGCCGCTCTCGATCGGATTGCAATTGTAGAAGTAGGCGAGCGCGATGAAGCCGACGAACGCGACGATCGAGCAGAGGACGGCGAACGGCGCCAACGTGTACAGTATGATGTTTTGCGCTTGATTGAGCGTCGGCAAACTCGCGTACCTAATAAGGCGAACAAGTGGTTTGACCTTCTATTTTTGTATTAAAATTGTTCGCGAAATTCCCGATCGTGCGTGTATATATACTCGGTGCAATCGATTTGCTCCAGTTCGGACGATAGCGCTCGATTGGTCGCCGACAGACTCCCGAACTGGGACCAATAGATTCCCACTGGTACAGTTCGGCGATAGCGTTCAATCGACGGCAGGCGCACTTCCGAACTGGAGAGGATTATTTCAACTTCCGAACTGCAGCCAATTTGCATCCAATTGGGAGCAGGGGTTTTTAGCGGTTGACTCCAGTTCGGGCGTGAGCATCCGAACGGGAGCCAGACATTCACTACAGTTAACTAACGACTCCAGTTTGGACAACATTGCCCAATCTGGCGTCGACGCATCTCTGGTAACTCAAAACCAATCTGATCCGACAAAATTCGGCCCCGGAATCAACCTTATCCGATTGGTAATTCTACGAATAAGATTGGAAAATTGTCGTATCCGATTGGTTTTTTCGGTTTTTTCGGATCCGATTGGTAATTTGTCATATCCGATTAGATTTTCTTCGAATCCGATTGGTAATTATTTGAATCCGTTTTGTTTTAATATTTCAATTCGAATCGGATTCGACAAATATCCAACCTTATCCGTAGAATTACCAATCGGATCTGACAGAATGAGTTTGCTATATGCTTACTGGAGGACCGAATAGTTTTTTTTGGAACTAAATATTGAGTAAGTGTTATAAAATATGGATTCTATCATCAATTAACCCTTGTTTTACAGAATGAAACTACAAGCTGCTAACTGCTTCAACCTAAGACCCAGCTTCTCATAATGCGTAGACCTAGGAAACTTCACAAATGGAGGAAATGTCAAGAGTCATGGGGAAGAACTATTTGTATCCCCTTCCTGTTGTAAGAAGGTTTAAGACATTTATTAATTGTATTTAATTGTCGCAAAATTGCGGAAAATTACAAAGTGCCAAAAATTGAAGGAGATGTCTTGGTGCAAAACTAAATGTGTAGATATACGGACAAAATATAAGTATTGAGGCTCATGCCGTGGGCCAAGACATTTCTCATTTTTGGCGTTTAGTTTATTTTCCGATTTCCGCGACAGTAATTCCTCGAATCCGCTTTTAATGTTCCCTATCCCTCCTTATTTTATTTGATTTATATAAATCTAATGCATCCAAATTGTAGCGAATACACAAAAAGAATAAAATTTGACTGGAGCCGACTGGGCGTAATCTGGCGCCAGTTCGAACGAGAATCTGACGCGAATCGGGCCCAATTCGCAACCAATTTGTCGCAGTTTGATAGCAGTCTCACATCGGTTCGGGCGTGAGACTGCTCCCATTCGGGCGTGAATTGTCCCCGTTCGGACGTGAAACTGCGCAATTTTTTTTTTCATTTAAATTCCCTATGCACCAGGGCTGTGCGGCAATCGGAAATTTCGGCAATTCGGCAATTCGGCAAATCGGCAATTTCGGCAATCGGCAATTCCATTGCCGCACAGCCCTGGCACATAGCACTACACCACACACCGCCTCGCGTGCTACGCTCCCCGCGCGATATATGTAAGCAGTAGAAGTGTGTCAAAAAATCAAGGGGCAAATCTGAAACTTAGGACTCAAAATTTTGCGATTTTTTTGAAAACCAGTAAACGGCAGAGTACACTTGATGTGGAATTTCGCGAACAACATATATTTGTGTGCAAACCCCCTAGAAAAAAACCCTTCCCTTGAAAGGCTTCAATTCGGTGTGGCCGCGAAAAATTCGACCAGTCCACATTTTTCACGTCCATCAAAAAATTTTTTTTAATTTCGCCGATTTCTTTCAAAAATCTCGTTGAATATATGAAAAAAAAAATTTTTTAACCATAATTTAGGCCCGAATCGAAGCCCCCCCCCCCCTAACGCGTACCGCTGAATCGCCAACTGATTGACGCCGAACGAAGCGAGCCACACGATGGTGCCCGAGAACAGATTGATCCATAGGCTGTTGTACTGATCGATGCGCCAATCGATTCGGACCAATTCCGCGATTCGGCCAGATCGCCACGCGATGTCCATGACGCGCGATAAGCCGCCAACGCGCGGATGCATCAATCCTGACGATGTCAACGTTGGGCCCCCTCCAAATAGGCATTCGCTAGCAAACCTTTGTAGATCAATGTGAACACGCCGGTGTACATGAGAATTGCTTGAAGCGAGTCGGTCCAAACGACGGCTTTGATTCCGCCAATGCATGTGTATAATGTTGTCGTGCAGCCGAATATCGAAAATTGGCGGATTCGATAGATATGGACGACGGCTTACCAGAACTAGATACCATTTGTTGATTTGGAGGACTGGCGAGAGGGCGACCGATGGCGCATACACCACCACTGACATGTAGACGATGGTGAACGACAGGAAGAGGGCGGAGAAGAGCCTTCGAATCAGAATCGAGTTGTATCTTCAATTGCATTGCTCAATTGATTGATTAATTTGAATTGCCGCATCGCATTGGAGCGCGTTTGCACATCCTTTTGAAATTTTTGCACGCTGAAGCTGTCAAGCGACTAGTTTTGTAAAGAATTTCGTCTCGGGACCATTTCCCAACTTCTTAATAAAGCGCGATTACTGACCCTTCACCTTTTATAGTGGTGTAGATTTACGAGATGCGCCTTTCAAAATGGTCTCGCAAATACATTTTTTTTCAATTTTTAAAACTTTCCAACTGTTTAATTTTTCTTGACGGGTTTTCTCGTGAATATCAAATATCACTGAAATTTAAAATCAACGGAATTGACCTCCAAAAGGCCGTTCGAGACCAGGCCCGTAAATCTACAATAGTCAAAAATTCGTTGCGCCTTTAAACCTTCCTAATTATGTGTCTATTTATTAGAAATTTATTAGATTTTAGATTTATTAGAAGAAGAAGATTTATTTTTTAGAAAACTAGAAGAAAAACCAAAAAAATTATTATTTCTAATCAATTTTTGGTCTGTGACATTTGCGTCACCGTGTTTGCACACATTTTCGCGCGCCTACCATTTTGATTCAATTTCTGGCGGGAATTCAAAATTCCGATTCGCATGTGACTAATTTTCTGGCAAGAATTTGTCATTTTTGGTGAAAAGTTCAAAGTCCAAAAGGGTACTGTAGCTACAGTAACCTAAAATCGTTAGTATTGATCGAATCGATCTGAAACTTTGGCGAATGACCAAAATTCGGTACGCTGAGTATTTTAAAAATATTTCCATTACCGTAACCCGGCTACTGTAGCTACAGTAACCTAATATCGCAGGTATTGATCGAATCGATCTGAAACTTTGGCGAATGACCAAAATTCGGTACGCTGAGTATTTTAAAAATATTCCCATTACCGTAACCCGGCTACTGTAGCTACAGTAACCTAAAATCGTTAGTATTGATCGAATCGATCTGAAACTTTGGCGAATGACCAAAATTCGGTACGCTGAGTATTTTAAAAATATTCCCATTACCGTAACCCGGCTACTGTAGCTACAGTAACCCACAAGCGTTGAATTAACCGACCGATGAATGAAGTACTCGTGTAGGCACGTGCTGCGCATTTTGTGAAACACCGGCAAAAAGACGAAGCACGTGATGAGCGACGACGAGACGCCGATGGCGAAATTGAGCCAGATTTGCGCGCCGCGCTGGAACATCTCGGCCGGCACGCCGAGCATCAGAATGCCGGAGAGGAACGTGGTGAGAAGCGAGAGCGCGACGGGTATCGACGGCAACTCGCGACCGCCCATCAAATACTCCTCTTTCGCCGTCCGCGCGCCGCCGCGTCGCAACAATCGACGACTCCTACGATTTTTTTCTTTGTTTTCTGATGCGAATCACCTCGACCAACCTGATGGCGTGATAGACGCCGGTGGCCAGCGATAGGCAAATGCTGGCGGCGAATATGGCGTAATCGAGCCACGACAATTCAGCCGGCATTTTTTTTTTCTGGAAATCGTATTGATTGAAGCTGGGCTAATTGAATTTTCGAAAGCGCAAATAATGAAAAAAATGATAGCACACGATGCCAAAGTGCCAATTGTCTCAACGCTCAACGTTGGGTGCACACGACGCGTTGTAATAGTCGGACGATTTCAATTTTGAATTATTTTTGGGCCCCCGCCTCCATCAAATGTGTGCGATTTTGCGTGAGCGTGTACTCAACATTTTTTTTGGATGTCGAATTGCGGATTTTGAATTGGGCGCCGAAACGAGGACAACCTGGGAAAATGTCCGCAGATGATCACAAACGCCTCATAATCGATAATTTTAACAACAAAACATTTTGGAAACAAAAACCAGTTTGAAAATCGCAATCGAATCAGAGACGATGACAAAAAAAAAAACGAAAAAATTTTGCCCGCACGCGAACTGTTGACGACATAGGTCTTTCATCTTCTACTATTCACTCAAATTGGTTCTTCCTCTCATTGGAAATTTCAAACGCCACGGCCAAATTTCAATTCGTCTGCGGATATATTCCGGGTTTCGAGATCTTTCTCATTTCATAATATATATATATATATAAAAACCGTCTGAACATTCTGCGTTTTGAGAGACTGTGTACAATCGAGAGAGTGCAAGACAACGAGAGAGCGTGCAAACTGCAAAACGGATTGTCTCAGAGCGGGATCGAACTTGCGATCTCCGCTTGCAGTCCGTAGCTTCCACCACTGCACCATATACAGCCGATCGGGCTGAAATTTTTACCATAGCTTTAAAACACGAAGTTTTTTTTTTCGAAAAATCACAAATTTCATAAAAATGCAGAAAATGGCAAAAAAATGACACAATGTGATTTGAAAGTCTCAGAAACGCGAAAACATTACAAATGTGTACAATAGCTTCCACCACGGCACCATATATGTTCAAACGTCATGGGTATATTGTGGCTGACATTTAACCCATTTTGTACTCATCGCGTACACTTACCCACTTTGAAGCCACTGCAGAGTCACGAGCCAATATTCGTCCGCAGTTTGCCTGCGAAAATTTCTTTAAACGGTGAACATGAAACGCAAGCAAAACGCAGCTCATCGAACGCTGGACATGAAAATTGGCTGAATCAGAGCTCGCGGTTCGCCTGCGGTCGAAAAAAACTGAAAATGCTAAGATTTATGTGCCTACGATAGATTTAATCTATGTTTTTTGTGTGTATTTATCGTTTTCTGTTAATTGAACACATTTTCACTTACATTCTCGAAGATTCTGACAATTTTTTTTTATAAATTCTTTTTGAATTCTTTTTGAATGATGGCGGCAACAAATGAATGAAAAATACTTTATATGGACTAAGGCGACCGTTTAAGATATTTTCAAGAAGAAATTAGAAAGTTTCTAAAAAAACGCTGGCAAGCGAATCGCAGATAAAAAAACTTGGTATGCAGGGAAAGTGAAAAATCTAAATTTTCGAAAAGAAAACAATTAATAAATTTCCAATCAACTTTTTTCGAGAAATTTTCTTCATTTCAGAACGTTTCTAGCTCTTCTCTGAAAAAAGTTACAATCGAACAACGAAATGTTGACATTTCAGTAGCCGCTACTGTAACAGTCTGTACGCAAACACAGTACGATAAATTGCACACCAGCTCGCCACACCACGGAAATCCATTTCAAATCATCATGTTTGAATTTTTTAGCATTTTAGATGTTTTTTTTTTTCAGCAGTACAGGTTTTCACATGCCTCGAGTAGATCTAAGACAATTCTACAATCTTCGATAGGAAAGTAATATTCACCATTTGTCTGACGAGAGAATAATTGCATATAATTGTCAAGGAAAAGAAGATCGCCCTCGAATACAAATGAAGACGCGACCAAATATATCAGAACCAACGACGAAAGTATTATCAGTGAGTTTTGGATCTAAATTATGCGAAATTTCATTTTTGTATGAAAAATAGTCGATGAATACTTAATAGAAATGAAAACCGCTTTTCAATCGTTTGACACCGACAGCTAAATTAGAAATGACAAACACTGAATAAAAAAATATGTTTAAGGCAAACATTTTCGTCCTCAACCCACTCGACTGAGCAGCGAAAGTGAAGAACTCTGGAGCAAGAAGCCCAACGGTAACAGCTTTTAATTCAAACCTCTTCTAAATTTTCAGAGCATCGATAACGAACAACAAGAAGAAATACGTAAAAATGATGATATGAGGGCAATGTTTTCAAGATCTCCAGTATGTTCTAAATTACAATTAAAAAAAAAGTCCTAACGAAGATTAAATTCAGAAACCCTTGTCCCCAGGAAATTGCCCCAGGAACAATAAGGAACGAATTTCTTTATATCTACTACAAGTTTGTTCATTTACCAATTTCAGATGTCTTCAAACAATCGTTATGATCCAGTTGCGCTAATGCGGAAATGTTGTTTCGATAACATTTCGAAAAAGCTATTGTCCGAATCGGAATGTGAAGTAATGTATCTTGAAGAAATGCCAACTATTTTTTTTTACAGAAACATCTCATAGCTTGCCTCAAGAATAAAAAAATTAAACTATTATGATGTAATGAAGGACTACAATTCAGATAACATTACCATGTCACAGATAAAAGATATGATGCTCCGTGTTGCGTTTTTGCTCTTTGATTCCAGTCGATCTCGAAGGGAAACAAAGCAACCCGAGACTATGCAATTTGAGGTATGTTTTTATATGAAACAACCTAATGTTCATATAATTAAGGATAATGCTGACGATTTCGATACAGCTTCAATCAAAACTGGATTATTCGAATGCGTCCGTCCTGGAGAAGAAACTGTGGATTTAGCAAATTTGCTAAACTCGTCTTTTGCATCCGACTGGATTGGAAAGCCGCTGAAGGAAGCAGTTCAAATGGCTTTGAAAGCAATAATTCACCAAGTTAGTGTTAAAAAATAAATTAAGAGTAATTAATGTCGTTTAGTTACGAAAGGAATTTCGATGGCTGATAATCTGTGCAGTTCCGTGCAGTAGCAGATCCACACGATATCCACGACTTCCTCAGGCCGTCTTTCTAAAATTAGCAGGTAAAATCCAAAACCTTCCAAAAATTTATTATATTCTCAGAGATAATTCAAATCGGCTTCCGCATCGAAAGAAAGGCGCTGTCTACTGCGACAATCGTGTCCATGGCAAAGAGAAAAATGAGAAATTATATGTAGGATGCAGATTAACTTTAATAATGAATTTTACTGTTTTCAGTTCGAGAGAAAGAACCGGACAAATGCAACGAGTAGAAAAACTGCTTAACAAATTTTGGAAAAGGTAAACTTTATAATTTAAAATATTGCCTGTTTATATTCCTTATAGAATAATGTTTACATCTTTAGATATCCCAAATGGAACGAAACTGTAGAGGCCTACGATGCTGCTCTTGATGATTGATTTTCTGTTTGTTTTTTATTTATTTTCCATTCGGAATAAATAATTGTAATTTCACTGTATTAGTAATTGAAAAAAGGAAACGAAAAGCAAGTTAAAGGAAGAAAGAAAGGGGACCTAGCAGAGGAATTTTCGTGAAACTCTAAATCAAAAACGCAGGTCTAGAGGGGACATAACTTGATAACAAGTGCCACACAGCGCGGCAACTGCCCTACACAGCTTAGTCACATAATAAATTATATAAATATTTATTGCTAATCAAATTTCGGCAGCTTCTCTCTTATTCTCCAACACCTCAATCAATTTAAGAACATCGATATCATTGTATTGTTTGTGGGTGGTGAAGTGAATTTGGGCGATTTTCGCCAAATTGCGCACGTTGTACGGATCGCGCATTCTCGCGCGCCTCTCAACGATCTTCAAATGCCAATAGTGGTAGATCTCGAGAACAAACGCCGCCAACGCCAACGCCAATCCGATTCCGCCAATTGTGAAGACGCCAATCGTCGATTCGAGGTCTGCAAGAAGACTGAAATGTCTCGTTTTGGTTCGGCTCACCTAGCGGCTTATTCGCCTTCGCGATTTCGTCATCGTCGAGCGAGCACTTCGGAATGTCGCCCAATTTGAAGCCCTCGAGAAAATATTTGTTGAACGTTCGCTGAATGAATGATTGCTGCATGATGATTTGATGATTGAACTCGCGAATGAGCGTCGAGTTTTTCGCGAACACAAAGTAGGCGGACACTTGCGGAAGACCTGAATGTGGTCAGACGCGTTGCGGTTAAGTGTCGCGGTCGCCGCGAGTGAGCTCCCGGTCCCATCTTTGACTATTTGCAAATTTGGAAAGACATTTGGTTTCATGGAGAACATTTTTTGAAGCTGCCAGGCTTCCGACACAATCCAAATCGGTGACCGCGACGCGAACCGCAACGCGTCCACTTCATTTTTTTGAATATGGTCAGACGCGTTGCAGTCGGCGCAAGATCCCATCTTTAACAATTTGGAAATTTGGGAATTTGGAAAGACGTTTTTTTGAAGCCGCCAGGCATCCGACACAATCCGAATCGGTGACCGCGACGCGAACCGCAACGCGTTCAACTCTCCGCCCCCCTCACCCTCATTCACATAGACATAATCGCATCGCTCTTTGCTCATTTGCATCGCCAATGAGTCCTGCTGTATCGGATAGATATATTTGCCGGTGTCGACGAGATCGAGTGCCTCCATGACGCTGGCGGCCGCCACCACCGGATTGGCGGCGGTCGCCGCGCGCAACTTCACAAAGTGCGATTGATTCGAGTGCTCGAGATCGTCGAAATACCAATTGCCGAGATAGTTGGTCGTCAGATGATATTTGCCGCTCGCTATCAATTTGATCATCTCGTCGGCGTTCTGAGAACAACGAGGTTGAGAGAGCGACGTCGTTCGACGCTAACTCTGAACGGATCATTGCCGTTGGATGTGATGAGCGCCGTGAGAAGGATGCCCTTGTAGAGATCGATCATGAGACCCGATTGAAGCAGCGCAAATATGAACAGAACGATGTTGCCTGAATTCGCGCTTTTTGGTCCCTCCAGTTCAATTTTTTTTTGTCGAATGGGGGTCCGCAAGTGCAGTCACTTTTTTTTTGAAGAAATTTTTTATTTTTCACCTTTTCTTAAAATTTCGAAGTCCAAATGTGTGCAATTTTGCGTACATTTTAAAACATTTTCAAAAACCAAAATGGATGCCTAGGGACCATTCAATTCAAGAAAGCCAACAAAAAGGGTTCGTCTGAATTCAGAAGACCAAAAATATTTGGGTCCCAATTATGATCATTGGACTACCAACCTGATACTGTGAAAAATTGCATGTCGTCACTTTTCTCGTCCAACTGAAGCTGAACAACCTGCCAGGCGATCTGGTAGGGCTTGAAGACGTCGCGGAAGCGCAATTTGAATTCGCATCTGGTGATGAGAAGCATCACGAGGAAATTCAGAATAAGCGAGCCTTTAAACGAATCAATCGAATCTCGATTTTTTCGATTTTTTGGGAATCGATCCCACCTAGGAACACGAGCCACACTTGATAGCTGAATGGTTTGAACGCGTTCCACAAAACCGAGCCGAGCGTCTCTTTGCGCTCACGGACCACGTAGACCGGCTGCACATTGAGCACCGGATAGGAGAACTCGAAATACCTGCTCCTCATTTCCGTTTTTTGGTACATCAGGCAGGCGGTATCGGCGGTGTTGTTCTGCAAGTATCCCAGCACTCCTGTCCACGTACCATTATCCTGAAAGGACCATTATTTAAATGAACTCAGACTTGCTAATTTTGTGGCTTTAATGATCTATAATTAGGCCAATTTTCATTTTTGAAGTCGCTCAATTATTGACGTCTAGGAATCTTATTTTACTGAATGAAAAAAAAACAAATTTTAATGGTCCCAATTTTATGAAGGGGGATTCTAAGCTTCAAAATTTCTCAACATGGGGTCCAACAATCAGATTCAAATTTGAATATTGACAACTATGAGCAATCGTGGACCATCGCATTTTGGCAGCCAAGGTAATTTTAAATCCTAGTTTTTTTTTAGTTCAAAAGTCCACGCCAGTCATGATGGTCCCTTATAAGGTGTCTGGGAACCTGAAAGGTGTTCTAGATGAATTCATCACCTTTGAAAATTCCAAAAATATAAAAAATGGAGGGAAAATATTTTTTTTTGATCTCCGAATCGAAGCCAAACTCGATTCTGACTCAGTAGAGATCAACTGAAACCAACGTCATCATTCACAGGCGTTACGCACCACAATTTCTCTGTATTTAAGCGCTGGTGTGTTTGCGTACAAAACGTTTTAATTGACGCGCATTGCAATTTCTCGAGCCGCCACGAATGACATTGTGAGTCGCGTAATCTTGCCGATGCTTCTGAGAATGCTTCGGAGAATGACAAACCTGATGGGTGCCCCAATCGAGTCCGCCGACGATCGTCGGCGTCACAATCGTCTCGATGTCGCGCCGCATCGCGTCGGCAATCATTTTCAGCACCTCGACACAAAATCCGGGAAAACTGCATGAGACGGTCGGCGCGAGCGTCGGAAACGTCGGACACGCGGCGAACGCGTCCGGCGGATTGCGCGCGAACACGACACGCATCGAGAGAGAGAGAATGCGAGTCGGACCACAAAAAACCAAACCGCCCCCCCCGAGAGTGGAAATCAGAGGAGTTGTAACAAAAAAGAAACGGTGAAACTCTATTCAATCGTCTTGTTTGCATTTCATTTTTGTGTTTGTTCAATTTCTATTATTTATTCATGTACTTCGAACCCGAGTTACCAATTAAACACAAAAAAAGTAGTGAATGAGAGAGAGTAAAATTTTTCTTGAATAGAAAATACACATGTTCAAAATTTACAGAGAAGGCTTAAAGGGGTGTCGGGAGAGAATGAGAGAGAGAGAATGGCAAAATATGGCAACCGAGATCACACGGCCAGGTCTTGTTTCTTGATCAAATTATAATATTTGCCCTTCTTCTGCATTAGCTGCGAATGATTGCCGGCCTCTTGCACTTTGCCGTGCTCGATGTAGACGATCAGATCGGAATTCTGAATCGATGAGAGACGATGGGCGATGGTGATGCACGTGCGACCCTCGCGCGCGCGATCCAACGCTTCTTGAACCGCCTGTGAGTAACACAATATTATCTAAATTAGTTCGCAATGCATATCGACGTACCCTCTCGGATTCCGAGTCCAACGCCGACGTCGCCTCGTCGAGTAGTAGAATTTTGGGATCGCGGACGAGCGCGCGCGCGATCGCAATCCGCTGCTTCTGACCGCCCGACAATTGCGAGCCCTTCTCGCCGACGTCGGTGTCGATGCCGGCCGGCAGATTGCCGAGGAATCGGTTGGCGTTGGCGAGTTCGAGCGCCTTGTTGATCTTGTCGAGCGGCACGTCCTTCAGTCCGAGACATACGTTCTCGCGAATCGTGCCGGCGAACAAGCGCGGCTCTTGGCCGACGAGCGCCATTTGCGTCCGCAAATGGTACAACGACAGATCTTTGATGTTGACGCCGTCGAGTTTCAGCGCGCCGCCGGTGACGTCGTAGAAGCGCTCGAGCATTCCGATGCACGTGCTCTTGCCGGAGCCCGACGGCCCGACGAGCGCGACGGTCTGGCCGCGAAGCGCGGTGAAATGAAGGCCCTTCATGATCGGCTGACGCGGTCGTTGCGGATACGAGAATTTGACGTTCTCGAATAGAATGTTGCCGCGAATTTCCGGCGTCGAGCCGGCCATCAGATCGCCGGTCATCGGCTTTCGATAGATGATGTTGAACAGCATTCCGGCCGCCGTTTTCGCTTTGACAAACTCGGGAAAGTATTGCGAGCTGTTCATGACGGCCACCGAGCCGAGAAGCATCGCGACGATGGCTCTGAAAGAGACAAAAATAATAGAAGGTTGGGAATATAAGGAAAAATCAATTACTGGAATGTATCCGACGGCGTCTTGTCGGCTTGATAGATGATGCGAATGCCCAACGCGTAGCAGAAGCACATCATGAAGTACATGAACGTCTGCGAGATGCTGTAATTCACCGCCTCGATCATTCCCTTCTTCAACTCGGAACGCTTCTGAAGTTTCGACGCCGTCTGATAATGATGATAGAATCGTTCGGTGCGTGTGAGCAGTTGAATCGTCTTCACGTTCTCAATGATTTCGATGGCGATCTGACAATTATCGAAAATTATTTGGTTGAACTCGACACCCTCTTCTCACCCGTCCCGCCTCGTCGTTCTTGATTTGGTGCATGTTCAACAACGAGATCTTGTACGCCAATGACGTCATCGTGACACCCAACAGGATGATGAGCGCCGTTCCGAGAATCGCCACCTGCCAACAATAGACGAACCCGATGACGACGCAGGCTATGATAGCGGCCACCGCGTAGATCACTTGAAGCATTCGCGCGTCGACGACGGCTTTGATGTTGGGCGCGTCGGTCGCCAATCGTGTGATCAATTTGCCGGGCGCGTGCGCCGGATTGTCGTAGAACGACGCGTCCTGATAGAGGAGATTCTCAAACGCTTGAACACGGTATCGCATCGCGAGATTCTCCGAGACGATCGCGAAAAAGATTGACTGCAAAATTATGAATTTGAGTTTCCCCAGAATGGGATGAGCGAGGGGGATGCTTACACTGAAGAGTTGCGAAACGAAGACTCCGAATCCGGTGCAGCCGAACGCGATGATCGCCATCGCCATTCGGTGCATCATTCGCGAGCCGTACGGCACAAACTCGAAGCCCTGGAACACCCATGTGAACAGCAACGCGAGCGCCGGCAATTCGAGACCGCGAATCAGTGCGCTGACGAAACCCAAGAACATGTAGAGGTAATTGCCTTTGGCGTTTCGGAAGATGTCCAAATAGCCCGACGTGATGTGGTCGTCCTGGTCCATCACTTTTTGCACTTCCGCGGCGAACAGCTCGTTTTCGGCGTCGGCCGACGCCGAACGCACCGAGCCGGTCGCAAACGAATCGTTGAGGGTGTTGGCGCGTCGGAACGCCTCGGATCCCGATCGCATCGAGCCCGACATTGACGAGTGCCGCGAGCGCAACTCGGTGTCCAACTCGATGTCCTCCTCCTCGATGTTCTCTCCGTCCGCTTCCGGATCGGCCTTGAATTGTTGGGCTTTGACGAGATCGAAGTAGCGTCCGCCGAGACGCACGAGTTGCTCGTGATTGCCGGCCTCGACGATGACGCCCTTCTCGAAGAACACGATCTTGTCGGCCTCGCGAATCGTCGACAATCGATGCGCAATCATGATTGTCGTTCGACCGCGCGCCGCGTTGTTCAGCGCACTCTGCACAACGCTCTCACTTTGCGCGTCCAGCGCCGACGTCGCCTCGTCGAGAAGAAGAATCTTCGGGTTTCGGATAAGGGTGCGCGCGATCGCCACACGCTGCTTCTGACCGCCCGACAATTGAACACCACCGTCGCCAATCAGGGTATCGTAGTCCTTCGGCATCTTCATGATGAAATCGTGGGCGTTGGCCATCTTGCACGCGTGGATCATATCCTCTCGCGTTGCGTTCGGATTGCCAATCAGCAGATTGTTGTGAATCGTGTCGTTGAACAGTATCGGCTCTTGTTGCACAATGCCGACGTTGTTGCGAAGCCAGTCGATGTTCAATTCGCGCACGTCGACGCCGTCGATCATCACGTGGCCGCCTTCGGGCTCGTAGAGTCGCGTGAGCAGTCCGACCGACGTCGATTTGCCGCAACCCGAGTGTCCGACGAGCGCCACCGATGTGCCGGGCTCGATTTCGAGATTGAGACCGTTGAGGATCTTGGCGTCTTTTCGCGTCGGATACCGAAAATGGACGTTCTCGAAGACGACGCGTCCGACGATGGCGTCCGGCCGTTTGCCGGCCGTCGAGTAGGGATCGATGCGCGGAACGCGCTCGATCGTCTGATAGATCGACGCGGCGGCGACACGCGCGTTCAACAACACCATCATGTGCGGCGAGATCAGGCCGAGGAAGTAGGCGCCGAGAAGCATCGACATGACGACGATGAAACAATCGCCGGGGTTCTCGATGATGCGCACCTTGACAAGATAGGCGCCATAGAGCATACCGCATCCGAGGAACGCGAACAGCCAGAAGAAGAACAATCCGCCGAAGAAGCCGCTCCAGAATCCTTTCCACACGGCGAACTTGCGGCCTTTGTCGAGTTCGGCCGAATAGCGATCGACCATTTCCTGTTGGCCGTTGAACGCCTGCACGGTGCGCACGCCCATCAGCGATTCTTCGGCAATCGAGCCCGCTTTGCCGACGCCCGTCAATTCTTTGATCGTCGTCGACGTCATTTGGCGCGCGAGCAGCGACATGCACACACAGCACACCGGCGCGACGCCGAGCATCATCGACGCGAGACGCCACTCGTAGATGTAGGAGACGACGATGGCGGCGCACAGCATCGCGACACCGCGAATCAGAATGCCGAGCTTATCTCCGATGCCCTCGCGAATGCGTTCCATATTGCTGAAATCAGAGGACCCCATTATTCTAGAATGCTGTCTGGAAGCGTCCTACTCGTTGAGTTTCGTCGTGATCGTGCCCGAATGGTTCTTGTCGAACCAGCCGGCGTTTTGGCGCAAAATCGCGTAGACGTATCGATGGCGCATTTGCGCCATTATGCGGGTGCACACGTGTTGAAAGCACATGTATTGAATGAAGTTGGTTATCGCCACGAAAATGCCGATGCCGAGGAATATGTAGACGTTCTCATTGGCCTTGTTGCGAAACTGTTTGCTCGTCGGCGGGTAGATCAAAAGCGCGTTCGTCACACGGCCACTAGAAAATCCGAGAGGTTACGCGCACGCGCACCGCGACGCGCCACAAACCTGACAAGAGCCAGAATCGGCTTCGAGACGCCGGAAATGATCGCGCAAATGATGCCGATGAATAGAAGGAGCCAGTCGAACGTTTTTCCGTAACGGAACTGAATCAATGATAGTGGAATCAAAAATGGGAAATTGGCAAGATTCTCACCAATCCAAAAATGGAAACCGGTCGAGCTTCGAGTTGCTGATTGGCCAAATCGCCTCTAAAAAAAATCGAATCAATTAAGACAAATTGGGATAACTATAATATCTAATTACCTGCATAGTAAATAATTGAAGAATTTCTCAATGATCGATGGGGTGTAGACTGATTGCTTATCATCATCATCATCGTCGAATATCGGAATCGGTTCGGGTGTCGATTTGGGTTCGGAAACGGCCAACGCGGGCACCGCATAAACGGTGCTCCGTTGCGACGGCGCGCGGTCTCGTTCAATTTTCGGCGTCATTCCCCCTCGACGCTTCCTAGTCGCTCATTTAGTCTGAAAGTACAAAATGAGTAGTTGTCGATGTGTGTGTGTGTGTGGCAATTCGGCGCAACCTCGATCCGACGCTTAAGTAGTTCCGAGCATCTCTTTTTTTTTGGCGGATAGGCGGAGACGAGTGTTAACAACGCATTGGGCAATTTTTGGGCGACACGCAAACAATATATGTTTGTGTGTGTGTGTAAAACACGGTGGCAAATAGTCGGTCGGGGGCGAAATAGCATCGGCGGTGTCGAGTTGGCAGCTCGTGTAGTTCGTGCTCTGAGATTGAGAGAGTTTGCCAAACCACACAAAAAACTACATCTTACCATTTTTCTGATCTGTTTGACGGCGAGAATGAGAGACGGATGGAAAAAAAAACTGGAATCGTCGCAATTTTTTTGTGCCTACTTTGTTTGTTTCGCCACATTATGGTTTGTAGCTTCCATGGGGCCAAAATCACCGTTCATTGTTTGACAATCGTTTGTGCGTTGATCACAATCGCTCAGATGAAGTGCGTCGAACACGGAATGGTATATAAAATCGAGGGTCCAGCAAGCAAATTTTTTGATGCACGTTGTCGTCGGCTTGGTATTTCGCGTCCCAAAAAAAAATTAATCTAAACGTAGCAACTATATATAAATAAATAAATAAATATATATATAAATATATTAAACGTGGTAGGTAACAACTAACTAAAAAATGCGGCGCAAAACCAAAAATACAAGTGTGTCCCGCGCAAGATTTGAATCGAATTTCGCCGGCGCCACTCGGCCACGCCAAACTCGGCCAGGAGGCCATTCATAGAATCCAATCATCATAGAATTCCAAGAAATGCCAAGCTCATCAAGAATGAATTTAGCGTTCACGTGAAAACAGCAAAATAAGCGCTCACACGTGGCGAGACCTTTTCAAGGACTCGGCCACGGCCACGAAAAACTCGGCCAGGAAGCCATCCCAACGATGAATGAGATCAAATTCACAGTTCCATTTTTTAGATATTAGCTTTCTGGAGAACGTTCCAAATGTAATTTATTTATATACTATATGATAATAGCAAAGAAGCGTTTTCATGTGTCGTAAGGTTTTTTTTCGCATTAGAACGATTTGATCGCTCGCCTTCATTTTTGGCTTTCATCATCTGCGGACATTTTTCTTCACTTACAGTATACACATTAAAGGCGCAACTCATTTCGCCCAAAAGTTAACATATGTAGGATTCCTTGAGGAAAAATTCACTGTCTGCGTCTCCTTCAATCGCACGCTCTCTCTCTTTATTTCTCTCGATTGTTCCCACTATTTCGTAGATCAAAATGTGGGTTCTCGAAAAAATGTTTCGCTAGTTCGTGACGGGATATTGCAATCAAAATTGTGTGTGCGCCTTTAATAACAATTCGTTTGAATTTCAATTTTTTAAGGCAAAATTTCTCATAAGCGATTTTCTCTCGGAAAAAGTCCAATTTGAAAATCATGGATGGCTGGCAGCTATTCGATCGCTGCGAGACCCAAACCTTTTCAAACTGTGTGTGCCTTTAATTAACAATAGTATCTCAATTAATTATATCTGCATTTTTTTTAAAGTTGTACTCTCTCAAACAATGGTGGCAAAATTGAGCCAAAACTCGCTGCTCACACAATTTTCCCGTCAAGACCCAAACGGCGCCAATTCAAAATCGCAGTTTTAATATTCGATGGTCCTAAAAATGTCTCCGATCTCAAACGATCCGAAATTTTGAGGTCAAAATTCGATGAAAGGCGCAAACACCGCAAAAAAACTTGCCATTTCTATTCCGGCACACGCCGGTTTCTATTTATTTTTCAATTGCCAAATAAAAATCCAAAATTGTCGAATGTGCACTCCGTTCGACACAATACAATTTTGCGTCGAAAGTGCTCCTGTTGAACTCTTCGGCAAATATATGTAAGTTTGGCAAACAATTTCAAAAAGGCTCAATATTTTACACAAAACTCGAAACGCGATTTGAAATTCATATGTAGTTTCATTCATTTTTTTTTGCAAATGCAGCCAATTTTATTCAAACTCTCCAATAAATTATATCATTTTGTTAGAGCTTCATTTACACATAAAATGTATCAAATGTAAATATATAATAATAATAATAATAATAATAATTAAATAGATTTAATCTGGTGGGGAAAATCTGTGATAGATCAATGAAAAAGGGTAGAGGGGGAGTTCATAGCGCATAATTCAAAAAAAAAATAGTAAAATTAGACAAGAACAGGTGTGAAAGAAGGAATTGAATTAAGAGACAGACTTTTTAGGGAACAACGGCTATATATCATATTTTTGACTAGTACTTTTTGTGTATTTTTTTGGTATTGACAAAAATGGCAAATAATAATTGGAAATCATTCTACAAATCGGGAAACCACGCAAAAGAAATTTAAAAAAAAAAAACAAACAAAAATTATATAGGAAATAATCATTAGTAATTATAATTAGTCATAATTTCAATATTCGGTTTTTCTTTTCCCAATTGGTTGTGTGCCTTTTTTTGATGATCAGAACCGGGACATAGTGTACACAGAGAAAGATGCTCAATTCGAGAAAAAACATTTTTTCTCTGAAAATGTCGAATATCTGACTCTAAACCACTAGAAAGCAGGCGTTTCGAACACCAAAAAAAACGGAAATTCTCTTTTTTTTGGAGGGGCGGGGCGGGGATCGGGATTTTCTGGATGATATGCGGACAGATTCGTACTCAGCATCTCGAAAAAAATTGCCAAAGACAGAGAGAGAGAGAGAAACTAGGAAGAATTTGTTTTTTGATGAAACGAGAAAAAAAAGCAATTTTGAAGATAGACAAAATTAAAAAAAAAAAACAAACAAAATTCGGAATGAACACAATTTTCGAGACTATCATATCCACTATTATGATGATGATGATGATGAGTTGGTCGGCCCATTTTTCGGCGGCTGCGGCGTCGGCTGACGGCTCGCTATCGGCGATTGGCTCGGCGATTGGCCGGGCGGTGTCGCCATCGTCGGCGGCATTCGCTCGTTCATCATATCCAGACGACGTGCCTCCTCGAACGACTGAATCTGATGGCCCGGTTGGACGCCGGACAACGCTGAATTCAATGAATCTTATTTTTTTTTCGTGCGAGAGTTGTGAATTTGATCAAATTCGACGTGTCGATGGACAATGAACCAACTCACTCGCGACAAGCCCCGTCCTTCCGCTCGATAGCGCGCCTTTCGGCAATTTGCCGCCGGGATTCAAGCCTTTTAGCTGCACAACGGTCTCGCTTTCATGTCTGCCAAAACAAAATGTCGGTTTCTCACGCAATTTTTGTTGAGTTTCGGAATTTCGCGCACAATCAAAAAAAAAAACAGTATCGGTTATTTTTGAGACGCCAAGAAAAAAAAACATGAAACAGCGATTAGAGGGGATGAAAAAAAAAACGTTGAGGCAAGCAAGAACGGCAAACGGACGGGGCCGACGAGCACGTCGGTTTTTGTCGGGCGACGACGACTCTCAGAAAAACCTTCGCGAACTCCTCGAACACCTTCCTGCAGCACGCCCATCGGTAGAGCGCCGGTCGGCGTGAGACCCTTGAGCGCTAGAACACTTTCGCTCTCTTGCCTAAACATGCGGATTAGATCGAATTCATATCACCAGATGAATACAACAAAACACAAAACGAATTAGGATATAGCGTAAAACAAAAGATGATGGCGCTAGGCGGATTTTTCGCAACGACAAAGGCAGCCTACAGTACCACAAATAATTTTGCTCTTCAAAAAACCGCGGCCGTGGCCGATGTTTCTAGCGAAATCCGCCTAGCACCACCCCAAAACAAGAAAAAAAACGACGTACCGCAACACGGAGAACGCTCGCGCCATTTTTCCGATGGCGCGAATCTTGTGACGAATGACCTCCTTCCTCGCCGACGGCACACCGCCTGCAAATTGAGTTGCCGATTAGTCTCGCGAAACAAACAGCTCGGCCGACAATCGCCACACCCCTCCCCCCCCAATTGGATGCTCAATAGAAAAATAAATAAATAAATAAACGCATTACCAATCACATTACAAACCAATTGGGGGCGATTGTCGATTGTTCGAATATAAATAAAAACAGGATGATGAAAAGCATGTCAAAAAAAAAAGAGATTATATCCTCGCATTCGTCGCACACACAAATTTGATATCTATATATTCATATACATTTATATATGCGACGAATGCGAAGCTAGACGCCTACCACCGAAAAAATAAAGAACCCGATATAAATCATAAGAATTAAAAAATAAAACCAAATAAATAAATATTATCGATTTTTCAATGGTCTAAATTTTCAATTTCTCTCCACATTTTTTTTCTCGTTGTTAAATTGCGGCATGCTGGGAATCAAACCAAAGTAAAGCGACATCAGCGGCAATCAGTTGATAAAAAAAAGGGGGCCGGGTGGGAAGTGGGCCAATTTTGTTTCGCTTCGAGACCATTGAGGGGGCGGGGGGGAGGGGGTGGGTTAGACGAACAAAGGAAAGAAAGAGAGAGAGACAGACAGAGAGAGAATTGATAGAGGGAAAAAAACAAATCACAACAAAAAACAGAAAGCAGCATGCAAATTTTGTCTTTGTGGTTGTGCGATTAATTAATTTCACAATTTTTTTTATGCCGATTCTTCGGGACCCGTTGGAATGGCCCCAAAAAATCCGCATAGTCAACTTTGAAAGCCAAACCAAATAGCATAGGTCAGCGCAAACAAAACAACTTCTATTATTGAAAATTAATAATAAAAAGGTGAAGAATTAAAAAAAAAAAAAGAAACAATTTTCGCTGATTGTGATTTGGTTTTTCGTTTAAATTGAAACATACGTGGCACAGGGGGGAATTCATCCACTTACCATCGGCTCCTTAAATAAATTATATATGAATAATTTAGTGACAACTTTTTTTTTTTAAAAACTGATTTCAACACCAAAATACCGATTAAAAAACACGAGAAAAGGCGGCGTGCTGTTATTTCAAAAAAAAATTTTTGTCTTTTTTGGGGTTTTTTTAATGGTTCTGCTTCACAAACAACACTCCTCACGAGAGAGCGAGCGAGAGAAAAAAATTCGTTCGATTTCACGGCAAAATATAAAAAAAAATAACAACCCGGGTTTCAATTTGTTTGTTTTTGTTTTCTTGGATCTTATCTATATTTGGTTCATACATGCGTTTTCGACCTAGCAGGTTCAGGATAGGGAATTGGGACCAGGGGTAATGGGTCGTCGACAAAATTCTTCGGATATGGGGTTGGGAAAAAGAAGCCGACCGGAGAGAGGATTAATCGGGGGGCCGAGGGACGGGAAGGGTGGTGGCAGAGCTCACCCACACCCAAAAATATTCGTTGGTGGGTGCAAACTTTCACAACGATCATCGGATAGAATTGAATTCGGCGAAATGTCTCATCGAGTGAAGCGACGATGAGAATAAGAAGAAGAAGAAGAAGAAGAAGAAAAAAAAGGAGAAGGTACGAATCACAACACCTAATAATATAATAATAATAATTTCAAATTCATATTTTCCGGATTGATCGATTCGAAATGAAACTGAGCTACTAGAGGAAAACACATGTACGAATCAATTGAGATTTGCTTTCAAGCATGCCCTACATGCTAACTTTCTTTTTTCGAATTTCTTTTTTTTCTTTTTGAGAAACAAAAAATTTCAAACAACATGTTCATTTCACAATTTTTTTCTTTTGCTCGCGTACCTTCGAAAGTGTCGTCGCTCTCCGACATCAATTCCTCATCGGAGCAAATATTCAAAATGTGCACCAGCATTTCGGTTACTGTGAACGCGAATTTGGGTTATTATTACTATTTTTTTTATTATCACCTTTTTCGCCAACAAACGGCAGCGACCATGTGAAGACGTCCATGAAATTTGGCAACCAATACGGATGCGGGCTACAATTGAACTGGCGAATGTTCATCACGTTATTCTCGTATTTCAAAATCGCAGCTGAAAAATTGGCAACAATGAAGTTGAGCAGCCAAATTCGTTTTTGGGTGGGGCAAAAAAAACTTTATTTTTTTAAACAAAAAGTTATCCTACCTTTATTATTGTACACATCTAAGTAGTTAGGCGCACTGAAAATTGTGATAAGCGATGGGAACCCGGTGGCTTGAGATTTTCGATACATTCGATATCTGCAATTGGAAAGAAATAAAAACACGATACGGCCGTGAGAGAAAAAAAAATATAATGCGATTGAATCGACCCATTTTTCGCATTCGAGAAGAATGCACTCCGTCTAGAGAATTATCCTAGTTTTTTAATCCAAATTTTAAAGGCGCACGCTTTAAAATCGTGTGGGTCTTTCAGCGAAAATCGTAATTAGTTCATCTTTTTCATTTGCAATTTTCAATTTTTCGTATCGTTTATTCGTTTTCATATTAAAAATCTGACAGCAAACACGTTTTTCTTCAGGTTCCAACGAAAATTTTGACAATTGTCGACGATCAATTTCTTTTTTTTTTAATTTTTAGCATGGGAAAATGACAAAAGCAAATTAAATTGACCTATTCATGCAATTTAAAAATTATAAATTACATAAAAAACATACAATCTCTGCGATTCGATGGGGTCGGCGGCTTTTATGAAAATCGCGCTAAATTGAGGGCGATGTGTAATTGGAGTGTCGTACAGTTAGGGTAAAAAGATTTTGAGCGGACAGAAGTTTTCAAGAAGTCCCATAGAACCCAAAAAATATATATATGAAAATTGATTGCAATTTTTTCGCAAAAAAATCAATTCGGACCAGCTTTCCTAGGAAACGAGTTTAAAAAAATATTCAGGAAAAAAAAGCTAGCAAAATAAAAAATTACGATTTTCCCGTCAAGACCTTCACAATTTTATGGCGATGAGGCAACCAATATAATCGAATTTTTTGGTCGATTCGCATAATTCTGAGCACCCGCCTCCCCGCTGGGACCCTCACGCGAAACCAACCACCGACATACCCCGCATCCTGTGCCTCATGAGCGCGAATAATCGACAACAGATTGTTGTGTTGAAGGAAATCGCAGCACGCCGCGTAGCTGTAGAAGTACGAGCAACCGCGAACCGAATTATGGCTAAACTGCTCCGAGTTGCGCTCGTTGCCGAAATCCTCGAGCGGATCCGACCACAACAGATCGCACATCGGGCCGAACGCCGGCGGCTCTTTGAAACGATCGAGTTTTTTGATGTCGTCGAGCGTGTGGATTTCCGGCGAGAGGCCGCCGTGCACACAGAGAAATTGTTGATTCATGAGAGCGGCGAGCGGCAGCGCGTCGAACGACTCCATGCACACGTCGTACACGCGTTCCGAGTATTTGATTTTGCCTTCAATGCCGCATATTCCAATCAAATCATAATAATAATTATAATTATAATTCTCAACTTACATTCTTGTTTGAACGTGAAATATTCGGTGAGATGGCGACACTCGTGATTGCCGCGCAACAAGAACAACGTGTTCGGATAGCAGATTTTCAGCGACCACAAATAGAGGACGCATTCGATCGAGAAATAGCCGCGATCGACGTAATCGCCGAGAAATAGGTATTTGGTTGACGCCGGCGAGCCGCCAACCTAACAATTTCGACGTTTTCTAGTTAGATTTGAAAAAAAAAAAAACGAAATCGCGCTCACTTCAAACAATTTCATGAGATCATAGAATTGCCCGTGAATATCGCCGCACACCGTCACCGGCGCTTCGATGTCGAGCATCGTTTTTTCTTGTCGAAAAAGCGCCGTGCATTCTTGAATCACACGAATCGCCGCTTCCTCCTCTATTCGGCCCTCCTGCGAATTCAACGTTATTCAACTCAATAGTCGGAAAGAAATTAAAAAAAAAAAACAAAAAAAGCACGCTTACCTTAACAAAGTGATCTCTGAGCACATCGTGTCGCGGTTTGCCGGTCCTTCGATCATAAACCTGATCGACCGAAAGACGCTCGGCAATTGGGAATTGGACGCCTGTCAAAAAATTTCTCATTAGGCGCCAAAAAAAAACCTAATTATGTCTCTCGGGCGCACAAAGCCAATTTAGAAGGCACCGACGAGAAGAAAAAAAAACGAAACAAAAATTGCATTATGTGTTTTTTTTTGGTGTTGCCTTTTGTTCTGCTCACAACTTACTTTTGACAAATCGCTCAGTGAATTGTTTCAAATCACGCTCGCGTTCTCGATTATTCGCGGCCGCGTCTAGAACAAAAAAAAACAAGAAGATGGTGTGTATGTTGAATGGAAAATTCTGTGCATTTCAAAAGGCGAAAATCATTAAACCCAAAAATACCTTTCGAATTTCCCGCTGACGTCGACGCCATTGCAATGAATTACAACACCTGCCGTCACCGACAAAATTTCGAATTCGGTGGGTAGTGTCTGAATTGTTGGACCCGTAGCTTCCAGATATTTTGCTCAAATTTGATGTGTTACCCTCCGCGAGAAATTGCCGAACGTTTGCCACTGGAAAACACACACAAACATACAGACATCAAACGAATTAGTCATAATTTCGAACAATGACGATTCGATGAAGAAATTAGAGAGAGAGAGAGAGAGGGAGGGAGAGATGATAACGCGTTATTGATTTGATACATAAAAAATAATTTTTTTGTGGCGAGAAATGGGTGGAGTTTTGAGTGTGATAAGCCGACATATGACTTGAACAAGCGTAGAAAACAACAAAAAAAACATCAAAAGGGGTCAAATCGACAAAAACTGCCGGGCCGTGGAGAGGGGGAGAGTTGTGGTCGACGGGGCGAGGAGCTCCCCCCCCCCTTCTCCTCTTCTTCTTCTTCTTCTCTTCCACCGACGTTGCGAGGCGGCTGCCCTCCTCGGAATGCGCTGCGTCTCTAACATCGTGCAGCACACGTCTCAGTTCGCTTACTCTCTCAAAAAAAAAATTTTTCTGTTGGCCTCTCTCGCCTCCTCGGTTTCCCAAAGAGCTCTGGAAGACGACGACGACGACGAAGAAGAAGAAGAAGAAAATGGAGACGATGGAGAAGCATAGCTGCTGCTGCTGCTGCTGCTGCCGCTGATGATGATGAAAAACGCAGTGGCAACGACGAGGCACCAACACACCAGTGTCTTGGGCTCAGGCTCAATTTCACACACACACTGCGAAACCGATGAAAAGAGCAGGGATTTCAAGGATATTGAAGGGGACAAATTAATCGGTTTTTGTGCGGCGCGCGCCGACAAATGAGAAGGAGAAGAAGATGAAAACGACAAGGAAGAAGAAAAAGAAGAAGAAGAAAAAAATGCAATTTTGTTTTGTTGAATCTCGAATTTTTCGCCTGAAGCCAGTCGCCTGGCCGATTCGCGCCAGACAATTTTCAATGGCGAACAACATTGAAATGAATAAGCTTGAAGAAAAGAACGAGACGACAGCAGCAGCAGCAGCAGCAACAGCAAAAACGTCGATCGCCTCAGGGGCTGCCGTCATAGTGATGATAATGGTGAGAGTGCGGAGTGCGCAGACAGACAGCAGCACACATCGAGCAGCATGCAGCGGCGGTATCGAGGGAGAGGAGGACAGGGGGGGGGGGGAGGGGGGAATCGATACGGAGTCGAAGAGATGAAAGGAGACGCATTTATTATACCCCCCTCCCTCAACACACACAATCAAGAAGAAAAAAAAATAATGTTTGAGAAACAAAAATTGACAAGAAATTGGGTTTTTTTTTTGAAAGTCTATCAATAATTTTCGCAAAAAACAATGTTCGAATAAAAAATTATAATGAGACGCAGAACGGACCAAGAGAGCAAAGCGCGGATGGTGAGGGTGGATGTTATATTACATGTAATGCATAATTCAAAGTGCAAAAGCACCTGCGAGGCATTGAGCTTTGTGCACGCGGCGCACACACGCGCCGCAACATGATGAGATGGGGATGGGGGGGGGGCACGGGCGATAACGCCGCACACCATATTATCACCTTTTTTAATCCGATTATGCATAAGAACACCGACGCGATCATTTCGTGAATGATTGCAGCACACACAACTCGCTCTTATCGTGAAGTGGTGTAATGAACAAATAAGGGATGTAAAAAAAATTCTCCCGCAAAAAAAAGAGCGAAAAAAAAATGTTTGAATTGACGCTACTGCGAATTCCAAAAAAAAAAGAAACATCATCTTAAAACGCGCTCGAAATGTGTGCAATATTGCGTCGGTGTGTAAACAGACCAAAATGAAGTTGGCACACTATCAAATTTTTTTTGCGGACAATTTAAATTTTTCTTTTAGGCGCTCACCACGATCGGAATTTGAATTGCCGCCAAATCTCGCGAAACACCATGGTGTAACCCGTGAAATGTCCGCAGATGTTCAATTCTCTCAAAAACAACGAATTGCCTTGAGAAATTGTCGACCATTCAATTCTTTTTTTTTTCAGGGGGGGGGGAGTACGTGCAATACGCCTTTAACAAAAATCTACAAAATTTTTTTGAAGAGAAAGTGAGAAAAAAACATTCGCCACAATTCCTCCCCATTGCACCAATTTTACACCAAGAAAGGAAAAAAAAGAATGACAAAAAAACGCGATTCAACGGGGGGAATAATTGAGAAGACCGAAAATTTATGTGTTTTTTCTTCACCCCTTCTCTCTCTCTCTCTCTCTTTCTCTCGTTGGCGACCCATTCAGAAAAAACGACGCGCGCACGCGCGGTTTTTTTTTTCAATTCCAAGTTAAGAGGGACCCTTATAAAAAAGCATGTGAGAGAGAGAGAGATAGAGAAAAAGAACAATTTTTTAGTTTCAAAGCAAAAAAAAAATTAATAATAAACTAGTATTGAGGAGGCGGAGCGTGTCTACAATATTAAATGCGCGTACGCTATAATGCAATGTACGCAGCCAACTGCTGGCAATAGATCAAATTGGTGTATAATGAATCCTTTAAATGGGTGGTGGTGTACTACTAGGCGCAATTGTCGTCGTCGTCATTTCGGGAGGGGGGGGGGAGGTGGACGAAAAAAATCCGCGCAACGACGACGACGACGACGATGCTGCTCTCATTCATTTTTCTCATTTCCCATCCCCATCCCCCCCCGCACCCATTTATCCATCCATCCCGTCCTCATCTTTTTTCCTCGTTTTTCTCCTCTCACTTCAATTCGAATTAGAAATGTGAGCCAGCCGAGAGCGGGTCGTGGACGGCGTCGTCGTCAACGACACACACACACACGAAAAAAATTGCGCGGAATATGGAAGAGGGGGAGCAGAAGCAGTGAGGGCGACGGCTTATCACCTTGGCAATGTAAGCCGCCCAAATCCGACGTGCCTGATCCTCAATAGTAAATATATATGTATAATATTAAAGAAAAATATGCGGGGGGTGGGGGTGAGGACTCTTTAAGGACCACTGAGAAATGGTGTCGTACCTGCCAATTTCCTCGTTTTTCAACATCACCAAAAATCCACGCGCGATGAGCGTGACAATAAATCTCCACAGTATCCTCGGATGATTGTAAAGCATTGGTTGTGAAGCATGTGGTGCATAAATCAGCGGTTCCACTCAAACACACATGTCCTTCATTGAGACAACAACAAAAAACAAAAAAAATATCTCCTCACCGCTACTATCGAATTTCAAGAGTTCACGTTTCGGCGAGCCGAACTCGCGACAATCATTTCGTTCGAGTTGCCAACGATGATGCTGCTTCTGATTCTGACGCTGTCCAAAGTTGTCCACAATGTGCGATCATTCAATTTCGGCGCGCCACACAAAATTGGTATTCAGATGGCGGCGGCGGTCACGTCGAGTTCATATTTGCGTTGGGTGCCGCCGAATTCGCAAGAATGGAGGCACACCAACATCTCATTGAATGTTCGAATGTATTGGGAGGGGCGATGGGCTCGCGCGAGATACGCGAAAGGCTGCTCCGGCGACGACGACATCAAGGTGGCTTTGCATTCATCATTCTCCAGATGGAGGTCGGGGGTCTCTTCTAGATCATACCCGTCTACTTTTGGCCCGGCGAGCGTGTCGACCTCAATTGCAACATGTGTCGAATCTCATATTTGATGAACGGCCTGGTGAAGCGATGGGGCTACGCCGAGGACATCGACGAGTTCCTATTGAATCCGCAACAGTTCACAAGGGTCAACGAGCTGTGGTCCGAGGTGCACAACGTCGAATGGCACGATGAGAAGACGAGCGAGCCGGATGGCGGTGAAGGCGACGCGATTTATTTGCCGAACACCAACGGCGAGCGGTCGAACGCGAACGGCGAGCGCGTTCGCAAAACTCATCCGAAATATTGGCAGAATAATGGCCGACTCACGATGCTGAATGTATGCATTTTCAAACGCGAATTTTCGCCTCGTAAATAATTCAGACGAGCGCAGCTCGACGCGCGCGCACAAGGTGTCTATTTTTGCTATGACGACGAATCGAAAAAGCACACGAGCTTTTTCTATGTGCTAATGGCAATGCTTCCGCCGTTTCGCATCACCACCGACAACCCGAATCTATACAGTGAATCAAAACAAAAAAAAAGGGGGGAGTCATTCGAAATAATTGACGTCGTCAAATTTTAGGCGATTATTGCGGCGAGCCGAACGACGACAAAATCTCGCCGGCGTGGAATTGGAGATATCATTTTTTGCCGATGGCCGATTTTCACGCGCCGCCGTCGTGCCGATTCGATGGCGACGGTGACGTCGCGTCGTGCCGATTCGACGACGACGCCGACGAGGCGGCGTCGAATTGGCCGCCGAACATTGTCGCCGACGAGTGTAATCGCGACAAGTGCCGCGCGAAATTAATCTCGCCGTCGCCGAATATCGATTATTATATCGAAATGCGTTGGGATGAATGGACGTCGTGCGACGGCGCGCAAACGACGAAACGACGCGAAGCGCATTGCTATTTGGTGCGCGGCGAGAAGGGCGCGATGAACGTGGCGAATTGGGGCGACGCCAAATTCTACAAATGGGCGCGCCATTTGGAGACGGTGTTTGATCGAAAACCATTCGATACGGAAGGCATTCGTCTTTATAGGTCCAACAACAAAAAAAAACAATTGAGCAGTTGTGTTGGAATTTTTTCCTCCCCGCAAAACAGTCGGCAGATGTTTTTTTAATAACTAGGCGCGCTAAAAATTATTTCTCAAAATTTCGCGCAGTTTTCATAGACATGCAATACAGAAAAATAAGGAAAAATCGTGTTCTCACAAGAAAAAAAAATTCAAAAACAAAATACGCCGCTTCAGAAAAAGTCCGTGATGTACACTCACGCCAAATTGCACACATTTAATGGACTACGATTTTTTTTTTCAAATTTTTATTTTTCTGTTGTTTATCTGAAAAAAAAACGTAAGATTTTAGTTGAAAATCAATAAAATTTGAAAATTGAAAAGTTCAACGCGCCAAAACTGCTCAATTTTTCAATCAATGCGTTTTTTTTAACTACTAATTATTTTTTCCTTATAGCTCACTATTGACCGCTGCAATTTACGATCAAACGAAATTGACAAATTGCCACAACGCCGATGATAGCGAGCGATATGAATTGGTGAGCAAAAAAATTCTTTTTTTGATCGCAAAATGCAAATTGGTCAAGTTTTTGTTTTGAAATATGGAAATTGAGGCGAGACAAACAGCAAAAAAAAATTTCAAATTCCAATGAATTTGCCAACCGTCATCGTTTGTCATTCTAGTACGACCAAGTCTGGCGCAATGTGTTCATGCGCAGTTTTGGTCTCACCACGGCCGACGGCAAACCAATCGAATCCGACAACAATGACGCGAATAGCACTATTCGAAATCCGCTCGCTGCTTGTCTCAGGTTGCAAATGTTTCAATTCAAAAGCCAATTTCCAATATTTAGATATTCAATTCACAATGGTGTCGAAAATCTTTTGGGAACGTTTGCAACCCAAGTCGATTATTGCTGAAACGCCACATGCACTCCCACACATTGAAAGTTTATTAGCTTAATTAAATAATTTATAACTGGAGAGAGCATTATGCGAAATTATTATATTTGAATCCTAGAGAAAGGAGGTCTGGGACGGGCTTGGCGTGGATAATAATTGAAATGTGTGCGCAACAACAAAAAAAAAACAGAATTGACTTTGGGATTGAACTCGATGAAAGCTCATTGAAGGCAGTGAAAAGAGCTGGTAGAAAACGCGATAAAACGAGATAAAGCATGAATCAATGGGGGAGACGAGAAAAAAAAACACACACAAACTAAATAGCTAGAAAATAGCGAAAACAAAACGATTAATGATAGGAATGACTTGCCGGCAGGCAGGCAGACAGATTAAATGAGAAATGCAAGTGAGACCGAACACGAGATTGGAAGAAATTGAATTGATAGAGAAAACGTTGGGGGGAGTGAGAGGAAGAGGGTTGGGGGCTGTGTGGAGGAAGTCTGATCATCATCATCATCGTCGTTGGAGGACTTGTGACGATTTTTTCATCATTTTTGTGTTCACTTCGAATATTAGGCCTTTGTAGCGTTCCGGCGCGCATTTGCCGCAATAGCCACCGCATCGGCCTTCGATTCGCGCATTGTTCTTAAAATCAGACATTTCCAAAAATCGAATTAATGGGATGGGATCTTACGAATGTTCGATCAATTCGAGACGTCGTTCGATGGCCATGATCCTCCCAATTGAGATCGTCGACAATTCGGAGGCCGGCGTCGCGAAGGTCCAATGAGAAATGGCCCTGTGTTGATAATGATTTTTAAAAAAATACGCGTTTCGCGCCAATCTCTTCTATTCAAATTTCAATTTTATCGCTATTATAGAAAGCTTTGAAAATCAAAAATTTTCGACGCGCCTCTTTTTTTTTGAATGTTATCAAATTTAAAATGCCCATTATAATCTCTTTTCCTCAAATTCGTTTCAGAAAATTTCTTTAAAAAAAGAGAGTTTCTTTTTGGGAGAACCCCCATAAAAAATCAGAATGAATAAATTATTTGGTTTCCTCGAAAAAAAGCCAGCCACGATTGCTTGAATTGAATTGTGTGCAAAAATGCGTCGGTGTGTGAACAGACAAAAACGAAATCGGCGGCAAATTATAATTTGCCGCCCAGCTGCGGACAACGTTGGGTGGGGGGGGGGGTCGCGAAAATCGTTTCAGAATATTAGAATCACCTGCGGGCATTCTTTCATACTGTAGCAATCGCCAGCAGTTGCAAACGGCACATATTTTCCATAGATCTGTTTGGTGAACGTGTAGTCGGTCACTGAAAACACATACAAGTTGAACGCGCGCCAAATTCGATCTTACAATGGATTTTTCGATTGAGAAGATCAACCCGAATTTTCTCATAACGCGTCAGTCCGGCGTTCGCGTCGCCGTCGTCCGAACAATGACACGAATCATTGCGTTCGCCATTGAACGGGCACGTGTGCGGATAGATAAGCCTTCAAGAAAAAAAAATAATCATCGCTTCTCATTGATCCTCACTTTTTGCCGTAGATCTCGGCGAAGTTCGTCGCCGGATTCAGATTCAGATACGCTTTCGGAATCGAGTCGCTCATTTGATGGCAATAAACGGTGATGGTGAAACCGTCAAGTAGAACAGTGTAATTGCCATCGTTCGTGCTTCCGGTGGTTGTTCGAATTTCTTGACACGTTGACGGTAGACCTTGAAGCAAAAATGCCATTAGCAAATAATTCACATCACAATTGACTGGCTTACAATTTCTTTCGAAACACAATTGCGTTCGTCGCGGCCTCTTCGAGCCGCACTTCGATCGCTCGACGCGTTTGCCGTGCCGATCGACGCATCGCACTTTGCGTCGTCGGATACCCTGACCGCACGTTTTGCTGCAACTTCCCCACGGTCCGAATTGCCATTGGAATTCGGAATCGCACGGATTGAGCTCGCACGTTTGCGTTTCGGACGGCTTCGGAAATTGTTCGCATTTCTCGCGCGGCACCGCCGCGTCGCCAAACACCGACGTCAGCGTCGTCGTCGACAGCGTGACGTTCGACCGAAGGCGGCACGAGACGTCGCGCGTCTGAACACCTTTGCCGCACGTGCGCGAGCACGATTGCCAATCGCCGGGCACCCACTCGTACGGGCATTTGCTCGTGTCGCATTGGCGATGAATTGGCGGCGCCGGCGCCGGCTCGCACATTCGCGGCGCCGCACGCTTCCCGGCGTTGCTCATGCAGAACACGCGACGCGTTTGTTGTTGCCCGCGAGCGCATTCGTCTTTACACTGAAACAATAATGGATTTTGATTTTTGCAAAAAAAATTTGCAATTATCTTTTTCGACAAAATTTCCTTTAATTATATTCATTTTTGGTTTCACTTTTTTTCCCAAAAAAATTCACAAATTCCAATTTTGACGATTCTCACCAAAAAAAAATGCGATGATTTTACACCAATCCTTTCTATTTCTATGATTAGGCAATTTTCTATTTTTTTAATGAATAAAAATTAAAAATAAGTCATTTTTCGTCGCATTTTTTTTGAACAAAAATTTTAATAAAATCGCTTTTTCTTATTCCCAACAATTTCAAAAATTTTTTTTTTCGAAAAAAAAACCCAAAATTGAATACCTTGCTCCACGGCGTCGTTGTCCACGTGTAGGCGGGACACGCCACCGGGAAACAGAACGACTCATTGCGCAATTTCGTCGCCGGATTACATTGCTCATCGTCGACCTTCTGCTTTCGACCACGATAGCAGAACACATCGCGCGTTCGGACGCCTCGACCGCAACTCACCGAACACTGAATAAGATTCAATTTGAGACTGGGGTTGGGGAGTTGAATTCGTCTTCTCATTACACTACTCCACGCCGTCGTCTTCCATCGCGGACAGTGCGCAACGCGGCAGCGAACCTCTTCCACAGGCTTGTCGGTCTTGTCGCATCGAGTACTCGCGACGGTCACGTTCAACGCGGTGTCGAAGCATTCAACAACGCGTCGCTTCGTTCCGCGACCGCATTTTGCAGAACACTGTAATGTATTGATCTACATGGATATATTAGGATCGCAAAAAAAAATCAAAAACCAGAACCCCATTCTGCCAATAAAAAAAAACAAAAAATGCAGATTCGGGTCGAAAAAAATTCTGAAATTCGGATTACCGTCATTCGCCAATGATCATATAATAATATTTAGTCATGCAAAACTCAAAATACATCCAAGCCATATATTGTTCACTATTAATTTATTTGAAGGAATAAATCAACAACTGACATTAACACAAAGAATGACATAGTTTCTTTTTCTTCTGGCAGTTCTTTTCTTTTTTTCTGAAGGACAAAATGAGAAATTTTTTGGGGGATATGTGAATTTAAATAATATTAATAATAATAATAATGTGAAATAACACAAAAAAAAATGAAACTTGAGACAATAAGCACCCGATTGTTCATGGTTTTTTTTTTTTACTTTTTCACAAAAGCTTTGTATGTTCTTTTTTTTTGGTTGCGAGATACCTAATGTTGAGCAGTTTCCTATAGAGCATTTCATGCAAACATGAATTTGTTTTTGTTGACGACGACGGACCTTTGAAGCACATGCATAGACACGGACAATATACAAAAAAAAACAAGAGAGACAGAGACAGCGACAAAACACAAAATTTGGTTAAAGCTTCCGATCGATGGTGTACGAATAGTATTGTGAGGACGACACAAGGTTTGAATCTAATAGGCGACGACGACGCGATTCAGCCGGTTTTCGTCGACGATGATTTCGCAGACGATTCTGCTGATGACGTACCGCACTCCATGCTGATGATTGCCACGTGAGTTGATTCGACGCCGATGACGACGACGACACAGACGGTATCGATGCGCGTTGAGCGACGGTCGGACACGGCGGCATTTCGCAATCGCGTTGCTCAATCGGCTTCTGCTCGACGCATTCGGTGTCGTCTTGAATGCGTCCCGATGACACATCTTCGCACCAGATGCGCCGGCGTTGAACACCGCCACCGCACGTCACCGAACACTAAATCGATTGATCAATTTTGTTGGCGCAAGTTAATCACTAACGTGTGTCCATGGCGAGATTTGCCATGAGTTGTTGGTGAGCGGCGGGCAGATCTCCTCATTGCAGCGATCAAACATTTTCGGTTTTCGCGTCTCATCGCATGATGTCGACGTGCACGAGACACTTCGACGACGCCATCCGCCTCCGCACGTTGCCGAACACTAAAAAACCGCAAATTGGAAGGTAGTGATCAACAAGAATTTCGAAAAATTTGCTACCTTTGACCAGTCACCGATAATCCAACTTCCAAGATGCTCTTCGCCTTTCGGGCACGGATCGAGACGGCAATTTCTCGCGCTCGCCGGCCGCTTCTGAATGTCGCAATCGGTGTCCTTCAACACGCGTTGGGTCTCGTCGGCGCTGACGCATGAAACGTTGCGCGTTTGTTGAACGTGCGCGCCGCACGTCGCCGGACACGCCTCCCAGAAGCCTTGACGCCATTGAGCGCACGGTCGAATTTGGCACGAGCGCGTGTCGGCGAACTTCTCCAAATGGCTGCAGTAGGCGTCGGGCAGATCGCGAATGTGATCGCGACACTTCAGAAGGCGCCGCTGGGTTCCGTTGCCGCACGTCGCCGAGCACGCCGTCCACGGTCCGGTGGCCCAACGAATCGCTGGGACTTCGGCTTGCGATTTCGCGTAGACGCGTCGCTCGCCGCACGGATCCTTCTCGCACACTCGTTTCTCGCGCGGCCGCGCGTTTTTGTCGCAAAAGTACGCGCCAACCGGAGTCCGATCGGGACCGCGCACGCACTGAATCGTTCGCGTCTGGATTCCCGAGCCGCACGACACCGAGCACGGCGACCAATGCGACGGTTGCCACGACGTGCACGGCGCCAACGAGCACGTCTGGAACGTCGACGGCGGTCGCGAATCGCCACAATAGGAAGCGTCGACGATCTGATCGCGATAGATGCAATCGACGGTGCGCTCTTTTTGGCCTGTGCCGCACGACACCGAACACGCGCCCCATTCGGACATCTTCCAAAACGGACACGCTCCAAGACTGCACGGTTGATGAATCGCGGGTCGATCGGCGACGGGTCCGCATAACGACAAGTCCACCTCGCTGCCATTTTCGTCGACGCACGCGATTCGCCTCGATGACCAACCGTCGTCGCAGCTCACACTGCACTGCGACCATTCGCCGAGCTTCCACGACGGACACGCCGGTTTGCGGCACGCCTTCGAGACGATCCTTTCCAATTTGTTGCAGCGAGCGTCGGCCAAATGATTGCCGTGTCGATCGGTGCAGTTCGCCTCGCGCAATTGCATTCCTTCGCCGCACGTCGCCGAGCACTCGGACCACGGTCCGAACGTCCACCATGTGCACGGATGGGTGTTGCACGTCTCGTGTGTGTGCGCGGTGCCGCATCGCGATGTGTACGTCTCGCGATCGGCAGCGTCAAGGCATTGCGCGTGACGCATCCGAACGCCGCCGTCGCACGATCTCGAGCACTCAGACCAATGGCCATAAACCCATCTGGGGCACGGTATCCGATTGCATTCCTTCTCGACGGCCTCTTTGATCTCCCTTCCGCACAACGACTCATCGACTCGCCGATTGTTGCCATCGACGCAATACGATTTTCGGAATTGTTTTCCGTTGCTTCCGCACGTCTCCGAGCACGTCGTCCATTCCGAGTACGTCCATCGTCGTCCCGTACAATCAATATAGCACGAGACGATCTCGGCCGGTTTCGCGTTCGGATCACAATTGATGTCAGCGATTGTCGTCTGACGATCGCCTTCAAGTTTCACGCACACCGCCTTCTGACGCTTCTGCCCGATTCCACATTTGGCGTTGCACGACGTGACGTCTTTCGTCGACCATCTGAAAGTAGTGGAATGAAATAATTTTAAATTTTTGAATATTCGCTCCCACTTCACAGCACAATCAATATTGCACATTCTTGTCGATGGTTTCGGTTTTCTGACGCGACAATTCCTCTCGCTCGTCTGCCTATTCGCCGAAACATCGAAGCACACCAACATCTGCGATTGCCTTCCGCGACACACACGATCGCACTCCGACCAGCGATCCGACACACGCCACATATAGCGCGCGCGTGTCGGCGGACGCTCGGCGACGCTCGGCGACGCCGCCGTCATGTACTCATAGTAAATGTCGGGCGGATGGCTGCCAACCGACAGCACGTGCACGAAAATGTCGCTTCGAATCGGACCGGTGCCATTGATCCGCTCGACGACCGCATCGCTTCCAGAATACTCGAGAATCGTGTCCTGCACCGAAATGTGCTGACGCGTCATGCTCACTTGAAAATGGCCGTTGAGCAGAAATTCGCCGTTGGCCGAACGAAGCGCTGAAATCGATTTAAGAAATTTTGAGCTTCAATTTCATTCCACCCCCTACAGAGATAGTTATCGTCCTCCTTTTGATTATTGAAGCCCCTCTGCCGGATGTCGATGTTGGCCGATCCCGCCGGAATCTTCATCACCTCGTTGTACCCAAATGTGCCTTGCTCATTGAACGTGCCTTGAACCACTTTGCACGACGAATCGTCGCCGCCGCATATTCCGCATTTGTCGCGCCGAATCGTTGAGTAGAGCGTATGATCGCATCCGGCCGGCATACACGTGCCAGCCACACAAATATCATCGCCGTTTCGATCGCACGGCGTCCCGTCGACGACCTTATCGCGCAGCAAATAGAACGCGGCGCTTCCCGACAATTGGCAATACAATTTGCAGCGCTCGTTTTCGGCGACGTTCGAGTATTTCGGCACCCAATGTGTGTGCTTCGACGGCACCCCATGAATTCCGATGTCCTTGTTGTTGAATTCGGCGCATTGCACGTCGCGAAACGGCGGCGTATCCCATGGGCACTCTTGTGTGTTGCACGAGCGATATCGTTCGCGTTGGCCCACGCAATATTTTCCGCCGTTTGTGGGCCTGTAATAAATTTAATTGTCAGTGTAATTGCGGGGTTTTTTTTCATTAAGCGAAATGAGGCACAAAAAAATAGGCCATCCATCAAATTAAAAAGGATTATTAGAAAAAAGAAGCAGTTCCCCCCTTCCAAAAAAAAAACTAATATACCTTTCAATCTTAAAAAGTCTAAAAAATGGATTTAAAATAAAAGAATCAAAAACATTTACCTGGGATTGTCACAATCGCGAAGTGCTTTCTGAATTCCACCACCGCACGTTCGGCTGCATTCGCCCCATCCGCGCCAGTCGCCCCATTGGCCGTCGACTCTGGTAAGCGATTGGGAGGCGATTCGAACGCATTCGCCATGATGGCAAAACTTGAAAAATAAGAATTCAGCATGAAACTATCATCGAAAGTAAAAAAAAACAAGACGACAATTTGATGAAAAAAAAGCGTCATGTGCAATTTGTCGACGAATAAAGTGTACAAGTCCGCAATTATTTAATTTTTTCGATTTTACAATTTTGCCCATTTTTTTTTTGGAAATTCAAGCTTAAAACACGTTTCAAAGCCAGAAAGTGCCTCAAAATAAAAAAAAAATAAAATAAATAGTGGCATTTTTAAGTAAAATTTCAAATCTTCCCAACAAAATAACCTAGAATTTCCGTTATTTTTTTTTCTATTTTTTTTTTTATTTTCACTGATAGTTAATTCGTTTAGACGTCACAACAAGCATACCATATTTCTTGACTCATCGCATGGTGTTCCATCGGCCCATGGCATATGTTGAGTTCGACAACCCATCTGGCTACCGTAGAATGTTGCACACCACAATCGGCGGCATGTTGGCTGCAAAAAAATAACGAAACGAGTAAGTCATGTTTTGAACGGCGGTTCGCCCAACCATGTATGGGCACAATTCCGAAGCGGGACCAAAAACGAATTTGCACTGCTGATTCGCGTCGTACTTTTTGCCGGGCTCGTCGCGCGTGAACACGTTCTCATAGTAGCGCCGCTCGACGGGTTGATCAAATAAACATTGAATTTGTCCTCGATTCGCTCTAAACAAATCATTGTTGTTGTTGTTTTTTCAGAGCAAAACAAAAATTTCATCGATGATGGCCTACTCGAGAAATCGTTCGAGCATTCCCGCCGAACACGGCGACCAACTCCACGGATGCGTGTTGTACTCCAACGTCGGCGCCATTATATGATAATTGCTTTTTGAGACCTGCATAAATTGGCCGCACTTTCGTTCATCGTCGTGTGGAATTGAGAATCTGTCAAATGGTTGAGAGGGCGATTTAATTCGAAGCGCTCTCGACTTACACATGTCCCAACTCATGGGCAACCGTGAACGCGGCACTCAGACCGTTGTCCTCGATGATCGCGCAACTCTTTTGCATGTCGCACATTGTGCCGAGCTCGGCCAACCCAAGAGTATCGCATTTTCCTTGTGACCTAGAAGAATCGAAGAGCAATTTTGTTTTATTTTTTTGGTCTGTCGATTCTGTGGGTCTCATTCATACCTACAAATATCCTTTCGTGTCAACAGAATCGCAACATCGTGATGCTGAATACTCGTGTCATCCGGATCATTATAATACTGTTGCCATCGGCAAAAGTCTTGAAGCGTCTGCTGAGCGTTTTGTGTGATTCGTGGTCCCGACTAAACGCTCAAAAAAAAAGAAACAATATCATATTGGCGATGAAAAGCCACACGCACATTTTCGGCCTTCAATACAATGATTTTGACGACGACGACATTAATCGAAGCGCGAAGCGATTGATGGCGATAGATCGAGGCGACCGTCGAGAACAACGTGAGCACATAATCCTCAAGCGATCGACCGTGATACTCGTACATTTTCGTGTCGGCAACGACGAGCACCTCGACATAATGGTCCCACGAATTGGCGGCGCGTCGCGATCGCGTTTTGCGGTCTGCAATACACTCGCCGCTCATGTGGGTAAATATAGTCGCTAGAGAGATAGAGAGAGAGAAATTTTTTTGTTCTTAAGCCAAAAAAAAAAGAATTCGCGCGTGGGAGGCGAATTGTTGCAATTTTCTGAATGCTTACCGAGCACATCTTCGAACGGCTCGGCGTAGGTGGCCGACGCCGCCGATGCTGTTGTCGAATTGAGATAGTCGAACGCTTTGAAGTGCATCGGATCGAATTTGCGCACCAAGTGTTGGCGGTGTCGAGGTTCTTCAACAAAAAACACCCCCATCATTAATAATCATCTATTAGCCAACCTTGAGAGTTCTCGTCGATGATCGGCTCGACTGTATGAATTCCATCGGGAAGCGCGAGAAGGCCATACTAAAACGATTTGTCGATTGTTCTTTGTTTTTCGTTTTGAGAGATCAAGATTCCCACCAATCCATCATCGGAGTCGCAAAGATTGACGATGCTGTGCTGTTCGACACCGGACACATGCGCTCGGTAAATACAATCGGGCGCGACTCGGGCGATTCGACCGCGCACCGATTCGTCCGAGTCGAGATAGAGCACCATTGGCGCGTAGTTGGAATTCGAAATGACTGGAACACTTCTGGAATGGGCACGGCGTCACGACGACGACACAATTTGAGATGTGACGACTCACTTGTTTTGCGACGGCGGTATCTGATTCCAGCGATGGAGGTGCACCGAGTAGACGCGATTGTGCGATCGCAATCGTAGATGGCACGAGTGGCCGCAATCGCGCGCGACACCGCGCACTCGGCGCGTCGATGTCGCGACGCCGACGCCCGACGAGCGCCGCCGGCGGATGTGTTGCGCGTCGGCGGCGAACACGCCGTTGTCGAGGCGCTCATGACGCACCGACACGCCCGAGTACTTGGCCCTGGAGACGAGCACATTTGTGAGTCGTGCGCCACTTGCCTCACTCCTTCCATTTGCAACTGGAAACGTCGACAAGCGGATTTCAATTCGAACAAGGGTGTTGATGGAAATGCGAAGAAGAAGCGACTCACGGTAGAATCCAACAACAAACGCGGCGATGAGCAGGAGCACGAAGGCAGAGGTGGTGTGCAACAGCGGCGGCGTCGAGCGCATGCCCGCGATTGGCGACGGCGGCGCGGAATCGATGGAATCGTCGCCTCGTCGTTCAGGCGTCCGATGATGTGCAATGATTAATATTGAGCGCGCGACTCGTACCCGAGCATCGACCCTACAAACTTCGAAGGTCCTCTCAATTACTGTTTTCGACTCACCAAAAAATTTCCAAAAAATTCTTTCTGCTAGCTAGAACAACGACTATAACTAGGCGTCCGTCTTCCTTCTGAAAAGAATTCAAAAAGAAATCATAATAAGACGGTTTGGGGGGGGGCGAATAATTGGGAGTATTGTCTCAAATTTCAATGAGTCAGTCTCAAAACGAACACTGTATAGAGGCGTCTCCTGACCGGCGGTTGGTTTGGCGATGGAGAGATGAGATGGGTGGGGGGGGTCAGAATTTAATAATGGTTTATTGGGCTTTTAGAGCATCTTTAATAAAATATTGATAAGAGTAGAAAATAATAAAATTAATAAGGAGGTCAACATTGAGAAGAAAAAATGAAAATCATTGGGCCATCTCCCAAAAATGGTCTCATTTTCGGGAGATTCTCTAACACTTTGACGGGGCCCAAAAAAAAAAACAACGACGAAGATGAAGAAGAAGAAGAACGATGAAGGTAGTGTGGCTCTCTCTCTTCCTCTCTCTCTCGATGGCACGCCGATGTGACCAGCCAACTGACGCAATTGCAACTCTCGGCAGGAAGGAGAAACATGGGAGGGGGTGGGGGTGAGCATCAACACAAAAGAGCAAAGAGAGGCGCTTGTCGTCGATTCGAGAATTTGTACAGTGTGTGGTTAGGCATTGCGAACACCTAGACGTCTGCGAAAATGTTGGTTTTGGGGTTCAACCCCAAAAAAGGAGAGTTTTGAAATGATTCAAAAAAAAATATTTATAGTGATCTCATTATTGGAATTCCAGTTTCGCCGCGGGCCGGACGGTAGCCCAAAAAAAATTTACGATGCTTGAAATATGATTACGGTAGCGTCCGCGCATAAACAACAACAACAAACATGAGAGAATATCAAAAATGTGAAAACGCGTGAAATTTGATGTGACATTGAAATTCGGGGTGGGGGCAAAAAATAATAATAATAAACTGGATTGGACTTTTTTTTTTGGTTCTCTGTCGGCAAAATTTTTTTGTTCGTTGTTGAACCCAATGTGCTCGACAGATGTTTTGGATCGTTCGAAAATTATTGGAAAACATTTACATTGGAATAGAGGCGGGGGGGGGTCAGAATTTGTCACGAATTGTTTTTTCTTTTGAGATTTTTTGAGGGCGAAAAAATCAACCAAAAAAAAACAATTTTTGATTTTTTTTTGGCCTTCTGAGTCGTCGTCGCCTCAAAATTGGTCTAGCTCGAAAAATGGCGGCGGCGGCGGCGGCGGCGAGCCGCTCGCTGGCCCCCGCGGGGCTACGTTTTTGTTTGCTAGCGTGTGTACTCAAACCGGCCACAAAAAAAAATGGAAAAGAAAAGAACCTGCTCCTTAACTCTTAGGTAATCCTCTCTTGCGCGTTTATATTGTTTTTGTGCTCCCCCAGACATCATTTTTGGTACCCACACAAGGCGACCCGGACCGGGCCGGACCATTGATTGATTTGCATAATTCTCTTCCCTATGATTCCCCGGAACCGATCGTCGCCAAAAAAAAAGTTCACATATACATATTTATTTATATAATACACCAGCACATACACACACATATACACGCGCTCGCCAGTCAATCATTTGAGAGCGAAACAGAGATGATCGACAAAAATGAGGGGAGAGGACGACGAAGAAGAAGAAGAAAAAGATGGGAAAAAAATGAAGAGACCCATAACGATATGACCTCATAATAATGATGGCCATTAACAGCGAATCATCTCGTTTTTTTTTCCTCTCTGAAGATGTGGAACAGAGTTTTATGAGGGTGGTGATCGGTGGTGTGAAATCGAAACGACAAAACACACCGCAAACTAATGGGCATCAGACAAAAAAAAATTTTTTTTGGAGATCTCAATCGGCAAATAAAAATATAGGCAAACTGCCTTCGTGGCCGAAGTGGCATGGCCGAGTTTTGGTGGCCGAATTGGAGATTTTGCGATTAAAAACAATTTAAATTTTCTATAGACAATAAATGATATTTCAATCGAAATGTAGCAAATTAAAAAATTGGCAAACTGCCGTCGGGGCCGAAATGGTATGGCCGAGTTTTGGTGGCCGAATTTTAATAAATCTTTGGGAAAATGGAGATTTTGTGAGAAAAAAATCAAACCTTAAATGTTTTGCGAGAAAAATTGAAAAATTCGAAATTGCTATAGACAATATATGATATTTCAATCGAAGTGCGGTAATTAAGAAAATGTGCAAACTTCCGTCGTGGCCGAAATGGCATGGCCGAGTTTTGGTGGCCGAATTTTAATAAATCTTTGGGAAAATGGAGATTTTGTGAGAAAAAAGGCCAAACCTTGGATTTTTTGCGAGAAAATTTGAAAAATTCAAAATTTCTATAGACAATATCACAGAATAATTGAAACATCAATTATAATCGATCAAAAGATGGCGGCGACACCACATGTGGTGGTTGTAGACATACACAAAAAAAGATGGCGGCTAATTGGGGGTAACATGAGGGCTCGGCGAACGAAAAAATCGAAACCAACGAGACGAATGAGTTCAATGATTGTGAAGGCGGCTAATGGATCTCGACGCGTTCGGAATGATTTATGAAAGGTACGAAAATTGGAGAAGGGGGGAACACTAGAAGAGATATGAGTGTTTTGAAAAAAAATGCAGAAAAGACGAAGTTGAAATAGAAAAAAAAAACTGTACATTGGCAGGTGTTGGCCGCCGTCGGTGCCAGGCGGTCTGCGTTTTGTTAGTGCTGAATTCCAGATGTTCGATGCAACTCGTACTAGTCACGCATCGCATGATTACTTTTTCTGAGAAACAACTGGCCTTGTTTGATCATGTTTCGAGCAACTCGAAATTGTCCGCAGATGGGAATTGGTATAAGGAATTTCGAGGGCTGGCCTTCTTTTTGAGCGCTTTTCAAGATCCCGAAATTTGTCCGCAGATGAGAATTGGTATAAGGGATTTCGAGGGCTGGCATTCTTTTTGAGCGCTTTTCAAGCTCCCCAAATTTGTCCGCAGATGAGAATTGGTATAAGGAATTTCGAGGGCCGACATTCTTTTTGAGCGCTTTTCGAGCTCCCGAAATTTGTCCGCAGATGGGAGAGCAAAAAAATGAGAATTTTAAAAATCAAGATTGATATCTCATAAAAATTTCCATTTTGCTAATTTTTCTGAAAAAAAATACTAGGATTTCTTTTGCGCAGAAAAACCAAATTTTTTGGAAATTTTGCTATTTTCACGATTGAAATTTAATGGACCGTAATGATGTTATGCAGATTTGGGGGAAGAAAATCGAAAATTTGAAAGAAAAAAAGCAGTTTGTGACATCGGAATAACTTTTAAAAGTAATCATTTTCCAAAAAAATCAAATCATCTTAATAAATTTCGAAAATTTATTTTTAAAAATCTAGATTATTCTAGGCACTCTGCCCAACCATATAAAGTTAAAATTGCTGAAAAAAATCGAAAAAAAATCTATGATCATCAAAAATCCGCATAGTTCCATTTTTTTCCCAAAAATAGCCGCCATCCATATTTTATTATTTGACAAATTTCATCCGCGCCAAAAAAAAATGAGAATTTACAATTTAAGGAGGTAATAAAAAATTAATGAAACAAATCTTAATCCTATGGATTTTTTTGGGGCCCAAAATCTTGAAATCCAGCAATACTAATAGTATATATATAGTTGAAGCTTGGAGTATAGATTTTTTGAACCCAGTGGGGCGGCTCTGTGGCATAGTACGAACGCAAGGCGCGTGTTAGTACAAACCGACAAGAAAGAAACACTAGAGCGAAGGATCCGCTTCATCATTCGCTCGGACCAACATATGTGTATCATTTTTCGTCTCAAACAACAACGAAATTATTCAAACGACCTGGAATTTTCTAGAAGGGGCACGGAGAGGCTTTTTATTAAGATGTTGACAAAAAAATTTTTTTGTTGAATTTTGTTAATTTTTGAATGGTCCCTATCGATGAGAGAGAGAAGAGTTGAAAGGCTTGAGAGAAGCGATGGAAATTTGCTGGCGAAAGCAAAGTTCATCACCCCCGCGGGTTTACACTCGCACACACACAATTTCGAGGTGTTGGAAAATGAACACTCGTTCACACTAGAGGCCAAATAGTGAAAGTTTCATTTTTTTGTTTTCCTTTTGTCAACATTTCGGCCAAAAAAATAATGGATCATAGACAATTTTTGAGTGAAAAATAAATTTTTTTGAAATCTCCAAAATCGCATTCAAATTGCGTTGAAAAAATATCAAAATAAAATTTTGAAATAAAATTTTTTTGAAATCACCAAAATCGCATTCAAATTGCGCTGAAAATAATCAAAAAAAAAATTTGAAATAAAATTTTTTTTGAAATCACCAAAATCGCATTCAAATTGCGCTGAAAAATATAAAAAAAAATTTTGAAAAAAATTTTTTTGAAATCACCAAAATCGAATTCGAAATGCGCTGAAAAATGTCAAAAAAATTTTTTGAAAAAATTTTTTTGAAATCACAAAAATCGAATTCAAAATGCGCTGAAAAATGTCAAAAAATTATTTGAAAAAAAATTTTTTTTGAAAACTCAAAAATCGAATTCAATGCCTCAAAAGTATCAAAAAATAATGTTGAGAAGAAAAAAAGAAAAAAACAAAAAGTTTAAAGGGACATTTGACTATCCTATCGGACCTCACACTCAGGATCGAATGAACTACTATATAAGTTGATGATAACGATCTCAACAGGGTCCGAGGTCCGTGAGGGTTGAACAACAATCAAGATGTTTCAATCAACGAACACGGCCAACAAAACAATTGGATGACTAATGCGTCGGGAATCAATAATGAGAAAGCATTTCGGGGCGATGGATTACACCTGGGTCGAGTG